TCCATATTTCCGCAAAGAGGATATCAATTATATTGTCCGCATTTCGTCCGGGACGAAGGTTTTTATTTCCTCTACATTTCATCCAGGACGAAAGTCGGACGAAATTTTCACTGTCATCCGCCTTTTGTCTGGGACGAAATGTGGAAGAATATTTTCCTGTCATCCTCATATAATCCGCATATCGTCCGGTCGGTACAGTTTAACTATCCCATTGTCTGAAATGTGGATGAAATGCGACAAACAGTTAAACAATCGTCCGATCAGAAATGTAGACGCCTAGCCGGACAAAAGCGGTCATTTCGTCCGAATATCATCCGCCTTGCCGCCCGGCCGGAGATTGTGCATTGCCCGTCGTGCCAAGGCCTACGGCGGCTCCGAAGCGCCTTGCTCCCTACCCTCGACCATGTCCCGTTCACCGTCCCCCGTCCCTGCCCCCGCGTCCCCCGCACCTCGCTCGCCGTCTCAGCACGAAGACTCGGAACCTACTCTCCAGGTCACCCTCCAGGACTCGCCTGAAACGCATACACCCGACACCGAGGACGCGGCCCCCTCCAGTTCCCCCGCGCCCACCTCCACCACCACTCCTGCTGATGTTCCCGAATCTGCGTCCTCCTCAAGCTCTACCACCCCGTCGCCCCAGAACTGGCAGGCGGTCTGGTCGCCAGCCCACAACATGTACTACTTCTACAACTCGGTAACGCACGAGACCACCTGGACGAACCCGCTCCAGCCCTCCGCGGAAGCGGGGCCCTCTACCGTCACCGTCGCGCAAGACACCGCCGAGACCGCTGGTGCGTCGTCGTCGGCCGTGGCCGCAGGTGGCTTCGACATCTACGCCGCCGCGGCCGCACAGGGCATCGATCCCGCACTCGCCCACCTCGACCCGTCCCTCGCCTCGGCGGGCAGCGCGCCTGGGGCGGGCACGTACACGGCCAAGTTTAACTCCCGCACGGGGGCGTTCACGCGCCCAGACGGCCGGGACCCGACGCACCTGTCCGAGTATGAGCGCGCGAAGCGGATGAGCGAGTTCTACTTCGACGTGAATGCGTGGGAGCAGGAGGTTGAGCAACGCAAGCTCGAGGAGGCACAGGAGGAGGAAAGCAAAAAGCGGAAGCGGCCATCCAAGAAGGACCTGGTGAGTCTCCCGTTGGGGCTGCGGTAGCCGTCGTCTGCAGTGTACTGATTCGAGGGCGAAGGATCGGTTCAAGGAACAGAAAAAGCAGAAAAAGCTGGCGAAGACGGCGTGGCTGCGTACATAGGGTCGCTGTCTAGATGTCTTGGACCTAATCGATCGACATGTTTTCCATTTTCCACCAATGTGCCTTGTATAACCTTCCCACCACCGCATTGTCATCGATTCCAAGTGAACATGCGCCCTCGACCTTGTCTTACAGAAGAATCCCAAGCCACCCGCATGTGAGGACGTCTGCGTATCTACCGCTTTTAATCTCTACACTTCAGGTTGAACGTAACTCCTTGATGCTATGGAACGAGACCGTCCCGTTGTCCCGTGCAAACGCGACTAACGTGGAATCTCCGTCACTACTGGCTTTCCCCGCTGTGACCATCCGTGCACGAGCTTCATTACATTGGCGTCTACCCTCCAGAACTCCATCTTGGAGTCCAATCTGTTGAACACGACTCAGGCCAGCGAAGCTCTGTAACAAAAAGGCCAACAATGAGCACCCACACTAACGACATAGGACGTCAGAAACGAGGATACGTGCATCGTCGTCAGTTCAGGAAGCAAACACGGAGGTAAGTGCTCCCACTCACCACGAAGGAGCAGGAACGCGGGTCCACGTTGCGACCTCCATACACCCCCAGGCCACCATGCAGCCTGACGTGCTTAAGTTCGGCCTCTGCTGCAGGGTCTCGGAGACGGCACGGAAGTTTGTGGTAAGGCTCGTTTGCCTCTGGTCGAACGTGACTGAGATCCGCCCGCTGCCAGCATGGACATCCGCTCGCGAGTGCGGATCCACACTTCTTGATAATACACGGAGATGGCTACAAAGATAATTAAACAGCGTGTAAACCATGAGCACCTGGCTTCGGTATCCATCAACGTTCAAATAGGGACACCTTCCAAGCCCCGCTCGAGGCGAGCGTGCCCATCGTCCAGCGAGACGGGCGATATCATGATTGCTTGCGTGGTAGATCGTGTCTTGGCCATCGGACATAGCCTGGAATGAGAGCAACGCCGCGCGCAACTCGGGGCGCGCGGAGATCGGGTTGATATACATTAATCTATGCCTGTGCGTCGAGCACGGTCAATACCGATAGCAATACAACATACGCCAATGAGGGGGAGCAACAGCGATCGAGGGTGCGTGTAGCGATACAGTAGGTAATGCGTGAGGGGGTCATGAAGGGCGTGTCAAACACTCGTGAAACCCATAAACACCAATACCCGCTAGGGGCGCTTGGCACAACGCATGAACAAGAAAATAAGATAGGGGGGTAGGGGGAGTGGACACAAAGGCAAAACGCGAAACGAACGGAGTCGATCGATCAGCAACTCACGTCGACGATGCCCATCGCGTCCGAGATCGCGTCGAGGAGGAGGTCGTCCTTGTCGCCCGCGGCCTCCCACATCGCGAAGCCGAGCATGCCCATGTTGTTGATGAAATTGCCCTTCGCCGCGAACGAGGTCGTGTCGTCGTACGCGATCAGCGCGTTGCGGCTCACGTCGTAGACGTACGGCGTCTGCGAGCACTCGTCGTACCGGTACGGGACGCCGTCCGCCGCGGTGCCGTTGGCGGTGAGCAGCCCGCCGTCGATGAGGCCGAAGAAGTCCCAGATGCCGGACGGCCCGCCGGGAGTCGCGTTACCGCACTGGTCCTTGCCCGCAGGGGCGACCTCGTCCCACTCGTCGCCGAGCGGCTGGGAGCTTGCATCGAAGGCGGGGTAGGAGGCGAGGGTGGTGTCGTCCGCGCCGGCGAACGCGTTAGATGCGGAGACGGCGAAGGAATGACCGTAGGAAGCGACACCGAGCACGAGCTGTGAAGCGGGGAAGCCAGCTTTGGTCCATGCGGCAACGGCGGAGACGGCGGAGCCCTGTTGATCCGCGGCCGGCGCGCAGGTGTCGTTGAGGGGGGCGTTGGGCCCGGCGGAAGTTGACCAGGAACCCCAGATGTCGTAGTTCATGATCGCGACCCAGTCGAGGACTTCGGCGAACGCGGAGACGTCTGACATCGGGCTGCCGTCCGTCCCAGCGAAGGGGGTGATACCCGCGGCGGCGGAGATGGTGAAGTTCTGACCGACCTCAGTACGGAGGGCCTGGAGGAAGGACAGGAAGTTGGCGCTGTCGTCGGCGTCGATGGTGTTGCAGCCCACGCCCTGCTTGTTGGGATACTCCCAGTCGAAATCGAGCCCATCCAGGTTGTACTTGGAGATGAGATCCGTGCAGGTCTTGACGAATGCGGTCCGATTGGCCTCGGTAGCCACGGCGGTGGAGAAGTACTGAGAGCCAGACCAACCACCGACGGTGAGCATTGCCTTCACACCCTGTGGCAATTGGTGAGCAATCCGCAGATAAAAGTGCAAGTACTCCTTCGCATTATTCTCCGAGCGACGACAGGGATGAAGCACGCGCGGTATTCCGCCCACACGAAACCCCAGGACAAGCCCATTCGGAGACGGCGAAACGCGAACTAGAAGAGAAACTCACGTTCTGGTGCGCCAATCCGACGAATGTAGGGAGCAAGTCCGGGTTCGAGCCCTCGAGGGAGAGCGTGTTCACATCGTTGGTCGTCTCACTGCGCATACAGTCAGTGCCGCACATGCAGCGACTGCACAAATGTGAGACTCACGCGAACGAGTAGGTGACCGAGGTGTACTTGGACCAGCTGAGCTGGTCCGGGGGGAAGTCGGTCCCGTGCCAACCGGCGTACCAGGTAGACGCGACGACGTCGTCGGGGAGGGTCCCGTTGGACGAGCCGGAGGCGTTGTTGCCGGTGGACGCGGTGCCGGTGGAGGACGCAGCGGAAGCGGAGGCAGACTTAGGGGGCTTAAGGGAGCACATAGGCGCAGCCCACACCGAGGCCAGCGGCATGGCGGCGAGCAAGAGAAGAGGTGACAACATTGGGAGAATGGGGCGCGGCGTGAGTAGGAAGGCTCGTGAGGTCAGGTCAGGAAGCCGAGAGCGGGAGACGAGTCGAGGATCCTAGAGAGCGTGGAGGAGAGAGCGAGAGAGAGAAGACAGCGGAGCACGCGCGGAGGCGGGCAGGATGGGGGAAGTGGCCTCGGAAGGGCCGCGCTTTTGTACGCCGAGGTCTGAAACGAGGCGCGGACCGTACGAAATTGAGGCCGCGTAAATTTCGATGGGCGGATGTGCACGCACCTTGCCGCATGCTCCCCCATTGTTCGTGGCCCCGGGCGCTAGAAAGACAATGGCTTGACCTGTTCTCACAATACCGTCCTTCGGCTGTGTGCTCGGAGCCAAACACAAGCTGCCTAAATATTGTGTGATGGCCGGTCTCGACGCTGCTGCCGATCGTGGTTCTGGGCGAAGTCGAGAGATGGCGAAAGACAAGGTGTTTGGCGTCTAGCGGTCGCACCTCCTGGGCCACGGGCGCTCCCTTAAGTCATGGGACCGAGCTGAGATTCGAAGGACTGGCGATGCGAGAAGTACTGTATACTTATTACTGCCATAGGGTCAACCAAAAACCAGTATCTCTGTTGCGCTCATGCTACAGTACAGTCTAATAAATATGATGTTGGACCGCAATACAGTAGCGTATACATCTCGTCAGGTTTCGCCCCGTGAATTATTCATACTCGCCATGAGACTAAGCAATCGCTGCCCGCCGCCAAAGAGACCACCAACGCCATGCGTGTGAAGCGGACGCGAGATGCAAGATGGAACGCGCACACACACCATGTGTATCCCCGCCGCACCTTTTCCTGACTTACATCCTCCGTACGCACACTCGTGTTCGCTGCTTCTTCCATTTCCACCGCCCAATACACGCGCGGCTGGCACGCCGAACGTCCGACGCTTACCGCTTGCCCCTCCAGCCGGAGCCCAGGACCCCTCCACCGCCGACGCCAAAGCCCGCGAAGGCGCCGCCTGGGCCCGGGCCACCAATTTGCGGGCCTTCGCCAGGGCTTGTGACGGGGCTGAACCCTGGCGGCTTGCCGTGGAACGACGTCCGATATGAGGTCTGAGGGACCGCCTGTATCGTCAAAAACTTGTTTGCTACCGGCCGGTCGTCGTTGTTGTACTGCACCCAAGCGAGCGGGGGGACGTCAATCCATGCTGCATTAGCGACAGAACGCATACACCCACCTGGAACTCGAGTCCAATCCCGTCCGCCTCCGAGACGTCGAGCAGCTTCACCATCTTGCGCGCGATCCCGTTGATCTTCTCCACATCCTCCTTCGTCCGCGTCCAAAGCTGTATCCGGTCCACCTTGCTCCGCAGGCTGACCACCGCCCCGCAAATCTCGTCGCCCTCGTCCAGGTCTTCACCCACGAGCGCCATCGCGAGCCACGACCAGCACCGGTCGAGCAGCGCTGGGTTGTTCTTCATCGTCAACACCCACTTGCCACCGTTCGCGTTCGCGTCGTCCTCCCACATCGGCTTGATGCCCGATTTGAACAGGTGGTAGTTGCTGTTCCGCTCCAGCTTCGACGGCGGCTTCAGCCAATTGAAGTACCGGCAGAACGACTCCACCGTGTCGCATTCGCCGATCACCGTCAGACCGGCCTCGTACTCATCCGACTCCGGCGCCATGTAGTGTGCTGAACCCGGAGGGTCTGAGACCGCCGTAGCCGGAGTAAACGGCACTTTGTTCTTTGTGTCATGGAAGATGGTCCTGGAGATGCACGGTCAATACGTCGTGGTCGAGGGTAGAAAGCCAGAGCAATGAGAGCCACTTCGGACCGTGCTAACGACTCAACTGTCCAGATGTGCTCCCAATGCACCCGTCGAGCACGCATATATGGACGACGACATCATTGCCTAGTAGTCCCCGCCCCGACGTCGAGCATAAATGGCTCATAACGCACAGCCGCAGACGGGGACCGACGCTATGCGCTACGACCACACCATCTGACCCGCAAAATTCCCTCTCAAAACCCTCCATAGCAGACAAGACTCACCAGGTATACTCGAGGGGGTGCTCCGGCGCCTTGATCATCAGCCCAGGAGTCTTGGGATCCTCGTACGTCTCCGCCTCCGGCGGCTTCGCCGACCCGTCCACCGACAGCGTCCTCGCCTTCGCCAGTCGCGCCGTGATCGCGTCCAGGCTCGGGATATTCTTGTACCCCACCGGCATCTTCTGCCTCGGCTTCTCCTCCTTCGTCGCCGCCAGCGCGCTCTCCCCGTCCTTCGCCTCGTCCGCCTTTGTCGTTGTCGCCGTCGCCGCCGCGGCAGTCTCCTTGTTCAGCTCCTCCACCTTCTCCTCCGTCAGCGGCTCGCCCTCGCCCGCCGCGGGGGCCGGGCCCGGGGTGCTCCGCCCGTTGCTCTGCGCCTGCGGGGCGGGGCTCTCGGAGCGGCTGCTCGGCGGCTGCACCGCGGTCGAGTCCGCGGTGGTCACCGAGCTCGCGGCGGACGACGTGCGGAGGAGCGACGCCGCGAGCCGCGGGCGATTCCCCGCCGTGGCGGGGCTGGGGCCGTTCAGGTTGATGCGCGCCGCGAGCTGGTTGAGGGAGGGCATCCGCGTCGCGGAGGGACGGTCGGCCTTGCTGCCGGGCGTCGGTGCGCGCACGGGGGCGTCGGTGGGAGGCGGGGTTGAAGACGTCGACATCGATATGTGGGGGTTGGTGGGAGGGAAGGGACGGGATGAGGACGTCGTCGTCGTCGAGGTCGGAGGTGGAACAGACAAGCACAGGTAGACACCGGCTCCATGGGCGCCAAACCGAGGACGGTGTGATTGTATCATGGGCTTCGGACACAGCTCTCTCTTGACCTGCGCCTTGGAATGCCAATGCTGGCCAGACACACAAGGGTTACAGAGACGAAAAAAAACAAGTCCAGATTCCATTCGAAGGCGCATAAGGCACACTAGTGTATTATACGGGTAGTCTGTAAGCGACACATACAACAAAATGAAGATCCCACCATCCCGACATCGTCGAGATCGGAAAAGTCGGGGACAAGGAGGACGGGGACAATAATATAATGTCACATACTATGAGGAACATCATGACGGAGGTGCGGCAAGAGGCGATGGGGGTGCTGCAGTGTCACCAGCGCCGAGTGGCACGGACGCAATCTCTGATGTGGGTGCGGGCGCGAGCACAGGTGCAGTCCAAGGCACATTTACTGACTCAGGGATGGAACCAAGCTCGGGAAGGGTTCTTGCGGAGGGGACAGACGGGAGTGATGGAGCCTTCTCTGCCGCGCTGGGAGCTGCAAAAGCAGATGGATGAGGTACCGTGGATGGATCCGCGGCGGTGTCAGGGAGGTTGGACAATGCCGGTGTTAATGGCTCGATGGCAGTAGAGGTGGATGCAAGTGGGGCGGATTCCGAAGGGCGAGGTGTCTCCATGTGGTCCCGATTGGGGGCTGATTCGGCCTTAGGCATGTCTCTGGGAGCCACCAAGGTCGTTACCGCAGGCCTGCTCGATGAAGTCGCATCCTCCATCTGAATGTCCGCGATATCAGGTTCTGGTGCAGCGACAGTTGGAACCACTGCAACAGGGACTTCCGCAGGCGCTTTGACCGTTGTCGGGGATGACAACGACGCAGGCTCCTCCGCGTCCATGGCAACGTCGATCGGTGCATCCTTCGTGCCGTCCGCTATGGAAGAGACCTGTGGGTGCTTCGCCAAGGGAGCCTCGGATACCACTGACAATTTAGACAAGGTGTCCGACAGGGTCGTGTTCTTCGGCATCTCGTCCGTAAACCCTCCACTGGCGCATCTCACCAGCCACTCTTGCCGCCGCTTGTTGCGAGCCTCGACCAGCCTCCGAGCTTCATCCCGCTCCTTGCTCGACGATAGACGGTACATGACGTCTTCCGAGCCCGAAACAAAGAACAGGCGATAGGTGCGCACGCAGACCTTGATCTGGAGCCCGCCGCGGGCGATGATATCTGGCATCGCACCCGTCGGGGCAGGAATCTTTGTCCTGTTCGATACGTGAGCGTGAGGATGAGCGCAAGCAAGAAAGCACTCACCGAAGGAGGAATGGTCTCCTGATCGTGGACGATGTCGGCACCCCAGCGGTGTAGTGATGTGACACGAACGACTCGATGTAGGCCTGCCAACGCTCCGTCATCGCTTCGGGATCATCATGGCGGTCGTCGTCCTTGCCGATGAGCTGGATCGTCATCGTCTTTGCATCCATGAGCCAGTCCATGCGGAACAAGTTCTCGTCGGGGCCAAGGACGCGTTCGGTATTCCGCCGGCAGTTGATAAGGTCTTGAGTGGTGGGACTCGGAATCTCGCGCTCCTTCCGCAGAAGCTCGTAAAGGTCCTGACTCTTGGAGTCGGAGAGGATAATCTGGACCTGCTTGATCAGCGCGCCGATGAGCTTATCTATGGTGAACATCTTGTAAGCGTGCTGCAAAAAATTATAAGTACGAGACAATATAAGAATTCCAGAAGGCGACATACGGTGAGACCAAACATGTAGCGCAGCATTTCCTCAAAGTCCGTCTGCTCAACTTCGTTGTCAAACAGCTTCTCGCAAGACTCGAGCATAAGTTCGTAAAAGTAAGCAGCTTGATCCGAAGGAAACTTGAGGCGGTCGGCCAGCTTCTCGATGTTCTCGCGGATACTGTGAAGGGCGGCGACGAGTAGTTGCTACGGTCAGTCTTCTCCTTGGTCAAGTTCTTAAACAAGTTGAGGCGGGAGTACAGAAGCTGTGAAAGGTAAGCCGCAGTTCGAGGCACGCGAAGCGAATGAGCTAACCTCTAGTAGACGAAGCAGCACATAGAACGCGGTGTTCGTATAGAACGTGCCCTTTCTCCGGGTAGACACCTTCTCCATCCGCACCACGCCATTCTCCGCTCTGGGCGCCTCTCCGTCCACTTGCATGGCGTCGGAGGGCGTGGGCGAAGTGAGCCGCGACGGGGATGGGGACAGAGCTTCCTGCGCGCGAGTCCGTCGGCTCGACTTCGCCTGTTCGCTCTTGAGAAGCCGCTTGCGCAGGTCCCCAGAGCCGGCGCCGGCGCCCTTCTTGTTGTTCCGTGACCGTGACGATGAGCCGCCGCCATTCACGCTCGCCATCTCCACATCCTCGCTGACCGTCTCGCCGTCGCCGTCGTCGACGGTCTCGTGATGCGGAACGAATGCGGCGTTAAACGCGACGGGATCGAGCATGAAGAAGAGCGGGACGAATGAGCGCAGGAACGTCTCAATCTTGCGCCGGTCGAAGAGCGAAACCTGGCCCTGAGTCCGGTCGAGAAACGAGATGGCGAGCTTGAGCGTATCCTGGAGGACGGACGGGTCGTCGACGACGAACTCGAGCTGGTGGCGGGGCCGCGTGCGTGCGAGGAGCGGGTCGATGAGCGCCGCGCGGCCGACGCGCTGCTCGTCTCGTGCAGCCTCGATCTGGGTGACGAACGCCTTCTGGGTGATCGCCTTCTTGTCCTCGGCGCGGAACGTGACCGCCTGGTAGTCAAGCGATTTGTGGTAGTTGCGCGCGTCGACCTCGCGCCAGACCTTGTCCCACTCGCGCTGCGCCCGCTTCCACTCTTCGTGCTTCTGCTTCAGCCGGAGCAGTACGATGGGGATCGCGGTTGCGGGGGCCTCCTGCATCTGTATCCACACCTCATTCCCGATATCCCGCCCATAGATCTTCTTGATCACCCGCTGGTGCACCGCCTTTCCGACGCCGCCGAGGTTCGCCTTGAGCTTGAAGTTGCCGCGCTCTTCAGGGGGCATTGTCGCGATCTTGTTGTGTAGCGGTTCGAGCACGGCGATGGTGCGGTGGATCGCCTCGACGTGGAAGTCGTATTCGTGCCGTTCCTCCTCACTTCGATGCAGGGCTTCTTCGTACTGGTTCTTTTTGGCTGTGAAGAACCCGGCGTCCTCGCTAGGGAACGTAGGTTGTGCTATCCATCGATCGTTCAACACCGAGTTGCACATCTCGTCGCGCCCGGAGCATTGGACATTGACCTCCTGCACTAATGATCAGAGCGAACTCAAAAACAGATCCGTAGCACTCACATGGTCAGGGAGTTTCCGGTAGCTACCGTATCGCAGATGAAGCTGATTCCGGTTGGGGCGGTCCAAGACGCCCATGGGTCTCGTCCAGGTCTCTTCTTGGACAGCCATGCGTTCTTTGTTCACATCCCAGCCGAGAATGTCCTTGAGCATCATCACGTATTCCGTCTCGCCGAGGAATGTGCGTGCTTCCCGCACCAGTCGGGTGGAATTGATGATGTCTTGGGTAAAGAGGTTGATCAGCTTGAGGAACTCATTGTACGTCGGAGGGTCTAGGAAAGCCTTGACGCGTTCAAAGAAATCGTTGGGAGGACGAGCGGTGGAAGACGGTTGTCCTGGACCGGCCATGCCTGCGGGACCTTGCTGATGGTGCGGGTAGAAGTTTTGCGGAGGCGGGGGTTGCGGGGGTGCGCGAGCGGGTGAAGCAGGGGGAGCAGCTTGACGTTGTGCAAGGGCGGGAGAAGGGCCTTCGCTTTGTGTACGCGTCTTCGCTTTCTGCTCCTTCCTTTGAGCCACCGTATCTACCGGAACAAGCTTATCCGTACCTTTGTGCTCGACGCTTTGACGGGAGGTGTTTCCTTCTCTTCTCTTTCTCCTTCCGCTTCCGCTTCAACTGCCCGCTGGTCGAACCCGAGCCATGCACATCGCCCCCACTCCGCTTTGTCCTCTTCTCGTCATTTGGCCTCCGTGACCGTTCCAGCTCCGCGATTCGCACGAGTTCGTCCTGCTTCATCTGCTCGTCGGGGAGAAACTGGACAAAGTCGCGCATGATGTCGGTGTGTTCACGGAACAGGTCCATGATGCGATGAATCAGGTCGTGCTCTTGCGGCCACTTGGCGGAGAGGCATGCGACCGACCACGACTCCATCCCCCGGATGTCCTTGCTCGACCGTTGAGTAGCGAGATCTGCCGTCTCCATGAGTAGCGACAGGAACTGGTTGTAGACTTCGGGCTGATTGGGGTACTTGGATCGGATCTTGGCCATGAACTCAAGGGCGGGCTTCAAAGTCTCCTGCGAAACGGCCGGGACGGAGTCCTGCGCGTACTTCTTCTCGGTCGGAGGTCGGTTGCCGACGCCAGAGTACTTGAATGCGGCGTTGGTCGCTTGCGTGGTGGTGCCAGCAGGAGTGGTGACGGTGATGTAGTTGGGGTCTGCATTGTCGCCGGTTTCGATGCGATAGCCGGCGGGCAAAAAGGTGTTGAACCCCTGGATAAGCGCAGGATGACCGTGAAAGAGGTTTGACACGCGTTCAATGACCCCGGGCGTGTCGATGCTGCGGAAACGAGGATGTAAGGACCAAGTTCATCGAGACGGGACACAAGGAAGAGCAATGAAGTAGCGACTCGAGTCCGCGCCCAGTAATGAGACTGTACCGTGCAACGCAGCGTCTCTTCGATTGCCACCGTTTGGATGCGATGTACCAGTAAAGAACGACTCACTATTGACTCTTGAAATCCTTCATGATATCCAGGAACTTGTTGTAGACCTCCGGCTGCTCCGAGAACTGCGCCTTGACAGAGTCGAGGTAGCTGAGCGCGTCGCTCACGTTTAGTGGCCTGTCGGAGCTTGCTGATTGCTCGGGAGAGCCTGCGGACAGCGGCCCGGGGTCCATGCTGCCATGAGGATCGTGGGGGTTGTCCAGTACGTGGTCGAGGTCGGTCGACACGGGAGGTAGCGGAACGCGGGGTGTAGCCGGCCGACTACGCGTCAGGGGGGTGCCACGGTGGCCTCTGCCGTCCGACAGCAAGGTGTTGTCCTTCTCCATCGCTAGTGACGGAACGCGAGTTGGGAGAGAACTCTGTGGTCGGATTATTTGGTGACAATTGAGAGCACGGAAGGCAACTAAATATACCTGTGTCGAATTCCCCAATCTCTCGCGAGTCAAAGGAGCCGGTGGGGTGGGGAGGAGATGGGTACACGATGGGAGTAGTTGAGCGAAGACGTCGCGGTGGCTGAGGGCAGCGCGATCGCCGCTCCGGCGATGTTACTTGTTACTTTGTCATCGTCACAGATTTACTTCCACGTGATCGGACTGGTCTCTAAATCTACCGGCTGGCAGTAACATCGCCTCTGGCCGAAGTTAAAGTGTAGACGGTTTATATGTATCATGGATCCCTGGCTCTCCTCTCCCTCTCCCTCTCAAAGTCCGTCTCTGACAACTCGCCAGTTAGGACCCCTTGAAGTAGTCAAAGCTCTGCTGTTCTCGTGGTTAAACGCTCAAGTCCAGTCCTTTAAATTGCTTCCGCTGAAGCCTACACTTACAACCCATGAAGATCAACAAACAATATACTCTGTTCTGCTCATGAGTGGATGACGTTCTGTCAGGAACTACGGAACTACGGACGCTCCGTAGTTCTCTAGACCGCTCGAAAGGGCAGTTCCGCCGAGATGCCGACGAGAAAGTGATACCCGAGGATCTCACTGTGGCTGCTGGAATAACAAGCGCCCTAAACTCTTTGGAGGGGTCGGCACCCCCCTCGCAGAGCAAACAAGCCTCCCGAAAAGCTGTAGAGGCCTCCTGAAGGCCTATTTCGGACGGGAGGTAGTGATGTGGACCATTATTGGCGCTGACAAATCGACGACTGGACCTCAACGGACCTCCATGAGGTCTGGCTAAGGGCCTGGTCGGCTGCCCGTGGGATGGGCTGTGGGATGGGCTCGCCTGGGGCCGAGACGGCCGACGGCCCATCCCGAGCCCATCGGGCTTTCGCTGGCATCCGCGTCACTGGGCGTCACCCCGGGTCACTCCCCATCACGAACGGTGACACCGCGCGCTTGCGCAGTTCCGTGGACGGCAATCCACCTCCCTCATGTGTGAACTCCTTCGGCCTGTCCCAACAGCTCATTGGATGCGTGAGAAAATGTGAGCTATGACCTGTAAGGCTGCCCTTATTTCCAGTGTGAATTGTCCCCCTATCGGAGCCTGATGCAACCCCGCCTCTCGCTTAGGTAATCGTGCAGGTATGTGCTCGCTACCGCCTGTACTGTACACTAGTATGTGTTTGCTTCTATGCACCACCATCTACTGTGCATACACTGTGTGTCTGCATGTCTCCAGTGCCCAAAGGAGCTCAAGTGCGACACATCCACCCTGAGCACCCTCCGATCCATCCCGTAAACAGTTCAAGATCACTGCAGAGTGGCAGAGGGCAACCAACAGAGGATTGGGGAGGCAATGTGCCAGGGGAGTTATCAAGCATATCTCCTAATGGTAATCAGGTGGCTTGAATAATAGAGATAGCTCTGGTGAATGAGTGTAGTTGTGACTATTAGAGGGAAACTGTGTGTAAAGACAGAAAATAGAGGGAGGGGAAGGGAGCAAGCAGTAAGCAGAGAGGGGGAGATGGGCATTGCGGGCACGGGGAGCAGGGAAATGGCGTGACGGGAAAAGCGCCCATCAGTATGCCCATCCGCCCACGGCCCGGAGGCGTCCGAGCCCACGGCGGGATGGGCTCGAGGGGCGTCTATCGCGAGCCCACAGCCCATCGTGCTGCGGGATCATTTTGGCGGGGGACCCAGCCCATCCCACGGACAGCCGACCAGGCCCTAAGGTCTCCGCGCGGTGGAGGCACTCCGTTGACGCCGTCTTGACGCCAGAGATGTCTCTCGTCGCTTAGCCTCGCTTAAAGCCCAGGAATTGCATTTACGGGTCTAGTAAGAGCAGTCTAGCTTACGGACCGTCATCCAGTTCCGCATCAAGAGTCGAGCACGCGCACACAGAATGTCAGACATAAAAGGACCTTCTTGTATTCCTATCTACACTGCTTGCAATAAATTACTCCACTATCTCGACAACGTCAGCGTCAAGCTGTACAACCGTAACTGTCATAAAGTTCTCAACACCCTAGTAGGTGGGGAGCCCACGCTTGGCCTGGCCGTTGCGGAACGCCTGGGCGGCACGGTCGTTGGGCTGGGCGTCGCCGAACCCGCAGCCGCCGTCGCGCGTCTGGGCGATGACGGGGCCCGCGCACTTGCCGGACTTGAAGCCACAGCACGAGGAGGCGCAGTCGGCGTCGGACCCGCACGCGCCAGTGATGAACTGGGTGCCGGGGGGCTTGCCACTGCCGGTGCCAGTGGCAGGAGCGGCGGGGGCGGCAGGGGCGGCGGCAGCGGACTGGCCGTTGCGGAATGCCTGGGCGGCGATGTCGTTGGGCTGGGCGTCACCGAACCCGCAACCACCGTCACGCTCCTGGGCGATGACGGGGCCAGCGCACTTGCCGGACTTGAAGCCGCAGCACGAGGAGGCGCAGTCGGCGTCGGAAGAGCAAGGGCCAGTGATGAACTGGGTGCCAGCCGGAACGCGGGGGATGAAGGATGCCGCGGCGACTGGAAGATATGTTAGGCAAAGCACCAATTTGACGAAATAAAGAACTCACTGTTAACGAGAGCAAGAGCGATGATGACGGAGAACTTCATGATTGAAGGAGTGTGGGGTTCTGCGTGGAAGGAACATCATTAGCATGCAGTCGAAACCAGGGAGCACAGAAAAGGCTCACGTTAGGGAGAGATGTCGTGTAAGAACTCGTCAAAAGGAAATGGAGTGGCAAGCAGGAGACCAGGCACAGCCTGTTAGAACAAGAGAAGGTTGGGGAGAAGGGGAATGAGGACTTCTGGCGGAGGGATTGCGGCCTTTTATACAGCGCGGGCGCACATGGACCACAAGGGACCACGCCGGGCGGCACGGTTCCACATGATCCGCCAGCGGACATGACGCGCTCGGCAAGGCCTCCTCCGCGCTTGACTCGGGGCGATGCGATCAGTAACGAGGGTGAGAGAGAAGGGTTTCGGCCTGTTTAGGCTCACGATGTGATCTCCAACTCTGGGGAGCTGTCCGCATGCACCTGAGAACAAAGTCCGGTGCCCGTCGAGCTGGCCTCAAAGCAACATCGCCTGCTTGAGAACAACCCGCCTCCGAACAACAAGGGGAAAAAATAAGCTCAGGGAAGCGAGATACGGTTGCACCCACTTGCGGCTAGCGCTATCATCATTTGCGATGGGCTCCCGGACCGGGTCCGACTGGGCTCCGACGGAAGATGTCGATGATGCCGAGCAGGTGAAGCAGTCCCAAGGCGGGGAGTCTGCCCGACGTCCCAGCCTTGTGGCGATCCGCTGCATAGTTGGCGCGTGTTGGCGCTGCCCCAGAGCAAATAATCAACGCTAAAGCCCGTCTTGTATCACCGTGCAACGCCTGCAAAAAGCTCTACCATGTTTTTGGATCATGATGACTGACGGCCACATCACTACTTCCGGCGACGCCCACATGCGGGAGCGCCTTCGCGCTGTCCGAGAACATGCAAGGCCGCCGGTGCGACAGCGACAAAGGAGGGTTTCGCTTCACGATCGGCCACGACTTGACCACTGCTAAATGGCAGATATGTTTGGCGCTGCATTGTTTTGTCGTGAAAACGACACCCGCGCCTCGAAGATACATCATCTATCCAAGGGGTGCCTCGTGACAGACCCAAGGGGAGGCTTGGCACTATGATCACGGATTAGATTCAAGGGGATTCGAGCTGAGTGTCCGAACAGGCAGAAGCCGATGGGTCTCCTGGACACGGTCGCCGTTGAACCTGTGTATCCGCTATACAGGCAGGCCGCAGGATTTCCTTGGCAATTCGCAGCAAGATGCGCTCGCCCAACGCACCCTGCGCGGCGCATCTTTCGGCGCGGACTGTGCGGTCCAATCCAGTGTCCGAGCTTTCCCGAGCGCTGAGAGCGTGCGGTGCCCCCGACGACTGCCGCGCGCACCACCTCCCCCATCTCCTTCCATCCACGCGGAGGCGGCGCACCATGAAATGATCCGAATTGTGGCATCGATGTGCACGAGTCTCGAGATCTTGAGACCGTGGTGGTGCGCGCGGCAGGCCCGTAGAGGCACTGATCATCAGAGAACTGCCTGGAAACGTCGGTGAAGGCCGCCGTGAATACTTGAAGATCCCCGGTTGCGGAGGAGTGTGTCTGACATATGAAACCTCAGCCACAAAACTTGACAGGAGCCTATTGCGATACACTCGTTACGAGACGAACAACCTGAGACATTAGAGAGTACTCACGGAGGCCTTGAAAGTCTTGTATGGCAGGTGTTCGAATAGTGGCACTGTACGTAGACGCCATCGCAGCTCACTCCAGAAGAACCGCGCCTCTTGTGCCAGATGGAGTAACACGAGATGACATACAGGTCGGTTTCTCAGATTCGGATATGTGACGATCAACAGGGGTTGCCATCTATCGCTGATGGGTTGCAAGCACTTGCTGGTAGGCAGACCTCCCACTTGAAACTTACTGGAGCTTGTAAACTGTTGCAGTAGAACCTTAGCTCACGAAGGACGCAGGCTTTTAAGATATGCTTGCTGAAATGCTGTGTGCAGTTTCAATGCTCACCGTGAGCATACATATATCGAACTGTGAAAGACAGCGACTTAGGTACAATTAGTTCATGTGTTCAGTCAACACGTGTAACTTGCGTTGCGAGTTTAGGTATATATAGAGCAGAGACGAAGGCTCAACGCACCTCTGGGGGACCACGTGCAGTCGCTGTATGGAACTCCTGATAGCCTTTCGTGCATTGGTCAACAGGTAGCAACCTTTCGAGATCTAGACTTGGGATATCCAGCACATAAAGCACAGAGTCATCCCTCAACTGCAGTCGATTACGGTGGAAGGATAGGCTTTTTTACTTGCTGATATGGCCCCTCAGGCAGATATCACTACAACTCGAGTCAGCGATTCGTTCCCAAAAGCGCTCAGGTAGGATAACAACATACCGAATTACCATAGGGCTCGGCCCTGAAGGGCGTTAAACGGGAATACAACAACAACAACATACCGAATGCACCGTCCGGTAAGCGAACTCAAAATCAAAGAGAAGCGCATAAGCACCTTTGAAGAGTTGATAGCGGTCGCGAGCCAAAGCTACGAGTTGTAGACCTGAAGGCCTGACAAGTTACATGGACGAGGTTGGTGCGAAAGTGAAAACCAGCGCTTCTCGTCCGAACGCCGTCCGCGTCGACCTGGACGCCATCTTCCCACCACCGCTGTCGCTGCATCCACTTCAACCGTCCAGCCACTCACTCACCTCTCACCTCTCTCGCCTTTCGCGCCCTTTGAGCCCTGTTTCCGCCTGCCACAGCCATGTCTCGCCGTGCCGCACTCGTAGAAGAGGAGTTCGACGACGACACCGACCTCCCTCTTCCCAGCCAACCCCTCCCCAACACTGGCACGCGCGGGGCGATCCTCGAGCGCCTCGGTTCTGATACAGACGACGACGAAGATGATGATGAGGACGACGATGAGGACGGCGCCCCCATGCTCCGGGGACCCACCGCCGGCCCCGCGTCGCCGTCTTTGCCCCAGTTCCGCGGCGCAGACGGCGCGCACCAGGTCACCGACATCACCCCATACAAGAAGTACGTCTTGCCCCTGCTTGTGTCCATTACGTTAAAAATCCCCGGCTGTCCGCGTTCATGTGCGTGCTGACCCGACCCGCGATCTAGGTGGACGTGCATCTACCCGATCTACATCGACGCGAAGCGGCCGTGCGGGCGGGGCGAGCGGCGGATCGCGCGCGCGAAGAGCGTGTGGTGGCCGCTCAGCAAGGACATCGCGGACGCGACGAACCGGCTCGGGCTCGGGACGCTGCACGAGGTGCACAAGGCGCACCCGCGCGACTGGGAGAACCCGGGGCGGGTGCGCGTGCAGTGGAAGAAAGACGGCAAGCTCGTGAACCCGGCGATCAAGAGCAGTACGTCCACGTCCTTCCGTTGCCCGTCCTTCCCTCTTTCCTTGCCCGGTGCTCCTTGGGGATGCTGTCGTGCTCGGTTGGTGGTGTTGCGTGCCTCCGACGGCTGGCGGGGTGCGATCTCGTGTTGGGCGAGTGCTGCTGGACTTATTCTCGTTTGCGGCCACAGAGAAGCAGTTGCTGGAGATGATCTCGGTCCAGATCCAGATGCTGAAGCCGGACACCATCCCCAAGCCCCCATACGGTACCGACCTGGTCCCACAGGCGGAGGAGCCCCCCGCTCCTGCGACCCCGGTGAAGGGCAAGCAGCCCGCGCCCGCGAAGAAGTCAGCGTCGGTGTCAAATACCACCATCTCACCATCCCCTGCGGGGTTGAAACGGAGACAAAAGGTGCCGTCGCCCCCGCAGCCGTGGCCACAGTTGACGAGCCGCGTGTCCCCGTATTCGCCTGCGCTCCCGTCTGGGGTGCTCATCGACACGGTGAAGGCGGGCATGACCGCGCAAGAGGCGGCACCGGCGGCGGGTGGTGCTGCAGCAGGTGGGAAGGGGAAACGGAAAGTGATACGCGTTCGAGGATAAGGAGGTTGTTGTGGGCAGGAGCTGGACGTCATATCCGCGGCCTACGGAGTGGATCCGGAGTTGTGCGTATGTACGTTATAGAATCGTCCAATAAATGTAATGTCCCAGCTACCACGAGATGGCTGAACCCATTGTTTCATGAAGGCACCCGAAGTCAGGGCAAAGGCACCGCAGACAGTTGGCTCGATGCATGGTCTTGGGCTGACTGTCAATAATTCATTCTTACTTCGCTTTCATCGCACGCGTTATGAGTCAAGCTCGAGGCTGCGCCCGTCCAACCAATACATTCTTATTGCGCACACTCTCTACGAATGGCCTCGATTAACCTGAGTCAGTGGGACGCAGACATCAAAAACGGGATGTGGCCACACCAGGTGCTAGTGTTATCGTTCGCAAAGCTGCTCCGTGCCGAGACGGCTCGCCGTGAGACATGCAATGGCCGTTGCAGTCCATCGATGGCCGTCGGGCGCATATCCGATGCACCCATCTTGTTTTCTTACCCCCACCATGCCCACATCCTCCTCCTCGTTGTCGCTGTTGACGAGGGTGAGGCTGAGTGCGGCCCGCTCGCGTGCGCGCGACCACTTCGGCGGGCGATCCGTGCTTGCCGACCCCCGAACCTTCCTCGGGCCTCTCATCCAGCCGCCCGCTTTCCTCTGCCTCGGTGCCATGATCTGTCCACCCCTTCGCCTTCATCTACGCCTTGTCTTACAATGGCCGCGGTCCTGTGCACCCTCTCAAACCACGCCAGTCCCGTCCTCCCTGCTCTCGAACCAAACAGCCGGCGTTCGATAACATCTGAGAAGCAACCCCGCTCCACTCAGGCCGCCGAATGTCCGTGCTCTCTCGCACGGACTTGCCGCATACAGTCAACTCACCGGCCCAGCAACCCACCCCAAATCGCAAGCCAACATGGGCGAAGGACGGCGACGTAACTGGGGTGGCCATACCGCACGGCATATAACCCTACGCGCACGGTCCACGCTCGAGCTCTTGTCTCGTCCAACTTCCCATCCGATGGCGGCTGTCTGGCAACTCTGCAGGCGCTGTGCGTCTTCCGCTTCGCGTTACTAGACCACCCGACGCTTCTCCGGTCCGGGATTGTCGCCGGCGGCTTCGCTCTGCGGACTTGTCTCGCTGAGAAGCTGGGCTCGCGGCCACGCACGGCACACCCCTCGCCCGGCGATCCCGTTCTGGTTTGCGCCTTTGCGGGACGAAATCCAGTGGAGGCTAGGGGTGCGGGGTGAGAAGAGGAGTCAGTTCTTTCAATGGGTTGGAGCACGGTCGAGAATGCCAGAGTGTTCCCCGCTGTTCGTGAGAGCTCTTCTATTGCCCGTTTTCGTCGCATCGCTGATCCCGTACTTATACATAGCATACAGTCACCTTTCTGTTGGGCGCAGGCACGTATAGCCGTCGGCTAATTCAGACGGAGGGTCTGCCTTTGCGTTGATCACGATCGTCGCGGGATCCTCGTGGTCTTGAGGAGCCACACATTTCCTTCCCTGTTGCTTTCACACCAAGCGGGACTGCAGTATGTAGCCTGTGAGTCGTCTTCTTCGCTAATGCATGTAATCATGCTTATTAGGTCCAGTCACATAGCACTTCATATGCGAATGCATTACGTCACACCTCACTGCGCCCGTTGTTGTCGTGCATAGGTGTGCGTGAAGGTTCGCTGAGGTCTTGTGGTTTTCGCGCCAGGATACGGGCATATCCTTGCATGCTACCAATGGTTGTATGCACTCGCAGTTGTTCTGCAGCGGCTGCACGGCTGCGCCGAAAGGCGACTAACGTTGCCCAATGGGGGCTGAAGTGGAAATCTTCAGTCCGCATTGGGCGTATCAGAAGGTGACAGGTCCGCAATGCAGTCGTCATTTACGTCCTTCGCCCGTCGTCCCACCCCGAAGACTCACTGGTGACACGTCAGTGACACCTCCTGGAACGAGGGGCCCGGGATCCGAGCGTAGTCCTGGTGGTCTCCAACACACGCCGACGAGGTGCGTTGGTTGTCGTGTCCTTTCCACATTTCTTGACTTCTTTTCTCTTGCGGTCTAGAACTGCGCAGGCGCCATCGTGGTCCGCTCCGTTCCCGCCATTTGAATGGGCGTCGGGTGAACTCGGAAAGACCGGGCGGGGGCATCTGATGTCAAGTATGACATGGATGACGCCTGGACGTGACCGCGGCCTGCTCCCATGAACGAGTACATTCTCCGGATGTCCGGTGCGCTGTTGTGCAATGTTTTCCCCCTTCCCCCGGCGATCGCCGTCAACCTTTTGGGCTGCGCTCAATCCCTGGCTGTGCACACTTGCCTCTTTGGGTACAGGCCAGCAGATTCTTGCAGCTCCTCGCCCAAAACGCTCCATCGACCGCCTACAGATGCATTACTACAAAGCCTCGCCCCCTCGCCCCGCCCCGGACCACCTCCGCCCGCTACCCTGCTCTCCCGCACTCGCACTCACTCTCGTGCATCTGCGGCAGACCTTCCCGTCCTGGCCCCGTCTACGCGCTTTCCACCATGATCGCCAAAATCCTTTCCAACGACCCGGAACCCGTCGTCCTCCACGAAGGCCTCGGAACTATCTTCACGGGCGTCGTTCACCCAGTCTCGACTCTCGAAGCCCCTGTTCATCAGTATCTCGGTATCAAGTACGCTTCAATACCCGCCCGCTTTCGTCAATCTACGCTATGCAAATTATACCCTCCCCAAACTGACTGCTCGCACTACGGGTACGCGTCACGCGACATGTATCTCTGGTATTAGCCACTGACTGTATCTCGTTAGACCGATTTGTCCGCAACCAAACTACAAAACCGTCGAGGAAGAGCTCTTCAATCTGAAGGAGGACTGCCTCCCCGACCAGCGTCTCACGCATTCCGAGTTCGAGTGCCTCAACCTTAATATCACTTGCCCCGCCGATGCAAATGCCGACTCCCGCTTGCCTGTGATGCTTTGGATACATGGGTTCGTCATCTTGCCTCATTGTTTCCTGCGGCCTTGAGCTCACGGGTGTTGTCGTCAGTGGCGGGAATCGCGGTTCGGGCTCAAACTGGGTGTACGACGCTGGTCCGCTTGTTCAGAAGGGCATCCAATTTGGCAAGCCTGTTGTCGTGGTGTCCATCAAGTACGTCTTCCTCTGCTATGCTTCTCGTTTGTGTTACGTCCTCCTCTCCGGAGGCTGAGACTCTATGTCTAGCTTCCGCCTCGGCCTCCTTGGGTTCGCGGCGAGCCCAGCCTTGTTGGCGGACAACCAGGCTGCTGGTGACGAAGGTGTGGGAAACTACGGTAAGCCGGACGCATTCTTCTCTCACTCCACTGGCTAAGTTCCGGGGGTCCAGGCCTTCGTGACCAGCGTCGTGCCATGGAATGGGTGCATCGTTTCATCGGACCTTTCGGCGGCGATCCCAACAACATCACGCTGTTCGGCGAGTCTACCGGCGCTGGCGACATCCTCTGCCACCTGCACTCTGCTGCTAACGAGAAGGCCCCGCTCTTCCAGCGCTCTATCATTCAAAGTCTAATCGTCGACTTGGATGTCCCCACTGTCCACTCTGCTGGCTGGCAACTCAACAGGACGCTGTCGACCGTTCGCATCAACTCCCTCGAGGACATGCGACAAGCCGACCCGGAGAAGCTTGTGGTCCTCGGCGAAAGTGTTCGTGCTATCAACGACGGAGTCTTCTTCAAGTCCTCTTTCACCGGCTCTCTTGTTCCCGAAGATTACGCCGCGCCTGCGGATTCCGAAACGCTTCCGGGACACAACGAGGTCGGCGGGCAGTCACATCACCTCAAGGTACCCTCAAGTATCAAGGCCTATCGGATGCGTTCGCGTTCACGCCCTCGGCTCCCGCATCCCTCACAGTATCACCAGCCCATCCTCATTGGCGACTGTGGTGCCGAGTCCCTTCTATGGTCCCAGCCCGCTTCGCGTTGGGGTGCAACGGGCGCGGTGAAACGCATTCGCGCGATCTGCCAGTCGCTCAACAAGGCAAGCACGCTCCTCCGCATGTACGACATCAGCGCGGCGACGCCTGCCGACGAGCTCGCGGACCGCATCCTCGAGCTCATCAACGACGCACGCTTCGCGTGGCCGACCGAACTCGTTGCCTCAGGCCTTGCGGCCACGCGGGGTGGACAAGGCGTGTGGCGGTACGTCTTCGACCAGGAGGGGCCCTCGCGCGGAGTACCGCACCACGCGGTGGACCTCATGTATCTCTTCGACAATGTCCCCCTCCCGGAACTGCCTACTTCCTCGTACGACCGCAATTCGGAGTTTCGGGAAGACGGCGGATACTTCTCGGACGACGACAACTCACTCGACTCATCGCCCTCATCGCCTGCGTCTGACTCCTCCGGCTCGGACTGCTCCCCGAAAGCGCCGCGCGACCTCTCCGACCCGCAGACGTACACCTACGACGCGGAATGGGCGCTGCCGGTCGTCGACGACTGGACATACGCGCGTGTGCGCGCAGCCATCCAGGAGCGGTGGCTGGCATTCGCGTATGGGGAAGCGCCGTGGCGCGCGGACCGCGTTTTCGTCTTCGGGCCTGAGGGCGAGACCGGCGAGCGCAGCTCGAAGATCTTCCGCGCCCGTCGGCGCGTCGGTGTCTGGCGCGAAGCCCTGGCACCACTTGGGCTCGCGGTCGTACAGAAGCTCGGGCAGGAGCTGTGCAATGGGCCTCCTGCGGAAACGAGGACGTCGAGGTGGTGATCGCCGTGACGGGCCCTCTATGTTCCGGCCCGTGTTTCTCCTTATGTTTTATCTGGGTTTTGAGGAACGCTTTGCATGCTGCATCTGATCTAATCCACACATGTATCACGTACTATCTCTATGTCGCCCTAGTGCTGTCGGCGGTTGCTCGTCGCCTTTGTTGTCAACTATGTTATTTTTGTGTAATGCTATACCGGAGCCATTCGCCCCTACCTGATACGACACCGCGCCGTTCTATTCCATGCACACTGCAAGCATTGTGGACGCGCAAGAAGGGCGCTACGCTTGCATGAGCGCGGTTTCCTTCCCTAGGATGTGTATCCAAATGAAGGGTGCACGCCGACGTGCTCGCTCCTGCGCACATTCGCTTCCATCCATCTATGCAAGCATGGCTGCCTCCCGCCGGACTCGCCACGGAGATGTTGGGGTCCCTCGCGGGTGTCGTGGCCGCGAACGTTTGACCTGAGTACGTGTACCGCATCGGTTCCGGGCACGCCGCAAGCTCGTCTTGAGCTGCAGCGCGCGTGACCTGCCAGTCTCGACTTTCGTGCCAGGCACAATCCGTCCTCATCGCGCAGAGAGGTCGTGCGCCCATCGGATCGTACGAAACTTTCCCCTCCGATTCGCCGGGCAAAGGGCCATGTGGGGGCAGACTTGCGTACGAGCCTGCGTCAACTTAGTTACACATCGTCGTGTCTCTGCTCGGAATACTGCTCGAATCTGGACATGATCCATGCATAGACGACGTTTGCACTGAACGCCTGCGCACCGAGGACCGAGCTACGCGGTCGGTGCACGGCGCTGGCGGGGAATCGGCGGAACGATGGGATGGTGCGAGCAAGGCCTCAAGCGATCGAGTCAAGACGCGCCGCACGTGACCTATTCCGGGCTGTCGAATCAGTCAAAGTGGGCCAATAAGTGACTTGCTTTATAGCACCAGCGCCGCCGAATTTTTCCAATGCTCCGTCTCCTCTCTCGCCCCATTCGCTCCCCTGCGCTCCCCCGCATCGCCCCACTGTACAGAACGATGGCCAGCACACCCGCATACGTGAGTTTTCTTTTCTGCGCGCGGTGGCGACCGATACTGATGAGCATGTACAGAACAAGGTGCTCTATGCTCCCCTCGCGGAGATCGACCCCGAGGTGCAGAACATCATCGACAAGGAGACCTGGCGGCAGTTCTCTGGGCTCGAGCTCATCGCGTCCGAGGTGCGCCGCGCTGCATGCTCGTTGAGCTCATGCGTGCTTGCGAAGCTTATCTCTGCCCGTTTGCGCAGAACCTGACGTCCCGGGCAACGATGGAGGCCAACGGCTCGATCCTGACCAACAAGTACTCGGAAGGTCTCCCCAACGCGCGCTACTATGGCGGCAACGAGTACGTCGACGAGCTCGAGATTCTCTGCCAGAAGCGTGCCCTCCAGGCGTTCCACCTCGACCCCGCTCAGTGGGGGGTGAACGTGCAGCCTTACTCCGGCAGTGTACGTAACCCGCCTCACCCACCTCGTACGACGCCGCTAACGCCGCATGTATCGCTTACAGACTGCAAAGTGCGTTGGCTTTCTTGTTCGGCCTCGCGCGCGTAGGGATACTGACGGGACGCGTTGTATGCAGCTTCGCCGCGCTCACTGCGCTCATCCAGCCCCAGGACCGTCTTATGGGCCTTGGCCTCCCAGATGGTGGCCACTTGACGCATGGGTACTACGTATGTGTCATTTCTCTTTTCCGTGCGCTGTCTTGTCTGTCACGCGGTACACTGCTGGGTCGAGTAGAGGCGTTGCGGACCATGTTTCCGGGACTCCGTGTCTTCCGCAGTGACGCGTTCCGCAATGAAGTCACGTGAATGTCTCAGTCTTACATTCACGATGAGGTCTTGTCATTATATTCTTCCACCTTCTATCATGCGGCGTGATATCAGGGTCTTTACTGACTATGGACTCGGTACAGACCGCGAAGAAGAAGATGACCGCGTCGTCCATCTACTTCCAGTCGCTTCCTTATGGCTTGGACCCTGCGACTCAGCTCATCGACTACCCCGGTGTCAAGTCGCTGGCAAAGATTTACAAGCCGCGTCTTCTCATCTGCGGTGCCTCTGCTTACCCCCGTGACTGGGACTACAAGACGCTCCGCGAGATCGCTGACGAGCACGGCGCGTACCTGATGGCGGACATTGCACACACCTCCGGCCTCGTCGCCGCGGGTGAGCTCGCGGACCCCTTCCAGTACTGTGATGTCGTCACTACGACAACCCACAAGACGCTCCGCGGTCCTCGTGCAGGTCTGATCTTTTTCAGGAAGGACACCGAGAGGACGAAGGATCTCGAGAAGCGCGTCAACGATGCGGTATTCCCCGCGTGTCAGGGCGGTCCCCACAACAACGTATGTATATGCTCCACTCCCTCATCATCAATCACCCTGAGGGAATGCTTCGCAGACCATTGCCGGTATCGCGACGGCCCTCCATCAAGCGTGCCAGCCCACATGGAAGGAATACGCGAAGCAGGTCATCGCGAACGCCTCGACGCTCGGCTCCGAGCTCGTGAACTACGGCTACAAGCTCCAGACCTCAGGAACGGACAACCACCTCGTGCTCTGGGACCTTCGCCCGCTCCGTCTGACCGGGAGCAAGCTCGAGAAGCTTTGCGATCTTGTTGGCATCACCATCAATAGTGGGTCATGCTGTTCACTGTCTTACTCCCACCCCGCTGATCATTGCCGGTTTTGCTCAGAAAACGCAGTGTCTGGTGACGCGTCCGCACAGGTGCCGGGCGGTATCCGGCTGGGTACGTCGGCGCTCACGTCGCGCGACATGACGGAGGAGGACATGAAGGTGGTCGCTTCCTTCCTGCACCGCGCGGTGCAGCTCGCGGACGTGCTCCAGAAGGAGGCTGGCTCGAAGTTGCTCAAGGACTTCGTCCGGGTGGCGACCACGCCCGAGGAGGGCAAGGTCGGCGCGGCGCAGGTCAAGGCACTTGGCGGCGAGGTGCGCGAGTTCGCGCGCAAGTGGCCGCTGCCGGGTGTCGACGTCTCGACGCTCGTCCGCCCCGCTGGGATCGAGGAGGACTAGGCGTGCAGCGTGGGCGCATGTTGGGTTGGGGAAATCATTTGTATCATAATCATCCACGTTTAGAGGACTGCTGAGGTAAAACGGGCGCGGGCGTTCAACAGCACCCCGCCCTCCCAGACGTTCAACATCTCTGGGGCGCTGCTCTTGCATTGTATTAGTAGATTCCACTCTATCACGCACGGTCTCGCAGCACACTTGTACATTTTTGCATGCGTCCGACGTCGCAACAACGATCTTTTTACGTTGCCCGTCAGACAGATCGTGCTACCGAAGTGCTAGTGCCCTGGGTACCGGTAATAGAGCTGTTTGGAAATGCACTATAGTGCACGAACCTGACGCCACTTCGGTGTCTCCACCACTCCACGGCATGTCGGCCCGCTGGCCAAACACCCGCGAACAGTCGCATGGAGCAAGGACTCCAACGCGCCAACTCACGATTACTACGGTGCACTATCGTAACTTTCCAAACAGCTCTAATGAGCGCTGAGCGCTGAGCGTTGAGCGAGCCTTCTTCGTAGACTGCAAAGATTGCGGACCTTGAGGCTTGTCAAACTTCTTTTGTACGTGATAGTCCGCTGGCCAATCACTCTCGGGCGTGACCGTTGGTTTTGGGGTGCCGTTGGAAGAGGTTGGAGGCGCCTAAGATCTGGCGCTTCTCTCGGATCGGAAGTTTGCGGGACACGTGCGGCGGGACAGGCGACGGTGAGCTCGCAGGCGCGGACGGCCTCCCCACCTCTGCTCATCCTCCCTCTTCGTCTCGCACGCCGGGTCGCGCCTTCCTCACATCATGCACGCCTCACTCATTCGCCGCCAACTCGGCGGTCTCGTCCCGCCCAAAGTCGCCACGCCGTCTATGCTCGTGAGTCTGAAAACGTCGTCGCGCTGGCAGCCCTGCTTTGGCCCGCCCGTAACCTCTCTCTGACGAACGGCGCGGTCCGACAGTCGTCAGGCTCCGGCGCCGGGCTCGCCCCGCTCGTGAACTTCTACTCAAAGCTGCCCAAGGGCTCCTCGGCGACGAGCGCGTCCGGAGGCATCAAGGCGCGGTTCTTCAACGGCAAGAACGCGTCGGGCAAGCCGCTCCTCGGCCTCATCCTCGGCCTCTTTGGCATCGGGTACACGATCGACTACCAGAGTGCGTACCGTCTTGCCGTCGTCCGCACGCGTGCGCGTTCAGGGGAGGGTGCTGACGGGTCTGCGTACTGTGCGGGGTTGGGTGTCTGCGGTTTTTGCGGGTTTAGTGCACCTCAGTGAGTGTCGATCTTCCCTGGGCGGTCAGAGCGGGAGAACTGATTGGATGTGCGCGCGTTGCAGAGCACCACAAGAACCACGCCCACTAGAGGTCGGTGTGTGCGTCGCGACTCAGTGCGGATGGAGGGGGGGTAGACATAGATGGACGCTGTGTAGGACGGATGAAGTCACCTTGCCCATCGCCCATCCCCGTTCGTGCACCGTGTCGGATTACGACGTACGTCCAGATCAAGGCCAATACTTGAAACTTGAAGCGGAGGCACCCCCCGTTTCGTGCAGGGGTATTTATAACACCACAGCGCCGAGTGGCGGTCACCTCTCACTCTGAATCAGCTCCAAAACCGTTTGTATGCGTGCGTTATTGTGGCACCGCAGGATTCCGAAGATCAAACGTAAGTATGGGCCGTTTGCAAGGCACTCAGTCGTGATTGACCTGCTGTGCAGTTTGCACAGGGAAACTGGCGCCATAGCGGCGCCACTGCCTCGCTCACCGAGCACACGCATCAAGTGGATCTTTCGGCACTTGCGTTCATCATCACACGGGACGGTCGCTGCAGCCTCAAATTGAAGCTGATGGTGGCCAGCGCTCCGTGACAGTAGCCAGGTGGGCATGCACATCTGAAATGGCGATCTGGAGTTTGAACGGCGCCCCGTCGTTCTTGGTGCAGGAAGCCGCTACGAGGGAGCGGTCGCACGTTTCGAAGGAGCGTTCAAGGTACGAGGAAAACCCGGAGTCGGAAAAATTCCATAAGGGTGTAACGGTGGCGGCGTGGGCCCGATGCCAAACGTGTACGTGCACCTGCGCTGGCCGCATCCTCATCCGCTCTGCACCGCACCCCACCACGGCCGACACCACCGGTGGGGTGCGGTGCAGAGCGGATAGGGACGGGACCAGGCCCCACCAGCTCCACAGAGATGTCGGTGCTCGACAACGGGGCTGGCAACGCCCCCACGCCCTGTCGCTACTGCGCATTCCCGCCCACACGATCGCCATTTGTTCGCAGGAAGCCACCCCAGATGCGACTTTCGCGACGAGGCATATAAGTCCCCTCCCCGCCCTCCACCAGCCAGAACATCTCCTTGTTCCCATCCCACATCTTCGAGCCCGGTGCTCCTTCCACGACCACTTCCTCGTTTTTCGTTCATTTCTTCGTCCGCTATACTCGACGCTTTCCTTCCAAGAGTCCTTCAGGAACACATTCTTTCCCCCACACTCTCGTTGATCGACACGCCCACGCTTAGTCATCCATCATGTTCTCCTCCTCCAAGCTCACCGCCTTCGCCATCCTCGCCATCGCGTCCGTCGCGCGCGCTGCCCCCGCCGACTTCCAAAAGCAAAACGCGCTCGACGCTCAGAAGCTCAACGTCCAGTTTGCTTCCCTCACCGCGACCTCGAGCTGCACCGGTTCGTGTCATTCACGATTTCCTTTCCTATCGATTCTAACCACCGTTCTCCTCGATTCAGGCAGCGACCAGGCTTGCGTCCAGGGCAACTTCGCCCAGTGCGTGGACGGCGCCTTCAAGGTCTCCGAGTGCACCGCGGGCACGTCGTGCTTCGCCCTCCCGCTCGTCAACAAGGCCGGCACGAGTCTCACGTGCGACACCGCGGCCGACGCCGCCGCGCGCATGACCGCCGCGGGCGTGTCTGGCGGCGTCGATGGCAAGGGCGGCGACGGCGCTGCGTCGGGCTCGGCCGCGGCCACCGACTCTGCGGCGGCCACCGACTCGGCCGCTGCCACCGACACTGGCTCGGTCACTGGCACCGCGATCACCTCCTCCCTTGCCACCGACACAGCGGCAGCCACCGACTCTGTCGCGGCCACCGATTCCATTGCCACCGACACAGCCGCTGCCACGGACTCCCTGGCCACGGACTCTGCCGCCGCCACTGGCACCGCGGCGGCCACGGACTCCCTGGCCACCGACTCTGCCGCCGCGACCGACACCGCGGCTGCCACCGATTCCGCGGCCGCGACCGACACTGCGGCTGCCACTGGCACCGCGGCGGCCACCGACTCCGCCGCGACCTCTACCGCGACTGGCAAGAAGCACACCAAAGGTGCTAAGGGCGCGAAGCCTGCGAAGGGCGCAAAGGGTGCCAAGGGCGCGAAAGGTGCGAAGGGCGGCAAGAAGGGCAGTAACACCAGCGCTGCAGCGAGCGATTCAGCGGCAGCCACGGGCACCGCGGCGGCTACCGACTCCGCAGCGGCCACCGACTCTGCAGCGGCCACCGACTCTGCAGCGGCTACCGACTCCGCAGCGGCCACCGACTCTGCAGCAGCCACCGACTCCGCCGCGGCCACCGACTCTGTGGCACCCAATGCCGCTGCGACTGGCGCCCCGACCGTCACAGTCACGGTGACCGTCTCGGCTGGCGCGGGTGCGACCGACACCGCTGCCGCGACCGACTCTGCGGCGGGCACCGACGCCGCTGCGACCGGTGTCGCTACGGACTCCGCCGCCGCGACTGGTGTCGCTTCCTCTGACGCCGCCTCCGCGACGGACGACACTGGTGCCGAGCGCCGCCGCGGCCTGCGTTTCGTGCGCCGCCGCCTCTAAGCGTGTTGTGGACGGTAGAGTAGCTGGGCACGGCGGACGGACGGGGAGGATGGATATGGACATGGACACACGCACATACTATGCACACTGCGTGACTCGCGGACATTGCCAGCAGGCTGCGCGAGGCGCACGGGCTGCTATCGATCACCTCTACCGTTAGTTTATGGCGCTCCGAAGTGCTCTGGCGCGTCCTTGCTACCTTCCTGTAGCTTATAGCTTTTCGAACGAATGCACGTCTCCTTGCGAGGGGTGGTTATTCATACACGTATCGCGTGAATTGGGCCTTTGTTTTGCCGAGGATGCTGTTTCTGGCGTCCGTGCATGGTATGAGGCTGCCAGCCGAATTTGAATGGCGTTGATGGAAAGTCTATGGAACAACACGGACACAGTGGTGAAGATAGAGAGTATGGCCTTAATATGGCGGCGATCCAGTAAGTGGAAATGGCAGATTTCAGTCAGTCTGGGTTCGCTCGTGCTCCAGCGTTCGTGCCGGTTCATACACCGAGCCGAGCTTATCCGTGGTGATCGTCGCTGTGCACGTGATGAGAGCCACTTGTTCGTAGCATTATTATCTCGGTTTGAGCGAAGATGTTTTTGGCCAAACGGCGGTAGGAGCGCACAATGCGGCTGCGAGGACAATGGAGAGAATGCGAATGGGCGATGAATGGGCGTCGAGTCGTGGGAAGACGACGCGAAGCCACAGATGTGGGAAATCGGAAGAAGCGTGCCGTTCCTGAGGCGGAATCCGTCCAAGCGCGAGATGGTCCATCGTCAAAGCCCTTACCACTCCCCTCCACACCCCCACCGCTCGCCGTCGCCTGCGACGACGTGGCCGCCACGTCGGCTCTGTCCGCGCCTTTACCTCCGCTCTCTTCTTCTCTGCTATACTGCGCCTCTTTGCCTGATTTGCACTTCACCTGTGCCCCCCGCTGCGCATCTGCTATAATAATCGCTTGCCGCACTTTCCCGCCGCTCTCTCGCACCCCAAGCCATGATCAAGGGCAAGAGCAAACCGACGCCCCAGGACCTCTACTGGGAACGCAAGCGACGCGAGGAGGACGAGAAAGACATCATGCTCCCGCCCGGACTCATCAACCACGGCAACACATGCTTCATGAACTCGACTCTCCAGGGCGTACGTCCATCTCCCCTCCCACCTCTCCGTTTGCGCACGGCTGCTCACCGCCATCGAACACAGCTCATCGCTACGCCCGCACTGCGCGATCTCGTGTACTTCCACGACCTCCCTGCATTCATGCAACCCGCCCAGGGCCCGTCCGTGTTGGCGCGGAGATCGCCCCAGCTCACCAACGGCCACGGCCTCGGTGGCCCCAACGAGCTCGAACGGACGGATGGCATGCCGCTCGGCGACATCTTTGTCACTGTTTTGCAGAAGGCGTGGACCATCCAGGACGCGAGAAGGAAAGAGAGCATGAGCCCGAAGTAAGTGATTGACACTTGCGTTGTCCCCCGTCCCCCCTACTCGCACTGTATGATGCCGAGGTGGCTGCCATCACCCATTGCTCTGCCTCGCTAGCCAATGCGCTCAAATGACATAGTACTGATCACCGTACTGTTTTCAGGGAGATTCTGACGACGATTGGACGTAAGTATGACCAATACCTCGACTTCCGGCAGCAGGACGCGCACGAGTTCCTACGGCACATGCTAGACGCCATGCGCATGGAAGAGCTGGATGTGAGTGTCTCTTGTCATTTGCGATTGTGGCGTGGTCATGGCGCCCTGCTCCGGCCCGCCCTGGCTCATCTCTGGCTGCTTCTGGGCGGACGTCGGGGAAATTACGCGCATACACGGCTTCCGAGAGCGCTGTATGCGCTGTTTCGGCCCGACTTTGTCAGGACCGTTGCAATAGTTTGATCATGCTCTCCTGTGGACAATATGCTGACGGGTATGCCAGATAATCAAGAAACGTCAGCCTCCTCCACCGAAGACCAAAGGGAAGCGCAAGCATCTCGATAACGATGTATCGCCTTCATCTTCCCCATTGCCTGTCGCCGTTACATCCTCCCCATCCGATGCCGCCGTATCGCCAAGCCACGAGTATTTACCACCCACGGATGAAGACAAGCTGGTGTCGTTCGTCGACATGCTCTTCGGCGGACAGCTCGCCAGCATTCTCGTCTGCGAGAAGTGCAAGAAGATCTCCATCACGCATGAAGACTTCAACGACCTCAGCCTGAGCATCAAGCCCGAGGACTACGCGAAGGATCGGCGGAAGCGCGACCGTTTCAAGAAGATCGCCCGCAAGCTCCGTATACGACCGCCGTCTTCTAACGCCGTCAACGACAACGGGCCGTTGAGCGCGTCGCGAACTCGAGGGTTCTTCCGTAGCGGCCCACGTGCGTCATCTGTACCAGCGAGTCCGGTTCGACGCAGCACCGATACGGCACCCCACGAAGAAGAGCCGCCGGAAAATGTCGACCCACGACGGAGGAGCTTCGACCATCCTGGCGACGATGGGGAAGAGTTGGATGTGCTGGGTGCGTTGGAAGGAAACGGGATCACGCCAACACCAACACCCGGTGCAACGGAAGACGAAGCCGATAGACCAGAGGATGATCGCGGAGAGGAGGCTGGTGTTCGGAGGTCAGAGGATTGGATGAAGGTAGATGCAGAGCCAGTTGTCCCCGAGTCAAAGGGCAAAGGTTCGAAGGACGACCCGTGGGGGAAGCTCGCGCGGAGGATCAGCGTATCGATGAAGCTCGCCGGACGCGACAAGGACTCCAGACCTCCCAGTCGCACAAGTGATCGCGGACGAAAGACTGAGCCCAAGAACCGCGTTGAGCCTCGCTCCCCTCGTGGACCTTCACCCAGTACCCCCGACCTCGGCGAAGTAGTTGACATCAGCCGAGCCAGCATGGCTTCTCCCACCCCCAATTCGCCACGCGTCCTCTCACCCCTTCGTCAGTCGACATCGCGCCGATCCTCGGCGACGCCATTCAAGCAGAATCATTATCGTAACGAGACTCTCACCAAGCCCCTGGTACCGCAGAAGATCTCAGAGCAGGAACTCGCGTATCTTCGTCGTATACTCGCGGATGTGCACCCAGTGACGGGCAACCCTTTATCCCTCTTGCACCAAGTCATCTCAGGCTCGAGCATAGGCGCATCTCCCGCCGCCGCAAACTCAGCCGCTGTCGCGACACAAGCTTTGTGGGCGAAGCTAGGGCATCTGCCCGGAATCGAGGAGTGCTTGCGGATGTTCACCGCGGTCGAGGTCCTGGATGGCGAAAACATGGTTGGCTGTCATCGGTGTTGGAAGGTGGCGAATGGGACGTACAAGCCTCGCGTGAGGGAAAACGGCGAGATCATCCCCGAGGACGACTCGGACACGGAGGGGGAAGACGAGGACGACAGCGACTCCTCTGGGTCACGGAGTGCGGCGAAGGGATCAAATGCGGGGCCTGTGAAGCCTCCCGGGTTGAACGGTGCGCCTAGCGGCTCCTCTTCAAGCACAGATAGCGGTCGTGTGTCGCCCGCGTCCACCTCCCAAGTGTCTACCACTGTCACCGATCCTTCCACGAGGCCTGATGACGCTACATCCGTCTCCTCTGCCCCTACCACCATCACCACCGCCCCTTCTCCGACATCTGTCAAGCATCCCTATCGCCAGGATAGCGTTATGTCTCCTCTTCACCCTGGCACGTTCGGCGGCCTCCCCATCCCTCAGATATCCACCACCGAGGTTGACCAGCAGGCCGTCAACAACACGAAGACATGGTCATCAACGCGCGCCGTCATTGGCCTCTCCCTCTCCAACGAGTCATTGCTCACGCCTAAAGCCCGGCGACACAAGCGGAAGCACAAAAAGGACGGCCCCGACGAGAGCGGGGGCTCGAGCTCCGAGGATGAGTACGACGACACCGCGAGCGACACCTCGGCCGCGACATCCTTCTCTGATAACTCGCCATCTGCATCGCCCTCCGCGTCCCCACGGTCGTCGGTGGAGAGGCTGCCCGGCCCATTGGCTTCTCCGCGGCAAAGCGCGTCCCGGCGCGTGCAGGACAAGCAGGTGCCGCGGTCGAAACAGGTTGTACCGCGACGGATGTACAAGCGTTACCTGATCAGCACGCCGCCACCGGTGCTCGTCATCCACCTCAAGCGCTTCCAGCAGACGGGCAGGATGCACACGGTTTCGCTCGCCGGGAGCTTCAAGAAGCTGGACGAATTTGTCGCGTTCCCGGAGTACCTCGACCTCGCGCCGTTCCTCGCGCCGCGGAGAGGGGACTGCGTGTCGGAGGCGAAGGAGAAAGAGCGGGAAAAGACGAAGTCGGAGGGTCAGGAAAAGTGCGTGTACCGACTGTACGCCGTCGTGGTGCACATCGGCAACATGGTATGTCATCCGTGCTTCTATACGCATATGAACTGGGCACTGATATCCGTCCCACTGCAGCTGGGTGGCCACTACGTCGCGTACACGGCTCTGCCCAACTCTGTATCTGCATCAGCCTCGACTCCGACTCCGACACCTGCACCGACACCTGCACCGACACCCGTCTCCCCTCCCCTCCCTGCCCTCGGTACGCCACCCGAGGTGGAGAAGCCCCTTCCTCCTCCTCCTCCAATGGAGACCCATTCCAGTCAGACGTCTGACACCCAGGCCGTCCGGCGATGGGCGTACATCAGCGACACTACCGTCCGGCTCACTACCCTCGAAGAGGTCCTCAAGGCGAAAGCGTACATCTGCATGTATGAGCGCATATAAGCGCTTTCTGCACTCTCCCTTGCTTTTGACCTTTCTTGCCACCTCTACCCTCTTCTTCTTTCGTCATTCATCCGTCACCATGACAGACTTGAACCCCTTCCACGTTATATCCTATAGACGCCTGCAGGCGTCCATACCTCCCGAGCAGCAGTACCCTAACAGCAATATATAGTAACCCTTAAGTTATATCCTATGGACACAGCGCGCTTGCTAGAGTGATAAAACCGCATCTGTACGCTTATACCTGTATCGTACCGTAGTGCGTCTCCGTCTATTGATTGTGTGATGTCTCAGATCCGGAGTGGAGACAGTCTCAGTACGCTGGAAGAAGTGTTCCTATCATTCCAAACAGTCATGCAGTGCCCTCTCCATAGGATGACGATGCGTACGCTTTATCTCTGCCTTCTTCATTTGTCGAGGATGCTCATCATTAATGGTTTTGTTACAGTGTTGCATCGGTCTGAAACCGGTGGTTGCTATTGCGTTCGAAATCTGGCGAGATACAATTGAACATCGACAATTGGATGCACAAAAGTGAACGGGATAGCGAGTACGTATAAATCGCTGCTCCCCAACGTACTTGTGACCTCAGCACTTGTTTTCCCTCCTCTTCCCAAGTTCTTCCTGATGCACCTCTTCCGTAGTTTCCTTGCACCACTCCTGGGGCTTTCTGCCGCATGGGCCTTTCCGTCTGTGGGTGACAGAAGACCCGCTCAACGAGCCGACAACTCATCTGCAGTCTCCGTCTCTTGGCTTTACTACAACCCGGACCACAACGATAGCCTTCCAATCAGTGAGATTGACTGGAAGAAGTACACCCACGCATCGTATTACGCAGCGTGAGTCCAATCATCTAGCGTTTCCAAGTTCGCCCTCATACGTATACCTTTAGGGCTACCACCGACGATTCCTCAAACCCCGTTGTAATTACCAACGAGACGATGTTCTGGGAGTTTGTAGATGCCGCAACAAGCAACGTGAGCCTCATCAGGTTCCTACTTTCTCGACCATGTTCTTAGACACCCTCCCTTTGAACAGCATACGGTTCCACTCTTGTCAATAGGAGGGTGGGCCGGTTCAGAGCACTTCTCCACTCTCGTCGCAACAAATGACAGCGGCGCCGATTTTGCCAAATCTCTCGCATCCAAATTTGTCCGCGACCGCCGATCGAACTTCAGAAATTACTGCGGGTTTGACATCGTGTAAGTCCAACATACTCCGTACGCTCTTTATCCTCACTCCCCAGCGATAGATGGGAGTTTCCCAACGACGCCGACGCGTGGCCGAACAACACCAACGCCGCGAACGACACGGCGAACCTGCTTGCCTTCCTCCGCACGCTTCGCGGTGAGCTGGATGAGATCCCCTTGACCGAAGTCACGCTCGCCGCCTCGGCGCCCGCCGCGCCTTGGCACGACGCCTCCGGCAAGCCTTCCACCAACTGCTCGCTCGCCGGCTTTGCAGACGTGCTCGACTACGTCTCCGTCCTCGCCTACGACGTCTTCGGCCCCACCTGGTCCAACACCACCGGCCCCAACGCCCCGCTGCACTCCTGCTTCGCGAACGGCACGGCGGCCCCCTCCAACAACTCCGCCGCCGCGCCCTACGCCTCCGCAGACACCGCCGTCGCGCTGTGGACCGCCGCGGGGATCCCAACGCACAAGCTCGTGCTCGGCGTGCCCTCGTACGGGCACGCGTTTGCCGTCGCGGCGGGCGGGGCGAAGGACGCCAGCGGTTCCCTCGCGCTCTACGCGCCGAACGACCGCAGCGCGCCGGTGCCGAGCGGGGATTGGGCACAAGGGATGTTGAGCTTCCGCGGGATGGTCGATGCCGGGCTCCTCGCCGCGGATGGTTCGGTGCCCGCGAACGTGACGGGGGCGTTCGACGAGTGCACGCAGACGGCGCTGGTGTATTTGAATGGCACGGGCGGGGACGGGGTGCTGGTGGCGTACGACGATGCGAGGGCGTTTGAGGCGAAGGGGGCGTTCGTAAAGGAGAAGAGGATGGCGGGCTTTGCGATCTTCGAGGCAGCGGGGGATAAAGGCGGCACCTTGATAAATGCAATCAGCAAGGGGGTGGGGGCGGAGGGCTCGTGAGTCGGGTCTGGGGACCGGCCGTCGAGACCGTCATCCGTGCCGCAGAACTTCTACTGAATCTTGAATGCTATGTAGAAGAGGTGATTTGCCTGGTGTAGAGTATTGACGTGGTTTATGCGTTACGGAGTTCACTTTCTTCAACACCGGATAAGCATGGACGCTGAGCGAGACACAAGCTTTTGATACCCGCACGACAAGACAGCTAGATACATGGACGGAAGGGGGAAGTGATTGTATAATTTGCACACGATATTCACCGTGCGTAGATCCGAGGAGTGCGCCACCTCGTCCCGTGTTCAATCCATGCAGGGTTTGAGCATGCAGTGAGGAGCTTGGTTGTACACAGGAGTGAATTGACACGAATAGGTCATGTCAGACATGCAGACGCAACCCGGGCGTGCAGCGTACCTCGTTTTATATAGTTCCAAATACATCTTGTGGAACGTGTAGCCAAGCATGAGGTATAGTTCGGCCCATCCGAACCTATGAGACCAATTAGTGGAACTCCCAATGAAATCAACAGATTCGAGGACCCTTGGAGAACGTGGCCAGGTAGTGATCGATATTGATGGTGTCCTTATTGAGCCAACGCTCCGGCTTGAAGGCCGGGGTCGAGGAAGATGGCCGATTCGAGGTGTACGAACGACGAGGCCATCGCCGCTGCTGTCTGCAGAGACCTTCAACACGCACGGTGAGAACGTTGATAGAAAGAACTCACACCGGCAGGGACCTTGAAATAATGACGTCGATGGGCCCAATTATACGAGGCGGAGGGCACACCACACCATTAACAAGATGCACCATCTCTTTGATGACTGCTGTCTGAAGCAAAGGCCCGTCGTGGAACTCAGCGCCACGATACGGATAAGAGTCGAAGGTACGCACCAAGTAAGGCAGCTTCTGGAGCACCTCCGGCGCACAGGGGCGTCGATATCCGGCCACGCCCCCCGCAGCCTCTCCTTCATCCTCGATCGTATAGACTGCCGGGTCACTGCAGACATGCGCGACGCACATGCTCGCCTGGGTCGCGATCGACTCACTGCCCGCGACGACGAGGGTGACCGCCTCCTCGAACAGTGCCTTGACCAGCGGAATCTCGTACTGGCCCTTCTCCGGGTGTGGCTTCATCAAGTGGTGGAAGACCGTCTCTTGGCCTTCCTTCTCAAGGAGCGGCAGATCCCTCGGCATGTCCTCGATCTTGCTTTTGAGCTTGGCAAACAAATTGCAGATCGCCCCCTTGTGGTTCCCCCGGAGCGCGGCGACGAGCTTTGAGCCGTAGACGATGACCCAGAAGATCCATGGTAAGTGAACGAGGAGGAGAAAAAGAGGGGCTGAGGTCTCGGAGCTGACGATAGTCTGGTGTGCAAAGCCGGCCGCGGAGTCGTAGATGAGCTCCTGCGCCGTGGACTGGCACGCGAGGCGCATGTTCACGGGAGTATGCATGGCGACGTCGTCCGCGAGCTTAGCGAGCAGTTTGTTGACCTGTGCAAGGGAAGGCGTCTTGAACACGGGAACACAGGACATGAGAACACGGGCACGCACCTTTGCCTGTATGACATGCTCGGGCTGGAAGATCGTTCGCCGCGAGAAGAGCGGCTTCAGGATGTCCCGTCGAGTCTTGATCTCGCGCTGGTCGATGATGTACAACGACGCGTCGTCCTGATGGAAAGCTTTGTATGTCCGTGGATCCTTTATGAACTGCGAGCCGCGGGTGTAGATTCCATCGTACGCCTCGGGACTGTTGAAGTGCAGCTAGATACACAGATAGTTGGTAAGGGGAGGCGCATATATGCGCAAAACAGACTTGATTAGGGCCAACACGGGCCACAGGACCTGGTGCAGCGCGCTCTGCGCGTGAGCACAGCGCAAGAATGAGGGAGAGAAGATACGTGCCATATCGCTCACGGAGAACCCAGAGATGGTCGACGAACGCGCCACCTTTGAAGACTTCGTAGTAGGTCATGTACCACCATGTCGCTGAAGCAAATCTAGGTCTCGGAAAGCGCACTAACGGGTGGACAGAGATTAGAGAAAGAGGCGGTAGAGCACAGTGCCGGCAGCTCCAAGGAGCAGCGTCCCGCATGTTGTGAGGGCCACGGGGATCGAGCTGGGAGAGAGGAAATGCATGGCGCAGCAGAGAGCAACATTGTGGGGCTGATAGAGGGCGGGTCCTGTTGGAGAACAAGCATGAGTACTTGAGTTCGCACCGAAATTGCTGATTTCGCAATTCCTGGCAGACGCCCATGCACTTCACCTACGGCCTCTCCGGGGCACTCGCGAACCTGAACGGGCGCGAGTACAGGAAATGACTATCGTCGAGAGCGTCCCGTCCCGATACCATGCTTGATCAAGGTTACCGCATCCGCACACTCCATGGACCGTTTCCAGATGGCAAGCAAGTGAATTATACACGATAGTGAGTGCGTCTAGCTGGCTATGCTACAGAGTATGGGCGAGCTGTCGATACAAGGGAGAAACGTGAGTCCGAACCAGTCGAATGGGTGAAGGGGTAGGTGGTGGATGTGGCGTGGCTCGTCGTGGGGACGTAAAATGTGTGAATAGGAGCCACGGATGTGCGTGAGGACGACGATGGGTCCGCTACGAGGGAGCGTGCCACCATCTAGGCGGACGCAGTGGCCTTGGTGCTGGCGCTCCCAAGTATAATCGTCGTAACTGGCCCCACGGAGATGACGGGGACGGACGTCGCAGAGGCCGCGGAGCTCGCGCTCGCGCTTGCTGAGCCGACTTTGACTGGGGGCGCACTCGAGAAGCCGGAGACGGCGCCCGTGCTCATCGCGCTTGCGGTGGCGTCGGTGCTCGTGGAGCTGAAGGTGACGATTGTCGATTCCGCTGCGCCGGAGGTCTCAGCGATCGAGGTAGCGACCGTGGAGTGGGCAGTTCGAGTGACCGAGGCGGCGACAGAGGACGTCGCAGAGCCACGGACGGTGCTGATGGAGACGCCGGACTCGGTCGCGATGCTCGAGAGGAAGCTCGAGGCCTGGGAGGGGTTCAGGGTGAAGGTCTCGCTGGGGAGCGTGACCGTCCCGGAGCCGGCGATGACGGTCACGGTCACTGTCTTTGCGTGCTTGTGGCCGTGCGAGGACGTCGCGGTCGCGGTAGCGGAGGCAGAGTCCGTGATGAGGGAGGAGGCGTCGGTGGTCGTCGACGCACCCTTGCCAGTGGCAGTAGCAACAGAGGAAGTCGTGCTGCTACTGCTGGAGGAGGCATCGCTCTCGTCGTCGCCGTCGCAGTCGAAGGGAAGGGCGACAGAGTTGGAGGTGCTGTTGGCGAAGACGCCGCCGGTGGCACCTGATGCCTCAATGATGGAAGCGGCAGTGGCATTTGTCGTGCAAGAGACAACCTGAGTGTAAGGGTAAGGTAGGGGACATTTCCAAAGGAATAGACAGAGACTGACTACTCCAGATTCCTTGAGAGACGGCATGGCGAAGCAGGAAAGAGACTTGGAGCACGGCTCCAGTGACCAAGTAGAGTTCGCGCAGTGAGCGATGGAGTTGTCGATACATGCCAGCTGTCCGTCTGTAGGAGGTACGCTGTAAGTACAAGATTGAAGGTAGGACGAGGAGATGGGCTTGCCTTTGCAGGTATCCGTGGAGTTGAGGGACAGGTATTCTGTGTTCAGAGCTTGCGCATCTTGGCCGTTCTGGAGGAAGACGGCGGGGTCGAGAGAGGCACCAGTGGGGGCAGAAAGCACTGCAGGCACCACAAAAGCAGCAGCAGCGAGAGCAAAGAAGGCGTGCATGGTGACGATTCGGTAAGCACGGCAAGAAGTGCGAGGGAAAACGCAGAGTCGGGGAAGCACCGGGCTTCAGAAGAAGAGTAAGACTGGATCCGAGAGTGAGCACCGAGCTCGAGCACAACGAGGAAGAAGGAGGAGAGACGAGTGGCCTTTATGGCGGCCGCACAAAAGCACGAGGCGGCCATTGTGGCCACAGGACGCGGATGGTGCTCATTGTCTTTGTCCTTCCCGTTGTGTTGAGGAGGCCTATTGTTCCCAGTCTGGAACAACAAGCGCACACATACCGCGTTCGCATCACGTGAATTTTGGCGGCATTCGCCGGATGGCGTTAGACGCTGGAAAGGCCGCATTGGAGGCAGCGCGTCGGGTCCTCAGTCCACCGCCCTCGTCAAGACCGCCGATTCACGATGGTGAGTGCCCATATCATGCCTCTAGGCCGTTGTGGGATGTGTTGCGAGTGCAGTTGCGTGGATTGGTGGTGGAATTCGGGCTGGGATGGGATGGATGGGATGGTCGACCTCCGGATGACATCTGTCAAGTTTCGCTCAGCAGAACGAGGATACTCACCCATCTCTCGCCCTGCAGACCAAGAAGAGAAGAAACCACGGACGAAACAAGAGTGGCCGCGGCCACGTCAACTTCGTGCGCTGCTCCAACTGCTCGCGCTGCGTCCCCAAGGACAAGGCCATCAAGCGCTTCACCGTCCGCAACATGGTCGAGACTGCCGCGGTTCGTGATATCAGCGAGGCAAGCGTTTACCAGGGTGCGTCCCGCTCCTATCGAGCACGATCAGGCCGAGTCGTTGACTTGGGCGGTCGTCGTGTGCAGAGTACACCATCCCCAAGCTCTACATCAAAATTGCGTACTGCGTCTCGTGCGCCATCCACTCGCACGGTGCGTTCACTTCCTACCTCGTCTTTTCCCGTATCCTCATCCCATCGATCTAGTCGTCCGTGTCCGCTCGCGGGTTGGCCGCCGCAACCGTGCACCCCCGCCCCGTGTCCGGTGGAAGGACGGCAAGAAGGTCAACCCCGCTGTCGCCGCGGCTGAGGATGCGAAGGCGGCTGCAGCAAAGACTTCATGAGCGCGTCGTTGACACCAGACTTGTACTCCGTATCTCGCCGCTATCGATGCTCCACTGTACCGCGCATATGACATGCATCCCACGTGTATGTATCATCTACGAAGATGATTTTCGGCCAGACCTGGATGTTGCCCACGTATCTGCTCTTGTCAGTGGACTTAGAGAGCTGCCACGGGAGACTTCAAGGCGGATTTCGACGTCCACACTTTGAAGACGTCGCCTCGGCGGTCACGACAGCGAAGTCTCCGTGTTGCCCTCTACGCGTGTTGTCTGTGTATCCCATTTGACCTTGGCTGCGTTCTGCCCCAAGTACCCTTGGTTCACTCCAAATGCAACGTGGACGCCGAAGTCACCCCTCGCCCCTCATCCTGAAATCTGGGTCTTACCATGAAGGAGCCCCGATCAACCGTCTCTCTGGTAGCCTCACACCTAAAGACATTGCTAGATGTCGTTTAACCGAGTCGGCGACTGGTGGAAGATGGACAGGCGTCCTACAAACGAGCGATCCTAGAGTCAGTCAAGGTCAGTTCAACTATGCACAGCAAGACGAGATGGAGGTTCAAACTCGTTGCTGATTCAGGCAGCGCACAGAGAAAGGGAGGGAAAGAACACGAGGCATGCCATTTTCTAAAGAGCAGCTAATACACCTGATAGTCGCGACATGTGGTACAGAACGAAATAAGCCCAATAAGGTAAATGCGATGGACAGGAAGATGTGTGTGTTATGATGTCGTATTTCGAATGTCCGTGGTGGTCACATAGGCATGGAGGCATATAGACATGTAGGATAGGGTACGTGGCAAACGAATCTCTATGCGAAAACCGAAACCAAAAAGAGAAGCTCAGAAGTCCCAGAGCGTGCCGAAGGCGGGGATGCCCGCCTCCTTGCAGCCCTCCATGAGCTCGCTGTTGCCGGAGCTGTTGGAGGTGATGAAGACGACCTCGGCGCCCCACCGTGGTACGCGTCCTTGACGAGCTGCATGATGTCCGGGCGGCCGCCGCGCGCCTTGGAGTCCCAGAGGCACATGCGCTCGGGGCCGATGTGGCGGTGGATGAGGCCAGAGATCGTCGGCCCGAACGTCTTCTCCTGGTCGGAGCCGATCCAGATGAGGTACCAGTCCGGGCTCTGGATGCACGTCGAGAGCGCGGCGCCGAGGCCGGTGCCGGTGCAGACGCGGATGCCGCGGCGGTAGAGCGTCGAGGTGTTGGACACGCCGGCGAACTTGAGCTGGCGGTCCAGACGTGCGTGGGCGGGTCGTTGACGAGCGAGCGCGTGAAGTCGCCCTGGACGCCGCAGATGAGGTAGTGGTGCGAGGCCTGGGGGCCCTCGCTGATGATCCCGAACGCGTGGTACTCCATCACGGAGGAGCGGGCGATGCGCGAGAGGAGGCCCTGCTGCATCCCGCGCTCGAAGCGGAGCACGGCGACCTTGGAGGACGGCTGTAGGGGAGAGTGTCAGCGCGGGCGGGCGGAAGCGGTGAGAAACGGGCACGCACCACCTCGATCTCGACCTTGACCTTGCGGACGGTGAGCCAGGGGATGATGATGAAGACGGTCATGCCGAACGAGAACCAGAAGTCCTGCTGACGAAGCACGCGGATGCCGTCGGGGTTCCACGAGTGGGTGTTGAGGTCGTAGCTGTCACCGAGGACGACGAAGACCCAGGCTGCGAAGGTAGGGTGTAAGCATCGGCGGAGAACGGGCAAGTAAAAGTGTGCGCACTCGAGAGGAGACCGAACCAACCGATGAAACGGTGGTGGCGCTCGAAGACGTTGTGGTGCGTGTTGCGGACCCAAGGGAACGCACTGACGATACTGATGGTGACGGCCAGGTTGGTGATGATGCCCATGATGAGCACCGCGTCATGGTTGTTTTGGTGGTCGATGAAGATGAGAGTCATACGGAAGATGAGCCAAACGAAGCCCGAGACCGCGCAGCCGGAGTGGATGCCGCCGAGGTGCTGGAGGACGGAGGTGCAGCCGAGGCGGAACCAAAGCGGAGTCCACTGTAGATGCAATCACGGTCAGTCTCCGCGGCATAACCGCTGAGTGCATCGTGGACGTACTTTGGCAAACAACGTGTTGAAGAGGAGGAACAGGAAGCGGCCGAAGAGTTCATTCCGCATGAGGACGGCGCACAGGAGGTTGCCGAGAACGAATGCGCCGGTGTAGTTCCGAGGGTACTCCCAGGTGTTCGTCGCGGCGAGGATGAGACCGGTGGCGTTGAGGCCGGTCACGAAGAGGAAGAACTTCCTGCAAAGAAGGTCACCGACTTTCTTCGACGAGAAGAACACTGGACATACCTGTAGGTGTTGAACCAGAGCTGGAAGCGGATCCATCGACTCGCCCGGTGCTTGGGTGCCGCGGGCTTCTTGAGTACAGCCCTTTTTTCTTCGCTCGCTGGCCGCGAGTCTACGACGACGGTGGAAGACTGGACGGCGGACTTGGAGGAGACGGGAGGGAAGGGCGGAGAAGTGACGGTGTTGGCGTCACCCTTTTCAGCACGCTCGAGGTCGGCGACCGTGAGCGGCCTCGCAACAGCAGACTCGATGTGGCTCATGATGAAGAGGAAGAGTGTGGCGGTGGTTTATAGAGAATCAGTGGATGCGATGCGTCGAGTCGAAGGCGAAACCGGATGTGAGAGACGATTAGGTGTGAGAGCGATGAGTAGAAGTAAGCAGAAGAGATGGGAGAGAGTAATGTGGGAGAAGATGTCGATTGGAGGCAGAAACAGGGAAGTATTTATCCACACGGGAAACCAGGGGCATTCTTCGAAAAACGCGGATAGAGGGCGAGAGGGTCATCGCGACCCCCTGTAGCGCGGCCGCAGCGGCGGGACGGATGTGAGCGAGTGGCACGCGCCGTCGTTCAGCGGGCCGCACTGCAACGGATGCGTCTGCAGAGGACATACCTGCAAGAGCGGAACATGCGTCACTCCCGCCGTGGACGCACTGCATTTGGAAATGAACGTTCCCGGCGGTTGACGACGCCTGCCACCGAATCCGCGTGTGCGGCGAACTCGGGGTAATACCGCCGCGGGGGCGCGAGCCGCTCCCGCGCGGGTCGAGGCAACGGCTGCTGGATAGGGAAATTGGTATGGCGGAGTGAAGGCGGACGACCGGTCTCGCCTACTCAGCTGGCAGCTGCACGCGCCCTCGCCGTCGACCGGGACACCCATTAGGGGTTGCTTTTGCAACTTGCAGCCCAGAGCCATTAGTAGCTAGGTCGGAACTGTGTTGGGACTCGGACAGTCTCGTTTGCGATAGTTCCTTAGACAAGACACACCTGACTTTGTGCTTGATGAATGACACTTGGACATAGTCAATAACCCGCAGAGCCACGATATCAGAGCTGCCGTTGCGCAAGCGGAAGAACACGGAGAGTGTCTGGTCGGGGGCGTGGCAATGAGCCAAACATGAGCAAGGCGAAGTGTGGCAGGAGGCCCAGTGTTCGAGTCTGGGATCGTGCGATTTCTTTATTTCTTGAATGACACAACTCTCCACACCCGGTCCATTCGCGACATGGACCGGGCCCTGTGGAGAGTGGTGCCGTCACTATACTTAGGGCCAGTGATCGCAGCGCAAGCCACACGCAGGAAAGAATTCAACCCGGGATCCCATGGCTGCCAGATGGCGCAGCTGCCTCGGCTGTAGACTGCACTTACACAGTGCGTTCACTGTCAGAGACCATTACTTACACTCCCTGGCTTGAGGACTCGGCCCTAGTCGTGGGTCCCTCCTGAGAGCCATAATAACTTCGGATCCGATACGGCCGAGTGGTGTCGACCCCCTTGTCGACTGACTCGAGCACGTCCATCGACTCGGACCCCCTCACCGCTGTTCTACCTCTTTCACCATGTCTCTCGGGATTCTCGCCGCTCTATGTGCTGTCATTTTGTACACTCTCGGGAGGCTTTGTCGGGAGGCCTTTACCCATTATCCGCACGATGCTCTCCGTGGCCCCCAACCACAGTCATTTCTACGAGGTGCGTCTGGCTTGGAAAGAGTCCAACCCTACCGCTAACGTGCTTCACTCTCAAGGCAACCAAAAGGACTTCTTCCACCCCCAGGCCTGGAAGCGCTGGGCAGAATGGGCCGCGACATACGGTTCCGCCTTTATCATTCGAAATATCCTTGGGGTATGCTGTCCTGCATTGGAGAAGAGCTTGTCTTTACCCGATCTTGCTTCCTGCAGGCCCGTATCGTCGTCCTCTACGACCCCAAGGCTATCCACGCCGTCATGGTCAAGGACCAGAACATCTGGACGAAAGGCTCCGGACGGTCGTCTACGTGTGTATTCTTCTCTCCGGTGCGCGTCACTATTCTCACACCTAGATAAACCAGTGTCTTCTCCGTTCTTCTAGGGCCAGGGTTGCTCTCTTTGCGAGGTGGAGAGCAACACAGGCGCCAGCGCAAGATGCTTAACCCCGTTTTCTCCGTCGCCCATCTGCGCAACATGACCCACATCTTCTACCACGTCGCGCATAGGGTGAGATTTCCCGCTGTCGTCCGTCATCGGAGAGAGAAGTCATGATCCGCTCTGTAGGTTGATAAAGCGATCAAAGCGCGTCTCCCAACCACCGCCCCTGCTCAAGAAGTCGACATCAATGACTGGATGAGTCGCGCCACTCTCGAGATGCTCGGGCAAGCTGGACTGGGCTACTCCTTCGACGATTTCGCCGGCGATTCTGCAGACGAGTACGGGGAGTCCATAAAGCTCTTTTTGTGAGTACAGGTGCGAATCACCACTCTGCGCGCGGCCGCTGACGACGCGAGACGCAGCCCGCACCTCGCACGCACGCGCGTGCCCGCCATCACCGTTCGTCAGCTCTCCTGGCTTTTGTCCGACTCTGCGATCCGCACATACTTCCGCACATTCCCCTCGGCGACCGTGCGCGAGGTGCAGCGCACCTCGGACACCATGGCCACGCGATCCGCGGCGATCGTCCAGCAGAAGAAGGCTGCGCTCGAGAAGGGCGACGCCGCGCTCAAGCACGAGGTCGGCGAGGGCAAGGACATCATGAGCATCTGCTGTGCGCCCCTCCCCTGTCTTGCATTCCCTCACAATGCTCACGCGCCGCGCACACACGGCAGTGCGCGCGAACATGGCCACGACCCCGAGCGAGCGGCTGTCCGACGAGGAGCTCGTCGCGCAGATGTCGACGTTCATCCTCGCGGGCATGGACACGACCGCGAACGCGCTCTCCCGCATCCTCTGGCTCCTCGCGGCGCACCCCGACGTCCAGACGCGCCTGCGCGCGGAGCTCGTCGAGGCGCAGGGCGGCGCCCGCGCCCGCGCGGACGTGCCGTACGACGACCTCGTGAAGCTCCCCTACCTCGACGCGGTCTGCCGCGAGACCCTGCGCGTCTACGCGCCCGTCCTGTTTGTGTCGCGCGCGTGCGTCCCTACACTCTCTTGCTCGCGTGCGCACCGCAAGCTGACGACGCTTTGACCAGCGCGGCGGAGGACACGGTGATCCCGCTGTCGGCGCCGGCGCCGACGCGCGACGGCGGCGCGATGTCCGAGATCCCCGTCGCGCGCGGCACGACCGTCCTCCTCTTGCTCCAGGCGTCGAACGTGAACCCGGCGCTGTGGGGCGCGGACGCGGCGGAGTGGAGGCCGGAGCGGTGGCTCGCGCCGCTGCCCGCCGCGGTCGAGGACGCGCGGGTCCCGGGCGTGTACGCGCACCTGATGACGTTCGCCGCGGGCGCGCGGGCGTGCATCGGCTTCAAGTTCTCGCAGCTCGAGATGAGTGAGTGCGGCGACGGCGTTCGGTCCTCTCGCGTCGCTGACTGCGCCCGCAGAGGTCGTGCTGGCGGTGCTCTTGACCTCCTTTTCGTTCGAGCTTACGGACAAGGAGGTGCGCTGGAACATGTCGGCCGTCATGTACCCCTCTATGGAGGACAGCTGCAAGCCCGGTCTTTTGCTCAGGGTTAAACCGCTCAAGGAGTAGATATCATCGTCCGCACCAGTGCATGTGCCTTCGCGTCAACTATGATCAGGTGAAGATTGCCACCGAAGAATCGACGCGGGAGAGAATGGTGTACTACAAGAGAGGACCACACGCGTGTTTGACGTGACCAAATTTACACACGCAACGTATGGATTGCGTATCTACACTTTGAGCGCCTTTACCATCAGCAGTAGCTCCGGCCTCGTGCTTCCTTCCCCCATAGTGGGGTAGAGTACAGCCGACGAGTTCCACGCGACTGGCTTGTCGGTGAGCTCGAACGAGAACGCGGTGAGCAGTACAGACAGCACGACCTCTGCACCCAGGCATCAGTACGAGTTCTGCATTTACAAGGAATCCGGAACTTGAGCACTCACTCATCTCGAGCTGTGAGAACTTGAAGCCGATGCACGACCGCGAGCCCGCGGCGAACGTCATCAGGTGCGCGTACACGCCCGGGACCCGCGCGTCCTCGAGCGTGGCGGGCAGCGGCGCGAGCCACCGCTCCGGCTTCCACTCGCGCGCGTCCGGGCCCCACAGCGTCCGGTCTGCGTTCGAGGCCTGGTACTGCACCAGCACGGCGGTGCCGCGGGGGACGGCGAGCTCGGCGATCTCGGCGTGGCCGTCGCGCGTGCGAACGGGCGCGGAAAAGGGGAGCACGGTGTCTTGAATCGCGCTGGGCGCGCTTTGTGTGAGCGCGAGCGCGGAGGTCTTTCGGGGGAGGGACGTACACGCGCTGGGAGAGAACCACGGGGGCGAAGACGCGCAGGGTCTCACGGCAAACCGCGTCGAGGTAGGGAAGCTTCACGAGGTCGTCGTACGGCACGTCCGCGCGGGCCCCGGCGCCGCCTTGGGCCTCGAAAAGCTCGGAGCGTAGCTGTTGGACGGCAAGCCGCGATTGCGGTAGACGTCCCGGCCCGGACGAGTTGCGTCCGGTGCGCACCATGTGTTTCCCCTCTTCGTATCATTTCGAAATGTCCTTCGTACCTGTACCTTACCTTTCCGTACTCGCCCGAGTCACATATACGCTCTCGCACGTTACGTACACCTCAGTCTTCTTTCCCCCCGAGACTGAGGTGAGCCCCGCATCCGTATACTCTGTATTCTGGACTACGCACTTACTCGTTACCTAGCTCGTTCGCCCTGCGCTCTCGCTAGGTACTTACCTTTAATATCATGAGTCTTCTTTCCCCCCGAGACTGAGCTCGTTCGCCCTGCGCTCTCGCTAGCTCGCCAGCGCTCGTACCCGTTGACAGGTTATGAGCCCTGCCTCGACCATGGCTTCCTCGTATCCCGAAACTTCTTCCTCAAGTGGATGGGCGTCCTTCGGAGTCCCGCGCCTTGCTTCGGACGGATCAAACTGGATCATGTACAAGAACCAGTTTATCTCCGCTGTCCACGCAAAAGGCTTGCGGCGCTACCTTGAAGGTACGGACCGCCGTCCCAACCCTCCTGTGCTTCCCACGTCCATGCGCACGGTTCCGGCCGCGTCTGGTGCGATCAGCCGCTCCGCGTCAGCCTCAGCAGCGACACGGCCGCGATCAGCGTCACAGTCGACAGCCGGCGGTTCCGCAACCACCGTAACCGCATCGCCCGCTCAAGGAAGCACTCTCACACCGGAGGAGGAACAAGAGAAGTACTACGAGGCGCTGGAAGAGTACGAGACGAAGGTCGACAAGTGGACGGCTGCCCACAACCAAATCAAAACCCTTCTCTTTCAGACCCTGCCAGAGGATCTCCGACTCGAGATCACCCCGCTCACGCTAGGGAAGGACCTTTGGGCCATCGTCACTACTCGCTTCGACCGACAGGGCACGTTCGTGCAGGCAAACATCCTCCGCCGCATCCAGGCACTCCATTGCGAAGAAGGCGCAGACCCCCGACCTGTTCTCAATGAGCTCGCACAACTCAGAGCTGAATACTTTACGGCCGGCGGCTACCTAACAGGCGACCAGTACGTTGTCTACATACTGTCTGTCCTCCCGAAGTCGTACGGCCAGACCATCCGTGCCATCCAAGCCTCCGCCTCCATATCGAGTATAGCCGTCACCCCAGAAGCTCTCCTCACCACCCTCATCGACATCGCCCGTGACGAGCACGCCATGAGCGGGAGCTCGAGTTCGAGCACCGCCGTTGCTGCGGCCGCACGCCCCGAGGATCGGTGCCATAACTGCAACAAGACCGGCCACTTCAAGGCCGACTGTTGGAGCAAGGGAGGAGGAGCTGAGGGGAAGGGCCCGAAGAAACGAGGACGAGGCAAGGGGAAGGGGAAGGCAGGGGGAGAATCGGCAAAGTCAGCCGTAGTTGAGGAGAACGCGAGCGAGGGAGCATTTGCTTACCTTAGCGTCTCAACGGACTTCGCGCGCGTCGCCCAGAACACGGCCGGCCTCACGCGCGACACTCGCCTCCTTGACTCCGGGGCAAGCCGACACTTTGAACCTCATCGCGAGAACTTCAAAACGTTCCGCGATATCGCCCCGGTCCCTATCCGCTCTGCCGACGGCCGCATGTTCCACGCTAAAGGAGAAGGAGAGGTTCTGGTCAGCGTCATGTCGCAAGGGAAGCCGGTCGACTTTACCTTGCGCAACGTCCTCTTCGCTCCAAGCATGCCCCATGGCCTCATCTCCGTCAGCCGCATCACCAAGGCGGGCGCGTCTGTCCACTTCGAGAAGGGCGGATGCCTCGTCAAGACGCCGACAGGAGCGACGGCCTGGACAGTCCCTGAGCGGAACGGCATCTACCCTGTTCAGCCCCTTCCACCGAAAGCCGAACACGCGAAGGCCGCACGCACCTCCCTCCCGCTTTCCGAATTCCACCGCTGCATGGCGCACGCGTCGACCCCAACCTTGAAGAAGATGGTCGACGACGGGGTCGTGACAGGCGTCGAGTTCTCGTCGACAGAGGCACCGTTCTGCGAAGTGTGTCAGCAAGCGAAGCAATCGCGCGCACCCTTCCCGCAAGAACGCTCGAGTCCTCGTGCGGCGAACTACGGGGATCGCGTCCACTCGGACGTCTGGGGACCGCCGGACACGCAAGGCATTCACCACGAACGCTATGCGGTCACGTTCCTCGACGACGCCACGGACGAAGCTGTTGTACACCTCATCAACAGCAAGGACGAGGTCTTCAGCCGGTACAAGGCGTACAACGCCTGGGCGAAGGCGCATCGCGGCGTCAAGGCCATCAAAGAGTTCCAGTCAGATCGTGGCGGAGAGTTCATGAGCGGAGAATTCAACAAGTACCTTGAATCAGAGGGTACTGTCCGCCGTCTCACCGCGCACGACTCGCCGCAGCAGAACGGGAAGGCCGAGCGGCTCTTCCGCACGATCTTCGAGCACGCGCGCGCACTCCGCATCGACGCCCGCCTGCCGAAATCGCTCTGGCCTGAAGCCGTGAAGCACGCGGTGTGGGTACGCAACCGCGCGACCACCCGGAACACGCCTGGCTCAACCCCGCATGAGCGCGCCACAGGGAAGAAGCCCGACCTCGCGCGACTTCCTCGCTGGGGCGCGCGCTGCCATGTACTACTGGAGAAGCCCCCCAAGCTCGACTCGAAAACAAGCCAGTGCATTGGATCGGCTACGACACCCAGAGCAAGGCCCACCGGGTCTACTGGCCCGAAGAGCGCAAATCTCGGTGGAGCGCAACATTGGCTTTGATCCAGCCGACTGGGGCGTCGCTGACGCCGGCGCATGGCTCGAGGGGGAGCAGAACAGTGATAACGCACCTTACGAGCCGTCTGCGCCGTCCGCGACGACCCCCACAACCCCCTCCACGGTCACTCCTGCACCTGCCGCACCTACCACAACACCACCCGCAGAAGAGCCACCCGCGAGCGCCGAGACGCTCCCGATAGAGCCCCCCGCAGACCTTCTACAACCCATCGAGCCGCCCAACCAAGAGCCGTCCACCGAGCCGCCGTCCGTCGAGCCGCCGCGCGAGATAGCGAGGTCCCGCCGCCGAATGAGGGTCGCCCCCAGCGCAATTGCAAGCCGACGCAATGGCTGAAGGACTTGCAGAGCGGCGCGGGACGACTGGTGGAAGAGGAGCCCAGCGCGTCCCGCCCTCCATCGGAGGAGAGACAGCGAAGACCGCGCTGGAGCCCGAGGATGAGGGGGAGCTTGAGGGGGGTGGTCCGCACTTGATGGTGAGCCGATCTTCGCGTTGGCCGCCCTCTCTTCCGAGGACGAGCCGTCGTATCGCGAGGCCATGGCAGGACCGAGAAGGAGGATGGAGGAAGGCGATGAAGAGTGAGATCGAAAGGATTGAGAAGATGGGAACGTACGAGTTGGTTGAACGTCCGCGTGACGCGAACGTAATCGGCTGCGTTTGGGCACTTCGCAAGAAGCGTGACGAGCATAACGAAGTCACGAAGCTCAAGGCTCGACTCTGCGCGCAAGGCTTCGGTCAACAGTACGGCGTCGACTACCACGAAACTGCTTCCCCCACTGTCCGATTCGCCACTGTCCGCATCCTCATCGCCATCGCCACTCTCCTCCAATGGCCCATCATCCAGATCGACTTCAAGAACGCTTACCTCAATGGCGACCTCGAAGAAACCATCTACATGCGTCAACCCCACGGTTTCGAGGTCCCCGGTCGCGAATCCTGGGTCTGGATCTTGAAGAAGTCGCTCTACGGCCTCAAACAAGCTGGTTTACAATGGTACAAGGTCGTCCTGGCGCTGCTATTAGGCCTGGGCTTTGAGTGCAGCCAACTCGACCCCGGTCTGTTCCTTCTCATCTGCGGCGCCATCCGAATCTTCATCGTCGTCTGGGTCGACGACTGCGCAATCACTGGCAACAACCGCCGTGCCCTCCAACTCCTCGCCTTCGAGATCAAGCGTCGCTACGAGATTGAAGAACTCGGCGATGTCCGCTGGCTCCTTGGAGTGGAGATCACCCGCGACAGCGAGCTTCAGACCACCTCGCTCTCGCAGAGCGCTCTCGTCGACACCCTCCTTACCCGCTTCAACCTCAAAGACGCAGCGCCGGTCACTGTCCCCCTTGATCCGCACTGCAACCTCTACAGGTACGATCTCACCCCCGAGATCCGCGCCGCGATGGCCCGTCGCCCCTACGCACAGCTGGTGGGCGCTCTCAACTATCTCGCCACCGCGACGCGCCCCGACATCTCCTTTGCGGTCTCGGTCCTTTCGCAATTCATGGCCGACCCCGCTCCACTTCACTGGGAAGCCGCGAAGCACGTCTTGCGCTACCTCAAGAGCACGCGCGACGTTGCCCTAACGTTCGGCACCCGCGACAACCCGCATGGCCGCGGCCTCTTCGTTTACACGGACGCGGACTGGGCCTCACAAGAGCACCGTCATTCGTACACCGGCACGGTCGTCATGCTCGCCGGCGGCGCTGTTAGCTGGACCGCGCGCAAACAGACGCTCGTCGCGCTGTCGTCGACCGAGTCCGAGTACATCGCGTCATCAGACTCCTCGCGCGACCTCCTCTGGGCTCGCCACCTCATCGAAGAGCTCGTCGCCTCCCTCGTTCGCGGTCCCACACCCCTTTGTTGCGACAGCCAGAGCGCGATTGCCCTTATCAAGAGTGGCTTGTTCCATCCTCGGACCAAGCACATTGCGGTACGCTACCACCACATCCGCGACATCGTGCGGAAGGGCGACGCCTCCGTCGAGTACTGCCCAACGAATGACCAGGCCGCGGACCTGCTCACCAAGGCTCTCGTTCGGCCGAAGGTGGAGTTCCTCTCGCATCTGATTGGACTCCGCCGTCGCGCTTGAGGGGGAGTGTTGGACGGCAAGCCGCGATTGCGGTAGACGTCCCGGCCCGGACGAGTTGCGTCCGGTGCGCACCATGTGTTTCCCCTCTTCGTATCATTTCGAAATGTCCTTCGTACCTGTACCTTACCTTTCCGTACTCGCCCGAGTCACATATACGCTCTCGCACGTTACGTACACCTCAGTCTTCTTTCCCCCCGAGACTGAGGTGAGCCCCGCATCCGTATACTCTGTATTCTGGACTACGCACTTACTCGTTACCTAGCTCGTTCGCCCTGCGCTCTCGCTAGGTACTTACCTTTAATATCATGAGTCTTCTTTCCCCCCGAGACTGAGCTCGTTCGCCCTGCGCTCTCGCTAGCTCGCCAGCGCTCGTACCCGTTGACAGTAGCTTCTCCTGGACGTCTGGATTCATCGCGAGGAGCCAGAGGATGCGGGAGAGCGCGTTCGAGGTGGTGTCCATTCCGGCGAGGATGAACGTGGACATTTGTGCTATTAGCTCCTCGTCCGTCATCTTCTCGCTGTCCGCAGCAGCCATGTTGGCCCTGACTAGACACGTTTGATTAGCACGAAATGAAGCATGGCGGAAGGAACGAAGCGTACGGCAGATGCTCATGATGTCCTTGCCCTCGCCGACCTCGTGTTTGAGCGCGGCGTCACCCCGCGCGAGCGCTGCCTTCTTCTCCGCCACGATCTCACGGGATCGGAGTGCTATCGTGTCCGCTATGTTTACCACCCTGCGCACCCTCTGCCACGGGGCGAGTCGCGCCATGGAGCGTATGGCGCTATCCGGAAGAACCCACGACAGCCGCCCGGCTACTAGGTTGTAGAAGCGTGTGCGGGAGAGAGCGGGGCTACTGCGAGTCAGACCAGGGAGATACTCAGGGAGAGTGGAAATGCATACAAAAATAGTTTGAGCGATTCGCCATAGGTGTCCGTCTTGTCGCCCGTGAAATCATCGAAAGAATACCCGAGCCCGGCCTGACCGAGCATCTCGAGCGTGGTGCGGCCCATCCAGCCGTTCACATCCATCTCTTGCGGGGCCCCTGAGTCTAGGACATGTTTCGCCATTGCGCTGTGCATCTGAAGAGAGTTCAAAGTGGGCTCATCTTGATGAGAAAGACGCTCACTCTGTGCGCGACATCGTAGAAGATGTGCGTCATTTCGCGCAGGTGGGCTGCGGAGAAGACCGGGTTGAGAAGCTTCCGTTGCCGCTTGTGTTGCTCTGCACCCGTGGAGAGTAACCCTGGTCCTAGGAGGAGTGTGAAGTTGCTGCAGAGACAGAGATCAGACAATGCATATCGTGAGCGCTGCGGTGCCATAGGATGAAGTGGTGCGCACTTTGACGGCGCCATGTTCTTTTGCCAAATGTGCTGATCTTTGACCATGATAGTGTGGAGGGCTTTAGCATCGTGGGTGATGAGGATGTGTTTCTGCGGAAATATTAGGACTGCGCTGTCACCAGCCGAAGAAGGTGCGCACATGGAGGAAACCTCTGACGAGCCACGCGCGGCCGTGGGCGTCTGCGTGCTCTGCCCATCGGCGCCAGCCCTGCCGCTTGAGGAAGATCGGGATAGCTCCTGGAAAGGGGAAACACTCAGTAACATTAATTAAAAAGATCGGTTCCCGCGACGCACCAAAGAAAAAGGACACGGGTTGTGGACCAGGCAAGATGTCAAGAGGGGAGCTCTTCACACGGTGGCGGACGACGATCCAGCCACAGTACGCGATCGCTACGGCGACGACGACGAGGAGGAGAGGAAGGGTCAAAGACATTGAGGTCTGTCTAGGGGAGAATGCCCAACCCGTTCATGGTGGCCGACTTATAAGGCCCGAGTACCCCAACGCGTAGCCCGCAGTCCAGATAGAGTTCTGTCTGGAACCGGGATATGCTCAGCGCGATGATGTAAGCCGGGGAGCGTCCGTTGTGGCGTCCGTCGAATCTGTCCTTTTGTCCATAACTGCCTGGGGAGACTTCCTCTGAGTGCTGGCCGGTGTCTGTAAGAGTTGCGCTGCAGACGGAATTGGCGCACCACGCCCTAGCACTCACACTCACACCATCATCATGCATCACCGCCTAGACGCCGCTCTCAGGGTCACACTTATGGCTTCTCGGGGACCTATACTCTTATGTATCAGACCCGACGGCGTGATGCTTTCTGCTCCCCAAGATCTCTCGCTTCTCCCTCTCAATCCATCGCTCTCGCAACTTCCAGGTTTGATCGCAGCAGTCCTAATACGGGATCTCATCGTCTCACTGGTTGTCGTTGTGCGCCCTGCAGCACACCTTGTCGCCGAGTACTTCTCCTTCCTTGTCTAGGTGCCACCCTCCAGCAGTCCATTTTCAGATCCAAACATCATGGCACGCAACAGTGACTACGTTCGGCATCCCTCCGTCGAGGCCGAGGCCAAGGGGGAGAGCGACGCCGACGTTGCGCCTGATTGGCTAGAGAAAGAAAACGGCGGTCAGTGCCTCCTGCTTGATATCTCGCACTCCGCATGCCCTAACGATATCTCCACCCCAGGCCCCCCTTCGCCCTCCACCGGCCTCGCGAACGTGCTCGAGCGGCACAGCGCCCTCCTCCTGCTCGTGATGTTCACACTCGTCAACGCCATGCTCCTCGCCGCTCCGCGCGGGACCTCCGCGCCCGCGGCACCGCTCTCACCCGCAAAGCTCGACTTCGCGAAGACGTTCCGCGACCCCGCTGTGCCTCATCCGCCGTCCACGACAAATCTCCCGGTGTTCGTCGCGCACCTCGACCGCGCCCGGCCCGCGGGGTCGTTCGCAGACGAGTCCGCGCCAGAGGCGTACCGCGGCGAGGTGTCTCCCCAGCGGTCCCTCCTGGTGCAGTACTTCGTAGGCGACGTTGGGACGGCGCGGTGCGCGCTCGAGGTGCGCGTCCCCGCGGCCGACTGCGACGCCTCGCCCGTGTTCCCTGCGTGGGTGCAGGCGTGGCGCGTGGAGACCGAGCAGCGCGTGCTCGAGACGCGGGACCTCGCGTCGCTGTCGAGGACGAAGCGGTTGGCAGCGTGGACGCTGGAGGCCCGGGGCACGTTCGTGTCGGAGGAGTTCGAGTGCGAAGCGCGCTCGTTCCACGCCTTTAAGCTGGCGTGTGCCGGGGCGGAGGTGTGTGCGGTGGATATGGGGACAGTCACTCCGACATCGAGTGATCGAGGTTGGTGCCAGACCTCAGTTGCCGTTAACGTTGCTCTCTCTCATCGTCGCTCTTAGGGGTATATTTGATACAGAGGCCATCTCATTAGAACCAGATTAAAGCCGACCGTCACGCAGCGTCTGAAGTAGCACGACAGACACGCTGGTAGACCACCCAGTCCCCATTTGGTCTTGTATCGAAAGATTGCTCTCGTTTTGTAGCGGGGATAGCTGTGCACACTCACTTCTCATTCTACTTTCCGTTACATGTGATAGTCCGATCCACAGACAAAACGACGTTCTAACACGTATGACCATGCCTCTAACCCTTCAGCGACTTCACCATTAGCAGCAGGCTTGGCTTCCGACTCTCCCCCATGGACGGGAACATCACCGCCGACGTGTTCCACCGCACCTCCTTTCCCGTCAGCCCGAACTCGAACGCGGACAGCAGCTCCGCCAGGACGATCTCTGCAAATTCATCGCGCGCGATCAGCCACCCCCTCCCGTCCCCTCACACCAGCAGCCGAGAGGAAGCACTCACTCATCTCGAGCTGCGAGAACTTGAAGCCGATGCACGCCCGCGCGCCCGCGGCGAACGTCATCAGGTGCGCATACACGCCCGGGATCCGCGCGTCCTCGAGCGCGGCGGGGAGGGGCGCGAGCCACCGCTCCGGCCTCCACTCCGCCGCGTCGGCCCCCCAGAGGGTGGGGTTCGTGTTGGAGGCCTGGTAGTGGATGAAGACCGTCGTGCCGCGCGCGACGGGGATCTCGGACATCGAGCCGCCGTCGCGCGTGCGCACGGGCGCGGAGAGCGGGATCACGGTGTCCTCCGCCGCTCTGCGTCGTGTGCATTCATGTAAGCGTGGGCACGGGAGGGAAAGGATGGGGAAACAGAAGTGGACGTACGTGCGCGGGGAGAATGTGACGGGCGCGAAGACGCGCAGGGTCTCGCGGCAGACGGCGTCGAGGTACGGAAGCTTCACCAAATCGTCGTACGCGATCTCCGCGCGGTCGCCGCCCTGCGCCTCGACGATCTCCGCGCGGAGCTTGCTCTGCACGTCGGGGTGGATCGCGAGCTGGTGCAGGATGCGGGAGAGCGCGTTCGAGGTCGTGTCCATTCCGGCGAGGATGAACGTCGACATCTGCGCGAGGATCTCCTCGTCCGACATCTTCTCGTGCTCCGTCGCGGCCATGTTCGCGCGCACTGTCAAAGGGGAGTGAGGAGGCAGCTTGAGAGGGGAATAAGGAATGGAGAGACGTACAGCAGATGCTCATGATGTCCTTGCCCTCGCCGACCTGGTGCTTGAGCGCGAGGTTGCCCTTCTCGAGCGCAGCCTTCTTCTGCTTGATTATCTCGGCCGAGCGCACACTCATCGCGTCTGAGAGGCCCTGGACGTCTCGCACGGCCTTGAAGGGTGCCATGCGGAAGAGGGCGCGGATCAGAGAATCAGGCAGAATGTAGGAAAGCGGAGAGATCAGGAAAGCTGGGACACGCGTGCGTGCGAGATACGGGCTGTGGGGCGCGTAATCGGCATGGTAATAGACTGGTGAAAGGGATAGTCGGGAGCGTACAAGAAGAGCTTGATCGACTCTCCGTATTCATCCGCGGCGTCCTCGGAAAAGCGGTCGAATGAATAGCCGAGGCCAGCCTGTCCGAGCATCTCGAGTGTAGTGCGACCCATCCAGTTGTTGATGTCGACCTCATGAGCGACACCTGAGGTAGGGAGACGCTTCTTGATCGCATCGTGCACCTAAAGGACGATATTCTTAATGAGGGCTCGTTTTAATCAGCGAAAATCCCTTGTTACCCTGTGTGATACGTTGTAAAAGATATGAGTCATGTCGCGAAGGTGGGCCGCAGAGAAGACAGGGTTAAGCATCTTTCGTTGGCGCCTGTGCCTCTCTCCGCCACGAAGAGAGAGAACACCGGGTCCAAGAAAGAGTGTGAAGACGCTGTTTTCACTCGGCATCAGTAGCTAGTGTCAGCTTCCCAGGACTAGACGATAACGCACTTAGAAGGGGCAATGCCCTTGGTCCAAATGTTCTGGTCTTTGACCATGATGGTGTGAATAGCCTTGGGGTCATGAATGACGACGACGCGGCGCTGAGGTAGGTCCACCACACATCAGCCGAAGGATGGCTTGCCGAAAGCTCACGTACGGCAAGAATAGTCCGGATGATGAAGGCAGGACCGTACGTCGCCGCACATTCTGCCCAACGCTTCCAACCTTGCGGATGGAAAAACTCCTGATTTCCTGGACAAATAGATCGTCGCCATTAAAGTTGATGGACTTCATATCAAGAGTACGTACCTCGGAGGAAGGATTTGGGCTCTGGACCAGAGAGAGCATCAAGGGGATAGCTAATGAGGTAGTTTCTGAAGGTTTTCCACAAAGCGTACATTATGGCCGCGCACACCGCGGCAAGGGAAATGCCGATAGAATGCATGGCTTGGACGAGGAAAGGCGGAGGAGACTCAGGCTTGGTTGAAGGAAGAACGGAGGCAACCTCGTCGTGGAGACCGAGGTTTTTTGAGGTGCTGGGTAACCTCCGTGCCGGAGAAACTGAGGCTTTGCCGCCGCTTTGGCCACGGAAGCGTCGCTGCGTACTCGTGCCCTCTGCGGGCCCAGATAGAGCCTCCGTTCGTGTGGTCGGAGGAAAAGGGGGATGGGAGGATTCTCAGCCTGGATTCGTGCTAAAAGGAGCTCCAGGCGCATTTCGGCAGACGGCTGGTCCGGGTAATGCTCGATCGGCGATCAGCGACTTGATCCATTCGGAGCCACATCCGGAGCGTTCCGCGCCGAACATGTGGTTCTGTTTAGTGAGTTGTTGAAAGCAATGGTAAGGTGATTATTAGTGCAGTATGATGGAGCACTCACGAGCTTTTACTGCCTTTGAACTGCTTAGACAACTGTCTGACGTTCTGGAGAAGAGCAAGCTGACATCATCATTTCAACCGTCGGGAGCCCCTCCGAACTACATTCGTCGCCCGGGGTACGTTCGAACCAATCCCGAGTTCTCCTCCACGAAAGCCACCCCCTACCCGCTGTGTCAAGAGTCACTTGATCGGTAGTGAATGAGATGGAAGCGAGGCTTACGGAGGGAATGACCGTTTGCGGGGAAGATTGAGGAGGGCGCAGGCGTGCCGTTGTGCCTGATTCGCTGCCGCGCTTGTCGCTTTCGATGTTACATATAGCTCTCTGGAACTAGTCACAGCAGGAAGCTTTGCACGCAAGTAGTTTTAGAAGAGCGCAATACTCAGTCACAAATCCCCTGCATACCTGTACTCTCGGCTGCCCTTCTCGGGTGCTTGCTAGACCATCAGCTTACCTGCTTGTACGCCCGTCTTCAAAACCAAGGGTCGCGCATAGGTCAGAAGCCATTTCGTGCCATAGCAGTCTGGACCTACCAGCGTATGGTGGAAGGCGATTATTCAGACTACGTACGGGTATTCGAAGTGCTGCGCTAGAACCGCACTGGCACCCCGCGACCGCGCCATTGGGACGTTCTGACGAGAGTTCCCCCCGAAGGAACCGACGAACTACCCAACGTGCCCCGTCCTCCGAAGCCGTGCATATCTCCTGCTGGAGAGTCTGTGGTACTCGAATTCTTGCAACGCTTGAACGCGTACGAGGACCTAACTGGGTTCCCAAGCAAGAACTTGGGAAGCGGCACTTCCCCAAGTGTTTCCCGACTGGTCACTTCCGGCACAGAAGACCTCGCGCGCAGGAGAATGGAGGAAAGGGCGTACCACGTCCGCGTGCGGCTTCAAGGAGATGTGGCTCAATGAAGCCCGTGTCGATCTTGCTGACAGTCGCGTTGGGGAGCGGCGGGCGGATGCTAAGGGTCTTCTCGTCCAACACCGTCGCTGCCCTCCTTCAACTTCTCCCACTCCGCCTTCGCAAAGCCCTCCGCGTGCGCCCGCTTGATGTACGAGAACGTTCTGCTCCCATACATACGAGACCCCAACTGCGATCGCGCGCGAGTACGCGTCCACCGCGGCCTCGAAAGCCCTATTTCTCTTCTCCTTCGCCTGCTCCGCCGCCAGTGACCATCGCGGGTGGCCCGCGCCGCGGCGGGCGATGACGAAGACCTTGAGAACTGAGGAAGACTCGGTGTTGGAACTGCGCCGCAAGCGGATCGCAGAAGGGCCCGATGGCCTGCGGGGCATGTGTGCATGTGGGACAGCGGGTGTGTGAAGTAGAGAGAAACGCACCGTGCACGGCCTGCAGCGCGTCGCGAACAAGTCGGTAATAATCGCCTGGCCCTTCGCGGCTCGGAGGGTGGTGTTCCGTTGGTCGACGGGTTCAATCTGTGTAGGGAGCGTCATGTCGTTTGTTCAGATCTACAGGTCGGTGGTGGTAAATGCGAGCCTGAAGTGAGGGTTTTTACCGCAAGGGCGTGGTGGTTGTGAGCTATAAAATGGGGCCGCCGTAAACTAGGAAGGGGATTTGCGAGGGGTTAGGATGGGGGAGGAGGAAGAGAAGAGACGCGCAGTGCTTTGGGCGTGCAGGTATCGTTCGGGCTTGTGGATGAGGTCGATTTATGATACCCTACCAAATATGTATGTGAAGATGCGTGTGTTGTCGACGCTGCCGTCAAGTTGGTGGGTGAGGTTGTCTCACACGAGTCACGAAACGCGCATAATGAGAACATGTCTACATGTGCTCATAAATACACCGTGAAGCGCTAACGATACAAATGGGCCGCATCAAGAAATACAAACCAAACGGAGTACATAAACGACCGTCCAACAACCTACCGCTCCTCACTCCTCGACATCCACCTGGAGCCGAAGCAGTATCACACGCCGGCAGACGGGGCAGCAGCCCGTCTTCACGAGCTCCTTCACGATGCACCTACATCGCGAACACGAGCATGTTAGCCCACCGCACACGCGCGAGTCGAACCGAGCGACGAGAAAAACGTACGCAGCGCAGAAGATGTGCCCGCACATCGCCGCCATCGGCGACTGGCACGGGTCCTCCTTGCAGATCCTGCAGTGCCACTGCGACGCGACCGGCGCGCGCCCGCGGCCCTTGTCCAGCGAGTCGCGCGCGAGCGCGGCCAGCTTCGGCTTGGGCGTGACCGCGTCGGGCTCTACGCTCGCCGGGACCGTCTCGTCCGTACCAGACGACGAGGACGGGGAGCCCGGGATGAAGGCTAGTTCAGTTGTGCGCGCATCAGTATTATTGTCCGCGGCGCAGGATGAAGAGGAGACGCACGAGGGACGGCCACCTGACGAAGGGCAGACGGCGGGCGCGAGCTCCCGCCACTGACGCTCTGGCGCGCCGCGCCGACCGGCGGCGTGACGGGCACGAGGATGGGCGAAGGCGACGGCGACGGCGAAGGCGAGTACGCGACGAAGGACCCCGCGCGCGAGCGCACGGGTGTCGCGACGTGGGGCGTCGGTTGCCTGCTCAGGCTCGCGCGGAGCTCTGGCACGACCGCCGGGGGCGCCTCCCATGCCCTGACCTCCTCGTCCGCGAAGTGCGGGTGCATGTGGGCAGCATGCGGCACGGGGTACGCGACGCTGTGCGCGAGGCGCGAGGACACCGACGAGAACGAGCGCGTGCTGAGCACTGGGGACGGGAACCTTTCCGGCATGACCACATCCGGGGCTGGGGCTGGAGGCGCGACGGGAGGGGACGCGAACGATGACGCGCGGGAGGTGCGCGCGCTCGCGACCGCAGACTTGAGCTTGCTCGTCACCGGGGGCCAGTCCAGCGTCGCCGGCTCGGTCTTGGGGGATGCGGTGTGCGTGCTTGGGGCACGGCTGTGTGCACGTGTGCTGACCGCACGGCTCGGGAGTTGGCTCTGCGGCTGGCTGCGGTCCGCAAAGTGGCTGTGGCTGCTCATCACGCTCGGTGCGCGCTCAGGCAAGGCCAGGCGCGGCAGCGCAGGGGGCGACGACGGCGCTGGGGAGGGTACCGGTGAGCGGCGCACGCGACGGGGGACCTGTGGGGCGAGGCTGAGATCCGCGGTGGGGGGCGGCGGGGGGCTCGGGCTCGAGCCGATGGAGGAGGGCGCAGACTGGAGGGACATCGTCGACTCGCTGTCCGCGTGGCGCGCGGGGCCGCGCAAGCTTCGGAAGTGCGTACGGTCAGCGTGGTGTGCGTTGAAGTGGAGCGCGCGCGCGAAGGACGAGGTCGCGGAGGGAGGCTCGGGGGAGAGGCGAGCGAAGACGTGCGCGGGGTGCACCACGGGAGAGTGGACGTACTGCGCGTAGTCGAGTGAGCGCTCGGAGATGGTTGGAGACCTCCACGTCCCGGACGCTGGCTCGTCGTCGATGACACTCCCGTATCCTGGACTGGGGGTGAGATTGGCGAGCAGCATGGCGTAGACGAACTGACCAATCGAGGACGTGAGAGTAGGGACAGTGGGCTCGGACAGAGCGCGCTGGACGTGGCTCGACGCCTCGACAGAGTGGTAAGTCTGCCGCTCTAGTTGAGTGAATGGTCCTCATCAGCTGAAGAGGAAGGACCTACATCGTCTTCATCATGAGCACCAACTTCGTCTTCATCAGCAACGTCAACCCTATCCTCCACGACCGCCAAAACTGTGGCGATCGACATCACATTCGCTAGTGTTTGTTCCATTGGGGTCGACGGGGAAGATAGCGAAGACCGTGCGGTGAACTGTGACTCCATCATGGATGCGACAAGGATCTTCAAGATGAATGGTCAGCTACGTACATATCCTGTACTTGCGCTCAAAGAACGCACCGAATCTCCAAGCGGCATGACGACAGGGCCTGGCATAAGCGCAACAGGTTCCGGCGACGGAGCCTTTGGAGCCGGATGGTTGATTTCCATATGCTGCCCGCGATGTTAACAACGATGTGGGTGTACCTGCAACTGATTGCTTACTTCATCGCAGGCGTCCTCATCTGCGAAGCCGACTTCGCAAAGGGCACAGTGAGGGTGGGAAGGCGAAGTCATGTAGTGGTTCTGCAGGTCTTCCACAAGGCGGAACTGTCGGGTGCAGAAGCGACAGTAGCTATCCTGATGAGATTTGGAGACATGCTGCATATGGGTTTGTTATTCGGTACGTCAGAGAAGTAATACACCACTTGCCTCGTCACACTCGACGAGGTTCACGAAACCCTCGGCACAAATGAAGCACGAGGGGTGCCCCGGAGACTGACGGTAGTGCTTCTTGATGTCCGCGTCGGCAGCGATCTCCCTGCCACACGTGCAAATTACCATTGGGGGATGCGCTTGCCGGACATGCTATAGCTCCATCATCAGCTCTTCTCCTGGCGCCCACCTACTCCCCTAATCCCAACCACACGCACCTCGGTGAGCTGCAGCCTCCCAAGCACGACCACGCCGCACTTGTCGCAGAGCGGGTGGCTGACGGAGTGGAAGTCGAGCTGTTTCTGGTCGACGAACGCCGCGCCGCACGTGGCGCATTTGGGGTGCGTGGACACCGCGCGGAGGTGCGCCGCGAGCGCCTCCGACGCGGCGAAGTCCACACCGCACGGCACGCACTTGAACGGCTTCGTGAGGTGCTTGTTCGCGTAGTGGCTGTCGTACGCGATCTTGTCCGCGAAGCCGAGCGCGCATGGGCGGCACTCGAACGCCGGCTTCGGCGCGGTGGATGGGGTTGCCGAACGGAAGGAGTTGGGGACTGGAAAGCTCACGGCGGGCCTTGCCGTGGTGTTGAACGGGCTTGAGCGGCCCCCCGTGGAGGAGAGGATGGGGACCGTGACCCGGACGGCGGGGGAGGGCGCGGCGATCCGAGGCCCTGGCGGGGCGGGGAACGCGTGTCCTTTGTCCTTACAGTGCTGGATGAGGCCGGCCTCGTTCTTGAGGGTCCTGCCGCAGGTCGTACACTCGAGCAGCATGGTCGCGAAGTGGAGGGAGGGGAGACAAAGGACGTGAGCGAGTGAGCGCAGACATATATGCGACGCCTAGCGAAGCCTCGCGCGTGCCGCACGGTGGAGGGGCCCTACACAACCCTGTTCCCGCCCGGTAGAATTCGAAGCTCTCTTGATCCCGAAGGCTGCATGGTTTCATTATGAAAACATGCCCGATCTTCTAAACGTGTCCTGTCAATTCGTGATCGTCCCCGTGCAGCCCGCAAGACACACCTAGCGAGCTCGGTACTGCTGTTTACCAATTCAGGGTTGAAGGGAAGTTCGGTGCCGCCAGAGATGAGCGGACTTACGCTTCATTTCCAAACATGATGTCCACGCAGCTCGGGGTTTCTGCGGTTCAAGACTGGGATTTTCCCCGCTTCATCATGGGTTATCTTGTCTTGACTATCACGGGATCCCACCGCTGCTCCGAGTGAAAGATGATGTATTAGCTTGAGTAATCCACTCATATGGTGTACATGAACAGGGACCTTTACGATCAGACTACTGGAAATACTTCGAGAACGCGGCTTTCCACGCCTCCTTCCCGTTGGTTTCGATCACATCCTGCATATACCTGATGAGGATCCTCATGGGCAGTGATTGGGATATAACATACCCCATGACAAGGAATGATTCTGTCGAAATTCCAGCCGGACACTATGGTCGCGTCGCGCTTCATCGCTCTGGTAAAAGGACATGAGCATCTGTGTCTGCAGGCTTACTCAAACGCGCGCTGACTCTTTATCAACACCAGCCATCCAAAGGAAGTTCTTATGGAAGCTTGAAAACGGGTTCATGTCTCCAAAAATGGGGAACCTTCCTGACGAGCCTGTCGTGGAGTACTGCTCCGTCGCTGGAAGGTTGAAGATCAGATCGGCTACAATGAGCGACTTGGATGCGCGGTGGAGGAAGGCGGCATCTTTGTTCCGGAAGCCAGAGAAGTAACTGTTTGTAGACACTGTGAGCAGGTTGTTACAGGTACAAAACCGCGAAGTGCATACAGATGTTGTATCTATGCAGGCTCGTCAGACCCTGCTCACACATTGAGGAATGCCAACACTCACATCGTCTTCGAAACCATATTTCGTGCCCTCAGGGTCCTTTCCCCAGGCTGTAGACGCAGTGTTGGTGAGTGCAAACGCACGAATGGACAAGTATACGCACAACCGTCAAACGTCAGCCCTTCCTTCGTCTTCTTCTGAATGGCTTCCTCTACCGCGATCAACTTCGCGTCGGGATACTCCTTCTTGTACGGACCTGAATTCGCAACGCGATGTTGAAGGTCGCGTATGGCACAATGGTATAACAGCAGACGTACCAAGGAAGAGGTGGTGCACCGCGTCTGCTCCAACGATGTACTTCACCGGTCCGAGCTCATTTAGCTTTGCCTTCGTGTCCTCTGTGAGAGGCGTCGAGGCAAGCACCCAGACTCCGCCATCCTGGAGCTTGATGGCGGTTGAGCGTCCGCCGACTGGGAAGATGTTGAAACGTGCAAACGGACTGCAGGACCGTGGTTCGACATACGAGCAGACTCGTGGGGATCACTACGCACCACGAAAATGTCCAGACGCCTTCCGCGACCTGCGTCGCACCGATACATCAAGCCAAAGTCGCCAAGGGGCGCGGGAGGTGGCAGACCCACCTCGCGGATAGCAACTTTGGTGGTCGTCATGGTTGGAGAGAACGTGTGGGAGCACAGTCGCACAGAGAGACGGGGTGATGGGCGAAGCAGGGGAGCGATGCGGAGCGTGATTGTCGCGCCATGGCGGCCCAGCATGCACCCTATATAGGCGGTCGGAGAGCGAAGGTAACCGAGGCGGGGGAAAGGGAGAGGCCTGGGCACACGCGATCGCGTTCGTCGAGCATGACGTCGGCGTCAGATCCGGCGCGCGGCAACTGGGGAGCGGCTCTTGTTTCGACCACACATGCGCGGAGGTAGGCTTGCATTCATAGAAATGGGCAGGCGTATTAATAGGGTATACGGTGGATACACAGACTCGGACATTGAACACCAGAAGCAGCAGAGAGACCGAAATCACTTCAAGTACCGTGCATATACGGTCCTCCAGGCTTTGTTCCCCTCCTTCTCGATCACATCCTGGACGAGTAACACTGTCAGCATAGAACCTCCACTACCAACGCGCTGGCACATACCCCGTGGCAAGGAATGACTCTCTCGAAGTCCCACTCAGCTACGGTCCTCGCGTCCCGCGCCATCACTTCCTTGTCAACCCCCAACGACCAGACGAAGTTGTGATGGAACTTGTTGTACGGATGCAGATTCTTGAAGATGGGGAACTTTCCGGAAGAGCCCGTTAGTGAGTACTGCTCTTTCGCTGGGAGGTTGAAGAGCAAGTCGGCCTCGATCAGTGTTTTGGACGCCTCATGGAAGAACGCTACGTCCTTGTTCTTGAATCCAGAGAAGAAGCTGCCGCTGATGTCAGCGCTGATGCTTTGATACTGCTTCAGGTCACTCACACATGCTTTATCTGCGCAGCAGACATCCGTCACGTCGATCAGCATTAAGTGTGCATGAACAGCCCACTCACGTCATCCTCAAAGCCGTAGTTCGTGCCATCTGGATCCTTCCCCCAAGCTGTCGGGCGAGTTTTGTCAAGTGCAGCCAGAAGAACGCTGGGACAAGGGACGTACATCCATCAAATTTGAGACCCTCCTTGGCCTTCTTCTGGATCGCCTCCTCCACAGCAATCAGCTTCGCGTCTGGGTACGCCTTCTTGTACTCCCCTAGTACGACCGTGCGTGTCAATCTATGACTGAACACATCTCACAGTGCGAAGCAGACATACCAAGGAAGAGATGGTGCACGGCATCTGCACCGACGATGTACGTGACGGGTCCGAGTTCGCTCAACTTCGCCTTCGTCTCTGGCGTCAACGGCGTCGAAGCGAGGACCCAGACTCCGCCGTCGCTCAGCTTGATGGCGGTCGAGCGACCACCGAAGGGGATTAGGCCGAACCTCGAAAACGGTCTGGGGGGGCTGTGGAGTCAGCGCCGGGATGAAGTGAGTTCAACAGTACGCACTTGGAGAAGGTCCAGACGCCATCCGCGACCTGGATGCATTTCCTCAACTTGTGGCTCGCTTCGGAGCAGGAGTGCTGACGCACCTCACGGATAACGACGGTACCAGCGTTCTTCGGCATGGTAATTCAGTAGGTGAGGGCTGCGACAGGGGATGTAACACCAGGAGAGCGGAGAAGCTGTTCGTCGTTCCGTCGAGGGACGGTCGTTATATACACGCGGCATGACCATATCTGCATGTCATGGTCTGATCCGTTCGCGAGAGCAGGGCCTCGGAACACCGCCCGTGCTGGCGACTCGCGGAGGCCTCGCGGTGCCAATCTTACAGAGACTAGGCTAGGCTGGCATCTCAAATTCCATCTAAGTTTGCACCGGTCCCTGCGACGAACAATCTACTTACATCGGGCCAAATGCGGGCGCTGTCCATCATCACATCGGGGTAATGCGCGCAAGGCGCGGACACAAGGCGCGATGCTTGACGATGGTGGTGGCTCGGGCAGGCCGCAGGGATCTCCGTCTGAGTAACTTTTCCTCTATTGTTTTTGCTTTCCCGGCACTTCTAATGGCGCTCCATTTGATTCAAATCTCCTGTAGTGCCTTTGTTTGGCGTGTATTCCCACTTTCCTTCGCCGATCGCGAAGCCCCACGCGTGATCGGGGCTTTGCTTGCACACGGAAAAGCAGATGATACGTTCTGTCATCGTGAATTATTCTGCGCACACTGACGTCATGTGGTGGTGTGTTTCTGTCCCAGATCTAGACCAGGCTGTAGAGTCCAGTGTACGAATCTTCAAAGCTTCAGTCGTCCGCGCTGAAGCTGCGTCGCCGCGACAGTACTTGCTCGCCCTCAACATCCAGCACTTCGGTACTTGCAACACCACCGGGTTCAGGGTCGTGCACGGTGTGCTCGCACTCATGGCCCTCGCGTGCGCTGACTCGCGTTCGGCGCGTGGCACCGACGCCCGCCGCGGTGCCTCCATCGCGACCGTTCGCGCGCGGGTGCGGCGGCAGAAAGGACCCGCAATTCACGGCTGTAGAGGAGACGTGGCGCACGGACCGCGAGGTGCGCGGGCGCGAGCTCGAGCGAACACGAGCGGGCCTGGCGCAGATTCCACCCTCACCGCGTTGCGCCCGCGACGTGTGTGCATGCAGCTCGTCTGTTTGCATTCGTTCATTGGAGCATGATGGAAAGGGTACCGCGCGAAGCGCGGCAGCGCTTGTCTCCATCATAATCATGCTGTGCTCCAGCCAGTTGAATTTGCAAGGGCCCAACCGCCCACGTTCAGATGCGCGGTGACAACGCGGTGATTCTGGACAAATTCTGGAGGCTGTGACCAAGACTCAAAAACACGTGACGGCTGTCACTTAACGGAGTAGCTTAGTACAGAAAAACCGGAAACTCGGAGACAGCTCCGGCATTTGCGTTGAGTTACAGGTGCACACCCCGGATCCACCCCGAACCTACAAGCACTAGGTGTACTACCAGAACGACTCGAGGGCGTGGCGCGTTCGGGAGCCCTCCGGCGAGACAACGTCCACCTCAGGCCTGAGCGACATAGCCTTCTCGAACTTCCAGCCCATCGGCAAGAAGTCATTGATCCATCGCAAGACGTCGGGGGAGCTGCTGCAGATCGCCAGAATCCGCTGCATGGTCTGCTCCATGTCCATGCTGGAACAGTGGATGCATGAGTCTATTTGCGGCCAGCTCACTTTTAACGAGCGCGCTCACCTGCAGTCATCGTGCTGCCGGAAGACTCTGAAGAGGTCTTCGAACGCTCCCGGCTTTTTGGCAAGCTCGCCCTTGGCCGAGATTATGAATGCAACGGCCTTGCACATACGCCTTGCTGTGAATCGTTCCTCAATACCTGTCATGAACACAAGATGAATGACAGAGCTGCATGATGTGAGATTTCATGAGATACCAACCAATGACCGCTTGTGTCTTGGGGTCGAGTGCAGTGGATGTACTGGCCTGTGGTTGGTCACCATTGAGTTCTTCTTCGAATATCGAGTTGGTTATGGTCAGGACGGCGAAGGTCATTGCTCAGCGTGGGTGATGGATGGCAGATCTGTGTTCTGAGTTCTCAAAAATATGCGAGGGGTCTTTATACCTGGGGACCGAGTGGTTGGCAAACATTCCGAACACTAGTCACGTGGTAAGTTGCATCTAGTGGAAGCAATCACCACGGCCCATAATGGGAAGTCAAAAGGAGAACAATGGAGCGCAGGCCAGCATCAGGATGGATGGAGGTTGTGGTGAGTGTTGATTGTCCGCCATTTTCGGCCACATTGAGATTAGATAAGATTGGGTGTTTTGTAATCTGCACCTCCGAGCAATGGGCCACGCCCTCCGCACTCGTTGCTTTCATACCCCCCGATTCACACTTTCCTGCGTTCGCGGCATGGATCAAGACTATCCCGCTATTCTGCATCCCATCGCAACACTAGAAGGTGATCCTCTTTTCAGTCTCCATTCGACGCTCTCATCGAACATCGTCCAGGTCACGGTGACCGCGCATGGCACGTCGCGTGGAATCCAGTGAAACCCCTCCTCGCCTCATGCTCCGCGGACAAGACGGTCCGGATGTACGCATACACCCCATCTACATCCAAGTTCTCCCACATCTCCACGATCCCAACCGGGCACGCGAAGACCGTGCGTGCGGTCGCGTGGTCGCCATCCGGCGCGACGCTCGCCACCGCATCCTTCGACTCCAACATCGGCGTGTGGGCGCAGGAAGACGCGGAGGACGGAGACAGCGATGGCGAGGGCGTGCTCAATCCGACGAGCGAGTGGGAGTGCATGAGCCTGCTCGAGGGGCACGAGACGGAGTGCAAGAGCGTCGCGTACTCGCCGTCCGGGAACCTACTGGCGAGCTGCAGTCGCGATAAGACGGTGTGGGTTTGGGAAGGTGCGTGGCTCAAGCCCTTTCATTTGGCGTGCGTGCTGAAGACGGATCTTGCAGTACATCCGGATCATGACTTCGAGTGCATGGGCGTGCTCATGGAGCACACGCAGGACGTGAAGTGTGTAACATGGCATCCGACGGAAGAGGTCAGTCTTCTTTTCGCGCGCTCGGTGTTCATGAACGGGCCTGTTCGTTTCCGAGGCTGGATTAACACCCATGACGGCCATGAGTCATGGCCGCGCCAGTCCGCTGCGAGCCTGTTCCACGAAGGATCCCCACATCAGACGGACCGGTGGATCCATAGTCCTGTCCGCTCCCGGATTCGGGCTCCTGGTTCTGACATGTTGTTTCTGTGCTCTCACGGACGACGGTAGGAGGTTGAGAGTACTCAGAGAACATGTCGAGACCGGGAGGATTAATCATACATCTAGCCGAGGGCTCAGCTACTGGTCCTAACGATGGTCCGGACTCTAATGCTTCTCTGGATCCTCTGTTATACCCATGGTTGGCGTAAGATCCGCGGGCGATGGTCGGGAGGCGTACACAGATTAGCTCGCTGTCCCATCACAAACATTTTCACGCACCGCGCGCCGTGACTTCCTTCCATGTGCTCACCCGCCACCCAGCGCAGATACTCGCATCTGCATCCTACGATGATACCATAAAGCTCTACATCGATGATCCGCAAGAAGACTGGTACTGCTTCCAGACCCTCTCGGGACACGCTTCAACCGTCTGGTCCCTGGCATTCTCTCCCGACGGCCGTTTCCTCGCCTCTGCGTCCGACGACGGCACAATACGCTTTTGGGAGCGCGTTCAAGAGCACAAATGGGAGTGCGTCGAGATTCTCGAAGCTCACGAGCGCAGGATAGGGTCCATCAGCTGGGGCAAGGGAAAGCCTCTGAACGCCGGAGAAGAGAGTTTAGGCTGGCTCGCAAGCGCAGGCGACGAAGGCGCGATCAACATTTGGAAGATCGGGGTGAGCCGTTTCATCATCCAGGTTTGAGAAGCTACTCATACATCTCTTCAGGTCGTGCCCAGTGAGAAGGACCCGAGTCGAAAGGCCATCACGCATACACTCATCGCGAAGTGCGTGCAACCACACGATATCCATGATGTGAACACCGTGGCGTGGTGTCCTCGTGTAGGTCTTGAAGACCTGCTCGCCACTGCAAGCGACGACGGTGTGGTCAAGGTATGGAAGGTTGCCCCGTCGTAGCTGAATGACATGAAAGTAAGTAGCGTAGTGCTGTGTATGACCACAAAGAATAGCGTATCGTTATACAAAGACGCTCGAGGCGGCCATGCCACTCGACATTGGCCATCTGGACAAAGACATTGATTGCCCCATGCAAAGGGACGGGGCATATTAAAAACCACGCGAGTCTTTCCTACTATCCGTTCCATCCGTTCCTCCACACGTTCGCCGCGCGACACACTATCCACCTATCCACCGGCCCCAGGGCTATCCTGGCCCCGCGCCCTTGCGCCTCCATGTTCTTTCCCTCGCAAATACCCTCCGTCATCCCCGCGTTGAGCTTGGACCCCCTGAAGACCCCGCCCGCCATGCACGACGCCTTCCCCGCCAGTTCCTCTGACGACGACTCCGACCCCCAAACCACCCCTACCCGGCGGCGGTTCCACTCCGACTTCACCACCACGATCACCAGTCCGAGCGGGCGCGCGAGCCCGTTCCACACGTGGGAGTGGGACGAGCCCGGGGTCGCGTCGCTGCCGGACCCGCGGCGCGCGACGGACCTCGTGCTTGAGGGGCTGGGGGAGCCCGAGGCGCGGGCGGCGCGTGCCGAGTTCCTGCTCGCGCTCAAGGGCGAGTTCGCGCGGCGGCCGCGCGAGTACGTGCAGATGCTGCACGCGCTGGGCCGCAAGGACGCGAGCGGCCGGTGAGTGTGCTTCTCGTGCTCTTGGGGCGTGCGTGCGTTGTGGCTCATGTTTGGGCGGTGGAGGCAGGCCGGACGTGAAGGCGATCGTCCACGAGGCCTCGCTGCTGTTTCGCGGCATGCGGGACTTGACGCTGTGCTTCAACCATATTTTGCCGCCGGGATACAGGCTGGAGGCGTTCGAGGATTATGTGTTGGTGTTGGTGTTTGGGAAGGGGTGGAAACAGTACCCTGACGGACGGCGGGAGCCGTTCTCGACATATTCCCGTTGATTTTCCGTAGGATACTGCTATTGTCTGTACTCGTCCCCTGTAGCATAGAGCCTGATAGTCGGACCTGTCTTCGCAATGTTCGCGCAGGAATTGTACATTGAGCAAGATATGTGGTACAAGATGCAGGGAGATGAGATGGGTATGAACACAATACTTTACATTGTGGGTGTTGATTCGTACACTTCACATATATCTCAATCCTTCACGCCTTCTTACAATCGCGCTTGTGGTCTGACCAATGTTTCTTCTGACAGACGCCATCACAGTACCTGTGCCAGATTTCAGGACAGGGAAGAAAGCAACTGAGAGACACCACGCACCTCGTCTTGCCACAACCACCACATTTCTTTAAGACCGCACTGGGGTTGCTGCACCACGAGCAGCGATAGAGCGCGACGTTGCTTGTGCTGATCTTCGGGTGCGTGCAAGGATGGCGGCCGTGCTCATCATCATCGTCGTCGTCGAGCTGCATGTTCTCGAGCCACGCCGCGAGGTCGTCGTCCGCCTGGGACGACGAGAGCGGCTTGAGTGCCTCGCCCCCGCTGGCGTTCATCTCGTCAAAGTGCTGCACAAACGGACCCCACTCCTCCGAGGCCTTGGAGTACAGCTTGAGGATGAGCATGCGCGCGAGGCGCGTCTGCGTCTTGTTGATCGCGAGCCCGAGCATCCCCATGAACTCGGCGGCACTGTTGATCTTCCGCTGAGCAGCCTACCCAGCAGCGTCAGGACGGTCCTCCACATGAAAGCAATGGGTACTCACCGCCAGCTCCGAGAGGTTAGTGCTGAGCTCCGGGCCCTTGATAGCGAGCGTGAGGAGGATGTACCAGTCGAGGATGCCCATCATGTGCCGGTTGTCCGGCGGCGCCTCGGCGGTGAACGTCTTCGCGTCCTCCCAGGCGGACATCAGGAACGCGACGCCCTCCGTGTGCTTGCCCTCGCCCTCGCGCGCGGTCGCGAGCGTCGTCGTGCCCATGTCCCCTGCGTGCTCGATCGCGCGCCAGAGCATGTTCATGCGCAGGAACGGCGTCACCTTCTTGCACTTGAGGCCTTTCTTCACCGCGCGCAGACCGCGCTCGTGCTCCGCGCCCATACTGAGCGCGTAGTACGCGTACGTGAGCTCAGGGTTGCGCGCGAGAGCGCGCTCGGCGAGGTCGATCGCGTCCCTGACGCGTTGCCGCATGATGAAGAACTTGAGGTCGAGCACGTCCGCGGCGTCGAGATCCCCGGGGAGACCACGCTTGCGAAGCTCGCGCGCGCAGCATGGCAGTGAGTCCGTCCACATCTTGAACGGCAGGCCGACATCCATAATTTCGAGCCGACCCCGCGCGTCTTCGGCCTGGAAGCCGCCCTCGGCGATCGAGTATTCGGTGCGCTGAATAAGCCCGGCGAGTGTCTCCCCGAGCGAGAGCAGGTTGCGGTCCTGTGCGGCGCGCATCATCGCCTTCTGGTAGTCGACCGACGCGCGGATGGTCATCGTGATCTCGGCGCGCTCCATGCCGTAGTCAACAAGGATTTCACTGAGGTGCGGCGGGACGCCCCCGCGCTGGAACATGGCGATGAAGCGTTGCGGGTCGAAGTTCTGGTAGTCGAACTGCGACTCGCTCGCGGTGTACCGGATGATGCCACACAGTGCCTGGCAGCGAACGCCGAGGTTTGAGCTGCGCAGCAAGGCGACCAGGAGGTTGAGCAACCCGGGTGCGGCGGCGCATTCTTTCGGGCAGTGTTGTGTTGAATTGATGAAGAGGCTGATGGCGTGGTCGATCATGTAGTGGGATGCGATGGGCTTGCGGATATTCTCCATGGTAGTCTGCATCACGTCGCGAACGTTGACAGCTTTGACAACCCGGGGGTCTGGGGTCTCGTCAAGGGCTAGGACCGCGCCAGTTGCGTGAGATATGGTCACCGTCACGAGCTCCATGACTTTTGCGTCGTCGGGATGGGCGCGCATTAGTTGAATGAGCTGTAGGTTCTTCTTGGCGATTTCGGTTCGAGCGTGGACTCCACCGTGGTGAGTGACGAGCGCGAGCGCGTTAAGACCCATCAGGCGCGTAGAGTCGATGTTTAGAATCGGCATAATGCGCGAAAGTAGACCTAACGACGACCAATGAGCAAAAAGGCAGCTACTTGGACCTGTTGCACCGCCTACCTTTCTGGAAAAGTTTGTCTCTGAGGATGGCGTCCGCGCACATCTTCGACCATATGCCAACGATGCCTCCCATAGCTCGCTCTATTCCGCGCTTTTCTGCCGTTACAAACGCACTGTCTAGTCTTGAATACAGTCTATCGAAGTGAGCATGGACCTTCTTGAGCCCGTGTCGAGTGGTGAGATCTGTGGACCACGAGTAAATCCGCGCACTGGATGGATATCAAAAATATAGCATGAGAATAAAATGTATACCCTCCACGCATAGTTCGATGGCGCTTGCCGAATATCTCATAGTCTCGTTCATCGCGGCGACACAGCCTAGGAAACTCGGAGCTTAGAGTGCATGTACCACATGTGGGGCGTTCGGGTTCCGTCTCCGCGGACACCCCCGAACGACACTTTGTCTCCGAGGATGTCACCTGAGTCCATAGATGCCATATAGCACCAGGAGAACGCGAATTCGGGTAGTCGAAATCGGCAACTCGGTGTCGGTAATGAAAGCGGCCTAGAGCTGCTTTCATCGCCATCCCCAGTCCGCAGGTAGAAACCATGTCTGAAATCGGAAATTGGGCTGAGAACCCAGAAATTTATCTGCCGTGTACCATATGTAGTCTCAATGGGGAGCAAGACGTGCGGTGCGATTTGGATGTTATAGAATTGATATATGTATGCAGCTTTTCCAACCACCGCGGATTCCGAGTACGAGCACAAAGATAACAAAAAAGTGTGAAAAATACGCACCAGGGAGTTCAAAGTGTCTACACAGCATCTCTACGGTCGCCTGCCATGTCGCACCATCATCGATATCCGCGAATAAGCCCTCTGGAATCGTGAAAGTGCCAGCGCCTGATGCTGAGCTTGCGACAGCACTAGACGTCGAGGGCGTCTTTCTCTTCTTCTTGTTCTGTGAGCTGGGGCCGGGCATAGTGTGGCTGCGGCGATCGAGGGGCAAGCGTGGGGGAGGGAAAAGGTCTGGAGGGGGCAGAAGCAACCTGGGCGGCCCTCTTATGCGAGAGCTTGAGTTAAGGACGCGTCGCGTCGCGTCTTGTCAATTCATATCGAGAACTTACATAATCTAATCTCTCATTTGCCTTTGGGTGAGAGTATTACGCCTCTCTCCTTCCCATTTCTCAGCATGCGTCGAGTCATCATCCTTCTCCTCCCCTTTCGCCGTGACTCGAGACGGTCTCATACAGACTGATCTTTGACCACTCCATCTCCCGCACTATCGTTATTCACACCCTCTCTCGGACCGCACCAGATGACAATCCTTGGCCTCGCCCCGGAGCTCTATCCCACCAAGCCGGCACACTTCGACATTGAGCGCGTCATCCGCCCCAACATTCTCGCCCTACACCCGTACCGCTGCGCCCGTGACGACTACGACGAGGGCATCCTCCTTGACGCCAATGAGAACGCACTCGGCCACTCCATCCCGCCGGACGCGGACATCGATCCGGAGATCCAAGGCACGTTGGGACTCAACCTCCACCGCTACCCCTCTCCAAGCCACGACCCGATAAAGTCACGCATCGCTGAGCTGCGTGGATTGCCGGGGACGGAGTATGTGTTCTTGGGAGTGGGCTCAGATGAGGTCATCGACCTGCTCATTCGAGTGTGCGTCGCACCTGGGACAGAGAAGATTCTGATCACGCCGCCGACATATGGTCCGTTCTCTTACGTTGTCTCCTCCCCATAACGCTACTAAAAGTGTCGATGACGCTCAGGTATGTACTCTGTGTGCGCACAAGTGAACGACGTAGGAATTGTCAAGGTCCCCCTAGAACTTAGTGGAGATGCGGGGGAAGGGGGGGAGCAGGGCAGATTTTCCGTGAAGGTCGATGAGGTGCGAGCTGCCCTGGCCGGACTCCTTCTGAGCTACGATTGAACCATTTTCTTGTTCAGGTGAAGCAAGCCGTAAGGGCCGACCCGTCCATCAAGATCATCTTTCTCTGCTCTCCCGGAAACCCAACGGGAACGCTTATTTCTCTCAAGTCTGTACGTGAGCTCTTAGAGCTTGAGGACTATAAGGGTATTATTGTTGTGGATGAAGCCTACATCGACTTCGCGGACGAGTCAGCAAGTGCAGCCAGTTTGGTCAAGGAGTACGCCAACCTCTGCGTTTCCCAAACACTGAGCAAGAGCTTTGGTCTTGCCGCTATCCGGTATGTTCAACTCGACTGCATGTGGGCGGCGCTCTTACGCAGCGTACAGACTAGGCATTGCATTGGCCCACCCGTCTCTCATCCAGATTCTGACGAACACGAAGGCACCATACAACATCTCCACCCCCACCGCTTCCCTTGCCCTTGTTGCTCTGACCTCTGCTGCTGTGACCCACATGCAGAAGAACGTTTCAACTCTCGTCAGTACGCGCGGGACTCTCCTCCGCGGGCTAGAAACGCTCGCACCTTTGGGCGTCGGGAAGGCCATCGGTGGCAACGACGCGAACTTCGTGGTAGTTCCATTCTTGGAGAAGAATGGCAGCGGAAAGCCGGACAACGCTCGCGCCCAGACTATATACAAGACCTTGGCCGAGAAACTGGGCGTCGTCGTTCGCTTCCGCGGGAACGAGCCAGGATGTCTCGGCTGTGTACGAATTACGGTGGGGAGCGAGGAGGAAATCAGTGCACTATTGAAGAAGCTGGAAGGATTACTGAAGACGGTATAGACGTGCCAGCTGCTGCATGTACGAACAATGTACGACGTTGCTACCGTGTAGGACTTTTTGTGATTGCGCGATTGTGCCAGTGGGACCATACACCACTGCACCACTGGTATCTGGGTGAGTTTTCCCTTCCTGATCTGGCTCGGGACACATGCTAATTTGATCTGACAGAGGTTTTCTCTACATTGTGCGTCCTGTATGTAAAGTCGTTCCTTGTCTTGCAGCGTCCAGCTCGGACCCAAACCCGACCCCCGGACGCCGTGCTCCATCCACCACAACCCCAACGCCCCGTGCTCCTGAGTACTGAGTGCCCGCAGGTGGGCAGTAGATGCGGGTCTGGCCAATGCTGAAGCGCCGACGGAGTGGCGCCGCGGATCGACTTGACTGTAGCGCGCGGCAGTGACATCATCGGTCTGCTCGCAAGAGCCGTCTGCAGGATGACGTCCGAGGGCTCGTCATCGACGCTGCCTTGCTATAAGGACCCCTGGCTCCAACGTTCGACCTCCTTCTGTCCCCAACCTTCACTACCACTCCCCACATTCATCGCATACACCCACCATGTCTCTGCCCCAGGCTACCAAGGATGTCTCTGAGAGGCCCGCCGCCGTGTGTATAATCGGTTGCGTTCATATACCTGCCTATTGATATCTGTTGTATAGACCTCCGTCGTCGATCCAATCGACAAGAAGACCCAAGCAGAGGATGTTGACCGCAAACTCGGTGTCGTCGGCGTTCTCAAGGCTTTCTCCGAATCTCGCATGCCTTCCAACGAGCAAATCGACAAGTTCCTCAAATACGTACTTCAGAACTCCCCCGTTGATACCAAGGAGCTCTCCCACGACGGCCAGCGGCTCATCGAAGACACGCGCGACATCATCGAGAGCGCGCGCCTCATCGTCCAGCAGAAGAACGCCGATGAGCTCTTCCAGAACTTCGTGTGGCATACACGCGACGTGGACCTTACCCAGGCGAAAAAGGACCCCAAGGAGGTTGTTCCCGTCGACAATGGGAAGGTTCAGGAAGATGGACGCGAGGCCGTCAAGCATCTCCGGACCCTCCTCTCCCTCGTTATGACCAACGCTGAAGTGCGCAAGCTCTTAACCGACTTTTCGACCATCGGTCGCGACATCCTCGCCCGCACCGCCAGCAAGGTCGCGGACAAGGCTCGCCCCGATGAGGAGGCTCTGCACCGCATCGACGAGTCTGCACCTCGGGACCAGTTCGTGACGGAAGGCGGTCGATTGGCTGGACAGGACGAGACCCCAGTGAGTGCGGGCATCGTGCTTCGAACCTCCGCGTTGCTAAGTCTTCAATACAGGTGCTCGAAGCGCGCATTCCGGGCACCGATACCAACATTGCTCAGCACCCACGCGAAGAACTCGGTCAGGGAGCAAGAGTCAGAGATGCCAATGGCCAGGTCAGAAGCGGTGCTGATGTCGTGGACGAGGCCCAGGTCAAAGTTGACCAGGCCACTGGCAGCGCGCAGGTATGTCCCCCATGCCACTCCTTTGCCCCTCTCATCCGGATAGCGTAGGCCAAAGCACAACGTCAGACTGAAGATCTCCAAGAGATGGTTGGGGACAACGTTGTACCTGAGGATCGTGAAGACGCCGAGTTGAAGAAGAAGGGCTTCATGAATAAGATCCGCGGTGTTGGGGTACGTCTCGTCTCTACTTCTATGTATTTTTATATTGATGGTTGCGTAGGCCGGTTTGTCGGACCGCATCCCCCAAGACCACAAGGAACGCGCGAACGAACATTATGAGCGCGCCAAGCGTGTATTGGCCGAAGATTATTTCCCTGAGGAGCGCCGCGATCAGTTCCTTTACCGAGGAAAGAAGGTGAGCACGCTGGTCGCACCTGGCAATATTAAGACTCGTTTATTGAATGCATAACGATAGGTCATCGTCGAGTGCCAGAGGCACAAGGACTACCAAGAGTCCATCAAATGGTTGCTTAGTTTTCTGGAGGAGTATGCCGCCCATGGCCAGACCATCGCAGGTCACGGTAAGCATCCCATGTACTCCTTTATGTCACGCACACATGTTCATTCACCCGTCAGGCAAGGACTCAGGGAACACCTTATCTAGCGATGCGTCCTTGAAGCAGGCTACCTCTGAGCTGCGCATGCTGCTCGAGCGATTCGCAAATGGCAAGAGCCTCAGCACGATCGGCGACGCCATACAGACTCTCTACAGGGATGCTCAGCAGGACGAAGAGCTTCGAGAGTGGTTCAAGTCGCTCGACACGTACGCTCGCAAGGTACTGCTCGACGCCGGCTTTGTGCTCGAGCCTCAGTGCAACAGCGAAGCATCCGCCCTCAAGGAGAACGGCCGCAAGTTCTACGACGACAAGTACAAGAGTCACTTCGACAACTTCTTCAACACTACTGGCGACTGGTTCCGCGCCATGGGCGAAGACCCTCTCAACAAGCGCTTCGGCCAGGACTGGGCTCGCCTCACCAAGGACCTCCTCTTCGACAGTGAGGGTAGCCTCAAGTTCAAGCCTGAGCTATGGATGGACATCCGCAAGGTTATCCTTCCCAGCATCATTAAACAAGTCGGATGCATTCCCATCCCTCGCATCGAGTACACCGACGACAACCTGGACCTCGTCATCGAGAATCTGGCGCTCTCTGGTCGCAACCTCTTCCCCAATATCGTTAGTATGGAAGCGCACAACTTCATCAAGTTTAGCCCGTATGACGCCATCAAGTGAGTCCGTCATCTCTGGAGGTCGATATTCAGTACTGACAGCCCAACCCCAGGGACGAGAATCACCACGAGTTCACGCTCACCCTGGGCCAAATTCAGGCGGACATGCGCGACGTCGCCTTCTATTTCAAGCGCAAGTCGGGTTTCCCGAAGCTCACCGACTCGGGTCTCGCCGACGTCCTGCTCGGCGGCGAGGGTCTGACGGTCTCCGCGCACGTGGTGTCCGCGGACAAGGACAAGTCGAGCGTCTTCAAGGTCAAGAACGTCCACGTCAAAGTCGCCCACCTGAAGTTCTCCATCCGCGATTCAAAGCATGACACCCTGTACAAGACCCTGCGACCGCTCGCCACAGGTCTCGTCAAGCGTCAGCTCCAGAAGGCCATTGCGGACGCCATCACGACCGGGCTTGAGTACGTCGATGGCCAACTCGTCGGCGTGCGCGATCGCATGGCTGATGCGAAGGCGTCGGAGGAGAAGACACGCACTCAGGTGCTTCAGGAGGTAAATCTGCTGTTCATCCTTTGGCTTATGACATGCCTGACCCGAACGCGGCTGTTCACAGATGTTCCAGCGCAACAAGGCTGAAGCGCAGTCAACCAAGTCGAAGGCGGATGAAAAGGCCTCACACTTCAAGATTGTCTCGCGCCACGACTCCGCACTGCTACCCCAACAGGGACACCCTGCCGGGTGGATTAACCGCACTCAGGAGCGGGAGGATGCCGCTCTTCGTGGAACCGATTGGCGCAGTGACGCGTAAGTTTATTTTGTCAATGCATGTGCATAGCTTGGTTTTAACGCTTGTCCAGTTTTTCTGTTGTTTGAGATCGGTTTCTGCGTTACCCCTCAATCTAACACCTGTGCATAACTGCAGTTTCGTACCCTGTGACCGTGGACGCTGACTGTTGTACGTTGGATTGATTACCGCCTCATACCCCGTGTTGTACTCTAGCATCTGTATCTCCCCGTCATGCCATACACGTAAACCCGAGTAATGAACATATCATGTCATCTCGTGTTGGAACCGCGACTGTTTGAAACAACTTTTTGTTTTGCCTCGTCTGGTTGGTCATGGCAAAACAGAAATGAGCGCAGTACAGACAATGGCGCGGAAATTCCAACTCACCCCCTTAACGCAACCGAAAGGACAAGGCGCAAGGAAGATGGGGCGCGCGATGTGGCGGCGGCGGCGGCAGCTTCCAAAGGCTTCCTGTCGTTTTGGGACGCTTCTTTATGTGCGCATTGTCTACATATTGTATTTAAAATGCCTTGGGTTATATGGCGATGTACTCTAGCTGTCTATGATGCTGTAGTCAGTGTAAGAATTGTGGAGGGCTCATGGTTCGAATCCTGGTGTATGTGTTTTCTTTTTTTCAATTGTTGCCACTGGTTGTACATCCGGAAGTGAATTTTCTGTCTGTCCCTCGTTTTATTCATGTGTGCCCCGCGCGAGTACACGGCATGTCCCGGCTGTCCGATGAACGAGTCAGTGTCCCATATTACACTCGCTTTTTTTACATTGTGTGACAGTACTTGCAGGATTCTGTCACTCCCGCAATCGGAGTGTAGCAACGCCATACAGACCCACACACGGGCCGTGGGCCCAGGAACCAGCAGCCATGCCTCCCGCCGCTGACGTGAGTCTTTCTGCGCCTCGCACGCAGATAGCCACCTACTTATGGCTGACCGAAACCCACCGAGTTATTTGCGTATCCCACGCCGCCCCGCAAGTACAACTGTTCCAATATCGATAGGCCGTTCTCGCGCAGGAGCGTCTTGGAGCGGGCCACATGAGCGCTAGCGCCCTCGCGCACCACCGCGCGACGGGCAGCGCGCACCACCGTGAGCGCCGCGCAGTCGTGGCGATGTCTCTGTGTGCACCCCCACTGCGCATTGTGCTCGCGTGCGAGGGATCATGCCAAACCTTCTGTCAGGACTTGAACATTGGACATACCCTCGCACCAGGTGCAGAGGCCATTCCACGGGACTCGTCGTGCGCGAGGAGTTTAGATCCGTGGTGCACGTATATCGCCACGCGCGCGCGGTGCTCGCAGCGGTGCGCTCGGACTCGCGCTGCCCGTCGCGCGGTGGTGCGCGAGGGCGCTAGCGTTGTGGCCCACTCGCGAGAACGGCCTATCGCTCCCGTAAACTCCTCCTCCTCCTCAAATCACGCACCTCTTCGCTCCACTCCTCCGTACTCGGCCCATTTCGGGCGTTAGATTCCATCGAAAGAACACCTGCATTACTAAGACTACCAAATCGAGCCATTTAGGCGCCGGGTTAAGGGGGTGAGTTGGATTCTCAATGGCGCGGGCATGGCCATTTATCTTACGTGCGAGTACAGCGTCGAGGCGGTCCCGGGCTGACTTTCCAAGCAGAACGATGTGTAGGGACTGTACATGATGCAACAATCGACGACTAGTAGAATACAGAAGTATGACCGGTATGGCCACCCTGCGAGACTTCAGCCTGAAGGCGCCTCACGTGCACGGACTACTGGGCCCTTCGCACAAGTCATGCAAGTCGGCCTGCTCCTCCTTGCTGAGGAACGTGTTGAAAAGGGCCAACGTCTGTGGCTCGCCGTTCAAGAGCCTCGCAACCCGGCGCAGCATCTGCGCCTTCTCAACTCTGTCCCGGGAAGTCATCAACAGTCGGACATCATCCTGACCGGGGCAATGGTGCGACTCACCTGCGAGTCTCGTAAGCCTCCAGAGCGGCTACGATCTCCCCGGCCACTTGTTCCCCGTGGTAGACCGTCAGGATGTTGATGAACGCGAAGGCGTTCGCGTAAACCTTTAATGAACCCAGAGCAAGTGGGTAATCGACTCCGAGGACGGGCCGGCGGGTTTGGGGATGTGAACGACCGGCGATTGCGGTCGTCGTCGTCCCGCCAACTTTGCGCGCTTTGCCTTTGGTGTTGGCTTCCTGTGGGGCGGTTTGTGGGGCGTCTGTCTGAGGGGCGTCCGCGAACGGAATCATCTCAGGGAGGCTATCTGGTGGAGGCTTTGAGGTGAAGGACGCCTCAACCTCGCTTGAGGATAGCGTTGGCGCTGTAGCCTCGATGGAAGGGGACACGAGAGGGGCGCTCGTGTCATGCTGGCTGAGTCCAGAGGCGGCTGGATCCAGGAGGTAGTGCGGAAGAGGGGTGGTCTCGAGCTCGAAAGGGTCGGGCGGGAGGGGGTCTTGCTCAGAATGGCAGGTTTCTAGTTCCTGGGGGACGTCGTCGCGTAGTTCTGGAAGCGGGGTCTCTTCCGGAGGTTGCACGACGGCTTCGTCCTCCCCGAGTTTTTGAGCTTGAGCTTGAACCTCTTCGTCAAGAGCCTGTTCGAGAAGGAAAGACAACTCATCATAGGGTTGGATGTCCAAAAGAACTTCCTCTTGAGTTTGCTTGGGTGATGTCAGCAGTCTGGCCTTCGTCGACGTCGCAAGGATAGGATCGTGAACGGCACCGCTCTCCTCATTCTCGTTCGCCGCGGCACTCGCATGGTGTTGCAGAAAATCTGTGGCGGGGGCCTGCATCTCCGAACCCGCATTGGCCACGTCCTCCGAGGCCGACGCGCTCTCGGCTGGCCGGTTGCTCTCCGCGACAGGCTCATCTGTGCCAGCTGTACGACCGTCGGGAGCGTTCGGACCTGCGGCCGGACGGTCTGTAACAGAGATCGCATTCGGGGGACGAGGAGGGAACTTCGTCTTCGGCCGCGGCTTTGGACCCTTGGGCTTCGCAGTGGACGCAGCGATGGAGTTCGCGCCCGCACCCGCTCTCGTCTTCGAAATCGTCTTCGCTGGCGCAGCTGAGACATGGGACCTCCGCGCACGCGTGCCCGCCCTAGAGACATCCGCAATCCCGTCTATGTTGGTCGTGTTCGAGTTCGGGACGGGCGCGACCGCCACCGGGGTAGCAGCAAGTTCATCTGTATCCGGTGAGGTCGGTATACCAGTCTTCCCGTTACCGCCGAGTCCCTCTTCGACGTTCGCATTGTCTCCAGTGGCGGGATCCGAAGCGCCTGCCTCGACTGCATCATTCTGCGGCTCGGCGGTGGTCAGCGCCGCACGCGGGTCCCCCGACTCACTTGGGCGCGCCCGGCGGGACCGTTTCCGCCCCGCCTCCTTCATGTTCTTCGACCGGGACTGCTTCCGCTTCAGCGCCGTGCCCACCGTGGTGTGCAGTGGCTCCGGTGGCGGTGGCGGAGGGGCTGGCATTTCCCCTCGCGCCTTCTTGGTTCGCTCCTTGGGCCGTGGAGTGAACGCGAAGAGATCTGGGTTCGCCTCCCATGGCGGCAGAGCAGAACTCCTAGGGAAGGAGGCCACCTCAGGCTCGGGTTCGGGCTCAGGGCGGGGGTCGGTGGTGCTGTTGGCGCGGCTGGCGCTGCGGGTGAACATGGTGCTGTGGAAGGAAGGGCAACACACCGCGGCTGTGTCTGCTCCTGCTTCTGCGACGCATGGGCTTTGAGGCTTTTGAAGGGTCGCAGGCTGATAGGCGGGCCATTGAGGGTGAGTAATTGTCATGTGGGCATTGTCTCGAGCATCGCAAAGACGTGTCGTTTGGCTCGGGCACTGCATTGGCGGAGCCTGGAGGATGGAGGTCGCGGACAAGAGATGGAGCGCTGGCGGTAGCCGGAAATCGATTACGACGCTGCACGTGGCTACGTCGAAAAGGTCTCTGTAGGCGTCCGTGGGTGGGTCGCTTCCGCGCGAGTGAAATGGTGACAACACTGCCTAAGACCTTCCGCCAGTGCCACCGCTCTTCAGAGACGTTCATCCTGCACACGCCCCCGATGTCAGACTTGGATTTGAACTCAACATTATATAGTGCTATTCACAAAACATACACGCACGGCCAAGTGGCTATGATATCGAGTCCGAGACAAGCAGTATGGGTCAGAAAGCAGCGAGGAAGAGCACGGCAGGGAGGAAGATTCAGAGGACGGACGGTAACAGAGAGCAAGTGAGGCATCAGAATGTTGCTGGAGGTTTCCGGTATGTTAATGCACCAAGGGTCGAGCATGGAGGTGGGTGCTCATTCTTCGTCTTCCTCCTCGATGGGCTCTGCGGCCTTCTTCCTTCCGCGGGAAGAAGCAGGCTTCGCCTTGGAGGCAGGCTTCGCCGACGATGCCGGTTTTGCGGACGAGGCAGGCTTAGCACGCTTCGACGGAGGCTTCGAGCCACCAGCCTTCGGAGCAGGGGCACGCTAAGAGACATGTCAGAGTACGTAACCACGTAGTCCTTCACGGGAACTGACCTTGCGCTTCTTGCCAGCATCGGCCTCCTCTTCGTCTTCCTCGTCGACTTCCTCTTCATCCGCGGCCGCAAGCTCGTCACCAAAGTCCTCGCCAGACTCCTCCTCGTCCTTCTTCTTCTTAGCTGCACCACGCTTGGGCGCCGGCTTAGCCTTAGCAGGGGCGTCCTTCTTCGCCACACCACGACCCTTCTTGGGCTTGGGCTCCTCATCTTCATCCTCGTCTATGACATCTTCATCCTTCTATTTAAAACATTGAACTGATGCTTGCAAGGTAGCAGAACGACGTGGAGCTCACCTTCGGCTTACGGCCTCTCTTAGGCCGTTCGCCTTCCTCGGCATCTTTCTTCTTGCGAGGAGCGGCCGCCTTCTTCTTGCTGGTCTCGACAGGTTCACCGGGGCCCTTGTCTTCATCCGGAATCTCACCCGCTTCCCAAGCACGCTTGACCTTCTCCTTCTCGGCAGCTTGGAGCTCGGAAAAGCCGTCAACAGCTGAGACATCGTCATAAGAGGCCTTAATCTTTTCGACGCTCTTTGCGTCGATGCAACCCCAGTGCTCCCATGCGCTAAGTGGAGACGCAGTGAATACTCATCAAGAAGGTGTGAGAGAGATAACATACAAGTTCGCGTTGCCGCGGAACTGAACTTCCTTTCCGATACGGAAGTAATCCTTGCCAATGCCCTCTGCAAACATCCTCAGCACGTTATGAAACGTTGTAACAACCATTAAAACCTACCTCCGCAAGCTAGCGCAACACAGGAGTAGCCCGAGTCAGCAGAAAAGACCACCAATTTAGAGATTGAGCACGAACCCTTGCACTTGGAGCGGCTAGAGGAAGCATACTCCAATTTGACTTTGGTCGGACCACTGTCCTCCTCTTCCTTCTTCTTACCGCGGCCGCCCTTCTTAGGTTTTTCTTCTTCCTCGTCATCCTCTTCGCCTTCGCCGTCACTCTTCTTCGCAGTCTCGGGGACATCTTCTGGATCAACATGGCCTTCCTCCCAGGCCTTCTTGATCTTCTCCTGGTCGTCAGCACTGATGTCGTCGAAACCGTCGAGCTCGTCCGCATCATTGAAGCTGTTCCTCATGTTGGTAATGATTTTGGAGGTGACGCAGCCCCAGTGGCGCCATGAGCTGTGCGACGCGATATTAGCCTGAAGCCCCAAACCACCACGACATCGACGCAAGAACAAAGCACGCTCGCGCTCGTACGCATATATGCGCGTGGAGCAGTTCGGCCGGGCGCACGAAGTTTAGGAAGGTGGGAGGGTGCTCACAAGTTGGTGTTGCCTCTGAAGTCGACCAACGAGCCGAAGCGGAGCTCGCCCTTGCCAATGGGCGTGCCTTTGCATCTGAATAGGCGTGAGGAGAATTCAACCAACATGGACGTCTCGGAGACACGTACGGCTTGGGCCCTAGGACGCGACAGCGACGCGTAAAACGCGACGAGGAAGGGGGTGAGCCACGGGAAAAGCAACGGGGCGGCCCGGGAGCTTACCGTTGCACTTGGAGCGGCCACTCGAGGCGTATTCAAGACGGTAGCCGGACTTTTTGGTGCCCTCGGTGTCGGACATGGTTCGTGTGGGGGCGCGAGGGAGGACAGAGGGGAGGGAGAGTGGGGGAGGGGGCGACGCTTGATGTTGGGATGCGTTAAATAGGAACGCAGGGGCTTCAAAGTCCGCTGGTCAGGCAGCTGCTTACTTCACGCCCACCAGTGGCTCGCCCACGCCCACCCGCCTGGCCAGTGCGTCCTCGCTCCCCGCGCACGGACCCATCCGCGCCCAGACATCGCGCATCGCCCTCGCCCCTCCGCCGCCCCGGGCCCTCGCAACTAAAATGCCCCGCGCGTTGCCCTGATGTCCCCCGTCGTTCCCTCGAGCCCCTTCGCGACTCGCCAGCGCGTGCGAATCCTGGGGTTAGGGTTGCGTCCACAGTCAGTGTGGTCGCCTTAATGTTGCCGCTATTCCTTGTCCATGCGACCACTGCCGTTGCACGACTGATGTCAAGAGCCTCTCCCTTTGTGCGCGGAGGGCTTCACTAAACGTACCTAGGGGCCGCTCCGCCTTCAGCTATGCCGTCATAATCGTGTCTACCCACGACAATAGTTCCCATTCAACTCCGTGCGGATACTTAGGCAGGTCAATGTCTTTGTGGAGTGGAATCGTCGCTGAAACATCCATTTCACGGCAGATCATGTTGGAGTTCCGCCCTCGTTGACATCCGTCATCGGTGGTCCGCAGCGACGCGGGACGAGATTTGAGCCCACGTCGGATATTCCCCTGCACTGGGATACCGTCCCGTTGCGAATCAGGGGACCCCGGACGACCTGGAACTCCGAACGCGGATGCAAACGCATTTGCGGATACAGGTGCGCAGTCGGGCGGAAAATTACGATTGGGACTGCAGTTGCGAGACCGCCTGTGGAGGACGTCTACTTCCGACCCCCTGGAGGATGTTCATCTTCGCCGCGGGTGCTGCGCACAAGGGTATCCGCTGACGGTGCATGGACTGCCCGCGCACGATCTCGCGTATAAAAGGCAAGCGGTTGAGGCCCCAGTCCCAGCACTCACACGCAGCTTTACACGCATACCCACTTCAACTTTCACCGTCAAGCACTATGTCTACCGACGATATCCTCTTCATGGACGCTTGCTACTGCAGTCTCTGCGACAAGTATTTCATGGACATCGAGTCCCGTGCCCGGCATCTCTTGCACGCAACAAACCATCCGAAGTGCGAAAAGTGCAACCGTTACTTTGCCAACCGCAACTCTTTGAGAAACGTAAGCTCAATTTCCCTCTTACGTTCGAAACTAGACTAAATTTTACTGCAGCACTACGTCATCTCCCATAGACACCACTACTGTCGCACATGCGATATCGACTTTGAAACTGAAGCGGGTCTTGAAACTGTGAGTGCTGGCTTCATGCATGTCAAGCGTGTCCTCACCCTTCGTCCATACAGCACCTTCGCTTCGCTGCAGTCCACCGTGATGACTCCGAAGACGACTACGTTGACGACGAGGACGTAGACGACTCTTATGAAGGTTGGGAAGATGAGGAGGGAAGACGTCTATTCCCTGACGCCGATGACGCCTACCCCGACGTCCCTGTTATGTTCGACGACCAGACCGACCCCGAGGACGAGTACTGGGACGAGGACGACCAGCCTCCCCCGGAGGATGACAACTACACCGGCTGGGCGCCCGTGCCGCGCAGCGAGGCTGACAACCCTCCTGCTAGTGTTGAAAAGTCACCCGACCCTTCGCAGGTGAGCACCCCTCCTCCATTCACACCACCATGACATACTCATCCGAGCCCTCTACCACCATCACCTCCTCGGCCCGCCCGCATAAGGTCGCCGGTCCCACTAGCTCCGGCTCCGACGAGGATACCACCCCAACGCTCTCACTCGACTGCACCATCTGTCTCGAGCAAATCAGGGGTCCCACCGCCACCCACTGCGGGCATATCTTCTGTCGTGGGTACGTTCACCTACCGTCATCGCATACAGCAACACGAACTGACGGATGTCCAGCTGCATCACCGAAGCCCTCGAGGTCAAGAAGATGTGTCCCGTCTGCCGCCGCCCCGCATCTCCGAAGCACCTCAGGACGCTCTTCTTCAACGCTCCTCAGGGCGGCGAGACTCAGGCAGAGTAGACGTCGGATCACACAACTCGGACACGTTCGTTTCTCCTTCCCGGACCACGGACATTTGCTTCATAGATTGCATCTTCGTACACGGACATTCATAGCTCGATAGAATGTGTTGTATCCACGCTGTTCCCCATAATTTTTTGCCGCTTCCACCTCTTGTGTGTTCTCGTTACGCGCTTTGTCAGCCCAACTGCGGCGGGCGCACTCTAACATCTCCGTTCCGCCGGTGGCAGTACGCTCCCCGAGGAGAGACGCAGCGTGGCGCCCACGGCGCGAAGCCTGGTTGACGTCGCTCATCTTCTGCTTTCTACCACCCGCCTTCACCTGCCCTAGGCTGCTCCGCGTGTCCCGCTTTGGCTCGCCTTCCCTATATACCCCCAGCGGCTTCCTGACAGCACAACTTTGACGAAGGCGCGAATCCAGGCACACCTTCCGCGCCATGAGGTTCACGAAGCCGGAATGGGTCATGCACAAAGGTCCGCCACGCCCGTTCTCCCCTACACCTCCCACTCCCCATCCTAATCCGCACCCCTCGCACCCCCGCGCGCCCTCCTCCGCCTTCAAACGATGATTCGAACTCTTCTTGCCGCGCACAGACTCCGCCATGCGCGGCGACACGAACGAGAAGCGCGTCTCGATGTTTTCCTGCCATGTGCACCCCGACGGCTCGCGGATCGCAACCGGCGGGCTCGACGCCAAGGTGCGCATCTGGTCGACGCGCCCGATCCTGAGCAGCGCCGCCGAGGCGTCCGGCCGGCCGGCCAAGTCGCTCTGCACGCTCACAATGCACACCGGTCCGGTGCTCGTCGTCCGCTGGGCGCACTCGGGGCGGTGGCTCGCGAGCGGGAGCGACGACGAGATCGTGATGATTTGGGACTTGGACCCGTGAGTTCTGTTCTTGTTCTGAGGTCGAGCGGACGTGCGGAGATATTGAGACGGCGCGTGGTGCAGGAATGCGAAGGGGAAGGTGTGGGGGTCGGACGAGGTCAATGTGGAGGGTTGGAAGCCCCTCAAGCGACTTGTCGGACACGAGAGTGGTGAGTAGCACACATGCACTGAGGTGCGCTGGGCGATTGACGATGTGCGCGACGCATACAGATGTCACGGACGTTGCGTGGTCTCCGGGGGATCGGTATTTGGCCTCGGTGGGATTGGACTCAGCCGTGTTCGTTTGGTGTGGATTTACGCTGGGTAAGCAGCATATTTTTCTTTTCATGTTCGCGCGCGCTCATGGGGCTTCCAGAGAGACTTCGCAAGATTGACCAACATCAAGGCTTTGTGAAGGGTGTATGCTGGGACCCTGTCGGAGAGTTCCTTGCCACTGGCTCTGACGATAGGTCTGTACGAATATGGAGGACAACCGACTGGGAGCTGGAGGCGGAGGTCAAGAAACCTTTTGACCATTCCCCGGGCACTTTCTTCAGGAGGTTGAGGTGCGTCACTATTTCTTTACAGCACATATCTGAGCTCATTTCGATGAAGTTGGTCGCCGGATGGCGCGCATATAACAGCTTCAAATGCCACAAACAACGATGGCTATGTTTTCATCGCCGCAGTGATCTCAAGAAATTCGTGGACATCAGAAATCAGTTTGGTAGGGCACGAGAATACAATAGAGGTCGCCGTACGTATCTACCGTGTTCGACACCGGGGTGACCATGCTAAGCAATTATTCAGGCGTACAACCCCCACATCTTCTTAAGAGACCCTTCACAACCAATCGCGGCCCATAATATCTGTTCCGTGGTGGCACTTGGTGCAGACGACCGCGCAGTGTCCGTCTGGCAAACAAAAGCCCCTCGTCCGCTGGTTGTCGCCAAGGATGTGTTCGAACGCCAAATCATGGATCTCAGCTGGTGCGCACTTCTGTCTCGGACATACACTATTAGATGGTAACACCTTGCAGGTCAAAGGACGGACTCACTCTGTACGCCGTGTCATCAGACGGAACTATGGCGGTGTTCAACTTCGACGTTGACGAGCTGGAAGGGATCTCTCCACAATCTGCCCAAGACCAATACCTCAAGCGGTTTGGCTTCGTGGCACCTCCGCTTCCCGAAGGTTTCTCGCACCAGGGCCCAGAGGAGCCCACCCGCGCTTCTATCAACCGTATCACCCCCCCTCCCTCGCCTCGTGGGCACACGCAAGACTTCGGTGTCGCCTCAACCCCCGGCCCCACTGGAGAGCATATTAACACGCTTGTGGCGAAGCGCAAGCCAAAGAAGCGTCTCCAGCCCATACCCGCTAGCTCCGTCCCTTCCTCCTCCCTCAACGGCATCCTTTCCTCCAGAGCAGCCGCCCGCTTCCCCAACGCCTCCCAAGTGCAGATCAACGTACCATCTACCTCCGCGCTGCCGCTCGCCGTCTCACAGCCATTCGGGAGCGCGAGCGGGTTCGGGCTGGGGCTCAGCACTGGAGCCGGGGACGACTTCGCGATGGACGTGGATGAGGGCGAGGTCCGCATCTCGTCGTTAGACACAACCGCGCAGAGCGGCAGGGGCAAGCGGCGTGCGGGCGACGACTTCGATGAGCGCGGATCCACGATCAAGCCTCGCACACTCGGTGGAGACCGAGTGCGCGAGAGTGTTGCGGCTCGCCCGTTGGCGAGTCGTGCACCAGTGTCGTCTGCGAGCATGAGCGGAGGAGCCGGTTGGGCCGAAGGGTCGAGTCTGGCCGGATTGTTGGTGCCGCCGCAGTTGGTTACGTATCTGAAGGCTGGTATTGAAGGGAGCGACGACATCGTTGAGGGCAGAAACTCGGAAGAAGATGGTGAGTGGTGTAGGGCATCAAAACCCTCGATTGTCGCTGACCTTACTACAGAACCTAATGAGGTGCTCTACGTGAGCGGGAAGCAGACGCAATGGCTCGACTACGTACAGTCACCGATCCTGGCGCTCACTGCGACAGCCTCATTCTGTGCGGCCGCAATGCAAGATGGATCCGTGAATGTATATTCACATACAGGGAGGAGGTAAGTTATGCGGACTCATGTTCGCCGCATCTGTTCACTTCCATCTCCAGAATTATGCCGTCCCTGAGTCTCGGCTCCCAATGCTACGCCCTCTCCGGCGCCAAGAACATGCTCATGGCCCTCACCGCCTCTGGCATGCTCTACGTCTGGGACGTCAAGAAGCAAGCCGCCAAGTTCCCACCCACCTCCATCTCCCCCATCCTCGCCTCCCCCAACAGCACCATCCTCTCCGCCGCGGTCCGGCCGAACGGAACGCCCGTCCTCCAGCTCGGCGACGGCCTCGCGCATTCGTATGACGCCCTCCTCTGCGCATGGACGAAGCTCGCGGAGCCGTGGTGGGCCGAAGGTTCGGACGCGTGGCAGGGCCGGTCGCGGTCAAGCGCCGCCGCCGCCGCGCGCGGGCCGCTCACCACGCTCGAGAGCGCGATCGCGGAGCGGGTGAGCCCGGACGACGGGCGCGCGGAGAAGGTGCGGCCGACGTGGTGGGGCGCGGCGATGACGCTTGGGCACCTGGAGAGCAAGCTGCACGCGGCGCGGGCGTTGGAGAGCCCGCAGGAATACAAGCAGGCGCTGCTGCTGTACGCGAAGCGGATCGCGGACGAGGGGTTCCGCGGGAAGGCGGAGGAGCTGGTGAAGGAGCTGTTTGGGCCGGTGTATTGGTGGGTCTTCAGCGTCCTTGATGCACGTTGGGTGAGCTCACTGGGATTTGCAGGCGTCCTGGGAGGGACGACTCGTGGTGTCCTACTGTTGCTGGCACGCCCAAGCGGGACCTCCTGAAGGAGGTGTTGACCATCTTCGGTACGCTTCTTACCCCCCCTCAGCTGCCATCGCTAAATATCCGACACATATGCAGTGCGAAGCAAGACGCTTGCGAAGCTCGGGCTGGACTGGCAAGACATTCTCAAGCGGTCTCTTCAGCAGGACGATTGATGTCGATGAGCCGTACTTCCGTACTTCTGTTGTCTGTACCCCTGCCGTATTGTTTTTACTGCACCTCTCGCTGCATCAATCGCTGTGACATTGAAATTTCTCTGAGGTACTGTTCAAAACACATGTCATTGTCGAAGGACTTCGACTTTGTGAAAGTTACCTATCACTGTGGAGTGCTGTGACACGGTCGCCGTCGTCGCGCTTGCCCCAGGGACGCGGTAGGCGAATCGAACCTACCTTTCTCCTTCCCATCCGCTTTGCCCATACGACCTCCTCTCGGCCGCCCACACGCCCCAGCTCATGTAGTAGACAACGAGCTCGGGCACGTGCTTCCCCAGCTGAAGGAAATGCAGTTATGAGCACCTGTGAACCTCCTTTCCAAGATATCCCACCATCCATTCCACTGTTCCCTTCGGTACATATGGCCACATCCCCCGACGCAGAGCCTTCGCGGTGTGTGTTTCCTGTCGGTTAGCTCTTCCGACTTCATATTGACTTGCTCGCGACGTTGAAAGCGTCGGCGCTGAACCACCACCCATCCCACCCGACCTGGTCAACTTCCACACCATCTACGGTTACCGCGTAGAACCGTTTCACCGCGACAAGGTCCGCACAAAACTCGGAATCTCACAAGACGCCGACTTGTCAGTCTCACAGGCTATCTACGACGCCGCCTTCGATGCCGGGCTGTCTACAATTGGGATCCCGATGTGCAATGCCGACATCAACGACTTGGTTGAAGGCATTGATGGCCCGCAAATTATCATTCTCGCCAAGAGGAGACTGTATGGGGACGGCTCGGATTTTGTGAAGGACATGCGCCCGTATGGGGGAGATTTCGAGAAGTGGAAGGAGACGTTGGGGCTGGAGGGGGATCCGACGTGGATGGTGGACGTGCAAGAATACCCGATGCCACCGAAAAAGTGGCCTATGCCGGAGGGTTTCAAGTTCGATTACGAGGTGTGTGACCGTTAGGAATCGTGGACTACAGCTCAGCTCAGCCATAACATGTCAGGATGATGACCCACCCCCACCCGCGGAACTGCGTGCAACCTCAATGCGCGAACGCTTCACCGCTTTGCTACTCACGCCTTGGCGCATAGTGGGCTATCTTTGGTACACATGGTAGTCAGTGATAGATCAGAAAAGGTGAACAGTTCGGGAGATATTTATACAGTAGCAGTTCCGACATTATGTGACATCATATGCTCCTTACTCGAGCTGAAATGTATGAGAAACAATGGGGAGATACAGATGTACGGTGCAACAACACGGGGGTATGAAGTGGTGATCAATCAAATGTACAACAGTCAATGTCCACGGTCGCATAGGCGTTCGAGTCCACAGTTATGCACCAAGACGTGGATAAAGAGAAACGTCATCGAAGCCGATAGTATCAGACCATGGATAAGCTGCACAAGCATTAGCAACGCCAGTCGGTACCGCGGAGAGCAGCGTCCTCGCACCTCTGAGTCCGGTTCGCCCATGAGTCCGGCCTTGCTGGGGCAGGAGTGCGGAGTCGCGGCGACGTGAGACAATCCTGTACTAGTGTGAGCCCTTCTCATCTGCCTTCGACTTAGTGGACTGCGCCTCCGTCTTGTTGCGCTGGAACATCTACAGGTATGCATGTCAGCAACACCATAAGTGACGGGCGAACACAGGACCGACCTCCCGAAGCGTCTGAGTGCTCGAGCCCTCGTACGCCACGATGGCGTCTGCGATGGCCTTCTGAAGCTGGCGCGTGACGAGACCCATGGCGGAAACCCGACAAGCACTTCAAGTACAAGGCGACCGTGTGTCGCATATCCGCCTGGAATTATGCCTGCGTGAGGGTGATCCCGCGGCGATTTTCGTCCCGGGTTCGGGTCGTCAATACCAGATATCGGGGTGCAGAGATCCTTGGTGATGCGGGCCAAGTCCTGGCCGAAGCGCTTGTTGAGCGGATTCTCGTCCATGCGCTGAACCAGTCGCTGGTGACGTTGAAGAGGTGGTCGAAATGACTCTTGTATTTGTCGTCATAGAACTTGCTTTGAGGGCAGATGCTTCAAGCGCTGTTGCACCGAGGCTCGAGCACGTGCCAGCATCGGGCAGAACCTTGTGAGCATCCCTACAGAGAGTCTGAATAGCGTCTCTGGTTGTGCCGAGGCTCTTGCCATTGGCGAATCACCGTACAAAGCTCAGAGGTGGCCCGCTTCAGGGTCACTGCGCCAGTGCGGCGCGGCCGGATGCCCCTGCCACTGGGTAAAAGTGCGGAATCGCGGTGTGTCGCGGCCGACACTGTGGTATGGAGCGACTCAATAGAACGTAAACACACACCGCGGAAGTTCTGTGTCGGATAAAGGTCGATATGTACAAAAGGGAGCGGTACAAGGGGCGGGTGGCGCGGGATCTCTCAAGTCTTGATATTTGTGGGAATTTGCCTTGTTTGGAGCATCGTGACGCCACCGCCTTTGTCCCGCTCGCGCGGGCGAACGGAACGCACCGTCCTCCTCTCTATCCGCCCTGCCCACCCCACCTCCTCTCGGCCGCCCTCGCGCCCAAGGTCATGTAGAATGATGCCCATGATCACGCTCCCATGGTGGGTCCGCGACACGACATCCTCGTCTTCAACGCAACTAACGCCATCGGCACGAACAGGATCCTTTGGATACTCCACCTCGCGGCCTTCGCATTCGGCCAGCCGCCCTCGACCACGAACCCTACTAATGCACATAATGAGACCGCCCTCGTCTGTCTGCCTTTCGGAATCTGCGAGCCCTGCCCGGACGATTCGGTGCGTCTCACTCCATTTCCTACCCCCTCCCTCCCTCACCCGTCTCTCTACCGCGCAGCTGCACGAGCCCTTCTGCCAGCCGTTCGGGAACCGCCGCCTCGTCCACTGCCTCCCCGCGCCCTCGGGCACCCCCACGCCGACGGGCCCGCACGTGCACGCGCCGTCCGCGACGGTGCTCGGCGAGATCCCGGCCTGGGAGTCGTGCGGGCGGATCGTCGAGCGCGAGCGCGCGGACTTCTACGAGTTCCTCGCGTGCAACGCCTTTCTCGCCCTCCTTGCCGTGCCGTCCTCTTCGCGCGCAGCCGCCGACTGCAGCCGCGCAGGCGCGGCATCTCGCGGCTAGAATCGGGCTCGTGCGTCCGGTCCCCCAGGGTGGAGTAGTGGATGAGGGGGGAGGGTGGGCTAGGGTACACGTATACCTCGCTGGTGAGCACGCTCTGTGTCCTGCCAATCTTCTCTGCGGCTCATTGCGGTCATTCCTTCCAGCACTGTAATCATAGCACCATGTCTAGACTTCGTACATTACACCCTCGTCCACCCGGTTCTGCATCTCGCATTTCCCCGCACTCCATCGTTGCCCCTTACGTGCGCGTGTCTGGTACGCAATAAGCTCGGTGTCGCGTACCGACGCACTCCCTACTCATCACCCACGGTCTGCTACATGGGAACTCGCCTGTCCGTCCGTCCCGTGGCGCAGGAGGATGACGGGGTTGTGGTGAGTATGTATTGCCTTGAAAGTCGTCATCCATCGTGCCCTCGCGAAAAGAGGGACTCCACCTGAATTCTCCACGTATATATACCGCACGATTGGTGGCACCTCAAGCAACTCGTAGCGTCGCCCGGGAGAACCATGCCGACCTTCATCCCACTCATCGCTGCCCTCAAGTTTGCGACCGCAGTTCCAGTGGCCCGTGCAGTGTCCGGCGGTACTCTGACACGCTTTCAAAGACGCACACCCAGTCTCTCAATGCGCAACCACTTACGCTATTTATGTCTCTAGTGTCGTACTCAGACTGGGCTTTGTGCCGGTGCGGAGTAATCTATGCGCCGTCAAATTACCCGTGCGCTTGCTTATTCTCCAAGTCCCAGCCCGACAAACGGCCAACGCACGAACATCTTCGCCGCTATGAGCGAGCGGCCTTGTCTCCTCTGTGGAATGGGGTGACCTCCGGCACCATGGACGCGAACAAACGCAGCAGATCTGGTACCTGTATCGGTTGCACTGGCCGTTAGTAACTGCCCTTTTGACCACAATGTGTGTGCAAAGATATTCTTGCAGCTGCCTGTCCCGACGAGGAGTTGTGAGGAATGGTGAGTCTTCGCCTGCACTCTTCCTCGTTCATCTTATCCCAACACATTCGCGGTATTCGTCAGTGTTTCAGCGTTGCAAATCTAGCAGGGTCTCCACTGTCTCGAACGGTCCAAAAAGTTATATCTCGGGATTAGATGTCAACTAACCACGCACAGCTGCCCCGCTACGCACCCGGCGAACTGCTGTGAGATCCCCGCATTCGGAGGGGTGCATCTTTCGGGTCAGTCTGCGCGATTTACTGTTACATGTACGGTATTAGTGGTAGCACTGTAGAGGTGGTATCGGACCCGTCTCTGTAGGGTGTGGGTATTCCGTGAATCTAGCCAAGCCAAATGAGAGCAGTGCCACAACGTAGCGGTGACCGGTGACGCGTGCGTCCAACGGTCACATCATCGCCCCGCCCGCCCGAGCCCAGGGATCTCGACGGTGACATAGTGCCAGATGTACTGCGTCCAGCCCTCGAGGACCCCAGCCCCGGTCATGAAGTGCAAGCAATCGCTCGCGACGTGCGCGTCCGGCCGGAGGAGCGCGGGGTTGTCGATCCCGAGGTAGTGGACGTCCGGGTAGCCCCCGTCAAGCACATCCTGTCCGTCCGCGGCGTCAGCTCCCAGCCGCGCGCGAGAGACCGCAACGAAAACGACGCACCGCGAAGGCCCGGTTGAAGTCCCCGATCTGGTTCCAGTTCCACCACCCGTTGGGGCCCTTCGCGTACCGCCGCGTGGGCGCGCTGTTGAGATGACAGTCTTCGTGCCCAGGCAAGTACGCGCGGACGAGCACCTGCCGCGTGCTCCTCGGCTTCGCCGGGGTGGTGACCCGACGGCCCCCAGGAGCGAGGCCCAGTTGCTTGTCCGACGCGTCTTCCTCTGCGCCGTCGTCCGCGCGGTGGGAGTCAAGCAGGGCCTGCACCTCCCCGGCCCAGACCTGCATCGCCTCGTGGAAGAAGTCGACGACGTTGAAGATGCCCTCGTGAAAGAGCGCGTCGTCCTTGAGGCCCTCGAAGAGGTGCGTGGTCCAGTGCCCGCCGGTGCTCACGATCAGCGTGGAGTATCCACCGGCGGGACGTGGGGTGTTGAGTATGCCCATGTACTCTTCGGGCGAGAGATTCCAGATAGGCTCGTCGGAGAGCAACGTCGTTCTGTTGTGGAGATACTTGGAGGTGGGGTGCAGTTGCCGGTAGAGATTGTCGAGCCGCGAGGGCATCATGAGGAGGTCGACGCGGCGGAAGGTGACGAGCGGGGTGTTTGCGATGTCGAAGCCCGGAGGGAGTTTGAGACTAGAGAGAAGGGGCGAGGAAGGGTTGAGGTAGAGGTTCTGGGGCCATGCGCGGTCGAACCCGCCGCCGCCGGTGTAGTCGGGTGTCGCTCGCACATGGGGATAGAGGATGCATGAAAGAGAGAAGAAGTGGTTTTCAGTCACTGAGTCTGCAGGACACCAAGCAAATGGTCAGCAACCTTGTGTAAGATTCACATCAAACTGTCCGAGCCTCCCTTCAGATTGTCGGAGAACCAACGGCGATATTGACGTCAGTCAGGTCTGACGGCGAGGGTAGGCACACACACCCCGCGCCATGCTTTACACCATCTCGTCCAGTCCTGCATCGCACGCAATTCTCGCTCGCATCCTGACTGACCGAACCCCGAACTCACCTCCAATGAGCAACCATCCGCCCTTCTCCACTAGATGCCTGACCAGCACTCCCGCGCTCGCCTCCTCCGCCGTGCACCCGCTCGGGGGCTCCCACCGCCAGCTCGCGACGCCCGGGAACCTATCCCACCGCCCCTCGTTGTCCGCTCCAAGGTGCCAGAACACCTCGCGCGAGCTCGCGCAGCCCTCGAGGCCCATCATCGCATACGCGTCCGCGCTCGTCCGCATCCCCTCCGTCATGTTCGCGCTCGACTGCGGGCGGGCCTTCCGCACCCAGTGCCCACGCGCCCACACGTCCGGGGGGCACGTCCCGTGCGGATTGTGGCCGCGGGCGTACGCCGCGTCGGCGACGTCCACGGCCCAGTCCGAGGTGAGGATGAGGCGCGCGAGGGTGCCGACGGCGACGAGGAGCGCGAGCCGGGCGACGATCGTGCGTGGGGCGAGGCGGTACGAGCGGGGAGCCACCGGGGCCGGCGGGGTGTCGAGGACAGCGACGAGGAGGTGGTGAGGCGGAGCTTTTCGTCCCTCGTCGGTAGGCTGTCGCTGCGCTTGCGCCGAGACCACATTCTGGAGGGATTGCCGGCGAGCGGGGCGATGCTAGCGCGTCGGGCGGGGTAGGTGGCGGGACGAAGGAGAGGAAGAGACGCGAGGACACATTGTGTCGATAACTATAGTGAGGGACCGCAACGAAGAAGGGACCCCGCCGTCAATCGAGTCCGTGGGAGCCTACATAAAGGGCCAGTCTGTTGGCGGACGATCCCGCGCAACCGCAACAGTCGACCACCGAAGCCAACCTTTTCATCGAGTCCAGGTCTGCTCCAGATTGCTTGCTACAGAGAAACTAAACCTTTATGTACAAACTCGTGGGTATATCCGCTCCCGTCTACCCACCAACCGCACCAACAGAAGACCGGTTGTGCCAAGTTGTGCACCCAGCACGACATGCCCATACGCCAGCGGGGGGTGCGCGAAGAGTATGACGACGGCGAGGAGCCAATCGCGTCGAACGACATGCACGCGTCCGCACGCTTGCTCTCGACCATCCTCGTTGCTCTCCTCCCTTTGGGCTCTACGGGCCCTGCAAGGTGCCATGTGAACCACCGCTTGTGTGCTCACCTCGTTTCACTGACACGATCTCAATCTCTCCAGACTTTGCCGCCCATAGGGTTCATTCATGCTGACTGAGCCTCCTCGGGCACACTTTTTGCCCAGGATGACCGTGGACTGGTACACTGCCATGCCAACTCGTACCCGTTCCCGTGGAATCGCCATATCTCACCATACTCCTCCTCACCGCTTCTCAAGGCCCCCGGAGCTAATCTCTCTAATCTCTAAGGTCACCCTCACCCTCCGATACTTGACGCCAGCTCGCTTCTGCCGTTTCTCCTGCCGGCTGTCTTTTCTTCACCCCCACATCCTCCGTCTTATCATCTCAATAGCAACCGCGTCGCCGCTCCGCTCAACGTGCCGAGGAGCACATATCAGTATCAAAACTTACCTGTTACGCGTGATACCTTACCTTTATTATATCGCAGCGGATGCCTTCTTTTGCTGCATTCTCCTCACCCAGACGTCCCCTAGTACTTTACTTATTAACCAAGTAAGCTTCCCGCCCTTGTACCACATTCTGCGTCTGTCTGACTGACCGTACCTCTGATAGTGGCCGCACCGGGATGAAGACAATCGTAAGTCAAGCCGCTATCATCGATGCGCTTGGCTTTTCGTACCCACTAGTATCCTGTGTCGTCGTCGTCGTCGTCTTCGCGGTCACGCTGAATGCCATTGTCGATATGAACACCTTTTACACGCCTTTGGTATCAAACTTCGGTAACTTATCTTGGTCAATCTATCGTCACACCGCTTTCGCTTATACGCAGCTTCTCGTCAGGAAATTTCGACAGTTTTCTCATGACGAACTGGGGCAAGTCGCAACACACTCGTAGGCGAGCTTCAGACTGATTTGCACCCACTACCCATACCGTACGCATGTGGGCAGACCCACGTAGATGGTTTGGGTCTCGAAATAAATAGGCAGCTGCAGTGTTTTTGTTGCCATGGTGCTTCTGGTAGGACTGCGCGCCACAGTCATCGTTGCATGTCTTGCTGGGCAACTGAACGGTGCGGTCCGATTGCGAGCCGACCACTTGGCACTGGGGTGTAGTACTTATATATGAGCGACTCGCCAGGCTTGTAGCGGCTTACGTATCACATCCGCATCTTCAAGCATCAGACACCGCGCGCAGCCCCTGCACACCCACCTGTGCCCACCTGTGCACTGGACGAACTAATTCCGGCGTTCACCCTCCCACGACGGGCAAACTCCCCGCACTCTGGGAATACTTCACCTAAGGTTGTGTTATTCACCAGTCACCTCCCGCGGGGATCATAGAAGCAATACACCCTGATTGCCCCCTCGGCCTCCCTGGCCTCCCACGTTCTGTCCAGTGCACGCGTAGTGGCTATAAAATGATCGACATTCCTAGCCCTCATGTTGCCTTCTCCTCAGGCCTCAGCCTCCGTCCTCCTTCCCTGGCACCTCACAAATGTGGCAATTACGCAGGCGCAGCGACGCCCCAACGAACAGGGACGAAAAACTGGGCCTCACCACCTCTTCTCTGCTCTCCTCCTCGACACCCCGCCGGCTCTCGTGGTTCCGCCGCACGTATCGTCTCGCGCCGTGCACCCTCGTCACCCGCGTTGTCCTCGTCGTCCTCGTCGTCGCCGTCGTCCGCCTGTCCTCGTCTCGGACTGGTTCCCCGACGCCGCGGACCCGCGTACGCGCTCTGGCACAACCCGCACGGGACGTGCCCGCCAGACGTCTGGGCGCGCGGGAAGTGGGTGCAGCGCGGGCCGCCGGCGTCGAGCGCGCCGCTGGGCGCGACGGGGATGCGGACGGAGGAGGACGTGTACGCGATGCTCGGGATCGAGGGATGCGCGAGCTCGCGCGAGGTCTTCTGGCACCTCGGCGCGGACCCAGCAGGTACGACCGCTTCCCGGGCGTCGCGAGCTGGAAGTGGCAGCCGCCGAGGGGGTGCGCGGCGGAGGAGGCGGGCGTGCAGGTGTTGCTCAGGCATCTGGTCGAGAAGGGCGGGTGGCTGCTCATTGGCGGTGAGTCTCTGCGTTTCATCCTTCTTCCGAGGAGCGCCGCGTGGTCGGCGGAAGCGGGCGATCGGGATCATCGCTTGCGCCAGTCGCGGTGCGCCCGGGCCGTTACTCGCCACTCTCGCACTGGGTTTTGTCGGTTTCTGACTGTTTGTGCAGATTCGGTGACCGAGGGCCACTTCTTCTCCATCTCATGCATGCTTTATCCTCACGTACGGGCGACGCCCGATTACACCAAAAGCAAAACATTCGACCGCGCTTGGCCTCAGAACCTCTACCTCAACCCTTCCTCGCCCCTCTTCTCGAGTCTCAAGCTCCCCAAAGACTTCGATGTAACCACCACCCCGCTCGTCACTTTCCGCCGCGTCGACCTCCTCATGAGGCGTGCCCAGCTTGACGAACTCTACTGGCAGCTGCACCCCACTTCCAAGTACCTCCACAACAGAACGACCCTCTTCTCAGACGAGCCTCATTGGAATCTCTCCCCCGCCGAGTACGTCGACATCCTTACCACTCCGCGTCCGGCCGGGGGATACTCGACCTTGATCGTGAGCAGCGCGGGGCACTGGACCACGCACAACTTTGAAGCCCTCAGGGACTACGCGCTCTTCAACGAGGGCATCTTCAACGTCGTCGACTTCTTCCGCGAGGCGATGCGCTCCTGGGCCGACGAGGTGCAAGCCGCGCTCGACCGCATCGCATCCCCCCGCTCAGAGGAGGGGACAGACGCGCAGCGCCGCCTCGCGCCGGGGGGCCGTCCGGTGTCCGTGCGGACGAAGCCTCGGAGCGCACAGCAGGTGCTCGTGCGCGCGTACGTCCCCGGCCACGACGGCTGCCACAACAAAAATGAGCCCGTGCGGCGGTACAAGAAGGACATGGCCGTGTCGTACAACTGGCCGCAGATCGTGGACTTCAACCGTGCTTTCTCGGTGCGTCTCTTGCCCTCTGCCTTCGCTTGAGGTTGCTGTGGTCGCGGGGTCGCTGACGCTGGTCGTGAACAGGACGTGCTGAGCAGCGGAGACTACCCCGACATCCACTACCTCGCGATCGACAACCCCGCGCTTCTGCGGCCGGAAACGCACGTCTCGACCGACTGCCTCCATTTGATGACTGGCTCTGGGGTTGTTGAGGGCTGGACACAATACATTTGGCACTACCTCACCGTAGAGATTCCTGAGCTCGTGCGGTCGGGGCACTGATGTGTGCTCCACTCCGATCGGCTTCAATCGCGGGATACCATAGAGGCATGCGCTCGGAACCAAGTTTACCATCGAGATATAATCCTGTAATATCAACTCGCGCATCTATGTTGCTCTTTAATGATGCCTTCGTCGAAGACGAGGGATTTATACACTCACGCCCTACGCCTTCGCTATCGGTCCGATTGTTCGACGTTTACGAAGTGCACGTGTCGGACGCCTGCGTGACTACGGTCCGCCAGCCACCGCCCCAGCGGATGTCTGAGACCGCACGGTGTCTTGGCGGTATCAGCCAAGCGTGAGTGCCGGGGCAGCGGGGCTTGCCGAGCTTGTGAGGCGGGCGCCCAACGTTCAGTTGAGCGCGAAGTGCGCGCCTAGTGTTTTTCTCTCTCTCTCGGCCACGTCGCGCTCCCAGTCGCGCTCACAGCCCGTCTCCCCATTTGGCCTCGACCCACGATACACCCCTTTTACCCACCCACCCTACCCTTGTAATAGCATACTACCGATGAGACTTATGAAGCGCGAATTTCTCTTGCTTTGAGGTTACCTGACCGACCAACCAAATTCGCGGAGCACGAGCCCAGCCGGGCTCGCCGAGCTCCGCGTCCACCGCCGGCTCCGCCGGCGCCCAGCCCAACCCAACATGGTCAGTCAGAGCCATCGCGCGTCGCGTGCCTTCGAGACTGGATCAGCTCGCGCGTTCGACAGACTTGCGTGAGTCTCAGCCGGGATGCGTGAAATAATCATTATTCCTAGGGGCAGCAGCGTTGATACCAGCGGTATTATTTGGCTGATACGGAATTATCAGCGCTTGATGGGCCTTCGGATCATGCCCGACGGATCGCCGATCAGCTGTGCCTGAAACGCGCACGCTCTTTAACCAGCCAAATGTAGCCAAGTGTCCTCCTTAGGATTATTGGTCAGGTGGGCCCCTTGCGTATATGGGGCATACAACCGGTTTGAGCGGAGCTTCGCGTGCACTTGCAGATACGACTCGGCAACATGTGCACCGAGTCTCCGAAAGAGCGTACACGAACAAATATTTGATCGGAGATGCTGCAGGCGAAACACGCTGGTACCCGCCACACGAGGGGCCTATCGTTAAGTATGAAAATCTGAGCTGTAGCCGCACAACTGATGGCCGTGGTGTGTTTTTCGCATCTAAGTGCAGCGACCGCGAGTAATGCATCACATATCAGCTCGCTCCCAAGCACAAGCACACATGGCCCCCACCAGTCCCTCCTCCCGTCTCCCCATACTGTCCCGGACTCTGCGCTAACATCACCCCGGCCCCGGACAACATCGCCCGGAAAATGTGGTCTCGGCGCAAACGCAGCGAGGGCGCAGCATTGAGGTGGGACGAGAAGCCCCGCCCCACCTCCACCTCCCCGCGCCATCCCAGCTGGCTCCGCCGCTCGTACCGCATCGACCCACGCGCGATCCTCACCCGGGTCGCGCTGGTGTTCGTCCTCGGCGCGCTCGCGCGCCTCGTCGTCACCTCGGACTGGGCCGTGGACGTCGCAGACGCCTGGCACGCGCGCCGGCACGGCCTGCAGGGGGCGTGTCCCCCAGAGCTGTGGGCGCGCGGGAAGTGGGTGCAGAGGGGCGTCCCGGCGTCGAGCGCGCGCCTCCCGGGGGGGATGCGGACGGGGGAGGACGTGTACGCGATGCTCGGGATCGAGGGGTGCGCAGCTCGCGGGAGGTGCTCTGGCACCTCGCCGCGGATCGGGAGGAGCAGTTCGACCGGTTTCCGAACGTGGCGAGCTGGTGGTGGGAGCCTTCGAGGAGGTGCTCGGCGGTGGAGGCGAGCGCGCAGGCTCTGGTCAGGCATCTGGTGGAGAACGGTGGATGGCTGCTCATTGGAGGTGTGTCCGAGTTTTCTTTCTCTGTGTTTGGGACCCGTGCGCTGGCGAGAGCGTGTGCTGGCGGGGATCAGTGCCTTGGAGAGCGCCAGGCGCCTTGGAGTCCTTGACGGTGTCCCCAGCATTGTGCAATTGCTGATCTTCTTTGCACGGGTCTGCAGACTCGGTGACGGAGGGCCATTTCTTCTCCCTTTCATGCATGCTCTACCCTCACGTACGAGCGACGCCCGATTACACCAAAAGCAAAACATTCGACCGCGCTTGGCCTCAGAACCTCTACCTCGACCCTTCCTCGCCCCTCTTCTCTAGTCTCAAGCTCCCAGAAGGCTTCGATGTAGCCACCACCCCGCTCGTCACTTTCCGCCGCGTCGACCTCCTCCTGATGCCTTCCCGGCTCGACGACCTCTACTGGCAACTGCACCCCACCTCCAAGTACCTCCACAACAGAACAACCCTGTTCTCCGACGAGCCTCTGTGGAGCCTCTCGCCTGCAGAGTATGTGGGCATGCTCACTTCCCCGCGTCCGGTCGGCGGATACTCGACGTTGATCGTGAGCACCGGCGGACATTGGACCACGGGCGCCTTTGCCGCCCTCAAAGACGACTGGCGCTCCAACCACGGCATCTTCAACGTCGTCGACTTCTTCCGCGAGGCGATGCAGGTCTGGGCCGGGGAGGTGCAGGCGCTGCTCGACGGCGCCCGCGGCGGGTCCTACCACGCACCCTCGGACGCGACGGAGCAGGCCCGCCTCGCGCCGGGCGGACGCCGGGTGTCGCGACGTCCGAAGCCGCGGGGCGCGTGGCAGGTGCTCGTCCGCGCGTACGTGCCCGGGCACGACAGCTGCCACTCGAAGCGGCACCCGGTCTGGCGGCACACGAAGGGGATGAGCGCGTCGTACAACTGGCCGCAGATCGCGGACTTCAACCGTGCGTTCTCGGTGCGTCTCCTCCTGCTCTCTGCTTTCGTCTGGGAAGGTCGCCGACGCGGGTCGTGAACAGGACGTGCTCAGCGGCGGAGACTACCCCGACATCCACTACCTCGGGATCGACGGCCCAGCGGTGCTCCGGCCGGACACGCACGTCGCGGGCGACTGTCTGCACTTCATGACCGGGTCTGGGGTGGTCGAGGGTTGGACGCAGTACATCTGGCACTACGTCACCGTCGAGATTCCTGACCTCGTGCGATCCGGAAGATGATCATGCAGGTCCATTTGCGGTGCCAGTGCTCTTGCTCGCATCGGCAACATCCGCTGAACCATAGACCTAGATATGGTATTAGCCCTACCAATATCAACTACCAATACTGTAATAGAGTCGAGTGCAGGCGTACATACCCAGGTACTTATTCCACCTGTTCTGATTCGGCTCCGCGAGTCTACCCCTTGGCTGTGCCAATGCTGAAGCGGATTCACGTGGTTATGGGGGATGTTTTTGCAACGGTGTCTCTCGCAGGGAGTGATCGACGACGGATAATGCGTTACACTTGAATATGCGGTTGAACTGGAAGGAGAGGTGAATCGCCTGGCCGACGGTGAGAACGCTGATAAGGCTCGTAATCGACCAAATGGACGCGAGTATGCCGGTCTCGATCGTCTGATGCATGAAAGCTATCAACACATTTATCCTAGGCGCCTTGGGGGTTTTTTGAGCGCGGGGACGTGCGGGGTACTGGTGACGGTCCGGTGGCAAGCATATGTGTCTCCCAGGATCAAGGGCATGAAATTACAGAACTTACATTACGGTTACTATCCCGTTACTGCTCCTCAGCGGACGCTAGCGCTTTCTCGAGCAAGTCGAGAGCGATCGACGCACTCCCCCACGAAGACTGGTAACCTCCGCCCCCATGTCTGCCGGGTGTTCGCCAATCAGTCCAATGCAAGCAGTCCGTCGATGTTCAGACTTACCCGTAGTTGAACACCATAGGAACCTTTCCTTGCCCCGCACGTCTGGGGACCCACTCCACATCGAGCCTGATCCCGCCCTTCCTCTGAGGACGAAAGCCGCAGCCTTCGTCGACGATGAGCTCGCGGAGGTCGTCTATGGTGCCGGCACGGGACTTTCTGATTTCAGCCGGGACGAGCTCGGGGCAAATTGCGAGGCAGCGTTCAAGAATGTCCGTCGTCGTCGCAGGTCGGGCGACGGGGTACCAATCATCCTCTTCTTTAGTGCCGCCCAAGACAACCTAGCGTTTTTTGAGGTTACGGTCGCGATTTCCGGAGTATTTTGGGAGGCACTTACATTCCCAGAGCGCCGCCTGATCACGTACGTCCACATGCCCTTCTCAGCATGGCTGACGGTACGCCCGAACGTGATCCACGGAGCGTTCACCAACACGATCTGGCCGCGGACGGGGAAGACCGCTTTGTCCTCGACTCCGCCAAGGGTGCGTGCGCCGAGACCGGCGCATATAATGAGCCCGTCGACGGATGTTGGTCTTGTCGTGCCGGTGCGGAGGACTTCTGGACCACCCTCAATGATTTGCTGAACGTGTTGCACGGAGCTAGTGACAATCACTCCTCCTGCTTTGAGGAACCGAGAGCGGAGGTATAGCAGATAAATCGGGGTATCGATGTTCACGGTGGTGAATGATGTGGCACACACCGCGCCATGTGCAAGAGACTCTTGAGGAAGCGTCTTGAACTGTAACGTGTAATGTGAGCTTTATTGTAAGACGAATAATAATATTCGTCGAACGTGTGAACAGCGGGGTCAACAATCAAGCCACCACGGGTATGAACATCGTGCTTTCATCCCGAGAGCATTCGTCCGCCGCGAATGAATAACCACTCACGTCTGGCATCCAATCCAAGCCTTCATCACGACCGTCCAGCAAGTAGTCTGTTTGAGAAACACGCATGAAGCAGTGCTCCGCCTCACTGCCCGGCGCAGACAATTCCCACATCACATCGAAGGTTTCGCGGTCGATTGCTGCGGAAAACATCAGAGTTGAACGAGATGCATGAGGGACCACATACCCATCTCTCGAGCATTGAGGCCGGCATGACTGACATGATGCGCTCCCTGGTGCAGTGTTAGAGATGCAGCAATAAGCGATAGGACACGAAACTGCACACACCGCCCATAGGCTGGTATACCTGACCGACTTGGCGTCGGTGCACGAGGTCTCCGCAACGATCGTTATGTTGTATCTACCTTTCTCTTGAAGCTTGACTGCCGTTGTCAATCCTACCACGCCTGTGCGATCACCCAGTTATGAAAGTGTCTTTCTAATGAGGACGCGCCTCCTACCTGCGCCGATCACAACGATATTCTTCGGGACTGTAGACATGTGCGCGAGCAGGAGCTTGGGAGGAAGGAAGCTGTGGAAAAGAGGATGGACTCACGACGCCCACTGCCTTGCATCGCAATAGCTCCGCCGCCATGCCTGGACCGCAGTGCTAACGCTGTCACTCGCCGACCTTCCGCAATCGTCCACCTCTCACGGTGTCTCATAGAGTATGGTTGATAACTAGAGATTGCGCTTTCCTGTACTTGAGAGCGAAGAAAGATTGGTATTGAATATTGAGAGGTGAGATGGGCTGTACATGGGGAGCGGAAGCATAAGCGAAGGAATGTAGCTCCGCCTACTATCTAGAAGTCCATCATCGCGATGAACAACGCATAGAGCTGCTAGCGAAAGGGGAGCACGCAGTCTGCGCCAAAACAAATGGCCCCTTCCCAGTGAGAAAGACGTGGAGAGGGGTGATAAGGTCGGCGACAAAGCCTAGCTGGCTCGCACGAAATTTGCCTTATATTAGGCGCTAAAGGCGACAAGCGCTAGAGCTCCCGGGCCGCTCCCTTCAGCGCGGCAATGATGTAATTCGGGCGCCAGGCAATGACATGGCTTCGCGCAGTACATCCGCTGTGCGTGTGCCCTGGTCCTTCTGAGCTCCCCTCACCATCTGCATCGGAAACGCATGAAGTTCAATACGCCTCTTCCCCAACCCCTGCAGAAGGAATGTCTGAAGGCAGCTCAGATATGTACGCCATTCTCTCGCATGCTTTGTCGTGTGGCACCCGAGAATACTCACTTTCATGCAGTCAAATCCTTCGTCGACAGCGGGAACAACGGGCTTGATGGCGTGAGTTTCTTTCATACGTGGCTCGGAACCTCTTCTAATAGTGTGCTGTCATAGGTCATTCCACGGCATGTCCTCGAGAACGCCAAAGGCTTCGCTATCTTCACCATCTTCAAAGCTGGGTTCCTCTTCTCTGCGAGAGCCGGAAGTGGAGTGGTCATAGCCAAGCTGGAAGATGGAAGTGAGTTCTCTTTTGCTCATCTCATGCGCTGGGCGTGGGGGTATGCACGGCTGTGGATCCACTCAGTGCGCACATGAAAAATCCTTTGCTCACCCGAGCGCGTGTTCTAGCGTGGTCGGCACCAAGCGCGATAGGCTCCGCCGGGCTCGGTCTGGGAACTCAAGCTGGAGCCGAGATGACGGACTTCCTGGTCGTGCTCAACTCAAAGTCGGTGCGTATATGTCCCTTCCGTGTACCATGTAGCGACTGACCATGACACAGGCGTTGTACGTGTAACTTTCCTTTTCCGCTGCGTCGAGTCGAAACCCACAGCATCTGCCAGAAATCATTCATGTCTGCCGGTTCCGTGACCCTCGGCGGTAACCTCAGTGTAGCTGTGGGACCCCTCGGTCGCACCGGAGAAGCACTAGGTTCGCTGAGTACAGCGGCAAACTGGCGGCAATGTATAGCTACTCCAAGACGAGAGGGCTTTTTGGAGGCATGTCGGTCGAGGGCTCGGTCATTGTTGAACGCCAAGACGCGAATGCGCAAGCATACCATTCTGACGTGACCGTGAAGCAGCTGCTCAGCGGAGCAATCACCCCTCCAGAATGGGCTTCACCACTCATCAAGACCCTCGATTTATGCACGGGCATGCCGGGCGGTAGACGCTGGTTAGAGGAATCCAGACCCCACCGAGGGGGTGACTACGTATTCGGTGGGGTAGAAAGCCCCAGTCTGGAGAATGGCCCGGGATCTCGTAACGGCAGTGGCTACTTCCCTAGCGATGGGCAGGCTTCCCCTGGCAAGCTCTCCAAGAAGAAGACCGCCAAGTCAAACAGCATATCATTCCCGCCGGTAAACTGGGGACAGCGCAAGTCTTCCGGGTCCTACTTCTCAGACTACCACGACCCGAACCGCGCTCCAGTCCCAGGGGATGCACTCATGGAGAACGGCAGCTCCAGCTCTCTCGCGAACCGCTCTCCCGAAACACGCTTCTCAGACGATCGACCTTCCCCGCGGTTAGGACGGACGGCAAGCACCGACACGGGCTACTTCGAGACAACGTTCCAATCCGATTTTGTCTCCGAAGACCAGCTGCGCCAGCATCCTCCACTGGGCCGACGTGGACCTCCATCGCCTCTGCTTCTAAAGGATGGTCAGAAGGCAAACAGCGAGGACTTGTGGGAACCGGGGAGCCCATTCAACAACCTCCCCCCGTTCAACCAGGCGCGCTCGAAGATGTCAGACGCCACCAGCCACCGCCGCGCCTACAGCGCGTACGCGCCGCCGTCTACCGGCATGACCGTAGGCCAGGTCGCGTCAAATCCGTTCAACAGCGCTTCCGCAGGGAACAGGCGCACGAGTAGCGCTTTTGGCGACGAAGACGAAGACCTGCTCGGGCTTGGAATCGACTACTCGCGGGACCGCAACCCGTCGGGCGGCTCCGCCATTGCCCCTTCGCTGAGTCGTGGGCGCACCACCAGCGGCTCGTCGGCCTCGATGTCCGGTAAACCGAAGCTCGCGCCCAAGGCCGAGCTCACGCGCCCGCTGCTGCCACACGAGGGCGTCGCGCGCGCGATTGCGCTCTTCGACTTTGCGGCCGTGCAGGTGCGTCCGTATTTTCTTGCGTGCTCGCGCGCCTCGCCCGTGTCTATCTATAGCTGACGCTCGACGTGGGTTCTCTCCCACCGTGCTCCTCTCTTGCACTGCGGTCACTTTACGCAGTCGGGAGACCTCTCGTTTCACAAGGGACAGGTTATCACGGTCACCGAGAAGAGCGCCGACACCAACACTTGGTGGAGGGGCAAGGTGGACGGTAGGGAGGGCATCTTCCCTGCCAACTTCGTCGAGGTGGTTTAGGCGTGGCTACATGGTGTCTCGCTTCTGCAATGAAGGACCCATGGTGCGTCGCTCGTCCTGCTAACTGAACATGTTTCCGAGGATCCACTGCCATACTTATCGGAGCGAGGGTGGAGATTGCGATGCCGTCGAAGTTGAATTGGATATGGGAGTGGCCTGATTCTCTCAGGTCCGGTGTTTGGTCGTATCTTTTCTCCATTACTCATCTCGCTATCCCTTCACCACGGATCTTGTACATCTACAGACTCCTATGCTCGCTATTATGTATACTCGCGTTTCCAAGATCTCGGTTGTGTAGCTATTTCGCGGGGCTCTACTCGCATGTACCATCTTCTACTTGCTTTTGTACGATGTACGATACGGTGTTGCTGGGGAACACCACCCCGTCTCCCGGAGTCCATAATCATGCTTCTTCCTATCGCCCATACATTTGAACTGTACCCTCCACCCTTTTTCGTCCAGAATATGGCGTCGATCGACCACGCTTGCGCCTTCTCCTCACCATCAAACTTCAACCACACATTTGCTTTGGTTCGCCATCTCGACACGCGGTGCCTCATGATGGTGCGTCTTCGACACGTCGGCGATGTCAACCTTCGGGACGTTCGGAGAGCGTGTGTAATCGTGGATGAGTATGTACTTGAGTACGTGCACGCACTCTGTCGCCCGGCGCACACCGAGGATTCCCATGCGCATTGGTCCCGCTCGCAAGACATCAGAAGTCCCGGTCGCAGCTGATTCAATCCCGGCCGCGCTCTTCGGGATCGAGGCACTACTATCACTCCCAGGGTGTTCGGACAGCCCGTAGTGTTCGGACAAACGCAAATTGCGCTCCCGCCCCTATCCCGATAACCACAAGATTTTGCACGTAGATAGCCCTGCTTCTCGTTTACCCATGAATCGTTTTTTGTCTGTTTCGGTACTGATTTCGTCCCGATCTGCAAACTCCGGTGTGGCGAGTGGCATTTCAGCATACCTTGATACCTCTCGGCTCGCATGAATTTGAAAGTGAAAGCTCTGGTATTTTATAGAGTGTGTTATGAGGTCTTTTAATATGTTTAGGCAATTTCTCCGGGACAATTCGTGGGCGTGGAAGCTGAGTCCGAGAAGGGGGTCTCCGAGGAGGGTGACAGACGAGTGACAGAAAGTGCCTGCTGCCCGGAGGTTCAAACTCCGACGCACTACCGCGAATCACGGCGCGTGGGCAGCCCCACACTTTCCTGCGCCTACAGAGCGGAGCCTGAGTCGGCAGCGCACGGCATTGTGACCCCGAGCGTGACCGTTCTCGGAGAAATGTTCGAACATTGGGGTCGACGAAGCAACTCGACGACCGCTCACGCAAAACTTCCTGGATCAGCCTAAAATTCTCGGAATAGTGAAAGTGGCATAATTCAAACGCATGTATCAAGTATCATTGTTATCGGCAGCGGAGGGAGACGGGGGGTGCATTGAACACTCTGGGACGGCGCTTAGCTGTCCGAACACCCTGGGAGTGATAGTATCGCAGAGCCTGCAAGGTTCGAATGTCCAGCTGAGCGCTGAGCACTGTCCGATGGATCCGCACCTTTCGCGGGCCTTCGTCCATACGTGCGTCCGTCCTATTCCCCCAAGGACAGGATCCTCGCAGGCCTGACCGACGCGTCTGTGCCCCGCAACCTCCGGTTCGGTCGCCAGCCTCGTTCCATGCAGTTCCCCGACCGAGTGGCCGAGCCGGCGGCGACTCCGTGCCAGGGGCCCGTATCACGGCAGCGGACCCGACTTGCCTGATCCTCCAAACCCCGCCGTGGAGGCGAGCGGCGGGATCCTTCGCTGGCCATGGGTTGAGGTCCCGGGCGGCGAACACTGTCGCCGTGGGTCTCCGTCCTAGTGGCGCCAGGGCCGAGCACTGCGCTGCTCAGGTCGGGGAATGAGGAAACCCAAGATGGTTTGACCTGGGCTTGCAAGTGCGCGCAGAGCGTACGCAACGGAGCTTAAAGGGCCACGCACCGCATGACGTAGGTAGGACCCGAGCTAGGGCGACAGCGCGGCCGCCGCGCGGGCACCGTGGAGTTGACCGGTTCATGCAGTGTTGACGATCCGAAGAGAGAGGGCCCTGGCGATGCTGGGATTACGGTCCGGACGGCGCGGGTTGGACTGTCGCCGGTCCGTGTGGAATCGGGCCCTCGCGCGTGCTGCCGGACGTGCGGACTGCAGCACTGGATTGAGGTGTGAACTTGGAATGCGGCGAGGTGATGAAGAGCGAAGTGTGGTCGTGGCCTCGGTGTTGGGATGGGTTGCGCGAAGTGAGATGCGAAGGCTCGGGCGGGGTGCCGCAGGGGGCGGCGCTGGATCTGATGTGGGTGGACGAAGAGTTCAGTCGGTCTTGTTCCCGGGGTTGAGAGGAAGAGCGGTGCTGTGCTGAAAGCCGTCGCGAAAAGTCGAGATGGTGAAACAAGTTGATCGCGAGCGGGATCTGCGAATCGCGGCGCGAGTTAGGAGTTCCGAAGTCCAATAGCCAAAATCGTCTGCTTGAATCGTTGTATTTTTGAGGGTCGACGTGAACAAGGCCAGGTACAGTGAGCCGGGTTTTATTAACCGTCGATGATGTTGGGCTGTGAACAGGATAGTTGGCTGGATTTCGTAATATCCTGTACTGACCGAACGCCCTGTCCAAAGGATGTTGCGGACATAGCGCAGACCTGGTGAAACGTAGCTCAGCAGACACCACCACTTGTTTGTTCATGGCATGGAACAGGTCTCTTAGGGGTCTACTTTCGATCGTTACGTAGAGATCTTCGCGAAGACGGAGTGGCGTGTTCACCGGCGGTACCGACGTCTTATTCCGCTGCTCGTCCTGCGGTAAAACTGCGTCGAATCGTTGCTCGTCATCGCGGCGCAAGCCGGCACGAGCGACTGGCTTTGTGTCTAATTTTGCGTGTGAGTGCTGAAATAGCGGAGCACTGTCGTGATGGCTGATACTCCTCGGTCGTGGAGCGGGCGGTTGCACGAGATGAAATGCCAAATGGCCTGCAATTTCTGTAGACCGGCGGAAGGGTCCGATGAGGGAGTGCGGCAGGGGTGAGTGCGGCAGAATGCGATGGAAAGACACAGAGACCGGGGTTGGGATCCAAGAGAGCGAAGAACAGGCAAAACCAGCGCCTGCTCGAAATGGAAGCCGCCAGCGCGGGCGCTCCGAAACCCAAACCCCAGAATTTCCGCAAAGTGGTCCGATCCTTCGGGCGCTTGCCTGCGGGGCAGCTCAAGACGGACGGTGTACAAGACAGTCTTGCTTCCTGCCGCCATGTCTACCCCACCACCCTCCTCGAGCTCGAGCTCGTCAGAGACAAACTCCCCGTCTCCCCCCACCCCCCTCGTTGAACTTAAATCCGACCCCAGCGAGACGCTCGAGTTCCTCCTCCAGACCATGGCTGCACAAGCCCAGGCACAGCAGCAGGCCAACGACTCACCCTTCGACACTACCCAGCATGACTGGAGCCAGCTATCCTCGTGGGCGACGCCTCAGGACCAGAAGTACGACATGTCTGCCGACTTCAACTTCACCCTCCCCATGGACCTCGACTTCGATCCCAACATGGCAGTCGACCCGTCCGCCCTCCAGTTCACCACCATCTTCGACCAGTCGGCCTTCGCTGCACCACACGATAGTTCCTTCATCATGTCAAACGAGATGGTCCCGAACAACCAGATGCTTTTTGGCGACGACTACGCTATGCCCTCATTCGAGCCCCATCCCACTCGCCGAATGAGCATAACCTCGTCTTCCTCCTCCTCTGGGGCCTCACTCTCCCCAGTCATGGAACCCGCGCACGTCGTGTCCGCTTCTCCTCCGTCAGATGTCGTCCTCAACGACCCGGCGTCGGAACTTGCCCACCGTGTAAGACAAATGGCTGGCGTCACCCTCGCTGTCCCGGTCAGCGCGCAGGTACAGCAACTCGCAGCGGCCGGAGGCCAGTCCAAGCTGCCCATCCCGCGCCTGAAGCAAAGTCCGACGCCTGCGCCGGCTCCGAGACGGCCCGCCAGCAAATCTTCTCCTTCTGCTTCCGAGACAGACTCCCCCACCGCGTCCTCTGCGTCCCCCTCCTCGTCCGCGCCGTCAGAGCAGGCCCCATCGCCTCCACCGGAGCTTCTTCAACCCGCTCCTACGCAGACTGTCATCGGCAGGCCGAAGACTAGCCACACTACGATTGAGCGGCGGTACCGGACCAACCTGAACGCGCGTATCACCGGTCTGAAGCAGTCTGTTCCCGCCTTGCGCGTGCTCGAGGTCAAGGCCGGCGTGCCGAGCCCATGGAACGATGTGGTCGACAGCCGTGGCTTCGTGGACGGTGTTAAGGTCGCACGGAAGATGAGCAAGGCCAACATTCTTGGCAAAGCCACAGAGTACATTCGGTTAGTCTTGGACACTCGTTGTCACCCAAGCGTCTCTAACCGTCTTCCAGTGTCCTCAAGAAGCGCGAGGCCCGTCTCAAACGCGAGCAGGATGGCCTCAAGTCCCTTGTGGGCGGTCTTGTTGGCGGACCTGCTCTGCTCAAGGAGTGGGAGCGCGAATGGAAGGAACGTTTCGGTGGTGAGGAGAAGGATGAGGTCGAGGATGATGATGCGCAGTGCGGAAGCGATGACGAGGAGGGTGACGACAGCGACGGTGAAGACGAGGAGGGACGCGCGCGCAAGAAGGTGAAGCTTGCGAAGTCAGCCAAGAAGGAAAAGCCTTACAGGCCGCCGCCGCCGCCACCCGTCCCCGGTGTTCCCGGCGTGGTGCCAGAGAAGCGCAAACGTGGTCGTCCCCGCAAGATTCCTCTCCCCACCTCTGCTCCTTCGATGCCCAACTCTGGGGCTCCCACTCCTGCGGGTGCTTCGCCTATCTTCGCTGTTGACCAGCCTCTGCAAGATTCTTACATGCAGGTCAAGCAAGAGGGCATGCCTCAGCAGCCGGCCACTCAGCAGTACCTCCTCGCTGTCTTTGCGTTTTTCTCCGTCTTCAACTCTCCCTTAACGTCCTCATTCAACGCTCACACGACCGCCCCCCACGAACACCATGGCACCGTCCTCACACCTCATTCACCTACGCACACTCAAATCCCCGTTCACGGCCCTCGCAGCTTCACGCTGAACGAGTTGGCTCAAGCCGCGCACCTGCTTGTCTCGACGTTGCTCTTCTTCTATGTCGTGGTTCCCTGGCTTACCGGAACCCTCCGCAAGTCGAGCATCCCCACCCGTTTTGCTTCGCTGTTCCTCGGCTTTAGGCGTAATGCGCGTCGTTCATTGCCTAAGCCCAATGTCACCGCTCGCAACGCTCTTTTGAACGCCCTCTCGCCCGGTGCTCGCGGGAACCCGGATGAGGCGGCTCAGCTCCGCGCCGCCCTGGGTGTCTCCGATGGCACCATCGGGCTACTCCAGAGCGTGATCAAGGCTGCTCGTCGTGATCGCGGCATCGAGCTCAACCAGCTTGAGCAGCGTGCTTGGGTTCGCCTGGGAGAGCTGATTGCTTTCGATGGTGAGTATATGCGCCTTCGTCGTTGAATCGCTTGTTGACTTTGGTCATCAGGATCTGTCGGTAACTCGACCCGCTTGCAAACGTACTGGTGCATGTCATGGCACATTTCGACCTTCGCCGCCTCAACCATGGACCTCTCTACCCTCGCCCTCATTATCCGTCCCTTCTCCCTCTCCAAGGCGAACGAGCTCTGGGAGCGTGCGCGCCAGCGCGAGTTCCTTCGTGCCCACGAGCGGATCGTTCTGGACAACATGACTGTTGAAGGTGCTGCGGACTGGCTCGCGAAGTGGCGCCAATGGCATGAAACTGAACGCAACGGCCGGTGCACGGCGTGCGAAAAGCGTACTCCCCTCGGTATCCTTGCCGCCATCCTTATACGCGAGCGTCTCCGGAAACACGCCGCCTCCCTCTTCGTCCGCACTGTCGTTCGCACCGAAGTGGAGGCGCGCCGGGCGAACCCCGGTTTCGAGGACGAAGAAGAGGACGAGTCCACCTACGACGCTGACAAGGACCTTCAGGAGGAGCAGGAGCGTAAGGCAACCGTTGAAGCCGGCAAGTCGATCGGCGGCCGCACCGCCGAGCTCGCCATCCTCCTCGAGCGCATCTGGGCTACTGGCTTCGCGTCCCGCGCCGACATGGCTGCCGCGCAGCAGGCCGCTGCGACGGACGCCATGCACGAAGACGAAGACGTCGACGTCGATGCCGACTGTGAGGACGAGCGCGACCTCGCGAGCCAGGACGAGGCTGAGATCCGCGCGCTCCTTACCGCGACGCTCGTCTACCGTCGTATCTTCCCATCCACGATCCCCGCGTGCGCGCCCGCGTGGCCCGCATTCGTGCTCTCCCCGCCACCCAGCCCGACCGCGCGCTCGACACAGCTGCACACGGCCCTGCGCGCCGCGCTCGGCTCACCTGCGTTCGAGGGTGGGGCCGACGGACGGTTGGAGGACCCCGCGCTCGGAGCGGCGCTGGAGGACGCGCGCGACCGCGTCGTGGACATGCTCGTCGAGTTCGAGCGGGCGTGTCGGCGAGGCGGGCGGGCATTTGACTAGAGCCTGCAGGTCGTCGGTTGGATTCTCTGTGTCCCTCTCTTGTAGACTGAGTGTGCTAGTACAGCGTGCGCTCGCGTTTTATGTTTTGAGTTATTCGCTTTGATCTACTTACGTCCGGTTCCTTATTGTCTTAGCCTACGCCCTACTGATATGCTTATGTACAATATAAGTTGCACTGGAACCCAATCCAATTGGTCGCTGCCGTACCTACAATGGAAAGTATAGAGGAGCGTGCGGCGTTGCTGGTACGAACGGAATTAGCTGTCGACCTTCTTTGTTGAGGGTATGAACACGATGCAGCCGGAGTCATGGATAGCAGCACATTCGGAACCGTCCGCTGATATGTACGCAGCGCAGGCATTGGTGATGCGCCCGAATTTCGATCCGTGATTGTGATTCGCGTGCACTGACAGCCCGCGCTCACAAGAAACCCGAGGAATGCCGGGAGAGAGGCTGTGCTGCTGAGGACTAGATTGGTTGAACGAGAATGACTCTGCTACAATACCGGCCAAAGTCGGCCGCCGCAGGCAAGGCATTCTGCGCGGCCTGCCAAACCCACTCCCAGCCACTCGGTGAAATTTGAATGAATCGATGCCATGCTTACTATGTTACGACAGTACCGAGATCGCGTTGCAACTCGCGGACGTACCTGTACAATACGCGAACATCACGTCGCAGTCCAGATGCGGAATGCAATACATTCGAGAGTGTCGCCGAGTCAGATCATTTCCTCATTTCCACGCGAGTCGTGCGTCGGGGCCTGCCGTGCTTCATGGGGAGCCGGGCGAGGAAAGCAGTATAAAAGTCGACACTGAGTGCAGTCTGGTCCTCACTGCTCTCGGTCACCCAGCTTTGCCGTGTCTGTTCTGTCCTTCGCGTCTGCCACCCCTCCCGAGATGTTCTCCTCCTCCACCAAGCTCGCTCTCTTCGCCACGGCTCTCGCCGTCGTCGGTGGTAAGTGCGGTCACGACGTCGTCGTACCTAGCTTGCACAGCACGCTGACCCCTGCGTCGCAGTCCGCGCCCAGGAGCCCAACTGCGCGCGCAACTACACGGTCCACCTCGGGGACACCTGCGACGCCATCTCGGCCAAGACGAACGTGTCCACGTACGCGACTCCTCTCTCGCCCTTGGTCGAGGAGAGTCTGACGGCTTCGCCGACAGGTACCAGCTCGCGACCGTCAACGCGGACAAGATCGACGCCGCGTGCGACAACCTGGCCCTCGGGGAGGTGCGCCTTCTCGGCTCTATGTGATGTCTACTAGCTGGACGCTCACCCGTCGATCTACGTCGTTTCCTGCAGCCGCTGTGCCTCGGGATCGTCGGCGAGGACTGCGACGTGACGCACGTCGTGGTATCTGGGGACTCTTGCGCTGCGATCGCGGGGGCGGCGGGGACGACGACGGATGTCCTGCTTGCGAACAACCCGAACGTCAATAGCGACTGCACGAACATCTACCCTGGGGAGGTCAGTCGCATGCCGGCTCGTTCGAGAAACGAATAGAGTGCTAACCGATGCTGTCTGGGTTCGCGTGCAGGTTTTGTGCACGGCGACCGAGGTGATCGTGGAGTCTTCGTGAGCGGGAGCTGGGGGTGTGCTTTGAAGGTGGTCCGGAAATATTGTCTGTCGTCTTTAATGGGGTTTCAATGGAGAGCCCCCGATCTTCAAAGCCTACGCGTGTAGTTAACGAGCTCTGGCACGAATCCATCATCATCATCATCATCATCCGATCTTCAAAGCAAGTTATGTTTGTTTGATGAGAAATGAGGACTGAATCCGTGCTTAGCCAAATTTCTTCGATCCACTTTCCTATGGCAGAGGATTTTCACGGCATACGAATGAGTTGCGGTAAAGAGAAAGCTGCGAAGAGTGAGGGTAGCAGTGTAGTCGACGTTGAATCGAGGTTACCCACATCCCTGTCCAATTGGATCGTGAGAACATATCCAAACTCCGCCCGGCGCGCCGATCCAGCCCTGCGAGTCTGGACTCCAGTGCGACTCTCACTCTGACTGCCTCTTCGGCATCGCTCTTTGCCCGGTATAGTATAACGAGAAACCTCGGCCTATACTGAATACGCTGCTCCCTCGTCCGGCATACCACCGACCGGCGCTGCGAGTAGCCCTTGAAGCATCCAAGTACGTGCGCTATCCAAAGATATCATAAACCTCCCGTGTCTCATGAGCGTCCCGTGTCACTGTGAAGTGGCAATGGAACAATAATCCCGGCACTATCCCAAGAACAGCCAACTTCGCCGTTCAGTCTCCCCCTTGCCGACGAGAACAAACCGTGCCGACGCGGAAGGATCTACATACGTCTTCGCCACCCTGTTTTTTCGCCCCCTTCGCGAAGACGAGAGGCGCAACAGAGCGCGGCGTTTGTATGGCGGAACCGGTCGTCGCGTGCGCCCCGTTATCTGATATGATAACCCCGACAGCGTTCTAGCGGCCGAAGCGTGGCCGGGCGCTCTCGCTCAATCACTACGGCTGCAGTGCGCCCCAGTGCACGACATCCCGCGGAGACGAGGGCCACGCGATCCCGTGTGCGATTGAGCTTGCGGGGTGGGGACAGTCAGGTGGGACGCCGTCGCTTTCGCAGTGGTTGAGCGTGTTGACCGATACATCTCGTCCCAGACGCGAGGCGACATCCCCTTCAAGAAAAGCGTACACGAAACCAGGAAGGGCCCCAGAACAGTGGCACCTTTCGGCCTGTGCGTGGCTGTTTCTATTCCAAAGTACTCAATATGTGCGCTATGAAAGGCCATTCTTGGAGCCGCTCCTAGGTTTCGGCAGAACAGTCCCGACACGCATGCAAGAAGATGACGGAATCGAAGGCGAGCAGTAGTACCGTGATGGACAGTCCGCGAGTTGCACTCACCTTGTGTTCTGCAGAAGCACATGCGTGGAAACGAGGGGTGAAAAAAAGACGTCCGCAGACCATCGCGAATCGCGAACCGACGAGTTTGGACCACGTTCCACGCGGACGCGACCGAACGGCCGGATAACCACCGCGCTGCGACGTTTGGGGATCGGGACGACCCGCTACGCGGCACCGGAACGGATAGGCTCGAGATAGGTCGCGTACAGCGATCGTTCCAAAGATGCACTCAAAGAGCCACGCGCCGACAGGAGGTGGAACACAAAAGACTGGGGGAAAGGCCGCCAAGCGTGAGGCATAATGTGCGTGTTCAGCACCATGTCGCGATAACCGGAGAATATAGTGTGTTTTTGGGGTGAGTACTTGAATACATCTCTATACTACAAATGTTCCGAGATTCATGAGACGTAAACCATAGTATGTCTTTCGTGTTTTTGCCCCGGGTCATCAACGCCTCACTCTTTCTCCGCGACTGCGACCGCGGCCTCCGTCGCCTCGCGCCTCTCGCGGCGCTGCCTCCCCAGAGCGCTCTCGCGCCCGAAAAGCTTCGTGCGGCCCTCGGAGAACTTCATGTACACGAGCGCGGCGATGACCGCGAGCCAGTAGAAGACGTAGGCGAGCACGGAGCCGACCGTTGCGCTGTTCGTCCAGCCGAAGATCGCGCCGAAGATCGTCCAGCCGTCGTTGTCGAAGTTGTTGTCGGGGTTGCAGCAGTCGAGGTGCCAGACGCTGCCGCGGACGTCGAACGAGCCCGGGCCGTCTCCCCCGGCGTCGTCGACGTCGGCGCCGAGGCTGGTGCGCCGGATCAGCTCGGGGGCACATGTGGGAGCGGAGAGAGAGAGAGGGAGACGTACAGATGGTTGAAGGCGTTCTCTTGGAAGGCCCAGACGGCCTTGGAGAAGAGCCCGGCGCCGATGAGGATGAGGAAGTTGGTCATGACGACCAGGAAGATGGTCAGGGCTGCAAACAGGGTGAGTGGAGGTTGGCTTCTGTGTACAATCAGCGATGCTTACTGGTGCGGCTTGCAAAGGTGTAGATGAGGTAACCGCAGACGAGGCCACAGACAATACCGACAATGGCGGCAATGGGGATGGACGTCGCTGGCTGCCCGAGCGACACGCCGCCGACGAAGATGACGGCTTCCATGCCTTCACGGAGCACAGTGATCAAGGGGAGCACGAAGAGGACATATTTGCCGGTGCGTGCCTTCCGGTCGGCTGCGGCAAGGTGAGAGACGATTCTATGTACCCAGCATGCGAGACTGACCGTGTCCTGCGAAGGCGCGCTGCAACTTGACGCGCCACTTGGCCTTGGCACGATCCATTTTGAGCATCCCGAGGCCCATGAAGAAAATAATGACAGCGGCAACGAGCTCAAAGATACCTGCACGCTGCCATGTGAGCACAAGACCGGGAAGTCAAGGGGGCATTGTGGACGCACCCTCCCAGAGTTCCTCGGACTTGGCCCACAGATTGCTCGCCTGGGTGAACCAAACGGCGATGAAGGCTGCGCCGATGGCGAGGGCGAGGAAGAGCCCCAAGAACGCGCCGCTGAAGATGTAGATGCGCATCTTGCGGAGGAGGGCGCGGGTGTCAACCTGGGGCTCCTCGCTGCTCCCAGAGGCCGAGTCCACGCCGGACCGCTTCTCGGGGTCCTCAACGGGCGCGGGCGCAGAGGCGGATGGGGTGATGAGCGAAGGGTCCTGGTGGACGATCTGCTCGACGAGGCCGAGGAGGACAGAGATGATGATGGCAGCCTCGAGGGTCTCGCGGAAGACGATGAAGAAGATGGGGACAGAGAAGACGTTGCGGGCCATGGCTGGAGGTGTCGCTGGGCGGACGGCGGACGCGTGGATGGGGCCTTGAGGGAGCGAGCCTGGACGGGTGCGTGGGGCGCAAAATGTTAAGTAGCCGGTGCGCGGGGTGGTTGGACGACGGAAAGGAATGGGGCCACGCTGGCTGCTATCTGATAATCCTCGGCCGTTCAGGGCCCGCCGTCGGGCGGCCGAACGCATCTTATCTGATACCGAGTCATCAGATGTGCTATTCATAGCTCCGCAAAAAAGTCGCGAGTACCTCCGCGGTCATGGTGTTTGGCTTTCATTCTGCTGGTGCCTAGCCAGACCATATGCCTTTCAGGCGTAATGTCGGCTCCTGAGATCTGGGAGGGCAACACACCGGTACCACTCACTGCTGGTGTTCTCACGGAGGCACGCCGGGCCATGGGTAATCTGATAAGACAAGCTCACGTCGCAGCGTGCTATCTGATAATTGGGGTGATCGGCTGCCAGAGTCGAGACGCTTCCCTGCGCGCCGCTCGCCATCCCTCGTCTCCCGGTACCACCGCCCACCTCCCTAGTGCAGACCCCGCGCACCCGCCCAGGCCCGCACAAATGTCTCCAGGTCAAAACCTCTCTGCCCCCCGCCCTTTCCGCCCCCGTCCCCACCGGCCAACTCCCTCGCCGTCCTTCTTCCCCTCCAAATCCCGCCCCCCGCCCTCGTCCTGACCGTGCCGCAGGACCCCTCACCTCCCTCGTATCCCCTCGCGCCACCCCCACCGCTATGAGGCCCCTCGCGCTCGTCCTCCTTGCCGTCGCGTCTCCTGTGCTCGCTGCCGTCCACGAGCTCTGGTGGGACATCACCTACGTCGACAATGCCAATCCCGACGGCCTTCACCCACGCCGCGTCATCGGCGTAAACGGAACCTGGCCGTGCGTGGCCGTCTTCTTGAGCTCGTCACGCTCAAAACACCTTGTTAATAGTCTTGCCTCTACAGGCCTCCCCCCATCGACGTAACGACGAACGACACACTACTCGTTCACGCGACGAACCGACTCGACCTCCCCACTTCGCTCCATCACCACGGCATGTTCTTCAACTCCACCTCCTGGATGGACGGTGCTGTCGGTGTCTCCCAATGGTACATCTGTCCCTCATTTGGTTGCTCGCAGTCACTCATCTATCCTGCCTGCAGTGGTATTCCTCCGAACGCGACCTTTGATTACGTCGTGCCCGTCAATAGCTCGGGCCAGTGGGGTACCTACTGGGTCCATGCGCACGCCTCTGTGTGTCTTTGTGGCCGCATCGTTCCCATTGCCATCGCTGAATCACATACCACTTCGACAGGGTCAATACGTCGATGGTCTCCGTGCGCCCGTCGTTATTCACCCTGGAAAGGAGGCCCACGCGTACGACGAAGAATTCACCGTCGTGCTCGGCGACTGGTACCATGATCAGCACTCAGACCTCCTGGCCGAGTTTGTCAGCATCGCCAACCCAGGCGGGGCCGAACCTGTGCCCGACTCCGCCCTCATCTACTTCGCGCAAAATGCCACATACCTTGGGCCTATCAGCGGCACGAACCCAGACCCTGTGACGAGCGCGGTCGGGTTCAACGAGAATGCGACACTTCCGTTCCAGGTTGGTCCCGCACATTCCCTACCGACAGGACCTTCTGACTGTTGTTACATGCATATAGCCTGGAAAAACCTACCGTCTGCGTATCGTGAACACCAGTGCTTTCTCTGCGTTCTTCTTCTGGATTGACGGTCACGACATGCGTATCATTGAGGCCGACGGTGTACGTCATTTGCCCCTCGTCGTAGAACTCGTCGGTCTGACGACTTTCTAGACGGATGTGGAAGAGTTTCCCATCGACTTGATCGCCATTACTGTCGCCCAACGTTATTCTGTTCTCGTAACGGCGCGCAACGACACGTCTTCTAACTGGGCTATCCATGCGAACATGGACACCGACATGTTCGATACCGTCCCAGATACCTTGAACCCTAGTATGCACCGGCCCCTTCCTAATGTCGAACCATTAACTAAGGGCTCTTAGACGTCACATCCTCAATCACATACGACTCCTCCACCTCCCATACCACCTCTGGAACCGTCGACGAGTACCATGGCGTCGATGATCTCTCCCTCGTACCCCTGGTTGCCAAGGCTTTGCCTGCCGCAGACCGCACGATCGAGCTGGAGGTTCTCTTCGATACCATGGAAGACGGCACGAACCACGCCATGTTCAACATGATTACATATAACTCCCCGCTCGTTCCCGCGATTATGTCGGAGGTCAGCTTAGGCTCGAACGCGACAATCGCCAGCGCCTACGGACCCACGAGCTTCGTCATTGACCATCTGGACGTGTTCGACATTGTACTCAAGAACGGCGATGCCGGCAAGCACCCCTTGTGCGTGTCCGCACATTTCGTTTTGACCGTGCTTGTTTTCTTATCCACGTTCGCAGCCACTTGCACGGACACACGATGCAGCTCGTCGGCCGCTCGACTGACTACACCTCAGACGACCCGACGCTAAACCCGCCCCTGAACGAGAGCCAGCCGAACCCAATGCGGCGCGACACCGTGCAAGTCCCCTCGGGCGAGTCCGTCACGCTCCGCGTCGTCGCCGACAACCCCGGCGCCTGGTTCTTCCACTGTACGTCCCCGTGCCTTTACCCCTTCCCTCCTCGACGTTCCGTCGTCGCCGCGTCGCTGACCTCCGCCCGCGTACAGGCCACATTGAGTGGCACCTCGAAGTCGGGCTCGCGGTGCAGTTCATCGAGGCGCCGCTCCAGGCGCAAGAGCGCGCCGCGCTCCCCTCGTTCATGTACGACCAGTGCGCCGCGCTCGGGAAGCCCACCTCGGGCAACGCCGCCGGGCACGCGTCCGCGACGGACCTCGCCGGGCTCCCGCTCGGGCCGTTCCCGCAGAACAACGGCTGGCACGCGAGGGGGATCGGCGCGATGGCCGGGTGCGTGCTCACGGTGGTGCTCGGGATGGCGAGCGTGGCGTGGTACACGCTGGGCGGGCAAGCAACGGACGAAGAGATGGAGCAAGAGCAGAGGGAGAGGCAGGAGGCGAAAGCGAAGCGGGGGAGGTTCTTTGGGCTTGTGAAGGGCAAGGAGGCCTAAGGCGCGAAGGCCGGAGCCCGAGGAGTGGGGGAAATGTGCCCGCGCTGCAGTGCGCGTGTGACGTTGGGCGTTACATATGTCTAGCATGTACTGTACACTACTCACGAATCCCACTCTATCAACGATTCTCTTTACATAAGCTGTACTGAAGCATGTCGACTGCAGCATAAACCATCGCCCATACCTGGTGGGGGCACGCACGAACAGCAGCGGGGGTGCTGCCGCTGAAGCAGTGGCGGTCCGTCCCCCGGAGGACGCTTCGAACGGTGAGCGACGTCGTCAACGCGATGAGAAGTTGCAGCGCCCGGAGTACATGCATACCGTACTACAGCAGCCTGGCACTGGGATTTTACACGAGCCCGCACGCCCCCGTCACGCCTCATCGGCCCCAGCTGCAGCGACCGGCGGCTCCGCCGCGAACCACCACTTGTACATCCGGCCATCGGCGGCGAAGTCCGCGCGGCCGACGAAGCGGCGGCGCGCGAACATGATGGGCAGCCAGTGCTTGTCGTCGGGCCACATGTTCGTGAGCGGGATCTCGGGGAGGCCCGCCGCGCCCGCCGCGGCTTCCGCTGAGACGGCGCGCCGCGTATGAAGCGGGAAGAGGGCGTCCTGAATCGCGTGCCACTGCGGGCGCATCTCCTCTGACCTGTGCGAGGAGAGGGTGACATTGAAGTTGGGATCAGTACGTGCGCGCCATCAAGGAGGAGAGAGATAGGCGCACTCTGTGACGTCCCCGGTGAACTCGTCCGCGCGGAAGATGTCGATGTGGAACGCGTGTTCGGAGCCCTCCAGCACGAAGAACAGCGTGCCGCAGTGCGCGAGCGGCGCGGTGATCCCGGCTTCTTCCTACCACGAGCGCCCGAGGCGAGCCTGCATGAGCCACTTGTGTACGCGGCGGGTGCCAGTGGGAAGGGCTCACCTCCAGTTCGCGCACGGCCGCCTGCGCGGAGGTTTCGCCCGCGTCCACTTTGCCGCCGAAGCCGTTCCACCTGTGGGCCAAAGTGCATGTTCAGCGACGGGAGCCGGACACGCGTGAAGAACGGCGTACAGTCCCGCCCCGAACCCGCGTTTCTTGTATCCCAGCAGAATCTGCGTGACGCATATGTGAGATTTCGGACATTCGAGAGACTACGGAGGCGTATATAAGTACCCTGGCATCGTTGATGATCACGAACGCGTTCGTGTACAACTTGACTTTGCCATGCTCCAGCCACGGTCCGGGCTCGCCTCCGCAGGACGCCTCTACCAGAGGACCGTCGTGCTTCAAGCCAGGTGGAAGTTGTAGTGTCGACATGTTTCAAAATGCTGCCAGTGGGTCCAAAAGGCGGTCAATGTTAACTGCAACGTGGGCACGCGCCTGCAGCTGACGCCTTGACGCACACCACGGTTCGTAACGTGCACGTGTGCTGTGACGAAACGCGCTCCCACTCTCGTGGATTGCCAATTTGAATTGTTCCTCCGGGCGGCCTGGCAAGAAATGACCAGTGGCGCCATATGTGGACCTTCTCCGATCTCGCGAGGCCTCGAACCGCCAAACCGTGAAAGCAGATAGATCCGAACCACCTATAGACATGTCTAGGTCTGCACACCCGACGCGCGCCGCGCACCGGTTACATCAAGCCAGACCGCTCCAGCCTCGTCTCCGCAGGTCTCTGCGTATCCGCCCGCCATAAACCCAGCGTCGAGGCCTGACGCCTGCCGCGCAGCTCAAGCGCTCAAGCTTTGTACGAGGGTGCGGGCGACGCGCTCGCGGTGGAGCACATGCTCTCGACCCCGGAGCGGTCCTTGGGCCTGCGCTTGACGCGGGCGAAGATGCCGACCTCGGGGTCGCGGATGAAGTTGACGAGCACCATCGGCCAGGATGGGTGCGACGGGAGGATATCGTAGAACTCGGGCGCGAGCGCTCGGAGTGCGGGGAGGCGTGTCCAGGCGACGGACGGGAAGTCGTGGTGCTCGTTGTGGTAGCCGACCTGCGCAGGGAGCCGGGGTCAGCGACGGGAGCGGGGGAGAGGGATGCAGGGTGACGCACGTTGTAGGCAAAGATGTTGAGGATGCCGTAGTAGGAGTAGGTCTCCTGCTGGAGGCCGTCCCAAACATAGTGCTCGGCGATGAAGTGGCCGGCGAGGGGGTGCAGGCTGCCGGCGAAGAAGCTGGAGAAGAGGAGGTACCAAATGGGGTTGAAGCCGAATGACTTGAAGAGGGCGAAGTCGAAGACGAGCTGGGTGATGAGGTTCACGAAGTGCCACTGCGTGAATGTCTGCATGCGGACGAAGCCGGGGCGGAGGGCGTAGAAGAAGATCTGGAAGGTACTATATGCATACCCGTGAGAGGTGATTGCGCATGGAAAAATGAGAGGACTGACGCAAAGAAGACCTTGCCGAGAACATTGTTCAGGCAGATGAGCTCGAAGTTAGTGGGAAGGTCAGTGTCGATGCCGTCCTCGCCGAGGAACTTGTGGTGTTCTATGTGGTATCTCTACAAGCAGGCCGTGCACTCTAGCGCAAATAGCATACGGCAAGCGGAGGAAACTCACCTTGAAAGCAGCAGAATAGGGAATACCGATGGGGAGGTTCGCGAACACAGCAAGGGCCTTGTTGGCCTGAACGCTGCGGAAAGCGAGGTTATGCGTGATTTCATGAATGGCAAGGAACAAATTGTGGTTTGCCGTCCCGCCGATAACATATGCGGTGAGAAGGAAGATGGGAGAGAGTGGGTGGGTATTCCGCAGCCAATAGGCCAAGCCAATCTGCATCGAGACGACTCCAAGGACGACCCATTTTGTGAGCGGTTCATGGCCCATGAGTTTGGTGACCTGCAGCGTGGAGCTCGGACGCTTGACTTCGGATTTACGAGGAATGTAGACGTACCTCTGGGTGTGCCTTTATAATCGCCATCCGCCGACTCCGATGCGGCTCCTCAGTCATTAGCCACAGAAAGTCCGAGGGATCCTGCGGGGGTGCAGTATGTTTCTGCCCAACATCCTTCTCCGTAGGGCTGGGGATGACGGTTCTGCAAGGAGAGCGGCCTTCGTTGAGGGACTCGGCGCCGCCAAAGTAGCTGAAGTCTGCGTGTGGACCGATTCGGAGGACAGCGGTCGGCTTCGGACACGGGGAACAGGAGGGAAGGTTTAACAATGTCTGAAAACGTACCGATCGGCTTTTCCGGCTGTGCGCCCATCGTGCCGGATAGGGGATAGGAAGGGGAAGATGAGAGAAAGCTGACGGGGCTCAGAGAGGATGGAGGTAGGCGCCAGCTGTCTGCTCGTGCTCGCCGTGGCTGTTGTGTCTCGACTCACTAGCACTGCTTGATCGTCGACAGACATTCTGGGCGGCTCTCGACCTACTGCGCTGTATAAGTCGTACCACACAGGAAATAAGCAACCTCATAAGCCGTGCATCGTATTTTCTGTCATTGCTGTATGTAAGTACTTGGCACAATCATCTCATGTAGGCTGAATGTTCACTCCCGCCTGAAGCTCAGCACACAGGGATGCCAGTTTGAGCGCAAGTTGCGGATACACACTCACGTATAACAGAAGCAGCCGGCTGCGGCGCGCCGACCTTCGACTCCACGCCGCTCACAAGGCTTTAGAAATTAGGACCTCTCTTGACGCCTCCGACTTCCCTCCGTTTCGTACCCCGGAGCACGACTGTCGATATGGAGCCAAAGCCGAACGACGCCATGACGAGCCCCTCCGCTCACCAGACGCAGCAACTGTCAGACGCGGGAGACCTCCAAAAGGTAGGAGATGATAACGAGAGTTCTGAAGAGAAGCATGTCGATCCGTCAGAAGACATTTTGGCGAGTGGTAATTCTCTTCTATGACTGCAAAAACCGACATCCTGGGTCAGGACACTCTGGAAGCCCCATTGAATTGTCCATTGACAGCATTGGTACTACATATCGGTCAACCGCTCAGCGCTCAGCTTGAGAGGCGCTGCATATATAAAAGAGCGGTATGCTGAAGGCGACTGGAAGATTTTGGAAATCGATGCTCACAAGGTGTGCAGCTTTGTTTGATGTACATAACGTTCGTGGAGCCGGAGCGCTGCAGGTTCAACTAGTATACCGCAGGTTTACCATGAAGAAACAGGCGGCGGTCCGCCTGCAAAAAAAAAGGAAGATAGACTCTCGGGTGGTGATCGATCTGACGGACTCTTAGTGGTGTTACGAAAATGACATCTATCGAGTGATTCATATACAGCACTGGTACTATGTATGTATACCAAGCCTAGTTGCGCTCGACAAATGTGCCAATTGGCCCAGTATTGAGTGAGGGACAAGCGCCCCATTTGACGCCAAGGCTCTGTTTGCTTCTGCCATGTGCTTATCATTTGAGCACGTTCATTGTTCTCATCCGAAAACCTACTGGTCTCTGGTATCTGCTTGACTATATCTTGAGTGCCCGCAACTTCTCCGACTTTGTGTGTCAAAGGGTGAGTCTTGTCAGTTGGACTTGGTGCATAGCGCGACTTAATTCCCGCTGCAGATGTCTCAAAATTCTTCCGCTCACGATATGGAAGGGACTAACCAGGCTGACCCGAGATTGCTGGGTCCGGGTCGTGACCCAGGATCGTCGCAGAGGGGGCATAAATCTACAGGTGGACCGCGGCCAGGGCAGAGTGCTCGTAAATCTACCGCTAGACCGAATCATCAGGCAGCTCGCAACATGGCCCCACCACCCCCTCCACCACCCCAATGGGTCGACAGACGGTGAGTGTTCATCTCCACTTCCGTGAAGCCGCCCTCCAACCGTTCGCTGGCCTCCAGCGGTCCAAACCGCGAGGCTCCGCCTCCCCCAGGCAACAACGACAACAATCCCACCCAACCGCGCACCAGGCTGGTCACGAAACAGCCGCCGTCCTCCACAGCCGCCCCCGCCCCGCCCGGTGCGCAACCGCCGGCGCACGACCCTCACCGTCACGCTGCACGCAAGCAGGCGTCCGCGCCCCCGCGCCCGGCCCAGTCATCCTTCCCGTTCATCGCGCCGCTCCTCCCCACCACCGCGCTCGCGACCAAGTCCGGACCGTGCTCCCGTCGCGGTTCGCGGCGTTCCGGGACCGGGACAAGGGCAAAGATGGGGAGGACGAGGCGGACCGGACGATCCGGCGGCTGAGCACGCCGCGCAAGTCGCTGTCGTCGATGTCGGTGCCACGGCGTGCGGCGCGGGCGCCGCGGATGCAACCGAGCGGATTGGGGAGGACTGCGGCTGGTAGCACGGACGGTGCGGTGCCCCACGCGCGCGCGTACGTCGGGAGGAGGGGGAGGGTGGTGTTTGCTGGCGGAAGGGACTCGGACTCGAGTTCGTCCGGTGAATCTGTCTCAGCACAGGGGTGGGTTGCTATCCGCCCGCGTCGTTCGCGCGTTGACCTTCAATGACAGCACGCAAGCACCACGGAACCGTGGCCAGGCGTCGGCGGGAGCGCGAGTCGGAGCCGCCGCAAACGCGTCGTCGAACGATCCCGCCTTGATCAGCCGCCGTTTGCCTCTGTTCTGACGAAGAAAGCGCGCAAAACTCTGGCGGTGGAAGACAGCACCGACGAGCTCCGTGCCGCATTTGACGTACTCACTCTCAACGAGGTTCAATTAAAGCGCAAGAAGCGCCTCCCCTTCCTTCGTAAAAACCTCCGCCAAGGTTTCGAGGCTTATTGTATGCGGCGCAGGATCCCCGTGGCGCCCGCTCAGCACCCACACGCGCCGGTGAAGGTCGTCTACAAGTATTACCTCGAGGCGAGCGATTCGGAAGCGGACAGCGATGGCGACGAGTCCGAGGGAGAGCGGGAGTGCCAGACTTGGGTGGGAAGCACGGAAAAGTGGCTTTGCCCCGTCTGCCAGATCCACCGGCCGTTCAGCACAAGGGAGATGCTCGTGTTTCATTTGACGCGCGATCACCCACAGGTCAAGGTCAAATGGAGGGCGCTTCCGGGAAAGAGCTCTCGTGTAAGTTCGGCCTTCGTGAGCTGTTGCTGCGCGCATTCATCATCTTCTAGGAGGTCCGGTGGCAGGTCAACCTAGTCGTACCCGATCCAGCTGAGCTGGAAAGTGACAGCTCAATCAGCTCAGATCAAGAGGAAGACAAAGAGGAGGAAGATGAGGATCAGGGAAGGCAGGAGAAGGAAGGCGAGGACGAGGACGAGGAAGAAGAAGTTGCAGGGGTGTGCTTAGATTTTCCTAAGGCGGAAAGACTCTCTGAGCCTCCTCCCTCTCGGTGAGTCTCTTGAGCACATATTGCCTGCTAATTTTTACTCACCTCAATGCACGTACTGGTCAGGCAGTCGATCACGGTCCCAGGAGAAGATGTGGGGATGAGGCCATCTCTCAGCTCTGACGAAGAAGATGTGAAGCCTTTTCTACTCACCACCGGTGGCCAGAAGTCATACAGAGGTTCGCTGCCTATGAGATACCCTAGCCCACCGCCACCAGATCAGCAACTAGGTCCTGCCGCCCAGTGGCCGTATCAAGATGGGCAAAACTCGTATTCATGTCGTATCGGAGGCCCTCGTATCTTCGATCTGGTTAGCAGGCTCCCGTTGGATGAGTTCGGGGTATTGTCCTGGGCCATTGTGGACCGAGAGGAGGGGCTGTTTGAGATGGAGGATATCCGCGACGAGGACAAGGTGATGCTGGCCCTCTGGAATCGTTGGGTATTTCTCAAGCGGTACGCATCGTGGTTCTGGCGTCATCTGATACGTAGGCACTCATTCAGCGACAGTCCCCAGTTCATGGCCGGCGAATACATCGACGGCGTCAAAAATTTCATAGACAAGTACTGGAGGATGATACATCGGGCGGCTGGGTGGGGTGCCCTACGGACATTTTTGCTGGTCTGTTTCCATCGGTCCTTTGTTGGTTTATCCACTCATAATGCGCTGTTGGAAGTCGTTCTTGAAGGATCGCTATCTGACGCTCCCGCAAGTCTCGGAAGCCCTCAAGTATTACGAGTCAAAGACGGGGATGGATATGTGGTATCAGGCAGCGGGAGGACCATGAGTAGAACGTGCATCTCCTAGCCGTACGTAGTGGCAGGCCTCGAACTTGGTTGCAGATATCCAGATGTACTTACGTAATCGCGGTAAGCGGCCTGTGGCTCACCGACATGCGCTTGCAGACTACCACAACCTCCTCCCCTTCCTCCCCTCAGGCCTCACGGCCCCCCTGCACCGTGGTCGAACCATGCTACACGGCCTGCCCAAACGACCCGCATCGGGCTCCCCCGACCGGGACCGCCCCAGCAAACGCATGGCCACGTCGTCTCCCGAGGAGGGCGAACTCGACGACGGCACCCCGCCACCGCCGCCTGCTCTGCGCTCACCGAGCCCTCCCCCAGCAGGAGGAGGGGTAAAGGTCCCCTTTCCGTTTAAGAAGAAGCCGCGGCAGCCGGAGAACGGGGCAGGCCCAAGCACGAGCGCGAATGGGGTTGCAGATCGCGGACGGGCAATGGACGCGGACAAAGAGAGGGAGCGGGACGGCGAGCGGCGGTACGTCGACGACGAGCCGAAGCGGTTTGGGCTGCCCCCACGGCCCCCAAATGAACGTGACTGGCGCGGAGGGCGGGCAGGGGACCGGTGGGAGCCAGAGCCAGCCAGGTACGGGCAGCGAGCGCGGTGGGAGGCGCAGAGCTACGTGCCGGACCAGCGGCCGTACACCCGCTCGCCGTCGAGGGAGCGGCGGTACCGGTCCCCGAGCCCGCGCAGTTTGGACAGACGGCCTCTTTCGAGATCTCGCTCGCCGTCCTCGCCACGTTCCCCTTTGACCCCCGCATCTGGGAAGGAGAAGCACAGGCTGCCTCCACCAAGACCGGTGGTTCCAGAGTCAGACACATATCGTTCAGCTTACGACAGGGAGCGGTGGAAGGACGAGGACGAGAGGGAGAGGTACGGCCGACAACGAGAATCCTACGACCCCGTACGCGATCGGCGTGAAGGTACGAGTATGCAGATACTGCAATGCGACATGGAACTGACTTCTTCACGGCAGACGATTATCAGTCGTATACGCTGCGTTCACCTTCTCCCCGACCTCCGATCTCTCCGCGAGCCACCCCTCGACATAGCGCGAATGGCAATGACACAAGTCCGCTTCCACCAGCAGACCTCCCTCCCAAGCCTGCCGCTCCGCTTGTCACTCATTCTCCCCAACCCCTCCCATCCACACTTCCCCCCGTAGAGTCTGAGATCCATGCTGCGAAATCCATGCCGAACGTCAGAGTTCCGATCGAAACTAAGGCAATACTTGTGAAGAAAAGGAAGCTTCCGGCAGTACAACGCAGCCGCGAAGAAGAGAAGGAGGCCTATGGACGCCTATTCGAGGGGTGCGGACAAAAGAGCGATGTCACGATGTTGAGCAAGATTGGAGAAGGCACCTTTGGGTAAGCCGGGTTCTGCTCGCGTTGGTATTCTTGGCTAACGTACGGATCAGGGAGGTCCACAAAGCTAAACATCGCAGACACGGCACCGTCGCTTTGAAACGTATTCTAATGCACAACGAGAAGGAAGGCATGCCTGTCACTGCTCTTCGTGAGATCAAGATCTTGAAGTCGTTGCGCCATCCATGCATCGTAAACATCTTGGATATGTTTGTGGTGCGAAGTACGTCGCAATGGGTCGTACCGACTTATATACTGCTGACATCCCTTTTTGTGATTCAGGTAACGGGAAAGATCCGTTGTCTGTATACATGGTATTTCCATACATGGACCACGATCTTGCTGGCTTGCTTGAGAATGAACGGGTGAAACTCACTCCAAGTCAAATCAAGCTCTATATGAAGCAATTGTTGGAGGGCACCGAATACATGCACCGGGTACGCTCATTCGTCTTCTCATTCAAATCACGTGCTACACAATCTGCAGAATCATATCTTGCATCGAGACATGAAAGCAGCCAACTTGCTCATCACGAATGAGGGACGTCTCAAGATTGCCGACTTCGGCCTTGCGCGAGCGTATGATCCCGATATCGTGAGGCACGCCAAGAAGAAGTACACCAACGTCGTTGTCACCCGCTGGTATCGTCCACCGGAACTTCTACTCGGCGCTCGACAGTATGGTGGGGAGGTGGACATGTGGGGTGTCGGGTGAGCTCGTGTGACTTTCGTCTTTGTGTTCCGTATGTTGACTAGCTACGTACAGATGCGTTTTGGGAGAAATGTTCTTCCGGAAGCCTATCCTGCCCGGGTCCTCTGACCTCGACCAGCTCGACAAAATCTGGCGGCTTTGTGGAACACCGACGGCGCAATCGTGGCCCGATTACCCGACACTTCCAGGATGCGAAGGCGTCAAGGACTTCAACATGACTCCTCGGCGGCTACGACAGACTTACGAGTCGTGCGTGTTCCTTTAGTGTGACATGCTGCACCTCATAGCTCATAGCAAGCGCAGCATTGGCCCAGAGACTGTTGATCTACTGGATAAACTGCTTGTCGTGAATCCCAAGGAACGGTTGACTGCTTCGCAAGCGCTAAACCACGATTACTTCTGGACAGATCCTCTTCCCGCCGATCCTAAAACGTACGTAGCGCTGAGGCATGATTTCGGTCGCATTCTCATCTCATTTCACCACGCAGGCTTCCGCATTACGAGGCATCTCACGAGTTCGACAAACGTGGCCGTCGTCAACTCCCTCCCCCCAATACAATCTCCAATAATGGTGCCTTCGAGACAGTGCCGCGCAACCTGCCGATGCCAACAGGCGTCGGTCAGCAGCACGGGCGCCCTGCACCTCCCCGCGAAGTGTTCCGCAACGGCCCCCCAGCCTCCGCAGGCGGGGGACACCCCGCCATGTACATGCCCCACGTCCCTAACCCCGGTCCCCGATACCAGCCCGTGCCACAGCCTGCGCCGATTCAGCTTGCGCCCACGCAGCTCCCGCCCATCAAATACGTGCCAGGCCAGGGCATCCCGAGCCATCTCACAGGGGCGCTGTCGTTGTCGATTCCAATGATGCCAACCGCCCTTCCTCCTCCACCGACGTATCAGGGGCGCGGTGCACCCCCTGGGCTTCCTGCGCGGCCGCAGGGTTTCCCTGCCCAGCCGTCGCAGCGGCGCAACGGGCGCGGACAGAACGACGGGTATGGGGGATACGGAGGTGGAGGTGGCGAGCTCAACTACGGCTAGCTGGCCGTACGTTGTAGATGCATATCATTCTACACCCCGTAGATCTTATATATATCATATCATTCGCATGACACAATCCCCTCATACATGTCCCTTTGAACTATATCATCATCACCCATCGTCCTCATGTCGTACATCATCCGCTTACTCCCTCACATTGGACTGTACCAGCTAGAACACATATTTGCGGATGTCATTCCGCCGTAATACCATCCACCTTGGTTACTCATGTAGCGCGCCCCGTCGCGGGTTCATTTACGAAGCACTTATAGGCCTGATCATCTAGTACGACACGTTGTTACACGGCGCGCTCTCGCGGGCTGCCACCGACTCTCCTCAGCTGATAACCTCGTCCTTTTCCTCCAACGCCTGTGACACCGGGTCGGGTTTCTCCACCACGGTCTTGCGCAGCGCTGCGAGCTCGTCCGCGGGCAGGAACACGGTCGAGAGCGGGAAGCGGGCCGCGCACGCCGCGCGGAACTCGTCTGCGCGCGGCGACTGGATCTCCACCATGAACGCGACGGCGGTGAGAGCGGTCTGCGTGAAATAGTTAACGTCGCCGTCGAGCAGAGGGAAGGAGACTCGCCTGGAGAGAAATCTGGACCTCCGCGGCGGTCGTGTTGACGATCGCGGCCTCGACCTCCTCTCGGGGCGCGCCAAGTGCTTTGGAGACCTTCGCGGCGGCGAGGACAGCGTCTGCCCGCGAGGAGAGGCGCTGGACGTATTGCGAGTTGAAGGCGTCGAGGGAGAGCTCGTCGGGGAGCAGCTTGTGGACGGCGCTCGTGACGGCAGCGGCGGCGGCCTCTGCGGGCTTTTCTTTAAGCGATGACCCTGGCCGCCGAGAGAATCAGAGACAGTCTACATACGGAGATGAATAGTGCTTACAGTGCTGCTTGAAATCTACCATGCGAATGTGCAGCTCTGGTGAGTCTGCATCTAGTGAGTGCGCGTGGCTGAGTGCTTGTACGGCTTGCAGGTATTTCTCTGTGGACAATATGGGTGAACAACGAGACCGGAGCAGGATACGAGGCAACTCACTTCTCCGCACGGCGACGTCGTATGTCGCTATCCACACTTCGATGTTACCCTTTGCCCGCTCGGCGAGTGGCTTGAGAAGTTTGGCCGCCCGTTCGAGTGGTTCGGGTGCTTGCAATGCTTTCGAGCCGTCCGGGTCGTCGTCTTTGGGAGGGCCGGCGTCGAGACCCTTGTCCTCGTTGGCGGTGGTGTTTGCTGCCTTCTTCGCATCCTCCTGCACCTTCTTCTCAGCCTTCTTGGCCTTCTTCTTGGCCCTCTTCTCGGCGCCAGTGAGTCCTGCAAGAGGATTGGTTGTGAGCACGACAAGTTTATCATTGCAGAACTTAAACATACCAGATGTCGGTTTGCTGGCCAGTGAAGGGTTGTCATGAACCTTCACCAGTATCTAGCGGTAATATCATCAACATTGGCACGCAAGCTCGACGTAGTCATAGCACACACTCGAGAGGCTTCGATGGCAGCATGAACATATGCCGGATGTGACCTGAGGGTGTCTTCCCATGCAATCATGCTAACATAGATGATCAGCGCTGGATGGAATGGGTAGAAGCGGTGGGATTCACTTCGTGTAGATATTGATCGTAAACTTGCGCAGGCAATAGCCGTGGAAGTCGAACTGGTCGTCTTCGAAGGCATCGAAGACCTGGGATGCGACGTGCAGAGGTTAATTCCAAAAGATGTATCCATATACTGACGACACACCTTGGAGATGGCTTCGTAGCGTTTGAGTGCCATGGCCAGGTTGTCATTCCGAAGGTAAGCGTCCGCCTCCTCGGTGAGGTAAATTAAAGACTGCATGTCTTCCAGATCCTGCCCTGGGCTTGGCGCATCCTTTTTCGTGAACAATCCGAAGACTTCCGATGCTTCTTCAACAAGGCCAGCACGTAGGCGGTATTTGCCTGACTTCGTGTTGAGAAAGCGATCTTGAAGGTCCAGCGCGCGTGCCTGGTCCATGCACTTGGCGGCACCGAAGGGGTCTCCGCTCCGCTTGAGTACTCGTGCCTTGAACATATAGAGTTCGGGCAACGTTGGAGTATGGGTCATAGCCTCCTCCAAGAGCCCAATAGCCTTCTGGTGTCGTCCAAGGAAGGAGTGGTGTTGCGCAAGGAAGTAGATGGTCCAGATGTACATGGTGGGATCACGATCTGCCGGGCATGGCTCTGTTGGAGGATGAGACAGAGTGGAGAGCAGGGAGATGGCGGCGGCTTCGATCGCTTCGCGATTCTCGTTAGACTCGTAGAGGAATTTGATGTCAGAGAACAGGGAGGGAATGCCTTTTTCCAGTCGAGACCTCAAATAAGGTTCGATGAGCCTCTTGAACTCCTCGCCTGTACGATGTGAATGCGGAGCCATCTTCTATGAAACTGCTGTACGCACCGAGAGCAATGCTGAGCGCAAGCCGTTGCGGAGTAGAAGTTCGAGGGAACTGCTGTGAGAAATCTTCGAGGCGTTGTAGAGCCTTACCGCGGGTTTCCTCGGTAATACGCTCTACCACGAATCAGCTGAGTTGTGGATAGCAAGCCAGAACCTGCTCACCAACGTCGATACCGTGGCTGAGCAGGAAGCCCTTGTAGTAGTCGTAACAATCCGGGTTTTGCTCGATTAGACCTTGCCATGATTGATCTGCGTCGTCCTTACCCAACTTGGAGAGAATACGGGCTGAATGAGCATCCTCGTGTCAGGTGGTGCACTTACCGCTTGTATTCGCCTGGCTCACCTCGAGACTCCATTATAGCCACGCGGTCGACGATGGTCCGGTCCTTCGCGCAGATATCCAACAAGGAAAGCGCATTGGTGTATTCAGCCAAGTCTTCGAGGATGCGCACATGTAATAGCAGAAGCTCCGACAGCTCAACGTCGTAATCTGGTACATTCTGTATCCATTGTATGCGCGGCGATTTATTATTACATAAGTTTGGGCGTTCATGCATCAAACGCACCTTCACTATGCGCTCGTACTGCTCAAGAACGTTCTTGGCTTCCACCAGATTCCCGCTGAGGTGGTATGCTACTGCAAGAGCAACCCAGTTTTGCCGCATTTGAGGTCGCAATCGGAGAAGGGTGTGCCGCGTTTCGACAAGGCTGTCGTACAGCCTGAGCTGTGTTTGAAGGTGGGCGGCATCCCTGAGGATGTTCATGTTATCCTGTCCGTCTTATGTCAGTCTCCGGTCCGGCGCACGAAGCCCCTCTTCTCGAAGGCGAGCCGCCTCAAGATCGCGCCACACTAAGGCAGATGAGCATGGATATACCACGTGAGCATCCCGCAAGCAAATTTCCGCAGACGGAAGCTCTGGGAAATGAGATAGGCATTTGGATACGGGCCAAGGGGAGTGTATGCGCGGTAGGGGGGAACAGGAAGGCCTTCTGACCTTGTCAAAGCGCAGTGCCTGCGTGTATGACTTCAGAGCCTCCTCGTAGTTCTTTTGGCCCTTCTGGATGAGCCCAAAGACGTGCCAGCATATGTGGGAGGTGAGATCGAGGCGAATGCCTTGTTTGACCAGCTCCAGACCCTCGTCGCGGCGATCTAAGTGTGTGAGGATGAGACCCTTCATGCATAGCGTCTCTGAAGATCGTGTCAGTACAGTGGGAAGAACGTGACCTGGAGCACACTTACCGCCATGCTCAGGGAACTTTTTGAGGATAGTGTCTGCGGTTTTTAGACCCTTCTTGAGCTGCCGATCCTCGTAGTAGTGGAGGACCTCCTTGAAGAGAACGGACTCCTTTGAGGGAAGCACCCGCGACTTCGGTACGAGCGAAGGGGGCATGGCGAGTCTGAGGAGGAGGGACAGAATAGCAGCCACTTGAAGCCAGAATATGACAGCCAGTGCGCCGAGGAGCGAAAGTAGCAGGCGCGGGGACAACAAGCGACAACAACGCGCGACGCGCCTGGTGGTCAGTGGTGGCGTCCAAGCCTCCGCTCGCTCGCTCGCTTACCCCGCTCCTCTCTCCTCTCTCCTCCCTCCCCCCCTACCTCCGCAATGGTTGCCCAGACGCGTAATGCCGGGCAGCCTTCACCCAAGAAGCTCAAGTTTCGCGACAAGATCCTCGTCAAGGGCGTCAGCACCGATGCTCTCCTGAAGAAGCTCAAGCAGCTGCACCAGGAGCTCGCAGATATGGACCAAGAGAGCGCGGATATATCTTCCCTCGCGCCCATCCGCAAAGACCTCATCAACACCTCCATCTTGCTCCACAAGGATCGCGGTGTCAAAGCATACACCGCGTGCTGTCTCGCCGACCTCCTTCGTTTGTACGCCCCCGACGCACCATACAACCAGAACGAGCTTCGCGACATCTTCCAGTTCTTCTTCCGCCAGCTTTCGACCGGTCTCAAGGGCGCGGACTCCGCTTACTATAACGAATACTTCCATCTTCTTGAATCTCTGTCTACAGTCAAGAGCGTCGTCTTGGTCTGTGACCTTCCAAACGGCGACGAGCTTATGGTCGACATCTTTCGTGACTTCTTCGGACTCGTGCGTCGCGACCTCGCGAAGAAGATCGAACTTTTCATGGCAGATATCCTGATAGCACTCATCGACGAATGCTCAGCACTTCCTTCCGAGGTTCTGGAGGTTATCATGGCGCAGTTCACAGACAAGAATGCGGTGAGCACTCCTGTCCTCTGCGTGTGACCACACCCACCTGCCTGCCGGGTGGTGCGGCCGGTCACTTTCGATTCACTCCGTTATAACCGTGGTGTTGATATATGTCTTTTCAGAAAATGGAGCAGCCCTCATACCGACTCGCCGTCCAAGTCTGTAACGCGACTTCAGACAAGCTCCAGAGGCACGTGTGCCAGTACTTCACCGACATCATCGTAGACCGCGCTCGTGAAGAGGAGTACGACGAAGTACAAGTCGCGCACGACCTCATCCAGCAACTCAACCGCGCGTGTCCGTCTCTCCTTCACAACGTCGTCCCACAACTCGAGGAAGAGTTGCGCGTAGAGCATGTACAGCTGCGTGTCATGGCCACCAAGACGCTTGGAGAGATGTTCTCCGACAAACACGGTTTCGACCTCACTCAGAAGTACCACTCAACATGGCAACACTGGTTGGGTCGACGAAACGACAAAAGTGTTCTGATACGCTCAATATGGGTGGAGTCGATGAAGGGTGTCATCGTCAGTCTCCCACAAGTCCAAAGGGAAACAGAGGAGACGCTGGCTAGCAAGTTGTTGGATCCAGACGACAAGATTCGTGCCGCCGTTTGCAAGCTGTACGGGGAGCTAGATTACGAGGTGGCTCTTCACCACGTATCTGTGGCCCAGCTGCAAAGGGTTGCTGGTCGAGGGCTGGACAAGAAGGTGAGGTTATACGTTATTCACCGGATTGTAGGCGCTGACACTCCAACAGCGCGCCGTTCGGGTAGAAGCGTTCAACGCAGTGGGGCGGTTATATGGTCTAGCATACCCCGAGATGTGAGTTGAAACCCTATTGTCACGAGATGCTCTCATCCCAATCGTCTAAAAGCGAAAATAACGACCCCGCTGCAATCGAACACTTTGCATGGATACCGAAGGAATTGCTGAAGTGTGCATCAGTTAGCCGCGATGTCAAGTCCGTGTGTTTATACTTTATGCAAAAATCGTGACTGACATCATCCCTCCAGGTCACTCGCCGAACAGGTCCTCGAGGATCATCTACTACCGCTTCCATTACCCCCTGCTGCGTCATCTTCAAAAGGTACCGATGTGGACGAAGTTGCTTGGACGGACCGCCTTCTGCTTGTTTCACGCCACTTGGACGACGAGATTGCCATGAACACTCTGTTCAGCTTTACGAATCTTAAGGGAGTGTACGTAGCAGGGGCGGTGATATATGTAATCATGCTCACCTCTGTCATAGACGACCTACACCGTTTGAGAAATTTGTCGCCGTTTGCATCGAATACAACGTGAGTCTACAGCCCTCTCTCAGCCTGTTATTACGATACTGATATCGACGTCTCTCCAGGGTGGAATCATTGACGACGACGAAGATGGAGTTACAGAGAAGTTGAATGCAATCATCAAAGAGATAGCCTGTGAGTAGTTTGTGTGCTGTCCAACGGGCACTGGTCCAATTCTTCTTCAGTTCACTTCACGGAGCCTCAGAAAGCGAGCGAGGATCTCCTGGCGTTCGCCAAACTCAACGAGCCCCGACTGTACAAGCTGCTGAAAACATGCATGGACGTCCAGACGGATCTCAAAGGCCTTTTGAAAGCCAGGATTGAATTCATGCGAAGACTTGAACAATCGTCTGCCATTGTGCCCACGATGTCAGCTTTTCTTCGTCGTTCCTCTCTCCACATCCTTGGTACATCGTCCATCCCAACTCTGATCAAGCGAGTTGCCAAAGGCGCCGAGCCCCCATCATCTGTGGCCTATTCGCAAACCCAGAACCAGAACCAGTCCTTTTCTATGTTCGCAGCTGGCAGCGAACCTGAAGGTCGCGCGCAAAAGACCGCTCAGGTTGCTCAGATTTGGCTGACCTACGTGTCGAAGCACTGCCCGGCACTGTACAAGGCTCATATCGGGGAATTTGCCAAAGCAGTCGCCGACGAACGGAATGCGCGGCTCGTAGAAGTCTGCTTGCAAGCACTGGCGGCGGCTGCGACATGGGACGCGAAGCTTGCACCTAATGACAAGTAAGTCGTTACTGGGGACTCCACTTGCGGGTCCGAGCTGAGACAATGGTTGCAGGCGTACTGTAGACCGTGTTTTGCGGTTCGTCAATGACGCAAATGAGCGGCATGCGAAGTTCGCCACACAACTGGTCGTTCGCTTGAAGAACTCCGAGGCGCTGTGCGAACAGCTCATCGAGGTGCGTGGGGACACTCCATTTCTTTATCCTCTGCTGAAAACCGCGCCCAGTCAATATCTGAAGAGCTTCCGGATGTTGAGCTGGACACTTTGGTCGCTCACATCGCAGTACTTGCTCAGCTAGCTCTTCGGGCACCGGACGCGTTCGAGCAGAGGAGCGACGTCATCATGGCATTTCTTGTCAAAGACGTCTTGCGGTCTCTCGAAGATGACTCGGTGCGCGAAGGTTTTTACCCAACCGGTCATTCTCGGCTGACCGTTCCTCTTCCGCAGATGGACATTGACAACAGCGAATGGGAACCGGATGAGCGGGTGTCGTACGAAGTGCGCGCCAAGATCCTCGCGCTCAAGGTTTGCAGGAACCGTTGTCTCGCCCATGCCGGCTCAGAGTCCGCGCTAGAAATCGCACAACCTGTCATTCGAATGTTCTCTACCGTTCTCTTCCACGACGGCTCCTTCACCGAGGCTGCGATGGACACCGACCGGCCGACGACGAAGGCACGGATGCGACTGCAGGCGGCAACGGCGCTTCTGAAGCTTTCCGTTGTGCGTAGCTTCGCCGAGGAGATCAATAAACACTTCGCCAGGATCGCAATCACTGTCCAGGACCGGGTGTACAACGTTCGGATGACATTCCTCCTCAAGCTACTCGGGTTGCTCTCACGGAGCAAGCTGCCGAGTCATTACAATGTGACACCCTTCCTATGCGTGCACGACCCAGAAGAGGACATCAAGGATAAGGCGCAGGCGTATGTCCTGTATGCTCTTCACAGTATGCCGAAGAGTAAGTCACAGTCGCGTACTTCTTTACGGTATCACTAATCTGCCGATTCTCGTTCTAGTTGTCAGGCTCGATCGATTCGAGCAAAACTTCATTCGTCTACTGCATCTCCTTGCGCATCATCCTGATTTCACTGTCGACGCGAAGGGCATTCCGGATATGGCCAAGTACTCTTCATTCTCACTCTTGAGACAACAGCATTACAACCGAATTTGCAGGTATATCCAGTTCTTCTTGGCACTCGTGGCGAACAACGACAACATCTCGCTGCTCTATCACATCTCCCTCAAGGCCAAGACAGTGCGCGACGCCGAATCACATACCTACAGCGAGGTAGGGAGCACTCTTGATCCAAATTCCTGCAGGTAACTGATTTCCTCCCAGAATCTGTACGTCGTAGCGGAGCTCGCACAGCATCTGATCCGGACACACGCGAAAGCGCATTCCTGGACTTTGGAGACGTGGCCAGGCAAAGTCCGATTGCCTCAGGATATCCTTCGTCCCCTACCGAGCCCCGAGGCAGGGAAGCAGGTATGTCACAATTACCTCTTACGGCGTCGCATCAGAGACTGATACCCTACCAGATCCTCAAGAGGGTGTACTTGAGCGATGAGGCTCTAACATGGCTCGCGGAGAAGTCCAAAGCCACTGCGGAACCCAAGGTCCGTTCAGTTTGAAAGTTACCCTTATCGTCTCCCATAAGTTCCACCCACAGGAGAGGAAGCCCCGCGCTCCCAGACAGCCAGGGGTCAAACGGAAAGCGGCTGGGACGAAGGCGAATGGAACTTCCAAGTACGTAACCCCACCGTTGGGACATGGAAGTTGACTGAGCATCCTTGGCAGGCGTCCACGGACAGCCAGGAAGCGCAAAGACGACGAGTCCGAGGAAGAGTCCGACGTGTCTGATCCGGATGATGATGACGAGGACGAGGAGAGAGCGGCAACCTCACCTTCCAAGCCTCCAGAGTCTGGCTCGTCTTCGGAAGCGGAGGTGGAAGGAGACGAGACGAAAGAACGCCCGACGCGTACAAGGGTACGTCGTTCACAGCAACATAGACGTTTGTGCTGACCAGGCATTTGCAGGCTCAAGCCAAAAAGCAAGCCAAGCGAGCCGCGAAGCGAGAGGCCAGAGCAAGTGGCTGATGCTCCGCTACGCTAGTCTTCTCCTCAGTTTTCATGCATCACGCTCAGTGACGACATATGTTGTATCATCGCTATCCCACTCTACTTGCTGTGCCTGCATCGCTGCTCTACTTACTGTCTCTTCCGGATTGGCTGACTGTAGGTGCTACCCGTAGATGTATTCCTCTGCTTTCTTAATGACTTACGGCTTCGATATTATATCATGTTTGGAGTACAATGTTATTGCGATATCTTCTACTTCAAAGCCCAGCCGGAAATGCTTGTCCATCAGCTCAATGAGCGATGATATGATATCAAACGACTACTTATGCTCAATACAGCCAGAGGCCGTAGTACGAGATGTACGTACTGAACCGACAGCAGAAAGCATAATATTAGCAGTGGAAGGGATCCGGAATATAATGATAACACAGTCACAGCACGTCTGCAAGGTTGACGGGACGCTTCGCCGCGCAATCAAACGTTCACGGCCCGGAGACGAAGACGCCCATTCTTGTGGCTGCGTCGGAGCTTGAACCTTATCTCAAGAACTACCTTCCGCATCCGTCGGAGGACGGAGTGAACGACGATAGCGCAGGCCAGTACGCCAAAATCCAGCAAGACTTACGCCCCGCCAACGCCTTCACCATGGTCAACATCCCCAAGTGCGTGTCCTTGGCTGTGGGGTGGATGCTGTCGTGCTGACTGCCTACTCCTGCGCCGTCTAGGACTCGCCGGACCTGTGAGTTACTGTTTGTGGGGTAGCTTCTTGAGGAGAGCTTGACGAGGGATCCACAGACTGCAAGGGCAAGACCTGCAAGAAGCACACGTACGTCCCTTCCCCTATGCGTTCGTCTCTTGCGTTGAATGTTCCCCGTGCCCTCGCGCTATACAGGCCCCACAAGGTCACCCAGTACAAGAAGGGCAAGGATTCGTTGGCGGCGCAGGGCAAGCGTCGTTACGACCGTAAGCAGTCGGGTTACGGTGGTCAAACGAAGCCCGTCTTCCACAAGAAGGTGTGTCATACTCAGTCGTCGTGCTGTGGGTTGGCCGGAGGGCTAATCGGGTGTGGTTTGCGGTGGGATGAATAGGCTAAGACGACCAAGAAGGTCGTGCTCCGGCTGGAGTGCACTGTGTGCAAGTACAAGATGCAGCTCTCGCTCAAGCGCTGCAAGCAGTACGTCGTTATCTCCTTGGTGCACATGCTTGATGTTCACCGCTCAAACCTCGCAGCTTCGAGCTCGGTGGTGAGAAGAAGACGAAGGGTGCCGCTCTCCAGTTCGTGAGTACCTCTGACTTCCTTAGCTCGCGTGCAGTGCTCATCGTTTGCCCATTAGTGATTGCTCTCGCATCGTCTCTTCTTTCTTGTCCCTCTCCATATTATCGCAGCCACTATCTACCATCCTGCACCATGTAGTATGCACTTCTCATGCATATGTGACGCACGTCAAAAAATTGTATTCCTATGGGTCTGTGTGGAGTCCCTTGACTACATCTCGCGATGAGTGTCCCTGAGAGACTATGACGGGTCGTCTGCATGTATGATCATTCGAACGTGTGATATATGTACAAATGCGTGTCGAGAAACCTTGATGCTACAAGTCCTACAGCGAATACAATATGCATAAGAGGCATACCACCTGATTGATAACACGTCGTCTCATCGATTCATGTTTGCCCGTTGGTCGAGGTGCCGTTGACTGGAGACAGAGACTTGCCTGTGACGTTGTGATGCTGCATTCGATCCATGGAAGCTTGAACGTGCTCGACAGCAGCATAAGTGGATGTGATTCTTGCAGTGAACTCCTTCATCGCCTCGGCTTGCTGGGCCTGCAACGCCTGCAGGAGCTGAGTCTGCGTGTTTTGAAGACCGGGTGCGATCAACTGGGGAATGACCTTGCTGAGCAGCTGCGTGACCTGCTTCGCAACGAGGTCTGCGGTTTGTGATGCCTGCTGGCCGCTCGAACTTTGCCCTGCGTAAGCCTTGACCGCAACGTTGAGTGCGCGCATCTCGGCATGCATCCTATCGAGCTTGACAGAGTCACTAGTAGCAGCATCCATGCTTTGCGCCTACACGGCGACCAGGGCGCAGGTGAGACACTGCGATGCAGGGGTAACGGAAGGAGGGGGAGGGGGCGACAGCATGACCTAGCCACAAACGACGTACCTCTTGAAGCTGTTGCTTCAGCTGCGCGCACTCGGCCTGCAGTTGCACATTCTCCGCCCTCAGCACGTCATTGCTGCCCGCCAGCGCCTGGACCTCGTTCGACAGCCGGGCCACCTGCTGGCCCGTGGCCGCTGCGTTCTCCTGGAGGGTCCGCAGGGTCCTGAGCTGCTCTTCCGAGAGCGCCGCCACGGCGCGGGGCACAGGCGGGCGCGCCTCGACGCTGCCCGTCGCGGCGAGCACAACGGCCTGGACGTTTTCGGCGACGATCGCGTCGACCTCGTCCGCGAGAGCGTCGCGGTGCCGTGCGGCGCCGGCCTCGAGGTCACCGAGGCGGCGCTCGACCTCGGCAAGCTCGTCGCGGATCTTCGCGAGCTCGGCGGGGACGACGGCCTCGGCGAGGAATGCGCTTGGATCCGACGTGCGGTGGTCGTCCTCGAGCCGAGCCGCGATCGTTTCCCAGCGGCGGTCGGCAGTGCGGAGGAGGCCCTGGAGGATGGTGACTGAGGCGTTGATGGACTGCAGGTGACCGATGAACTCTTGTTGGCGCGCGCCGTCCGAGTCCGGTGTGGGTGCCCGTTTGCGCGTGTGTGTGGGCCAAAATCTGGCGCCGGCGAGTTGGGTTAAGATGTGGCGGAGGTCCTCTGACTTCTTTGCGAGCTGCTGCTCGAGTGTCTGGGCATGGCCGCCGAGCACGGTGCGATCCTCTTGGTCGAGGCGCTGGTAGTTGAACGATTCTGCGAGTTTTTTGTAGTCTTGAATGTCATTTTTCATCGCGCGGCACTCGTTGTGCACGACCATGGCTGCGGCGAGCAGCCTGAAGGGGGTATGGGCTCCTGAATCTGTGGAAAGGAAGGGAATACTCACTCGATGCGACTAGCCCAGATTTTCTGCGCCTCGTCCGCCGACAAATCCCCCGATAACGGACTCGGCATGCCAGATCTGGGTACGGCCGACGTTGCGGCAGCTACTGCAGTCGATATCTGTTGCCATTGCGCCGTTGAAGATTCCAAGAGAGACAAAATATCGTCAGAATTTGAATTTCCTGTTTTTGAAGGCCCTGCGAGTGCGTTTGTTGCCAAGTTCCCGTTCAACTGATTCGCCGAAGAAAAGCCAGATGTTGCAGAAGCCGGTGCTGTTAGAATTCTAGGACGTGCAGGTGCCTGAGTGCTCGCAATACTATCCTCTCTGCCGGGTCGAGCTGGAGCGAGCAGGTCCCTCATCGGTACGTCAACTGCTTCAACCTTGGGGAATATAACGGGGCTTCTTCCTCTTCCAGGCGGGCCATTACGTGAACTATCGTTATACCCACCGAACGAACGATTCTGACGGTGCCCAGGACCTGACGGAGGTGAACGGGGACGCCCGCCGCGAGGAGGCGGGGACCGAGAGCGAGAGCTACGATATGGGGGCCGCATATCACGACCTCTGCTTGAGGAGCGCCTGCGGATTCTTGACGCCAGAGTGGGGGGTGCGTGACCTCTGCTGTTGGAGCGCGGTCGGGGACCGGGAGGAGGGGTCCTATCATGCCGGCGTTCAGCGCTTCTGCGGTTGCGCTCTATGCTGGCTGAGCGACGGCGTGGTTGATAGGGATGAGAGGGTCTGTAGCCAGGAAGCCTTCCAGGAGAGCGGGGACGTCCAACAATCAAGCGGTATTCATCGTCGGTTAAATAATGCAAGGGAGGCTCGCCAGCCGAGCGTGCATCTCGCCACTTGTCACCGTCACTGGGATGAGCGAAGAAACACATCATGTCGCGAGGGCATCCGATTCCTCCATCGAGGCGTTTAAACGGTCGCCCAGAGTTGTCGAACCACTACATCAGCCGGTCAGCTCGCAGAAAGATTGGGACGAGCTGGAAGAAGGGATGAGACTCCCAAAAAACGTCGACGTACATGGCATCTTCTATCCGGGTTAAATGGCTTGCGTCCTGGCAGATTGTCTCGAGGCGATATCTTATGATGCATCTGGTGATATTCTCTTTTCGTTACAGTTGTACCGCTTTCAAGTCAACGAAATGGGTTGCATGTGAGCTCTCAGACAGGTTGCGGAGACAGGCGGTCGACAGACGGTCGGGGGCAAAGGGGAGACAAGGGGACAACGGAAGTGGTTGCGGAGAAGGTGGTGGTGGTGGTCCGTGGTCAAGCCGCGGAGTAGCGCCTTCGGCTAGCTCCCCGCATTTGTATTCCCACCACCATCCTCAACGCCCGTGCGGTCTAAGCCTCGGCTTCGCGTCTCGGTACGTGGTGAAGATGGCAAACCAGAGTGAGCAGTCACTATCTCGGCCTCCAACGGTCTGACTCACGGATTTATTCTCAATGTCAATGTAGCACAATCTCAGTATGCGGCTGCCTCTCGTGTGCCGCTAATCAAGTCGCCTAGCCTTCGGCTCCCTCGACCGGTGGGCTCTGTCGCATTGCAACCATTGGTGGTACTTATTCTGGCCTCTCTTCAGGTCACCTTTCCTGTGGATATCCATCCACTCCCGGACAACGTAACGGCCTATGTATGTTGAGGTCCCCGGCGCCGATGTGCACTGACCCCGACATGGTTTAGTTTGTTTATCCCTTTACGCTGGAGCCGCACGTCCTCACTGTGGAGGCATCGCGAAAGACAACGCTCGCTGCGCATGCTGCTCGTCGCGAGGCTTACCTCAAAGCCCGGGAAGAAGAGAAAGAGCGCCGTAAACGAGAGGCGCTGCGTCGAATCGCCCCCGGTTTTGAGCCCAAGTCAACTCCGCTGGTCCCTACGAAGCGATTCTCTGGCATACCTGCCCAGACCGACAGCATGGTGGGGGCCCACAGGAGAACGAAGTCGGTTATGGAAGATTTGGTGGATCGTCTGGCAGAATTGGAGTCGAAGTGATCAGCGTGTCTCATCTATTGCCCTTGTACTTGGACAAATTGGTTTTGTGACCTGGAATTCCATCATACTATATCCCTTGGCGCGACGCCCACCGTGCATTGCCCTCAGGGCCAGTCCAGGCTGACGTCTTCAAGGAAGGTCTGTCTAGGGGAGACTAGGTTGACGTGGGTTCCGGTCCGAGTCGCACCGCGGTCACGGTCAGCCTGTCCACGTGAGCGCTGCCGCAGGACTCGGGCAGAGTCAGGCCCGCTCTACGTCTGCTCAGCACTTCGAGCATGCCCGCCATCTAATACTCCACCCACTCTCCTCGCCTCCCTCTTCGATGCCACCATCGAAAAAAAACTCTTCCGCGAGCGCTGCGACACGCAAGAAGCATGCGCGCAAGGCGGCTGCCGCCCAGGGCACCGTAGAAGAGCCCCAAGTCCCCAAGGAGAAGAAACCGAAGGGCAAGGACAAGAAGGCGGCCAAGAAAGAGCCTCAAAAGAAAGTCTACATTCCACCGGTCAAGCCTACGCCTGCTCAGCCAGATCCTCTCGATACGCTTGGCCTCGCACAAAAGCTACCCCCTGAACTTTCGGTCATTCTACGGCTGCTCGCGAAGAAGGACGCGACCACGAAGAGGCGGGCACTGGAGGATCTTCAGACTGCTTGGATAGCAAGGGCTAAGCGAGGGGATGAGCCAGAATACTTGCTCTACAATCTGGAGCAGACGATTCCTGTCTGGGTGAGCTTTGCTATGCTCGTGCGTTTGCGTTGTGCTCATAACTCGCTGTAGTTGCACCATGTCCCGGCCCTCTTCTTCCACCCTTCGCGACGGATTCGACTACAGGCTGTCGCATTGCATGCGTCTATCCTCGACATTCGTCCACTTCGACAGGCGCTTTTCTTCCAGATCCGAGAAGTCCTTTCCTCAGACCACGCGGAATCCGTCCTAGGATCGTGGTGTCTAGCTGTTCACGACGTTGATCGGCAGGTTTCGTCCTATGCCAGGGAGTCATGGGCAAGGTACGTCTCCACATCAGAGAGTACGGAGGGCAAGCTGCTGCTCGACGCTGCCCTCTTTCCTCGGCTGTGGGATTTCGTCTACCGGACGCTCCTAGATCCACTTGGGGTGTACCTTTACATCAACCCTCCACAAACTGCAATCCCCACTCTCACACCCAGCAGAAAGGGCTCCGGGCGCGGAACACCAGTTCGGAAAGACGACGAGCCTGTTGGACGGGCGAAGGCAGAGGAAGATGAAGAGAAGGAGCAGGACAGGAAGGCGCGGTTACGCGTAAGTGCATTCGGTGCAACCGAGTGGGTCTTGAGTGGGTGTCCTACGTCCTCTGTACAGCATATGTACACATATTCAATGATATCTCTTTTCCTTCCTTCGTGCGTATCCCAGACGTCAAATCCTCGCGCTCTGATCACCCACTGCCCTCAGAGGCTCAAGACGCCGCCGGAAAGGCCACTGAAGAAAGTTTCTGGACGGTCTTCGCAAACCCCGCGTTGTGGTCTTCATTATACTCAGGCAAGACTCCGCCATTTGTGGATGCTGAGAGCTTCGGATACGAGCAGCCAGTCGTTCGACGGTCCGCGTGGTCACTGATACAGACATTAATGCAGAAACACCGGGGTGCGTGGTAGTCCTTTGCAAATCATACTAACCCTAAAAATCTCTCAGATCGTCTTGAGCCTATCATTCCCGTCCTTAGTCGAGCTATACTGCGTTCTGCGTGGGTCGAGATGGACAATATCGTCAGGTCCTCGATGTGGCAACCGCTCCTCCTCTTCCTGAAAGGTGAGCTTGTCGTTTTTTGGGTCGGATCCGTATGGCTCTGACATGATCCAAGCACATCCAAAATCTTGGATCTTGGAGGCCACCCCAGAGAAGGATGAGGACGAGGATGAGGACGAGGATGAAGATGGAGGTTCAGGAGATGAGGGAGAGGAATCTCAACCACAGCTGAAGCCCGCGGAGCCGCAGCTTGGTCAATCGCACGCATACAACGAGTTTTTGCAGTTCCTAGCGACGGGATGCTCCGGCTCCCCGGTGCAGGGGTATCCCACCGTTCTAATCATATTATCCACGATCCCTTCGGCGGTACGTGCGTACAACATCGTGGTCGTTTCTTTTTCTGATTATATGCGTAGATTATTGCCTTATCCTCTGAGCATCCGTTGGAGGTCCTGTTTGCGTCCTTCTGGTCGGCGGTGGATGCGCGCGTGTTGAACTCGCTAGATCGAGTGGCAGCTTCCGCCGCGTTTCTGTCATCCCTGCTCGAATGTCTGGTATTCGTAACCCGGCGGATCATCAATTCTCAAGAAGATGAGGCAGTGTCTCTCATCCGCAGTCAATCCGACCAGCAAGTTTTGCGCGAGGAAGCAGTGAACTCTTTCGTACGGGAACAAATCAAACACTTCTGGGAGGACTTCACCTCAGGAACGCTCAAAGTCTCCGCAAAGAAGGCTGGAACGGAACTCGGGAAGACCTTCATCACGCTGCACAAGCTGCATCCTCGTAAGCCAGCTCCCCTATGACGACCAACCTGACGGCTGACCTGCATGGATCATCCAGCAAGCTTCGAGGCGGGATGGAGTGTGGTGACTACCGCCGTTCAAGCTTTCACCACACCGTCTACAGAAGCCATTCCTCTGCTCATCCCTGATGTCCTTCAGGCTCTCACCACGTCCATGGAAAAGGGTACGGTTCCTGGAGATGCGGCCACTGTCTTAGTGCTGTCTATCGTCGGGTTTGCTCTTGACCAGTGTGCAGCTGTTCTCAAGGTGGAGGAGGTGGACGCTGCTCGAGTGGCATCCTTGGTCAACATTTTCCACGCGTTCGGTGAGGTTGTCTTTACGGATCCCCAGGTTGCCAAGGTACATAGAAAACATCCCCTGACCCATTGGCACGACACTGATTACAGAACAGGGGGTAGATGATTTGGTCCAAGGTCAAACAAATGAACTGCTGCACACAATGCCTTCGCTCGTCATCCTGTATCTCCAGCATCGCCAAGATCAGGTCATCTGTTCTTCAGTGTGGCATCAAGTTCTCAAGATCATCGATAGTCCCGACGATGTCAAGGTCTTTCTGCCGCTTCTACTGGATGCAGCCGAGGATGAGAGTCTACCAGATTATCTACGTCCCCAAGACGAAGGACCCCAACGTCTGATCGCTAGTCTCCTCTCAGAGGCGCTGTCGGGTCCTCCTGGGACAACAGGAGCTGTACTCGTTCGTAGGCTTCTCATATCGCACAGTACGTCTGCTTCCGCCGACATTGTTTGATGATTCTTGACGCATTTTTAGAGTACTTCGTCTCTGACGCTTGCTCGGAGAACTCAATGCGAAGCCTTGTCCTGGCCTTTTCCACCCACGTCGACTCTGCGCTGCGAGAGGAGAAGCCTTCGGTAGCATCTTTGACTACTCCGCTCACGCTACTGCGCGACCTTGTCAAGAATGGCTCGTCCGGCCTCCTTCTGGATTCTGCGTCAGCCGAGCTCTACCCTTACATCTACCTGCTGGCTTTCCTGATGCCTCAAGTTTGCACCATGGACGAGACTCTCAAGAAGACCGCACAGGGGCTCTGGGATGAGTGGGCCGCAACTGGGGGCGAAGCCGTGGAGAACATCACTATGGGCGCCGTCAAGCAACTCCTCCGCGATCTCATGGCCGACTTCGTCGCCTGCCCGACGTGAGTCCGTTTACCATCTCCCCTTCCAGTCTTCTCACATATCTCCTCAGCCCTGGGCATATTCTTCGCATGGTAGCGACCTCGCCGTACGGCGCCAGCATCAACGTGCTCGCAGAAATCTTCCCCTCCCGGGACGAGATCGACCGCTTGCTTACCGAGCTTCCTCCAGCCCCCCTGGACGCCAGCCTTGCGGTCGTTGACCCTCTAGTCCCCCCTCCAACCCAGTTCCGCGCGGCAGCGAACGAAGCTCCAGACTGCGACAACCAAGGGTTCTCGGTGTACGCGCGCGTCGTGCACGGGCTCTTGCTCCATCTCGCAGACGACCGGCAGACGGCGAAGACCAACTTCTGGGCACTGCACCACTTCCTAGCCCTTGCGATCTACGCAGAAGACGAGAAGCACTTACCGGCGTTGCAAAGCCCGGTCTTCTCCCAAAGCGTTTCACGCGCTACCCTGCAGAATATTACAGACAGGACGCTGCAGATTGCCACCTATTTGCTCTCGTCGTTCACAGAAGAGACGTGGCATGCCGACGTCACGAAGGTGCTTCTTGGCCAAGGCTCGGCGGAACGTCTCGATGGCGCTGGGAAGCTCATTGTCGATTTGATTAGCAACGCGAGGACACAAGACACTGTCCGAGAGTCGAGGGTGCTGCATATGATCCTACATCACGTATTGAATACAGCTACAAAGGCGGATGCGGAACAGTGGATGGCAGTGGCCAGGAGACTGGAGAGGCAGGGTGCGTATATCGCATTGTCGCAAAGCCAAACTGCTCTAACTGGCTTCACAGCCCCCCATACCGCGCTAGCGATGATCTTTTCCATCACCCGCTATGCCCCAGAGCCTACCAGGCTGGACCGCCTCCGGAACGAGCTCGCAGCCGGAATCATGGGCATCCCCGTGTCCAAAGCGAACACGGAGGGCCTCTGGTTGCTCCGAAACCTCGCCGCGTCTGCGCCCGACCCCGAATCCGACATCGTCTATCTGCCGCAGCTCCGTGCAGTCAACTTCATGAAGGCCTGCCAGCAGTGGATCACCTCGGACGAGGACTTGGAGGAAGATGTGCACACCGAGATGACTCTCGTATTTGCTTCGATTGTTCCCATCTTGTCCAATGTGCCTGGGGGACATTGGGATCTCATGTTCGACGTGATGGAGAACAACCTAGAGGTGCGCACTTCACGCCCTAGTGCAACACACGTCTTAACGGCAGCGATAGAACGCTTCACTCGACGACTCGACGACATTCGTGGCGCTTGCAAGATCGTTGCAGTTGTTCATGGTCATTGAAGACTTCGCTGCCTCGACGAGAACCCTCCGCGAGATATGGGAGGAACGAAAGTCGTCGATCCTCACGCTAATCCGCGATCTCATTGCCCTGAAGCTGGACGCAGCGTCATCCGCACCGCTTTCCACCTGCCGTGAACTCGCGTTGCAGATCGTCCAGAACCTGCCCACCTCCCTTCTCACCCGCGAGACGCTTCGGAAGGTTTGTAACGGCAGTGCTGCTACGTGGTCTCGCGCTCACGTTTCTACAGATGTGCCACCTTGTTCTAGACAGCTCCGTCGATGTGCAACGCATGGCGTACCAGCTCTTGCAAGAGGCGGCGAAGAAATACACTGAGGAACTTGTCATCGAGGCTGCAGTGGACACTGAAGAGACGATCAAGGTTGAAATCCCGTCAGAGCTGCTTGACATCCTGCAGCGCAGCCCGAACCACGAAGATATGAACGAGTATGGCCAAGAGTGGTTCGGTTATCTGCTCGCCTGGATGGTAACCTTCGACCTGTTCCTTGATGCGGTATGCGAACACTCGAGCTTGTATAGACCACTACTGATCGATAATCGCGCATACAGTCACTCAAGGTGAAGTCCGGCTACATCGACCAACTCCGGGATCTCGACCTCGTCGGAGCTCGACTTCTCCCGACCGTGTTCGGCATCCTTGACCTGTACGGAGGCATGGCCAAGGCGTTCAAGGTCGACATATGGGACGTCGACGAGTACTACCTCGACTGTAAGCTCCTCAAATCCTCCTTCCCTTCACCAGCGCTTACTCTTCCTTGCGCGCAGTTTACTCCGCCGAGACCTCGCTCAGCCAGCGGCTGCTCACTGCGCACCTCTACTACCGCGCCCTCCTGCTCGTGCCCTCGCTGGTCGCGCCTGGTTGGTCGACTGCCGCGACCGGCAGCTGTCGACCGTCGTCGCCACCTACACCTCCCGGCACTTCTCGCCCGCGATCATCCGGACCGAGCTCGCGCGCGTGCGCGACGCCGCCGCCGTGCCCGGGAGCGACCTGCGGGCGAGAACGTGACGGTGAAGGTGGCCGCGGCGGTGCACGAGGCGACGGCAGCGTACGCGGTCGACGAGCAGCGGCTCGAGCTCACCGTGAAGCTCCCCGTGGACTGGCCGCTGCATACGATCGAGATCCGGGTCTCGAAGCTCGTCGGCGTCGCGGAGGACCGTTGGCGCGCGTGGGTGCTCGGCGTGCAGCTGATCCTCACGTTCAGGGTGCGCTTCTTCTCCCGGGCTCTGTGGGTCGCGAGGAGCGCTGATACCACTGATCGTCTTAGAGCGGAAGCATCGTCGACGGGCTGAGCTTCTTCTTGAAGAACGTGTCCTCGCACTTCGAAGGCGTCGCCGAATGCGCCATCTGCTACTCGTGAGTCGGCCGACGCTTCAACTACTGCCGTCGCGCCCACCATCTGACCGACTACCCCAGACTTGTGAACGCAACGGACGGCAGTCTGCCGCGCAAGCCTTGCAAAACGTGCAAGAACCGATTCCACGCTGCGTGCCTGTACAAGGTCAGTGTCTCGACGCTCTCGACACGATGCCTCTTGCTGACGGGTTGCTGCAGTGGTTCAACACCAGTCACTCTTCGAGTTGCCCCCTGTGCCGCTCGGAGATCATGACCGGAAAGTAAGGCGAAGGCCCACAACCTGTAGAATATTTCCCGGACAATCCCGAAGACTGTAGCATGAGAACGTCTTGCTTTTGAAACCGTCGATGATACTAGTCCAACTCAACTCCCGTGGTATCGATAGCACCTCAAAGTTCTGTACTATAATATTTGCCGGCTGAATGCATCTCTCTGACAAACTGCCATCCTGACTGAGAACGCGTGTGTTCGATCAAGCAGGGCAGTCGCTCGTTCATGCAAAGATTGGACAAGGCGGGATTGTGGGTCGAAGATACTTATGAACAAAAAGACAAGGATCATACTAATAACACAACATAGTTCCGCTCGGCGGCGGCATCCCCATACCATAAACGGGGACAGTGACCTTGCAGAGACTCTGCACAGTGCTCTCCATCCCACATCCGCCACGACGGCATCGCATACATCGCCGCCAGGATGCCCACGAGCTCATTGATAGTGGAGAAGGTCTCCCAGCTCCCGGGGGCCCGCATACTTGAAGTCGAGGCAGGCCCGGAGCACCGGCGGCGGCACCTCACGCAGGAAGGTCACGGAGGAGCAGAAGGAAACCTGATCGGGGTGGGCACAAAGGGTGAGATGCGCTTGCTTTCGAAATTGTCGATGATAGTACAACCCGGCTCCCGTGGTATCGATCGCACATCAGAGTTACTCCGTTATACAGTGTACACTGTTCAATGGCCGAATGCACCTGATACGCGTGATGCCTCAAAGCTGTCGGCGCTTCATGCCGACCATACAATCCACCGGCTTCCTCAGGAATCCTTCGCGGGTCTCCAGCTGACCGGATCTGTCAGCCTCCTAGACGACGACCACTCCTCGCCGATTACGCACCTGCTTGTCCGGATCTTCCAGCACGAAGTGGTATCGGTGGAAGATAGACGCTACGATCACAAGAAGCTCCAAGCTCGCCAAGTTCCGTCCGACGCAGCTCCTGATCGCACGTGAGTCCCCGTGAACAACCCGGTCAGGACGCACTCACCGCGGTCCGAACGAGAACGGGTTGAACGCCTTCTGGATCTCCGCCTTGTCCTGCTCGAACCAGCGCTCCGGCCGGAACGCGTCCACGTCCTCGCCCCAGACCTTCGGGTCCCGGTGGATCGTGTACGTCGGCACAGACAGCACGGCGCCTTCGGGGAAGTGGTGGCCGGACACGGTGAGCCCCCCGGGGGGAACGAGGCGAGGGAGGCCGATCCCGGACGTCGCGTGCACGCGGAGGGCCTCGTTGATGACCGCGTCGAGGTACGGCAGGCGCTTGACGGCCTCGAACGACGTCACCGGGTCGTCCTCGTTCGCGAGCGCGGCGTCGAGCTCCTGCTGGAGCGCCCGCTGCGCGTGCTGGTTCCGGGCGAGGTGGTACGTGATCGCGCACGAGGAGCTACGCGGCGCGCGGGAGGCGTCAGCAGCGCCCCCGACTCGGCCCGAGACGGGCATCCTGGGACTCACTTGGACGTGGTGTCGGAGCCCGCGATGAGCTGCGTGAGCGCCTCCGCGGTGAGCTCCTCGCGGCCCATGGGCTGCCCGTCGTCGTCCCGGCCCTCCTGGAGCTTCGCGAGGAGGTCGACGCGGTCCGCGGCGGGCGCGGCGAGCCGCTTCGCGACCGCGGCGACGGCGATGCCCGCGAGGCGCTGCACAGCCGCGCTGCCCCGCGCGAACCACGGGAGCTTCTTCGCGAGCGGCCGCCAGCTCGGGGGGAGGACGCCCATCGTGGCCGAGTACTCGCCGCGGTCGTTGAGGACCTGGACGGCGGGGAAGTGTTGGACCTCGACCGCGCCCTCCGTGTCGCCGTAGCCGGCCATGGCAGCCTTTTGGGAGATCGCGACGGGCGCGGAGTCTTTGCATGCGACGAGCATCCCGAACGGGGCGCCGAACGCGAGGTCGCCTGCAGGAGGAGGTGGGAAGTGCGCGGGTGAGGGGAGGGAGGGCGGGCGCGAGAAGCGGGATGAGAGACGCGTACCGATGATGTCGAACGCAAGGTAGTTGTACCAAGGCAGGCAGTCAAACCAGACGCGCCCATCGCGCCCGCTCCATCCGCCCTCCCCTTCGTCGCCAGAGATACCCTTCACACCACCATCGCAGAGGCGATCCCATTGACCAAAGAGCGCGGAGAGGTGGTGGCGAACATGAGGCTCGAACTCCAGAACGTTCTTCTGCGAGAAGATAGCCGACACGATTTTGCGCTTGCGAGCGTGCTGGAGTCGGGAACGCGTGTTGAAGAGGCCGCGCTGGATAGAAACGAAGGCGTCATAAAAGTTGGCCTTGAGGGTTCCTGTGCCATGCCCGTACACGATCTGGAGAGCGTCGGGGTCGGCCACGGAGAGGTGGTTGGGCGCGATGCGGATGAACGTTCCTACGGAAAAAAGGACACTGTTAGCGTGATGTGCCAATGCCGGGGCTTCAGGATGGGTGAGGCTGCCTGCGATGGCAAGTTGCGAAAGGTGTTGGCAGACCGTGTTGACCCCGTGCGCGGGGACGAACAGGTCGTTCGATAACGTGAGTTTGCCGAGTCGCCGATTACGCCATCCCGGCCGTCTATATCCCACTGTCACACTTCTCGTGTGCGGGCCAACGCTCCGACGGAATGACTCCCCACAGCACGGGCCCTGGACTGTGGTCACGCAGTCCAACGCCCAGACTAAACGACCTCAATCACGAGCACTTCCGCCGACCGTGACCGGACGGAACACACAAGGAACACGGCAACGGAGGCCAATGGTGACAAACACTCACCGTGCTTCTGGTGCAGCTCATGCACCCTCTCAGAGCGATGCCCTTCACCAGCGACCCGTCCCAGCCAGATGTCGGACAGTGCCGCAATGGAGGGTCCGGGGAAGCGGCGGAACCCGTAGGGGTCGCGCAAGTACGGGACGAGGTGGACGAGGACGGGGATGGCGAGCACGAGACCGGCCCAAGTGCGCCAGTCGAGGCTGAAGAGGCCGTCGAGGATGATCATGGCGGAGGGAGGGTCTGTGCTGCATGGATCGTCTGGGACGGGTATAAGTAGGCGTGCAACGGTCGCTTAGGCGCGAAGTCAGGGGCACCTGCATTCCCAGGGCCCTCTCAAGCTCTCAGCTGCCATGGACGAGCATGGCCATCTGTCACCCCGCAACGACGACCGCGTGCGCATGAGGTTCCCTCAGAGAAGCCGCGGTCGGGATCGCAGTAGACTCGATGCTCGCCAAAGGTGGAGGGGGCCGACCTGACAGCCGGACGCTTCGTGGGACGTTGAGTTCAGGATTCGTTCAGAAGTGCGGATCGGACGTACGCGCATACAGGCGCATTGCCCACACAGCACCGTGTCACCTGCCCACATCCTCAAGGCCTCATCCGCACACCAGCAGGACGGAGGCTTCGTAACGGAGCAGTGATGCGTTGATGAGTGCTGAAATCTGCAAGCAAAGAGGTCAATCCTGCCAACCGCTGCGAACATGGAAGAGAGAACTCAGCAAGAGCTCAGAGAAGATGTCGCTGCACCCCTCCGGCTATCACCGGATGCAATGGGAAGCCCCGGTCACTCACATGCATGTCGAGGATGTGCAACATTTGTACAAAGTCTTCAATGCGTTGTCTACTACTATATCCTACGGATAAATACAAAAGTACCACGGCACCGCGCCTGACGCGCTACATTATCGGCCTCGAGGGCGAGTCCAGGTATCCTACGTGATTGAGGGGGTTATAGAGCCATTAGGGAATCGAGGTTCCAGCACGGACGGAAGCGTACATATACATTTTGGTTCCAAGGGTCGTGGCGGGCAGTGTTGTATGTGTCAACAGAATGCAAGACATGGGTGAGTGGGAAGAGCATGGGGGCATGATGGATGGCTGAGCTGGATGTGGCAGAGCGGAGGGGGGAGGGGTCCAATGGATACATGTGCAGAGCTGCGGGATCACACAGAAGGCTTGCGATAGCGTTGACGAGGCCGAACGTTACGTTGAACATCGATGGTGTCGACTTCACAGCACGGCAATCTCTTGCGGGGCTTCTGGCGCGGCCGGCGCGCCGCAGGGTATCTTCAGCGTGAGGATGCCGTCTTCGAGGCTGACCGCGACGTCTTCAGGCTATCGGCGCCCCCCGCACACCCTAGTCAGGGCCCACCCACGCATACGCAGATACCGGGGCACAGCGACCGGACGCACCTTGGTCTCCGGGGGGACGGCTAGCGTCCTGAAGAACTCGCCGAACTTGCGCTCGCGCACGCCGTGGCCGGTGCTGGGGAGGAGGGAGCGCGCGGTGCCCGCGATGCTCACTTGACGCACACGACTGAACGGACACACGGAAAGCGTGACGCGCAGGTCGCCGCGCTTCACGCCGGGCAGCTCAAGCATCGCCGTCATCACGCCCTCTTCCGCGCTGTAGTGCACGTCCGCGCGGATCGCGTACCGCCGCGCGCCGAGCTGGCGCGTCGACGACACCAGCGACGCGCCCTCCATCGAGAAACTGAAGAGATGAACGACGGAGGATGAGGCGGCGCGCGCGGGGGAGGAGGGAGAGCGCGAGCGCGAGCGACGACGCACCTGGTGTCCATCCCCGCCGCCGCCGCCGCCGCCTGCAGCCCGAGCAGCCCCTCACGCCACGCGTCCGCTGCCGGACACGGCGCGCCCATCGACGTCCCAACTGTGGGCGGCACGACCGCCGTGCCGTCGCCGCCCACCGCGCCGCCAGGCGTCTGCGCGCCCGAAGGCTGCCCCTGGTCACTCACTCGGCGCGCTCTCACATGCGCCGGTCCTGCGCCTGCGTCCACCGACTGCGGGCGACGGTACGGATGCGCGGCCTGCGCGGCCGCGCGTGTGTGTGGAACACGCACCGGTCCTGCGCCCGCGGACAGAGCCGCGGGGCTCCCCGCGGGCACCGACGACGACCCCTGACGCGTCGAAGTCGACGCGGAGGTGTCAACCTGTAATGGGGGCTTGGAAGAGGCGCGTCGGCGTGAGGAGCCGCCCGTCGGGCCCGGCACGAAGTCTTCCTCGGTGATCGTTTCAAAGCGGTACTGGGGCTGGGTGGAGACCGCTGCAGGTCGTACTTGGATTGTCTGGAGCTGCGGTTGAGGCTGACGGGGGGCGTAGTGCCCTTGAACTGAAAATTGTGATTGAGGAGGCTCCTGCGGCGGCGGCGAGGGCTGCTGGTGAACCTGCTGTAGATGGTGAGGAGGCAGAGGAGGCGGAAGCTGCTGAAGATGTAGCTGGCTAGGTGAGATTTGGGGCTGGAGCTGTTGAGGCTGGTGGTGGGGCGGGGACACGTCTTGGAGTTGCAGCGTTGGGTCGTGTTCTGAGGTTGATGCTGAGGACGCGACCTCCCAGGCGTACACGCGGGGAGTGGTCGGGTTTGAATAGTCCACGTATTGATGGTATGCAAAGCCTGCCATTGTCACACAAAAGAGTTTGACGCTGCAGCAGAGCGACGCAGTCGTCCAAGTCGGGGGCAAAAGGGAAGTGCGGCTTCGTTGGCGCGCCAGCACGATATATACCCATCACCAATCACCAATCAGCCGCGACTCCCGCTCGAGTCACGACGCCGGCGGTGCTCCCTCCTGCTCCGCGTCCCGGAATTCCCATTTCGGGCCTCCGTCGGCCTCAGCCGCCCGCCCAAGCCGCCTCGTGCCCGCCGCGGAGCACTCGCGGGAAGCGTCCACATCAAACTGTGTCTCGTCCGCTTTCTCACCCCTCCGCCCAGTCATTGTCAGCCCAACTAGGGCTATGGCAATAAAGACTGTCCCGCGAATGCACACTCTCTTCGCATGTCGACAGGCTAGGCAGACAATAGAACTTGTAGTTTTCATTTATGTAATGCAATGACATAGCTTATAAGTAGCGGGTTTGCACGAACACGACAAGACAGTGAAGAGGTAGAGCAAGCATACTAGTCGCAAGTAATAATCTACAGATGACGTCCCGGATCCGTCCCATCACGGCGACGACGCGTCCATGTCGTCCAACGCGACCTCCTCGACAAACGTCTGAGCTTCCGCCTTCAACTCCCTCAACAGCACCTCCCGGTCCCAGTCCTGCCGGTGCCGCCACACCAACCCCAGACACGTCGCACGCAGCTGTTCCAGCTGCTCCACGTTCAGCGAAGCCGTCGCATCCCGGAGGTAGGTCTTCAAGCCCTGGAGCGCCGCTTCGTCGAGGTAGAAGTCGGGCAGAGGCGTGGGCTCGCGCTCAACCTCGACCTCCATCGGCTGCTCTGGCTGAGACTCGACGGGCTCGGTGGCTTGCGTGTCCATGAGTTGGTCGCTATCGGGAGCGGGGTGAGGCTCCGACGGCTGGGGGTCGCTACTAGGCTGCTGCTCCGGCTGTTCCGTCGCCTGTCGCGCGTACACGGAGAAGGGGTTGTCTGGAGGGTCGGTGGGCATGCCGTGCTGGAGGTCCGTCACGGGCGACGCGGGATTGAGCAGCGCGGGATCGAAGCCGCCCGTGCGAGGCTCTGGCTCCGACGACGGCTGCTCCTGGTCCTCCGGGATCCCGTTGAGCTTCGGCGAGGACGAGGTAGGCGCGAGCTGCACTTCATCGGCGAAGCGCACGCTCGAACGCCCCCCGTTTGCTGCGGGGGAGAGCGGCGCGTCCGCGGGCTGGGTCCGCTCGCCGTCCACCGAACCCTCGCCGTCCGTGCGGACCTTCTTCGATACTCGCTCCCCGTTCTCGTCTTCGGACGGAGTCGCCTCCGCACCGTTCGACCGCTGTCGCTTCAGCTTGCGCTCGAGCATACCGACGTCTTGGATGCCCATCTCGGGCTCCTTGCCGTTGTTCCGTGCGCTCCGGCGCGTGCCCGGCGCGTACGTTCCATTCGCCGCTGCTTGCTGCTCCTCCTGTTCAGCGCGCCCCTTCTCCTTCTCCTTCCGGAAGTCCTCTCGCCGCTTGCGCTCACGTGCCGCCATCCTCTGGCACTCCATCCGGAACTGGGGGTCGAAGTCCTGGACGCTGACCTCTGCAGCAGTGAGCATGGCTTGGGCGCGGAAGAGGCGCTCGGGGTCCTCGTTATGACGGACGCCGGCATTGTGGACGATCTTCCGAATGTCGTCCAGAAGGTCTTCGGGGGTAAGGTAGCGCCCCTTGTACAGCTCCACGTTCATGCGCTCGAGATCCATATCGAAGAGGGGAGGGTCCTGGACGAGTTGCTCTTGAACCTGCATCTGAGGCTCTTCCGGCACGATCTCGACAACGTCTTCCATCCGTGTTTCATTGACGACCTCTGCGACGCCGTTGGGCCCTGTGTGCACCTGGACGGCGGTGGAGATCACATGGATTTGTGGCGGCGGCGGCGCGCTGAAGTCGTAGTTGTACTCCTCCTGTAAAGCATAAATAAGCACACGAGCTGATTTAGAGAATGTGGCACTTACCGCAGCTCGCTTGGTGAATCGCTTGAACTTCCGCTTGAGTTCGCTGAGGATGGGACCAAGGCGGTACTTCAGCAGCGTGACCACGCGCTGATCGGCTGCCTCTTGTACAGCTAGTTCTTGTTGCGAGGGCTGACGAGGTTCCAAAGGAGGAGCGATGGGGAGAACTTCAAGCACCCGCTTTTTGCGCTGTATACCATCCGGGAAGTGATTTGGCGGTCGACGTACGTCCTGCATGAGACCCTCGAAGAATACCTCTCTTTGAGATGCCGTGGGCGCCACAAGGGCGACACGGTTCTCCCGAGTGGACCCAAACCACTGGCGAACGTCGCGGGGAAGGTCGGTGAAAGCACCGTCGACGACGGCGAGCAGCAGCACAGGGTCCGTAGGAGCCAGGGTGTCCAGCATCGCACGCACTGTCGTCCGCGCGGTTTCAGTCACCGCCGAACACCACCCAATGAGCGAGGGGATGTAGACGACCGAGGGTTGGTGGCGTTTTGCTTCGACGAAGAGCTGGACGATGGCGGCTTCTGGCGATCGTGTTGCGTCGCTGAGGAGAGAGCCGAGATCCAGACTTTGAATATGGTAGCCTTCGAGGTGGTGGAGAGCAGCGGCAGCGACATATCCGTGGCCCATGCCCACGGGCCCGTGGAGCACCACTCTTGGCCGGTATATCCGGAGCGTCTCCATGGACTGCATCATGACCTCGCGCTCAAGTGCGCCCTCGGAACCCTCGTCTTCCCATTCGGCTTCCTCAAGGGCAGTGCGCTTTTTGCTGGTGGGAAGTACCTTGCTGATGACCTCCTTCATCTTCTCAAGAGGCTCCCGGAGGATGGCTTCGAGTTGAGTGGGAAGGGGTGATGCAGCAGAGGACACAGAGCGCGCAGAAGAAGGGACAAGTTCTGGTACAAAACGTGAGAAGGTGAACCAGTGAAATGCATTGAGAGACATACTCTTGATGGCGATCATGAAATCCCTCAACTCAACCTCGATAGTTTCCGGCTTGAGCAGCAGGCGATCGTTCGACTTATAGATTTGGGGATACCGACGTTGGACGGCGTTGAGGGCGGCTTCCGTGCACAACGCCTGCGCTAGTGGTATGAACATCCGAGGAGGGGGACAGTCCGCGCGTCGAAGCGATCAATTGCACTCACCCGCATGTCAGCACCACCATATCCCTTCGTCAACTTCGCCAGACCCTTCGCATTCTCCACGCCCTTCTCGCCGTCCCATCCCGCCCACTTCTGCGTCATGATACGGACAATCTTCTCCCTCGCATCGAGGCCGGGTAGGGGGAAGTAGAACTCCCTGTCGAACCGACCAGGACGTCGCAGCGCGGGGTCGACTGCGTCGGGCCGGTTGGTCGCGCCGATAACGACGACTTGGCCGCGGCCGTCCATCCCGTCCATGAGCGCCAAGAGTGTCGACACGATAGAAGCGTGAATCTGGTCTTGCTTTGACGACCGGACAGGAGCGAGACCATCGATCTCGTCGAAGAAGATGATACTCGGTTGCTGGTTGCGGGCCTCCTCGAAGAGTAGACGAAGTTGACGTTCAGCTTCTCCGACCCACTTCGACAGACAGTCGGCACCCTTGCGCATGAAGAAGGCTAAAAGGAAGGGTAAGCCTTGGGCGACCAGACATCACAAGAAGGCAACTCACAGATGCCTTTGCCATTCGAGCGACAGCTGGCAGCGAGCGCACGAGCCAGAAGCGTCTTACCAGTCCCTGGTGGTCCATGGAACAAGACTCCCCTGGGTGGTGTGAGGTTGAAACGTTGGAAGACTTCAGGATACAAGAGCGGCAGTAGTGTCATCTCCTTCAGAGAGTTGATATCTAGATCACACGCATCAACAGAGGAACGTCACGAAACCCGAAGCGGACTCACGGTCATCCAAGCCTCCGACCTCGTCGAATGTAACATTTTGATTGACACCAAGAGGATCGGCGTCCGCCAAAGCTGAAGTGCGCATTTAGGGGATGGACACAGGGTGGTGATAAAAACATACCAGCGTCGTTGACTTTACCAAGATTTGAAGGCGTACCGGCCGCAGCTGCAAGGTCGCCAGGCAAGAATCCACCCGTACCGACACCTCCTGCAAACATGTTTCCAGCAGTACCGCCAAGTCCTCCCCCTTGTTTGCGAGGTGTTCGAGTGGGATTGTCCGAGTCCTGCGACACGATGGGTAGCTGTCCGACGAAACAGTTTCAAGACACGTACCGAATCATCCGCAGGCGCACCCATCCACCGACTGAGTTCCGCTCCCGTAGCACTCCAGCCAGGAGCTTTAGGCCGATTTGAACGGGAATGGGACTTCATTCCGCCGGTGCGAGGCTTTGGTGGTGCTCGCATCTCCTCGATGGGTGGCGGAATGGCATAGTTGATCTTTGCTCGCTGGCGCAAGGAATAGGGTTTACCGTCCGTTTCGGGCTCTCCGTCTCCGTCTCCGTCCCCTTCTCCATCCGCGTCGGCGTCCACGTCCACGTCCATGGCTGGCTCGGGGGAGGTAACAGGGGCTTCGTCCAGAGAACCTTCGCCATCTGCCGACCCAGAGGAAGGTTCGTCTACATATCCATCCTCGTCCTCTTCGTTGTTGGCGGAAGAACGCGTCCGTCTAGAGGAACGCGTCGCGCGAGACGAAGAGGCTTTCGGTTGCGACCGGCCGTTGGAACGTCGTGTGATTCGACCTCCGTTTGTCTGCCCGTTGGCCGCGCTCTTGTTCCTGTTTCGTGTTGGATATCTCCCGGCTCGAGGTTCTCCGTCTTCGTCGTCGCTCGCGATGAAATCAGGCAAGATGTCGGGGCGTCTCCTGTTGCTGCGTGTCCGTAGGGCGTACCGAGACGATGCTTCTTCCTCTTCGTCCTCGTCTTCGTCATCTGGCACGAGCTGACGCTTGCCCTTCTTGGGGATGATGTCGATAGGGTCGTCCTCGCTCGCAGATTCTTTGTAGGATTTGCGCTGGACTCGCCGACCCCGTTGCGACACTCCGAACTCCACGGGTTCCTCCTCCTCCTCTTCTGGCACTTTCGGTTCGTCTTCTGCGGGAGCGGACGCGTTGCTCTCATGGTATTCGGAGCCTGAAGCTGTAGGGCTACTGGGCTGGTGACGTGAGGCACCCCGGGTGGTGGGAGGCATGGCAGGAAGTTTGATGGTTAAGTTGGTTGAGTGGGGACTTGAAGGGACCAAAAGAGGGTCTATGGGATACGTGGGTACTTGAGGTTGGGCGGGACGGTGGGTGAGGAAGGGTTGTTGGTAGGTCAGAGAGTCAGGGTCGATGTAATTGTTGTACCCGGGGAATTGGTGGGAGTGCTGCGACGGAGGGAGATATTGATGATCGTCAAAAGAAGGACCAGAAGGGGGGATGGCGTTGGAAAAAGGCTGCGGAGGCTGAGGATCGGGCAGGAAGTTCGGTGGAAAGCTGAACGCTTCGCCCGTAGGAAAGTTGAAGCTCATGGAAAGACGACCGCACTCGAAGCGATGTGCTCACAGCTTCTCTTCGCGCTTTGTCATGCACCAGCAGTACGCGCGCATACACCGTTCTCCAGAGGTCGAGAAGTCGACGAAGGAAGAGTATCCAAGGATATGACAAGGAGGGAGATGGCGTTTGTCTTGAAGGGCATAGACGCATGTTGGGTGTTTACCGCTATTTGCGGGGAGTGGCGATGCTTACCGGTCCGCGTCTATCTCCCTCTCCTCCTGCAAAGCGTCCATCTCCGTGAGGACAACAGCTTCGACCCCGTCCCAGTTGTCGCTGACCCACCACTATACCGTCTGATATCGCAACGGTTGGTGTGTGTCCCGTGAAGAGAGATTGTGTCGAAAACCTTGCACGTCTCCTTCTCCACAACCAACTGGCTGCTGCCCCATTGCCCTCCTCCTACTTTCCTTCTCTCCACAATCCCAAACAATACACACAGACATACCTAGACCAGTTCATTCGCAATGAAATGCACACAGAGGATCTTGCATGAAACTTTCACCCCGACAGGATGCGTGCGTGAAGGATGCCTGATGAGCCGTGGGAGATGAGAGTGTATTGGGAAGTTCAGATGGAGGTACGAGAGCAAAACGCGCACCAACATCGTGCGGAACGCTGCCCTCAACGCCAGAAGGTTTACTGACGGCAAGCGGAGGCTGAACTTGTAGCGGAGTAGAAGCGGAGTTAAATCTCCGATTGGAGACAAAACTTAACGGGAAAATACCATGCATTAAGGGGGAATCGAACCCCCGGCGGGTCGATGGCAACGACCCAGGTTACCACTACCCCATTAATGCTCATAGCGTTCCAATGCCAAGCTTTTATGAATTGAGCACGCTCCACGATCGGAGGTCAGTGCATGAGAGCACCAGGCAAATGGCACGCAACTCTCCATGTCTGTCTCACCTCCCATTCGCCGGTTATCAACCAGTTCCAGCAGCAGAGAGGACCTCATCTATCAGTATGAAGCTGAAGAGGAGCGCATCATCAACATTCTATCCAGGAAGCTGGAGCAGGTCAGCTTTCTTGGCTCTAAAATAGCTTTTCACTGACTCCTGTCCACTTGTCTCTAGCTGCGAGAGGAGAAGATTGAACTCGAGAATGTGTTGGAAGCGGAGTCTGAATCGCATGTCAACAGGCTTTCGCGCGAGCTCACAGCATTGAGGCTGGCTCAACAGCAGCAACAGCAGTTGCAGCAGCCGCAGCCGCAAGCAGGTCCGTCCCACGTGAATGGCAGCGGGAGCGTATCTCCCCAAGACTTCCGCACAACGGCCCAACTTGCACATCTGCTCAGCAGGTCCAATGGTGATCCTTCCCCGGACATGATCATCGACGCGCTGAGGAGAGAGAACGAAGCATTGAGGAGCCGTCTGGTTGAGACAGAACAGGACTTCGTCCGGATCTCTCGGTTGAACGAGATCTACAGAGAAGAGCTCATACAACATCGACGACGGGTAAGTCTCGCCCTCCTTTCCGTGTTATATCATAACCGAGCCCGCTGTGCAGCTCGGTCTCCCCGTCGACAATCTCATAGGACTCGGCCAAACCGACCCACTCTCCCAACCCACACACCGCCGCTCAAGCTCTACCTCCGCCTCACCCACCACTTCGATCCACGCTCCCGCCCACATCCCCATCCCTCCCTCGCGCCCCTCCGCTGCCGCGGTCCCTATCCCTCGTCCGCCCTCTCAGATCCGGCGCCCCCGCGCGCAGCCCGAATCCACCTCCGCCTCCGCGTCGACGACCCCGCTCTCGCACTCGCCCTCCTCCGCGTCCACCTCCCCGTTCCCGTTCTCGCCCGCCGCGCAGTCGCCGTTCCCCGCGTCGTACGCGACGCACCTCACCACGCCCGCCTCCGCCGCGAGCCCCCCGCGTTCGGGACCGCCGCCGCGGCCCCCGGGACCCCCCGCACGCTGCTCTCGTACCCGGCCGTGCCCCCGCCGTCGCTCAGCTCGTCCTTCGGGTCGCCCGCGGCCCCGCTCGCGCCGAGCCTGCCCGAGTCCGTCGCGCACTCGCCCATGGGCTTCCGCTCGCGCCGGAACTCGGCCGCGCGCGTGGCGGAGACCGGGAGCCTCAGGGGGCGGCCGTCGACGCACGGCTTGGGGCAGAGCAGACGGGAGAGTGTCGAGCGGGGGGCGAGGGTGGCCGAGACCGGGTCGCTGGTGCCGAGGCAGCCTAGGGAGAGGTCGGCGTCGGAGGGCTTCATGATCGACGTGCTCGAGGAGATGGAGACCCCGGTAATCGAGAACCCGGATTCCCCACCTCCTAGAGAAGCAAGGTCGGGCGGCGGCGAGGGTTGGAGTGTTGGTGCTAGAGGTTCCATGGTGAACGGCCACTAAGGGGGAATCATCGGTGTGTTCGATTTCCTTGCATCCCAGTCTCCAGTCTGCTCACTGTGAGCAGTTTCCCATCTCGATGACCTCGTCATCGACCTTCAAAGGTCGTAGATGAGCCCACAAGATGAGGATGTATGATAGTACGATGTATCGACGGATTGATGGTGCCTTCTTGGACATCGTATCTTTGTACGATAGGTAACAAGTAACGTACCTCCGTTATGAATGGACCAAATAATGTCTCTGCTCCTGTCTGAATCATGCAAGTTAGATGCACATGTATCGCAAGTGTTCTCCACGTGGCCTGCGCGAAGCTCACAGGAGGCAAGTGGTTTCCGTCCACGTTACTGATTCGTAGGTTCATGTCAACCTTTCAGGAGAGACGCATACATGGCGGTCCTGAAATGGATTTCTACGAAGGACCTTCGCTTACATCCGTCTGTTTTTGTCAACCCTCGCGGACCATTCCCACCTCACCCGTCAGCTGTGTCTGAAGGACAGCAACCTAATCAAGCCATCTACTTATCATGGAACACTTTAACCTACTTTCACTGCTTCAGCCTACATTTCAGTGGCCGCATCTTTCACGCTTCCTGGTACCTGCACAGCTTCATCGCACCAACGGCATCCCGCAACGCCCTGATGCCTTTATCCAGCACCCACACAGGTCTACTCAGTTGGACACACACAGGCCCGTTCGTTCCTAGATGACAAGTTCCCATCTGCATCGCTCTCGCTGAACGCTAACACGCTTCTCTCCGCCCTCATCCCTTCCCCGCAGCATTGGTCTGACATCAGCGGCGAGAACTTCGGACATCGGATGACAAACACCGCCTAGTCTACCTCCCAGTCTGCAACCGTTCAACTCCAGAATGTAGCCAATGCCACTTGGGCGTGGACCGACAAGTCGCGGCCTTGAACCCAGATTTGGTACGCTTACTCAGCTGCCGTCCACTGAGCCCGGGGTTGACTTCGAAGGTTTGCCCTGCAACTTCCTCTCCGCCTGCACACCGACTCTTCGACCGCTGCTCCGACCACCAGTCCGCGTCCGGCATTACGTCGCACAGGCACCCCGCGCACCGCCGACCCGACGCGCACCGGGATGAAGCAAGTTTGAAGTACTGTGCTTCGCTTCTCTGGCCCTCCATCTATTCATGCACGCATCAGAGAAGACCGCAAAGGCGCCTATGTCTGCACGAAGGTTCAAACGTTCGCCTTCGATGTTTCGTCCGACGTTCCCAGCTGCGGCCGAGGTTCTGTGTCTGCGCCCACCGCCCCTTCCGCCTCTTCTGAGGCCCTTGACACTTTGATCGGGAGCCGGGTCCCAGGATCCCAAGGACGCCTGGAGGTGGTGAGCCCGAGTCCTCCCTGCCCTCGCCATCGATCGTGCTCACGCCCCCGTACCAGTCCTTTCTCCCAAGCTCTCGCGCACCCATCACATCCCTGAGAACGCGCGCAGCCGCGCCGTCGACGACGGTGCGAACCCGCTCCCGGCGCACGCACCTCGACGCTCCCAGTATCCGGCGCTCGGGAGACTACGAGCGGCTTCGAAAGGCTCGGACGCTCGTGCTGCGGCGAGAGGAAGGGACGTGTGGGAAGCCTATTGCCCGAGCGTCCCCGCGTGCGCCGCCGCAGCCGTCCGCGGCCCCCGAAGGTTCGAGCGGCGGCGACCTCGGCGAGTGTGTAAGTAAACCTCGCCGGTGGACGTCTGCGTCCGCAGCGCACGCACATTCCGTGCGATCGTGGTTCACAGGCGTGCGGTGCAGCACGCACGCCGCGACGTTCGACGCCCAAGCTCGAGATAGAGCCTCCTCGTGGGCGTCGCGTGTGTGCTAGTGCCCCGCAACACGTGTCGCGCTTGCGTCTGCGGGGCGGGGCGGAGGTTGGGTCGCGGGGGATGGAAGCCCTTCGTCTCCGGGTCCTCGCCCATCCCATCTCCGCCAGTTCGGACGTGCGTCCTCGCTCAGGTGCCGCAAGCTTAACTTACCGAGCTCCTTCAGTGCTACTAGGTGGTGCAGACGCGCGCCCCACCTCCGGCGCTTTGATCTACGGAAGGAAACTTACTTAGAGGCGCGAGGAGTCACGGAAGCTGGAGCGCAGATCCTCGTGTACGTTACCGTACCCCACCGGTCGCACGCGACACACCCGTGGGCCCGTCGCCGATCGGTCGCGCGACCGCCGTCTCGCGGGCTGCGATGGCTTTAACGGGGTGCGCACTAGTCCTGGGCCTTTACCGGATGTGCACACGGGCGCCGTATGTTGTCCGTTCCCTCGTCGATTCCTCTTGGCCCTTCAACTTGAAACCATATATGTCGATTCTTTCGGGGCGAACAAAAATGCAGGAAAAGGAAAGAACGATAGTTGCTCAAAGGCGGAGATTTCGTCGTCGCGAAATGTCGCCTCGGCAATGTCACCTCAGGCCCTGTACGCAGCCCACACGGGGATGCAAAACCCATACCGCGAGCCTCGAGCCGACCGCGCGCTAATGCAGATAGCAATGCTGAGAACGTCTGGACATTAATTGCGGATGCTGCACTCCATGAGCGTTTCCTTCACAAATTTGACTTTGTAATTCATCATGACATCCCATGCAGATCCCCAGGTCTCATGAGGATTGCTGAAGGTGCAGACGAACGCGCACATCACACCGGTTTCAAGGACGTCGATGGGAACGCCAAGTACTCCATACATGGTACTATCCGCGATCGGGCCCCGCAGAACGGCGCGCTACCCTGCGCCACCCGGTCGAAGCCACAGCAGCTAGATCCCCCGCCTCGACGAAGTGGAGCAGCCTTGTGGCGTCCGCTAACCCCCGCACGCGATCGCAAGCGATATCGAGGGTGGCGAGTTTCGAAGTGCTGAAGTACAGCCCGTTCTGTCCCCTATCGGTCTCGACGGTCGAGGCGGATCACAGGACCACGGACCGCCTGAATGGGCGTATGATAAGGGAGGATTCCAGTGCACAAGACGTAAGGGGGCTACTTTAAGCGCAACTCACCTCGGCCTTCCGCCAGTGCACATACGTGACGGCGTTGCGCGGGTAGAGTGGTGTACGTTACCTGTCTTCAAGTGGCCGCGTGCAGACCCCTCCCGGCTCGCCCGAGCATGGCTAAGGTCGAACGCTGGCGGCGGACGACGGACCCAGAAGACCTGGCCCACTGCATGTCAAAACATTTTGAATAGCGTGCACCGGCGCGTACATGATCGCCGGTCGGACCGTTGCGTCCCGGCGGGGGCGATCGGCGTGCGGGTCTCCAGATCTAACTCGTGCCGGAGCGTGTCAGCGAGGGTAGTAAAGATAGATTAACCTCGACGACTCGACGAGTCATGGCGTGTCCTCGACGGCTCTGGGCCTCTGCGCACCACCCGACCCACCCGCCAGCGAGCGGCCTCGAACGGCCTCGGGGATTATGGACGTACTTGCGACGGAGACAAGGCCGCGATCGCCGGCGTCGGCCGACGGCCGGTTCCATTCGCTCCCTGCAGGCTCGAGGTCTGGGACGGCCGGCGTCGGTGGAGCTTTCAAGTCTTCCATTTTCTCCCGAGCCAGCGTCCGAGGCGGTCCGCGGCCGGGCGTCTCGCCCGCGCGATTTTCAACGCCGTCCGTCGATCGGAAAAACGCGTGCGCGCGCGAGAAATCATGAGTCGAATTCCGGAGATATTGCGCGAGCTGTGGAGATGGCGGGGAGATGGAGAGATGGGGCGATTGAGCTGGGCTCACCCTATCGATTCCACTCCGGCAGCTGGTGATGCAGTAGGTCGCTCGCGCGGATGATGCCCGTGCCACCCGTCGGATCCAGCTCGCGACCAAATTTCCCCCGGCGACGGCGACGGCGGACGACGATGGTCGGACATCGAATGAGCGCGCGCTGGCCCGCCCAGCGTCAGAATGGACAGTCCTTGCAAGCCACCGGGAATTGGCCGGGAATCCGGTGGGCGCGAGTCATGAATGCACGATATGCATGATGTCGAAGAACGCTCATCACGCGCGCCAGCCGGCGAGCTCGCGCGAGGCTTCTGGAAGGGAGATGTGGGAAGGCGCGGACGGGTTGGGCAGCTGTGTCCGGCGGTGCGCAGCCCAGAGCTCCGGCGGGCCTTCGGATGGCTGCCACAGCCGCGGAAGCGGATGGAGAATCGCAGATGGAGGCCAGATAGACAGCGTCCGCGCGCGGCTCGTGGTCATGGGTGCCAGGCGGCGAGAGCGGGGGTCCCCAAATCGCCCGTTCGGTGAGCGTGGCGCGCGCAGACGCTGCCGTGGTCTGGCGACGACGTCAAGCAAAGATGCTGGGCGCTCGTGAGGCGGCGGTTGGCGCACGATCGGATGCGGCTCGGCCGAGTGGACAAGGGCAGGCTTGTTGTGCGACACGTTGCAGCAGGGTCGACGACGACAACGACGACCGGGGGGCGATGGAGGACGACGGAGACGGGGAACGGGGATGAAACGGGGGCGACCGGCGGCTAATCGCTCGCGTCGGCGTCTGGCGTCTGGGTGGGCGCGAGCGCGCGAGGCCGAGGCGTGTGTCCGCGCCTGCCACCACCTGCCACTCCTCGTCGCGCTCCTCCGACTGCGGAGGACATATAAAGCCGGGCGCGCAACTCGCCACGCCCCGATCCGCCCCCGTACGTCTCCTGTGCGCGATCGCTCGAACCCCGCCCAAACTCACCGCCGCTCTTTCGCGCCATATAACCCCCGACGCCGACCATGCCCGCCCTCTGCCACGCCATGCCCCCCTTCAACGTCCCCGTCCCGCCCGCGGCCGCCCCGAGCCTCTCCGCCCCCCTCCTCGACCAAAAGCTGTCCTTCGCGCTCGCCAGATTGCATGGCGACGTCTGCCTCGTCCAAGGTGAGCGCCCTGCCCGTGCCCCGACGTCATTCCCCTGCTCACTCTCGCGTCACCCGTGTCTTTGTTCTTTCCCGCCCCGCGCGCGTGACTCCCGCTCGCCGCTCGCAGTGCCCCACACGCCCGCGCCCGGCGGAATGGCCTCCGCGCTCATGGTCGCGGACGTCCACGTCTTCCGGCACGAGTTCATCACCCAGTTCCGCTTCTCGCACCGCGCCACCGTCCACCCCGCGGACATGCACATCCTCGAGCCCATCGCCGACGGCGCCACGCTCTACGAGGAGGACAAGGGCACCGTCTTCCTCGCCCGCGACGTCGTCGCCCGCCTCCAGAAGCACTCTATGGCCGCCCGCGCACACCCCCACCAGCACTTCCGCCACCCGCACTCAGGCCGCTCCATGCACGCGACCCGATCAAGGTCGCTCCCCCTTCCCGTACCGTGCGCGCTCCCCATGCGCGTCCAGCGATCGTAGTCGCGCGACACGTTCTGTCGGATTGTGGCACCCCACCCATTCGACGTCGCCGCCGCACATCGCCGCACCCGCGCCATCCCCCTTGACCCGACTGGGATCTCGCGATTGACGCGCTCCTCCGCCAGCACGAGGGTACACCGGGGCACGTCTGCGCGCACCGCAGCGGCCCCAGTGTTTCATCGCGTCTTTTTCCGTTCTCCGCCTTCTTAGACTGTTCGCATCTGCATCTCCCCCATTCACCGCTCATCGCTGTTCTCCGCACATCATCATCTCTCGATCCGAACCATCACTCATCCGCACACACATACACTGTATTGTTAGGCCTGTATGACCACCTCCCGCACCGCATACCGCACAGCTACATGCATATGTCCCATGTCTGCCACCTCTCCGACGCACCGCCTAATCTCTGCCTCGTTCAAAACACCCTACTACGCCACCGTACACGCACGAACGCGCGGCTTTATGCAGTTTATCAATGTCCGTCGCTCCCCGCTCCAGTGCCTCTCCTCGTGGCCTGCGCGTGGTGTGGCCCCTAATGTGGGCGTATGTGGACACCGACGGGCCACAGGCATCAATCGGCCCTCACGCAGACCGCACGCGTGGTGGTCCACGCCCCCCGGCACTGCATTTCGCCCTCGAGGCGGCCGGACGGTGATCCTGCAATATTCACAGCCAGCATGCGTTCGTGCAGAGCGGTGCGCGTCGCGGATGAATTGATGACGGCCAGTGCGACTTCAAGCTCCAAGTTGGCGACGGTGGACGCGTGTGCCAGGCTGATGACGCGGTGCGCTGGTCACGTACGGCGTTGGAACATGAACCGGTGACGAACGCGGTACCTGCTCAGTGCCGTGCGCGGCGTATCTGGCCAGCGAAGGTTCGGTGCCTCGGAGCCGCGCGCTCGAGACGTCGAAGCCCCGCGGTGGATAGCACTGGGAACCTAGCCCACTCGTGTCGCGACCCGGGCAGGTGGCAACGTGTCGAGGCGCAGAGGCCTTTCGGTACCTGACGTCCGCGGGCTCCGGCCGAGTCGACGTCGTGCAGCTCATTGCCAGGGTGCGTACATACCCGTATGCACTGTGTGGAGTCCGTCGGTGCGTGTGCACACACATATAGTACATACGACGAACGCCGCGCGCGGTTGGCTGGGTAAACTTGGAACGGTGCTGTGGAGGACGAAAGTGGATACTTATTCAAGGGAGGCCGAGGACGCACGGGTGTGCACATTATGCGGAGGCGAGGTCGAGCAACTGCCAACGAGGCTCAAAGTCAACTTTGGATTCCTTCCGGACGGCCGAGCCGCTTCTTTGACAAGCCCCGCTGCGCAGTCAACCTAGAGCGGTGGCTGGTGGCCGGTGTGCGGCCGCGCAGTTGATGGTCCGGGCGGAAGTGGGAGATAGGTGGGGTGGACCGTATACAGGGACCGTCGACGGCGTCCACGGAAAGCATGTACCCCGCTCACACATCCCCTGCAGTGCAAACGGCCAGCAAATATGATGCGACGTCGAGATTTGACATGGAATCTGAGCGGCTCGACAACTGAGTGCAAATAAGGCACCAAGGATACCAAAAGGATACCCAGTATGTATTGATAATAAGATACGAAAAATAGCTAGCCGCCGTCCCTGCACCCGCGGGTGCGCACGGGCTCGGCCCCGCATACGACAGGTCTACACTTCCAGAAGCAGTCGGTAAAGTAGCAAGTGGTCCGGCGTCGAGCGCATAAGGTAGCGAGAACGAAGGGGCGAACGAGGGGGGACACGTTGGGACGCCGGGTGATTTAACGGAAGGTGGGAGTGAAAGTCGTCCGACTAGAAGTCGTAGCCCTCGACCTTGAACGTGCGCCCGTATACGAGGTAGCTCTCCATGATTTTCGCGACCGGGTCGGGGAGGCCCATGCTGAGCAGCGACCACTGGATCTTGGCGTGGCCGTGGATCTGCCCGAGCTTGAAGAAGCAGCGCGCGATCTGGGTGGGGTACTGCGCGGACAAGGTTAGCGTCGTCGACATCCGACTCCGGCATGGTCAGACTCACCGTCATCTCGGCGTAGTCGCCCCACTGGTACGCGGCGACGCGGACGGCGGCCTGGAGGGAGCGCTGGATGTCGCCCTCCTCGGCGTACATGTCCAGGAGCTTCGACCACGGCTTGTACGCGTAGCGGGGGGTGTCCAGGCAGCGCTGGTACGCCTCCTTCGCCTCCTCCTTGTGGTGCAGGCGCATGCCGAGGTCACCCAGGATCTCCCACTCGAGCCCGGTCTTGCGGTACGCGACGTGCTGCGTCTTGAAGTGCGCGACCTCGGCGCGGAAGATCGTCCACACGCGCAAGTCCTGGCGTTCCCGTGCTCAATCTCGCGACGCGCAACGCCAGAGACGACAAGATGCTCACCTCATAGAGGACCATAAACAGGTTGTCGAGCCACCGCTCGCACAGCCGCTTGTTGCTGAACGAGAACGGCTCCTGGGAGGGCGACGCCCCGCCCTCGCCCTCCGGGTTCTCTGCCGCCTGCACCGGCTTCTCGAGCGCAGGGTCCTTGATCCCGTTCTTGGTTACCTCGTCCGCCACCTCGCCGTTCTCCTTGGGCTCCGTCTCCGTCTCCGCCTCCTCCGCCTCCTCTTCCTCTTCCTCCTTCGCCGCATCCCCGTTCAATGGCTTCGCGGCCGACGCCGCCTCCCGCGCGCTCTCGGTCGATATCCGGATCGTCGGGATGCCATTCGCGCCCGCGACGAGCGTCTCCGACTCCCCATCGCCGTCCCCGTCGGCCTTCGCGTCCCCGTGCCGGTCGGACTCGCTCGGGGACGCCATCCCGCGCGTGGATGCGTCGTCGTCCGCAGCGGCGGCCGCTTGGCCCTGCAGCGACACGCCGCGCCGCGGGGAGACCACGGACCCGTCCTCGTGGAAGACCTTGGACGCCGCCGCGGACGGGGGCTGCTCGGTCTGCTTCTGCATGCGGTACTCCTCCTCCATCACGAACACGTAGCTCCTCGTCTTCAGGAGCTCGTCCCAGCCGATCTGCGACACGAGGCGGGTGAGCAGCGCGTAGGCGCGGGCCCATGTGCCGCGGAGGCCGGGGGCGGGGAGGCGGAGCAGGGCGGGGTCGGCCTAGGGGGTGCGGTTGTGAGAGGGGTTCGGGGTGTGAGACAACCCAAGAACTCACCTCGTCGTCTTCCGTCTTCACCCTCTCTGGCAAGATCTCCACGATGGTGCCCTTGGGGGGGAGGTGCACACGAGCGGGGGAGAGGTTGCGGTGAGCATCTCGGCCGTTGTAAGTGAACATTGGACATGAGTTGAGCGTAAGGAGGGCCTGGAGTGTTGTGAGATGAGGGAGGTTCGATGGTTGGACAAGTACGTACATTCTCATACTGGCCAAGGTCAATGTAGCACTCAGTCAACTTCTCCCATGTGACGAACTCGCTTGGCGCACAGTTGACTGCCTGGCGAGCAAGCTTGAGAGCCCATTCGTGCTTGCCTTTGCTACGGAGGAATTCGCATTGGACATGGAGGAGGGTGTAGGACTGTGGGGTCTGCTGGACAGCACCACCCATGATCTGTACAGCTTTCACTTCCTCGTCTGAAGGGTATCGTGTTAGGGGTTTGGGGATGAAGACGCATTATGGGTACGCTCACTCATTCCCAAGTAGCTCTTCGCAAGTAGTGATGATACTTCTGGCTCCCTCGCAGAGATTTTTTCGAACAGGTTTGCAGCATGCTGGAAGCGGCCGCTGTCTCCGAAGTACTTCATGATCGCAGCGGTAAGATGGTTGGAGACAATTGTTGCAACTTGTATCTCTGGATCCGACCCAACCTGCCAGCCTGTGCCGCGGTTACGGAGGGGGCATACAAGACACGGGCAGATGGATCTCACCCTTCATGAACAGTGCTTCAGCGGCTTGCACGAACCGAATCTCGCCTTCGGGGGTAGTGATTGGGTCTAGCTTGCGGTATGCCTCAAGCCAGTAGGTAGGGTCGTCGGAGTAGAGAATGGCGCGCAGAAGAGCGGACAGGAATGTCTCTTGCCAGACCTCTAGTGTTGCCTCATGCCTAGGCCATGTTGAACAAGGAGTCGTCGCACAGCAGATATGGGGTACGCACCTCTCTCCGCGCAGGTCAACGACATACGCCTGAACGCCTCCGGGGATTTTGACGTCTACACGGACGTCCACACGCGAAAACGCGTTGAAGCAGCTGCGATCGCGCGTTCACATTGGGAGCGAGCGCATGAGGGGGCAGAGACGTACCAGTAGCATCCGCTTTTGACTTTCCATGACGCTCCCTTCGTAAACCAACCCGAGTCGTCTTCGATGTTGTAGGTGAGGGAGTTGATGTAGGCGGCTAATGACGCGGAAGACGAGGCGTCGACTCCGGATACGTAGTGATACGAGCCGAGCTGTAGCACATTGAATACGCGGTGGCGTCAATATTGGAGAATGTACTCACATCGCGCTGCCCGCTCCGGCCGCTGGTCTTCAGAACTTGCACGAGATCAGGCGGGCCAAGTTCGCGGAATGTCGCTGCAGGAACAGGAGATTAGGCGGGCGGCGGAGAAACCGAGGGAGATTGGGACGAACAGAGGCTCTCTGTCCGCGCGACGAGCGACTCTCCCAAGTCAACCTGCGGAACACATGAGGGCGGCCGGAGGAACTGCAGGCAAGGGAACGCACTTCGAATAACTCCGGTACGTCCTTGAACGACGCTTCCGCCATGACAGCCGGAGGGGGATGTGGGATGGTACGCGAGTAGAGCAGGGACGGGTACCGACGTGTATGCCCCAGCGTACGTCGTTGGGCGCTGATCTAGGCCAGCCTTACACCGCTTAGGGCATCTTCAAAGTCGAGCTTACTGGCTCTTATTGAGCGTTCTTACGGCTTTTGATTGCGCTTTCTTGCCCGGTCAGTCCCACAAGCGCCCATATAGATGCTGAAAGCGATCGTCCCAAGGCCCGCCCCGGCAAGGATGGCCCGGTCCACTTCATCGAGTCAGCTCCGAGGGCAATTTCCTCCGCGACCTCTCTTGCATCCTGCCCTTATTTACCGTGCACGCTTTCAGCATGCTTCGTCCTTGAGTCACCCTCCTTAACTGCTTCCCACATCCATCCCTTCCGACCAGATGCTACCCCCAAACCTCTCCGCCTGCGGCGCATACACTTGAGACCACATATTACACATACGGACCACGTCAATACAGACTGCTTCCTTCAATATTGGCGTTGGTGAGTAACGTTTCGACACGTAACAGTGTCCACGGGGACTCTGACGCTGGATTGCCGGCAGTGTATTACCAGAGCTCCTTCTATCCGACCTCGCAAAAAAAAAACACTCGGAGCCATGTCCGTCGCGTCAACACCCCCTTCGTCATCTCGCTCGTCATCTCTTTCTTCAGCCGGAGCACCTCCTACACCTCCGAACATGCACCAAAACACCATCGATCCCGCCGCCGAGTGGCTTGTCCAGAAATTTGGAGGGACTAGCGTTGGGAAATTCGCGGCGCAGATCGCAGAGACGATCATCCCGTGCGTATACAGAATCGACCGTATTTTTGCGTTCTCATTCCCATGATATCAGAGAGTATCTGGACCAGCACAAGGTCGTCATCGTGTGTTCGGCACGCTCAGGCTCTACGAAGGCTCTCGGTACCACAAATCTGCTCCTTCGAGCAGCAGGAGAAGCCTTGAAGCGGGATAACAGCGCGTCAGAGACCCCTGGAGACAGCTCGATCTCAAGGCTAACGCAGTATTCATCGCCCTTCACAAGCCCGGGAAGTCTTCCCCCAAGTCGGAGTCCATCGCGGCCGCCCTGGGAATGTCCACCATGACACCAACGCCTCCTTCATTCAATACTACCGTCGACGTCATCCGCTCAGAACACGTCAACGCTGCGCGCTCGGTCATCAGGAAGCCTGAGATTCTCAAGGAGTTGGAGGCCGAGATAGACAGGGATTGCGAATCAATCCGGTCCTTCCTGTTTGCCACTCAGGTGTGTGAACGTGCAGCGTGCCTGGTTTGAAGCGTCCCTCAGCCGGCTAAACGTGCGACTTTCTAGATCATAGATGAGATATCCCCAAGGTCTAGAGATAGCATCGTTGGCTTTGGCGAACGGTTAGGATGCAAGCTAATGACTGCCGTATTGCGGATCGAGTAAGTGTTTCCTCGCTGCAAATCCAGTCATACTCATGTTCATCCATCAGAACGTCGACGCTGAGTTCGTGAGTCTGGAAAACGTCATTCCAGCAGCGGAAGGCGAGAACTTCTCGGACTCGGACACTCTTGACCAAGACTTTTATGACCGCGTCGCGGAATTAGTCGCAGAGAGGATCAAGCAGTGTGGCAGTCGCGTTCCGGTCGTTACCGGTGCGCACATTCTCACATCTAATCGCGACCCGACGCTCATGTTAATTTCAGGCTTCTTCGGGCCTGTGCCTGGCTCTCTTCTCAAGCAGATTGGGCGTGGCTACACAGACCTTCTTGCTGCGCTCATGGCGGCCGGCCTGGGAGCGTCGGAGCTCCAGATTTGGAAAGAAGTCGATGGAATCTTCACCGCGGACCCACGAAAGGTCCCCACAGCCAGGCTCATCCCGATCATCTCACCTGAGGAGGCCGCCGAGCTCACGTACTACGGGAGCGAAGTCGTGCACCCGTTCACGATGGATCAGGCAAGTCCCTACTGTCCATCAGGCGGCCGTCTTTGCTGCAGAGCTTATGCTGACCGCGATTGGTGTGTGGTTCCCAGGTTATTCGGCGCAAGATTCCCATCCGCATTAAGAACGTCGAGAATCCCACAGGAGGCGGGACTGTGATTCACCCCGACCCAGACTTCGACCTCTCGCACCTGAACGGCACGGAATCGCCCGTCCCCGCGGTAGCCGTGCCGTCGTTCGTTCCGTTTGCGTCTCCAACAGGCGACAAACACAACAGGGTACGGCAACCGACCGCCGTACCATCAAGGAGCACATCATCGTGCTGAACGTCAACTCAAATCGCAAGAACGTCTCGCACGGGTTCTTGGCGAGCATATTCGGGACGCTCGACCGCTACGGCGTCGTCGTCGACCTCATCAGTACCAGTGAGGTGTACGTCAGTATGGCCATCGAGGAGAACCTCGATAAAAAGGTGCTGGAGCGCGTCGTGCGCGAGCTCAAGAAGACCGGCACGGTGCGCCCGCTGTCTGCCTCCCGCGCGAGCCGCACTCTGACCCCCACCGTTCCGTGCAGGTCACCGTCGCCCGCGACATGGCCATCCTCTCGCTCGTCGGGCGCTCGATGCGCAACATGATCGGTATCTCTGGCCGCATGTTCACCACGCTCGGGCAGGGGAACGTGAACATCGAGATGATCAGCCAAGGCGCGAACGAAATCAACATTTCATGCGTCATCGATGGTCGTGACGCCGTGAAGGCACTCAACCTCATTCACCAAGCCTGCCTGCAAATCAAGCACGAGGGCGAACGCGGTCGCAGTGCGTCATCATTGTCACTTCCTCTACGCACGGGGCGGGACGCCAGTCCTTTGTTAATGCGTGTGAATGACTCGCAGCTCACTCGTCTCCTTCCAGTTGGCCCCTGGCTCTTCTAACCGCCCAACGCTCGCCGGCAAGCCGACGTCGAGTGACGTCGTCGCGGAATCTTCTTTCATGGTCAGGTTTCGTCCCAGGGTCGCAGGTACCCTCGTGACGTTCTCCGACGCTGGCTTCTCACAGCGCACCAGGGACGGGCGAGAGGAGCATGGGGATGATGTAAGTTCGGTGCCGTCACCGCAGTCAAAATCAGAGTGGAATTGTATTACCCTCGTCTTCCACCATCCCGTGTGCGCCCGAGCAACCCCGCCCGTGGACCTGCGAGAAGATAGAAGTCGCCCTGCATTGCACCCCGTGTCTGCGCGGCCTCGGGCATTACAGCGCAGGGTCGTCGTGAAGTGCGAAAATGCGCTCGGGCGCGGTGCGAACCGCACCGCGTTAGGGGAGGCAAAGCCACCCCATGGCCAGTAGGTTATCACCTAGCAAGGAGCGTTCGTTGAAAACACTGTGTGTAGCTATCCGCATGTCTTTCCGAAGACATGGGACAGAGACACGCTGGGCGTTCGTCGCACTTCGCCAGAGCAGTCCGATCCCACCTGATCTCGTTCGTACGGCGAAGCACATGGAGATCCCAGCCCCACCCGAAGCCCGTGCGTGCTCTGTTGGAACACGCGCAACTGCAAGCGGGCCAAGAGTACCCTCAGCTGGGCCGGAGGAGGCAGCGGCCACCGCTGGCTGGCGTGGACCGCGTGCTGCTTGCGTCCGGATGGCTCGCGCCAGGCGTCAGGAAGCCTGCTGGTGACTCACGAGCCGGCGGTTCCGTTCTGTCAGGAGTCGTCGAAGCCTCCGGGCTTCACCCGGGGCGGATGCGTTTCGGAAAACACCCCCGAGCGCGCAGTTGATTCCGGGGCTCTTGGGTGGGCCGACGGAGTCAGCGCGCACATGGGTGGTTGAAGCATGTCGGCGGATGCCATCGTGCTCAGCATGGCAGGTGATGCTTTTCATGATGTACACGCCCGACCAAGCACGGACAGCGAAAGTTCACCGAGTGGGGCGGTGGGAGCGCCATATGCAAAGCTCGCGCAAGCGAGGTCTTGGTGCAGACATATCTGTTTCATCATAGCACTGTGCGTGCTCTCGTCGTCGCGAAACGCTGGAGATTCCCGCGTGTGTAGCCGTTGTGTTGGTTGCTTAAGGCACGTTCGCAAGCGAGATGCCCGATGCAGAGACGCGCGGCGCTGCATGAGAGCCACGATGTTGCGCCCACGCACATGGTAGACAACAAAACAGGGAGCGGGATGTTAGGCACGTTGATGTATTCACGACGTTGGTATCGAACCCCGCAGCGACAGATGCGGGAAACCGACGAGTTACAGAAATGCCGCTGTCTGTCGCAGCCTGCAGGCTAAGCTTGTCTTTTTCTCGGGCTCGTGATCGTTGTGAGCCGTTGCCAGATCCGAGGGCTGTTCCTGTGGATCCATAACCTCAACTGTCATCATACGAAATGTCTGGATGATCGTTTTCAAAGAAATGCTCAATCTTGTTGAGTTTAAAGATTAAAACGCGTCCACACGAGCAGAGCTGCCGCAAGAATTCATCATGGCCAATAAAACAAAGCAATCGCAGATGAATATGATATAAAAATGACCACCGCAGGGATCGAACCTGCAACCTTTTGGTCACGTGACCTTGCTTTAGCCGCCGGCGATCGAAGCCAAACGCGCTACCATTGCGCCAGGTAGCCATGCTTCATTGACTGCCTGTCATGTATATAGCCCTTTCTAGCTGAACGCAGCCGAACGAATAGGAGATGGATACAGCCTGCCCTTGAATGCCTCCGGAGTCCGATGAGCAGGTTGCCATGCGGCAGGAACAGGCTCGATGAAAAGACTTGTGCTGGCCGGATGTCTTGTATCGCTGCTCAAGTACGGGCCTGATGCTTGGCTGTTGGCTGGTGATTCGAGCATTGGCCTCGTGGGCAAAGACGCTGCAGGGGGGCGCAAGGGGCCGTAAGAAGGTTTGCGGAAACTTCGGTGCCTGACGAACAGGCACGGCTTCCGTCCGTGAGGAGATGCTTACAGAGCACACGAGTCCGTCCGCGCAGGACGGCAGCGACGCGAGGTCCCCCGCTGTAGTGATGTGCGCGCGCGGCGGAGCGATCACACGCGCGATCAACGGACGCGGTCGGCCTCGACACGTTGGGCGCCGCGCGATGCGTGCTGGGTGCCCAGGGCCGCGAACGCGAACGCGAGCTAGGATCGAGTGCGCGAGGTGCGCGCGGGAGGCGGCAGCGGGCGAGGGGCTAACATCACAGGCACAAGGTCAGCGGTGAGAGGGCAGTAGTTGGCGGATGGCGGTGCGTGATTGCTCGCCTGGGCGGAGGTGAAATTGGAACCCACGGAGTCGGACGATCGAGGACGCGCGGGCGCTTCTCTGCAGTCGTCGCGACGGATCCGGAGGCGCCCTTGGATCCTGGATTTCTTGCAGCAGCCAACGCGAGCGTTCATATGTCTCTCATCTTTTCCCTCCACGCCCCTCCCCGCCCCGCTCTTCTCTCCCTGCCCGCGCGCGCCCCCCATGCCCGCCGCCCGCATTGCTCCGGACCGCGACCCGCTCGCCGCCGCCCTCCGCCCCCCGATCGACGAGACCGACGAGGAGAAGGCGGTCCGTGTCGCCAGCGAGGAGGCTGCAAAGCGCGTCAGCCACGCCATAGACGAGGCCATTCGTCTCGAGCGCCAGCAGCGCAAGAAGCACAAGCTCGTCCGTCTCCTTCTCCTGGGACAGAGTGAATCAGGTCCGTCTCGTCCCCCACGCGCCCTCGCGGTCCCTCATCTCCGCCCTCCTCTCTCCAGGCAAATCTACCACCCTTCGTCGTGAGTACTCATACTATCCGATCCGTTCTCGGGCGTCCCAGGCTCGTCGGCCGGCGCGGAACGAGGATTCCCGGGATCGACGAACGCCCAGGTCCTCGCCGAAGTGCTTCCACGCCCCCTTTCTTCTTCTCGGGCCGCTCTTTCCAAGCGAACAGTCTCTCTCTCTTCCAGACATCCCTCCTGCACCCTGCATCCCGCCCTTTGCTTGTCCCTAAGTTACGATGTTCGTCTCAGCCGAGATGCTGACCGGCAGTTGCAGAGTTCCAAAGACTCTACACTCCAAACGCGTTTCGCGAGGAGCGTATTTTATGGCGCGCTGTCATCCAGTTAAACATCGTACGGTCCATCCACAATATCCTCGACACCCTTACCGACATTCGGAGACGAGACGTTTATGAACCGTCGGTGTACACTTCTGACCCTGATTCAGACTCAGAGTCGGAAAATCATGTCGCCCTTCCTCCCCACCTCGAAGAGCTCCGGAGACGCCTCTACCCTCTGCGACACGTCGAGTCCCTGCTCATCGCCAAATTGTGTCCCCCAAACGACTCGGAAGCGACCACACTCGGGTATGGTGGCAGCAATAGTGTCAACGGCAACGTTTCGTCCCACTGGAGCTCACCCCCAACGCATGCTCTGCACAATAACGAGGTCTTCGTTCGCCCAGGAGCAGCCTGGAAACGGGTTACTGGACGTCCTCAGTCTGCCGGCACAACTGGGCAAGAGACGATCGACGAATGTCAGACAATGCTGCATCACTGTCGGGCAGACATTGTAGCACTCTGGAACGACTCGATAGTGCGACATGTACTCCGGCGTCGGAAAGTCCGCATAGAAGATAGTCCAGGATTGTGAGTCGCTCACAAAACACTTGATCAACCGCATTTACCCACGAGACCCAGTTATCTCAACGACATCGATCGCGTAACCGCTGTTCAGTACTTCCCATCAGAAGGTGAGCAGCGGGCGGGCGTGCCTGTATCTGCTCGTTCACTGACTTTGGCATCGCCTGACAGACGACGTTCTGAGGGCGCGACTGAAGACGGTCGGCGTTTCCGAATACAGTTTCCACATGGAAGCGGGTGACGAGAGGGGGACAGAGTGGCGAATCATCGACGTCGGCGGTTCTCGCTCCCAAGTCCGTCCTTCCACCGATCGTTGCTTATAACGTGACTGACACTTTACTGTAGCGACGTGAGTTTAGCGCGCATGGTCTCTCCGCCCACCTGATTGACTAAATATTGTACCACAGCGACCTGGGTGCCGTTCTTCGATGATGGTGGGTGCAGCTCACCTCATTAGTGCGCAGGACACATTCTGACTTGGCTCTCTTTGGTGTGTAGTGAATGGTGAGACCCGGTGAAACATGGCGTGGGGACTCGCGCTCATTCTACTTTCAGCCATCATCTTTCTCGCTCCCATATCCGCCTTCGATCAAGTGCTGGCAGAAGACAGGAGCGTGAACCGATTGGTGTGTTATTTAAATGCGAAATCGTTGCCGCTTGCTCATTGCTGCGCCGCAGGAGGACAGCGTACTGCTCTGGAAGGAGCTCTGCTCGAATAAGCTGCTCGCTAAAGTGGACCTGGTGCTCTTCCTGAACAAATGCGACATATTGGAATCCAAGCTGAAGTCCGGGGTTCGCCTTGCGAAGTATGTGCGCAGTTTCGGCGAGCGCCCGAATGACCCCGACGTAGCGCAGAAATGTGCGTCCCACGCTACAGGATTAGCGGACATCGTGCTAATCTCCGTTGGCCCCCTAGACTTCAAGAGCAAGTTCAGCGCCATTCATCGTGAACATTCGCCGATACCGCGGAAGTTCTACGGGTTCTGCACTTCAGTCACCGTACGTCTTCGCCCTCACCAGATTTTGCCCACTGCTCCATATATTTGTTGCAGGACTCGACCACAACTGGTGGCATTATTGCTGCAGGTTAGTGGGTTACAGTCTTTATCATGGTATGACGTGTTCATCTCTTTCACAGTGAAGGACATGGTGTTACGCGAGCATTTGAGGGCCTCCAAGCTGCTTTGAATGTCTGTCAAGCTACACGGCTTTCCCCAGGCACGGCACGCCCGATGACCAGGGGCACATTTGGCCGCTCGTTCGGTGCCGCCAAGCGTTGGACGAGGTCCCCGCGCAAGACTCCGGCGCCGATCGCATCTATCCGAATCTCCGACCTCTGTCGTAATCCAGGTCCCCCAAGGCCTCAAGTCGTCCACGTTCCCATTAGCGTGCCTGACCCGGCGGCTCAGGAGTTAACGTTTCAACGAGCGCGAGGACCAGTCGCCCAGGAACATCGTTGAGGGCACGCTGCCTTAAGAAGCTTCACGGCATGCCTACTGCCTCCGGAGAAACACCGTCTCCGCTCGCGTTTGGGGCCAGACCGCCTCGCGCTGTCTGTCATTTTTCTATTGGGTATGAGGATGTCGCGACCCCACACGCCAGCCACTCTCCCGTTCATGCCTCCATGGTTCACCCATTCACCGCGCCGTTGTTCTGTGCGGCTTAATGCCGAACAGGGCTGGCCGGCCGCACCGCCACTCATATGCCTCTCATGTCCCTCGTCACGCTCCCTCTCTCATCCTGCCCCCTGCCCCTGTCACAGTCACGAACGCAGTCTCGATCCACCTCATCTGGTCTCTTGGTTTGGGTGTATTTTCATCGCACATCTACGGCCCTGGATATGCCCTACATCTGGTCGCATCATGTCTCCCCCTCGCCTTGGTTTCTCGGTGCATCTCATACTTAAATGGTCATGGTCTTGGTCTTGCATAGCACTAGTAAACCCCATCGTACACTCACCCACATACTTACCATAGTAGTCTGTCCCTGCTATTTGGTTATCATGTCCGTCGCATATCCCATCCCCATGCTTTGTCTCCCATCCTGTCACACATAGTTGTCGCTGCCGCACGGACTCTCCACTCTGTCTCTGTCACCATCCCATCATGCCCTCGGCTCTCCCCCATCGGTGTGTAGATATATGTATGTGTTGTATACAGCGCGGTGCCAGTGCGCACCCGCACACTAGAACAAAGTTGTTGTATGTACCGCCTAAACGCGACACGTTCTCCTGGCTCGCTCTTCGTTTGCACTCCAACCATCCCCTGAAAGGACGCGCGCGCAGGCGCCCAAGTCGTGTTCGCAGTACCGTGACTCAAACGCCCGAGTACTGCACTCGGAACAGACCCACGATCGCGCAGACTGCACGTCGCGCCCGCCGTCGAGAGCCGTGTGGGTGTGTGCGCGTATGTGGGCCTGCGGTCTCCGCGGTGGTTCGAGAAGCGCGATCGCGGCGCGCACGAAGCTCCGACGAGATCGCGCGCAGATGCTCAGGTCGCCGCCGCCGCCGCCGCGATGATTCCGGAGGGACCCGCTGTGGACCGTCGCGCGGAGGGTGTGTATGTGTGTGGACGAGTGCCCGCGGAAAGTTCGCGAAGGTTTAGAGTTCGATGGTTCGGTCGCCTGCGGTCTGCGGATGCACTGTCTGTGGGTAACATACCGGGCTCCCGCGGTCTTCCGTCACGAGCGCGAGGATCGCGGTACACTGCTGGGCACCGTGCATGGCCTTGGGGGTACGTGCGGGCGGACGTACGGTAAAAGCGTCGTCGCCCGCGAGGCCCGTGTGCGCGAAGAGGCACCGTGTCTGTGTTACTTTTCTGAGAAGGGAGGAAACATCAGCCTATGGATCAGCCACATGGATTATACGAAGCACAACGAGGCCACGAACGGGTTCTGCACAAAGTCATGGGGACGTTATCCTGTTACTTGTAACGACCGAGTCCGTGTCGCGGACCGACTCTGTAGAAGTTCCCGCTGATTGAGGTGGGCCTCGGGCGGGTCCACCCGCCTTGGCGGAGTTGACCGACGTCATCTTCGCGAGCCGGATGAGATCCTTGAAGCTCGCAGGAGGATCTGAGATCATCGACAACCCTGCAGACAGTAGAAAGGTCTCCCGGTCGCGACGCGTCGAGACAGCCGGGGAGGATTCCGAGGCGCTGGGGCTGGATGCTCGGAGGGATGACACTTGAGTGACATGCGGCGAGAGCCTCTCTGGCCCCTGTAGCTTAGCTCCTCCCTGCATCGACCCGGAAGACGGTGCACCAGAGTATGAGTGAGGCACTTACAAAACCGGGGTTTCATCGATGATGTCACGCGCGGCGCGGCCGTGGATCCAACGTATCCGCGACCAGTCTGGGCGAATGCAGGCCTCGGCACGAGGGACGTCTTGGTACACTTTTAGGGGCGGAGCTTCGAACCTATGTGGGTCTCAAGTCCACCCGGATCATTGCACGCTTGAATGACATCTGGGAGGTGAAGGTCCGAGGATGATAACATAGTTGCCTGGCATTGTGGCCGCCGCAAAGAGAAGAGCACAGATGAGTACTAGTGTCCACCCATGGAGTTGCCAGAGCTACCCAAAAGAAAGAGAGTCCGGCGGCGTTAGACGTTTGACAAAGGCACAGGCGCTCGGGGCGCGGAGGCAAAAGACGGGCGATCGAGAGCCAACGATCGTGCAGCGTCTTGTCTGGGCTGAAACCAGGCCTGGGGGCCACGCAAGAGGGTGACATGCCGAGTTAACGGTCGTTATAGGGTACCTACGGTTCTGACCCTGGGGGCGCAAGTGCCGGCCGCGTAGTGAGCTGGGCGGGCCACGAGGCAGGATATGGTGGGCTAGAAAGAGGCGGGAGAATCGTTGCGATGGACGGCAAATGGACAGCGGGAGGTGCTGGATGGGGGCGCAAAAGGACAAGACGACGCGATAGGAGGGGGCGTGGGGCACTATCGCAGAGGTAGCTATTACTCGGCTGTGGGTTCGCATGGCGGGGGATGAAGCTTTGAAGGCGCGTGCGAAGATAGTGTGGTACGATGCGGATCGATGGCGGTGGATTGCGCTAGATGGCGATATTTGTGGGCGTGGCCAGGGAGTCGAAGATGCGAAGCTGGACGTCGGGCCTGAAAGTGTGGTGTTCGGCAACTTGGCGAAGGTGGGACAGTGGGGAAAGTGGACGCACTTTATTGGCGAACCTAAGTATTGCTCGAGCGGCAAGAATGCCGTCGAACGATTGTGCAGCTTTTCGACGGGCGTGACGTCTGCAGTGAGCTACGTAAGGGGCTTAGATAGCAGAGCGTTCAGTCAGTTAGTGAACGAGAACTGAGTCGGTACCTTACGGTAAGCGCCGCCATATGCAGTATCAATTTTTGATATGAAACGTGTAGGGCGTGGAGGCCTGAGCGGCTTGAACTACGCTTCACCATTTCTACAGGGCTGTAGAGTCCTATGTATTGCCCCGTGCTATAAGTACCGGCGAGACAGTGGTTGAGCAATGGAACGAACCTTGTGATGTCCGAAGTTGGTTCGACCCAATCCACCCTGCAGCTTCTAGCAGCGACCAATGATTCTTCCGAGGCCAGAACCAATGCGGCGGCGGACGAACGAGAGAGGCGAACGATTGAACGTTGAACCATGCCGGCATGCTGCGTGCTTTGCGTGCGCCTGTCCAAGATGGTGAGATCCCTTGAAGCTTGTCAAAGAGGCAGGGAATTGGTAATGCCTGGCGTTGGCGACTCGCGAGCCACGGCGCTTGCACCCTCCCGAGCCGATGACGACGACAGACCGAGCAACATCGACATACACCCGCGCACTCGTCGCCAATTGTACACCGCTCTCCGGAGAGTGGGACAGAAGCTATGCACAGTCTGACAGAACCGGTTCCGTCGGGACGCTGTGAATGGTCCGGCGCCGGGGCGTACACCGGGACAGCCGCCCACCAACATGGAACGACTAGGGTGCAAAGCATGGAACGATACGACGGCGCGCCTGCATGGTGCAAGCTCCGGAAAACAGATGCACACCGCCTCTTTCGGACACTTTCCGACGTGGCTGAAGTCGTGCGGGAAGGGGTGGTCTGACCTGTGGTGCGCGGTCTGACGATGAGATGAAGGCAGGTGAGATGAGACGCGGAAAGGACAATACGCCCTAGACAATAGCCGCGGGTCAGCTGCATACGCGCCTTGAGTTCCGCGCGACATATCCGGCGTGCTGGTGCGCGACGTGGCCTGCGCGACTGGCAGACGGGGGTCGGGCGAGGGTATTGAAGTGGACGGGCATCGGGCGAGCCGGGGTCGGGAGGCGCCTGGTGGTGATCTGAAAAGTAGTGCGATACCGAATTAGGGAGGCGAGTGATGGGTTATTAGCCGGGGCAATATTTGGACGTGATCGTCCCACTCACCCTTCCCCCCAGCCAACCCGGGACTCAACTCTCCCCCGCAGCTGTCGCTTTCCTCGACGCTGTCCCCGGCGACCACACCCCCTCGACGCGTTCATCCGCGCTCGACCCCCGCTCTCGACCTCCCGCGCTCGACAGCCCGCCTTCTCTGCGTCCTGTGCACGGTGCGTAGCTAGTCTCCCACTCGCTCTCGTACCACTCCACCCTCTGACGCGTATCGGCCCTCATTCCTCCCTCAGCCCACACACGTCCTCCCACGCCGTCTAGTCGTGTGCTCCCTCTGTTTTATAACGCACGCATACACCCGTTACCCTTGGCCACGCTACCCGACTCCCCGACCGTCGCTGCAAAATGCGTGCCATTTCTAGGCCGCTGTCAACCCACACCGTCTTCTCGCCCATTGAGACTATAGTCTCTGTCTTCGTTCTAGCCACCCTCGCCTACTTCCACATTCTCTCCGGCATCAAGCACTCCTCTTTCTTCGGGCCTTCGCATCCTCCGGCCCTCCGGCCCGCCTACGCCCGCCTCACCGACGGAGAATGGGTACCAGTCACTCAACACGAATGGGCTGAGGCATGGAAGCACCCCGGGGCTGGCGTTGGCGCGCTCGAGTTGCAGCAGCTCGTCTTCACACTTGATGACAAGACGGTGAGTTCTCCTTCCTCGCGCGTTGGCACCGCTCTTCCGGATTCGCGTCACCCCAACGCGTTTTCGGCGACCCACTCGGTCTGTATGTGCGCCGCCTTCATGGGCTCATATCCGTCTCCGCAGGCGAAGACCGACCTCGACGCGTCTGCGGTCGCGCAGTTCCTCGTCTCCGACCTCCCGTCCCTCTCTGGCAAGGCGTTCCCATCCATTTGCCACCACCCTGGAAACAACGGGTCTGAGACTCCGTGCTTTACGGTGGTCTCGCCACCCGGCGTTTCTCCTGTTGTCTCTCTCACGTTCCAGCCTGGCAGCCGCGAAGATTGGCTCGGCGCGCTTCGCAGGGAGAAGGAGGTTGTGGTTGACGGCATCAAGTACGGCGTAGACGCTGGCAAGCGCGAAGTGAGCATCGGCGAGATGAAGAGCAGCAAGTGGGTCGCCTATGCCCTCAGCGCCCTCGTATTGCGCTTTTGGGAGCTTGCGAAGGTTCGTACTAAATCTTCGATGACTTTTCGACGTGGACTAAGTCGTTGAGTGTAGAAGGCCGACTCCCTCGACATTGTTGTCGTTCTGACTGGCTACGTCCTCATGCATGTGACTTTCCTCCGACTCTTCCTCTCGTCCCGCGCCCTGGGCTCCAACTTCTGGCTCTCCACTGGCATCTTCTCGTCGGCCATTATTTCGTTCCTTTTCACCTTGCCCTTGTGCCGGTCTCTCGACATCCCTCTCGACCCGATTGCGCTCACGGAGGCGCTTCCTTTCCTCGTCTGTACCGTCGGCTTCGACAAGCCGCTTCGCCTCGCGCGCGCGGTCTTGGCTCACCCGCACATGCTCAAGCCTCAGGAAGATGGTCGCATGAAGACCGCCGGCGACGTCATCCTCGAGGCGCTCGATCGCGTCGGCAACGTGATTCTGCGCGACTACGCGCTCGAAATCGCCGTACTCCTCGTTGGTGTCAACAGCCACGTCGGCGGCCTCAAAGAGTTCTGCTCCGTCGCTGCGGTCGCGCTCGCCATGGACTGCGTGATGACTTTCACGCTCTACTCCGCGGTCCTTACCGTCATGGTGGAGGTAAGTAAATGCGTGCTCGGGCGGGACTTTCTGGCTCGATCGTTGGACTTGCTTACGTGACATCATCGCGTGCGCACTTGCCATCGCGAGCGGAGGGGGCTTCAGCCATTTGGCTTCAATCCGAGTTCTGATTTGTTGTCTTTTCCTAGGTCCGTCGTATCAAGAAGGCCCGCGACATGACGCGTTCCCGGTCCAGCTCTATTACTGCAGTTACGGCTGCTGGCAAGCCTGTGCGTGGAGCGCTCTCTCGCTCGAGCAGCAAGCAAAACCTCGCTGCTGAGGCCCCGAAGAACCTTGGGTCGCGCGTGTCGGACTCAGTCATCGGTGTCAAGGGCTCGTTGCTGAAGGAGGGCGGCAAGTTGCAGGAAGTGGAGGAGAACCCTATGGCCAGGCTCAAGCTTCTCTTGGTGCGTGGTACGACTTGTTAAGCGAATTCGTGTTTGACCTTTCGTCCAGATTGCCTCTTTCCTCACTCTCCACATCCTGAACTTCTGCACTACCCTCACCCCCGCCACTGCCAATGCTCGCCACCAGAGACACCCGCTCCGCACCGTCCCCGAAGCTCCTACTCCCCGCGTTGACATGAACAGCCCTGGCATCGCGCATGTTCTCTCCGCTCTCTCCGTTTCCGAGAGCATGCCCACGATTGCAGACGTTTCCCACCCTGTCGAGGTTGTCGTGAAGATTGCTCCTCCCGTCTATCTTCATGCTGTTCCGACTGCCCCTCTCTCGCAACCCAAGGCAGGCACCGGCGAAGCCATCGAGCATTTTATGACTTCCTGGAGCTCTCTTGTTGGCGACCCCGTCGTGTCCAAGTGGATTGTTGCCCTCCTCGCGGTTAGCGTCGCCCTCAACGGCTTCCTTCTAAGGGGTATCTCCGCTGGCTCCGGCCTAGCTGCAGTGCGTGCGGTTCGCAGTCAAGGTGTGCGCTTCCGTTCTCGCGCCCGCTCCATCGTCAAGCTCGCGGAGGAGCCGGAAGAAGAGGAGGAACACCACGCCCCCGCCCCCGTAGTCTTCATGGCGAGCGCTGCACCTACTGTCGCTATCCCCGCTGCGTCCACCAAGGGGCCCGAGGTCGGGCATGAAGTCAAACCCGCTCTCAGCATCCTCAGCCGCCCGCTCAACCTGGATAGCGTCGACCAGAAGCTCAAGAACACTCTGCCTATCCGCTCCCCTCCTCCCGTCGAGCCTATCACCCCCGAGACTCCCGACATGGAGCCTGCCATGGAGGTTCGCTCCCTTGCGGATTGTGTGGACGTGTTTGAGAACGGTCCTCGCCCTGTGTCGGTGGCGCTCAAGACTCTCAACGATGAAGAAGTAATTCTGCTCAGCCAGACCGGCAAGATTGCGCCTTACGCGCTGGAGAAAATGCTTGGTGACTACGACCGTGCTGTCCGCATCCGTCGTGCTCTTATTTGTGAGTTACTTGTTGATCCACGTCGCGGGAGACCACTAACATCTGTCCAGCCCGCGCTTCCCGAACTAAGACTTTGGAGAACTCCCTCATCCCTGTCAAGGATTACGACTACTCCCGGGTTATGGGTGCTTGCTGCGAGAACGTTATTGGTTACATGCCTCTTCCTCTCGGTATCGCCGGCCCGCTCAAGATCGACGGTCTCATGTACCCTATCCCGATGGCCACCGCCGAGGGTACCCTCGTCGCGTCTGCATCTCGTGGATGCAAGGCTCTCAACGCCGGCGGAGGTGTCACTACCGTTCTCACCGCCGATGCCATGACCCGCGGACCCGCTATCGACTTCCCGTCCGTTGTCCGCGCCGCCGAGGCCCGTGCCTTCATCGAGTCCGAGGACGGCTACGCCGCCATTCGAGAAGCCTTCGAGTCGACTTCACGCTTTGCTCGCCTGCAGAAGATCAAGTGCGCGATGGCCGGCCGGACACTCTTCGTTCGCTTCGCGACGCGTACCGGCGACGCGATGGGTATGAACATGATCTCGAAGGCGACGGAGAAGGCACTCGAAGTGCTCGGTCACCAATTCCCGGAGATGATCGTCCTCGCGCTCTCGGGCAACTACTGCACGGACAAGAAGCCCGCGGCGATCAACTGGATCGAGGGCCGCGGGAAGAGCGTCGTCGCGGAGGCCGTCATCCCTGGCAAGGTCGTGAAGACGGTGCTGAAGACCACGGTCGAGTCGCTGTGCAACGTGAACACGAAGAAGAACCTGATCGGAAGTGCGATGGCGGGCTCGGTCGGCGGGTTCAACGCGCACGCGGCGAATATCCTCACTGCGATCTTCCTCGCGACTGGCCAGGACCCGGCTCAGAACGTCGAGAGCTCGCAGTGCATGACGCTCATGGAACCGTACGTTGTCCGCCTGCGCAAACACTACGTCTAATGCTGACATGTCTTCTCCATAGAACGAACGGCGGCGAGGACCTGCTAGTGACAATCACAATGCCCTGTATCGAGGTCGGCACGATTGGCGGCGGCACGATCCTCAGCCCACAGTACGCGGTGCTCGAAATGCTCGGCGTCGCGGGCGCGCACCCGACAACCCGGGCCAGAACGCGCAACAGCTCGCGCGGATCATTGCGTCCGCCGTCATGGCGGGCGAGCTCTCGCTCATCTCAGCCTCGCCGCGGGCCACCTCGTCCGCGCGCACCTCGCGCACAACCGCTCGCAGCTGAACACGCCGATGCCCTCACGGCCGCACACGCCTGCGCCGGAGACTGCGGAGCTGCAGATGCAACTGCCGACGCCGGGCCCGGCGGAGGAGAAGGCACATGCGGTGGGATACATCGTGGAGGCCAAGTGAGGGGCGTTCAAGGGAGGGTGGCATTCGCTTGTCGCCGCTTACTGTACTTTTACTATTCACATCCTCCACCCGCATCGCACACGCACATCCACACCACACGCACCTGTTCTTGCTCATCCCTCCTCTTTCACTCCGCTCCCATCTGCACGCTGCTCGATCTCGCCGCTGACGCTGGCCGCTTCCACGCTGTGCTCTATTCGTTGTTCGTCGCTGCTCTGCTTGTTGCTTGATAGTTATAGCGTGCACGACTGCCCCGTGCCTTAGTGGTACCGGCCTTACCCGTAACTTACGACGTACATGTATTTCTTGAGGCGTGGATATAGCGCACGCATATAGATTTCCCTTGTCTCCTGAACGTCTTTCACCTGTGACATTGACCACGCACAGCCCGCATGACATTCACGGTAATTGCAGGCGGAGATTTTCATTTACTTGCAATGCTCCCAATTGGCTGTCTGTCGCGAGGTGTGACATGCAACTGACGTGTTGGCGATTTCTTTGTGAACGGGAGGTGACATGGGGAGTCTTTCACGTGGGCATAAAGCGAACTATCGTGTAGGCGGTTCTCTTTCACTGGTGTTTAAATACTGTAGCCCCGTAAATCATCGTCGGAGGTAGGCGGCACGGCGGGCCGTCCGGGCCCCTGCCAGCAGTCAGCCGGGTCCATCTCCGCGCGATATAGCAGCGCGCACAACCATGGATCGCAAGCGGTATGTTTCCTTCTCCTGCCGCCACGTCCTCCACGGCCGCGGCAGTCCGTCTTGCGTCCATTTCATCCCACCTCGACACTGCGGGGGCAATGTCAGCCGCAGGTATGAAGGTCGTCGTTTCGCGCAATCTGGGGCCAGAGGCCATGCCGATATTGCTCGACAACTCGGCGCTTGAGGTGTGTATGAAAGACCACTTATTGTGCAATATCCCACAGAATGCTCACTAGGGAGATTTCAGGTGGTCTTGTGGCCGCACAACTCGATCTGCGAGCGGAAGTGGCTGCTGGACAACGCTCCGGGCGCCGTTGCGATCCTTGTCATGCTCACAGACAAGGTACGTGCTGTGGTTGAGACAGTATTATGACAGTCGCTGATGCCTGCTCTCAGGTGGACGCAGAGCTCTGTGACGCCGCGGGGCCGTCTTTGTGTCTTGTGTCTACCATGTCGGTCGGATACGGTTTGTGCTGTACGACGTCGTGCCGGTGCCGTCCGGTCTCTCACTTGCTTCGCTAGAACACGTCGACGTGAATGAGCTCTCAAAACGCGGTATCCGCCTCGGATACACTCCAGACGTTCTCACCGACGCAGGTCGGTGCTCTACGTTCGTGTGGCACGGAGAGTTGACATGGTGCGCTGACTACTGGCCTCCACATCCAGTCGCAGACCTTTCCGTTATGCTCGCGCTCATGGCAGGGCGCAACGTCAAAGAGACGGCACAAATCGTGCAGTCCGGCGACGTACGTCTTCTCCTCCTCTAGCCCTTCCTATCCTGACCCCTCCCATTATTCGCTCCCAACCAGTGGCCAAAGTACGAATGGGCTCCCTTCGGCTTCTGCGGCCGCCAGCTAAGCCCGAGCGCCGTCTCCCCCACCCGCACCGCCGGCTTCCTCGGCTTCGGGCGCATCGCGCACGCCACGCTCGCCCGCATCGTCCCCTTCGGCTTCCAGCGCGCGCTCTACGCTGCGAACCCCGCCACCCCGCCCGACGCGGCCCAAGACGCGGCGCACGCGGCGCGCTTCGGCGTGCGCGAGGTCCGCCGCGTGCCCCTGCCCGAGCTCGCGCGCGAGAGTGACGTCGTGTTCGTGCTCGCGCCGGGCGGCGCGGCGACGCACCACGTCGTCGGCGAGGCGTTCCTGCGGGAGATGAAGCGGACGGCGGTGCTCGTGAACACGGCGCGGGGGACGCTCGTGGACTCGGACGCGCTCGCGAGGGCGCTGGGCGAGGGGTGGCTGTACGGCGCGGGGCTGGACGTCGTCGAGGGCGAGCCGAAGGTCGCGGCGGACCACCCGCTCGTGGCGGCGCCGCGGTGCGTCGTCGTGCCGCACATCGGGAGCGCGACGACGGAGACGCGGATCGGGATGGCGACGATGGCGGCGACGAACCTCGTCAACGGGCTCACGGGGAAGGAGATGCCTGCGGAGTTCAAGATGTCGCGGTGAAGGAAGGAGACTGATATCACAGACGAAGTGCACTAACTCTGTAGAAGTAATACCACCTCGGCCTGCCAAGCGCTTGGTTTGAACAAGGCTAGCCGGGCTTCGCCCCGGCCAGCTTGGAGAGCTCCAGGACATGAACGTGAACACCCCGGAAAACATCCTGGATGCAGGTGCAAGACAGATTCCCGGTCTACCTCCCAAGTGAAGATGAACGGCATCTACTGTTCAGTTCGCACGTTCTCCATATATTGACACACTATGCGAGGAGTACAAAAGTGTTACAGGCAGTAGGTCATATCTGTCCACGAGTCTTATTTTCTCTCTCCGCACCCGCGTCGACCCGCCCTGCGATCTTCTCAAACGCGTTGGTGCGCCGCGACGCGCTCTGCATGCCTCTGGCTCCTTGAGGGGCATCCCGACTTGCGCTGTGCGCAGGCGCATCACTGACGCCTCGCTGTGCGACCTCAGCCAGTCGCGAACCAGACCGTGAGGAGCGCGGCGGGCGCGGGCGCACCTAGCTGGGCTGGTGGCGTCGAGCACGACGTGCAGTGTGGTCAGCCGGGGCGAGACTCGAGGAAGCACACAATGTTGACGAACTCAAAGAAAATACCGGAGGCATTTAGGTGGTGGATTGTGGGCGGGGTGTACCGTATGTCTGAGAAGTAGCAGTCGAGCAGCGTATAGAAGCCGCTGAGATAGCGTGTGCGCGAAGAGACGGTCCACCTGCAAAAAATGCGTCATTATCGGTTGGGCGAAGTTAGGCTGGTTGGGGTCAACTCACCATGTCGACTGCGTTCAAAGGTAGTGCTAAAAACAATTAGAGGACGACTGCACAGAGAGAAACAGTCCTTTTTTAACCCTTGACGATGACGATCTTAATGCGCTGCAGGAGCTGCCCGAGCTCTCGTATCAGCAACGCGGCGACAGTGCAAGCGAAACTGAAGATGATGAGTTCACTGTATAGCCCCCCTCGTTGAAATACACTGCCGGAGGCTCCCCGCACCCGGCAGCATGTTACGAACAAAACCTTTGAAGAGCTCACACCAGCTGGCAGCCTGCAGGAGAATTCACAAGAACGTCGAGGAAGACCAGCGCACGTGACCGTGGCTTGCGGCTCCGGCTACGTGTTCAGGCGCCTCAGCCATACCTTCCTGTCGAAAGACTCAGCCCTGTCCTACGCCAAAACCAACCTTCATAGCCTCCTCTCTCTTCAGCTTCAGTGGATCTACCGTAAATTTTGACCTTTTACCCCAAACACTCTACAAGATGTCAGGCATTGTGGCGGAGATCAACAAAATCCCTCCCATTACACGCACGCTCTGTCTGTCCATGGCAGCAGTGTCGTTGCCCGTCATCATGAATCTTTATGGATTCTACAGAGTTGCGTGGATATGGCCCTCTGTAAGATACCAGTTCGAGGTACGTGGCGCTGTGAGCCTATCCACGACTACGTCCTCACTCCGGTCGGTTTCAGATTTGGAGAGCATTCACCACTATGTTCATTGAAGGTATGCTCCCGCCCTTGGCTGCTTCATGATATAAAAGCTCAAGTGTGTTTGTTCAGTGGGAGGAATCAACTTCATATTCATGATTGCAACGTTATAGTACGTCTGCTCTGGCCCCTTGTTTTCCCACCTCGCTGACCGTAATGTCTCCGTAGTCGTACCTCAAATGAACTCGAAACAGTGTCGTATGCAGGTCGCCCAGCAGACTATGTGTGGCAGATGTTTCTTTCAGTTATTGGCATCCTGGTAAGTTCCGTTATCTCAGACACGTCCTTCCCTCCTGCTGCGCTCTGCGCAGCGCATCGTTTTCCCGACGCACCTCATTCATGCACTCTCAACCCCCCAGCTCCTCAACGCCAAACGCACAAACGTCCTTATTCACACCCGCGCCTTCCTCTGCGCGCTGTCCTACATCAACTCTGCGCTCGCCCCCGCGGGTGCCATGACCTCGCTGTTCGGCCTCGTCACCTTCCCCGTCATCTACTGGCCGTACGTCTTCGTCGCACTCGACCTCCTCAATGGCGGCCCCCACGCTGGCGCGACTGCCATGTCCGGCGCCGTCATCGGTCACCTGTGGTGGTGGGGCGCGTGGGAAGCTCGCGCCGTCCGTCCCGCGCTCAACGCGCCGAACTTCTTGAGAAGGCTCATGGGACAGACCGGTGGCGGGGAGCCGGTCAGGATGGGTGGGGGCGTGTCAGTCGTGACCCCGAGGCAGGTGCGTGACGCCGATGCGCGGGCTGGTGACGGGCACAGCTGGGGATCTGGGCGTCGGTTGGGCCGGTGAACTGTGGAGGGTTCCAGACTGTGTCGTGTTGGGCTGTAGTGAGTTACTCCATCTGTCCTTGTTGTATGAGATATTCAACAAGTACTACACCGTCGGGTGGATGCCTGGAATCTGACTTATGAACCAGTGTTCGCTGCTTCATGCTGTTGGAATCAAGCTATGTAATATTGGTATGAAGGACGGCTGAAGTGCTTGTAGTGAGTGTTGGTGGTGCTGTGACGTCATCAGACTCATCATGTGTGCGGCAGAATATTATTTTGACACGTGCTTCCAAGCACTGTTCACCGATTATCAGAGGAATTACTTCGGACTGTGGTCTAAGCCGTTCCAAACGATGCAAAAATGAGGACGCAACGCGGTCTCTATGATTTGCGGTCAGCAATTCAGCCCAGGCTGGCCTCGGGTTGCCCAGACTAGTCGCCAGATGATTGGCACCCGCGATCTACCCACTCTCTATGGGTCAACATGGAGGTCTGCAAGAAAAAGCAAGGACCGTGCGCCCGACGATGCATGCGTTGTCGAAGGCGCATGTTTCGGCCGGATGTCGTCTGCAAAACACCGCTCTTCCTATCTTCACAGTCGAATTAGCGGCCGGAACTTCCCCGCGTCTAGCCGTTCAGCGGCGTTTTAGCACGCTCACGGAGCATGGTGAGGCTCTGGCCCACCCACGCCGTTCAACCTACGCCTCCCGCGCTTCGAGCACACGCACGGCAAGCGGCGTAAATCCCTCACGTCTCAAGTGACCCCAAGGCCTTCAGAAGCAGAACGCATGACTTACGAAAACCCGGCGATGTGCGCCGGTGCGTGGATTTCGCTGCTCAAACAGGCTGGCGGAAGTGCGGGGCTCGGGACCGCGGGGGTTTCGCCCTTGGATCGGTGAGGTGCCCGCGTTGTGCATCGTTGTGGATCCTCCCCCGTTGCCATTCCCTGAGCCCGATGGTGTCGGGAGATTTGGGTCCCATTGAACGAGCTAATCTGCCCACAATCTGAAGGTCATTAGGAGGCCGGGTTCGCGGTGCCCAAGGAGGGAGGCAGTGGTTATTTCGGCTGGACGCGGTTTAGTCCCCGGCGCTGCGGACTGCGGGGCCGACGTGCCGTGGGCGAGACACCGTTTGGATGGCGCCGATCAAGAACCCATTCAACGGCTCCGAACGCTTAGAGTGGGGGTTGCTCATGGACGACTGGAAGGGAGGGGTGCAGGATGAGGCATGCGCTCCAGACGGTGGATCTGCGTAGGAGAGCACAGTAGGTTATGAAAATACAGTTTCAGATTCTCGTTCTGCGGAACACCGAACACCTTCCTTCCCCCGCAGCTACGCACTCAGTCCTCCTTCACACCGTACTTCTCCCAGTATTCCTGCATCTCCCCGAGTTCTGCTAGGCGGCCGTGCTCCCGAAGCCACTGCATAAGGTCGGTCATCTGCAGGATGGTCGGCACGCGGCCCTTGCCTCCGACGAGCTCCTCGACCTCGGCGATAGTACTGCGCCCGTCCTTCCCAACCTCCTGACGATCGAGCATGAGCACAGCGCCCACCACGGAGCCACCCTCGCGCTTGACGATGTCGATCGCGCCACGGATCGCGGTCCCCGCAGTCGCGACGTCGTCGAGGATGAGGACCCGCCTGCCAGCGATGGGCGCGCCAACGGTGATGCCGCCTTCACCGTGGTCCTTGGCCTCCTTGCGGTTGTACGCGAAGTCGACGCTGAGCTGATGCTCGCGATGGAGGAGGAGCGCGGCACCGGCCGCAAAGGGAATGCCCTTGTATGCGGGGCCGAAGAGGACGTCGAACTCGGGCAGTGCCCCAGATGCGAGCGCCCCAGCGATGGTCGTAGCATACGCGGAACAAAGGGTGTCGAGAACGGGGCCCGAGGCGAGAAGGGCGGCGTTAAAGAAGTAGGGTGAAAGGCTGGTACTAGAGGATCAGTACTATCTGTATCTTGCCATGAGGATATCGGGGGACGGACCGGCCAGATTTCAGGGTGAAACTGCCGAACTTGAGCGCACCGGCGGCCATGCCATGTTCAATGAGTTCTGTCTGATATGTTTTGAGGGCCATGCTTGGTTTGCGGAGGAGGACGTGATTGCGCAGACGCTGGACTCCAATCCTAGCTAATCACAGCGTCGGACTTTGTGGTGACGCCTATTCTCGGCCTCCCTCCGGCGTTCTTCCTCGCAGTCATATTGCCCTCCTCCACACCTCCCTTCTCCCAGCTCCCGTCCGGTATGCCTCTTCATCTCGGCGAAATCTCTCCGCCACCTTCGCCAACCCGCTAACTTGCAGACTGGCTTCTTTGTGCCAATCCTCCAATTGTTCCCATCCCCCGCGTTCCGGCCTCCGAGGTCCTATCAATCCTCTCGCTCGTCCAGGAATGCGCCCGCTTCTCTGCTTCTTCCCTCCCGTTGAGATCATTTGTACAAATTCGCCAAGTCCATGAGGTGCTAGTGAGGTGCGTCCACTCTGCTCCCTTTAAGGCCCACCCCTGTCGACCTCCGTCATCTAGACTCGACGCGCCCTCGAGCCCGCCCTCCCCCCAGTCCACACGCATATCGCCATCCCTCTACTCCCGCCACCAGTCATCATGGGACTCCTCGCACTCGTGCTCCCGTCACTTCTCCTCCCCGTACGGCGCGATCTGGACCATGGGAACTCTGACGACAACGGCGACAACAGCAATGATGATGATGACGACGACGACGACGACAACCACAACTTTCACGATGTACTCACCACCAACACACCTCATCCCCGCGTTCGTCGCGTTTACTCTAATGTCACTCGCGCAGTCACGGAGGACGATACCTTGGACATCGAGTCTCCAAACAGGTCACCATTTGCGCGCCTGAAGGAATACGTCTGGCCTGACGACGACAAAGCTAGCATGGAGTCTTTCATACCGAACTATCGTTGGACCCCCATCATATCAGGCATTCTCATTCCGTTCTCTATCCTTCTCGAGATCCCCGGGCTCACTCAACACTGGTACATCCGAACCGAGAACGATGTCACGGTGGAGACCAAGCCCAACTCTATCATCCTGGACGTCGGACTCGGGATTTCTGTGGCTTGTGCGGTTATTGCCAACATTGCTCTCGTCCTTCGCTTCCTCGAGAAGCGTGTTCAGACGGTCACCCTCATCTGTATCATATTTCTCACATTACACGGTATGCACTTTATTTACTGAACATCGTGCATACATGAACCTTCGAACCAGATCTCATCAACATCGCGGCGGTTACTACATTTGGTATCGAGCATCGTTTCAGTGACGGTTTCACCTATGGGCCGGCTTTCTGGACGACTCTTTGCTCCACCATCGTGTCATTGGTCACCAATGTGTCTCTCATTGTTGATCTCATCCGTACTCCAGATTTCTCCAAGCGAGGTGCGACTTTCGCGAAATGCTGCTCTCACCTCCTCACCCATTTATGTCACAGGCAGCGGCTTGACTCGCAAGCAACGTGCTCTTATGATCATTGTGATCCTACTTCTCGTCTACCTCGCTCTCGGCTCGCTCATCAACTTCGCTCTCCTCGATCTCAGCTTCATCGACGGTCTCTACTTCGCTGTTGTCTCCATCGAAACCATCGGGTTCGGCGACATTACACCAAAGTCCACCGGTGCTCGTGTCTGGACGTGCTTCTATATCGCTGTCGGCATCATCAACATCGGTGTCGCCATCGCCATGTGCCGCGAGACTGTGCTCGAAGGCCTCGAGATCGGCTATCGACGCCGGATACGCGACATGCGGCAGAAGCGTCGTGAAGCGCGCCGCTTTCGTCGGTGGAAGCGCCTCTGGCAGCGCGCGATCGAGTTCCGCCTCCGCGAAAGTGGTCAGCCCGTGTGGGTCGCGAACGCTCAGCCCACTGTCATAGCGGCGCGAAAGGGGATGCACCTTCCGTTCTTCCGCAAGGTTGGGCGGACGATCAAACGCACGGCAACGATGACAAGTGTGGACCATGTATTCGGGGGCCATCGAGGATACCACCTCAACCTTGATGCTCTCTCGAACGACCAACTGGAGGCCGCCGCGCTTGAAACAGGCGTCCCGCTCTCGATGTTCCTTGACCCTAGCGAGCGGCAACAGTCCGGCTCCAATGACCGCAGCGCTGCACACACCAACGAGACCCACGGGGGCGTCGAACTCGTCAACGACTTCCCCGTGCACGGCCAGGACTCCGCACGCGGCGCGCCCGCGCCGCCCAGGCCAACGCCGCGCAGGCTTTCAAGGAGTCGATCGCGAGCGATTGGCCTTCTTCAAACCTACAAACGCCCACGCACGCGCAGGTTGGCCGCATGGCCGCGATGATCACCAAGTTCGCGGTGACTGTCGTCGGCGCGCACGCGCCCGCGCCGGGACTTCCACACGAGGCGTTCGTCGCGCGCACCGCAGAGGAGCGAGAGCAGCGAGGGACCCACGGTTCCCAGGATCAAGGGGAAGCGAAGCGCCATCCCATGGCGCGATGGCTCAACGATCTGCCCCATGGTAACAACACGCGTTCGGTGTGGGCGTACGAGAAGTATAAGGAAGACGTGGAGGCGGAGGAGAAGAAGGCCTACTTCGTCAAGGTGCGTGATTTACGATCTTGGTACGCTGGGTCGAGGTGCTTATATGGGGTCGGCATCTCAGCTCACCATTGCCTTGTCACTTTTTCTGCTGTTTTGGATGGTGAGTGGTCTCGTTTGAATGTCGTACGAACGGGCGGTCTAACGTCGCGACAGATCGGTTCTGCCATCTTCTCGGCCACGGAGAACTGGTCTTTTGGGGTTGCATTCTACTTCTGTGAGTAACGTTATTCGGCCTGTCCAGCATTGTGTGACGGGTTACCCAGGTTTCGTTGCTTTCACGACGACCGGATATGGTGACTATGCGCCACGGACACCCGCTGGCCGGTCGATCTTCGTCGTGTGGGCTCTCTTTGGTGTAGGCACGCTGACTATCTTGGTGGCTGGTATGTATCCGTGTTTTCGAGCCCAATGTCTACTTCCTGACTGTTCTTGCCCCCCACAGTCATCCAGGAGGCGGGCTCATCCCGTTACAAAAGCGCTTTGCACTCTCACGTCCTCGAAAAGGCCGTGGTCCAGTACCGCAAGAAGTCGTTGCAGGAATCGAAGCGCCCGCATCCCGAAGATCGCACAAAGCAAGCGACCTCCAGTACCTCAGCAAAGAAGTCACACCATGATCGCCTACGTGAGAGAGAAACAGTCGCACAGCAGGCGCTCGAGACGCTTCCCCACGAGATCGTCATAATGGCGGCTACGTTCGGCGACCTGATGCGCTTCTCCCACAACGGTGGCAAGGGCAACAGCCTGATCGAGAAGCGCGACGAGGACACGGCGGAGCGCGGGGAGGCCTGCGCCGGCGAGGGTCGGAGCGCGAGTGGCAAACTGAAGGTACCACGGGAGATGCGCGCGCTGCTGGACGAGCTCGGCCAGTTGCAGGACATGAACGGGCGTGTGCGCGGGGAGATCCTCCAGGACGAGGAGTCGCGGAAGGTGCGCGTCTCGGACATATCTTACCGATTTTCCCCTGGACTGACAAGATCGCCACCTTTTGCAGACTCTCATCCTCCTCACTCTAGAGCGCTCGCTCAAGCGACTTCTGGGGTCGGCGGAGAAGGCGCTTACTGCGCTGGCGGACCGCGACGCGCTCCAGTCTCTCGTCGCCACTGCCGACCGCGTGTCGTCTGAGCGTGGGTCCGCACACAGTTCGTTCAGGCGCACGCGCTCCGATGCGTCAATCACGGCTGTGACTAGGAGTCGGCCCTCATCTCCTCCTGCCACCCCATCTCCTCCACCTCGGCCTGAGCGGATACACGCGCGGGGGACGGAAGCACCGGGGGAAGAGCGCGGTGCAGGCGAAGCAGACGGGGAAGTCGATGATCACCGTCGCATCGTGTCGGATCCGAGAAAGCCGCCCGCGGGGTCACCGACGTCGCCAGGGTCGTCATCGTCGGACCACGAATGACACCGGTATGTAGGAGTCTGACATGAGGAATTGCTTCTGTGGTGGCCGTGGCCGTTGATCGGTATGGGCTCGCTCTGTCTGTGTTGTTTCCTCCTGCACTTACTCGCCGCTTCTGGGTTCTGTATGTATCGATATACACATTGATCGTCGCCTCTGTTCCTACGTCTACATATATACGTCTGCGCCAGTACTGTATCCTCACTCACACACGGACTGGCTAGCTATACCCGTAGTTTACATGGTTTGCTGCTAATGCAACGCACTAGCCTTGTGCCCTGCTCTTTCTGGACAAGTTGCGCCTAACTGTGGGCGAGTGCGACGCGGTGCTGTGTCTGGTGCGCACGCATGGTCCGGTATGAGCGGCAAGGCAGCACTGCTTGTGGACTCTGCCTCCGTCGACCGGGGAGGCTTCACCCCATGAAAGCCCACGAGGACTAAAATACGTTGGACCAGGAAGAGATCCGTGGCGTCCCCAACCCGAATGACTCTATGCACTCATTTTGTAAGACGCTCTCCTTACAAACACCTTCGGTCGAGTGAGACGGCTGAAATATTATCGAAACATATATGCACTGCCCAGTAGGTGCCTAATCGGATGAAATTGGCAAATCGACGATTGACTTACGTAAGTACCCTACGCGTCCTCTTTCTTGACCTGCGCCGGACCCTTTTCTCCACCACTAGCTATTACCCCCATGCCTAGTCTCCAAGATGCCAGAGACGAGGCATTCCAAACTGTACTGCCCACGACCACAGGTTAAGACCACGCATCTCGCACAGCGCTGAACCCGACCGCTCAAGACGTCGGGCTTTGTGAACCTCCTTACCTCCGGTGGCCGCGCACTCGGCGCTGTCAGTCGGCAGGGAAGGCGAGATAACCTGTGAGTTAATCTGCTTTGACCACATCCGCCGCATCGCCACGCGTGCGTTGTATCCTTTCCTGCCCGCGCCTCGATGCCGTACGTTTGTATATAAGGCAGCGAGGTGGCGCGACGCGCACCCATTATTTTCCCCACGTCCCCACGACGCACCCTGAAGGCCTGACGTCCACGCCCCTACGCCGCTTGACTGATATTCTCTCACGTTCCTCTCGTGCGGTGCACTCGCGTCTTAGATATCATACAGAACACCTGCCGAAATGCCCGACGGCACGCCTCCCCACGTGCCTGTATTGAAACGACCACTCGAAGTATATGAAAACTTCGACCTCCTGGCGCGCGTTAAGGTCGACTTTGCCGACCTCGAGGTCTCCAAGTGGCGGAGCAGAGTGACCGGACTCGGCGTTGTCCATATTGATTGCGACAGTGAGTGAGCATAGCAACGCCGTCATTCAGCCATCCTAATAGCCTCTTAGCTCCTTTGGTAAATGGGCAGTTCACGCTCGCCACGGAGGGTGTGTTACTGCGCTGCATATATGCTCTGATTTACTGATAACTGTGCGTAGCCTTTGACGATAAAGGATGCCCGCATACATTGGAACAGTAGGTCACTCAGTCCATTACCCCTGCCTTGTTCTCACAATCGCCCAGTCTCATCTTCATGGGGTCCGAAAAGTACGAATACAAGGGCGTTCTCGGGAATCTCGCCACTCGCTCGTTCTCTACTGGAACGAACGCATCCACTTACGTCGACCACACAACTTACACCATCTGTACCGCCGGCGAACAGGGCTTCTTGCAGCTCCTGCCCGTCTACGTCGACCACATCCTGTATCCCACTCTCACAGATGCTGCGTTCCTCACCGAAGTGCACCACGTAGACGGCAACGGGACCGACTCTGGTGTTGTCTACTGTGAAATGAAAGGGTGTGACAACACCCTCAGCGATCAGTATGCACAGCACTCTCCAGCCCGCACATTGTTCATTTTCTGACTACACATGTGTAGCCTCGACCGACTGCTCAATCCTATTGGGAGCGCGTACCGTAGCAAGACCGGTGGACGCGTCGAAGCCTTGCGTCAGCTGACGGTTGAAGAAGGTGCGCATGCTTGCTAATGTATTCACGATGGCCACTTACCGAGCAGTTCCCAGTTCGGGAATACCACCGTCAATACTATGTCCCACACAACCTCACCCTCGTCGTCACCGGGAAGCTCACATCTGGAACAGTATCTCTCCTATCTGTTGTCCAGAACGAGATCGAGCCCAGCATCATCGCCCATGGTCAAGCACACGGCCCGTGCCCGGATGGTTGGATCAGACCCTTCCTGGAGACTCCAACCGCCGACCGCCCAACTTTCACCGAGACGGTCGTTGAGATGATCGATTTCCCGGAGAAGGATGAGACCGCAGGCGAAGTTAAGATTGGTTTCCGCGGTCCTCCCCCTCTGGCTTTTCTGGAGCGGGGGGCACTGCGTATGCTTCATACATACCTCTCCGGCTCGCCCATTGCGCCGCTGAACAAGGAATACGTTGAGATCGAGAAGCCGTTGTGGTATGCCTCGTTCCATTCACCCATCTACCCGCACCGACGCTGACGCACCCTTAGCACTGCCATCTCGTTCTATATCTATGAATTCGCGAGCGCGTGCGACCTCCTCGTCAATGCCAACGCGGTGCCAACGGAACACCTTGCGGATTTCGACAGGCTGTTGCGCGCGAGTCTTGCGCGAATTGCGGACGAAGGGCTCGACATGGAACGCATGGAACGCGTGCTCGCGCGGGAAGCGCGGGAAGCGCGCAACAGCCTGGAGTCGAACCGTGGAGGATACTTCCTCGAGGAGGTGGCCACCGACGTGCTCTATGGCGCGCCTGACGGTTCGGACCTTGCAGGTTCTCTGGATCAGATGACCATGCTCAAGACACTAAAGACGTGGACCAGCGAGCAATGGGTCGCATTGCTACGAAAGTATGGTTTCCTTGCTGCCCTTTGAAGGTGGCTCGGCTCATTCGATATTAGGTACTACGTGGACCCGCATTACGCCGCGATCCTCGGACGGCCTTCCAAGGACGCGGCTGACAGGCTACACAGAGAAGAAGCGGCACGCGTCGAAGACCAGCAGGAACAACTCGGCGACGACGGCCGTGCCGAGTGCGCTCGCAAACTCGATGAGGCGCGCGAGTGGCTCGAACGCCCGATCCCCGAGGAGATCATTACCGCGTTTCCTGTCCCCGACATGGACCGCATTGCGTGGCTGAAGGTGCAAAGCGCGCGCGAAGGCCCGGAAACATCGACGTGGCGGACAGAGCCAGAGAAGTCAGGAGAGGAAGCAAGCGCGTCGGATGAGCCGCCACTGCCTCGGGCTGCGCGCGAGTATGTCGATGGGAGTGTCCAGGGCAACCAGGAGCTCGCGCGTCACGTTGCTGCCAGCGGCGTGCCGCTGCCCTTCAGCGTTGACTACGAGCATGTCAAGGTGTGTCTGACGCCGCTTTTGTGCCGCTCTTCAACCGTCTGAATAAACTTTTGACGTTCAGTCTGACTTCATCATCATCAACCTCTACCTCTCGCTCGCACACCTCCCCTCCCGGCTCCGGCCCTACCTATCACTATACCGCGATTGTTGCTTCGATCTTCCCCTGACCCGACACGCGACGGCGTACGTCTCACTCACGAAGACGTTGTGCGTGGACTCGAAACGGACACAGCCTCATTCTGGATGAACACGAACTCCTTCGGCGACACGCTACGCGTGGGTGTCACCGTCGAGCGTGACATGTACAAGGCTGGCGTTACATGGCTCAGGGATGCGTTGTATGAATGCGAGTTCGACGTGTCTAGGTACGCTCCTACCAAACTCTCCTCACATTCTTCGCGTGAAGCTCATACGGAATGCAGGATTCAAATTAACGCCGCGCAAGCGCAGCAACGATTGATGCATATCGGCGCGACGGCTCCTCGGTGCTGGTCTCGACGTATAATCAGACCCTCTACGACGAGACACTGTGCCTTAACACGGATGCGGTTCTGGCGCAGGTGGAATTCCTGCCCAAGGTGATTGCACAGCTGAAGGAGGAGCCAGAGGAAGTTGTCAAGATCTTCGAAGAGATACGCAACCATTGTGAGTACCGTGCCACTTGAATGTCTTCACCACTGACACGCGGCCAAGTGAACGATACGAATAGCCTCCGGGTGTCTGTCCTCGGGGACATTTTGGGTACCCCTGAGCCTCGGAAGCCGTGGATGGAGGCTTTCGCTGATTCTTGGATGGTCCGTTTTAGCACCGCTTGTTGGTTTGATAAGATGCGCTGATGTTTGTACCTTGGCAGCGTGCGGCTCCACGGCCGAACTTGCTGCCATCCGCCTCTCGCGAGAGGGGTGCAGCGTACTAGGAAACCAGCCGTCCAAGACGGGTATCGTTGTCAGTCTGCCGACGGTCGAGAGCACGTTCGCTTACGTGGTAGGACGAGGCCCGCAAGGCTGGATGCACCCGACTGGGCAGCACTGACCATCGCGAACGAGATCCTGAACGCTGACGAGGGGTTCTTCTACGTACGCTTCCTCTTCCTGCATCGCCGATGCGTAGACCTGCACATGCTCATACCCGTGGTTTCGCAGAAATCGATACGAGGGTCTGGGCTGGCGTACGGCGCGTACTGCTGGGCCGACCAAGAGGATGGGTTCTTGGCCCTTGACTTGTACAGGGTGTGTTATATCTACCCACACACGCGCTGCTGGTCCCTCATACGCTGCTCTCCCTTCAGAGCACGAACGTCGTCGAAGCATACCAGCGAGCCGCAAAGATCATCGCCGACCTCGCCGACGGCACGGTGCCCCTGAGCGACATCCTGCTCGACTCGGCCAAGAGCAGCGCTGTGTTCCAGACCGTCAACTCTGTTTCGACTCCGGGATGTGCCGTACGTGATGCTATTGTAGCGTTTTCTGCCCTTCTCACTTTTTCCACCCTCCAGGCTTTCAGTTCGTTCATCAACCTGTCGCTCAAGGGCGTCCCACGAGAGCACAATCGCACGGTGCTCGACGAGTGCCTGCGCATGACACGCGAAGATGTCGTTGGCGTCCTCCGCAAGTACTTCCTCCCGCTCTTCGACTCGGCGTCGTCCCTCGTCATCGCCGTCACCGGGCCGAACAGCGTTGGGACTATCGCGGGCGCGCTGGAGGAGAGCGGGTTTGAGGTCCAACGCCGGGTGGTGTATGCGGAGCCGGAGGGCGCTGCGACGGAAGTGGTCGTGGAGGACGCCGCTGTGGAGGACGCCGCAGACGACGTAGCGGAGACGCGTGAGGCAACGCCTTCGCTTGCCGATGACACGGGCAGCGATGGGGCTATATCTACCCCAGAGTCGGATGGCGAGGGAAGTGAAGAACCTGTGGTGGCGTTGGAGGAGAGGATCATGAGCAAGCTGTCTCTTGAGGAGGCAGAGGAAGAGAATGGACAGCAGGAGATCGAGGACATGAACGTGTAGCTATATCTATAGTAATACCCAACCCCTGCTCACTGTATTCATCATACATACCAATAGATGTATCACTTGCATGGACTTTCGCCACGTCTCCCTCCGGCACTTAGGCCGTTCCTCGGGGTAATGATGACTTCAAGTAGCATCGTTGCGGTACTAGGCTTGCATATGAGACGAGAACCGAATTACAGCTTCGCCTGCCCGCTGGAACCAACACACACAATAGTATGCCTTCAGCAACGACGACACCAACCTCCACGCCTCTTCCCCCCTCAGCACCTTCCCGCTCGACGGAGCTGAGATAACATTCTCCATCTTCATCACCGACACCACCGCAAGCGTCTCTCCCCGCCGCACGACATGCTCCGATCCCGCGGGCGCGAGAAGGGCGGGATGCAGTTCGACGATCTTGCCTGCCAGGGGAGACGCGACGTGCGTCGACTCCTGCGGGTTCGCGAACTCGAGCTGGGACGACGACGCGAAGGACGAGAGTTGCGTCAGATTGAAGGCGAGGGGAGTGGGCGACAGCGAGTGGTAAGGGTGCCCGAGAGCTGATCTGGGAACGCGTTGTGTCCAATGGTAGCCAAAGTGATGATGTGCTTCTGGGGAGCAGATGTGGGGATGCCGGACGTTGCTGGTGGTTCGGAGACCGACAGCTGGAAAGAAGCCCCGGCTGAAGTAAGATCGAGCCCGTCATCCCGCCAGACGACGCCGAGAGTTGAGTGTTGAGACACTGTGAGATGTCTGCTTTGTCGTTCCGCGACGATGCGAACTTCTGGCCGAAATCCATGACCTCTTCGAAATGAGATTCGAGCCAGGTGGTGTGGACTTTCCCGTGCTTCCAGTGGGGATGTTTCATAACGCCCGCGAGCATATTCACGTTTGTCTTTAAGTCTGGAGGGATGCGAACCTCGCCGAGTGCACGCAGCGCCCGGCTCCGCGCTTCTTCGTGCGTGTCGCCGTGTACAATGAGCTTCGCCAGAAGAGAGTCGAAATCTGTTCCGATGAGATATTCTTGAAGCGGCTCCATGTTGCTGGGACCAGTGGTAAGCCATGTATCAACGCGTACACCCCTACCAGAAGGCCAGCTAAACGTCGAGGGTGTAAAATGGCCAGTGGAGAGCTTAAACGACTGGCGAGGATCCTCGGCGATCAGTCTAAGTTGAATGGCATAGCCTCGCGGTGGAAGAGGAGTGCGGGCGTGCTGAGGCAAGACGTCGGCCAACGACGTGCCAGGGATTGACAGGAGAAGCTGTATACGAACAAGATCGAGGTTCATGATTTCCTCTACTCGCCAGGGTCAATCGCTAAAAAGCCGCGCTCCAAGGGTGGATGCTCACCAGTGATCGTATGCTCGACTTGGATCCTTGGATTGATCTCCATGAAGACCCACTCGTGACTCTGCGAGTTGACCAGGAACTCAAAAGTGCCCAATCCTGAATACCTGAGGTGTCGGGCCATATCGAGGGCAGCTGCGAGCAATGGCCGAACCACCTCTTCCGGAAGCGTCGATGGTGCGATCTGTGTTTGGGTCAGAGTGGGGAATAGCCCATTTCGCCGAACGACCAACCTCGACCATCTTCTGGAACCTGTGGGTACTTAGTGAAAAGACGAGAGACAACTTAAGGAGACGTTACCGTCTCTGAACGCTGCACTCTCGTTCCCATAAATGCGTTACATTGCCTTGACCATCGCCTACTACCTGGATTTCGACATGTTTCCATTCAGACCCAAGTAGTGCCTTCTCAACGAAAAGCTGCTTGGAAGGAGACTCTCCCATGCAACTGCACTTCATAAGTACTGGCTGATATCGTTGTCAAGAAGTTGTACTCACCGATCGAAAGCGCCTTCGATTTCAGGCCCACCGTGCACGACGCGGATACCCCTTCCACCACCTCCATCGAGTGCTTTGATGATAACAGGAAATGGTTGTGAGCCCATCGTTCCAACAAAACGTCGTACATCGGCTGCACTGGAGACACGGCCACCCGGAGCGATAGACAGTCCAAGTGAAGCTGCAAACTCGCGAGAGAGCATCTTGTTCGACGAAATCTTGAGACCCTCCTCCGAAGGGCCGACAAAGGTGATGTTTGTATGGGAGAGTAAGGACGCGAGACGAGGATCTTCGCTGAGGAATCCGTAGCCTGGATGGACATGGGTGCATTTCGTTCTGGACTCCATGAACGTTCTGCTCATAACATGGAGGGTAACAACGTACCGGTGGGCAATTTGGACGAGGTGTTCTGGGTCCATGTATTGACTTGGAGAGTCCAGGAGGACGACCTCATCCGCGTAGGCTGTATGCGACGCGTCGTCATTCGTATACAGAGCCACGGTTTGCCATCCCAACTCAATTGCAGAGCGGAATATCCTGATGGCGACTAGAGACAAGGACTGTGTTGTAGGAGATGGTCACGATCCAAGTGTGTGAGGTACTCACTTTCTCCCCGATTTGCTACCAACACCTTCCACATCTTTGCGACGGTGGCAGACTGCAGCAATTTCGGCTGGCTCTCCCAGCTTCGGCTTTTGCTTTGCCGTAAGACCGTGGCAAGGGCTCGTGATTAGAATGCCGACCATCGTGACTGTTGAGAAATAAATCATCTTATCCGGCTAGCTTGTAGCGCCTTCACGCTCTCCGAGGATACCACACCGACGGTAAACATGGTCGCCGCGAGAAAAGTCGTCGAGCAGGGAGAGGGCACGAGGAAAGACGACGGTGGCTCGGACAGAAAGCAAGCGCCGCCTGCCCAATTGAAAGACGACGGCACGACCTGGAAGGTACACACTCTTCTTCCTTCGCCACCAATGCTCTCCGCTTGACATTGTTGTGTCCTCAGCCTGCTGTTGCGAAACTGAAGGAAACTCGCCGGACGATCGCCACTCCCAACCCTCGGAACGCTGGATATGCGCGACAGAAGCAGAACGGCAAGCTCTGGGTGCGCGAACGTCTCGACGCGCTTCTCGACGCGGGATCGTTTGCAGAGATTGGTTCCCTCGCTGGAAGACCTGTGGTGGACGAGGTGACAGGGCAGTTGAAAGACTTCGTACCCGCGTGCGTTTACCTTCTCTCAATTCTAGCTCGGGTTGTCGCTGAAGCACCCCACTCTTAGCAACATCCTCACAGGTTGGGGCAAAGTTGAAGGAAGGAAAGTCTTCGTGACTGCAGACGACTTCAGTGTGCGCGGTGGGCACGCAGACGGCGGCATACAGGGAAAGGCAGCCTTTGGTGAAGCTCTTGCGACTCAGCACCGAGTGCCCTTGGTATGTCTCCTACACTCCGAGTCCACTTTGCGTCACATTTACCCACTCTACTCCCGTCTGCAGATACGTCTCCTCGATGGATCTAGTGGGGGAGGGAGCGTTGCAACTTGTGAGTCTTTTTTGATGTAGCATCTGAGATGTATCTGAACAGTCGGTAGATCTCGCTGCAGGAGCTACTTACATTCCTCCTCTGGCGGGCTTAGGCCAAAGTATGACCGCAATGTCACTCGTACCGGTCGCAAGCGCATTGTTGGGACCGGTCGTCGGTCTTGCGGCTGCCAAGGCGGCTACTAGTCACTTCAGTGTTATGGTCAAGGGTCTCAGCCAGGTATGGACACTCTGTTGAGAAATGCCACATATCTAAACCAAGCACCAGCTCTTCGCCGCTGGCCCTCCGGTGGTCAAGCAAGCAACTTACGAGGACCTTTCAAAAGACCAGCTTGGAGGATGGGAGATTCACGCCCAAAATGGCACCGTGGACAACGTCGCCATGTCCGAACTCGAGGCATTCCGCCAAATCCGCGAGTTTTTATCCTATCTCCCGTCATCTACCCACCTCCTTCCTCCCACACGACGGACTTCCGATCCTTCAGACAGAAAAGAGGAGGAACTCATTTCTATCATTCCACGAAGACGAGCTCGCGCTTACGACGTGCGCCGGCTGGTGTATCTCATCGTCGACCGAGAGATACATGTTTCCGCCAATGCTACAAACTCGTCAGTGCATCACGCAAACCCTTTCTTCGAAATTGGTGCAACATGGGGCCGTCCCATCGTCACTGGGTTCGCAAGGCTTCAAGGACGGTCGGTCGGAGTTCTAACAAGCGACTGCATGGTCGGCGGAGGGGCAATCGACGCGTTGGGATGCCAAAAAGCGGCGCGGTTCGTGAACCTCTGTGATCACTTCGGGTAAGTCTCGCAGCCCTGCATAACCCAGCAAATTCCGTTCTGATTTATGCTTCCATAGTATACCCATCCTGAACTTGGTGGACCAGCCTGGCTTCGCGGTCGGTACGTGTTCTCTTTTCTGCGACACTTGTCTCAAGCGGCGCTGATGAGGGTGTCGCAGGTTCTGCAGCGGAACACGCAGCGACTATCCGCCATGGAGTAGCAATCATGTCGGCCTTGTTTCATGCCACTGTGCCCATTTTTACCGTGATCATTCGGAGAGCATTTGGAGTTGCTGGAGGTGCGTTCGCGGATCCTGGTGACGGCTTGAATACGCGGGTCGCATGGTACGTGTTGTGTCCACATCTATTCGGGGCGCTAGCCGATCCGCATATTGAAATACAGGCCGTCGGGAGATTGGGGTAGCCTGCCGCTCGAAGGCGGCATCGAGGCGGCATACAAGCGGCAGCTCGAAGCAGCACCCACCCCAGTAGCGCGGGAAGCGATGATGAAAGACTTGCTCGCCAAGTTCGAGCACGTGCGCGACCCTCTCAAAACGGCGCATTCATTCGGGATCGAAGAGATCATCGACCCGAGGGACACTCGACCTCTTGCGTGCGAGGTGCGCACCTCGGTATCTTCGAGTGGTTCGACGGTCTGACGAGACGACTAATCTTTGCAGTGGATCACGCACGCATACGAGCATTTACTTCCTCCACGACTGCTTGCCCGTCAAGGTGGGGCGCCAGCAACTAGAACCAAGTACAAACTGTAACGCTGCATAATATCCATCCAGCTACCTCTTGAACACCATCTTCTCCACCGTCCGACATGCCGGGTACAGAACCACCGCCATCGCAAAACCCACAAACACACCGATGTCGCCCGTGCCCATCGCAGCAATTGGGCCCTCGTACCACGCCTGCGACATGCACGGCACGATGATCCCACACGCGGACAGGAACACGAGGATTGCAGCGAGCCCGGGGGGCAGCGCGCGGGGGAGCGCCCACGCGGTGACGTCGTACGCGGCCCACGCGCCGCGGTGGAAGAGGACGTGCTCGACGACGACGATCGCGGCGAAGACGGTAGACCAGTAGCCGATCACGTTGAGGATGTTGACGAACGTCTCGTAGAAGTGGCGCGCGCCGAGGATCGCGACGGGGATGAGGCTGCGCGTGTCTCGTGAGCGGCTCGAATTCAGGAGGGGTTGAATGGAGACGCACATGGCCTCGGAGACGACGGTGTAAACGTAGCGCGGGACGCGCGCGAACCAGGTGTGGATCGTCATGAAGCTCGACGCGAAGGTGTACATCGTCGGCGCGCACGCGCTCGGGATAAAGAGCGCGATGAGCACCGTCAGGAACTTGCCGAAGCCGCCGGCGGGCGAGAGCACGGCCTGGACGAGCCCGCCGACCGAGTTCCCATTGTCGAAGCCTGCTTGCCATGATGGGACGGCGGGCGCCGCCGCGGCGAAGGCGGCGCCTAACATGTGAGCGACGAGCTGCGCCGTCTACGGTGTTAGCGAGGACGAGAACAGAAGTGCTGGGGACGCTCACGCTGGCACCGAGAAAGCCCGCGTAGCTGTAGAGGAAGACGCGGGTGCTGGACGCTTTATTCGTGTGATAGACTCCGTAATCAGGCGTCATCATACACCAACTGATGACACTGGAAGCGACAGTGGTGGCGAAAGAGATTATGGAGGCCGCAGAGGCCGGCTCAGCAGGAGCCGGAATGCTGCTCCCCAGATGTTTGCCGCCAATTCCAAGCATGACGATGAAGGTTATGACACTAGGTATCCATGCCACGGTCTCGTACCAATGGATGACGCGATACCCAAAAAAGGTGACCTGGAAAGGGATTTCAGCGGTTGATAACATGGAAGCCGCAGTGAGAGGCTCACCACGAGCGAGATAACGCCGATGATGATGATGCCCAAAGTGTCGTCGAGGTGTCCGTTGGATACACTCGCGAGGGTTTGGCCGCCAATGATACAGTTGAGGATAAGGAAGCCTTGCATAGAGAACACGGTGAACGCGCTAGGGATGATGGAACCGTAATACCTGACAGAACATGAGCACAGCAATACCTATGGCGCCAAACAATGGACGTACCCCCAGGAGTATCGTGCAACAACCATAGAACGCATCCCAAGCTTGGGACCGAAGAGGGCACTGCAAATTGGGTTTCAAGATGACTCGAAAGTGCAGGTTTGCACCAACTTACAAGTAGGCAGGTATTATACAAGCACTGAGGCATATTATCAGGCTTCTTTCGATATCAAGCACGAAGGGGGCTCACATGAGGTCGACGACGACGAGAATGATCAGGGAGTCGCGGATGCCGAGGCCAAAGAATGCTGGACCCGCACTACCCGTGCCGAAGCTACCAACAGACTTCTAGGTGAGTGCTTGGGCAGAGCCGACATTGAGCCGGCGTACGTTAGAATGTTGATGTTTGCAGAGAACCAAACAAAGAACATCTGGTATAGTTTTGTGTCATTCCTATCCTCCAGAGGAATGGGGTCGACACTAGTGCAAGAAAAGTAAGTCATGCAGCGCAGACCAAGACAAACGACGACACTTGGGGTAAATGCGCATTATACACTGACCCGTTAGTCTCTACGCCCCAGCTCGCCATGAAGGCGGTCGTTTTCTTTATCCATGACTGGTTCGTGGAGGTCGTGATTGGATCGTGCACCTTGCTGTCGACGCTGGACATCTTCTCGTCGCCGTCCTGCGAACCCATGGCTGCTGGGGGCACCTGTGGTGGTCGTCCGAGGGAGAGCGAGAAGAGGTCAGGCGCGCGGATTATTTCGTTATCGCGTGATGCTTGCTTACCTCCACCTCGCCGCCGCTCGCTTCACCTCGTAATCGGACTGCAAAAAGTACTGATCCTTTGCTCGCCGCCCGCGTGGAAAGACGGCCCGGTGGCCGATGCACTCGGCGCTTGGTGCGAGTAAGGTACCCCCAGCACAGACTCGACGACGTCACATGACCTCCCCGTGTCACGCTTAGGCCAGTTTGGCGGGGGAAAGACGCTTGAAATCGAATAACAACTTGGGGATTCCTCGTACGGCCAAAGCGCTTTATACATCGTATGCTAAGAAGAGTACCTTAGAATATCTATAGAGCAGATTTCGCGAAATGTCCATAGCAGTGGAGTTATAAGCCCAGATGTGTGCTCTGCGCACGTTTTTGGTCGTCTAAGCGAGGTCCGGCTATCTCGGGCCCAAATTGTGAGCGCGCGCTAGTTGCCCTGCCTGCGCATCTCGACGTGGTCCCGGCCAGCAGCACAGTGAAGCCGCGCGCAGTAGGAAAAATGAAGCGCAAAGCGGAGGAAATTTCACGCGCCTAGAATGCCGTGAATGCTCGCGCCTCCAAGAAAGCGCGGAATGACCCTGACTCAGAAAACCAATCGTCGGATCTGGCAAGCATTGAAAGCTTGGGCAGCTGCCAGCCACGACTCGCCGGTCTCGCCCCCGCCACAACCGCGCATGGTGAGCCCAGCGTCGATATTGGAGATGAGGGACTCCCGCTTACACTTGTGCAAAGATCAGGTCAAGATGCGACCAAACATTCACGGAAACCTGTCAACCCACTTGGTCCGGCACGATTCGGCGCCTCTCCATCTCCTGGAAGCGCCAAGCATGCGCCGATAAGCAGACTTATCCGTAACGGGCACGTGATGAGTCACAGGAATCACACGTCGTCGAGTCTGTGCTGGGGGTACCTTACCAAATTCGGTCCTGCTTATATGCCAGTGCCAGTGTTTAACGTTTGCTCCTCGCTCTCACCCATGACCTATAAAACCGAACAGATGCCCATCACGATCCCGGTCCAATTGATCTCGTCGCCGAAGCTCACTCACCTCGTCAAGACGTTCGCGGCTCCAACGCGTTTGGCAGAGACTCTTCCGGTATCCACCACATCAAGAAAAGAAAAAACAAGACCAATAACCAGCGTGATAGCGAAGACAATGCGGTTTACGGGGCCGAGATCGAGTGTTCTGTCAGGCAAAAGAGTTACTAACTGATGCATTCGCATCCAGAAGGTATGAGGAGTCACAGCGTCGTACACCTCTTGATCCGTTCATGCGCAAAGATCGTGGCGACCTGCGATGAATACGTGTGAATGGCTTCTGACATGGCACAAACGACGTCTAGATTGTGATATGAGATACGCAAGAGTCGTTCAGGAAAGCGCAAACCATACCATTCCCGCCCATTGAACCCACGAACGAAATTATGTCCTCGGGGAGGATCTCTGGAACGCCCCACAACGTACGGCCCAGCGCATGCCGCTTCTAGGATCTTAATCCCGAAAGCCTCCGTGAGGGACGTGTTCAACACGAAGATGAAGCCTTGCACGAGCAACAAAGACATATCAGCGGCGCTTACATCACAAACGTCGCTTATATGCTTAACTGGCCCGAGCATCTCGATGTGGTCGTGGGGACCGACGTCTCCACCTGTACACAGGCGAAGTTAGTCATTGTTGTTCAGTCGAGGGCCCGTGCGGCATACCTATGAGGGAGCGAACATCGATTCCTTTGTAGAAAGCACTGAACCAGTGATTATTTGCAGACGTTCCACATTTCTCTCACTTGGCATGGCGCTTGTCTTTAAAGGGGAGCGCCGTCACGTGAGTTATTGTTGTCCGTCGGGCCTTCGACTGAGGAAATCACTACCTTCTTGTTCTAACCCGCTTCTGTGCTTCGACCGCTTCTCGCCATAGTTACGGCTATCTATGGTTCGCTGCCATTCACAACCACTAGCCATCGTGGCAAGCGTTTCAATTCGTTTTCTCGGCGAGTGGCGCGTGGACGCGTTAGAGCGGTTCCCTTCTACATACACACTCGCACAATACACAGTATTGTATCGTGCGTGCTATGGGAACCGTGGCATTGCTACTGACAACACCCTGCTGTATATATGAAGGCATGAGAGAACGGATTCTGCTTCATTGTCCAGCCCATTTTCATCTCTGACGGTATGTCGCTCGATTGTTCCATGTTTTACATTCTCACCCATTGTAATAGTCAGCCCGCCCACCAGACATGGACGGCCACCACCAGATCGCCCCTGGCGCTCACGTGGGAGCGTATTGGAGGTATGGTATTTCCTCAGGATCAGATCCAATTCTCTGATCCTTGTATGCAGAGCGGATTACGATGGGGTTGAACCATCTTCTCATCGTAGTATCTACTACGATGCAAGGGCAGAGCCGATGATGATCTGCGGGATCTGCTGCTCCGATGTGGAGATACCCACACGAGGAATGAACTGGTCGGGGCAGCCTCCCGGCATTCGACCGGGCATCGTGGTTCCGTGTCCCGCACAACACTCCTTTTGTCAAGCCTGTCTTGCCAAGTACATAGGCGACTCGGTCGATCCCAGAGGCAACGGTGCCGGTACCAGCGCTGTCGTGTTTCCATTGACATGCCCAAGATGCGCTTCATCAGGTGCGTGGCAAGGAGATATCCCTGACCGCATTGCCAGGACGGTGTTACTCCCCGGATCCCGTGTCATGGAGTTGTGGGTGGGTCTATCGCAAGCACCCCTGTTGCGGACTGTTCCTGATGATGCTTCTACAGGAGATGAAGAAGACTCTCGACACGATGAAGACTTTTGAATGTCCAAACCCGGATTGCTCAGCTGTGCTCAACGAAGTCGAGCTCTCTGGGAGATTCAGAGATGCTCAGAAGACCTGTTCTGAGTGCCACACCAGGATCTGTGGTTCATGCCGTGTCGTATGGCACCAGCGTAAATAATCATCCGCGTTAATAGAAAGGTCAATTCTCACTGCTAGTTCAACTTTTAGGTCTGACTTGCGCGGAATTTCGAGTATGTTTTGTCCCTCTGATTGCTACCACACATTAACTTACGCTATCATCTGCAGATGCTTCCGACTGTTCAGCGATCTCCTCGCACCAAGCAGACGTTGCAGCTTTCCGATGTGAGATGTTCGTTCCCGTTCAACGGCATGGGTTCTGACGTTTTCAAAAACAGCATGGAGGGTGGACGAGGTGTTTGAACTGTCATTCAATGGTAGTCAAATCTGGCCAAACCCACACCCCTTGCGCCTGTGGCGTGAATGTTTGCCATCGATGTGGAGGTGGGTAGTAGTTCGTTGCTTGCGGCACATTCGCCTGAATAACGCTTGGACGGTCAAATCAGCGATTTGGGACGTGACACGCGGTAAATGTAGTGCCCGCTGTCGTCTACGCCGCCAGCAGAGCACTGCCCAGACACTTCGTCGGGCCTCGCCGCCGCCGCTGCGCCGGGATCTCGACCAAGCCTATCAGGTCGATCGCAGTGAATCACAACTCCGCGAACAGTATGCTCGGAGGCGCACGCATGTCGACGGCCTCACGGTTTTACACACTGGTGCCGCTTTCCCGCCTTATCCCATTGCGCAGAACGGCTTCGTGGACACAACGCCGGGCAACGCCGGGATTGTTGACCCTAGGGACGTTGCCTTCTGGGGCGCCGAGAATTCGCTCCCAACGTACCAAGATGTCCTGGCTCGAAGCCCCAACGGTTTCGATGACACGTTTATTGTCGGAGGTGGAGGCTCCGGTTGGCAGCAGCCGGCACCTCCTCCGTACAGCCGTGGCGAGTCCTCTTCGCATGGTGGGCTCCGCTGCTTTCTGTGTTTTGTTAAGGATGCTGATGCGGCGAATATGGTATCACAGCGGTCATAGCTCCCCACCAGCGAGCTCTGAACATGGCGCCATCGATGGCTCCGCTAGCGGCCTGCCGGTTCTGCCGGGGCCAATTCGCGACAGCTTCTGACCGGGACCTCCACGAGCGCAGCTTCTGCCGGGTGTCACGGAGCTGGCACAACCGACTCGGTGGCATCAACCCCTTCCGGAACTTCTGGAACTAGCCACGGCGCAGCCATGGAAAGCCAGATGGTCGGTGAAGAGGAATCCAGGCTGCGAACCTTTCGCTGTTGCAAATGTCCGGCTAGCTTTATGCTGTGACTTTCACACATTCTTTTTATCCATCCGCCATTGTAGAGCACGAGAATGCAGGGGATTCTGACGACTTACGACATTACGACTCACGATATACCACAATTGTTCATCGTAGCCTGTCCCGAACGTTACTATTTGGCGCTGCTCGACCGATACATCACGTCCCAGGTGGTCTTCCCACGCACCCGTGAGCGCCGCGGGGAATGATGCGCATCGTTGTCAAGTCCGGCAAGCAGCACGGGAGGTGCACGTGGTTTGTTGCCAGAAGCCTAACGCTCGCCACACCAGCTCGCCCATGACGTCAGCAGGCTGCAGCACACATCGGAGTTGAGGGTTTTGTGCTCCGACAGAGGATCGGGGACCTCGGAGATCGAACCTTGACAGACGCCACCCGAGTCGTCAGTGCGCGTCTAGAATTTTGTACACCTGCATTGCTCATCGCATCTCCCGCCCCAGCCCTCTCCGGCATCATCGTCCTCGTCTCTCCGCGTCCCCGGCTTTATCGGTATGTGGCCCCCCAACGTCGACGACGCGTATCCTTGGACTGAAGACGCATATCCAGTACCACCATGACCAACACCTCTTCTGTCAATCCCTCCGAGGTTGGCTGGCAGTTCGTGCCGCAGTACTACACCTTCGTGAACAAGCATCCCAACCGCCTCCACTGCTTCTACACCAAAGAATCCACCTTCATTCACGGTACGGAGGGCGAAGATGGCACTCCTTGTTTCGGGCAGCAGGTGAGCGAAGCCTTCTTGCTGCCCCGCTTGCGTCACGCGAATGGATCCCCCACACCGCGCCCCCCGCCACGCACGTTGCCTTCGTCGATTGGATGCAGTGCGGCTATTCGCCGTCCTGGATCCGTCGATCTCTTTGATCCCCACCCCCGTTGGCTACCCACAACTTCACGGCCCGCGTGGCTTGTACGACGGGTTGTCTGCATTCAGTGCATGAGAGTGGCACAAGCGATGTCTATCTGGGACCCTATTACCCCAGCATACTCTACAAAGCCTACACGGCAGGTGCCGTCCGTTGTGCTGTCTTCCATCCAATTCTGAGTCTCTGGAGGCCGAGACGTGAGCAGTGGTATGGATGATGTCACACCTGGCATAGGTGTAGTAGACGCGAAGCTGCGAAGTTATTCATGTCGTTCGTCGTTGTTGTGCGTGCGCAAAAGCGTCCGTAAGCTGACCTGGACTGCCTTCACAGGAAATTCACAACAAGATCACGTCCATCGGCTTCCAAGATTGCAAGGTCTTCATTCACTCGGTCGATGCTCAGTCTTCTGCGAACGGTGGCATCATCATCCAGGTCATTGGTGAAATGTCGAACAAGGGTGAGGCGTGGAGAAAATTCGTCCAGACATTCTTCCTCGCCGAACAGCCCAACGGCTACTACGTTCTGAACGACATCTTTCGTTTTTTGAAGGAAGAATCCGTCGAGGAGGGCGAAGAACTGGAGGAAGAAGCCCCGCTCGTTTCCGTACCCTCGTCTCCCACCCCTCCTCCTGTGGAGCCCGAGCCCGTCCCTACCCCCACGCCTGCAGCCGTCCCCCCGGTCGAGGAGAGCGCTCCCTCACCTGTTCCTTCCCCACCCCCGCAACCTCAGGTCAACGGCCACACGCCTGAAGTAGAAGTGGAGCCTACCCCCGCCGTTGCTGAGCCCTCCCCAGTGTCATCTCCTGAACCCACTCCCGCCGCCTCTCCCGCCCCTCCCCCTTCTGTCTCTCCTGCACCCCCGCCCTCACAACCTCCCGTCGCTGCAGCTCCTCAGCAGCCTCAGCAACCTCCGTCACAGCCCCAGGCCCCCGCCGCTCCTGCCCCTGCCCCTGCTCCCTTAGCGCCTAAGTCATGGGCATCGCTGGCAGCAACCGGTGCGAAGAGCTGGGGTTCGGCCGTTGCTAGCACGCGAGGTACGAGCGAGGCTCCGGCTCCCAGCAGCGTGTCGCCGTCGCCCATGAGCGGCCCGCATTCGCCCGCCCCCCACGTCGGCCGCCCCATGCCAAGGCAGGATGCGCAACATCCCGCGTACGTCGCCGCTCAAAACGTCGCCACGCCGCAGTGTTTCGTCAAGTCCGTGACGGAAAACGTATCGGACCAGGCTCTGCGTGCGACGATCACCGCCCGTTTCGGCCCCATCAAGGAGCTTGAAATCGTGCGGAGCAAGGCCTGTGCATTCCTCGAGTTCCAGCAGCTCGATGCTGCGAAGCGTGCCATCCTCACGTCGTTGCCCATGGCTCAGGGTGGCGAGGGTGGCATTCGCATCGAGACCGACGGCGGTGCTGGACAGGCGCGCATCATCGTGGAGACCCGCAAGGAACGTGGCGACCGGCCACCCCCGCGCGCGCCGCCCATGAATGGTGACCGCGGACGCGGCGGCTTCCGGGGACGCGGCGGCTCTGGTGCACGCGGTCGCGGCGGTCCGCCCCCCAAGCAGTAGGCTTGAGTGGTCGCGGAATGAGCAGGGGGGTTAGGAGGAGATCGCGAGGTCGCCCGAATCAAAAGTACACAAGGTGCTCTGTTCAATGGTGGTAGGGAGGTAGTGGGTCGCGCCGGGTATTCGCTGTGGAGGACGGCGTTGGTGAGTATCCGGCCGGTCCTGGGGACCGCAGGTTGGGGCGTGGGTCGTTGGTCGTTGTTCATGTTGTCTTCGTCTGGCCTCGGACTCGCTAGGTCGCTGGCGCGTCGCACTCCACACTCCCTCGTCGATTGAGTATGTACGCACTAATCATATGGGGGTCGTCATATTGAGGGTCGCTGTATGCGGGGAAGTGCAGAGAAGGCGGTCGTTGTATGCGCGAGCTCTCTAGCGGGGCACTGCCCAAGCCCAGGTGGGATCGAAGAGCATGCAGCAGCACGGGGTGTAGAGAAACGAGACAGTTATAGGCGCATGTTATAAGACGTTATACGGCGTGAGTTTTTTAAGAGCCAACGTCCACTAAATCCTACGGCGGTATCATCACGATATCGTCGGCTCGCTTCGTGCGTACCAACGCCGAAAGCATGACTTGCTGTTCTCGTTCCGAAACTGGAATGGAGTCGACGTTATGATATCCAAAGTACCCGAAAGCAGCTTGCATTCCAACTTAAAGGAGAGACGTGTCGAGTACAACATTATGTGGGGTATATAGCATAGTCTAATGCGGGTACTGTAGCAGCACATGTAATCGTCAACTCAGTTTTCCGGCTTCCGCGATACGACGAGGTACATGGGCGTGAAGAGCTGAAGAGAAGCCAGTCAGAACGAGTTATTTCCAGCAAGGACAAGGAACGGACCTTCTCGCGACCGCTCTTAACGAGCGCGTCCGCCGCAATCTTCAGCGTCTCACCGACCTCGAAGGTCCCCTTCGGCACGATGCCGAACTTCTCGATGAGCCAAAGCCCATGATGTGTGACAAACTTGCCGCTCGAGCTCATCCGCCAGACGGTGAAGACGTCCCAGAGCGTCTGCGCCTTGAAGATGTCACCCTCAAGCGGGTAGTACCACGGCACGTCGTCGCCGCGGTCCGCAAGGTCGTCCTCGTACTCGACCTCGAAGCCGACGTCGCGCAGCGCGGCCCGGGCGTTCGAGATGGGACGCATCTCGGGGATACCGTTCCCGATCTCGATCTGGTGCGCGACCTCCTTGTGCTCCGGGATCGACGGGTCCCACTTGTCTGTCATGACCCACTCGTACACACCGAACTTAAAAACGCACGAGGTTAAGTCATCCCGCTGACAAGTGGTAATGCGACAGGGTTACTCACAACGCCTCCGGGCTTGAGCACCTTCATGATCTCGCCGTACACACCCGCGAACGACGGCGCGTGAACGGTGGCCTCGATGGCGTAGACCGCGTCGAAGGAGTTGGGGCCGAACTTCTCGGAGAGCTTCATAAAGTCGCCGATCTCGAAGGTGACGCGGTCCGAGAGATCGGCCTTGGCGGTGAGCTTGCGGGCGCGGCCGACCTGGAAGTCGTTGTTGTTGAGACCGACGATGTTGACGTCCACGAACTGGGCGATCTCGCGCGCGGGTCCGCCGATGCCGCAGCCGACGTCGAGGACGCGCATGCCGGGCTTGAGGCCCATCTTGAAGGCGAGGAAGTGCTCGTGGCGCGCGAGGGCTTGGTAGAAGGACTCGCCCTTGTAGTAACGCGAGAAGTGGAAGGACGTGCCCCAACCGTACTCGTAAAGACCGGTCGCGCCATCGTAGTAGCCTGGGGACTATTCAGCATACTTATAGGTCGAGATTGGATGCGCGCGTGCTTCTCCAGGCCCTCGGCAGCAAACTGGGGTCGGCCGCAGCCCATTACAGCTAAGTCCCAAGACAACGTCTCACCGCGCCATCGCGGTCACGGCCAAACGTCACTCGCAAGCGCACCGATCCTACGTTCTGTTCCCCAACCCCGAGAGCTACGCGCGCAACACAACCCGAAATCGAAGACTCACCGTTGATGACATCGGTGTAGTTGGCGAGACGGTTGTCGGTGTCCTGGCCCTTCTCGGTCGCGAGGTCCTTCTGCCAGAACTTGGCGTAGTTCTCGATACGCTGGCCCTGACGGCCGTCAGCGTAGGTCTTGTTCGTCGTCGGAGCGGGGGACATTTTGAGGTATGTACTGTAAGACTATCGAGGCAAAGCACGCGTTGTCAGCGAACGCGCTCTAGTATCCGGCGAGCGAAAAAGAGAAAGCGAGCAGGGGCGCGCCGAGGAAGGGGCGAGTGCCAGCGTGCGCGGTAGTGAAAGTGGGACGTGCCCTCGGACGCCCGCGTCGGCGCCGAACTGGACCAAACCCATAACTGCGCGGGAGAATGCGAGCCAAAAGTTAATCACTCACCGTGAGGGGGCGGTTGAACGCGGGGAAGGGGAGGGAAAGAGCGCGAGGAGAGTGGGCCGACTCTGGGCTGACTTTAATACGAGCGACTGTCGCGAAACAGGCCGCGATGCGCATGTAAGCGCCCTCTGCATTGGACGATACTTGCGACGACCCAATCACCGCTCAGATGATTGCCGGACACGTGTCGTGGCCGAGGGCCATCGCGGCGAGGCCCACTACTACACTAAGTAGTGATCACTTCCAAGTGCCCCCGCGGCGAACATCATCAGCTGCCCTTCCGTCCCCATCTCCTGCTCCTCAAGATACCTATGTTTTCGTGCGAAGTTCCACGCTCAGACCCTCGTCATACTTCGCGATCACGTGTTCGCGTCTGGGCATCTCACGAACCTCAGCTCAGGCCAGCATCGGACTCTGTAGCCACCGCCGGTAGCGGAGCAACGGCGAAGCGAGTTCCTGGCTCACCATAAGAATATGAGAAGAAAACCGATGGAAGATGAGACCGAAAGCATGCATGTCTTCCGCGGCAGCTGCTTTGACCCTCAAGCAGAACGACAACTTCGAAGATCCCCAACGACCGTCGCTCGGTCTGAGCGGGGCGGACAAGAGGGATTCTGACGCTTACGTAGTGCTCATCGCAGGACAATACGGTGCGGACTGTAAGACCACTATAAGATGCCGAGAGGGAGTCGCTGAGCCTTCTCTCCAGCACATTTGCTCTTTCGTTCACCCACTCGAACCAACCTCCATTGATTCCCTACTACGTGAAATTTCTCAATGCAACGGTACGTCCACTTCCCTACAGAACACAGTAATTCCACTAACTCTACCGCCAAGCCCACTCTTACTGGATGACGGCGCCAGCCATCGAATTCCCCCTTTCAATGACAACACTCGCGTTCCTCCGTTCGGAGCCTATATCCCGGGCCCCACGGCGAACGGGCTCCCACCACCGTTCTCCCTCCCTGTTCCTCATTTTCACCCCTATTATCCTGTTGCTCCCGCCTACATAGTATACCCGATGCCGGTATGTATACATCCTACCTTGGTTCATAGATTTCGATTCTCATCAGTGCACCGGTACAGCTTGTGCCAAGCCCTCCTGTCAACGTCAACGTGAACATGTATCAAGTCAACAACTTTGTTGTCAATCACTACCTTGGCCCACCAGAACACAGTGGCTCGGAGTTCATTGCCCAGGGGTCGCGAAGGGGTCGGACCCCTACCGTCTCCTGTCCCTCCCACCCGCCGTCGGATCTCGCGTATCAGCAAGGAAATACCTCTTACTGCCCTAACCACCCGAACATGTGTCGTGGCTGCCCCTTCCACCCGCCCGGTACCGCCCAGTTCTCGCGCTTGGGGGAGACTCCACCCCGCCCTCCAGTTGCTCTCCCTCCTGCCCATCCTGGGCAGGGGCAGATGTGGACTCCACCGTCAATCCGTGACCAAGATTGGTCGCTGAGGTCTTGGGAACAGAGGCCAGATGAGGACCCTTGCAGGCCTGTGATTCCGGAGTATCACTACACGTCTGTCTTCCCGAGCTACGCCGCTCCCAGCTTCCGGCGCGCGCGAAGTAGAGGGCGCGCGTAGGCGCGGGGGCCTCCCCCCCGATATTATAGCAGTGTCCGTCCCGCTTGGAGTCGTTCCTACGTTCACCGACGATTCCTCCCATCAACCGACCTTCCCGTCACTATTGCTCATCTCACCGGTGGTGGTACGGACGGCACTCTGCTCTGAATGTCTCGCTACCAGTCACGCCCAACGGTCATCAAGTCAAACCCGGCGGAGAGTAGCCGTCGTCCAGGTCGAGGTTATCTCTCCCGGAGTCCGCAGTTCATAGCGAGACTCATATTTGACCTACTGGCCGCTCCCCCCTTTCCCATCTCAGTCTTCTCGCTTCACAACCAGTTCTCGTGCTTCAGGTACGGGATCCCACACTCTTTATTCTATGTCCACCTTGCCCGTTCCATACATAGATCCCCATAGCTCGCGGGGTCTCCCACACTCCTTAGCCATCCTTCCCTTTTCCGGTGCGCCGTATCAAGTCACCCCCTTTCCTACACGGTCGTAGCGCACATCTACGGTTCGTATAGTACCTGCACGAGCTTTGGCTTTCCATGTACAATGAACAGATGCATGCCGACTGCGACCCGAGATCGCGCGTGGTTCTCCGACTAGACCCGTGCGGAACCAGTAAGCTCAACTTCGTCTGTCGGCGAGAGCGGACGTCACGACAAGTGGTTGTCGCGTGTGTGTTCTAGTAGTAGCCATGGACGTGAGTGGGCGTAAGAGGCGTGGTGGAGGACGAGATCAGAAGGACGCGTGTCGGGTAGATGATCTACGGGCGGCCGATCGCGTCGAGGAGAGGGTCGAGCGCGTCGGGGCATGTTCTGGACGCGACTGCACTGCTGGCGGTCAACGCGTCGATGCTCGCTCGGTGCCCGCGGACAGTCGCGGGACGGCTCCCTCGCCTCGCGCCCTACGCTCTATCGCGGCATCTGATAACATCGTCCTCCTCTAAGTTTGTCGAGTCAATCCCGCAAAGCGCCCGGACCCCTCCCTGCCTTCTCCGCTCCGCCCTCTCTCCTTCCTCCACAACCCGCCGCTCGTACTCTACACCGTCCGCGATGTCGCTCGACTCTGCTGTCGACGCTCTTGCAAAGCTTTCCATATCTCCCCCAGCCAAGACAACCCACGCCGCCGCGCCCTCTCCCGCCGCATGGCGCGAGGCTCTCGAAGCGTCCGCCGACGCCCCCAAGGGCTTTGAACTCGTCAAGTTCCTCGTGTACAAGCCAAAGACCGCGAAGACCGCAACTCCTGTTCCTGTCGTCGTCATTGCTCGAGAAGCAACAGAAGTTCCTTCCGGCACCCTTGGCAAAGTTCTCAACCTCAAGGAGCTGCGTCTCGCATCCGAGGATCTGCTGAAGGAGTTCTTTAACCTCGACAAAAACTCCCGTGAGTTTATCTTCTTTTCCTGCATGTTCTCCGGGATCATCCGACGTGTTTGGTCGGACCATTGGCGCGTCCTTCCCCGCAATGTTCTCCCTGCGCATTGCTTGGACTGACCGCTGCGTTCACAGTGTCCCCCCTCGTACTCACCTCGCAAACGTACTCAAAGATTACCACTGTCATTGACGAATCAATCGCGAGCTCAACATCTCCATTCGCGCTTCGCGGCCTCTCCTCCGGCACCACTGTCTTCCTCTCCGGCAAGGACCTCTACGCCTTTGTGAAGCAATTCGCGACAGAAGGCGCCCCCGCCCTCAACGAGATTGACTTTCCACCCTTTCCACCGCTGCACCCGATGTTGCTCCCAAGAAGACCGCAAAGGAGGAAGCAAAGATCGAGGGTGCGATCCAGATCGCCATTGGCGTGAAGAAAGAGGTCGACTTCCCCACGTGGTATACGAACGTCCTCATAAAGGCGGATATGCTCGAATACTACAACGTCAGTGGATGCTACATCCTGAGACCATGGTCCTATAGCATCTGGGAGTCCATCCAGGGTTCGTTATCAGTCTGTATGCCCACATACATGCGCTGAGCATGAGTCTAGATTGGTTTAACAGCCAGATCCGTGAGATGGGCGTTCAGAACGCATACTTTCCCATGTTCGTCTCTTCAAAAGTATTGGAGAAGGAGAAGGATCACGTTGAAGGCTTCTCTCCTGAGGTTGCATGGGTCACACGAGCGTACGTCCGCCTCTGGTCTTCTCGCCATCAAGTCTTATATTTGATTGCAGAGGGAAGACCGACCTCGAGGAGCCTATTGCTATCCGCCCAACCTCTGAGACCGTCATGTACCCTTGTGAGTCCTCTCGCGTCCTCCTCACTATCCTCTGACAAGATCCACAGACTACGCGAAATGGATCCAGAGCCACCGTGATCTACCCTTGAAGCTCAACCAGTGGAATAGTGTTGTCCGTTGGGAGTTCAAGAACCCGCAACCCTTCCTGCGTACGCGCGAGTTCCTCTGGCAAGAAGGCCACACCGCCTTCCTCACCAAGCCCGAAGCCGACAAGGAGGTGCTGAGATCCTCGACCTCTACCGCCGCGTGTACGAGGAGCTGCTCGCGGTGCCCGTCATTCCCGGCGTCAAGTCCGAGAAGGAGAAGTTCGCGGGCGGACTGTACACGACTACCGTCGAGGGCTTTGTGCCCACGACCGGGCGCGGCATCCAGGGCGCAACGTCGCACTGTCTCGGCCAGAACTTCTCCAAGATGTTCAACATCTTCGTCGAGGACCCGACAGACCCGACGAACCAGGCGAAAGTGCACGTCTGGCAAAACTCGTGGGGTCTCTCCACGCGCACGATCGGCGTCATGGTCATGACCCATGGCGACAACCAGGGCCTCGTCCTCCCCCCGCGCGTCGCGTCCGTGCAGGTCGCGATCGTCCCCTGCGGGCTCACCGCGAAGACGACGGACGAGCAGCGCCAGACCGTCAACGACGCGTGCGCGGACCTCGCCGCCACCCTCAAGAAGGCCGGCATCCGCGCGCGGGCCGACCTCCGCGACGGATACACCCCCGGCTACAAGTTCAACGACTGGGAGCAGAAGGTGCGCCCGTTGCCTCTTACAATCTGCCTGCTTTACTCATGTGCTCACTCGCCGACGTCGCACAGGGAGTCCCCCTCCGCCTCGAGATCGGCCCGGCGGATCTCGCGAAGCAGCAGACTCTCTCCGCCCGGCGCGACACGGGCGCGAAGGCTCCCCTCCAGCTCGCGGACATCACGACCGCCGTGTCGGGCCTGCTCGAGACCATCCAGGCGGACATGTTCGCGCGCGCGCAGAAAGCGTACTTCGAGTGCCTGAAGACGATCACCCGCTGGGAGGACGTCGTGCCGACGCTGGACGACAAGTGCGTCGTCGTCATGCCCTGGTGCGAGACCGAGGCGTGCGAGGACGACATCAAGGAGTGCAGTGCCCAGGCGTGAGTGTTCTCCCCGCGTCCCCGTATCCTCCATCCACGCCCGTCACGTCGCACCCCCCTTCGAACGTGTGGCCGTTCGCCGCCGCGGGGATGGGGTGCTACTATTCCTGGCGACGAGTTCTTTCGTTTCGTTTGCACCCGGCCATGCGGTCATGGCGCGTCGGGTGGGCATCTAACGCCGCTCGCCCACCGTTCCATCTCTGCGTCTTGTTACGAGCCCCAACGCTGACACGCCGTCCCCTCCACAGGTCGGAGCCCACGGACGAGCGTGCCCCGTCGGCAGGTGCCAAATCGCTCTGCATCCCCTTCGACCAGTCCCGCTGGCCCAAGATTGAGCCGGGCGTGACCAAGTGCGTCGGGTGCGGCAAGGACGCGAAGCGATGGACGATGTTCGGCCGCTCGTACTAGGCGGGGCGCTGGGTCGTGGTCCTTTGGCGTGGGGTCGGTTTTCTTGGCAGTACGTAGACATGGTGGTTCCCAACGTGTACGCATATTCCGGGCAGTTCGCTGCTCGTTCGTGTAAATGCTCGCATCTCCCTTTAACATAATCACCCGTTTCTTCCTATAATCACCCGCCTCCTCGTCCTCGCATCATCAATCGTGCCCCTTTGTGTCAAATGTCGGACGTGGAGGCGGTCGTCGCTCAAGTGAGGCGATCAGCAGAACGATGGCATCGGTGATTAAGAGCAGTCGCGGGGCGTCTAGAGGGAGAACGATAGAGAGTCGCAAGCGGATAGGTGCGGTGGGTGAGGTGCGTATGTATGTACACGTGGCGTGGGGCTGCGGCGGTGATTACCTCCTCCCGTACCCGGATTTGATACAGAACAAGCCAACGTGTCCGAGGTGCAGCAGGAGACGGCGAGAGCGCGTCAAAGTGGTAGGGAGAATCGGGCCCCAGCCGGCCTCCTAGGGCGCGGACGGACGCGCACGAAAACGGCGGGCGGGGGGCACTAGTGTACGGAGGTTCCGCGGTATAATCTATCGTACAGTTAGTTCGAGCGGTCTGTGCGTTGGGTGAAACGGGGGGAACGGTGAGGATGCATGCGGAGATTGGTGGTCAGTCGTGCATGCGCGGGAAGTCGTGAGGGGTTCGTCATGCGGCGTCGGCGGTCTTGATCTTGGGCGTGGTGGGTTCTAGCTCGTGCTCGGCGTCCTCCGCGAGCTCCTCCTCGAGCGCCTTGCGGCCAGCGGCGGTGAGCTGTGGAGCGCCGGTCAAGATGTCCTTCTCGAAGAACTGCGGCACAAACCTGCGAGACAGCCGGTGAGCAACCATACGGAAAACGAAGGCCCCATGGAGGAATGCACTCACTCGACGCCCGTGCGCTTACGCTCGGCAGCGTCGTCGCGCTGCTTCTGCTCGATCTGGAGCTTGTACTTGGTCGCGTCGTTGTACTCCTTCTTGAGCAACCGGCTCGTGACGTTGTCCCACAGCTTCCGGCTCTCGTCGGGCAGCTGCTTCTCCAGGGGGCGGACCGTCTTGGGCACGATGTGCAGCGTCGAGACGTCGAGCAGGGTCGCGTACTCGGAGTCGGGCGCGTCGACGCGCTTCCAGCGGATCTCGCCGCGCCAGGAGCCGTCGAAGACGGCGAGCACGTTCTCGCGCGGGACGTGCTTCACCTTCGTCCACTCTGCGTGCGCGGAGCCCTTGGGGTCATACGTGTGGATGACGCCCTCGAGCGCGAACTGCGCCTTGCCGAGCCACGACTCTTCCTTGTACTCGATCACCGCGCGCAGCTGCGGGCCGTCCCCGTTGGCGCCGCCTGAGCAAGTGACGACGGTCGAGTCCGCGACGGTGATGTAGAACGAGCCGCGGAGGATGCCGTTCACGGCCGCGGTAGGGTGCGTGATGTGGTACTGCTCGCCCGTGCCAGGCTCGCCGGTGATGCGGACAAAGATGCCCTTGTTGAACGAGCCGGGCGAGACGCGGACGGTGGTCCCAGAGACCTTGGCCGAAATCTGGTCGATGCCGACGAGCTCGAGGTGGCGGCTTGGGCAGGCGGCGTGGTAGGCCGAGACTGGGGGGTGGTGCGAGACTTGCTCGGTGAGGTAAGTGACGCGAACGCGTGGCTGGTCCGCAGCGGTGTCCTCGGAGACGTCAATTGACCGGTCATTGCCAAGGCTCAGGGAAGACATGCCGGCCTCGAGGTTGGACTCAACGAGCTCTGGGGACGTGGACGGTGTGGTCTTCCCTGTACGAGAAGCAAGGCTAAGCGCGCTGAAGCCGCTCTTGCCGGAGCGGCCGCTCTTGATACTCGTGCTCTCGGAATGGGTGAAGTTCGGGGTTGACGCGGCGCTGGAGGAGAAGAAGTAGGAGGATGACGGAATATCCTTGGCTGTGGAGGGGCCGATGTAGAGGTGCTGAATGGGGGGCCGTTGGGATCCGAGGGATAGGTGACGGGGACGATGTCCCAATGCGAGCGGAAATGCTCTCCGAGGACAGAGTTATAGGGCTTGACAACCTTGCCTCTCTACGGCATGGAGGAGGGTAAATGGGAGGTGGCGGCAGAGAGAAGTGAGGGACGCACGATGAACTTGAGGTCCTTGGAGAAAGTGAAGCGGAGTACGGCCAGCATACGCTCGAAAGCATCATCGGAGTCGTTAATTCTAAACCCGGACGTTGATGGCTTCTGTCGGAAGAAAGTAACAAAGCAGAACTCACGCAGCAAAGAGATCCGGTCTGTCCAAGTAGTGCCAGTACTCGAGATTTGGGATTGGTTCCAGAAGGGATGCGGGGAGGGAGAGACGCCTGGGAAACGGAGATGAGAAGAGGACGCGGGGTACGGCGGCGGACGTACATGGTCGCGATGTCCTTGACCCCGAAGCACTTCTTGATGAGCTGAATGATCATCTTAAGTTTGCCACTCTCGCCGGTGTCGCCAGAGTCGGGGACGGAGATGGCCTGGCCGGCGGAGTCCTCATCGAGAGGAGTGCTCGCGTCGTTCTTGGTGGACGACATCTCTTGCGCAGGCGGAAGGAGAGGGGAGAAGGGGAGGCGGGTGGGCGGGGGACGTGGGCGTAGCAAGAAACGTGCGTCTGCGCTTGACCTTTGCCGTTGCCGCTGCCACCGCTCTTTCCGCCCGCCGTAGACGCAGCCAATGTCGCTGCAATAGGCAAAACCGCAAAAACATGGTCCGATCCAGGCTCGAACTGGAGACCTCCTGTGACCAAGCGGCTCGACCCGAGGTCGCACTTGTGAGACAGACGTGATAACCAACTACACCATCGGACCACGAGATCTCTATTTTGTGACTATCCATAGCTCATTGTTTGAAGGATGGACTCTCAGGTGAACTCCGAAGATCACACATGGTCACGAGTATCCAGGTAACAGGTTCTACCGTACAACATACATAGTACTACTGGTTGAACATATATCCGTCTGATATACCTGACATGCATAATAAGTATGCTACACACAGCTCCATCGTTCGGTAGTAGATGTGCTAACTTAGCAGGGGACAGCGGGTATCTGGACGGTGCGGCTGCCTGAAACCACAATCACCGTACCTTGCCATTATCGTTCAGATTAGCATAGCTTGTTCAGAATCGGCATTCAGGTTTTCGTGACGAGGATCTCCGCACCGTTCTTCATCATGCGGCTGTACGGGCACAGCTACAAACAGTCCATAAACACCAAGTATCACTGATATAAGTAACCTATAGTGGACTCACCTCATGTGCTTCAGCAATCACGGCATCATCGTTGCACCCCTGGACGTTGATCGCGGCGCGTAGCCCGAAGCCCTGATCGTAAGCCGTCGGCGGGCCCATGTACACGTTCGCCGACACCTGCGCTTCCTCAACGACTTCCGTCTTGTTTGCGCGCGCGGCGGCCACCTGCAGCGAGCCAAGGAAGCAAGCTGTACGTGAGGACCTCGGTCAGCCAAAGCCTTGTCTCGAGGTGGTGAAGACTGGGACGGACGCACAGGCGTAGCCCATCGCGAAGAGCTGTTCGGGATTCTGGCCGTCGCCCTTTCCCCCCATACTACGGGGCGTGGACATCTTCAGGTCTAGCGGGGAGTCGCCGTACGACTTGACGGCTCCGTTGCGACCGGGGCCTGCGGCAGTCGCCCGTGCAAAGAACTGTGGGTCTATGACGTCAGAGCTGCGCATGCGGATGAGCTGAAGCCGTGACTTACGACGTGGTCTTTGATTGTGTTGGCTCGTCTCTGTTGCATTATGCGCGGGTTGTTAATGTTCTGAGGGGGCGGGTGCTTGAGGCTGCAAGGCCGCGTGGGGCGACCAGACGGAAAACAGCGGCGGTAGCGCGCATGGTGATATCGTAAAGTTACGAGATGAAGACGCGGAGGGAGGTTCTCGATGCATGGATTAGACGGTCGAAGCAAAGAAGGCGCGTTCGAAGATGCTTGGAGCTTCGAAAGTGAATTGGTGAGGGGGTGCTTGCGGTCCCATTGCGGCAGTTATATGTATCTGTGAGCTGACGGCTCCACAACCTGTGCGCATCATACCCGTCGTCGTAAACCCCAGTCTTACGTCGGTGGGCGGCGAACACTCCGCTGCCCCGCACTCGCCCAGCACAGTGCGCACAGTACTGTGGACGCCGAACGGACCTTGGAAAGGTGGAGCTCTGCTGTGCTTTGCTGATGCTCGTCTATGCTGGCTTCCGGACCAAAGGCAGTTCCGACGCGGAATTGAGAACAAAGGTTTGTTGATGTTGGAGCGACCTCGGTATTATTCGTACAAGCGTTTCGGAAGATCTGTCTACTCGATTTGGTGACGTTGACCACAGCGCCTGGCTCAACGCGCGGCTGTACGGACAGGCCTGAAAAATTCGACGATAACAATGAGCTCACCCATCTCATCACGACTGACGAGACATGGTATCACTTGGGACTCACCTTGTGTGCCGCCTGAATAAGCTCATCGTCCTGGATACCCTCCACCTGGATGTCGACCCGCAGCCCAAATCCCTCCATCTCCTTTGGCTGGCCGATGTGGACCTGTGTGCGGATGACAGCATTCATGGCGGCCTCCTTCCTTCCCATCTGTCCTGACACCATCTGAAGGGCGCTCAGGAAACATGCTACCTCGCAACGTCGGTGGGTGCTTTGGGCTAAATGGAGCTGAGGTGCGACGCATATACTCACCAGCGTAACCCATGGCAAGCAACTGCTCCGGATTCTGGCCATCGCCTTTACCGCCAAGAGACTTCGGCATAGCGAGACGCAGCTCGAGCCCACAGTCGTCATCAGACTTCACTTGGCCATTGCGTCCCTGGCCTCGCGCTTCGGCATGCGCAGTGTACTGTGATGGAAGGGTTAACGTGAGCTCACGGGGCGATCGAAGGGACACATGAGTTCTTACCTTGACATCTTTCAGAGTCATGAGGGTGCGACGATTTGAAACCACCGAGCGGTGGGCCAGGACGGATGATCGCTCACGGAGCAAGCTGCGAGCGAAAAAAGTGGACATAGTGAAGCGGCCGTGGATGGGGATGTTCAAGAACAAGAGTGTGGTTGGGCCAACACATTCCGATGAGGATTATATGGAGAGGTAGAGGTGAACACTTTCTGACGTCGTGGGCGAACAGACCAGCGATCCATCGCCGAATGGTCTCAAGCAGCAGCATGGGCGCTCCATGATTTACTTTCGCCGACTTAGCTCAAGTGAACTAGGATATGGGCTTCAATGCCAGGTCCTACGTTAGCTGGTCTTCCTATGAACCAATGCTGTACCAACGACTCGATTCCAGGGCGTTGACGATAGAGCTTTAAGCATGCATCAACGTTAACGACACCCACACCACTCAGGCCGGCTAAATCGAATCGGGACTTGAGAGCCCTTAGTGACGTCACCCTACGCCTCACCGCCCATCCGCTGTTTCGCTGGGCCGTCGCCTCGATCCGACATCGCCCTCGGCATCAGCGCTTCAGCACTCACCCTCAGCCCTAAGACCTCAAGACCCACAGTCGTCAGGGAACCACACGACGGCGCATCCCGCAGTATACAGACTTGCAGACGCCTATAGTTTACTGAGACTATATCGATTTGATCGCACTGTCCCTGCAGCTGTGTTCCTTCATGGGCACTGCAGAGCCACATCCTCGGTCAGAGCCCAGAAACGCCGGAGTCGCAAGGGTGTTGACGTCATCGATGTTCGAGTTGCCATGTGAAATTGTGACCGGTGTCTTGTCAAGTATCCGATATTGAATGTTCGGAAGGCCTCCCGAAGTGGGTGAGAGAGCAGTGCGTTGTCTAGGATTATACCTATTACTACAATATGAATCTGTTCCAGAGGCCTGAGGAGGGGGCGCCCGCCGTATCTACACGTGGACGACATCTGTGCAGCGCTTGCAGAGCTCATCGCCGACCGGCCGCGTGTGCATCCAACAACGTGGGCACTTCTCGCGTGCCGCAGGGCGGATGGCGACCTCGACCTCGGTCCCTGAGTTTGTGTCAGCAGAGTCGCGAGCGAGCCAGTGGAGTATAGCTGACCTGACAAGTCCAAAGTGTCCTTGTACTCCCACTCAGGCACCATATCACTAGCCGCTCGGTCGCAAAGGGTGACACTCGAGACGCCAAAGAGTGCGCAAAGAGTATGCTCTGCACGCGGTCGGATCGTCAGCCTGGATACCAGAAGAGCAAACTGAAATACCGCACCCTCTCGCCCGAGCAGATCGATAATCTCTGGTGTGCTGGCGGTCGAGATACTGATTATGACATCTGTGGCGAGGACGCGCTTGACCACACCGTCCTTGCTTGCGTTCTCCAGTAAAGAGTGCACTTTCGACCGTATACGGAAGAGGGTGTCCATGTCGGTCTGCGCCTCGTTGTTCTCGAACTCAGCGGGCTGTGGACGGTCGGTGAGTGATAGCTCAAAGGGACAGCTAATTTCGAAGCACTCACTAATGTTGTCCAGGGGGTGGTGAAGACAGAAGGACATTGCGGACCGTGACGCGTGGAGTGAATCTCTTCGGCCAGGTGAGGAAGGGCGGGTGCGAGAACTTTGGTCATAGTGGTGAGCGTTTGGTCGAGCACCGTAAGAACACGGCGCCGCGAGAGTGAGTCCTTGCTATCCGCGTATAGGCAATCCTTGTTCATGTGGAAGTAGAAAGACGAGAGCGTGATGTTGGCCATGTACGACAGCTCGTTCATCACTACCCACACCATAATCAGCTCTGGCACCTGTCCAAGTTCTGACAACAACGTACCTCGAGGGTAGTCATATGCCTCGTACGCCGTGCGTGCGATCCCGTCCAGGCGGTGGAGCCGGTGGAGCACATACCGCTCCGCCAGGCCCAAGTTCTCATACGGCACCTTCTCCGCCTCCTCCAGTGGGCGGTCGCCTAAGCTCCCAAGCATAAACCGCGCTGAGTTCCGGACCTTGCGCATCGTCTCCGCGCACTGCTCGAGCACCAGCGGGCCGATCGACATGTCCTTCCAGAACTCGACCGTCGCCGCCCACAGACGGAGCACATCCGGGCCATAGCCTTGCTGGCCGCGCGTCTTGCCCTTGCTCTTCTTCGCCTGGCTCTGACTCTGGGCCGGGTTGATCGCGCCCACGCTGGGAGTGGCGGCGTCTCCGTGGATGATGGCCATGGGACTGACGATGTTCCCGAGGCTCTTGCTCATCTTCTTTCCCTGCTCATCGAGGACCATCCCGTGCGTGACCAGAGTCCGGTACGGGGCCGTACGGGGGCGTGTAAGATCCTGCGCGCTTCCGAGCGCGGTGAGTAGTAGGCTCTGGAACCACCCGCGGTGCTGGTCCGTGCCTTCCAGCGCGGCGTCGGCACCAAACGCACGGCCCTCGGTGTTGTACTCGATGAGGTCCTCGAGCTGCGACCAGGCGACACCGCTGTCGAACCAGACGTCCATGGTGTCTGTGCCCTTCTTCCAGAGCGTATCGAGCTCGGTGTCGGACTTGCCGTCGCGGCGTGAGGGCGGGACGAAGGCAGAGACGGGGCCGTCCCACCAGTATCCGGGTCCGTGCTTGCGGAGGACGTCGAGGATGTGAGTGAGCGAATCAGAGTCGAGCACGGCGCCATTTGTAGGGATGTGGTAGAGGGCAGGGATGGGGACACCCCAGACGCGTTGACGGGAGATACACCATTCAGAGCGGGACTGGACGAATGACTCGAGACGGTTCTGGGCTGTATAAATTACAAGATCAATGACGGTTGAGGCATGGGCAAAAGCGATAGCTTACAGATCTTGGGCACAAAAGACACCTCCTTCATCGCCTCGACGGCATCGTTCTTGATAACGTCGAGATTCGCGAACCACTGAGACGTGGCCCTGAGGAACGATGTCAGCTCGCGCATTCGCCTTATTGATGTGTGACTCTCACAGCGTGATTACCGGCTGATCCGTCTTCCAGTCGTAAGGATACCTATGCTTATACCTCTGTACCTTGAGAACTGCACCGGCGCGCCTAAGCAGATCCACAATGCCCCGACTCCCGTCACCTAACACATCCTTGGCAACGAGACCACAAGCGGCTTCTTGACCAACGACTGCTGCGACATCTGATGTGAATTGGCCTAGACTGTTGACGTGACAAACGAGATTGCTTGCGACGTCCGAAGTGGACCGGGACAACAGGCCGAGGGACTGCATCGCCGCATAGTCTTCAGGGCCGTGGGCGGGCGCGCAGTGGACAAGACCGGTACCTGAGTCCGGGGTGACATGGGAGGAAGCAATGACCGGCAAAGACGCCATGGAAGAGGATGAAGAGTGGAGCGGTGCGAAAATAGGGCGGTACTGAGCACCAACAAGGTTGCTCCCTGTGCACTCCAATGAGTAAAATTACCACAGGGACAGCAGGCGAGCGCACCATCAAATTCACCAAGCACGGTTGGCGGCGAAGGAAAGAGGCCCGGAATCGCATGAAGAGCGTCCGCGCGATCTAACGCGTAAACCAAAAAAGACTGCCCTGCTTCGCTGGCGACGGAGGCGACTCGGTAACGCATCCCCGGGTTCACTGCAATGGCCTACTGAATCGGTCAAGGATACAGCCAAACACAGACTGTTTGCACTCACCATATTTGCAGTCAAAGTCCAGGGAGTCGTTGTCCATACGAGGAGAGACACAGAATGCACATCGGCATCTAGAATGCCCAGCCTCTGCGAAATATCTGTGCTTGACAAATCCAAGGGGAAAGTGACGTATACCGAATGCGAGAAATGCGCGTCATTGTAGACCAACTCAGCCTCAGCTAGTGCTGATTGTGAAGAAGGCGAGTAATGTACGGGACGATGCTGCCTGTAGATCAAGCCCTTCTCAACCATGGCCTTGAAGACGTTCAGCTGGCGTAACTCGTAGTCGGGGTCTTGCAGGGGCAATATAAGAGATGGTATCAAAACATGACGCGCGCACTCACCGAGTGTCCGATACGTGGTCTCCGCGTTCCAGTTTGCCATGATGCCCAACTCTCGAAACTGCTTCATTTGAGATGCAACCTCATTGCGCGCGTACTTCTCCGCCTCTTCGCGGATACGCAATGGAGTGAGTTCGTTGACTTCCACCTAGCGGCACTTGTACGTTAGATGCAGACTGGACGACAGGCAGAGAAGCTTACTCCAAGCTGCTTCAGCACCTTGTTCTCAATCGGAAGACCGTGACAATCCCAGCCCGGATGATAGCTAGCACTTCGTCAACATCTGAGACACGCATTTGTTGACCCATGACGTACTAGACCTTATTCCCTATCAAGACGCGGAAACGGTTCTGGATGTCCTTCAGAATCTTATTCAAGGCGTGACCTGATTTTGAACTGATCAGTAAACGTACATCTCCTCAAACACGGCTCCAGGACGCAGAACGGCGCATTCATGAATCAGAAGTGCGGATCCTCCACGCTTAGTCGCACGAGACAAGCGCAGAGAGCCCGAAACATAATGAACTCGGAAAACAGTCACCATAGCACCGGATACTCACCCATGTGTAAGTCGCCATTAGCGTACGGAGGTCCGTCAAGGAAGACGAACAAAGGTCCCTGAGCATGTTGGCGCTGGTCACAGACACCGTCAGGTTTGTGCGGTTGAGGGGATGGATATATGCGGACCTGCCAGTCGTATAGCTCTTCCGTAGTCTTTGTCCGGATAGCCGGGTCCTTTGACGGGTCGTTGTAAAGAGGAAAGGTGGTCTTGGGGAGAAGTAGGGAGTCGCCCCAGGCCGGGGCCTGCTGGCTCTGTCGGAGGGGGAGAGAGGAGGAGAGCCATCTACGAGCCCATGGCAAGGAGTGGTGGAAGCGCGTGCCGGCCGAGACCAGTGACCACGGCGGCATGGTAAGGTGCGCGGATTAGCTACGCTTCGTTTTTGGTTTTCTGCCCGCGCGCTTGGCCCACTCGCCCGGGCCGTATTGTTCCGGCTTCCATTGTCTCGCCCCACGGTAGGCTGCTGACAACGTGCAATTTCTTCCTCCCGATATGTATCGTGGGGAGTCGGCACGGCGCAAGAGGAGACGGCGATCTCGCAAGAAAGAGAGAGAGAAGGGTGAGCAGAGAGGATGTGGGAGGCGGCGGGACAGCGGCGGCGAGGCGGACCGTGGCGGAAGGCGCTCGAAGGATTGAGGTGCAGCTGCGGTGGACTTTGATGGCGAACTGGGACGAGTAGCAGGCAGGCGAGAATATATACATAAGGGTGCACAGGTCGTAGCAACAGAGGCCGAGTTGAGCCGGGTGCAGGACGGGCATGTCGGAGAGGCCCGAAATGAGGTATAATAGTCCAGAGGAACACAGAGAGGAGGACAAACAAGTGTAAGGGAGAGGCCGCGCTGCAACCGCGTGGACAAACACAATGGTAGAGAGACAGGTGGAGGTGGTTGGTAGCGCAGAGAAGGTACCAAAGGAGCTGGGATAGCGTAAAGTTGTAAACCGAGACCCAAGCTGGAGGCGGGGCGGAGCAGAGCGGGAGATGCGGGTCATCGAGGGATATAGGACGTTCTAAAGGGGATCATGGGATGCGAGGAGGTGAGGGAGAAGGGATATTGTGTGGGGGGAAATGTGATATGTCTGAGGAAGGGTGGGCTGGGCTGTCGGAAAGGCTATCAGTCTGTGGGCTCGCGCGCGCGCGCGAGCAGCGGCATGGTGGCGGCGATGTAGACCAGTGCGCGCGTTGATGCGCGTTGCGCGGGGTCTTATCAGCGGCCATGCGCGGGTGTTTCGGTGATATACCGGTACGGGTTTCGGTGACGGAGCAGTTGGTGCGGCGCGCGGGCTGGTGTGTGTGTGGTTGGAGTTGGGTCGTCTCGCGCGCCGCGCCCGCGCCCGCGCGGTGTCAATACTGCATGTGATCATGCTGAGCAATATCTCGCGCACTGCTTGCCGTCTCCTCCCCCCGCATGGCGCATCTTCCTCAACTGCAGTATAAGTAATAAGAACCCCCTTCCTTGTTCCGTAGTGGACATTTCGCCCACTCGCGTGCACGCACCACCATCTTGAGCCCCTCGCACCCACCAACATGCCCCCAGATGTGGCCAGGACGGTGCAACGTCCACGACACTCGTCCCGAACACAAGCCCGGACCTCGAGTGTGTCATTGTCTCTGAACACTTGTGGTTCTTGACTACAACACGCTTTCAGACTGTGTGTGGTCGGTGAATACAAAGAGTCTTGGAAACGGGCAACTATAAAAGTCAGTTGCACTGGCTCCTAGAATTCTCCTCGTCTTCCACTCACTCTCCTTTTGGTCTTCCCCCACATCCCAACCATGCCCAATCCAACTGGGAAGAATCAGTATTACAATGGCAAACGTAAGTGCACAGATATCTATAGTGTTGATTTCGATTTATGCGCAGAACCACCGCAGGACCTCCAGACGAGGAACTGGAGAAGGCCCTACGTGGCTATTCGAAAGAACTATTGCCACAGCCTCGACAAGTGGAGCGTCTTGCTGAGGACCTGAAGTATCATATCAGGTATGCTCCCTCTTATATAAGTATTTGCGTGATGGTTCAATAATCCGACGTCTCAGTGTAGCGACACTAAAGAAGCACCTGAAAGCTTTCGATATCCCATCTGCACGCAAACCCATTCCACATGCTGATGCTGTCGCGCATGTGCAGGAATTTGTTGCCACAGATGTTCATCGTCGCAACGGACCGGTTGAGATTCGACACCGGATCGCGCAAACAGGAATTATTATACCTCGGTGAGTTTCTCACTTCTGTTTATTTGTACTTCGCTGACCGAGTCGCCAGGGATACTGTACGCGATATCATGCATGACATTGATCCTGTCGGTTTTCACATGCGCGCTCCGGGTGGTCAGAAGAAGATTAAGCGCGGAAAGTTAGACTCTCCTGGCTTCATGGCCCAGCTTCATGTGGACGGCCACGAGAAGTTATCAGCCCTCGCGCTGGCTATGGGCGGTGTGGGACTGGAGATATATGGCATGCGTGAGACGAATGGCCCCTTCATGCAGGCCGTCGTTGTACCCAACGCTCGTTATAACGTCGCTGTGGCACACCTCTATCTCGACCTTGTAGAGAAGCTTGGACGTGAGTTCTGTCCATGTTGATGGCACAAACTGTTCTGATCAACATTAAGACTTCCCTCGGCAAATCACAGCTGACGGTGGTAGCGAGACGGGTTTGCTTCGAAGTGTTCATGTGGCATTGCGGTAAGTTGGTGATCTACATATGTAATCTGTGTTGGTCTCATTTTATTCAGCGAGACGTTCGCACCAGAGTTGCGGGAGATCCCATTCCAGCAGCTCCCCAGCACTCGTAACATCCCCATTGAGAACATGTGGTCTCGGTGGCTCAAAGCAGATGGGGACAACCTGAAGACGATCATATTACAAGGCAGAGGAAACGGTTTGTTTCTTCATGGTCATCCAGTACATACGTGAGTTCGGCTCACACTACTGTCTCAAAATCTCTGCCAACCTTTTTTCTAGCAACTTGTTTCAGTGGCTGTGGTCGAAAGTCGTTCAGAAGGTGATGGACGAGTTCCGCGAAGGGTGGAACCGTCACCGCATTCGGAAGCAGAAGGGAAAGCTTGGCCATCGGATGCACTCCAATGACGTTATTGCAACTCCTACAAAATACGGACTCGAGGACCATCGTGTGGGCGTCACAGATATGTCCGTAATTCAGGCTCTCCGGGCGTGCCTCCCACAGTCCCGCCATGATGCACTTCGCTTTGTCGATGATGAGTTTGACGTTGCGGCCTGGGAGGTGTATAGCGAGATTGGAGAGCCACCTCTTACGGTGCTAAGCGGCTGGGAGGTGTTTGGAAGAATGGCTGCACGCCTAGAACGTATGTACGATGATCATGTAGGGTTTGAGTAAGATATCTCACACATTTCTTGTATCTCACGAGTCCCCACTGCACGCGCACGCTCCCATGGGTTGCATGGAATTTATATTCCAACTCCTGCGTATGCCAAAGTGAGCACTTCTGCAACAGGGCATCGACAACGGTGCACTCTCGTCCGGATACCGCATTGCCTACGTTTCAAGCATCCCTGCTCTTACGCTTTCTGTGTCTGAGTCATACAATGCCACCAACCTCCCTCCTTGACGTCCACCTCACTGTCACCCTCATCCTCACCAACGAACCCCTCCCAGCTCGCCGACTGGCACGTGGAGCAGCAGGTACTCCCACACACGGTAGCCCCGGCCTCACGCGTGCGCACGCTCGTCTGCACAGCGCAGTGTGGAGCGCACAGCCCTGACGACGACGAGCCCTACAAAGAGCCTGGCACGCCCGTGAGGACATGCGCGCGGCTCCACTGCTCTTCTTTTGCTCCGGGACCTGGGTCGGACTGCTAGTCCCAGGAGTCGTCGGTGCGCTTCTTCAGCAGGCACCCGTAGTCTACCCATGGGCGCGGGCGTGCGGGAGCGAGGCACGTCCTCGCCCACCAGCCTGAGCAGGAATGCGCGCGTGGCAGCGGGCTCGAGCTCTGCGGTTGGGAGCGCGCATGTGCCGAGCTTACGTTTCACCCACTGACCCGTGATGACCCGTGAACTAAGAAGGACGCATTGTACATGTAATAGATAGTATTCAATCAAGTCAGAATATAGAGGAGCAGGGGCCGCGTGTATTGCGCGCACGAAGCTTGCGCAGGATGTAATTGCGCCCTGCGCACACCACGATGGATGCGCGCTCTGAGAGCGCGGGTACAGTGCAAGAGCGTGGCGGCCAGGACGCACCGGTGCAGCTGCGCTCCCACTCGTGGATGTCACGGTTGTGGAGGACGCGCCCGCGCCGGAAACGTGGGCACAGAGAGAGCGCGGCGGTGAGGACGTGTCGGTGCAGCTTGTTCTGGCGTATACAATCGTCATCTCGCATGCACATTACAAGAAGGTGAAGGCGACGGGACTCACCTGTACACGCGTCGCATCGGTCTCCGTATCCTCTCGCAAACCGCATCGAGAGCGCCACGCTCGACGGACGGCGCACGCATGAGCCCTCCCCCTAGGCGTACGTGCGAGGCCTCAAGGACCCATCTCCCCTGCACCTCGCCCTTCTCTGCGCCCTCTCCAGCCCCCCACCGCCGCAGTACTCACGCCCCGGTCCGTCAGTGGTGTGTGTCTGTGTCCGTACCCGTGCCAGCATCCTCCCCCGCAGAAGCAGGCGGGTGGTAGACCTTGGAGACGACAAACGTGTCCTCGAGCAGGACGGTGTTCGCGCTCGCGCTCGCGTGCCGCCAGGCGCCGACGCGATACCCGCGGTAGACGGTGGGGGGGCCGCTGCCGCTGCCGCCTGCTGGCGGGATCTGGACGCGGACAAGGACGACAAGGCCGTCCCATGGGCAGACGCGGTAGAGCATGTACGCGCGCCAGGCTTGCGCGTATCGCGCGGGGGTCTGTGTGTGCGTGCAGCGTGCGGAGGGGATGGCAAGGGAGAAGAGAAGCGGAGAGGGAAGAAGAGGCGAGGCAGAGGGGGAAGAGGATGAAGGGAGCGTGCACAGGGGAGAAACAGGTCAGCAAAGGAGAGTGGACAGAGAAAAGTACGTTACCTCGCTGGTGATGAAGATGTCTTTGATCCCAGAACACGTCCGCTCGATGTCGATGTCCGAGTCCGTTGGGCTTGCCACACATGAGTGCGCGTCCTCCGACTCGTGCTTGTCGTTGTCCTCGCTTGATATGGTGTCGATGAGTTCGTCGATGTCCATGTCGAGCCCGTCCTGGACCTGCTGGCGCACGCGGTCGATGCGCGCCGCTCCGCCGTGCTCTTTGCCCATCTCGTGGTCGTGGTCGTGGTCGTCATCCAGCTCAACATCCCGGTCCGCGTTTTCGTCCGCATCGCACTCCGCCACCCTCCCCACCAAGATCTCTGCCACCTTCGCCCACACCTCGGCTTCTTCCTCCTCCCTGTTCGCCACGAACCTCTTGCACGTCTCCGGCTCGTGCGAGTCCCTCTCCCCCTCCATGTAGGTCTTGTAGACCCACTCCTTGGGCATGCCCTGCCGCCGCATGTGTACCTTGCGCCGGCCGCCGCGCGCCCAGTGTGCTGGACGGCGTATGTGTTCAGCGCGCCCTCGTCCGTCGCGTCGCTCGGCTCCCAGAGCGGGAGGAGCTGGGCGGGGGACATGCAGTAGTGCTCGCGCACGTCGAAGAAGAGCGCGTGGGCCACGGTGGAGAACGGGTTCTCGAGCCTCGCGTCGAACGCGTACGAGTGCACCGTGAGCGCGTGCCCATCCACGTCCGGGTCCTGCACGTCGTCCGAGCGTGAGCACGATAAGAGGCCACGGGAGGCGAGAGAACACTCACGAGGTGGTGGCCCGCCCAGAGCCCGGAGAGAGAACCGGGCGTGGGGACACCGCACGTCACCTGCAGCCAGCTCGACATCGAGCTCTCACGCCTCTCCGCGCCGCCTCGGCCACGCCGCGCGCACGGCATCGCGGTCACGATCGAGCGCACGACAACAACGGACAACTTGGAGGTGCACATCAGCCCCGACTGCGTTCCAGGTGAGCGTTCGTCGCGCGCGGGGGAGAGAGAGTGTGTGTGTGTGTGTGCGTGAGAGAGAGAGAGAGGAAGGGGATGCTGACGCGGACGCTCAGCAGACTCTCCGTGGAGCGCGATGAAAGGCGGGGAGAGCGACGTCGGTGCGTCTCCAAGCTCTCCCGTGTGGCACAAGTGCGAGCGGATGGGGTTCGGGGTGTAGGAAGTTGCGGGGTTTTGTATCAGGAGGACTTCTACTACATAGATGTCTGAATTGGGGTTCCCTGGTCGGACGGAATCGCGCGTTCGCGCCGGAGGTCGCAGAGCAAGCGCGAGTCTTTGAGGCGGCATGCTGCTGGGAGACTAGACAAGCAGAGGGCGATCAGCCCACACACCAGACCGCGCGCATACAAAGTCGGAGCACTTACGAGTCCGAAACCTTGGCCTTCCTGCTGTTTTCTGCCGCGGGGAAGAGGCGAAAGTGTCGTTGGAGTGGGCAGAGAAGAACGCGCTAGGTCTGGCTCTTCGAGGTCTTGGCACTGAGGACAAGAGAAAAGCACACGAGCTTCCTGTGGTCGACCGCAGCTCGGACGGCAATAGTAGTCCTTGCTCATCATGTGCGTGGTCTCGACGCGGCGAAGCGCGCAAGACTTGGGCCGTCGATTCGGGGTCGTTCGTCGGATCGAGCGTGCGCCTGCAATCGCCGCCCTCGCATTTCGTCAATACGAAGATGCGAATGACTGTGTCGCCCGCCCCGCGTCTTTCTTCTGCGCATTGGTCGCCGGCAGTTTGGTCTGCGAGGTGGATCAACTGGGGTTTCAGAGCTCGCACGCGGGAGAACGTGAGTGCCAGGACAGGCGGGGGCGGGGGCGGATGGCTATGCGGCGGTGGACGAGGGAATGCTTAAACGAACGGGATATTGAGGTCGGGGAGGGCGGCACGCCAGTCCCAGTCGACGTGTGGGGGCGGGCGGGTGGCGCGGACGGCACGGTACTCGTCAAGGTCGGCCAGTGTAACTGGATCTCCTCTGCTTCAGCGCGGTCAATGGGCATTGGGGAGGGTGCCATGGGATGGGAGTTCGAAGCTCTGCTTCTCGATGAACGCGATGACGAGGAGCTTGGCGGCGAGGGCAACGGGGAGCTCGGTGATGTTGACGTGGTCTCCAAAGTGGCAGCAGGTAGGAGGGCTGAGGAACAGAGAGAGGCAGAGGGACGGAGGCGGGAACGGGGAGGAAGGGAGTTGAAGTCGCGAGTCGCGACTGGCAAGCCGTGCGCGCAAGTGCCGACTCCAGCCGTCACACGTGACTGACCCGTGGTGTCAAGCGCCGTACCCGAGCGTACCCTGACCCGTGAGCCCACGGGTCCAGGTTTCGCGGGTCCGGGTACGGGTCGACTCAAAAATACCCGGGGGTGACCCGTGGTGATCACTAGCCTGTGACTGGGTCAGCGCGACGTGGACTTGCTGCTCTGCGCATTCTGCGCGTTGGAAACATCGCGCGATTGCCTCATGCGTCAGAGACGCGTTCTTACAGGGTGTGGGGAGACCTCTGCGTGAGCCTGGCTGCGCAGGTCGTAGTACATGAAGACAACTGAGGTGTGCGGGAATGGATGATAACACACATGAGGTAAGCCAAACACATACCTGAAACCAATGTTTCTGACAGCTTTTCTCCTCATCGACCTCACACAATACCGAGACCAAGCGGGAGAAGACAAAGGAAAAATGTAAGCCAGCATGAGGACCCTTCGAACACGTGTGTGAAGCTCTGCACCTCCAATCGCCACCCGCAGCAGAGTTGCGACAGGCCTTGCAGGATAACACGGCTCGAGAGGGAACGCAGGCTTCACTACACGCGGAGACGAGTCGGAGGAGAGTCACAAGAGCGACAGGACGACACGATCACCCTGGGAAATCGCCTGAGGCGACGCAGTCATATGACACGTGACTGTGTATGCAACCTCGCTTGTTGCTGCCGCCTCACTGCTAACATCTTCTCACCGAGCTCTCAGCCCTGTCTGTACTCGGCTTGTTGGAGAGGACGAAAATTTGAATGGGCAGTGGCTCTACGGTCGGTGACTCATCCCCAAAGTTAACATCACATCACCTGAGGGGCACTCGGGTATCTCGGCGGCAGAACTGGAGAGGTTTGTTCTGGCCACAGAAATTGTGTGGTCAATATTGGCCACTAATTCTAGGCTTTGTAAATCACTCTTGTGGTCGTGACACAATAGGATAGAATTACTGTGGCCTCACGGTGTACAAGCTTTGTCAGAGCTGTGGTAGCGCCACTGTATCAACAAAGTCTGAACTGCTGCATCTACGGGTATAAAAGGGTTGCTCAGGTGTCCGTTGTGCCTCATCATCTCGCTGCAGTCACTCTACTCCTCTCAAAAATTTCTCATCTTCCTTATGTCGGGTTTAGACCCATCTCTATGTGATGGTGATGATGGGTGCGGGCGTGTCTTCTCCCAGAAGACCACTCCTGGATTATGCACTCTGTGCGCACGCAAGCATGAGCATCGAACATCGGGTGATGCAGAGACACCAGAGGCGTTTGTGAGCACATTTAACCTATTTTTGGCTCTCATGCTAACCACCAGTAGTCATTCCCTCAGTGCGAGCAGTGCGGACGCCTCTATAGGCACCTGGATGCTCCAATTTGTGGTCTGTGCTCTAGTCGGAATAGTGAGTACAAGTTTGCTCTATCTTCCCCGGTCTCATTATACGACATATCACATTAGCGTCAGCCAATATCACACCTCTAGCCTCCAAGGCTGTCAGCATCGCACTTCGTGAACAGGAGAAGCCGCACAGTGTGCAATTCTATCGTTCTGCCTCTCAGGCGAATGCGTCTTCACCTACGACCTCCCAAATGCTTCCACCTCTTCCCCCTGATGTTGTTGGTGCTCGCACCTCTCTCGCACCTCTCCCGTATCGTCCCAGGAATATTCCAAAGCCTTCTCAGCCCGCCCAGTTTGTCTCCACAAGTTCAGCTCATTATTCTGATACTACCCGTCGCATTTTCGTCACTCTGAAACCCACCTTTCACCCTGGTGCTGCTGGGAGGATGATGACTTCTACACTGGCTCCCGTGTCTCAGAACTGGCCGCATAACACTCTAATGCATGGTGAGTGTCCGTCTTAGCCCTACTTGATTGTACGTGCTAAGTAACACGCTTTTAGAAATTCTATCAGACGCTCTTGAGCGTTGGAACCAGGCAAAATGGGCCAACACTGCCTCCCATAGACTTGCGACGTATGTCATGTTACATTTACAAGTTTGCCATCTGCTAACACAGTTTTATATACAGTCAAGACGCGTCCATACGCTTTCCCCATAATCGTAACCCGCTGACCAGGGCTACAGAGGCGATTTCAGTTGGAGAGTTCTTCGACGCTCATTTCATCTCCCCTCACCGCGAGCTCTTTTTCCCAAGTGGCTCGTCGTCACGCAAGAGTGGTAGAGGCAACACACTCGATCTTGAGGCTTACATTGACATTGCAGCGGTATGTGATTTAGTCTCTGAACTAATATGTAAATCTGATTTCTTTCCTGTCACAATAGTTCGAAAAGCGCACAGGGTCCACCGCACCAGATGGGCTCAGTACGAAGAAGGGTGGTCGCAAACGCGCTCATGAGTCTACTGAAGGCGTCTCTGAGTTTTCAGGTACCCATACCTCTAGTAAGCGCTCTAAAGGTACGAGTATTTGACTTGAGAACTTCGCCATAATAGCAACTCAGGCCATTTAGGTCCCAGGATGCAATCAGAGTTCTCCTCCAGCCTCGCATTTGGCCGGACTATGCCGCAATCCACAACCTCTAGTCTATCTGCTCTACAAACCACATCTGCGACTCGATCCGAAGATGTTCTATTCTACTTGGGTAGACTGCGATCCGAGACCGGCACTGGTGGCATCGCTATCACGTGGGATGACATCCCTACAACTGGGAGCATTGCTACCCAGTACTCTGCGTCCGGAAAGACCAAGAGGGTGTATACAGTGAGTTATTAATCACCTTGTGTGGCGCATTGACTAACATCTTTCAGCTTTCCCTCTCCGAGGCTCACACCACCGTCCGATACGTTGCCAAGCGCTTTTTCAACTTTGGCCCAGGTCAGAAAACGGTGTCACTTGAAGAGCACAGCAGCTACCTTGAGTTGGAAGCTCGCCGATTGGTGCTCGGGCAGTTCTTCTTGAAGAACTTCTATGAGACCGCGGAGTCAAATGGTGTGGATGTTGATTTCGGCAAGTGTTTCTCTTTCAACTGCTTGAGAAAGAGGATCTGAACTGACTTGAAACAGGATTCGCGTTTTCTGGTTGCCTGCTTGCTGAAGAGATCATCGTGGATGGCAGCCCCTCTGTCGCGTCGGGTGTCACTTCGGAGCAATGGGCTGATGAACCCAAGCCGCGTCTTCTGTGGCTTCTTGAGCCAATCAGGCCCGGAGGGGAACCGAAGCGTTGGAGCGGAACCCTTGTGCACCGCAATAACGAGAGCCTATCCTCAATGACCATGGGAGCGTTTACTCACTTCACGTATGAGTATAGCAATAGTAATATTGTCATTGCCGACCTGCAGTGTAGGCCTCCTCCTTCCTTCGAGCCTCATAATTGCTGATCAAATATTTCATAGCGGTTCACGGACTTTTCAATGAGCAGTCCCTAACTCTGAAAGCCACCTCCGGTCAGATCTTATTCGATCCCATGACACATACTCCGGAACGGTGCGTGCGCTGCTCTCAAGTAGCATGAATATTTACCCTAAAAATGATCTCAATAGCGATACCGGCATCGGTGACTGCGGCGTTGACGGTATGGACGCGTTTCTCGAGCAGCATGAGTGCAACAGGCTCTGTGATGCTCTGGGTCTCAACCTTCTACCATCCTCGCATTCGTTGTCCCCGAATATCCCTGCTCCTCGTGCTCGCAAGGGTAAGGGTAAGCAGGTGGATCGATTTGCTGACGAGTATTGGGTGGAGCCTGTCGACAATGACAATATCGCAGAAGGGGGTGGTGACAAGGAGCCGGAGGTGCAGGAGAAGATAACACTGGACGAGACCGAGACCGAGGAGTCCGGTAGGGAGAATGCTATAGAAGAGAATGGCTCAGACGACGATTGAGTCTAGGGTTGTAATTGTGTACAAATGGTATCTGGTCTCCAATATCCTGGTCTTGAATGGACTTGTACAGGTTCAATGCTGGCACACTGGAAAGAGTGAGCATGCGTGCAGTGTGAAGTCGTGCATACCAACGTGGCTCTTCAAGCATGGGGGCGCATGTAAGGAACACGGTGATGCTTGCCGCACTCTCTGCGGCACCATCTGGGTCGGGGGCGTAAAGATTGCGTGAGACTCGGGAGCTGTGGCCAGCGTCGGAGAGGGAAAAGGTGTGGAGAGCCGGTGCGTGCATCCCGCCTCCCTCTAGGCTGGCGCACACGTTGCTGACCCCAGGCACAGGCGGGAATGCGGGGATCGGGTACGAGACGTGCAAGGTACGTCGACGGAGATAAGTGCTTGTGCTTATGCTTGTGCTCACCGACGCGGAACACATACAGTGTCTGCTCGCTCACAACGTGTGTGTGTACCTCGTGAAGCGCAGCCACTTCAAGGCCGAGGGTGTTATCGCGTTGCTCAAGGTCGCGACGGGGCGCGAGGCCGTCTTCTTCGAGCTCGACCTCGTGAGCCTCGTCTTCGTCCATAACACGGCGGATGAGTTCATGTGGAAGGAGCGCGAGCTGCACATCCTCTTCAACAACGCCATCAGGATCCCGGCTATGACGCACTATATATGATGCTATGCGATGCCTGTCCCACGCGCCGTTCTTGCCACTCATTCAGTTCCACACTTCTCCATATGTTATGCTTCCGGATTCCTGATTGCACATGTATATATACTACGATACTGTACAACACTCTTTAGCGATCAATGCAGTTCTTGTATTCTCTTCTCACATCTCGTGCGCTCCCGGCGTCGTCAGCCATCGCCCTTCGCCACAGGCGCTCAGTGTTCCCATCGCCGATCACGCCTTGCGCACCCATAGCCGACCGCGCCTGAGTGTTCCCATCGCCGACCGCGCCTTGTGCACTCATCGCCGACCGCACCTCGTGCACTCATCGCCGATCATACCTCGCGCGCTCTCGCGACTCGCTCGCCTCTTCGTTCATTGCTGCACGCCCGCGTCAGGGTGGCCACCCAGGCGCGTCCAGACGCGGGTGTCAAGGTCGAGCGCGAGGAGCATGTTCCCACCGACTCCCGAGCACCCAGTCCGTCGTCCCGCCGAAGACGAAGAGCATTCTGCGGACGAGGACAATGCAGAAGTCGTTGTAGCTCGACTCGAGCGGCCACAGGCCCGAGCCGAGCGCCATCTTCGTTTTCACCTGCGACCACGTGTCTGTGCGCAGGTCGAAGACGTCGAGCGTCGAGCGGCCGTGGAGGAAGTACGCCCGCGCGTTTGGGGGGTCGACCTCCATCTGAAAGTTGGGCAGCCGCCGCGAGCTACGCTCGGGGGAGACGGGGTAGGCGGGAAGGGCGCGCCAGCCTGCCTCGGAGTCCTTGCCAAGGTCTATGTAGTGGAAGTCATGGTACCTGCGCGCGACGTGAGCGGCGTCTCGAGGCTATGACGGTTGAGCTTACCAGGGTCCCGGGAGCGCATCTTTCTCCCCACCAAGCACGTATAAGCGACCCAGGTCTCCGTCAATCGCAGTCTAGTCTTATGGAAGATCGAGTACGCACTGTTCCAGACGAAACTCGCAACCCCCTGACGAGGGGCGATGCCCTTCACACGTATCTTCTTCCAGCTTCCCATGAGCTGGAGGCGAGGGTACTTGATCTCCTGCTGGGTCACCAAGGCCGGGTCTGGGTGTCGCAGCGCCGTCAAATCCTCCAGCTTGTAAGGCCCCCTCTCCACGAGTGATTCTAGATGCCCGCGGTGCATGGTGGGCATCATCCCGATATTCTCGACGATGGACCGCAGCGCTGGTGTTACCGAGGTCCATGACCACCTCCATCTTGTTGTAGAAGCCAATCGCCCGTCCGTCCCAGTAGTCTTGTGAGTTCAGATGCACGTTCATCCACTCCAAAAACATTGTGAGCAAGGGCGTTTGATCTCAAGGACGACATGCCGACCGAAACAGGGGATAGGGCGAGTGAAGTAGATGTTGCGGAGGATCGCATGCATCTCCACCACCCAATTGAGTGCCTGCGATGAGTCGTCAGTATGCGTTCCTCCAACGATAGCCTTGGGGTCAAACCTGCACATAGTTCCCAGCGCGCCGTTATAAGGCGTCTAGCCTTACAAACGTGTGCGTCTCCGGCCTTCCTTTCCTTCTGCACCCACGCAGGCTGATGTGGGCGCAGCAGGGGCGTGATGTCCACCCCTGTGGAGATGCTCACCAAGGAGGCCAGTGGGGGACGAACGTCAGTTTCGACGCCCCCATATAGTGTATGCTACTCACCCAAGGTCAACGTCCGACCGTCCGCCTCGCCTCAGCCGTTCCGCCGTCCTGACTCCTCCGTGTCTTCTCCGCTTGCACATCTCTTCCTTCCTCCCTTTCACGCGCTCACCTTCTCCTCTCGCGTCCCATCAGCGCGCCGTAGGGACGGGCTCCGCAGAAGCATGGGAGACCGTGGTGTCACATAAAAAGTATTAGTCATCATCTATTGTCTGTGGCCGGCACAGCCGGCACCGGCCCGATGCCGCGTCAGCGCGCACAAAACCAAAAACGAAGCGTAGCTAATCCGCGCACTATAGGCATGGGCCGAGCGAGCGAGAGAGGGGGCAGGCGGATACAAAGGCTCAGGATGTGGCAGGGCGAGGTCACGGCCAAAGGCCCGGCAGGCGCGTCGGAGGTCACGTGGGTGATGCGCGCGAATGGGCGTGTTATTTTGTTGTGTTTGTGGCTGGTTGAACAAAACGAGCCGCGGGGCGAGCGCTCGTTGGCATCCCACATCCACTCTGCACCTTCCCCATCCTGTACGCTCAACCCTCATCGTGCCTGTCTCTCCCACATGTCTGGACTTCCTGTGAGTACTCATCCTCGCGCCCTACGTCCCCCGTCGTGCTGAGTTGACCCGACGTTGTCCGCCGCCACCTCGATAGACACGACGTGTGACCCGGGCCACCGCGCGGCCCACCGTCCTCAAGGATAAGGAGAACGCAACAGCACGTAATGGCCGTACAGCAGCATCCCGCGCGAAACCCCCTTCCACACAAGCCGCCTCAGAGAAACCAGAGAACATTAAACCCGCGGGGTTGTCCCGCGTTACCGCCTCCACGGCAGCCACCAGGGCCAAGTCGGCGGGCGTAGCAGGCTCCAAGGTGGACCCTAGCACCCAGATTAAGCGCAAGCGCGAGGCCTTGGGCGAGGTCCCCAAACCACCAGAGAACAGGGCGGGACCCGCAGACGCCGGCGCCGGAGCGTTCGACTTCAAAGGCAAGGAGAAGGTCAAGGAAGTGAAGGAAAAGTTCGAAGGCGTCGTGGTCAAGCAGACGACGACTACGACGACGGTTGCTCGTAAGCCTATTCGCACCGTCGTTGATTCCTCTACGACAACCACCGCGATAGCAACTTCAACAACACGTCGCACGCGCACCACCATCGCCCCGTCCCAGTCACAACTCAAGCCCCTACGAGAACATGATGAGGATGCCATGGCGGTTGACTCCCATCCCGTCGCTCCTATTCCCTCACCAAAACGCTTCGTCGCTGCTCGTGAGGAGAAGCGTACTGGCATCCCCGCACAGTCCCGCGTGCCCCGGCGTGTCACAAGGCCACAGAGTCGCGAAGTGGACGAGGAGGAGGCGCACCGCGCATTCAAGAAGCGGCGCACATCTTCAGACGTCCCCGAGGTCGAAGCTCTTCACGAGGAAGAGGTTGAGAACGCAGTGGCGCCCGGAGAAGCCGATCCAAATGGCGACGAGTGGGACGACCTGGATGCCGAGGACGATGATGATCCCCTCATGGTTAGCGAGTACGTCGTCGAGATCTTTGAGTACCTTAAAGTGGTCGAGGTATGTTGTCAGCCTTCATGCGCATGCGTGTCTGTATTGATGCTTCTGTTCAGCAAGAATCGATGCCCAACCCCAAGTACATGGCGAACCAGAAGGACCTCGCATGGAAGATGCGCGGAGTCCTCACGGACTGGCTGGTTCAAGTACATTCTAGGTTCCGCTTGCTCCCCGAAACCCTGTTTCTCTGTGTCAACATCATCGATCGTTTCCTCTCCGCTCGCGTTGTCTCGTTGGCAAAGCTGCAGCTCGTGGGGATCACGTGCATGTTCATCGCCGCCAAGGTTGAAGAGATCCTTGCGCCTTCGGCGAGCAACTTTCTCTACTGCGCCGACTCGTCATACACCGAGACCGAGATCCTCCAGGCCGAGCGTTATGTCTTGAAGACCATCGAGTGGAACCTCAGCTACCCGAGCCCCATCCACTTCCTCCGCCGGATCAGCAAAGCTGACGACTACAACATTCAAGTGCGGACAATTGGCAAGTATCTGCTCGAGATCCAGTGCCTCGAGTGGCGCCTCATCGCCGCTCCCCCGTCCTTGCTGGCCGCTGCGGCTATCTGGTTTGCGCGCTTGATCATTGGGTTTACGGAATGGGTAAGTGCTTCCTGAGTTGTGTTGTGGCTATGTCGCTCACCTGCGCCAGACCCCGAACCTTGCGCACTACGCCTCATACCGGGAGAGCGACCTTATCCCGACGGCAAACTTGATGCTTAACTATGTGCTCAAGCCGGTCGAGCACGAGTCGTTCTTCAAGAAGTATGCGTCCAAGAAGTACATGAAGGTCAGAGAGTGTGCCGCCTCCCTTGGATTGTCGTTGCTGAGCTTTCTCCCCGACTGTAGGCCAGCGTCTTCGTGCACGATTGGGCGCGTGAGCACTGGGCAGAGAACGCGCGAGTGGACTTAGCTTCAGAACTTCCGGCGCTGAAAGAGGTTCTTCGCGAGCGACGTGAACAGGAAGAACGACTGCTAGCGGCGCAGGATGCCAACGGATACGACAAGCACCATCCTTAGGCAACTTTACTGCAAGTGTTTTGAACGGAATGTCGCGCCGGCGTTGCGCCGTGGACTCGGAACTGCATGAACCACCCTACTCTATCGTCGCTTCGCCTTTCGTCGTCGTCATCATCACACCCGCTCTTCGTTTCCCCGCGCGCACGGCCGCGCGCTGTGTTGTCTAGCATGAACTGTCGTCTCCCGCTCGGACGCTCGCCCGTTCAAAACTGCATACCTGCATACCACCTGCACGATGTTTATTGTTGTCCTAATCGCCATCCTGCCATCGCCATCCAATGCCGTCCTCACGCTGTACATTCCCCTCGCAACTCACTCCCCCGTTTTTGCACCTTGTCTTCATCCAGCTCTCTGTCTCCCGCCTCCCCCAGCCTCTTCTCGGTCGCCCCTGCCCTCCCCCACCGCTGTCAGCCGCCGAAGTTCCCCGCGCGACTCACCTGTCCCATCCTGGTCCCCTCTCTCCCTTCCACCCGCACTCTTTGCCCACGTTGCACCCATGCCCACTTTGTACCTATCTATTCCTCACATCCATCCAACCGCCTTCCCACGCTAGATGCACAGTAGTAATACTCACGTGGCAGTCGCCCTCATGTGCCATGGCCGCCTGCAAGGATTCCCCCACGTATGTTATGACCTCCCTCTAGCCCCATGTCTACCCCAACCGTGTTTCTTGCTTTGTACGCTACCATGGTAATTGCCCTGCGAGTGGGCTCTGAATGCAGCATGTCAATGTCAATCGATGTCCTCGATTTGTCTCCGGGATATCAAGGCGTTCTGGGTCTCGCCGTACGTCCGGCTGGTGTCTTGTTCAGCCGCCGTCTGGTGGATGCCGTGGGCTCTGTTGTGGTTCGTGAAGGTATGGTGCAGATTGGCGCTTATCTATAGTCTGGAGTTCATCTCGTACCGAACCGGACAGGTGATGCATGTGTGCGAACGTTCGCGTCATATAGGACAGGTAAATGTACAGTACAGTAAACGGGACGACCGACGCCTCACGCGTCCGCCCAGAACCCACGCACTCATCCCCAGATAGCCTCTGCGTCCACCTCGCGCGCAGATCGCTCCCCCTGCGGCGCCCCGTTCGGCCCGTGCTGCAGCGCCTCCTCGTCGGGCGGAAGCGCGATGGGCCCCCGCCTCGGCCCCCGCCGTCCGCGGAACCACGCCCACAGCGCCGAGATGACGAGCGCGGCGGGGTGGAGCACGGTGAACGCGATGGCCGTGACCTAGAACGTGGCGGTGGGCGAGCGTCAGCGATTGTGCCGCCCCGAGCTCGCAGAGCTGGTTGAACGCACCATGATAGGATACGGCTTCGGGGACTGGCTCCACAAGCTGGCACACATCCAGGTGGCGGCGACGCACCAGACGATATCGCGGCGCATGGCGATGACGAGCAGGCCTTTGGTGGGCTTGTTAATGCGGCTGCGTTTGCGTTGTGGAAGGGGGGAGGTACACACCGATCAAGTTGACGCCCAGTACGACCCCGAGGCCAGACCACTGCCCGCGGTCGTAGTGCTGAGGCTCACCGGGCGACCAGGTCTTTCCTAGAACGACACTGGGCGCGCGGTGAGGATACGGGAAAACTGAAGGCACGCGGGGCACTCACAAGAGACTGTTCGCGAACAAGACGTTGAGGGGGAGCAGCAGGAACGCGCGGAGGGGTGCGTGTATGAACGCGATCTCCAACGGCCTGGGAGTGCTTCGTGAGCGCATCTACGAATATATAATTTCAACTGTGCTCACCGTTTGTTGGTGGGTGCATGATAGACGAGTAGCACGATGTTGGAGTAGAGGAGCAGGACAAGAAGGACGCCCAGGCATATGGTGGAGATCAAGAATGCTTGCAATATCTGTTGGATGATGAGTTACGTCGCGTCGTTCTGAGTCCCTCTATTCTCACCCACGAGATCGCCCAGAGTGCCATAACCCAATTGGAGAGCATGAGGGGCATACCGCATCCTTTGATGAGCGCACGTTTCGTCTCCGGCGCGCGCGCGAAGACAAGGAGAATGCAATAGCCGACTTGAAGGATGTATATGCCCACGATGTAGACGGCGACCATGTACGGTTGTGGTGTTATCGACGAAGGATATAGTTCGAATATTCTGGCTGGACGATGTCAATGAACATATGATTCAGAGTGAGCACTTGGAGGGCTTGACTCGCGCACTGACCAACATTTGGGTTGACCATGAACGTGCACACCATCAGAGTAGCGATATTGACGAGTAAGGACAGTGGTGTCAGCACTTGTAGTCTGTCCACGCGAGGTCAGTGTATGGACTGCTATGGCCGAGGAGCGGGGACGAACCTGATGAGAGCGAGGTAGTCTCTCACTGCGGGGTGGGAAGTGTCGATAGGCAGGTCTTCCATCATCTTGGTAGGAGAGAGGATGGCGGTAGGAGCAGAGGAGGCTCAGGAACGACAGGCTGGCCTCGCTCGACGCTGGGGCCAACGGCGAGCGGAGAGGGCGATGACGTCAGAGATGAAGGGGCCACACGTGGCTAAGAATACCCCTATTCTAGGGTTTCCATTCCGGGCGGCGGTTCTTGAACGCCTGTCGCCTGCTGCGCCTGATCAACACCCTCGCCGCCTTCGCCAACTCGGACTCGTCGCCCACGGCCGCATGCCTCCCGCTGGCACTCCCGTCTTCGAAGATCAGAACGCCGGGCTGTCCAGCGCGCCAGTGCGCCGGCCGGTGGGTGCGAGTGCGCGACACGCGTCCCGGCCCGACGTCTGGAACGGCAGCCATCGTACGTCGTTCTCGCCCGCCCTGGCCGCCGTTGGATGCGCGCTCTGGATCGCTTGCGTCTCCCATCGCTTCCCATCTTCTCCGGCCGCCGCCCCCTTCGTCGCTCACTGATCCTTCGACGCCTTCCTCGAACTCCCCCTCGACGTGCTCAGCACCCGCTGCACATTCCTCAGAGGCCCCCGCAGCAGCTTCCACGTCCAACAAGCAGCCTTTCTCACTCACCTCGTCCCGTCCAAGCCTACCTATCTCTCTCCCACACCTCGTGCTCCCCAAGTATCAAGTCCAATCGGCGTTCTCCCCCCACGCCCCACGCCCCGTAATCCGAGAGTCTGTCCGACGTCTCCCCCTGCTTCTTACAGCTCTCGCCGGCTTCTGCTCGCCACGGTTCGCGGGAAGCAGGAGAACAAACGCCGCACCTATCCCCTCTCCAGCTCCGGCCGTCTTGGCCCCTCCGCTCGGTCACCCCGTCCCACCGATTCTCGCCTCTCACCATCGCTCTGCCCTCGCAAGCGTGTGTTTTTACGTACCGACCCCTCCTCCTCCTCACGCCCACGCCTGTGCTTCCCCCGCACCACAACGGTCCGTCTACAGCGTCCGCGGCGGAAAAGGGAGCGTGGGGCCCGCACTGCACATGATGCAGCGTGTCCGTGGCGTCCACGGGCGTCCCAGCCTCGGACACCCCTGGCGTCCTGTACGAAATCCGCTGGCCCGACCTTCGACGTCGGCGGAACCTCTTTCTGATGCAGCCGACGCGTATCCCCGACTAGCCCATCCTTGGACCGTCGCTCTCGAGATCGGCACCCGTCCCAGATCGTCCTCTCCGTCCCCAAATCCATGCATCACATCGACGCGTCACTCGCCGGTCTCCCCTCCCCTGCAACCCTCCTGCTACGACGGTCGAGTGCACCCCGACTGTCGCATGCCCACAGCGTCTTCTCTCGCCGTCTTCGCCGACCTATCTCCCTCATCTCACAGTCAATCTGCGGCTGCCGGTCGCGGTCCTGTCTTCCCCAAAACGCACCCGGTGACCAGCACGGCAATACCTCCCGGCCTCAAATTCATGCCGGACCACCGCCGCAACACCGCAACACCGCGACACCGCGCACCGAGCGATAGAGCAGGAACCCTACGCACATTTGCTCGACACCCTGCGCTCGCGGCCATCGCAAAATTCTGGAGACCGCCGAGCCCGTTCGCGCTCCGAAAAAACAGCGTCGCCGCACCCCTACCGACGACCGACCCTGAGGCTCTCCTGCATGTGCGCCCCTGGCGTACCTCCTCGCATGCCCGACGATCCCACGCCCGCCTACAAACCCGCGCACCTCCAGGCTCCGTTCCCCCTCGGACTCAGGCTCGCCCCGCCCCGTCCGCACGCACCCGCCGGACATCTACATAGAACCGCTAGCAGCGCCAGCACCCCTCGCGCCCCGTTCGGCGGCGCCAAACCCCCGACGGGGCCCTGGTCCTGGTCCTGGGCGAGCAGAAGGCGAACCACGCCGAGTGTGTGCGCCCAGATGCGCCCCCGCCGCACCCCTGCACCCCATACGTAACGGAGAACGCCGCACGCTCTCTGCCGACGCCGTCGTCGACGCGCACGGGCGGCGTCCGGGCGGTGGACGGGGTGGGCAGGAACGATCCAGATCCCCAGGGCCCCCCTCCGCGCGTCGTCCTCGGCTGGGCGCACGTATAACCCAACGCTATCACTGCCAGCACGCGGGCCTGGTGGGGGGTTCTTCGAACGTCGGAACCCTTCGAGGGCCCTCGAATCCTCGATCGCACGAGCCGCGCTCCGAGTGCGCCGGACGTGCGGCGTCGCACATACCCTACATACCCGGGCTGTCGCCTAGCCTAGTGTGCCCAAGGGCGGGTGCCGAACCACCCGCGCGCGGGAGGACGCGGTTCGGCGGTTCGGGAATTCGAGGGTTCGGGGATCGCACCGGGGCGAGCCAGACCGGCGGCGGGTGTGACGGGGGGTGCGTGTACGTACTGCCATGCGTGCATGTATTCGCTGAGCACCGCACACGTACGAGGGCGGCACGACGTCATAGGCCTGGTGTGTGCGACCGGGATTTGTGTGTGCAGACTGCCTCCGGGACGTCGATGCGGAGGCTGTCGCCGGGAGGAAGCGCGAATACTTGTGCGCACCGGTACTAGTCGCTCGCTCGTCTCGTACCCGGTCACTCCGCACCGCACCGCACCACCGGCGTCGGACCCAAGTGCTCGACATGGTATATGCGTCGTCACGGCTGGGCCGTACACGCAGCGCAACAACCTTGAATCCGCTCGTCCTTCGTCAAAGACACACCGACCCGCCTCGGCGCCGCGGCCCACTGGAGCGAAGCGAGACGCCCCGATCGCACGCCTGTGCAAACGCAAACGCAAACGGGAGAAGCCTTAGCGAATTCCGCCCACCGCGCGTGTGCGTGCAGCTCGAGCACCGGGCGCAGGCCCAACTCAAATCCAATCGCCTCTGAATCGCCGCCTCGTGCGAAGCTCTGCGCCGTCCGTCCGTCCGTCCGACGAACGCAAGACACCCACCGGCGACCGGGCACCGGCCGCTCGCCGCGCGTCCCACACTCTCGCCCGGGCGCACGCACGCTCCCGACCCGCCGGCCGAGCGTGGATCGTGAAGCGAGACTGACGAGTCAAGGCGGGCGGCGGAAGAGAGAGAAGGCGAAGGAAAATAAAGACACTAAATTAACAGGATCCAGAGACACGACCGACCCCTCCCAAGCGGTGGCTTTTTCGCGGAATGGAAAGGATACAAAGAGAAACTCCAACTGCCCCTGTCCCCGTGCTCTGCTCTGCTTGCTTCCGCCTCGTTCGCTCATCTGGACGGGACATGGCTGGCGTTGGTGCGAGACTCTTAGTACGTCTTCTTCTTCTCGTCCACTGAGAACCCGCCGGGGCCCATGTTCACGAGGAGGATCAGCCCACCGACAATTGCTATATGCGGACGCGAGTCAGTAACATTCAGTGGCAAACGCGCAAACAGGGACTGACAGAGAGTCTGGAAGAAGTCGTATCTGGAAAGCAACATGCGTCAGGATGAATGCAGGGAGCGAAATAGGACGGATGTACGTACTTGAGGAAGTCGCGCTGGGGGTGCGCCGAGTGGATGCTCCAGAAGTTGTTGATGAACACGTTGAAGACGCTGAGCATCACGACCAGGAACGCGGCGGACCACTTCGCCTTGAAGCCGACGGCAACCATGATGCACGCCGCGAGGCCGACGATCGACATGAACACACGCGCGATGCTCCACGTCCCGCGGAGGATGAAGCCGATGAAGAGGAAGATGAGCAGTACACGTCCCGCGAGGAGGAAGCTGTGCACGCGCACGCGCGCGGAGAACGTCGCCCGGTCAGCGTGTGCCCCACATCAGAGACAGGTGATTAGCACCCACTATTTCTTGCGGTCGTTCTCCGAGAGCGTGGGCAGGCCGGCGAAGAGCTTCTTGCGGGTGTACATCGAGTCAGAGAAGACCATGAGGAGGCCACCGATGACGGATAGGTTGCGGAGGAAGAAGTTGAGGTCGAAGATGAGGCCGTAGCCGAGAGCCTGGATGACGACGACACCAAGCAGACCGCCGACCGCGTACTCTGTGTACCTCTTCGTGATCACTGCGCCGGAACCGACGAGCATCGTCTAAACAGATCGCCAGGGAGGGAAGCGTGGAATTAGGGACTAGGCCATAACGCAACAATGCAGCATACGTACAACCACGTTCAAAATCAGGAAGATGTGGGAGATGCCCCACGGGAAGTGACGATGTCTGGCAAGCCACGAAAATCGCATCACCTCCTCCGTCCAACACGTCGCAGTGAACAAAAATGCAAACGCACCTCTGGAGGTACCAGATCTGGTCGCTCCATTGCGTCATGATGCGCAGCGAGTCCTCCAAGAACGTCCCGACGATTAAGAAGCGGCCGATGGCGGGGAGGTGCGGCTTGAGCGGCTGGGTGTAGATGTCGACGTTCTCCTCGACCGTCTGCGCGAACGCGCGCAGCTTCTCAATCGGGTCGTCCGGGTTGGCAGCTCTGTAGCCCGCCGAGGGCCGTGAGTTGGCGAACCCGTGCGGGTCCGGTGAGTAGCCTCCAGAGGCTGGGCGAGCGATGTTGATGCGAGCCGACATGGCGTGCGTGCACAAAGGGCGGAAGGAGCGGCGCGGCCGAGGCGTGCGGGGGTGAGCTTGCGAGACGAGGTGTGGAGCTTAGGAAAGAGACGAAGGGCCCGCGAGCGCGAGAGAGAGAGAGAGAGGAAGTGGGAAGAGAGAACAGCGTCGGAAGCCGTCCAGGAGGTGAGGGCGACGTGGCGAATACCCGTGGGAAGGTGCACATGGACGATCGCGCCCCTCCAGCGCAAGGCCGAGCAACAAATGCGGTCCCCATCATCTGCACATCATCCGATCATCCCCTCTCGCACCCCGAGCCCACCTCGCCATCCCCGACACCACCATCTGCGACACTGCCTGGCACTTATGCTGCGCGAACCACTGAGCACCGGCGGGCGGTTCCAGCTGTCGTGGGCCAATCACTGCGCGGCGTCTCGAACACGTGGCGGCGCCTACGCGCTCCCTGATGGCGCATCGCGACGCGCGACGCGTTTTGTGTCCGTTCCTCTTTGCAGTTTCACCTCCCCGCCCCCTTGAGCCTCGTTTTGCGGGGAAACATGGCAAGGAAGCGCAAGGCCGCGGTGGTTGACAGTGACAGCGATTTCGACGCGTCGTACGAGCCCCGTGGTACAAGAGACGACGCGAGCAGTGGTGGCGAGGACGAGGACGACTGGAGACCGAGTAGGAGCACAAAGGGCGCGGCGCGGACGCTAAAGAAGAAGGGAAAGGGAGGCAAGAGTGGAGACGCGTCGAATGCGCAGCGGTTTGTCAGCGACCGAGGACTGCCTGGAGGTGAGGCATGCACGCATCCTGCCTCCCTCCACGTGCTCGACCGCCCCGTTGCTCTCCGGGAAGCCCTGCTGGACTGGTACGAGGGCGTGCACGCGATGCGCGGCATGCCCTGGCGCAAGCCGTTCAATCCTCAATGGGATGGGGAACAGAAAGCACAGCGCGCATACGAGGTACGTTTACCGCCCATGCTTCGCTTTTGGGGCTGACGTTCACATACACTACGCAGGTGTGGGTCTCGGAGATCATGCTGCAGCAGACACAAGTGGTCACCGTCATCCCGTACTATAATCGGTGGATGGAGAAGTACGTACGTACACCTTCCTTGTCGGTCCTCACTCTAACACGTCCTTTCTCCGACAGATTCCCAACCATTTCTGACTTGGTGGGCAGTTTTCCTGACGCTCCTTTCTCTTTCCCTCACCCAATTCTTCCTCTTCGCAGGCAGCGTCCGATATAGACTCGGTGAACAGCTTGTGGAAGGGTCTCGGGTACTATTCCCGCGCTGCCCGGCTCCTCGCAGGCGCGCAAAAGGCCGTGAGGGACTTCGGCGGGAGACTGCCGGACAATGCACAAGACCTCGAGGCGAAGATCCCCGGCATTGGCCGCTACAGCTCCGGCGCCATCGCATCTATCGCGTACAACGAGTGCGCTCCCGTCGTGAGTCCTCTTTACTCCGACCCAGAGCGCCCGAACGCAATTCTGCAGTCTGTACACGATTCTCCGGAGCATGTTCGAGATACTCCAGGGCTCTCACCTCCATTCACTTCCGGCCCTTCCTACGCTCACACCTACTTCGCAGCTCGACGGAAACGTCCACCGGCTCCTCAGTCGTGTCCTCGCCCTCCACGCCTCCCCGAAAGCGAAAGCAACGCTCGACCTCCTCTGGGCCGCCGCCGCCGCGTTCGTCGCCGCCGCGCCGCGCCCGGGCGCGGTGAACGAGGCGCTGATCGAGCTCGGCGCGACGGTGTGCAAGGTCCAAGCGCCCTCGTGCGGCGTGTGCCCGCTCCAGGCGCACTGCGGCGCGCACGCCCGGCACGGCGCGTCGGAGGCACCCGCGCCGCCGGTGCCGGACATCGAGGAGCTCTGCGCGGTCTGCGAGCCGCTCCCCTCGGGGGCGGGCGTGACGGCGTACCCGATGAAGGCGGAGAAGAAGAGGGCCCGCGAGGAGCTCGACGTCGTTAGCGTCGTCGAGTGGCGCGCCCCACCAGGCGGCGGCGAGGATCCAGAGCGGTGGTTCTTGCTCGTCCGGCGCCCTGAAGGAGGTGAGTGCGGCCGCGTCTGGTTCTTCATTTCTGTGGTATCGTCGTGACGTGGGGGCCATTGAGTCGAGAGCGATGCTCGGGAGCGCAAGACGTGCTACGATACGGTTTCGCTGTTGACAGACGCGGCCTCGGTGGGCAATCTACCCAGTCTCGTCTTGTCTGGGGCTCCTCGGGCGGGATGAAGACCTGGTGATTGACACGAACGCACGGCTCACGCTTTGCTCTTCTAGGACTGCTCGCGGGTCTGCACGAGTTCCCGACCGCGCCGAACGTGCCGCAGAGCACCTCCCCACAGGCCCAGGCCGCGAGCGCGCACGCCCTCCTCTCCTCCCTGCTCGTCTCGCCCCCGCCATCTCCATCCGGAACGGGCGGCAGCGCCGAGCGCTCTCCGAAGGGGGTGCGAGTGACGCAGATCGCGCAGGCGGGCGACGTCCTGCACGTGTTCTCGCACATCCGGAAGACGTACCGGGCGCAGTGGGTGCTCCTCGAGGGCGGTGCCGGCGAAGCGCCGCCCGCGCTCGCCGCGAACCCTGTCCTCGCGTTCGCCGGGGACGGCGACGGGGAGGCGGGAGCGAAGCCGCGCGCCGCCGCCCGGAAGACGAAGAAGGCAAAGGCCCACGACAAAAACGACGACGCGGCGGCGGTGGTGGCGGCGGCGGCGGACGCGAGCCCGACGCCGCCGCAGACGCAGTGGGTCCGGATGGACGCCGTCGAGCGCGCCAAGTACGTTGTTCTCTTCCCTCCTTCCCTCTTGCCGTATCGCGAACGCTCATCGGCGCTGGGCGTGCTTCCCCGCGTGCTCGCAGCATCGGCACGGGCGTCGTGAAGGTGTGGCGCCAGGTGCGCGCGCTCTGGGAGCGCGAAGGCGAGGTGCGCGAGCGGCCAGCGAAGAGGAAGGGAGCGCGGAAGAAGAAGGGAACGACGGGCGCGGACGCCGCCAGCCCAACCACCCCGGAGTCGTCGCCGCTGGACTAGGGCTGCAACCCCGTGCTCGCCGCCCCCAGCGGTGGCACACATACGCACACGCTCTCGCCGCCCTGCCCTCGCCACCGCCCGAGCTCGCACTCGCTCCCGCCCTTCCGACTCGCTCCCAGCCACGCGCAAAGGCACACGCACCGCCTCGAGTTGTGCCTCTGGAATCAGCTCAGGGAAGGGCGCGTTGTGGCACGGGACGACTCGCGCTAGGCCGCACTTGCATACACTAGAACACGCCGACGGGTTGGCGCGCGCGCGGAGAGCGTTGGGCCGCCTTGGGCGGATCCTCGACAAAGTCTAAAACGCACCCGTCGCGGGCGCCTGTGATCTTTGACCGCAGGATCATGATGCACGCATGTACAGACGCCTGCGCATCTACACCGTCGTGTCGTCTTTGCTGTCCGCGCACTAGACCAAGTCGGCTAAACTTCGAGAGAGGAACAGCGCCGGGCACCCAATCGCGCCCGCTAGTGCCCCTGCGCCGTGCTAGAAGCTGGGGGCGTCGACGCGCGCCGGGGGCACGCCTGCCCGCAAAGGCGCGGACAGCGGACCAGCCTCCGGTCCCATAGGAATGAACGACGAAAGCCACGACGGCTATGTGGTCTCCACGTGCTCGCGCCTTGTGCGCTGGGGGGCGCGACGCTTTGCAAGCCCGAACTCTAACTGCGTCCTCCTTGTTCCAGAGGCGGGAGAAGCGGCGTGCGACGGGCGGCCGAGTCGCTGCTCGGGGACGACGTCGACGTTGACGGCATGGATCACTAAACTGACTCTAATAACGTCTCCAGCCCACTCTGCGGGGGGCCTCGCGCGGAGGGTGCGCGCGGAGATCCGCATCTCGAGCCCTCCTCGATCCTCGCGCTCCCCGCCCCGGGTCCCGAGGTGGAGGCTGCCATCGAGCGCACGGCGGGTCCGACCCCGTGCGTCGCCCGTCCGGGATCCTGGCCACGGTGCGACGTACGTGCTCGGTGCTCGGTGCCGCCAAGTTCGACCCATCCCCGCGTTCGCACGCGTGCTTGTCTTCCTCTCCGCGCCCGCGGGACCGGGCGCGATAAGGCCAAGCCCCAGCACACGAGTGCGCGGACGTACGCCGTGGTCCAGCCCGCGACGGAGACAGCGGGCCCATCGGGCCAGGCCTTCTCGTCCTCGCCGCCAGCTGCCACCGCACCCGGGGGCGAGATAGCAGATACGTACGTACGTCACAGCCTGGCGCGACGAGTGGGGCTAGCGTAGGTACGGGCCACTGGGTTCGCGCAATTGTGCATGCGCTCCGCGCGTGCGGCGTGTCGGTGGTGGCGTCGAAGCAGTCGGACTTTATGAGCGCCTTGAGGTCGTCGGAGGCCACTTGGGGAGACCCGCGGTGCGGATTCCTGCCTAGAGGCGCGCGACCGCGCCAAGCTCTGCGTGTTCTCTGACGGCAGTACGAGCATCCGTGAGCGACAGTGGTTCGGAATGCCAGCTGGATACAGCGAGCGCTGAGACGACGTCATACGCGTCGATCGGCCTCCGATGATTCCGAACCTCGAGCGCGGCTCTCCGCGCCGGAGTACGTGCTGCTGCGTCTTGCGATTGGCTAAATGCAGGCACGCCGTGCCGGGTTGTTCCAGCCTGCTCAACTTTCAACCTGCAATCAGAGAGACGCGGGGCTTCTGGGATGAGCGGAATGCGGCCGGTGCAAGTTTATACAGGTGTGCGCACTTAGTCAGCGCAACAGAGCGGCTGGCACGACGATGCGTCGATGTGACCGGGCCGCGGGTCACGCACGACGCCCCGGCCCCCCGGGTGCACAAGTCGCGCAGGCTGAGTCGGATGGGTCGATCGCATGCTCGCCCGAGCCACGAGCGCGAGTCCCGATGCGGTCTGAACGTCGCGCGATCCCGATCGCGCGGACTCCAATCTCCGCTCCCCACCGTGTTGCGCACGCACGCGTCTTGCGCAAGGATCGCAATATTGGGAGTCAGAATAATACACGAAGACCCGGATATTCAGGTTGCCGTTCCTGGCCACGATCGCAAAGAAGCGCTAGCCCAACAGGCGTCTATCTAGGGGAGGCCTCAGGGTGCGCGCGCCTGTTACAGTTTACTCAGACTTTACTCTTTTTCCTGCGCCGATTCGCTGATGTCGATGCGCCGGGCTGGAGTCGCCCCGCCCGGCTTGGCGCGGAAGGGCTGGAAGGGCCGGCGAGAGATGGTGATCGAGGGATGGGAGCGCCTCTGTGTGCGGCCGCGTAAAGTGGTGAGCGCTGAACATCTTCACGGTACGCCCCCCTTGCCCGCCGCCCGCGCTGTGGGGCGGGTAGTAGCTAGGCGGTTCAGCGTGTGTGGGCGAAGCTGGAGCGGCGCTCTAATATTGTGCGAGTGCGTCCTGCGTTGCAAGTCCTGCACGCTCCGACAGTGGCGACATACCGTAACGTGTGGCCGTCCCCACTAGCCCTCCGTCGGAGTCGCCTCCGCGCCAAGCTGTGCGCGATTTTAGTTTCCTTGTTACACGCTGCCCGCCCAGGGACGGCCCAGTTGCGAACTCGACGAACACAGCGACGCAGGCGCCCCGAGCCCGCCGCAGATGCAGATGCCATCCGCCCCCCCGGACGCGCTCGCCGCCTGCGACTGAATGGATTTGTGCGCGCCCCCAGGCTCAGCGGAGAAATCAATGATGGACCATCGCCCCAGCGGCCGCGCCCAGCGCACGGAAGGAGGCGCGGACAGTTCGCAGTCCCGTTTCGAGTCCGGATTCGCGCGCGCGCGCGCGGGGCCGACGTGCAATCTTCCTTTGTGCGCATCGCGCGAGTGCAGATCGCGCGCGTCGGTCAATCCCCGGGGCCTCGCCTGTCCGACAACCTCGCCCCGCCCGTGGATCAGACTTTCTGGCGCGTAGGCTCGTGCGCGCTAGGCTGCGAACGGCGAACGCGACGTCTGCCCGTGCACCACTCACGTCTGATATCGTGGTGCATCTGCGGTGCGCGGCGCGCCTCAGCCCGCGGCCGTCCGTCGTCCTTCTCCATCTGCTCCGCGCTTTCCTCGTGTTTCAATTTATCACCGTCGAGCCCGCTGCTCTGCGCTATCCCGCCCCGAACACCAGCCGCCGCCGTCCAGAACGGACCTATGGCCAACCCAAACTCGCGCGCGCGCCGAAGAATGCCCGGCCCGCGAGCGATCCAGCAAGCCGTCGGGAGCCTGCGCATGCATGCGCCGAGCTCGCCACGAAGCGGACAACTGAATGCGCACGGGATAACCGCCGTTACAACAGATCGGACTCGTACGTGCATAGCACAACGTAGGAACTTAACTGTAGTCTGGCTCGAATTCTTCATTCATCATCGCCACGAAGCAGACATCGCTCACGTCTCACGTCCGTACGTTGCACCAGAGAAGACGTCTCGAACCCTTCCGCGGAGCACGATTTTTCCGTCCGCGCCGCGCAGCCTGCAGGGAATACAACAGAAGCCGCAGGCAATGCGCGGTCTCAGACTCATCCCGCGCGCACTCGACTTCCCCGCAACAGCGACAACACAACACCTTCCCGTGTTCCAGCGACCGCTTCTCCCGCTCCCTTCCCGACGGTCGACCCTGGGCCGCGCGCACCGCTCGCGGCATCAAATCAAGTCCCCGTCACCACCGCCGCCGCCGCCGACGACGACGATGACGACGACGCGATCGCGTAAGTCGGCGTGCGTCGCGACCGCGTAGGAGGCGCCCGGACCACGACCGTCGGCCGCGAACGAACGGCGATCGCCCGAGCCTGAAGCCGAGCCCGCGCGCGCGAGGGCGACTTGTGCGGTCTGGCCAGCGGCGGTGGCGGCAGCGGGTGCTCGCACGAACCACCCTGCCGCGGGACGGGCACGATGTGTGCGCGTCGATCGTGATTGCTCCCGCGCCGGGCCGCCTGCCGTCTGCGCCTGCGACTCTTGAGCTTGAGTATCTGAGTCCAGCGCTGCTGCCTTTCGGCGGATCCTCCGGCGACGTGGAGCTAGGAAGACGCATACGTGTGATGCACACAGTGTTCTTGGTCGAGCCGAGTCGAGGCCGCGTCGCGTCGCTCGAATGAACCACCCTGCGCGCTCGCTCCCGTACATATAGTGCACAAGATAGGCCTAGGTGCGCGGGCGCAGACGAGTCTTGCTAAGGACCTGCAGGCTGCGGGTTCGATGCCCCTGCGCACCGACGTCCGACGCGTGCTTGGTCAGACAACGCAGTCCAGGTCCACCACCCACAAACCGCAAGTGCTGCGCCCGCGGTCTCGAAGCGTCGGACGCCCCCAGCCCTGCACCCCTCGCACCCCCGCGGGGCTAGAGTAAGTTGGAGCGACTCTGCGCCCGCTGCATCGCGCGATCTCCGTGGCCCCCATGCGCGTGGCAGGCCGCGCGTCGCGCGTCGCGCAACGTCTTTCATCTCACAGCTCTCACACCTCGATAGGGAGAGGGTGGGTCAGCATACGGGGAGGATGGCGCCCGCGATCGGCGTGGCACGTCTCGTCTCGACGCGTCATGAGCGCACAAACGGCGCGATCGGTCCTGTCTGCTCGACCTCGGTACGTACCCCCGTCTTTGCGAGCTCGTGGGGGCGCGTACGGTGGCTGCTATACACATGTGCAGCGCCCCGGATCCCGACTCGAGCGAGCACACACGACGCGCGGGCCGCGCCCGCGCAGTGGCAACTCTAAACGCACCGCGCCGCCGCCGCACGCTAGCCCGACGCTTCATAACTCAACCTCGATATCGCACGCCGTGCAAGCTGATGCCGAGGGCCGTCGTGCATTCCCCGCGCGCCGGGCCCCTCAGCCGCTCGATCACGATCGACCGACGCAGCGGCCACCGGCACGTCTGAACACCCGACCGTCCGAGTCCGCCCGCACTCGCGACGAGGGGGCGCACCGGCACCCCCTGGGCCCTCAAGGCCTCAGACTCCACCCCGCCCTCGACGCGAGCGGAGGCAACGGTCGCGCGGCGTCGTGGCGCCGCCACTTGGGACCAGCTTGTGGACGCCCTCAGCGCGCGGGTGCGAGCGGCGGCGCAGCGGAGGGCAGCAGATGCCGACACGATGGGACGCCCGAGGATGTCAACGGCGCAAGTCGGGAGAGCAGACGCACGGAAAGACGAAGGAAAGGCGCGTTCATACATGCCCGCCTTTCCGGCGGGCGCGGGGGTATTGTAGTGTACATTTTCGTCGTGCGAACGAGCACCCGTGCGACACAAACAAGAACAATCCGACAGTCCGTGCATATAAAGTCCGTTCCGGGGGTGGGGTATGACAGTCGACAAGGAAATGCTACCAGAGAGGGGTGGGGGGAGGAGGCCTGTAGATGGACGCATAGATCGAGAGAAAAGGACATGGTGAGGTGCGTGTGCGATAGAGATCACTACGTGGTGATATGCAAACCGAATGGGGGGGCGATGGTGGTGATACAAGCGTGTGGAATTACCATATGAAGATGCGAGGCGGGTATAGTCGGGCGGAACGGTCGTGCATCGTGCGCGTCGTGCGAGGTCGTAGCGGGAATCATGGATCCACGTCTGCAAAGCGGGCAGGTAGCCGACAGCGAGCGACTTCGGCGTGCTCGAACCCCCGGACTGACGACGGATGGCGGTGGGGGTGGCGGCAACGTCGAGTGCGTGGTGCGGGTGTACGCGGAAGGATCGGGTGAGAGCGTTCTGATAGGAAGCGTGCGTGCGCCGACTGCGTAGAGGCCGACGGCCTAGACCTGCGTCGCGTGCACTCCGTCTTCTGTGATTCCGCAAAGGGTAGTGTCACGGGGCAGTGACGGCAGCGCAGAGGGAAGTGGGGGAGGAGCAGAGCCGAGACGACGTCTGACGTGAGGCCAGTGACAAGCCAGCGGAGGCGGCGAAAGGGCCCGGGGCGACGGGGAGGGAACAGACGACACCCTAGGCCAGAGTCTGATGACGACACGAGCGCCCTCTTTGTTCTGCCGCGGGATGTGGGCCACCGCGCACGCTAGATCGAACGTGCCTGTCCGTATGGACGGTTTTGCCTGCTCAAAAAGGATATATGGCTATCCTCTCAGAGTCCTTGGGCTGCAGCCAGTGCGAGGGCGGGCGCGGTTTTACCACCGCGCGCCGCCATCACGAACCCGTGCGGATTTGGCCTCGTCGTCCACGAACTGATATGGCGAGCCCGCACCGTTCCACGAGTCGCGGCGGCTGCTCCTCTCCGGCGCCGCGAAACGCTTCAGGTAGAGCTCGTCCATCGGGTCTCTTCGCCGACCTTGCGCTTGAAGACCCTGCAGGTACTCGATCGGCACAAGCTTGGGACCCGACGGCGGCGCTGCGAGCTCCTTGACGGACAACGTCAGCGAGACGTTCGACGGCGGCGTGAGTGGCGACGAGAAAGTCCGGGGAGATGTGCTGTGATCGGATGACGACGACGACGAATGGGTGTAAGGGGACGCGTCGCGGTAAACCGTAAGGCCGCTGTCGTGAATGTTCGGCAGGTGGCCCTGGTGAGGTGGAGGAGGGACGCGGTGTACGGCGGTGGGGGTGTAGTGGGGCGATCCCGCGGACTCGTACGAGCTGCGTGGCGTGGGGTACGCACGCTGAGGGGGTGCGAATGGTGCGGAGTGGCGGGGAGGTGGCGACCCAGTTCGCCATTTCTGTGGCTCTGCGCTGTATGGGATGGCTGTCGGGGGTGGCATGCTGATGCCCCACGGCTCGTGAGTGGCAGCGCCAATGTCCTCGACAGGCATGGGATCGTTACGCTTGTTCATCTTGCTGGCGCGAGCGCTCTTGAACATGCCGTCAGGACTGGAACGTCACCCACACTGACCAAGCCATCGATGGTGCCGAGGTTGTCAAGCGTCGTTTGACTGAAGTATGCAGCTGCACGCTTAGTCAGCTTTATGGCGTCAGCAGGGGTAGGGTTAGCACTCACTGAGGTGCCACTTGCGAGTGATGCCTCGTGGCCTGTCCTCGGCAGAGAGACGTGGACGCTGTATGTCTGCTTGATGAGGCGGTCGGCCTCTGACCTCGAGAAATGGAGAGCGCCGCGAGCATTGGACTTCCTGCATCAGAGGACGGATCACGAAGTGAGTGATGAACAACAGACGTCGACGGAAGACAGGCACCTCATCATGCTCGCCCAGCGTGCAGAGGGGTTGTTGGGATCTTCGGAGGGTTCGTTCTCGCGCTGCTGGTAAAAGAGGAACTCCTGGAAGACACCGACGGACATCAATCGACCAGAACCGGATATCAAAAGTGGCGCCGAGACTCACGTCGCGGACACGGCTAGGACCCCAGCCCATACCGTCGGTCCTGTGATGAGGAGCGGGGGGTGAGGACGGGTGTCATGGGGGGACGCCACCGAGAGGACGCACCAGCGCTCCATGCCCATACCAGTGGCTCGGAGTTGGCGCAGCGCTCTTCCCAGACGTAGACGCAGCCCGAGGCGATACTAGGGGGGCGGGTCAGAGGCGGGGTCGGACGGGGGGAGGGAGGAGAGGGGACTGACGCCCTGCGCTCCTCGGCGTCGAGCCTGCGGGTGGTCATGGGGAGGATGTTGCGCGCGACGGCGTAGAAGATGTGGCGGGCATCGTTGGTGTGGCGGATGCGGACGTTGGTGAGCGTCGGGTGCTGCATGGCGGCGGGGGGGCGGCGGGATCGGGGAAGGGACGCGGTGGGGGGAGGGGCGGGGCATATATACGGACCGGAGAGGCGCTGAGGGGTCGGGCTGGAGGAGAGGGTCGAGAAAGGTTAAGCTGAGACCATCGCGGCCCACGCCCAGGGGCACGGCGTCACGTCCGAGAGGGGATCCCCGAATCTGCAGAAGGCCCGATTGAGTTTGCATTAACTTTGCCGCCCGCAAGCCGCCCACAATAAACCCCAGCTCGCGATCGGGGTCTCAATCGCCCGCATCGCCCGCCCGGCCTGCTCGATCCGGCCAGTCCACCTCTGCCTCCGTCTGCCCGGCCTGCCCGGCCGTCTCCGCCCTCGCCATCATCCCCGTCTGCCCGTCTGCCTGCCCCGGAGAGTGGGCGGGTGAGAATCGCAGGCCCGGCGCCGTGTTCCCATCACGCCCTCCGCCCGAGCATCTCCATCACGCGTCCCCCAAGGTTATCACGGCCAGGGCGCCTGTCCGGACGCGTCGGTGCGCGTGATTGCCGCGCGGCGCGCGCGAGGGCATTTATCTGCCCTAGCTGATAGCCCTCCTGATAGCCGCCCCCGCGCGGCCGCCTGGCATCGCGCCGGCGCGGCGGGCGCAGCGTCTTCCATCCTCCGCCGCCGCGCGCGTCCGCGGGCACGACGCGACGCGAAGGCCCGGCAGAAGCGCGAACCAGCGCGCGAGCGAGAGACCGCTTGCGGCTGCTGCTGTCGCTGTCTGCGGCTTCTGCTGCTGTCCGGCCCCCGTTCCTGTCCGGCCTGAGTCACTCTTCTCGTCCCCGCCCGCCCCCGCTCCGTGCCCGGCGCTTGACGGGGTGTGGCGTGCAGGCGTGCGGGCGACCGCGCCGTCGCCCGCTGCCGCAGCCCACAAGCTGGCTCGGCGCCACGAGGTTCGCGCGCCGTGCTGGCGGGGGTGCGGAAAGTCATGTTAGGTCTGGGGGCCCGCGAAAGGGATAGGTCGAGAGGATGGCGCTCGGGCATTGCTCCCGCGAGCAGGCTGCAAACGGGCCCCAATCAGGGTCGTACGTACACAGCTCGCTACTCAATCTAATAGATTAGATTGCGCCCCGCCGACACACGGTCGCTAGCTCCGATCGCGCCCCGGCAACTCGCGCCCGCCCGCCCCGGGCGCCCCCGCGGCGCTCGCTCTCTCTGGCTTGGTCAGCATCCCGCGTCGCTGGCGTGCCCGCCACCGCTCGCCGGGGCCCTTGGGCGCTGCCTCCCTCCCGCGCGTCCTATGCTGCCTCCCTTCTTCTTGCCTACCTGACGACGAACAACAGCGCACCCCCAAGCCGCCGACGTCGACGGTCTCGCCAAAGCCTCAGGGCCTCGCTTGCACGCCCTCCCGCGAGGTGTCCCCGGTACCCGACTCCATTTTGTGATCCCCGTCAGGCCGGGGCATCCGCCACGTCGGGCGCGCGGGGAGCGGCGGGCGAACGGGCGAGCGGGCGGCCGGGCACGATCAGAAGCCTAGGGTGCCCCCGCTTGCACCCGGAGGCCCCTGCAGAGTGGTCATCCAGCCGTGCGGCCGTCTCTCTCTCTCTCTCTTCCCGCCGTCGTCCTTCCCACCAACGGCCGTTTGCCCTCCACACGTGAAAGAATCTGTACCTGCCGGCGGGTCGCCGCGCACTCTGTCTCAGACGACGGTCGTTTTCACGAGCGCGCTCGATCCTCGCCCGCGCCTTCCACATCGCGATCCAGGTCCATGGCCTTGTTCTCAGCTGCGAGCACCCTCGACCTCGAACGATCGCTAATCACGAACATACGCGCTGCCGACTCCCATCGCTGCCCGCAATCGCCAATCCGACGCCTGCGCCTCCCTCCAGCCTGGAAAAGGCCATCCGCCCAACGCACGCCATCTTCTCTGGAACATTCCGGGCCATGGACACCGCTCGGGCCCCCCGTGGATTTCATGGCTCGTATCCGGGAAGTTGGCGCGACCATGCCCCAGTTCGACGACCTGCTGCTCTTTTACGTAGCGCACGGCGCACCGCTCGGCCTCTCGGTACGGGTCTGCTCACATGTTTCGCACCCAGACTAACCAACTTGGTTGCAGACGTCACCGCCGTCAGCCCAGATTTAGCGACTCGCAGCTAGGGTGCTTCCACCCACGGCAGGGTCAACGACGCAAGACACCGCTGCCCGCCATCTCGGCCCTTTCCACGCCCGCTTGTAAGATGCACTCGCCCGCCGTCGCCTCGTCGATGCCCATCTGTGGCGAGGCGAGGCCGCCGCAGATGGAGAGCGGACCCAGTCCGTTCTCGTGCCTCCCTCGGCGGACAGAATTGGGCCTGCTTGCTGATTGATGTCTACAGCAAGTCCGGGTATGGATATGGGATCCGGACGCGGTGGTACGCCGTGCGCACCGTGGGGCCTGGGAGCTTGTGACAATCCCTCCTGGGAGCCGCGGAGTACGCACACCCATCGTGCAGGCCGTGCCCGACCGTTGCTCGAAAAGCGTCGCGGGAGAAGCCAGCCGACGCTTCCGTGCCGCGGCCGCCCACATGACCCCTCCACTCGCCCTCGCTCTCGTCTCGCGCTCATCGCGGCGGTCTCCTACACCGCCGCTCGACTCCGCGCTCGCACTCGCCTCCCAGGCCGCGGCAATTCTGCGTGGACCCGTCCCTCGCCTCGCGTCCTCCTCCTCCCACCCCCCCTTCGCCGTTGTCGCTCCCATCTACCTTCTGCCGTTCTCGCCGTTCTCTTCTCTTGTATCGCCGCACCCGCATTGGCACTCGCTTGCGCGCCCTTCCCCTCGCCCATCCACGCACACTCGCGACAGCACCCGGACAAGAAGAGCGTCCCCTGCGCAAAAGCGCGGGGCGGCCCACGCGATCGGCCGTACCCCCTGTCTCCGCCGAGCGAGTCGTCCCTCCAAGTACTCCCGCCTCCTTCTTCGTCTCGCTCTCCACCCGCGCGGCAGATCTCGCCGCCCCAGATCCATCATTCCGTCCCTCCTGCCACGCACGCCTTCTCCGGGCCCGCCCCGCACCCACGGCGCCCACACGACCCGTCGACGCTCCCCGACGTGCCCGCGACGGACAGACGGCGTGCGCACCCGACGCATGCGCGCACGCGAACGCGAACGCCTTCGCGGCGCAGCACCGCCCTCGGGATGCTGGCAGGCTCGCAGGAGCCGGCTCGCGAGCTGCGTCGTGTGCGCCCACACGGCAGCCTTTCCCTTGCGCCGGGCCGCCCTCGCGCGCACCGTTTACGTCTGCCGGAGCCCCGGCGACGTCGCGCGGTCGCGAAGGGGCGGTCGCGCGCGAGGTCGCAGCGCGCACACGCGCGAAGCTTTTCGCGCGTCGCACGTCTCTTCGCGACGCGAAAGAGCCCACGACGGGCCCCGGTTCCTACGCGGCTGCCGTACGAGGAGCGCGCGGGGCGGTATGATCGCCGCCGGCGCGGCGCGGTTCGAACGTTCGATGACGAGAGCCCCAGCCAGTTCTTTACGGGCGTAGATCGCCGACGACGAGATCGCGGCGAACAGAGGTCTGCAGGGGGCGACGCATCGAGGAGCCGTGGATGGCGGGGCTGGCCGTTCGTTCTGGTGCGGGCGGGCTGGCGGTCACTCGAGGTGCGTATTCACGGCACGCTTCTCGTGCTCGCTCCGGGCGAGGTCCCCTTCACGCAGACTGAACCCGCTGACACCCTGACGTAGTTTCTGTAGACTTGGAGACGGGTATGTATGTGTATGCAGTCCCGTTCTGCCCCCGGCCATCGCACGCATTATTCCGAGGGCGCGCTCCTCCAGCACTGGCACTGGCACTGGCCATGCGAATCCGAAGGACCGCTGCCGTACGTCAGAGGGAGCTTGACACGGCCCGGGGCGCTTGCGGCTGTTTGACAGCCGCGGGGTCAGTGTTGCAGGTGGTCAGTCGTGCAGGGCTGGCCTGCTCGAGCGCGCACTGTTCTCTTCCTCTCCCTTTTCCCCGCAGGCGTCAGCACGCCACCACCGCGCCCTGGACGAGAACGGCAGGCGCGGTGCCGTGCGCGGTGGGCGTGGACGCGCACGCCCGCACGCACGCACGCCCGCACACCCGCGCGGCACAGTTCGCCGCGCGAAGCCGAGCGGCTCATCCGTACTCGCCCCGAGCTTCAAAGCTTCACCGTCGCATGCACGCCCGTGCGCGTACGCCGAGTGAGTATGTATAGAGTCGGCGTCGTGTGCGTCCCCTTTCCCGCACCCCGTGCGGCCGCTACAACTTACTTACGAGCTCAGCTGCTCCGCGGCGTTGACAGGCGCACTCCGCGAACTGCGTCCGGGTGTGCGCGGCCCTGAGCGGCCTGGCGTAAGTAAACGTGCGCGCGCGCGTGCCTGACACCGTTCACCGCTCCCAGTGCCACGATCGATGCCGTCGGCCGCTTTACGCCCCCCGCGGACTTGGGAAGGCTGGGGAGGGGGAGGGTGCCGCGCGGTGAGGTCGCCGTGCGGTATGGTCGCCGCTGTCGCTGTCCATTGAGAGGGAGGTGCTGGACTGCACTGGAGCGGTCGAGCTCTCGAGGGCGAGGTGCTGCTGAACGTCTGAACGTCGAACGTCGAACGTCGAACGCTGGGCGTGACTAGTGGCGGCGGCGGCGGGCGTGCGCGTGAAGGTGGCCTTCATACCGAACCGGTCGCGGTTCGTGGGTGGGATCCGCACACGATGATCGAGCGCGCGTGCGGGCAACCCAGATCTGCCTCCGCCGCCGCCGCGGAGCGCAAACGGCGAGCGCGAGCCTGCCGTCATCGGGCACACGACGACGAGGGCACAACGTCCGCGAGCGTGCGGTCGCGGAACGTGGCCAGAAGCCCGCAGAGGACGTCGCAAACGCCGGTCGCGGCGCGAAGGGCCCTTTGTTCTCCTCCGCACGCGCGTCACAGGCTCATCCATGATCAGCGCCGCCCTCGGGCGCGCGGAGTTGGAAATCGGTGTGCCCACCCAGGGCTCACGCTCACGCGAGCGGGCCTCCATTACGCCCGTCGAAGATCCCGCGGGCGATGCGCGAGGAGGAGAGGGAGGGCTCCCACAGCTCCGTGGGCGGCCCTTTGTTCTGCTGCTTGGTCGCGCTGCGCCCGTCCGCCGCCCACGTAAATGCGCGTGATGGCACTGCATGCCAACGATCCGTCTGGAGGATTTCCCCGGCGACCCCCACCGCCGCCCGCGCGCACACACACACATCCAGTCGCGGGTGCGCGCGAGAACGGTTCGCCCGGCGCCGGCATTCCAACGCGCGAGCACTCGCATTCCTCGGGCGCCGGCGCCATGGAGGGAGAGTCTGTAGATAGACGCGCGATCTCGAGTCCAGTCGAGTCCTCGTCCAAGTCCTCGGGCGTACGCAGCAAACACTGTCTTTGATTCCACATCTCGACGCCCACGTGCCGCGCGGCCCTCGCCCTCCGCCCTCCGCCCTCCGCCGCCCCAAGGTCCCAAGCAAGGTGCAACGTACGAAGCGCATACGGCGCATGACGCACCCCCCACCCCCCAAGCCCTCCTCCCGTCCGCCTTGAGCCCGGCCTCAAGGCCGAGAACGCGCGTGTTCGAATCTCGCGGCGCGCAACCCGAGGGCCCCTCGGTGTCGCGCGTGCCCCGCACGAGCACCCGCCGCCCGGGGCGCCGGCGCGCGGTGCCACGGTGGCGCGCCGCGCGACGAGCGGGAGGTCCCGAGGTCCCGAGGTCCGAGGCCCAAGGACACGCACGCAAGGCCAGCCTGCGCGGTCGCTCGCCGTTCGAGGGTCGCCACGTTTGCGATGGTGGCGTCGTCGGCGGGCCCACTGCGCCCCGCTCGCGAAGGGCGTGCGGGCGTGGGCGTGGCACCTGGCGCAAGGCCGGGCTGGGCAGGCCAACGTACGTTGTTCTGCGTTCGTCTCGGCCGGTGGCGTCGCACGGCAGTCTCCGTGGGCGAGGTCGACGAGATATTACAAGGTGAATTTGACGAGTTCGGAGCGCGTCGAGGCTCGACGGTTTCCATCTGCGGCAAGGACACCCCGGGGGCCCGGGTCCCGGCTGCAGGCTGCGCACGGCCCTAGCGTCGCAGCGCAGACGGTCATGAGCACACGCGCATCTGAGGGTTGAGAGAAAGGCGGGAGCGCTAGCGGGAGCGGCGGCGGTCCCGTCACAGAACCGCGCTTGCGGTCCCCAGGGACTCAGCACTCAGGGCGCAGCGCCGCCGGCAGGCGTTCGCGGACTTGCAACCTTGCACGCTTTTACCTACGCAAACACGTACTCTGTACCCAAGCATCAAGGGCGGGCGGAAGCACGGGAGGACGGGACGCGCGCGCGCGCACGGTTTGCGCCGCTCCGCGTGGCTCTCGCACGTGAAGAGACTCAAATGTATGTGCATCGGCGCCGTTCCGAGCGACGGCGACGGGGCGCGCTGGCGGTGGACGGCGTGCGCCCACACGGACGCCCACAAAGCCGCGTTCCCGCGGAGGCACCGACGCTGAGCACGTCAGTGTGTGCGCGCGCAGGGGAGGTGGGAGGGGCGGGGGTCGGGGCCGCGGGGGAGGGGCACGGGCACATCGACGGAAAGTGCTCAGCCGACGCGGGCTGCACAGGGGCAGGGACCGCGGTTCGTCCACGCCGCGCTCGCGCGCGGTGCCCCCGCCGCCAGGGCAGCGGCGCTCTGCAGAACGCCGCGTGCTTGAAAGGCCGCTGCGGCGGCGGGCGCCTCCCGGCCACGCCCCGCGCCCCCGCCGCACGCAGCCGCACACTCAAAAGGATCGCGGCAGATGGGCGCCTCGCGTTTTTGCATTCTGGAGTTGCCGCCCGCTCCCCCGGCGCGCGCCCGCGCGACGCACCCTCCTGGGCGCAGGCGCACACACAACGTCCGTCGCACACGGGCGCGCGGGCGTGGGCGAGCGGGCGAACGCGCGGCGCGGCGCGGGCGCCCGACTTTACGGTTTGCGAGCCTGCGTACGTGTGCTGTCGTCGGCTGCCGTCGACTCTTTCCCGCCCTACTTAATGGTGGTGACGACACCCTCTCGCGCGTGGGGGAGGCCGAGAGTCCGTGCGTAGGTAGCCGATCGAATGCGGGCAAGTGATGTCGATGAGGGGTGCTTGGCTCGATGTCGCCATCGTACGGCCGCCCGGGGAAGACTGGACGAAGGGACGAAGTGACTTGGGGGGGCGCCAGTCCTGGCCAGGCTCGGACTCGGGGTCGGAGCTGGCGCGCAGACAGGCCTCGCGATCGCCCGTGTGCACTCACAGGAGGCGAGCGGGGGGCGGGCGCGCGTCTGGAAAGGCAGGGAAGGGAAGGGGGCGGGAAAAGGACTTCATCAGCGAGAAGCCCCGCGCGGGGCCCGCTGCCGGCAGCCCAGCCTGCGCCCGACCGCGCGCGGACGCGTCGATGCGTCGATGGGCCGATGCGTCGATGGGCCGGTCGCGCGGAAGTTGCGTTGGACGAGCGGCCGGGCGTGCGTGACGGCGAAGACGCGGTCGGCCCTCCTTCTCGGCGGCTGATAGCGTGATAGTCGACCCGCGCGCGGTGCGCAGGAGAGCCGCATTCGAAGGCGGGGAGCGCACCCGACCGGCGCACGCGCCCGGCCATCCAACCCAGGACGCGCGCGACCGGTCGACAAACCGTGTGGCGCGCTCGGATCCCGTTCGTCGGACATTCGACTCCGCCAGCGCTCGCATTAATCGGTGAATGGCTTTTTGAGTTTGGCAGCCGGTCGGGGGCCTGGGGATGCGCGCTTGGGAGGCGTCCCGAACCCAGCAAACCAGGCCACCGGCGGCGACTGAATGGGGCAGCAGTGTTGATTACGGACCAATACAGTATCGTACGTAGCTGTCAGCGGGTGCAGGGCAGAGCGAGTCTGATGCGCCAGGGGCGCTCCTCTGCTCCTCGCCCCCAGACGACGCGCCGACGCCGCGGGGCGTGCGCTCGACTCGTGACAGGGCAGAGAGCGGGAGAAGGGGTGTGGGTCCCCGTATGATGCGCCGACCAGTGATCGCAGGCCGTGTGCCGCCCGCGGAGTTTGGGAGAGTGGTACTGCCGAGCGGGGGCGCTCTTCGAGGTTGCGACCGGCGAGGGACGTGGTCTGAGAGTGCGGTGGTGGCGGCGGCGGCGTGGAGAACTCAAGCGACCAGATGATCTACGCAGGACGGAAAGCATATCAGCATGTGCAAGTCTGCGGATAGGCTCAACCCCGGCCAGGATCCTCGCGGCCCATGCAGTGCCAATGACGGCAGCAGTGTGCACTACCGGGAAGGTCGAGGCACTGGCTGAAGAAACTTGCGTCACCATTCGTTGCCAATGCCCCGAACACTTCAGTCTGCGGCCCGCGGCCTCGGACGGGGGAAGGCGAAGAAGCGCGAGTCGACGTCTCGACCGCCATGAGGACGGGCTGGGAGGCGAACGCACCTTTCAAGGGGAGCACCACAGGCCTGTGGTCCGGCACCTCTGCGTAATGCTCGCGACCGTGGAAATTGTAGCGTATGCGCAGAGACTTGGGCACGCCAGGGACAGGGTCAAGGAATCCGGGGATGCCGACCTGGTCAGAGAAGGAGGTCAGCGAAGCTAAACCGCCGACCGATGTCACGGAGATGAAACTAGGCCTGCAGCGAGACAGCGCCGAGATGCCGCACGGGGTCGAGAAGATGTCCGTTACGCTTTCGTGGCCCCGGCGAGTGCAGAACACAAGGGTCCATCGTCGCGAAGCGACCTTCTTCTTCCCAATTGATGTCATGCACAGGGTGCTTATGACCAGCGTGGCGGTCGACATATAGGCTGTTTTACCGGCGAGATTCGCACCGGCCGCCGCGACCCGAGCCCACGGCCAGGTTGCTGGAACACCTAAAAGGTCCGGTCCCAGACATGGGGCTGTCGGTGGGGAAGAGCGTCTCGCTTATCGGCAGCACAAGAGCAGCAGGACGGTCCCTGGACGAAAAATAGCCATGGAGATGGAGCCGAGCAGATGCCTCACCTTGCTTCGTTTCCCTGGGATGTATAGCTGACTAGCGTTCACCAGGGCCTGCAGCGGCACAGTGACGTCCACATCAAGACCCTCGGTCCCTTCGTCCCGTTCGGACGGCCCATAAACCGCCTCTTGGACAACCAACCCTGCACAAATGGGCATAAATGAGAAAGAAGCGCTCAGCTTCCGCGAAGCAGCCGTCGTGCGAAGCCGAGCGGGCTTACCGTCGCAGGCGGCTTCGGTGCGTGTGTGTCGTGCGGCCACGTCCCGCAGGAGACTGACGGTTTCGTGGTACTGGCGCAGGATCTCCGACTTCTCCCCTTGGAGTCGGCGGTGCGCGGCGCGTATGAACCTGAACCACGGTCAGGAACACGAAGGCTGAGAGCTGCACGATGCATCTAGCTTACTCGAGCCGCTCCTTGCGTCGTCGCGGGCGGAGCCTGAAATAATATAGCGCGCCCAGTACAACCGACGGCACGACCGCCGTCCAAACCGCGACGTCGTCGTTGTCCATGTGTGACAGAACGATGGGCAGGCTCAGGGTCTGGCCGAAGTGTGACGCGCTGCGAGGCATTCAGCAGGAGATGACGGTGCGAGTTTTTTGACGGCGACTTACTCGATATTGAGCACCACGCCCTCGGCGCTGACGCTGACAGATGCCCCCACAGCCGCATGGCCACGGGTCCACTGTCCTCCAAGGAGCCAGACGACCCCGTTCAAGCCCTGCCTTATGAATGCCTGCAGCTCCACGCCCAGCTCCATAAAGGAGACGGAATACCGGGCGCCCACGCCGCTTTGGAGACCCGCGAGGTCGAGCTCAACGTTCCAGCTGTTGGTGGAGAGCGAGAGGCCAGACACTGAAGGTGGCCTGAATGCTAGACTCGGTGGAACACCGTCCTCGTCTGTCGCCTCTTCGCGAAGGCTGTCGTGAATTTCAGAAGACGAGAGCCCAACTACGACACGAGGACCAGCGCCGGTCAACGATGCGGCAAGAGTACCTTGTGTATTGGAGTTGGGAAAGAGACGCTGGGCGTAAGAGACCGTCACAGGCGGGATGGCCGGCGACCGGTGCAGGGAAGGGCGTAAGAGGAACGCGCGCGAGACTTGGGACTCGCATGCTAAGACGTAATTATCGGCCTTGTACGATGCTTTGAAGCCCAGACCAGAGAGAGCGAGCAGGCTCGTTGTTGCCTGATGAGGATTGCATCAAGAGTCGACGGAACGAGGCGTAAAGAGAACCGACCTGAAACCTCAACCGAGGAGAATACTGGTGTTGTACCGTTCCGATAATTGCGCCGCGACTCTGCCGAGGAGTCTTCCCAATAGTGAGCTTGTTGCTGAGAATCAACAAAGTATTTTTGTTGATCTCTCGCTAGGAAGACGGTAAAAGTCAGATAAACGCGGCCACGTCTTGAAAGCATATACACGCCAAATGAACAGGCGGAACAGGGGCGAAAACGCGCCACTCGCGTCCATCTTGTAGGGCATACACCCATGAATACCCCCACCGCTCTCCGTCGAGCTCGCTCGAGCGGTTGTCGGTTGTGCACATAAGATTCTAGAACAGGATTACGGCTTACCCGGATGCTATGCCTTAGGGCGATAGAGGATTTGGTCACATCTTGGAGAGCAAGCCGGAAATTTTGCCATAATGACACGGGCTTATCGTTTTCATCCAGGTAATGGTCATCGATGATCGACGACACATCAAACACGACCGTCACGCTGCCCTTGGGGTTGAGAGCTTGTTCGACACGCAGCCGGTCGGCTTCGAGCTGCTGCCGCCTGAGCTGCCGTTCAAACTACAGAGCGAGTCGAGGCCCGTTACGTGAACACGGAGCGCTGCGAATACGGGCCAGACGAGGCTCACCTCATCCTCGGGAACGCTCGCGAAGTCGGCGGTGCGGACGAGCTGCAGGCCTTCGGGACCTGCGCTGGCCTCCCGTCAGCCTGCGCACACGTGGAGAACGCGCACGGGGGAACATGGAGGCCTGACCTAAGATGTCGTACGCGCGGCTATATGCGGGGCGACGGGGGCGAGATCGGCTTGTGCAGGGGAGCGGGCGGAGGAGAGAGCAGCGTACCGCGTTACTGGATCCGAGAGGACTGGAGTGCGGGCGCGGGCGGAGGCGAGGCCTTGAGGGAGAAGAAGGGGGGGAGGTGGGAGAAGGGCGCACCTTCATAGGCCTTCTGCACCTGGAGGAAGCGTTCCGCCGCGGCGTCCTTGTGCGCAGGATCGGTCTGCTTGTCCGGGTGGAAGACGATGGAGAGTTGGCGGTAGCGCTCGCGGACCTCCTGGTCGGCGGCGGTCTTGGGAAGGTTGAGGACGGAGCTGGCGAAATGCGCGTGAGCAGCGCCGAGTCGGACGGAAGGAAAGCCACTTACTACAAGTATTCAGGCTCATCTGCCGCGAGGCCTTCGAGGCCTGCGTCAGGTGGCAGTCCAGCCATCCTGAGTGGCGTCAGGGGCGCAGCGAAGGAGGAGGAGAAGGAGAAAGCAGACGGCCGCAGCGCTACGTCCTCGGCGTCCCTCGGCCTGGACTTCACTACGCGACGTAATTGACCGGCGTATTCACAGCTTTGTAAGGACTTTCGGATGCACCATTGTTCTCGATAGTTGACCGATCAAAACTCGTGCTATTTCGTATTGGCCGAGCAAGTACTCGCACAGTATGAGATCATCGCCGGCGCGCGCCCGGGGTCGTCCGCCACCGACGACCGTGCGCGTCTTCCGACGTCTTCTCGCTTCTTCTGCCACCTCCCCCCTCGCTCGCCCGCCTTTACTTGTCGTCTTCGTAGCCCACAATCAATGTCAAATACTCATCCTGGCTCCAAATCGCCCGTCGTTGCCCGGGACCGGGCGCAGCCGCCTCAGCTGAGGGCAAGGCACGCGGAGCCAACCGCTCGACCAAGGTTGCCGGCAAGCTCAAGGTCCTCCCAGAGCACGCCGAGCCCAGTGAAGGACAAGGCCCCACAGACCCCCGCGCCCCCACGGGCGAAGGAGGACGCGGGTGAAGGGTCGGGCACGCTCGCCGACAGCGAAGAGGAGGAGGCCGAGGAGGAGGAAGACGAGCCCGACGTCGAGGTGCGTCGCCAGCGCGGCCTGCGGCCTCGACCCCCGTACGCTAACGTCCCCGCGTCCGGATCCGACAGGTGTACAACCAAATCGACCTCATCCCGGCGGGGACCGCGCGCCGGGACGCGCTGCGGCTCACGAAAAAGAAAGCCAAGTCCCTTCCGCGCGTGACGGCGTACGCGACCGCGAGGTGCGTTCCGTATCCCCGCCCCAGCAGCGCCGCCGGCGAGTGACCAGAGCCCGACGGGCCGCGCAGCTCGTACCGTCTCCCGGAGCTCCTCAAGTTCTTCAACGCCCGCCGGGGCTCGTACCGCACCAACCCCCGAACCATAGTGGACGTGATCTACACCCCGTACGTCTACGAACCCCCGCCGGCCTCGCACGCCCCCGCCACACAGGCCCGCGTGCACTTCCAGGACCCGTCTTCCCGCCAGGCGACCACCACCGGCGACCTCCTCGGGGTCCCCGAGCTCGCGCCCGGCGTGTCCGACTCGGAAGTAGCGGACCAACAGAACGGAAAGGGCAGGCGGAAGAGCAAGTTCTCGGAGACACCCACCGAGGCCGAGATCTTCATTTTTGAGTACGGCACTGTCGTCATCTGGGGCATGACTGAGCAGCAAGAACGGCGTTTCCTGTCCTCGCTGTGGTGCTTCCCCCGCGTTTGCGGCATTCACTGCTGACTATGTATAGAAAACGGTTCGAGGTCGACCGAGTAGGTGCGTTACCAAAATGCTCCTCGGGGAATACAAGTGCTGACTTGTGCCAGCACCCCATGAACTTGAGATGGAAGACCTCAACTTCTACTACGCGAGCTACAGCCGGTAAGCAGCCATGCATATTGGACGGCCGCCACGACTCACAAAACTCGTGTACAGGATATTCAACGACGTCATCACCCTCCGAAGAGGCTCCAGCTACATGCAAGTGTCGCATGATAGTTCGACGATTCTCATTCTGACCTGCTCGGCTTCAGGACAAAACTTTCGCTCTCGCACGCACTGTCACAATCCGTAAAGATTTCCCTCGTACGTCGTACAGCACAGGCCCCTCTGCAAAGGTTGCACCATCACTCACCCGACGCCCCCACAGTTCGAGAACCTAATAGCGAACACCATAGAAGAGACCAAAGACATCCCCGAGATCATCAGCGAGACCGGCAAGATCAACATGAGCCACAAGGAGATCATGAAGAAGATCGGCGAGCTCTTCCTCCTCCGCACCAACATCAACTCCGTCGGCTCCGTCCTCGACTCACCCGAGGTCTTCTGGGTCCGTCCTTCTTCTTTCTACCGTCTCCGCCGCATCCCAGCCGAGGGGTCAGGCTGACCTGTCGTCCCGCAGACGTATCCGGACCTGCAGCCGCTCTACGACGCCGCGCGCTCGTACCTCGAGATCCCACAGCGGATCGACCTGCTCAACGCGCGCGTCGAGATCCTGCAGGACATGCTCCAGCTCCTCAAGGAGACCGTCACCAGCCGGCACGCGGAGCGCCTCGAGCAGATCGTCATCGCGCTCATCGCCGTCGAGATCGGTGCGTGTCCGTCGTGGTGTCGAGTAGTGTCGTGTCGTGTGGTCGCTGACGCGCGCGTCACAGTTCTCGGCATCATCACCATCCTGGTCGACCTCTTTTCGTAGGGGTTGGGGAGGACGGGGTGAACCCGGAGCGATCATACCATTTGATAGTTTGCATACCCTCTCACGACGGACATCACGAGTTCGGATATTTCGCTTGCCTGTCACGAACCAACCTTGTAAGCATTTTTTCCGCACACAAGCACGAGGTGGGTATATGTGTGGTTGTGCGGCGTGGAGATACATAGATATTGATACACTATCGTCGGAGTAGACGTACACTAACATCATTACAACTCTGCCGTGTCCAGCACTCCGCTTCCATCAATACACGCCCGAGCACGCTCAGGGCTTGATGGCGATCTTCAGCGCGCCACGGCTGTTCATCTTGTCGAGGGCGCCCTGGTAGTCATCGAGCTTAAAGACGTCGGTGACCTGGAAAGAGAGTGATTAGCTACTGCTACCAGCGCTCGAAGCATGCGAAAGCGTACCATGCCCTTAACGTTGACCTTGCCACCGTCGAGGTACGCTACCGCGCGCGGGAAGCAGTACGCTTGCGAGAAGGAGCCAATTACACGGATTTCGTCCCCGAAGATCTTGGACGGCGGCCAGTGGAGGAGCGCCTTGTTCTCGTACACGCCGTAGATCATGATCGTGCCGCCCCTGCGGACGTAGTTGATGCTGTCCTGGGCGACCTTTTCGACCCCGGTGGCCTCGACGACGACGTCGAACCCGTACGGGTTATCCTTCCTAAGTTGGTCCCACTGGGGCCTGGGCTCTTGCGGTCGAGCTCGATGTACTCGTCTCCGGCGTTGAGCTTCTTGGCGATGTCCATCTTGATGCCCTTGTTCGCGGCGATCGTGACGCGCGCGGCGCCGTTGAGCTTGAGGAGCTGGGCGAGGATGAGGCCGGTGGGGCCGCGCCGAGGAGGAGGACGTCGATGCCGACGGGCGGGTTGAGCTTGTCGAGCCCGTGGATGGCGCACGCGGCGGGCTCGAGCAGCGTCGACTCCTCGTCGGTGAGGTTGTGGATCTTGTAGCACTTGCGCTGGGGGTAGGCGATGTACTCGGCGAAGCCGCCGTCCAGGGTCACGCCGCGGGCATTGAAGTTTTCACAGAGGACGGCATTTCCCCGCCTGCAGTAGAAGCAGTTGTCGCACTGCACGTGGAGGCACGGTCAGCAGGTGAAGGCGGGAGAAGAGTGAGGGTCACGGACGGAGATGCCGACGTCGGCGACGATGCGGTCGCCGATCGCAAAGTCCTTCACGTTCTTGCCCATCTCGACAATAGTGCCGATCGCCTCGTGGCCAGGGATGAGCTGTGTGTGAGCGGGGGCGCGTGTTTGTGAGCACATGAGGGTAAACAAGAGGCAAATGGATGACGTACGGGGAATTTGGCAATGAACTCGCCCTCGTGGATGTGCCCGTCCGTTCCGCAGACGCCGCAGAGTGAGACTGGGGGGCGATGTGAGGACGTGGGTGCGCGGTGCGAAGAGCACGAGCGTTCACGTACCCTTGAGGAGGAGCTCATCGTCGCCACACTTGGGGATGGGGACCTCCTTGATCTGGAAGTTCAAGGGCTACGAGGAATAGGTCAGACAGGAGCTACAGGTCGTCTGAGAGCGGACACATACGGAGTCGTACCAGAGCGCCTTCATGGTGCCTTCGGGCATGGTGGGCAGAACGGAGGGGGTGACGACGGGGGGGGAGTGAGAGGGCGGGATGAGAAGCGGGGAGACGTGGCGGGCTGATCTTTATCTTGGGGGGGAGCCGGGCGAATCCGCAGACGGCACGGAGTGAATCGAGGTGCGCCGTCCCATCGCCCCTCTCGTGCTCTCCCTCACCCCGCGCACCGTCGCTGCCATCCCGGACCGTGACATCATCGACCGGGTCCGGCACGGGCTGCCGTGCCCACTCTGGCAGGCGCGCGACGCGCTCGTGACCGCGTCCACCTGCCATACCGGGCTCCGCCTTGTGTGCGACGCGCGCGTTGCGTCATTGGCCGTTATCAGTCCCCGATTCGTGCAAACGCCAACGGCGACGGCCAAGACGTCGTCGGGTGCGGGCCACGGCGCGAGCCCCGGCCACGTCTCCTCGCCTCCACCACCCTCACACCTGTTCGCATCCCGTCTTCCAAAGCCTTCGTCCTGCCCAGCGAATCACATCCACGCCTATCCAGCCCGTGTGTCCTGACGCCACGGCAACATATGGTCTGCGGCCGTTGCGGCCCGGTCTTATATCACGAGAAGAGCCACTCACCAAACACCGGTACCCCTGGAGACCCACCGGACCGCGACGCGCGTTGCATTCAAGCACGACCCACGCACCCACATCCGCTACCAAGCCAAGGTCTAAGGTCCGTCGTCATAACTTTTGTGTCATGTCCTTCACGGCTGCTACTCTCCGGCGGCATATACTCGGTATTTGCGCCGAACTTGAATCCCCTCCTTTGCAAGTTTGCACATTCATCTCTTAGGCTCTTGTGTGTCGTTCTCGCCGTGGTTCGGTAAAGTCCGTCCAAGTGACATCCGCCACGAAGTCTATCCTTCAAGTTCTACAATCTCTCTTCAGTCTGGTCAACATTGTCCAGCAGACCGCATACATACAGCGCCCGTTGAAAAGAAGACATGTATGTCATTGTTTCCTCAGTCAAGGCTCAGCGTGATGCTCCATGCACATTGAGTGAGATATCATATTGGTCACGCTGGTGACGTTCATCTCAAACGACAGGCCATCTCGTCTTCGATGTCATGACCTTACACCAAGATCTCGCAGGAGTAAACCACCACCCCCAACGATGAAGTCCTGCAATTACGCCTCGAACGTCGCCTGCTGCGCGTTTTTGTGGCGCGAACATTGAAACCATTCCTCAGAACACCGGTCGAAGGAGATGAGTAAAGTTGAAGATGGTTCAAGTGATGGTGACAGGTCTGACTCGGAGGCGTACCAGAGCGAGAGCTATGGAAGCATCTGTAAATGTAGGTGTGGCATACCCAGCGGACGGCTGTAGTAGATCGGTGAGTGACGTTTCCCCCTGTTGCTTGTCGTTTACTGAACACTGCGACTTGTCTTACAGTGTCTGTAGTATTGACCATACTATGAATCCGTTATATGCTCTTTGCGATGGCCGACCGAACAACCGGCCCGAACGTGGTGCCCGCTGCCGGTGTCAGCCTCCTTGCCCTCCAGCCGAAGCCAACTCATGCCTATATAATCCCGCCGTACACTGTTCGGCCCCTCACCTCGGTTTCTTTCCTTCCCCCACTTCGCATCCTTCTTCCACAACCCTCACACCCAACCTCAGTTATCAACATGCGCGTGACACGCCGAAGCACTCGACCCCGCAAAGCCAGCCACGCATTCGGCCAAGACAGCCCATGTGTTCCCGGGCCACCGGTCTCCGTCGCGCGCGCGAGGGCGTCATGAACCCGATGAAGGCCGCGCCGGGGCTGGTCCCCGGGGGTTCCGTGCGTCTTATGTTCCTTATCCGCTTGAGGGCGCTGCCGTTGGTGTCGGTCTCGGTTTATCAGTAGAGGTCCTGGAAGAGGACGAAGACGCGGAGGCGGACGGCAACTGGGCGAAGACGAAGACCTCGGCTGGACCGGGACCGGCGCTCGACCGCGTCGAGGACGCCGGCGTGGTGGGGGAGGGCCTGATCAACCCGATGATCCTGCCTGCGTCGACGGTGGTATGTTTTACGGCGGGGGTGTGGTCGTCGTCGGCGGGGTGTTAGTGGGCTGGAACGGGGAGGTGGTCGGATTGGCGGACGAGGCTGGGTATTCCGATTTCGGGATGTAGGGGTGTGTGACGATTTTGGCTTTGCAGCACCGGCTGGTCCGGCATTCGGTCTCGACATCGGCCTCAGTACCTCAAGATCCAGCAACCCAAGATTCAGCATAGACGTGGTTCGGTGGTGCCGGGGGAGGAGTAGGCTGCCCTCCTTCGGTGTCGCCGGGCTGTCGTCTCGATCCGACTTCGCCCTCAGCACTCAGTACCTCAACGCCTCAACGCGCTGGTCGCTCCTCGTGTATTTTATCTGCTCGCCCCCTGACCGCCTCCAGCACCTCAACAATTCGACATCCGACATCCGACATCGGGGGGCGTCAGCCTCCGGTGCGTGGTCTATCTCATCTCCATTTGAGCGTATTGCTGTTACTCTTGAACCCGGTTTCCAGTAGAGGCTCCTGGAGGGGAGGAAGACGCGGATGCCGACGACTGGACGAATACTTCCGCGGAACCGGGACGGGGAACGGCGCACGACTGCGCTGGGGACGTCGGCGAGGCTGGGGGAGGGTCTGATCAGCCCGATGACCCTGGCTGAGTCGGCGACGGTAAGTACAGTATCAGTGGCGGGTGGTGGTGAGCGGGCCCGGGGCTGGCGGAGATATGGTATGGGACGGGGAGGGTGCTGAGGGTGTCGGTGCGTTACGTTCTCGGGTTTGCAGCGCCGGCTGGTCTCGTAGATCGCCCTCCATCCTCAACGCCCGGCGCTCAAGGCCTCAAAGCCTCAACATCGGACATCGGACATTGTGGGCTGTCAGTCCTTCCGTGCGTTTTTTTAGCTCTCCTCCATTGGAGCGCGCTACTGTTATTCTTGGTTCCAGTGTTGCAGCGGAGGTCCTTGAAGTGGAGGAAGACGCAGAGGCGACGACACATGGGCGAAGACCTCGGACTTGGAACGGCGCACGACCGTGCTGTGGACGCCGGCGCGACTGGCGGAGGGTCTGATCAGCCCGATGACCCTGGTCGCCCCGGCGATGGTACAGTATGGAGTGGTGGTGTGGTGGGGTTGGTGGGTTGTTTGTGGGTTAGAGGCTTAGAGCGGGGATGTGGTTGGGTGCTGAGGGCGTCGGTGCGTTTCGGTTTTGTTTTTGCAGCGCCGGCTGGTCCGGCATGCGATCTCGACATCGTCCTCGACACTTCAAGCTTCAGCACCTCAACGTCCAGCACCTCAACGAAGTTCAACGCCGACATAGGTATGGGTCGGTGCGGTGTGCGGGGGACCAGCCACCCCTCGTGCGTCTCGCTGGCTCGTGTCTCGACCAATCTCAGCACTCAGCCTTCAAGTAATCAACGCTCAAATCGCCACTTTCTCTGTCTGGTATGTGTTTGAGTGTCTTACGTTTACCCTTCGTCTCGCATTTCCAGCGGCGGTCCTTGAATAGCAAGACGCGGAGGCCGGCAACCGGCACTCAGCACCTCAAGACCTCAAAATCAAGCATAGACGCGGTTTCGTGGTGCTGGGGGAGGGGTTAGCCGCCCTTTCTCGGTGTCGCTGAGCTGTCGTCTCGATCCGACTTCGCAAGATGGACATAGGCGTGGCTCGGTGGGTGTACGGGGGAGTAAGTACCCGAATCTCGTGCGCTTCGTAGGCTTACGTCTCGACCGCCTTTAGCACCCGCATTCAGCACCTAGCACTCAGCACTCATCCCTAGACCTCAACGCTCGGCACCTGTGGTCCTCAAAATCGGACGCTGTGGGCCGTCGGTTCCCCGGTGGGCCATTGGTCTCTTCCTTGTTTGAGCGCATTACTATTACTATGAACCCAGTTCTCCAGGGGATGTTCTTGAGAGGAGGAAGACGCGGTGGCCTGGACGAAGACCTCGGCCTGGAACGGCGCACGACCGCGCTGTGGGCGTCGGGCGTGGCTGGGAGAGGGCCTGATCACCCGATGACCCTGGCCCCCGGCGATGGTACAGTAGGGCGGGGGTGTGCACTGTGGCAGGTTGTTGGTGCGGTGAAGCGGGAGGTGTTTTGGGGTTTTCGTGGATGAGGGTGTGGTGACGGCTCAGTTTAACAGCGCCACTGGTCCAGCATTCGACCTCAACAGCGTCTCAACGTTCAGCACGTCAACACCGACACGGCATCAGTCGGTGAGGTGTGCGGGGACCAGCCACCCCTCGTAGATCTTGCCGGCTCGTGGGCCGCCCCAGACGTAAGACCTCTTCCTTGCGGGAGGGGCGGCGCGGGGCGTGTCTGCCCTCTGCAGGTGGACGCCTGCGGAGGTTAAACTCAACGGGGGACTCCTTCGGGGGACCCCTCTTTTTTCTTCGCCGTCGCTTCTCTCTGGGTCGCGTTCGACTCAGTGAGGCGCGGTGAAGAAGATGGAGGGGTTTCGCCGGGAGGAGACGGCGGCGCGCGCGAGGTTGGTCGTGGACAGGGCTCAGCTACAGCTGCGAAGGGCTTGTTCCGATTTGGCGGTTCGCGGGCGATGCTCCCGTGGTGAAATGCACTCCTGTCTTCGCTCATGATACTGCACGACTACACATGAGGTCATGCAATGGCCTCATCCCCGGCAGGCGGCGAGACTGTACACGCCCGACGCCGCGCTCCGCCAGCTCCTTCGACCACTCGCGCAGGATGTGCTTCTGCACCTTCCCGCTCGCCGTCTTCGGCAGCTCTTCCGCCGTCCCGTCTCGCCCAGTGAACCACACCCACGCCGGTGCATTCTGATAGCGCGGCACGTCGATCAGCTCGTACACATGCCAGGGAGAATCAGACACGTACCTGGGGATTCAGCCGCCCTTACCACCTGCGGACCGCCTCTGCGACAGCGACGCGCCAGGTTCGAGCACGACCCACGCGCCCACGTCTCGCCGTAGACGGAGTCGGGCACTGCGACGGCTGCGCCTCGCGAATGTCCGGGTGTGCCGTCATGACGTTCTCTATTTGCACCGGGAACAGGTTCTGCGCCGGTCCGTCATGTCAGAAGCCAGCGGCACGCGATGAGCAGAGGGGACCGACCTCGCCGCCCCGGATAATGATGTCCTTGATTCTGCCGACGACTTGGGAGGGAGATAAGCCGCACGAAAGTACCGGAAAGCGAATCCCGTGCTTACTCCTCAGGTACCCTTCCTCGTCCATTGTCCCCTCGTCGCCCGTGTGCATCCAGAGCGTCCCTTCCGCGTCCCGCTCCATCACCTTCTGTGTCTGCTCCACGTCGTTCCAGTAACCCTTCTGCAGCGGGTAGCCCGCGACGATGAGTTCCCCGGGCTTGCCGATGGGAACGACCTCTCCGTCTGGGTCTACCACCTTCGCGCGGACGTGCGGGAGAATCCTCCCGACGGTCTCAACGCGTTTGGCCACTGGGTCGCTCGTGATGCTCTGGAATGTCACAGGGCTACAGTTGACAAAGCGTGAGATTCGGACTCAAAAAGCAGAGGGCATGACTGGCCTGGTTTCCGCTGCACAATGTAGACCTCAGTGCACGTTCACCGGGTCCAGTGAGAGGGACAGTACGTACTCATCCGTACGCCACAGTGAGCTCCGTTAGGTTCAGCTTTTCATGAGCTGCTTCATCAGTCGGTCGGGATTGAAGAGCCCGCGGCAATGCCAGTCCTGCGTCCCGCCACATCAGCGTGCGACTCGTACAACTCTGGGACAACTCTACCGGAGACTGCGCGTATCGACCAGCTCGCCAGCCTTCCTTCGGCGCTGTACTTCGGCGAGGACTCCAAGGAAATGGGTAGGAACGCCATGAAGCGCGGTGCACTTCTCTTGAGTCACTGCGTCCACGATTGCGACGGGTCAAAGGTCTCAGAGGGGTACACGATGCAAGACCCGTGCGTCCAAGCGGCAAGGTTGCCTAGAACGAGGCGTGGATATCGAACAGAAGTTAGATCATTCTACGATTCCATGAAGACGAAAGAGGATGGACTTATCAAAGCAGTGAAACAATGGAGGGGCGTTGCCTGGAGTTCACATATTCCGTCAGTGAGGTTGGCATGAGCTCGAGAGGGACACGGACACTTACAGAGAATATCCTCTTCGGACAAACGCATACAACGGCCGATAGCCAGCCCGTTGTTGAGTAGATTGTGGTGCGTGAGCTAGTCTGTACGTCAGATCCGTTCTCAGGGCTCAAATAGTGAAAGTAGAACCTACTGAAACCGCTTTCGGAAGGCCTGTCGTCCCACTGCACATAGTCCTGAGCAGTCCATCCGCCTCTTCAAAAGCCCCACAACCCACCTCGTGAACTGCAGATTGACCACATCATCCGCCCTCAAGCCGTTCTCCCTCTCCACGACCTCTTTTCGCTCCGCTCCGTCCTCCCGCCAGACGAGCACCTCGCGGAAGTCCACCGCGGGCCGCGCACCCTCCAGCGCGCCCTCGAAGTCACGCCCGCCCGCACCGCCCACACGGCCGCTGATGTTGTCACTACGACAAGGTGGCGGAGCGCTGGGAGCGCCTCCTCCTGAATGTCACCCGGGGCGGAGGCGGCGAGCGCGGGGAAGGCGTCGCAGAGCATGCGCACGTACGCTGAGGAGCGCAGGTGCGGCACGACGAAGAGGTGCGAGACGCCGGCGAGGGCGAGCGTGCTGACCTGTGGGACGCATGAGTTGTGCGAACCGCGTGAGGGGGGAAGAGGAGGACGCACGAGCTCGGGGACGCGGTATGCGGGTTGAGGGTGACGAGGACCGCGCCGACGCTCGCACACGCCCACTGCAGACATGCGTAGACGCTGCTCGGTGCGCAAACATTCAATGTTACGGCCGGTGCAGTGGCACGCGTGCACGCACGGAGCGAGAGGTCGAGCAAAAGAGGCTCGATCAGCCTCGCAGCATACCCCGCCCGCACTCCCACAACGCACCTGTTGTTCCCCATAATCACCCCACCCGGTCCCCTTTCTTTACTCCCAGCCCAACGAGCCCCCGCGCAAGTGCCTGCACGTGCCTGTCGAACTCTTGGAAGTCCCAGCCGAGGTACCGGTCGTCTGTGGACGCGAGGTTGCGCCCCACGGGGCCGCCGTGCGGGCGCGGACGCTCCTGCGGTGCGATGAGGCAGGGCGCGCGCCGTGCACGCGCACGACGTCGTCGCGGAAGAACGCGGGGAGCGTCTTCGGGTTGAGAGGAGGATGCAACGGCCCAGCGACTTCGGAACGGGTGAGGAGCGCGTGGGTCGAGTAAGAGGAGGTGCGTGAGGAGGAGGAATTGGACTTGGTGGTGGTCGGCCGTGCGAGGCGTCGGTGAACGCCGCTGCCTGCTCTACGCATCGCTGCTGCTGCTGCTATCGACTTGGAGAGGTGGGGAGTAAGGGGCTGGGAAGCTGGGCAGCCAGGCGGGGCGCACGTCGCCGTCCCATTTTGAGTGTGGGGGCATGGCCGTGAAGCGCTGATTACGGCGACTTCATACGCGGGTGAACCGGGGCAGGTGACCGTGGGGGCAGGGTCGATTCAAGGCATCGACGAGCGAGATTAGGGCAACGACGAAAGAACGGCAATACTTACTTACGTAGAGGTGCAGGGGGGGACGGGAGTGCACGGCTATCTCACGCGTAAAGCGCCATGTGCGCCATGCATCGAACCGGAAAGCGCATCTAATGTATCGGGCATCGTACCGACGTCGTACAGCAACAGATAGGTGTAGTACATTACAGAACGTGGTAGTTCATCGCACCCAGCGTGCTTCGTCAGGGCGTCATTGCCTGGAGTCGGCTTTGGGATGAGCTTCTCCGCGGCGGCAAACGCCTCAGCGATCTCCTTTCGCTTGTCTGTGGGCGAGAAAGAGCACTCGCCCGCCCAGTCGGTAGGGGTCAGCTCTTCACCCGCTCGCGGAACGCAGCAAATGTGCAGAACTCTGGTGAACCAGGGAGATGCTTGCCTTCCTCGGCGCACATCGGAAGGGGCAGGTTTCGGTTCTGGTACCGCACGCGGACGTCTGTGGTCGCGAGTTAGCTGGGCGGTGATTTTATACAAATGATCTGGCGTACAGTGCTCAGTGGTGGTTTGTGTTGCACCAAAGGCTGACATGATGTTTTGCCAGGCGGTAGTCGGCACGACGGGGTCCTCGCGCTTCTTGAACAGCTCAAAGGTAATGGCCGCCGTGAACGCTGGCCATCTGTGCTCGCAAGTTGTCACTGACATGCTTTCGCAAGGTACAACTCGAAGACGCTCACTTGTTATCGAAGCTTTCAAGTGTGCTCACAAGCGCTGCTAGACAGGTGTCGTGCGTACTATGTACCAAAATCTTGGCGGGGTCAGCATCACCCTTCTCAGTCTTAACTTGCATCTTGCGCGAGAGATCGCTTAGGAGGGGCCCCATTCCTAGCCTGCGAACTTCCTCAGTGCCGTCTGTAATTTTTCAATTCAAAAGAGTGCAGCGATTAGCTTTCTCAGCCAGGACAAGCAGAGGTTTATGGGCGTCTCACACCCAGCGAACCATTCTGTGACGACGGCTTTTTCCTACAGATGAACGTCAGTATTCAGTCCTGCGAGCGGAAGTGCAAAAAGGGCGCACAATCACGTCCAGCACTCCCTTCTCTTTGAATTCCGGTGGGAAGTTGACGTTATGCGCATCTGCCGCACGAATAGTGTCGAGGATACCCGATGCTCTAGGCTTGCCATCCAGTCGTACAGGGTTGCCGTCAATGTACTTGGAGATCTTCTTGTCGAGAGGTTCGAGCGTTTTATTCCAAGCAGCAGCAGCGGCTAGGGAGTCTGTCCTCAGACAAAGTGCGCCTCCAGAGGTATATAGCACTTACCCTGAGCAAATCCTATCTGGAGAATCTGGAGACGCTTGCAGGAGTTCGTGTTCCCGAACAGGTTCTCGTCCTTCGCATTCCTACAGCAGCTCAGGTCGCAACGCACGTCGCACACGCAGACTTGCACAGACTCACCGTATGCGGATGTGAGGAGTGTAGCCCTCCACGGTCTTCTGCGCCGGGTACAGCCCATGAACAATCTGCTGCAGAGACTCGATCGTGCGCGGCATGTTCGTGGAACGAAGGTAAACCTGATCATTGGAACGCACGACGTCGGGCAGGAAGCGCAGCCGGTCCACGTATAGCTTTCGCAGGTTGCTACCAAAACTGTACGTTGACTGCAACCACCGCATCCGAGTCAGCGTCGTGCCAAGCACAACCTCAATGGACAAGCACACACCTCCTGCCCACATCCGTCAACTCGCCCAGAAGACTGGTGCATGGTGGAGATAGCGCAGCATGAGCGTCCTCTACTACAAACAATCCACCCCGCTCCCGGGTCGGGAAAGGAAGGAGAAGCACTCACCACTCGCCCACCTCCGCCGTCCCATCCGCGCGCTCGACGACGCGCCGCGTCGGCAGCCCCTCGTGCGCCCCAGGCCCGTCCGCGTCGGTGCTCGCGACCGCGGCGCGCAGCTGCCGCGCCGTGTGCAGAACATCCAGTTCTCCGGCATGTTGCCCGGGTGGCCCGCCATGCGGATCCCGACGGGCGAGCGCTCGCCTGTGTGCATGCGGCGTGCGGGATGCCCATCGCTCAGTCCTTCTTCCTTCGCGCGCACGGGTCGGACGGGGCGGAGACACGTACCGTGGCGGACGTAGATGTGGACCTGCGTGAGCTCGAGCCCCGGGGGCGCGACCGGGTAGCCGTCGACGTCGAGGGGTACGCTTCCCCTTCTCGTCGTCGTGGCCGCGGCGTCGTTCGCATTTCCGCCTCCAAAGGTGGCCATTTCCGTGGGGTTCGGCGAGTTGTCCGTTCCGAGAGTGAAGAGGGTGGAGGCTTGGATTAGTAGAGTACCGTAGAACAACCGGAGCAGGAGGGATGCGACGGAGAGTCGGGACATCCAACCGGGACGGAAGGGGTCGTGAGAGTGGGGAAGGCCTGCGCGGCGGAGACACAAAGTGCCTGGCGGGGCTGGAGGCAGCGGACGACTTGGACGAGGAGCGCGAGCAACCGACAGCCGAGTTCGCAACGCCCCCACCAGTGCCGCCAAGACGAGCGCCCTTTGGCGGCCAATAGGACATCGAGAATCGGTCCGACGAAGCCGAGTATGTGGACCTGTTCTCTCCTTCCCACTAATGTTTTGTCCGGCGGGTATTGGGTGGGTATACGTATGTGTTATGCTCATGTCGAGAGAATGCTTCGGTTCATCGACTTATTCCACAACTACGCCCCGCTCACATTCCCAAGTTGTTCCCAAAGCGACTTCTGTATTGTATGGCCGGTCTGAAAGCGAGCCTGGAGTTTGGAGATATATTATTGGAGGAAACGAACTCAGTCTTGGGCCTCTTCCAAAGCATCCAGCACGGGAGATGGGGTATACACGACTACCCACCCACTGCTATGTACATCGCAGCAAAGCACACACCTCGAATGATCTCGCCAACCAGCGGATTCACCACCTCCAAAACAGGCCTTCAGTACGACACCTCCATCGCCACCTGCGGCTTGTCCTGCGTGTGGATCCCGAGCTTCTCAATCACCTCCTCCACCGTCTTCTCCGCCCGCGCGATCTGGAACCCGTGGTCCGGCGTCTTGTTACCCGCGACCGCCCGCCGTCGCGCCAGGCCCCCGCTCCGCTCGAACTCCTGCACGGTCTTGCACATCCCCTCGAGCGTCGTCACGCGCCCGTTCCACCCGAGCCCCCCGTCCTCGGGCGCGCGCCGCGCGCGCGAGTCGTCGAAGATGAGGTGCACCTGCGTCAGGCTGAAGATCGACGGCTGGAGGTAGACGACGTCCCCGCTGAGCGGCGGCACGAGCTTCGCGAGCGGCGGCGCGGCGCGCACGAGCGCGTGCCGGAGGAGGTAGTACTGCTCGATGAGCACGGCGAAGCCGAGGATCGCGGTCGAGGACAGCCAGAGGAACTTGACGGCGCCCCCGGTGAGGTCCATCATCCCGCGGTAGACCTCGCCGTAGGTCGGGGCGGGACCCGCGTCGGCGACGACGAAGGCCTGGCCGCCGATGTCGGGGTTGCGCGCGTCTGCGCCGGGCGCTCGAGCTCGATGAGGCGTGCTTCGTAGCAGAGGTGCGCGAGGGAGACGTTCTCGACGTAGATGAAGGATTGTATGCTGTCCCAGATCCAGCTCGGGGTTTCGCCGCGGATGAGGTATAGCTCGAGCAGGAGGTCGCCGCCAGGTCCGTAGATGCCGTTTCCTGGGCGGATAGCGCCTGTGCGAAGAGTGTGGGCACCAGAAGATGTACGGTCCGCGCGGCGGATGACTTGCTCAGCTTTCCACTTGGAGACGGCATAGTTGGAGAAGAAGTCTTCGTGGTGCTGGGGAATGATGGAATCGTCCTCGTTGACTACTGCACGTAGTGTTCGGGTGGGCCTTCCCATGGCCAGCGGAAGAAGCGATTGCTGCGGACACCGACGGAACCTGAGGAAGTGTAGATGAGGGTAAAGCGCCGATTTTGTGCGCTGCCGCCACTACGTTCTCCGTGCCCTTGACGTTGACGCCATCCGAGTAAGGTTGAAGTGAAGCATTGCGCTCGTAGAACGAATGATGGCAGCGGTGTGGAAGACGGTGGTCTCCGGTTCGGGGCCATCTTCAGTGTCGGCCCAAGGCTTGGCGAAAGCAGCTTCTACGGCAGCAGAGTCCGCAATGTCAGCCTTGCAAAAGTCCACATTAGCGGCGGGTCCCTCGAGGAGGTCTTGGCGGACAGGTCGACGAATGTCGACGATTCGAATGCGACGGGGATCTTCGCCGCGTGCAATGAGGTGGAGAACGATCCAGCCGCCCAAGAAACCTGCCTGAAAAGGTCCAGTCAGTGGATCTTGCAATATGCAATGGTCGCACAAAATGGGTGTTGGAGACCTAGCAGGACACGAAGATCCAAAGGTGAGTCGCAGGACTAGTAAAACCTGCGGAGCGAGCGATGCACCGATCAATCGATCCCTCGCAACGGTGCGGTTGATCGAACGGCAGCTCCCCGGCCCACACCCAACACGGCCCCAAAGACTCGCGTGCAGGCCCAACTGGCACGTAGGAAGACGCCAAGTGAGACTCACCCCTCCTGTGATGATGTACCGCCTCCCAGTCTTTGGCGGCAGCTCGTCCTGGGAGAACAACGACGCCGGTGCGCCCCCCTGCACGTTTTCCGCTTTCAGCTTGACCTCTGCGGCGGTGCGGCGGACATCGTCAGCGGTCCAGCGGTCCGGTGAATGTATGAGCGCAGCGGGGTGGAGCCTGGAGATCTTCGCGTCGTTGGCGCGGACGTAAAGGTAGACGAGGAGCGGGAGAGCGGCCGCGAGAGCGAGCCAGAGAGAGAGGTCGACGGCCATGGCGGGGCGGAGGGTGTTGGTGGTGATGGATGGGCTGGAGGGCAGTGAGCGGCGTGGAGGGCCGTCGGTAGGCGGAAACCGGGGTGAGGACCAATTCATGTGGGCTACATAAGTGTGTATGTTGGCTGTTGGGCGGGATCCTGATCAGCGATTGTAGCGTCACACCGCCTTCTAATCATCCCGACACACAATTACTTCAGTGTGTCCCAGTGTGACTCTTCGGGCTCATTCCAAGAGAGGTGCCGAGCGAATACACGGGCAAGCGGTCGGGCACTTGCATTGAAGTTGCGGCCACGCGCTTCCCGTACTTCTCATCCCTCTGCTGGTTCTCTGGGTGATGATGCACCTGCAGCACAGGAGCTGAATCAGCATTGCGAATACGCCGCAGCGCCCGAGGAATCCCATCAGAGCCTTTCGACTTCACAGTCACGGGGGTGCGTCGAGACGGCTCCTAATAGTAGTTCGTGCGTGCCTCAGGAACCCCCAACCCAAATAAAGCGCTGCTTCGGAGGCGCACCCTCGCACTCGTTCACGCTGACAAACAAAGCTGAACAATGGGAGTCTCAATTTCACCTACTGCGGCACTACAGTACATAGAGCATATACCTAAGAGATACCGACCTCTCGTCCTGTGAGACCTCACTGTACCAAATCGTTCACGCAGGCGGAGGCGGAGGCGGAGCAGGGTCACTCGGAGGTGCAGCTGGAGGTGCGCTGGGAGGGCTCGTGGCTCCAGCAACGCCGGCATAGCCTTGCTGCGCATAGTACTGAGCATACTGCGCGGCTTGCCACTCCTTGAATTGCGCTGAATTAACGTCATAACCAAGGGACGCCCTGTGGAATACATCAGCTCAGCCACGAACCAAAGTTCATAGCACGTACCAGTACTGGTTGTATGCATCCCAATCGCCACTTGACGCTCCCGACGCCGGAACGGCACCAGCTGGCGGTGGTGGGGCACTCCCGTCGGGTGGCGGTGGAGGCTGCTCGCCAGGTGGAGGGGGCGGAGGAGCACTGCCAGGTTGAGGGGGTGCATAGCCCTATAATTGCAAGCGTGAGCGAATCAACCGAATAAAATACAGACCAAGATCGAGTAACGGGCGACTTGTATTGCACAAGTGACTGGCACGAACGACACCAACATGAGCGGAGCATACATACACCATAAGTACTGTAAGCGGCGTACTGGGCTTGTGCTTGGTGGAGCTCCATTTGCTGCTGTTGGAGCGCCGTCTTGACTTTTGCATGTTCGCCCCGGACAACATCCAGGAGGTCCTCAGTCAGGCTTTTCGCGCGCATCACTTGCTGTTCGTCAGGCCCGCTACGAGTACAGATCAATGGAGCAATCGCTTCAACGCAACCTGAACACTCACGTTACGTGGATGAACATGGGCTCATCGTGCTCATGGCCAGTCTCCTGATCGACGAAGCCCGACCCTTGACCCTTGATTTGCACGCGAGTCCCGGTCTCTTGTTGGATGTACTTGACGAACATCCCCTACACGCAGGACAATTCATCACTCACAGTCTCACAGTGGGCGGGTTACACTTACCGATGGACCAACGACTTTGGCTCGGACATTGAAATTCCTAATGGTATCGATTCCGACAGGAATCTTTTCTTCAGGCCATTTGCGCTGCGGAAGGTCAGCATGGAAAGCGCGCGCAGTCAACCGAAAGCGACCACCCACCCTTTCCCCTCTACGCGACGTCTTATCCTCTACGAGCGACCCCATATCGTGGGTGATGAGGTCGTTGACCTTGTCGATGGCGCTCTGAAGGACTTCCTGGGTGGTTGCCGAGATGTGAAGATACAGGGGTGGGTCTTTCTCCGTCGCCTTTGTGCGGTCGGGGTACCACACACCCTTCGTGCTGATTGAGGCCCCTGTATCATCATGGATCTGGAGACCGTATTCAGACGCAACAGAACACGCTGAACATAGCGCCAGAGGCTTACCTGCTGCTGGGTAGCACCTTTGGTGAGGAGGTACCGGTTCCTCACGTCGTTAATGTCGATGTCGTGTGTGAATTCTCCGTCATGGGGGTCCTTGGAGCCTCCCGCCGCAGAGCCCGCCGGTCCCGCAAACTGTGCAGCAATTTTGGCAGCGATGGCAGCAGCAGCGGCAGCGGCTTCCGACGCGCTTTTGCCGTCCTCAACCTTGACGGCCTTCACAGAGGTCGGCTCGGCCTCCTCGCCCTCGGGGCCTGTGTGATCCCACTTGCGTTTCGAAGACATGACGAATGAGGAGAATGGAGGAGAACGCGGTCGACGCGAGAGTGAGCGAGGCAGACGTCGAGTCGAGTCGAGGCGAAGGCAGGACGACCCAGGAACGCGACACGAGAATGTTTGTTGATGTTGGTGTTGTGGCGCAGCCATTTTCGCGACACCAAAGTGCCACCGCGCACTGAAGGGCGCTGGCACGCGGCTCTCCTCCTCCCCCGTCCCCTCCCTCCTCCGGCCTCCTCCCGCGCCCCAAAAGCTGCGAACGGTCACTATGGCGGCCTCTCTACGTATCATTGCTGGCAGCCTCACGCGCGCTGCCAGTATTTGCCGCCTTCCCCATCGCGTTCCCAGCCTGTACGGTAAGCATCCCTACTTTTCCATGCAAAGTGCGCGACAAGGACTCCGCATTGGATCCCCGCTATTACCACCCCTTGACGCAGTATGCCCGGGGTGCCTTTGTTGAATGCTGTCCTTGTCGTGAAACCCATTGTTAGGCCCAATACTGATATTTGTCACAGCGTTGAGGACACCGACGGTAGCAGGCGCGGGTCGCCTTTCCGCTGTGCGCTTCAACAGCACCGTGGCGGAGTCCATGGTTGCGGCCATGCATTCAAGCTTCTCGGAGCCTGCAGTCCCCCCGCCAGAGCACTCCAACTCGGAACAACCCTTATTCTCCTCGCTGGAGGGTAAAATCTCGCCCCAGACCCTCAATCCTTTGGTCAAGGCACCGTTCAATTTCAAGCATATGAGCGCTGTTCAAGCTGCCGTCCTCCCTCTTCTTCCGGAACTCGTTCAACTCCCCGAGCCCGACGCAGAGAAGAAGGGTCCACGGGATCTCTTGGTGAAAGCTCGTACTGGGACTGGCAAGACCTTAGGGTTCTTGATTCCTGCGGTGGAGAGTCGTGTCAACGAACTCAATCAACGTGCTGAACAGATCAAGGCGGACACGGCGTCGAGATCGCTTCGCGATGCTCCTGTTCTGCGTGGAGTTCAAGCCCACGCGAAGGCCACCGTTGGTACCGTCATCCTCAGCCCGACGCGCGAGCTTGCATCGCAGATTGCGGTGGAGGCCCAAAAGTTGACCAAGGACCACAACTTTGGTGTTCACTTGATGGTGGGCGGCGTCCCCAAGGGACCGCAGCTACGCCAGTGGAACATGAGCAGGCGGGACATCATCGTCGGCACCCCAGGTCGCATCCGGGACTACATTGAGAACCAACCTGGTTTCCGTGAAGCTCTTGGCTCGACGTCCACTGTGAGTTTGACGCTATCGTGATCTCGATTGTTGGTACTGACACCTTTACGCCAGTTCATCCTTGACGAAGCCGATCGCTTGTTGGAGATGGGTTTCCGTGAGGACATCGAAGCCATCGCGCAAGATCTTAAGCCCACTCCTGAGAGGCAGACGTTCCTGTTCTCTGCGACGATGGACAAATCCATTCAGCAAGTTGCTCGTGAGATTCTTTCCCAGGACCATACCTTCATCAACTGTGTTTCCGAGAACGAAGAACCCACCCATCACCATATCCCTCAGCACTATACCGTCCTTCCTGGCCCTCAAGAGCAGATCCACCATGTCTTTCGACTCATAGGCGAAGATCAACTAGCGAATCCTGGCACATCCAAGGTCTTGGTCTTCTTGTCGACCAACCTGATGGTGAAGCTCTTCTCCACGTTGTTCTATGGTCTTAGGCCCGCTCTTCCGGCAGACCGAGATACGAAGATCCTGGAAATTCACGGCCTGAAGGCCCAAAAGTCTCGTGATCACGTCTCCAAAGAATTTAGGTTCGCCACAAGCCCCTCGGTCCTATTCACATCAGACGTCTCCGCACGAGGCGTTGACTATCCAGGTGTGACCCGCGTCATACAGGTCAGTGTTCCTAGCTCAAGGGAAACGTACGTCCACCGAATTGGACGGACGGGCCGAGGCAACTCGTTGAAGGGACGCGGCGACCTCGTGCTGCTCCCCTGGGAGGCCGGTATCGTCAGGCGAGCCCTCGAGGGCATTCCCCTCAAAGAGCTCCCGATTGAAGCGCAGAAGGAGGACCTCACCAAGCTCGTGGAGGAGCACGACGCCAACATCCGCCCCCGCCAGACCCCCATGGCCCCCATCTTCGACCCGACACAAATCGACCTTGCCCTCTCCAAGGCGCAGAGCCGCACACAGCCGGAGGACGTATCGAGCGCGCTCCTCTCCCAGCTAGCCTTCTACGCCTCCAACTGGGACTTCATCTCCCGCGACCGGAACCTCAATGAGGAGGCCCTCCGCACCTGGGCTCATGCGATCCACGGCGAGCCCATCGACATGCGCATGCCCCGCATGCACTCGTCTTCGAGGCAGTCAGCCCCAAAGAGTTACCGTCGCGAAGGCCGCGACGACCGTGAATACCGTCGCGAGCCCGACCGTGGGTCCCGCCGCGACCGCGACTTCTCCTCCCGGGACGACCGCGACTACCGCGGCACCGGGCGCCGCCTCCGGAGCCCGTTCCCGGACGAGGACACCCCAGGGAAGCGGTCTCGAGATGACACGGAGGACCGCGGGTCCCGCTTCCGGGGGCGTTCGCGCTCCAGCGGCCCGCGCGACATCGAGCATTACGACGACTACAAGGAGCGCCCGCGCAAAAGCTGGCGAGAGCTCGTTTAGACCCCGGACGCAGACGTCGCTGGGACAGGGCTGGAGGCGCATGGTTGAGCTTTAGACGTGCCGTTTTTACTGTACTATCGTATAATATGCTATCCCATCCCACTACTCACATGTATCATACACAGTAATGCTTAGACGCCCCGACACTCATTTGTCACGAACCTGCTGTGCTCGCGTCTGGAACTATCCCGGTTCGTGTAATCTCGCCGTGCGTATATTGAGTTCGAGCTAGGAGACACCATTGCGCTATGTAAGGAAGCAAGGCAATGCAATCTGAAGCCGGTGTGTCTGTATGTCGTATGATGCATTTTACAGTGTGATGAACAAGGTCCGCGTGAATTCTGGTTATTGATCTATCATGAAGCATGGTATAACAGAGACCAAATCCGACGGTGACTTGACCAGCTTTATAAAGCCGCCTCCCGCCGGACGGTGTGCTCGTGTCCGTAGTACTTGGCCTCCTGGTGCCGTTCGAAGTCGACGTCGCGCTTGAAGAAGCGGCCGCAGCACGCGAACACAGCGTGCCGGCGGACGTGCGAGAGGTGGTAGCGCAGGTCTGCGAGTGAAGTGCACTGCGCGTCGCAATACTGGCACGTCATCGAGTTGATCATCTGCGCGGTGAACCAGTGCCGGGTGACGAGAACGCCTGATGAAAGCGGGTGTTGGTGTCAGCGTCGCGGGTCAAAGCGTCCGCAGAAGGCTGCTCACCCTCCTCCTGCATCCAGTGCAGGTCGGCCGGGTCGTGGTAGCTCCTCGCGTCGTCTTCATCTTCGGCGTCGTCGTCGTCGTCGTCGTTGTTGTTCCAGAGAACTGGTGCTGGTGCTGCGCCACGAGCACCGAAGAGGGCACCTGCCGCCTGGCCGCCGAAGAGACCACCTGCCACCTGGCCTCCGTAAAGAATACGTGCCGCCTGGCCTCCAAAGATACCACCCGCCGCCGGGGCTGCGTACGGGGGAGGAGGAGCATATTGCGGAGGAACTGGGGCTGCAACGGGGGCTGCAACGGGAGCTGCAACGGGGGCCGCACGGCGAGGTTGCTGTCGCCTGGCTTCACGCTCGCGATCTCGTTCGCGGGCCTCCAGGAGCATGTCTTCGTCCCACAGCTCACACGTGGAACCACGAGAGCAGCGCCCCTCGTTAACATCCCAAATGGCTGGACGCCGAGGAAAATCAGCTCTGTGCTAGTCCGAACGTCACGTTTCCGCCCACGTACCTCCACACTTGAAGCAGAACTCGGCCTTGCAACGACAAGTGATGTGGTTGCAGCCCATCGTAAGCTCGACGATCATGCTGCACTTTGGGCACCTCCGCCAGTTCTGGGCCTGAGACATGACGTCTTCAGATCAGAATACGAGACTGTGCATAAAAGTGGTATGTACCTTCGCAAGCTGTAATGCCTTCTGGTCTTCTGGAGATCGCTCGTCCAATGGAAGTGCCTGAACGAGAAGTTGAGTCAAGTGCTACCCATTCGGGAGATAGGAAGTAGTGCGTACCTGATACTCTTCGCAGTCCATGTCTGAAGTGATATCATCAGGATGAGTTGTACAAAAATACCTGACGACTCACCATCGTGCCATACAACGCGGCAAGGGACGCAAATCAGCTTGTTGCAAGAGGGACAAAGGGCTCGAGGGTCATCAGAATCTTCGTCCACTTGAACCAATGCCGAGCATCGGGGGTTGGGACACCAGTATTTCGGCAGACTGTCAAAGAGCTTTTGATGGTGCTAAAAGAACACAGATTCAAAAGCTGTTCATAGGAAAGACGGTAAACAGGCGACTAACCCATAAAATCATACCCTTCTCCGATAGCACACGTTGTGCAATGATATCGGAGATACCATCTGGCCACTGGGCAATGGTGCATTCTGGGCATCGGATGGGGAATGCTGCAGTGCCCACGCTTCCAGCACCGGTGCCTTCGGGGTCGAGCTTGCTGTTGATGTAACTACTGAGGCAAGAAATGCAGTATCCGTGTTCTTGAGGACATGGTAGATTGATGCCAAACTGACCCGAGACGACGAGTTGGCGGAGCGCGCTGCTGTTGCCGGGGAGTGGGTGGGATGAAAGGGGTCCATGCAGATGCCGCATACTCGGTATGGACCCGGGACGGGGATGTCCTTTGAACTGGTACTTGTAGTCGGAGACGCGAAGTTCTTCCCTTTGTATTGGGCGGTAGACTTACCCTTACCTTTGTCGTTCATATCCCGAGCCTGACTTGGCGCGTAAGACGCGTGAAGGACGCATCTGGCGCGGGAGAGTTACGCACCAATATATCGTCAATCGTGTCTTGGCCCAGGACGCTGTATGATCGTTGAAGGTGGAAGTAACATGAGAATGCTAGGGGGCGCACCTTTCAGCGTCATTCATCGCATCTATGTCCTGCCCGTTGTCAATCGCATGCTGCAAACGCTTCGCGAATTCTGCATCAAGCTGTGACTTCTTTTCCGTGGCTGCGAGCCTCAGTGCAAATTGCCGGCTGGAAGCCATGTTACTGTCGTCTAGTTGTTGCAGTGACTGCGCATACAGCGCGTCTTGTGACGCTCGGACCTCGGCCGAGAATATGTTGTGCGCGTAGTCCATATCGTCGGGAGTGAACGCAGCAGGGACCTTGTTCTTTCTTGGGAATCGACCTGCAGCAAGGGAAGACGAGTTGAGCGCCTCCCTGAGTTGCAGTTCTTCAGCCGCCTTCGTATTCTCGAGGAGGAGCATGTCTTCTTCGAGCAACTTGGCAATGAGGAGCTCATTGAGGATGTCATTGTTTGCGACGTCTGCCATGGCTAGGCTGCTACGTGGTCGTCAGCGATGAGTGGGCATGAAGGTGAATGAAGAGGCACACGAACGGTGCAGACGTAGATCCTGCCTACGTCGAGAACAGGGGAGGGCGAAGAAGAGAATGGGGATCGACGCACTTCCGACACAATGGACCTACCGCAGCTGCAGGACGCTCAGCCACTCGGCGATCACGGATCTTAGCAGCGAGCTTCCAACTCTATCTTATCTATAGCAGGAACCTTATCTCCTCCCAAAAAGTTGGCTCGGGCTCGTCTGTGAGTCAGACGCCTTGTGCGCGACCCCCACAACCCACTCACCTCTCCTCCCCCAATTCACGTCTGGCAGACTGAGGTGGTGCTAGAAGGACGCGCGGAGGGGATTTCATAGCACGCTGTGAGCGCGCCTTCGCCAACTGAGTCATTCCTTCCTCTAATTCATAAAGTCCGCCGGCCTCGCGTCTTCCGCTTGATCAGTCTCTCTATCCCTTCCCACCCCTCCACTGCCCTTTCGTCAAAATGTCGTCGCAATCTTTGGAACGAGTCGTTTCACGACTTCAAAATTTGCCGGAGATGTCTCTCCCTACCGACTACCCCAGACCTACGGGCGGAAACAAGTCGGTAGAGGCTGCTGCCACTGCTGAACTCTCAGAGCAGACCTGCATCGCTCTCACGAAGCTCGCACTTCACACAGACCAGGACGATGATCCTGATGACGATTCTATCGAGTCCAACACGCCTTCCGCTTTCCACCTCCTTCTCGCTGCCTTCTCGGTGCTTCTTCACCGGTACACCGGCGACACCGATCTAATCATTGGTTCGTCGTCTTCCTCTGCGCGCAACCCCCTTATTCTTCGCCTCGCCGTGGACCCCAAGGACCCTTTCTGGGCAGTGGTACGCAAGGTACAGCAAGTCGAGGCCGAGGCTGATGAAGATCGCGTACCGTTTGGGGCCATTCTCAAGGCATTGGGAAAGGACAGGACAGACACTGTGGAGGGATCGCGCCCTATATTCCGTGTTCGCTTTTTGACGGCACAGACTCCCCTCAAGACGACTTTCTACAGACCACCAGCTCTACCTCCGACCTCACTGTCTTCGTCACCCGTCGGCCGGAGTCAAGTCGGTCCTCCATTGCCCCCCGCTAGATCTTCGCATCCTCTATAATTCTCTCCTCTTCACCTCCACCAGGATCAAGTACATCGTCGAACAGCTTTCTGTGCTCCTGCGACGAGTGGCTTCCAACCCCCTCGCTCCGGTTGGCTCAGTCCCCTTGCTCACACCCAGTCAAAGAGCAAAGCTTCCGGATCCTACTGGGATGTTAACTGGTGCGACTTCAAGGGCGCCATTCCTCACATCTTCTCTCATAACGCTCGGCAGTGGCCAGATCGCCCATGTGTCATCCAGTGCATTCCAGCTAGCTCTTTAGATGCATCCCAAGAGAAGCGCACCTTCTCATACAGCCAGATTCTGCACGCGTCCAACATTCTCTCTCACCACCTTCTTCAGGGAGGCCTTCAACGAGAAGAGGTAGTCATGGTATACGCCTACCGTTCCGTCGAACTTGTCGTCGCAGTGATGGCCATCCTCAAGGCCGGTGGAACGTTCTCTGTCATTGACCCCGCGTATCCTCCTTCGCGACAAACCATCTACTTGCAAGTTGCCCAGCCTCGCGCTTTGGTGGTACTCTCTGGCGCAGGGAAGATCGCTCCCTCTGTACGCGACTTCATTTCGAACGAACTCCAGATCCGAGTCGAGGTCCCTGCTCTCGAGCTGCTTGCCGATGGCCACCTTGTCGGAGGTGTAACAGAGGGATCAGAAGACGCTCTGACGCCCCATCATCGCTGGCAGATGCGATCCCGACATCGTCTTGGGACCCGACAGTGTTGCTACGCTCTCCTTCACCAGCGGAAGTACCGGGATCCCCAAAGGCGTCAAAGGACGACATTACAGTCTTACCCACTTCTTCCCATGGATGGGAGAGCGGTTCAACATCGGCGACCACTCCAAGTTCACCATGCTAAGTGGTATCGCTCACGATCCCATTCAGCGCGATAGTGGGTCGCTCTTATCACCTACCGTCTACACGTCTTTTCACATTATTCCACCAGTGTTCACTCCTCTCTTCTTTGGTGCCAGCTTATACGTTCCTACTGCCGACGATATTGGCACACCCGGACGTCTCGCTGAGTGGATGGCCGACAACGAGGTGACGGTCACTCATCTCACGCCCGCGATGGGTCAGCTCCTTTCGCCCAAGCCACTCGCCAGATCCCCACACTTCATAGCGCATTCTTTGTCGGGATGTGCTTACAAAGCGCGACTGTCTTCGCCTCCAATCCCTCGCGGTGAACGTCCGCATTATCAACATGTATGGCACGACCGAGACGCAGCGTGCAGTCTCGTACTTCCTCATCCCCTCCGTGTCCGAAGACGCCACTTTCCTCGCGATGCAAAAGGACATCATGCCGGCGGGCGAAGGCATGATCGACGTCCAACTCCTCGTGGTCAACCGCAACGATCGTTCTATTCCGTGCGCGGTCGGGGAAGTTGGCGAGATCTACGTTCGTTCTGGAGGCCTTGCCGAAGGATACTCTGATCCCCAGGCCACTGCGGAGAAGTTCGTAATGAACTGGTTCTGCGAGAACGCCCCTCCGCGACCAGACATAGTCACCGGCCCCGAGGCGCAGTTCTGGAAGGGCGTGCGCGACAGGATGTACCGCTCAGGCGACCTGGGACGCTACCTTCCGAATGGGATCGTCGAGTGCACCGGCCGCGCAGACGACCAGGTCAAGATCCGAGGATTCCGTATCGAGCTTGGCGAAATCGACACGCATCTCAGCCAGCATCCGATGGTGCGCGAAAACGTCACGCTTGTTCGCCGCGACAAGGACGAGGAGAAGATCTTGGTGACGTACTTCGTCCTGTCAACGGACCTGCGCTAGACGAGTTCGCAAGCGATGTCGGGGACGACGGCGATGACAAGGGTTTGGTGAGCGGCATGCGCAAGTACAGACGGCTCATCAAGGAGATCCGAGAGTATCTCAAGAAGAAGCTTCCTACCTACAGCGTCCCGACTTGTACGTCTTCATTTACCCTTCGAGTTGACGAAGTGCTTACCCGTCTTCTAGTATTTGTCCCGCTCAAGCGCATGCCGCTCAACCCGAACGGCAAGATCGACAAGCCCGCGCTTCCATTCCCTGACACAGTCCAAGTTGCTTCCGCTGAGCCGGCGCGTGGAGGCCCTGCCGCATCTCCGACCGAGGAAGCCATTCGCTCAATCTGGGCACGCATCCTGCCCAACGCGCCCTCCCCGATCCGGTCGACGAATCCTTCTTCGACTTGGGAGGGCACTCTATCCTCGCCACTCGCCTCATCTTCGAGATCCGCAAGCCTTCGTCGTCGACGCACCTCTTGGGCTCGTCTTCGAACAGCCCACCATCGCGGCGCTTGCGGCCACCGTGGATCGCATGCGCAACGCCGATCTCGGGCTCGCTGGGGCTGCCCCGATGTCGCGCGTCACCGCCGCGGCCCACCAAGCACTATCAAGCGCGTGGAGTACGGCGCGGACTACGAGCAGCTCGTCGCCTCGCTCGCATCGGAGTACCCTTCCGCACCCGAAGATCCGAGCACGCGCGGATCGCGCACGATCTTCCTTACTGGCGCGACGGGCTTCCTCGGCGCGTTCATCTTGCGCGACCTCCTCCGCCGCACCGATGGCGTGAAGAAGGTCGTGTGTTTGGTACGCGCGCCGGACGACGCCGCGGCGCTCTCGCGTCTGCGCTCGGCCGCGCAGGGGCGCGGCGTGTGGAACGAGCAGTGGGTCGCGGACGGGCGCGTCGAGGCGCTCAAGGGCGACTTGGACCAGCCGCGGTTTGGGCTCGAACAAGGCGCGTGGATGCGCGTGGCGGGCGAGGCGGACGCGGTCGTTCACAACGGAGCTCTGGTACGTTTGGAATGTTGGATGGTTCTGGCCCGGCGCGTGCGCTAACGATTGCACCCACACAGGTTCACTGGGTGTACCCGTACGAGAAGCTCCGCTCTGCGAACGTCCTCGGGACGCTCACGGCGGTAGACCTCGCCGCTGCGGGCAAGCCGAAGCACCTGGTGTTTGTCTCCTCGACGAGCGCGCTCGACGTCGACTACTACGTCCAGCTCTCCGAGACAACTGGAGCCGTGCCCGAGGCGGACGATCTTGAGGGCGCACGCTCGGCGCTGAAGACAGGGTACGGACAGAGCAAGTGGGTCGCCGAGAAGCTCCTCTTCGAAGCCGGGCGGCGCGGCCTCCGCGGTCACATCGTGCGCCCCGGATACGTCGTTGGCGACTCCCAGTCCGCAGGTGCGTCTCTCTCTGAGTTCTAGCGTGGACGAAACCCGCTAACGACTCACCCGCGCGCGCAGTCACGAACACGGACGACTTCCTCTGGCGCCTCGTCAAGGGCTGCGTCCAGCTCGGGCTGGTCCCCGACATCAACAACACGGTGAACATGGTCCCCGTCGACCACGTCGCGCGCTGTTGCGCGCTCGCGGCTCTCCCCCCCTCTCGCCGTGGCCGGGGGCGCACTCGGCGCGCTGCACGTAGCCGCACGCCCCGCCCGACGTTCAACACGCTCCTGGGCGTGCTCGCCGCGTACGGGTTCGGGACGGCGCGCGCGGACTACGTCGCGTGGCGCGCGGCGCTCGAGCGGCACGTGATGGAGACACAGGACAACGCGCTGTTCCCGCTGTTGCACTTCGTCCTCGACGACCTACCGACGAGTACGAAGGCGCCGGAGCTGGACGACGCGCGTATGCGGGCGGTGTTGAGGGCGGGCGGCGCGAGGGAGGCGGCGACGGTGGACGAGGAGCTGGTGGGAAGGTATTTGGCGTGGCTGGTGCGCGCCGAGTTCTTGCCCCCGCCGAAGGAGGGCGAGGGGGCGGAGAGGGCGCTGCCGAAGTTGAACGAGGTGGAGGGCGCGCTGAAGGCTGTTGGAAGGAGTGGGAACTGAAAAGAGTGAAGAGAAGAAAGTCAATGCGAATGTATCGATAGGACATTGCTCCGCAAAAAAGGCACGATGTTGGACATCGAAGGCAGAACACGAGTCGACTCGATATACTACTGAAGCACGTAGACAATGTACACATCCGTTGCAAACGCAACAAGAAGATCGCCGAGTGAAATTGTAGCGCCTATCCCAGCTCTCTACGCCGTAGCCTCCCACAGCCCACTCCAATATATACACCGAACGACGAACCCCCTCCAATTTCTTCACCGCGCCTCCATGAGTCGAACACGACCCAGAGAGAAGCAACGGTGAAGAAAAAAGAGGGGGTCCCCCGAAGGAGTCCCCCGTTGAGTTTAACCTCCGCAGGCATGCACCCACAGAGGGCAGACGCGCCCCGCGCCACCCGTCCCACAAGGAAGAGGTTTTACGTCTGGGGCGGTCCACATGAGTGGCCACGCGACTCGGCGCGCGGCCCCGGGCAGACCGCCAGCCACCGAACGTGCCGGAGCTCATCGACACGCCCAGCGAACTGACGGCCCACCGTGTGTTGAGGGCTGATGGCTGATGGCTGAGGGCGAATGCCGAGTGCGAGGTCGGTGCCGAGGCGGGAGGTCGGTCGAGACGCGAGCCGACAAGATATACGAGGGGTGGCTGGTCCCCCGCACACCTCACCAACCCACGTCCGTGTTGGTGTTGACGTGCCGAACGTGAAGGCCGATGTTGAGACCGAACCAGCCGACGCTGTCAAACCGAGACCGTCACCACGCCCTCACGCCCGGAAAACATCTGCCAACCCAACCACCTCCTCGCTTTACCGCACCAACAACCCGCTAACCCGCCGACACCCCCACCCATACTGTACCGTCGCTGGGGGCAGCCAGGGTCATCAAGGTGATCAGGCCCTCTCCCAGCCACGCCCAACGCCCACAGCGCGGTCGTGCGCCGTTCCAGGTCCGAGGTCTTTGTCCAGGCCCCGCATCTTCCTACTCTTCAAGAACATCCGCTGGAATGAGTTCAGAGTAATAGTAATGCGCTCAAAGGGGAAAAGACCAAAGAGATACCGGGGAACCGATGGCCCCCAGCGTCGTATTCCGGGAAGCTGAGGTGCCGAGCGTTGAAGTTTTGAGGGCTGAGTGCTGAGTGCTGAAGGCGCTCGACGTAAGCCTACGAAGCGCACGAGATTCGGCTACTTACTCCCCGTGCACCCCACCGAACCACGCGTGTGTCAGTCTTGCGAAGTCGGATCGAGACGACAGCCCAGCGACACCGAGAAAGGGCGGCTAACCCCTCCCCCAGTACCACGGAACCGCGTCTACACTGGACCTTGAGGTCTTGCGGTGCTGAGTGCTGCGGTCTTCGCCCAGTCCCCTCTTCAGGGACATCCGTTGGAAATGTGAGATGAAGAGTAAGAGTAAGACACTCAGACACACACCAGACAAAGAAAGTGGCGAATTTGGGGCGTTTGTTGCTTGAGGGCTGAGTGCTGAGATTGGTCGAGACACAAGCCGGCGAGACGTACGAGGGGTGGCTGGTCCCCCGCACACCACACCGACCCACGCCTATGTCGGTGTTGAACTTCGTTGAGGTGCTGGACGTTGAGGTACTGGACGTTGAGGTGCTGAATTTGAGGTGCCGAGGACGATGTCGAGACCGAATGCCGGACCAGCCGGCGCTGCAAAACCGAAACCGAAACGCACCGACTCCCTCAGTACCCATCCACATCCCCGTCCCACACCATCCCTCCGCCAGCCTCAGCGCAACACGCCCGCAACCCGCCACGCTCCTCGCACACCCAACACACCCCCGATACATTGCCGTCGCCGACACAGCCAGGGTCATCGGGGTGATCAGTCCCTCGCCCGGTCCCGCCGACGTCCCCAGCGCCGTCGTGCGCCGTCCCATGTCCCGGTCCGCCGAGGTTGTCGTCTTCGCCCAGTCGTCGAGGGCCCCCGTGCCGTCGTCTTCTTCAAGGACCTCTACGAAAATGCCCAGACCTGCACCTTCAGCACCGTGCACAAGCGGGTATGAGAAAAAGGAAGAGCGGAAACCCCCGGGGACCAGCCCCGGCGCGGCGTTCATCGGGGTCATGAAGCCCTCGCGCACACGACGGGGACAAGCAACCAGGGCATACATGGGCTGTCCGAGTCCGAGTCCGAGTCCGTGGCCAGCCTTGCGGGGTCGAGTGGTTGGGTGGGTGCGCATGGTGGAGGTTGAGTTTGAAAGGTGAGACTGAGGGTGGGGTCGTCAAGTGGTGGAAGGAAAGGAACTTAGGTGAGGAGCGGAGAAGTGCGCGGGCTGGAATTTATAGGTGGGGTTGGGATTCGGGCGGCAGGGCGGGAGGCTGACACCGGGAGCAAGCAATACCGGACCGGTTGTTTGAAAGGCGGCCCCAAGTACAGCACGTAGTTGACATTGTATACAACAGCCGCAGTATAACGAGAAGCTAGAAAACATGTGAGTGGCATGGAATGCAGAGGCGCGGGCCACACAATGATGACGCTCTACCGCCGCGAGAGGTACCTCCAGAACACTGAGCGGATCAAGTCTGTCCTTGGTCCTGTTGCTCTCTGGTTTTGGCGCAGCCTGATCTATCGTATGCATACTAGTCAGCCCATGTACATGTTTCCCCGAAGCGAATAGATGACCCACCTTCAGCATGACAGTGTCGTGCGCTCTCTGCCGCGCTCTCGCGCGGGATCAAGAATGTGAATATATATGATGGAGAGAGTGTTTTCTACAGCATACAAATATTGCGAACTGGCTACAAAAACAATCGTGCGCTCGTGACGAGGTCATGAATCTAGGTCAACGCGCTCCTGAGGCCCATCGAACCCTACAAACAAACCGTATACTGCACCTCGCACTAAATCTCACTAAGTAGAACTTGATGGGCTACGAAGAAGTCGCAGTCCGAGTGTGTACGTTCCCGACCGTCCGCGGCGAGAACGGCGTCGACCCAGGGTTCAGATCAGACTTGAGGTTGCCTCCGACCACGCCTGGTGGTTGGGGTTGCTGCTGGGACTGCGAGTGCGACCGAGCCCTGCCACCACTTCCAGGCTCAAACGGCGGTGCGCGTCCCGAGAGCGTCGATGCAGGCGTCAGAGAGCCGATTGGCGTCGAGGATGACGAGGATGACGAGGAACCTTGACGGAAGACGTTGCCGCGTACGTGTGGGCGGACCTTTTGTGCTTGTGCAGGATAGTGCTGGTGCTGGTGAGCTTGAGTCTGAGGTTGGACTTGGGCTTGAGACTGGAGGTTGATCACCCCGGGAACTTGGGCCTGGTTTACGTGAGGCTGGGGGTGGGGGTGCGCCGTGAAGGGCACCGTCCGTGCGCCCGGACGTTGGATGGGCTCCTGATGCGTATGCTGATGGGCGCGGACGGGAGGGAATGAGGGGCGGGGATGGTGTGGCTGGTGTACATGCGGATGATATCCATGGTGGTGCTGCCCATTCGGGTGCGAGTGTCGTTTGCGGTTGTGCGGGTGCGTGTGGTTTGAGTGGGGGTCGTGGTGGCCTCCGTGCGCCCCACCATGCGCATGGTGCGCACGCTCGCCGTCCGCGGTGCCGTCCCTGCTCTCGTCCCGCTCGCCGTCCTCGCCCTCGCCCTCGTACCCGTACGGGTCCTTCTCGATCCGCTCCCGCTCCTCCTCCAGTTTGCGCAGCCTCTCCTCCAGCTCCGCGAGCACCCCGCCCTCGCCCTCGAGCTTCTCCCGCTTCGCGTTCAGCTTCTCCAGACGGTTCACCGCCGCCGCCAACTCGCCCTGCGCGGCTTCCGCGCGCGCCTTCTCCCGCATCTCGGCCTCCTCCTTCCGCTGCCTCACCCTCGCCGCCTCCTCCCTCACCCTCACCTCCTCCCTCTCGAGCGCCTCCCTCTTCTTCTCCAACGCCGGCCGCGCCGCCTCGATGTCCTCCACGAGCGCCTCGAGCTCGCGCGCGGCCGCAAGCGTCTGCTTCGCCGCCTCCTGCAGCGCGAGCACCTTCTTGCGCGCGCGGCCCTCGCCCGCCGCGTGTCGGTCCGCCGCGCGCCGGAGCGCGTCGATCTCGGCGCGCAGCGCGGCGTCCGCCTTCTGGCTCTCGCGCCGTGCGGTCTTGAGCGCGGCCGCGAGCTGGCCATGCTCCGCGGTGAGCAGCGCGAGCGCGTGGACGAGCTGCTGCCGGCGCTCCTCGAGCGTTGGCGTCGCTGCGGGCGCGGGTGCGGATGCGGATGCGGGCGAGGACCCGTGCGGGGCGGAAGGGGCCTCGGGTGTGCTCGCGGCGGGCTCGTCAGGGAGGGTGTCGGGGAGGACGGTCCCGGTGCGGACTTCGGTGTCTGTGAGAGGGTATGAGACACGGGTACGAGGGATCGGACGGTCGCGCCCCCAAGTGTATGCGCAAGAGCGGTCGGGTGAAGAGAGGAGCACGCACCGGTGGTGATCTGGCCCCGGAGGCTCGCCTCGTCCGGCAGGATCCCGAGCTCGACGTCGTACTGCCGCGCGGGCATCAGCCCGTAGAGGATGATGATCGCCTCGTCGAGCACGTCGTCCATCTTGAGGATCACCCGCTGCCACGGCGTGCCGTTCACCTTGACCGAGAGCCCCTTGGCGAGGATGTCCGACACCACCTGCCCGTGTGGCCCGTTTGCTGCCGCTGCCGCCGCCGCATGGTCCTCGTGGTGCTGGTACTGGTGCTGGTGCTGGTGCTGGTGCTGGTGCTAGCCCCCACCCTCTCACCGTCGTCCTCGTCCGCCCGGCAACGAGCCCGAGCGCGGCGAGGCTCGCGTCCCGGGCGGCGTCCGGGGCCGAGTACGGCGAGGCGAGGATGAACGTGACCGAGACCGAGGTGATCTCGAGCACGGTGAGCGAGAGCGCGGGGAGCCACGGCCGCACCGCGTGCCATTCCGCGAACTGGTCATCCATCGGCTGCTGCTGCTGCTTCGTGTGGGGGCGCATGCGCCCGCTGCTGCCGCTTGCTGCCTCTGTTCTCCGTCGTCTTGTGCAGGCTTTCACTGCTTGGTGCTCTGTCTGTGAGCTATTGGCTTCGACTCCCTAGACGCGATCTGGTGAGGAGATCCTAGAGCAAGAACGCGGGTGTTTGTGGAGCTCTTAATGGTGCTGGGCCGGTCGGTGGATCGTGTGTGAGAGCAAGGAGATGAGGGGAGGAGGAGAGCGGTGTTCAAAGTCGGCGCCACCGTCTGCTGCACTCGGTGGCTCGTGCAGTGCCCGATCGGATCTGAGATTTTGCCGTATGTTTTGCTCGGGTCCTGGGGCAGTCGCGGGGGCTACGCCACCATCAGCTAGCAATCCACACGCAAAAATATCTACGCTGCTCGGATTTGTGCGTTCGCAAGGTCTTCGAAGCCACTCTCCGTACTTACCTATCACCGAACGTAGACCTTCAAATTTAAGGGTAGAATGTGCGAAAAGGATGAGCGCCTCGAGGTCGGTAGAAGCGAATTTTATCACAGGGTTTCAGCGAGGACGCTGCGGGCCCAGAATATACGGGGGATGGTATCGTAGGGGTGTGTGCAGGTATGGTACAGAGCAGCGGCCAACGGAACTGAGGACAACGCAGGCTATGCGCGCCAAGCAGGGTAGGCGGGAGGGCAAGGGGAGAGGAACGCTACAGACACGGAGTCCGAGGAGATGTAGGAGAGGGAGGTAGGGAGGAGATGTGGCGTAGCGCAGGGGGCAGAAATACACGGAAGCGCAGGCAGGGACGGCAAGCGCGAGCGCTGACGAGGGCCGAGAATCGAGGGCCGGAGGTATGGGAAGGAAAGCGACAGCAATATGAATACATGATCAATGGCAAACAAGCGAAGCAGAACTATGTGCAGGTAATAGTAGTAATCAGACGACGGCGACGATAACGCGAAACCCAGAGACACAGGTAGGCGAACAGGTTCGCGACGGAGGGTGGAACCAGGTGGCAAGATGGGAATACAGGGTGGCAAGCGGACATTAGGTTGGGGCGTTAGGTAAGGACACCGATGGGGGTGCGGGCGTGGTTGAGCGAGAGAGCATTGTGATAACGGCATGAACGACTAGAAAGTTCAATGAAAACCGAGGGAGACCTGTGTACGAACAGAGACAAGCTGTCAGCACTCCAGCAACCAACGTCAGCAGATGAAGGCGCACCGGGCTAACGAGAAAGCGCAATGAGCGGACAGAGCAGAGCGAAAGAGGCAGCGCGCACGCGTGTGGCATCGTCACGACGCCGCACCAGAAATGCGCGTGGTCTTCTTCATCTGCACCGGCTGGAGCGGAGTTGGAGGGGCCGGGGGAGGTATTGACCTCGCGGACGACCACATGACGCGGGGTTCTCGGTACGACTCCCGTTGCGGGTCGGACTCTTCATCCGCATCCGTGTCTAGCTCGACGGTGACGGTCTCTTCGATCGTCACTTCGACGTCGACGTCGTGCTCATCTGGATGCAGCGCCGTGCGGCGACGAGGAGGGTGTGTGGGGATCGTGATTGACTTGTGTGTGCGCATCATCCAGTCCATGGCGTCCCGCTCCCGGTCATAACGACCGTCATCGTCCACGTCAATGCTGCTCTCGGCATCGCGCACCGCCGCACGACTGCGACTGTGACCGCCCTCATTGTCCTTCTTCGGGTCGATGCGCGACAAGGAAAGGGAGACGAACGAGTGTGAATGTTCGCGCGTATGCTCGATGTCCGTCAAATGTTCACGGCGCGAACGGGATTGCGATAGGAAAGACCAGTCGAGATCGAGGTGGGTAGAAAACGGGTGTTCGTCTTTGCTTTCAAACTGGTTCCGAACGGCGCGGGAGACGGACTGGGCGGAATGCAGGCTCCGTGAGACGACAACCTGGGTAGTGATGGCGCGGTTGTGGACGGCTGCAGCATCTGTTGTAGGAATATGCCTGGTCAGGGACAGGAAGCACAGAACGGACAGAACGGAGGACGACGCACCTCGAAGGTGGATGAGGATTCGCTGGCTCATAATCCAGGTCACAGTATAGCCGATGGAAACTCTGTATGATCGAGTCCGAGGTCAATTGGGTCTTTCCAACAAGCATTGATTATTCCCCACCCTGACGACTGAACCAAGATGTCAGATCACAAGAGTCATGGATACAGAAGAGTCGAGCTCACCTGAGCTGATTCGATGGAACTTCGGTAAAGAATGAGATTCAAGATGTTGGCACCTTCAAGGGCCGTCAGTAGCGTCAACGGCAACGTATGTCGAGCTCTTACCAGTGAGGGCGACAAAGTAAATCAGCCCATCGGTGAGCATACTGTGACAAGAGAATCAATCATTGTAGTGGGAGGAATGAAAAATGGGCGGACATTCTGACGAGTTGTGCCATTCTGTGTGCCAAGCACTGTCAATACTTCACTCCAACACTGTAGAATGAACACAACACCCACTTTCCAGAGTTGGAGCCGAAGTTGATCAAGTGTGCAGTCGAAATGCCGAGGGTGACAACGTCGTATGCCATAGCAAATACATAATACAGCCACACCGTTAGCACCGGGGGGGAATTTCCTGTGGTGCAGCTGTGAAGGTAGGTGAATTGAGGCGCAGGTGCAGAAGAAGTTGTAGACACGTACTTGTTGTGCTGTTGGAACAAAGCTCTGAATGAGCACAAACCCCAGAAGACATTACGCCTGACTTACCACGCCTCGAACAGCTGCCACCAGTGTGAGATGTAAGGAGTCGCTCTGAGCGCATATGGCATGTGTACTTACGAACTCGGTTCCAGAGGTTGAGGAACCATTCGGCCTGTTGATACTTGAGCACACAGTACTGAAAGAACGAATCAAGGACTCACAATAGTGCATAAAATGAACGTGATCGAGATTGTCCACGTAACCCATGTCGCGCGCCGAGAGATGTTCATCGTCCTGGCAGGGAGGGTGAGCATAGTCGCGGCGCATGTTCGGCAACGACGCGATAGCGTACCTGACGCCGACAATGATCTGAGAAATCATCGTTTGGAGCACTGCCAGTGGAGACATATGAGACACGGACGATAGCGGACGGAGCTTGGACCTGGTCGCGGTCGCGGTCGCGCGTGGGCCGGGCGGCATGGCGTGCCGTCGATGGAGGCGGAGTAGCAGAGAGACGCGAAGACGCTATCGGGGGCGGGGTGGGCATACGAGAGGGAGACTCACCCTTGAAGACGGGGGCGGCGATGAAGTAGCGGTTGCATAGCGCGGTACTAAACGAAGTAGAAAAGTAACCGACATTGCTGAGCAGGAGGACGGCGATGCTGGAGTAGCTGCAACCACGGTAAGTGAGGGAAGGTATGAAATGAAAGGGTAGAGTGCGTACCGGATAGCAATGAAAAGGATGCAGCCGGGGGATAATCGCCAACTACGTTGACTGGTGTAAAACCGGTACTCGGCTGGGAGGGTGATGAAGTAACTGAGCAAGAAGCGGCGAGGTTAGTGGGAGCGGCGAGATGCGAGACGCAAAGGGCGCGAGAGGACTGACTCGTAGAACGCGATGGCTAGAGAAACGACGCGGATATAGTTGGTCGCATTGGCCGCGTCGTCCTCGTCGTCGAAGCCGCTAGCATCGAGGCGGATGTTGACCATGTGGGGGCAGTGGGAAGGATCGTAAGGAGTCGTGGAGGAAGGCAGGAAGCGGAGGGGACGGCTGCGGGGAAGAAGGGGGCGGACGGAGGGCTAGGCGGACATGGCAGGCGGAGGGAGCGGACGGAGGAGAGACGACGGCTGCGCGGCCTCTCGCGGCCTCTGGGCATAGTTTGGGCGCCCGTGCGATCCGGAGTCGTGCCTGGTTCTGGCACCGGTACCGACCCTGCAATCCGTTCCTCCGGCCCCGTGCCTCTGCCCCCGCTCAGTCCGGAAGTCCTGTCCTCGATGGTGAGAGCACAGAGACGTGCACGTGTGTGCAGGCCGCTCACACCGCGCCCTTCCCTATCTTCATCCGCACCCAACACTCTTCTTGGCTGAAACGGCGTCTGCGGAACACCCCTCCAGAGTTGACTGAAACTTTGTCCAGGTTACGTGACAACCTCCACCAAAGTCCGCGCACCAACCGCGGCAGCCACTAGTAGCCTGAGCACTGTCTCGACGCCACCAGATCGCCATGAGTAACCACATCAGGTCACCCACGGTCCTCGCCCATGGTTCGCGTCCGTCGCAGGGCTTATCGCTCCCAGGTCCACGTCAGCACATCGTACTTAACGCTCTTTCAACTTCCAAACACGGCCTCATCTGTCACCGCTGCAGATGGCTTGTCATCACTCCTGGCACGGTGGTAGCGCGGCGTTTGTGCAACTTTGTCGCAGGCGAAATGCCCGCAGCGACATCTCTAAATGAGTTGCTCGTTGCCCGTGGACATAACCCGGAACCGCCATCCTCGCGACTATCACGTCACAAACCACGCCTTCGCAGATCGCACCGTGACCCGTCGCCTTCCCCTGGGGCCTGAGATCTGAGAGGCAGTCGTTCTTAATTGGCTGGCGGTGCGACGCATGGTGAAGATTACGCAACGTTACGCGAGACATGTGGGAGGTGGATCCTCTCTGTTCGTCATAAAGGCCGGTAACTCTACTGTTTTCTGTAGACGTACATGTCATGAGAGGCACGGGAGAGAGACAATATTCCAAAAGTCCCTGTATTCGTAGGCGCTGCGGAAAGCCCTGCGGGGAGATCAGTGAAGTGTGGGGCGAGGGTGGTCGGGAGAGGCACTGCCTGGCGTAGATGGCTTTTATCATCTCACCTCCCAAATTACACAATGAGACGAATGTGGGTTAAGCAGGAAGCATATCTAATGTCCGCCAGGAGCTGCATCTGTGTCACCGCGACATACGGCGCAACCCAAACAACAGCAGCGACGCCGAGAGTGAATGAAGGCCATAACTTGTGAGCGGCGCGTTGATGGACAGGTCTTCGACGTGGAGGTCGGACGCACGACAGACTGTCTCCAGGATCAGCTCCTCTTTGGACTTTGGTGTTTCGGTGGGAGCGGCTCGGAGGTGATCGTAGAGATGGGAGCTGGCATGGTACCCGATATCGCCCCAGTCGAGGCCGGGGATGTACTGCTAGATATCGCCATCTTCGCGGAGAGCATTCACAATGAGACACTCACCAGGCGGCGCGATGACGCGTCTTGAAAACACCTTGGATGTCGGCACCAGCTCAGCACTACGCGGGATTATGAACTACTCGAAGGAGAAGGGAAGGACGCCGTCGGTAATATTGCAAGAACATCAACTTCATTGAGTACTTCTGGGGAGCAGTGAAGCGTTGGTACTACATGGATCATTGCATTTTGACGCTGGTTGAACTCAACGGGGGACTCCTTCGGGGGACTCCTTTTATCTTCGCTGTCGCTCATCTTCGCAGTGTTTGACTCAGCGAGGCGCGGTGAAGAAGATGGAGGCGGGCACGGTCAACGTGACCACTCGTCGGCTCGGATGGTGGGGCAGGATATGATTGAGACGAGTGGAATTGGGGCGATTCACATCCTCCGGAATGTGTTCTTGCTCCCACTGCGCATCCCCTGCCGCCGCCTTGTCCGCCCCTTCCTGTCCGCCTCGCTCATCTCCACGTCCGGGTCCTCCCCACCACGCTCCATGCCCGCGCCGAACTCCTCCACGCCCTTCCGCTTGCCTTCCTTCGCCTTGCCCTTCTTGCCCTGGCCCCACGCCGCCGCGGGTTGCTCATCGTCGTACTCGTTGGTGGACGACGACGTCCGCGGGACGAAGGTGACCTCCATCCCACCGTCAGCCGTGCGGTGCACTTCGTCATGCGACGCGCGGCCTTTCCCCTTGCCGTTGCCCAGTGCAGAGAACTGGGCGCGGCGCTGGCCAAACGACGCATTCTTGTCCGCCTCGCGGCCGCCTGCGCGCCCTTCCTGCGCCCGCAGGGGCACGAGACGCACTTTGGGATCACGTCGGACGGGGCCGCGTTTTGCCCATGCAGCTCTTGTCGCGGTGCGGGCGGCTTCGCGGGCGTCGAACCCGTCGTTCCACAACTCTGTCAACGGAAGACGGTCAAGAAATGTGGGGACGGAAGCCAGGAGCGCACTCACTCCCTTCATCGTCGCTGTCGTCGCTCCCGTTCTCGCTGTCCTCTTCGCTCCCCTCGCCCTCGCTGAGTGGGTCGGAGGACGCCTTGTCGCTGTCGTCCTCCTCGTCCTCCACCGCCGTCTTGCCCCTGCTCGGGCCCGCCTCGGGGTTCTGTCGCCGCGCCACCGTCGACGGGTTGAGGAGCGCGAACTCCCGGGTCGTCTCGTCGACCTCGAACTCCGGGTCCTCGAACACGGCCGCGAACCGCGGGTCCTTGAGCAAGCCCGACTTCGCCACGTCTCCATCGACCTCCATCGCCTCCTCGGCGCCCTCCTCCCCGTCCTCGGCGCCTTCCTCTCCCTCTTCTCCCCCACCCTCCGCCGCTTTGGCCTTGGCCCTCCGCGCGGCCCTGCGCTCCTCCTGCTTCTGCGCCCGCACCTCCTCCTTCTTGACGCGCTCGGCGAGTGCCTTGTTGACCTTGACGCTTGCCGTGCCGGCGCCGCCTTTGCGCGCACGGATGCGCGTCTCGGCGAGCTTGTCGAGCTTGTCCTGCACCATGCGCTCGCGGTGCTCTGCGTACGCGTACGGGTTCGCGATGAGCCGCGCGGTATCGTAGAGCTGGAGGGAGACAAAGTAGCCGTGCATGTACGGCTTGAGCGCGGGCGTGCCCACGAGGTGGTCCAGGCGCAGCCTGCGCGAGGCCGAGGGCATCAGTACGAGTATGGGAAGCAAGTAAGGAGGTATGGAGGCGGGGTACGCACTTGGCGAGCTCCGCGCGGTCGACGAACTTGTAGTCCTTGTATGCGGTGCGCGTCGTCTGGTCCTCGAGCTCCTCGGTCAGGTTCTCGAGGAAGCTGCACCACTTGGGCGCAGGGCCGAGTTGGGGGACGAAGAAAGACGTCATCTTGATGCCCTCGTTCGCGAGCATGAGGAGCCCAGTTCCCGGGATGTGGTTGACGTCGTTGATGTCGTTCGCGGGGGTGATGGAGGTGAAGTTCGACTCGGGCTTAGGGTATATGCAGATGAAAATGTGTCGAATAGAGCATGTAAAGTAGTATACGTACCGAATTCCGGTTCCAGATTTTGATGACCTTCTTGTCTGCACTGAGCAAGTATCCCTCGCCCACCATCCTGCTCCCCCCTTCAATCCAGCATACGCTCTTCACAGGCAATCCATATCCTTGATCTTTGAGTGCTAGATGTCGTGCCGAGCGGATATCGTAGAGGAGTGTGTGTCCCGTGGAAGTCCCCACAGCGTATGAAAGACCATCAGGTCTTGACGCGAGTGCCGTTACTGAGAGGGCTGGGCCAGAGTCGTCGACGCCAGGAAGCGAGGAAATGGCGTTGACGGGGAGGAGACGTTCGCGAGGTAATCGAAGGATACCGACCCGTGCCCTAGACCGAGGATCCCAGAACTCAACGGTGCCATTGCCATCAATACCGAATGCGAAAAGTTGGTGTGCTGGATTGATGTCGATGCAATTGACGCCTATGATGTTCTCGCCTCCGTCGCCTTCCAGATGTAGTGGGTTGAGGAACCGTCCTTGGTCAAGGTTGAGGCGGAAGACATCAGGGCCAGTTGCGGCTAAAAGGGCATCGCAGGATGGGAAGTGGTAGGCAAGAGAGCGACCAAAGCGTGGTATTCGCGTGCGGTAGTGGAAGCCGCCTTGGGTGTGCAGCTCGACGGAGCGGTCTGCTTGAAGGTGTATGGACTTGGTCCAATCATCGAGAGCATCTGCCGCGGGACATGAGCGGAGTTCCGAAGGACGCGTGAAGGTAGCGGACAGAAAGACTCACTCACAACAAAGTCAACGTTCTCTGCGTCTGTATGTCGCTCGAACTTGAGTGAGAGTTGGTCGAGGTCCCATACACGGATTTGCGGTTTGTAGGTCCCGGTCGCGATAGCATGGTGTCCGTCCCGGGTCGTCTTGATCTTGTTGCTCGCCTCAGGAAATCAAAATATTGTATGAGTTCAATGTTGCCTTCGACTTGCTCCGGACAACCTCTTGCCCTTCCCCTTGAGTGCGCGTTTTTGGGTGAGCCAGTCTGGAAGGTAAGAGGAGGAATTTGAGGCTTCTCCGTTGACGGTGTAGACCTTGACGGCGCTGGGGTCTAAAAGCGCGCCCATCGGGAGAGATGTCCCTGTGTGCAGGCGGAGAGGAGGATGAGGGGAGGGTGTGTAGAGCGAGTGCTCAAACGCCGAGTCGCAGTGCAAGCAGGAGTTGCTCGGCGCTTTCCAAAATTTGGGACATTCTGCACGTGCCACGGACGACATGTACCGGGTAGAGCGGCCCGGGAATATGACGACACAGATCTCTCGGGACGTATCAGCAGCCGATCATCGACCAAGACCACGACACACCAATCTCATCTATTGCACCTTCTACTGTCTATTCTACCCGCAGAATGCACACTCCGTCAGCGCTCATCTTGATCGCGAATGGCACCGAAGAAATGGAGTTGTACGTTCGGATCGACTCGTACTAGCCCCTCTGCGGCGAGCTGAGCATGATCAACCACTAGTACAATCACTTATGACACCTCGTGCGTGCCGGAGTCAAGTGCACGTCTGCATTTGTCCCAGAGCCAGGAAGCTCCCTAGAGGATGTTAACTTCGAGAACAACCCTCCATTTGCGAAAGGCTCCCGCGGGATCAGAATTGTGCCGGACACGTACTTCTCTCCCCATGACTCTACTCCTGTGCGTACCTTTTGTTCGGAAATATACATAACTCATAGACGTGACAGGACAACTTCGATGTGTTGGTCATCCCCGGAGGCGCCAAGGGAGCGCAAACCATGTCAGAGAGCCCAGCCGTGCAGGAACTCGTCCGTAAATACCTCGATAGTGACAAATTCGTGGGGATGGTCTGCGCAGGTACGGTACTCCTCATCGTCATTCTTCTATGCTACACTGAAGTGCACAGGCAGCCTAACAGCTTTGACGTCGAAGCTTCCCAAGCAGAGCCTGACTTCTCACCCGAGCGTCCGTGACCAGTTGAAAGATTGTATGTGCCGTATCGTTTCTGTCTGTCACGGCCTGACAGTCATGGTCCAGCGTTTGAGTATTCGGAAGACCCTGTGGTCTGCTCAGGGAAACTAATCACCAGGTTAGTCCATCTTGAGGTTCATGATGTCGACAGAGCCCTAACAGTCCGCTGCAGCCGAGGCCCCGGTTCGTACGTCGTCGCCAGCTCGTCAGCGGCTCCTCACTTCCTTCCAGGCACCACCTTTCCCTTCGCGCTCACTCTCGTCGAGCTGCTTTGCGGTAAGGAGAAGCGCAGCGAAGTCGCGGGGCCGATGGTATTCCCCGCTGGCACATTCGCCTAGTAGACGCTTCGAAGGTGCAGTACTCAACGACGGAGAACGAATACATCCAGAACCCGTGTACTACTACGAGACCCACGCAGACGGTCCAGCACAGAGAGGCTCGGCATCACTAGCTGATTTACACAAGTGCCCCAACGACCTCACGTCAACGGCATCGCAGTCTCGCCGAGTCTCGCCGCCGCCGAGAACAGGCGACGGTCACGAAGGCCACATACAATCCAAGACCAACAAGACGGTAGCCACTATCCTACCTGACCCGCCCAATCGACACCATCCCCTCCATCTTCTTCGCCGCGCCTCCCTGAGTCGAACACGACCAGAGAGAAACAACGGCGAAGAAAAAAGAGGGGTCCCCCGAAGGAGTCCCCCGTTGAGTTTAACCTCCGCAGGCATGCACCCACAGAGGGCGGACACGCCCCGCGCCGCCCTCCCATAAGGAAAAGGTCTTACGTCTGGGACGGTCCACATGAGTGGCCACGCGACTCGGCGCGCGGCCCCGGGCAGACCGCCAGCCACCGAACGTGCCGGAGCTCATCGACACGCCCGGCGGACCGACGGCCCACCGTGTGTTGAGGGCTGAGGGCTGAGGGCTGAGGGCCGAGTGCGAGTGCGTGCTGAGGCGGAGGTCGGTCGAGACGCGAGCCGACAAGATATACGAGGGGTGGCTGGTCCCCCGCACACCTTACCGACCCACGTCCGTGTTGGTGTTGAGGTGCTGAACGTTGAGGCCGATGTTGAGGTTGTATGTCGGGCCAGCCGGCGCTGTCAAACCGAAACCGTCACCACGCCCTCATCCCCGGAGAACATCCACCAACCAACCACCTCCTCGCTTTATCACACCAACAACCCGCTAACCGCCTACACCCCACCCATACTGTACCGTCGCTGGGGGCAGCCAGGGTCATCAGGGTGATCAGGCCCTCTCCCAGCCACGCCCAACGCCCACAGCGCGGTCGTGCGCCGTTCCAGGTCCGAGGTCTTTGTCCAGGCCCCGCATCTTCCTACTCTTCAAGAACATTCGCTGGAATGAGTTCAGAGTAATAGTAATGCGCTCAAAAGGGAAAGACCAAAGAGATACCGGGGAACCGATGGCCCCCAGCGTCGTATTCCGGGAAGCTGAGGTGCCGAGCGTTGAGGTTTTGAGGGCTGAGTGCTGAGTGCTGAGTGCTGAATTTTGAAAGCGCTCGACGTAAGCCTACGAAGCGCACGAGATTCGGCTACTTACTCCCCGTTCACCCCACCGAACCACGCGTGTGTCAGTCTTGCGAAGTCGGATCGAGACGACAGCCCAGCGACACCGAGAAAGGGCGGCTAACCCCTCCCCCAGTACCACGGAACCGCGTCTACACTGGACCTTGAGGTCTTGCGGTGCTGAGTGCTGCGGTCTTCGCCCAGTCCCCTCTTCAGGGACATCCGTTGGAAATGTGAGATGAAGAGTAAGAGTAAGACACTCAGACACATACCAGACAAAGAAAGTGGCGAATTTGGGGCGTTTGTTGCTTGAGGGCTGAGTGCTGAGATTGGTCGAGACACAAGCCGGCGAGACGTACGAGGGGTGGCTGGTCCCCCGCACACCACACCGACCCACGCCTATGTCGGTGTTGAACTTCGTTGAGGTGCTGGACGTTGAGGTACTGGACGTTGAGGTGCTGAAACTTGAGGTGCCGAAGACGATGTCGAGACCGAATGCCGGACCAGCCGGCGCTGCAAAACCGAAACCGAAACGCACCGACACCCTCAGTACCCATCCACATCCCCGTCCCACACCATCCCTCCGCCAGCCTCAGCGCAACACGCCCGCAACCCGCCACGCTCCTCGCACACCCAACACACCCCCGATACATTACCGTCGCCGACACAGCCAGGGTCATCGGGGTGATCAGTCCCTCGCCCGGTCGCGCTGACGTCCCCAGCGCCGTCGTGCGCCGTCCCATGTCCCGGTCCTGCCGAGGTCGTCGTCTTCGCCCAGTCGTCGAGGGCCCCCGTGACGTCGTCTTCTTCACGGACCTCTACGAAAATGCCCAGACCTGCACCTTCAGCACCGTGCACAAGCGGGTATGAGAAAAGGGAAGAGCGGAAACCCCCGGGGACCAGCCCCGGCGCGGCGTTCATCGGGGTCATGAAGCCCTCGCGCACACGACGGGGACAAGCGACCAGGGCATACATGGGCTGTGCGAATCCGAGTCCGTGGCCGGCCTTGCGGGGTCGAGTGGTTGAGTGGGTGCGCATGGTGGAGGTTGAGTTTGAAAGGTGAGGGCTGAGGGTGGGGTCGTCAAGTGGTGGAAGGAAAGGAACTTAGGTGAGGAGCGGAGAAGTGCGCGGGCTGGAATTTATAGGTGGGGTTGGGATTCGGGCGGCAGGGCGGGAGGCTGACACCGGGTGCAAGCAGTACCGGACCGGTTGTTTGGAAGGCGGGTGCAAGCGCAGGACCTGAGTGATATTGTATATCGGATACTGTAAGAAGAAAAGCTAGAAAGCATGTGGGTGACAAGGAATGCAGAGACGCGATCCACTCACCAATAATTTACATGTCCGCCCGTGTCCCGCCATGCAGTGTACATACAAGTCCTGATGCCTATGCTCTCCCTTATCTTGCTCTACGCCGCTCTGACCTGTCCCTCTCGCGCTTTGCGCCATCCCCGTCCCTACTCTTCTCCTTCGAGCGATCTTTCGTCTGGCGGAAGCACAGGAATTCGATGCCGGTCGCTCGCCGGGCATCTGCCAACGTGCGTTTCACGCCGTCGAGATGCGACTGCAGATTCTCGTCGCCTGGCCGCTTGGCGTATGCTTGCGAGATCTTGGTGTAGAGCTCGGATAGGGTCTTGTCGGCTGAGGTGGTAACGTAGCGAGACAAGGTTTGATGCATGAACTCAATTTCAAGCGTTGCCTACCGGTCGAAACAAACGTCAGCACCATTGGGAGGAACCATGATGAGGCGGAGGACGTACGCGGAGCATGCCGCCCATGCCGAATCGCTTGACCTGCCGGAAGCAACGAAGCGCCTCCTCGGCCACATCCTCCACGAGTGCGTTCAGCGTACGTTCCAGGAGAGGAGCAGCAGCTGCGCCGACTTGTGCGTGGACTCCAACGAGATACATAAGCGTCTGGTAGACAAACGGCCTAATCTCTGAACAGCGTGCAATGAGTGAGCGCCCCCCGAGCAAGATACCGCAGAGCTTACCCTTTGGTTGCGGGGTCTCATACCAGTCCATCTCGGGATCGAGGATGCCATTGCGTACGATGGTGGTGAGCGCAGTAGACTTCGGTTTGAAGTAGGACTCGAAGAGCGTCTTGTCCAACTCTTTCACGGCTTGCATCAACGTCTACAATGATGCCTGAGCGACCGGGTATGCAATAAACAAGAAAAGTAGCTTACAAGCTTTTCGTCGGACATCGATATGTTCAGCGCTGTACCGAGCTCTGTGATCATGCTCGGGATGAGGCCCTCCCCCAAGTGGCCGAAGTTGGACACTATGAGCAGGATGCGAGTAGCCTGTGCCCGAGTTTGGATAAGGCAGAACGCACAGTGTCGAGTGAACGTACCGGTTCGTCGATTGGGACAAGCTCAAGCGGGTTGCTTCCCGGGACGGAAGAAGTGGGAGGTGGCAGTGGCATTGGGGCCGTTGAAGTAGGGCTCTCGTCGGACCCAAGGTGGACGAGGCCGTCCAGGAACGCATAAAGCGCGTCTAGGAACGCCTTCGTGATCTTCGTGACGAACTCTGGAGAGATGGCGTTCTGCTTCGTCTGTCGTGAGGATGAAGAGAGATCGACCCCGCCGGCGATTTTAAACGCGGCAGTGGTGACTTGTTTCTGGAAGGTGCGAATGTGGGAGAGGTAGACTGTCGTGTATGGCACCGTCGTGGAGCCAACCCAGTTCTCGAGGTGGTAAAACACACTGGCATCTGGGTGGAATTTAGCCCACGATTGCCGAGGTATTTTAACGATAAACGAACCTCGGTGCCAAGTAGCGATAATGTGGTCCTCAAATTTCCACCGGGCACTGTCAAGGAGAGATCTCAAACTTGAAGTTGCCTCACTGGTAATATCGAGCCCCGACACGTCGTTGACGCTGTCTTGAATTTCTCCAAGGATTTTCATGAGGTGATGAGAGGTCGTGAGGACATTCGAACACTTAGGGAAACATGTTGGAGTTGAGGCGGCTCCCGGGGACTTCACGGCCATATCGGAGAACATGAATAACTCGGAGAGGAGAGTGATGTATAGTTTGATGATGTCAAGTGCCATCGTCATGCATTGTCGAGGACTTCTGCGCGAGGAGATGGTCGGATTCTACGGCAATGGCATTCACACTTCATGAGGTGTCCTCATCAACCACCACAGGAGCGCGTACCTTTTTGAACCGCCCGTCCATGAAAGCTTTGGATATCCTCCAAAAGCTTGGCAATGGGGTAAGCATCGCTTCGGTCACGTTCTTCACCATGGTCTGAATGGCATCCCAGACCTCATGTCCACCGGCAGATGCTGGACTCAACGTATTACGTTGTGCACATGATATCGATCAAGAGCAAGCCACGCACCTATGACAACATCTGCTTGCGAACCTTCGACTGCTTGGAGACAAACTTGTAGCTGGGAAGCTAGCTCACGGTTGAATGAACCATTGTCGGGACCGGGGGCAGTTTCCTTGCTGTTAAGGGCTGGCCATATGTTAGCACATTGAAGAAGTGCGTAAGAAGAGAACATTCGAACATGTGATGGTCTTGACAGAGCTGTTGTACGTATCCCGCATACTTTGTATGATGTGCTTGTGCTGGGCGTCGAAGAATGTCCAGGCGGGATCGTCTCCAGAGGTGAACTCATACAGAATCCTGGGGGTATGAGCCGAGTCTCGGTGAATGAGCCGTAATACGCACTCGATGGTCTTCTCTTGCTCCTCAACACTTCGTGAAGGTTCTTGAAGCTTGGAAGAAAGCTCGCTGCGCATCTGACCCATGACTTTCTCCACCGTGGCCCAGACCTTATCGAGGATGCGCTTCTGCTGCTGCCTTGCGCTCTCCGTAGATTGCCCTTCCTTAGTGGCCCCTACAGGGAGTAGCTGGTCCGGCCGTGTCTCGAGCATGAGCTTCCCCTTCTTATAATCCCGCATTGCCGCTTCATACCGACCCTTATAACCGTACGCATAAATAGGGTGCGGGAAAAGACAAGTGGCAGCTTACCTGCTCGATGGACTGAACAAGGGCACTAGGTAGATTGAAGAAGAATTTGGACCGGTCGAACACGCCCAAAGTAGTACGGAGCTTCTGTGCTTTCATCGCATTCTCCAGTACGGGAAGGAAAATTTGATCCGCTTTCTGCGCTCCGGCTGAGACACAAAGGATGGGTCAAGAACTAATTGCGTATATGAATTATCAAACGCACCCTTCAGGTGGTCTGTTAAAGGCTTGGACGCGTACTCAGTTTGGTCAGCCAGAACTCCCTCCTTCATCACCGCATACAAGGCTGCAGTAGGCGCGGTGGAATTTGTTGAAAACTATGGGCTTCGCGGTGTTGTTGAACGACGTACCATCTGTAGAAGCCTTCACTGCAACGAAGCGATCGAAGTTCTCCTCGACCAGAACACGGATAGCTTCCGACCGCGAATCCAAGGAGGCACGAAGATGATCGATGCCTCGAGAAAGGTCTTGGAAGTTGGCATTCGGTGAACTACGGAGAGGAAGGTCTTTGGATTGAATGACTTGGAGGTGATGAGGACTTGGGTCTCTAAATGTATACGCCTTTGAGATGAACCGTGCAGGGATCGGCTACAAGGTAGACTCACTAGTTTCCGAGTCCAGTTCCCGCAAGCTAAGGAGATGAACACCATCTCAGCTGTGGACTTGGCATGTGTGATTTTGCTACGCACTCAATGGCTGTTCCCAACCCCAGCGGGTCTGTGTCCACTTCGGCGGGGCCTGTAAGGACCGCCTGGTCCATCTCCTGGTCAACTTCCTCCCATCTCCTGCATGGCACTGTGAGCACGGGAGCCTCGACCGTCTGTGAACACATTTACGTTGCTGATACTGAAGAGAGCTTGTAAGTCTTCAAGAGTGCATCCTCGTCAATGTCGAAATTGAGCTTGACCATAACCCGGCAGAGCGAAGGAGAGCTACCCGAGTGATTGGGAGGCAATCAAGTGGATGATCTTTACAGGAGACGCGCGCAAGAACCAGGCAGTGGGTATATGCGGTGGGGGTTCGTAGCAGGGACTCGTAGTAGCAGTCGTGAAGGGACAAGTGGCAGCGGGCGCTCCGGGGACAATCTTATCTCGTCCGCGGCGGGAAGCAAACCAGATTCACCCGGAAGCTCGGAGACCGAGCACGCGATGGACATGACACTAGCCCAGACGAATGACAACGCCTGGCCGCGCGCGCTCGGCCAGAGTCCAGTCCAAGGCCAGTCCCCATGGAACGTACCGCCCCAGTCGAGGGGGCGCTCCTCCGTGCAAAGTTGTAAGCCGTGGGAACTCGCCAGTCGGTATATCCTCTCGTCGAAATGGTGCGACGTCCGTCCCCCGCCCTCCCATCATCTTCGCCCCCAGCCATGTCCATGACGAAGCGCATCCGCATCTACACCGAGGAGGACGTCTCCCGGCACAACAATGCGTCTAGCTGCTGGGTCACTCGCAATGGCAAGGTCTACAATGTCACTAGCTTCATTGTGGACCATCCCGGAGGTGACGATCTCATTCTCAACTACGCTGGCAAGGACATTGGCGTGATTATGAAGGACCCGGAGGAGCATGATCACTCCGAATCAGCTTACAACATGCTTGAGGAGTTTGTTGTCGGCAGAATTGGCGTGGGCGAGACGCTTGTGTCTGATGGTACGGTCTCCATTATGGTGTGCGCTGCGAAAGGCTCGCGTCTGACGACTTGCTTAGATGGGAGGCCACCGACGATTTTCACCCCGAAGAGACGGACCTGACTGCGGACTACGAGAAGAACGAATTCCTGGACCTTCGCCGGCCGCTGTTCATGCAAGTCTGGCGCGCCAACTTCTCAAAGTCCTACTACTTGAAACAAGTCCACCAACCCCGGCATCTTGTCGAGTCTCCTCGTCTCTTTGGCCCTTGGTACTTGGAGGTGAGTCGCACTCTCACCGTCGTATGATACACACGCAAACCCATCTCCTCCCAGATCTTCACCCGTACCGCCTGGTACGTGGTACCTACCATCTGGCTACCAATTACATTGTACCTGTTCATCCGCTCCCTCGTCCAATTCTCCCAGGGTGCCTACTCCCTTCCGCCCTTCACGGTCGATCCCTCTGCCCCTATCAAAGCCATGCTGGCCGGGCGTATTGATCCGTGGGTGTTCGCCTACGCGATGCCATCCTTCTTCCTCGGGAACCTCGCATGGACCCTCCTGGAGTATATCTTCCACCGCTTCCTCTTCCATATCGACGGTCTCCTTCCGGACACTCAAGCAGCGCTCACATTCCACTTCCTCCTGCACGGCATTCACCACTACCTCCCTATGGACAGGCTCAGGCTGGTCATGCCTCCTGTTATGTTCTCCGCCCTCTCTTTCCCCATGACGCGGCTGGCACACCTCATCTTCCCCACTGCCATGGCCAACAGTGTCATCGCTGGCGCATTTACGTTCTGTAAGAAGTTCGTCATATGTCACTCCATTCAAATCTGACCCCTCGTCCAGACGTCCTTTACGACTGCATGCATTACGCGTATGTGTTGCCCGCTGAATCCCATTATGCTCCAATGCTGACGTTGTCACAGCCTCCATCACAGCCGTCTTCCTCTTACATTCGGGACATGAAGAAGTACCATCTTGCGCACCACTACAAGAACTTCGACCTCGGGTTCGGAGTTACCAGCAAGATTTGGGATTACGTCTTCAACACTGTCTTGACCCTGTAGAGCGAGGGCTCCGCGTAGTCGTCACATCTACAATATATCAAAAGTGAACGCATTCATGGCAATTAAGTATACGGATGCCGTAATGACAGGATCAGGAAGTCGCGGCTGGTTTTTGCCCGACTTCAGCTTCATTGTAATCACGTTTAGATGCGGTCCGCCTTCCCACAGAAGTAATGCCATGATTTCAAACCCTTCGCTCGTCTATGATGTGTGTATGTCCAAATCACTGGGCGTCTTGTGGAGTTGATCCTTCGGCAGCTCTGCGCACGGCACTGTAATCCATGCTGTCCATGATGTTGACTCCAGTTGTTTCGGCACGTCACCTACCCGAGATTCAAGCGCAGAATAACTCTCGGTTTCCGTTCATGCTGGTGTGAGTTGAAGGGATCATGGCTCTCCTTCGCGTCTCAATAATTCGTCTCCTTGGACATCCAGACATGTCACAGGATTGACTACCGACCCCTCCGTTCGACGTCGATGAAGTGACAAGGAGGAGGACGTTGGCGACCACGCGTTTTAGCCGCCCTCCCGATGATTACGCGAACATGTCCCGCGCCCTCGTCTCCGCCTTTCCCAATACCGCCTCCGACTCTCACATGATCGCACCTCGCCCGTTGTCCAGGCGTGATCAAAGCTGTCTTCCGAACACGAGACATAGATCCGAAGTTCTCTCATATTTTCCTTGTCGCGTCCGCCTCGCCCTGTGATGCTCCCCACATTCCAGGTCTCGAACCAGCCAAGTGTACCTGGAAAGCGGCCCGACAAGTGGCCGTTCTTGACCGGATCGTACGGTGACATCGCTTTCGGTCGCTGTCGAACGGGTCATGGGAAATGCGTTCCGAGGACATGGAGTATAAATACGCAGCGGTGTGCAGCGGCGGATGGACGACACAACTTCCCGTGGATCTAGCAAGATGAACTCCAAGTTCGCAGGACTGTTTGTGCCGTCTCGCTCGCGCTGTCCGTCCGCGCACAGGCTCAGGTGTGGGCACAATGTGAGTTGATATTCTGCGGTTGGCATTGTATGCGTTGCTGACATACTTTTGGTAGGTGGTGGCAAGGTACGTTTACGACGCCAGCAAGAACCAACTCGAGTTCTCATTTTATAATACTCAGGACTGGGCAGGAGCCACAACGTGTGTTCAGGAGCCGTATGCCAGGCCCTAAATGACTGTGAGGGTGTTGAAACGCTCGCAATTCTGAGGACCTTCACTTATCACTGCATTCAGACTACTCGCAATGCGTTCCCGGCACTGTCACCTCGACCACGTCCGCTGCCCCTACCACCACAACCTCCGCCACACGCACAACCTCGACCACGACCTCCGTCACGCGCACAACATCGACTTCTATCGCCTCCACCTCGACCACTGTGTCAAGCTCGACTTCCACCGCCTCGACGCCCACCGCGTCATGCGCGACCCCGCCCCCCTCTGCTGGCAAGCTGCGCTACGCCGGCGTGAACATCGCCGGCTTCGACTTCGGCTGCGGCGCGGACGGAACGTGCAACCCCACGGGCGCGTACCCGCCCCTCACGCAGTACTACGGTATGGACGGCGTGGGGCAGATGAACACTTCGTGAAAGACGACGGCTACAAGTCTTCCGGCTCCCCGTCGGCTGGCAGTTCCTCACGAACGGCGTCCAGGGCGGCGTGCTCAACGAGGACAACTGGACAAGTACGACACGCTGATGCAGGCGTGCCTCGACACGGGCGCGACCTGCATCGTGGACTTGCACAACTACGCGCGGTGGAACGGGAAGGTGCGTGCGCGGCCCCGAGCGCTCACATAGAGGACTGACGAGGGCGGCTGCAGATCATCGGCCAGGGCGGCCCCGGGAACGACGACCTCGCCGCGATCTGGTCGAGCATCGCGTCGCGGTACGCGGACAACGACAAGGTCATCTTCGGGTGTGAGTACATGATTGCCGTCCCAGTCTCGGTTCACGCGCGGCAGACATTGATACCGAGACGTGCGCGCAGGATGAACGAGCCGCACGACGTGCCGGACATCACGCTCTGGGCGGCGAGTGTGCAGGCGGCGGTGACCGCGATCCGCAAGGTGGGCGCGACGACCCAGCTCATCCTCCTCCCGGGCAACAACTGGACGTCCGCGGAGACGTTCGTCTCCAACGGCTCCGCGGACGCGCTGTCCAAAGTCAAGAACCCGGACGGGAGCATTGACGGGCTCATCTTCGACGTGCACAAGTACCTCGACTACGACAACTCGTACGTCCCTTGGGTCATTGGTGGGCAGGCGCACTTGCTAACCCCGCGCGTAGGGGCACGAACGCGGAGTGCACGACGAACAACATCAACAACGCGTGGGCGCCGCTCGCGGCGTGGCTCCGCTGCAACGGCCGCCAGGCGTTCAACACCGAGACCGGCGGGGGCAACGTCGCCTCGTGCGAGACGTACATGTGCCAGCAGATCGCGTTCCAGGCCGCCAACTCCGATGGTGCGTTCTCCCGTCTGCTTGTCCTGTCTCTAGCGATCGCACGGGCTCTGACGCTACCTGGCAGTGTTCCTGGGCTACGTCGGCTGGGCGGCGGGTAACTTCTACACCGGCTACGTCCTCGGGGAAAACCCGGTGGACAATGGCGACGGGACGTGGACGGACACGCCGCTCGTCTCGGCGTGCATGGCGCCCAGCTCGAACAAGCTGGTTGCGTAGGGCTTGATATACCAAAATTGTACTATCATTTCGCTTCTACTTTACGATCAAAAATGACTTCCCCTGCTCCCTACGACCCCGCATCCAGCATCATAACCTATGTGATACTTGGGAAAAGGGGATGATCACCACTGTTGCATTTCACGCTCGACGACCTCCCAACAAAAACGAAGACGCCCAAGTTGGGCGACATGCGGGCACGCACGGTGTTGAGGGTAAACCCGAAGGAGGCCCCTTAAAAGGGCCAACGGCGACGAAGGCGGTGGGGAAGAGCCTGGAAGGCCGCGAACTGAGATGGTCAGAATGACAAGTTGTTGAGAAGAAACTCGACAAATCACTGCTCGACAAAGATGTCCGATGCTGAACGACATCGAAGGCAGAGGCACGATGTACAGGCAGACCACCCGTGAACTTGTACCCCTACACACGTCGTACCTTTGCTTCTGCTACCCTATTCACGACGAACACCTCCATCTTCTTCACCGCGCCTCACCGGGTCGAACTCGACCCAGAGAGAAGTAACAGCGAAGAAAAAAGAGGGGGTCCCCCGAAGAAGTCCCCCGGTGAGTTTAACCTCCGCAGGTGTCCACCCACAGAGGGCAGACCGCCCGTCGCTGCCCCTCCCCGAGGGAAGAGGAAGTCCCGAACAGCCCACAAGTCGGAGGTTGATGTCGTGGAACGGACTCTGGACTCGCCCTACGTATTATTTTTCGTCTTTTCCTTGCCTTTTCTCTGCCTGCTACTATATTGGAAGGTTGTTCCCGCGCTTAAGCGCCCGTATCGCGGACTCTCTTAGCACTTGCACTTCGTGTCCTAGCCCTCATCTCGACCTCTTGGTCTTTGTGGGCTAGGTGAGTATCTCGATTGCCTGTATGTATGTAGAGCTATGTTAACTTGGTCTTTGTGGGCTAGACATCCCTCGTGTGACTCTAGTTTGCGTCTGCTTTGCGCCTAGTGCCGGCAACGCCTCTGCACCACTACATCGAGGTCATCCAACCTCCATCTACACCCATCCACCCCTCCCTCTCCTCCGATTGGCGTTCGCGGCCTGCTCCCGCGTCATTAGGTCGAGATCTAACCAGTGAGTGCTGGCATCAAAGCATCGGATCGCCCCCACTCGCGCAAGCATCGTCCCCACCCTGTGCCACTCGCCCCGCTCTTCCCCTACCCTGCATACCTGCCGGAGTTATAAGGCTCTGAGCGTATCGCAGTCTCCCTGGGTCTGTTGAGCTCGAGTATCACACTCTGAGAACACTACCCCGCTCCCGGCCGACGACTCTATCCGCGCAGTTGGTCATCCCGACTGATTGGCTGCCTGGAAGCCTCAATAGGTGTTCACTTCCCCGGAGCGTATCCTGGTTCCTAGAGCACGGTGGCTTGCGCAGGTCATCAGCACGCGGTTGACACTGAAGACAACCGGCACGTCCACATCGTCCGCAACGAGCGAAACGACCTCCTCTGGCGAGAGTGCGACGACCAACCGTGTCCTCATACCCGTACCCCTGTCACCTACACGACCCGCAGGGCTAGATTCGACGAGACCCACACTCCTATCCCACCCCTAGTCATGGATGCCCAGCAGTTTCAGGCCCTCATGCAGGCCCTCACCGCGAACCAGCAGCAGTTGGTTGCCGGACAGGCCAACCTTACGCAGGCGGTGACAAATCTGGCAACCGCGTTCCAGAACCTGTCCACCACCCTTCCCCAAGCTATGACGAATGCGACGGTGGCTTCGAACGTCAACACCCAAGCCACGAAGGACGCGACAAAGGTCGCGAACAAGCCCCAGCCGTACAACGGCAAGACCAGTTCGGATGCACGCCGCTTCGTAGCATCCTTCCAAGTCTACGCGATGCAGATGGGTGGCCATCTGAACACTGCCAACGCCACGGGCGGCTTCGATCGCGACGACGCGAAGTGGATCAAGTCGGCTCTCACTCTCCTCACCGATGACGCTGCGATCTGGGCTACCCCCTACCTGGAAACAATCGGTAACGGGCTGGCCGTGTTCAACAACGACTGGACGACCTTCAGAGCGGCATTCAAAACGCGATTCGAGACGGCCGACGAGGCAGTCGACGCGAAGGCAGCCCTGCAGGCTCTTCACCAGCGTAGCCTCTCCGTCGTCGAGTACTACGCGCGGTTCAATGAGCTCGCGGACAGGACAGGCTACAGCCAGACCGACCTCCGCGACAGGTTCTACGAGCACCTCTCCTCGGAGATCAAAGACGAGTTGGTGCATACTGCTCGCAACACTGCTGCGCTCCCCGACCTTGTTCAGGTCGCTACGGACCTCGACATGCGCATTCGAACGCGCAAGGCTGAGCGTGCGCGCGAACAGGGCAAGTCTGTTGCGACCCCGACTGTCCCTCGTACCGCCACCGGGCAGTTCGCATCCGTGGCAACTCCCTCGACCATGCGCACCTCCCGCGACCCCGACGCGATGGACATTGATGCTGCTAAGCTGAGCGAGTTCAGGCGGTCGATGAACGGCAGGTGCTGGGGCTGTGGTGCGACCGACCACCAGAAGAAGGACGGCAACCACTCGAACGAGACTTGTCGCTGGTGCGGAGGCCGTGGCCATCGCGAGAGCGTTTGCCAGAGCAAGGCACTGGGCAGGCCACGCTTGGGCGGTCAGCAGCGCGTTGCAGCTACCACCGAGGACAGCCCGGTCGCGTCGACCTCAACGGCGAACTCCAATGTGCAGGGGATCAACGCAATCCTCGAGCAGATGCAGCAGATGACGGAGCAGCAGAAGATCCTCCGTGGCGAGCTTGAACTGCTCCAAAAGTCTTTTCCGAACGGGCCCGCTTAAGAGCTGCGGCAGCGGCGCCCCCACCCAAGGTCTCTTCTTCTTCTTTCCCTGAACCTGTACCTAGCGCGTACGATACCGTAGATAGCTGTACTATACCTGAAGCAAATCGATCCGGTTCGCATTTTCGCACTAGCGTGATAGTAAAAGGAAACGATAAGAGTGTTAAGACCGCAGCAATGATTGACTCTGGTGCGACTTCGCTTTTTGTTAGTAAAAGGTTCATAGATAGGCATGGTATTTCGGTGCACCCGTTGTTCAAGGAGATCACAGTGCACAATATCGACGGTACAAAGAACAAAGCAGGCAGTATTACGCATTTCACAAGGCTTACGTTAGGTATGGGTACATATAGCGAGCGTCTCGATTTCTTAGTTACAGATCTGGGACCAGAGGACATGATTCTTGGCTTGCCTTGGTTACGTACGGTGAATCCGGAGATAGACTGGGAGAAGGGAGAGATGCGGATTGAGACGGACGAGGAGGAGGAGGAACGACCTGCGTTCGAGCGTATCAACGCGAACCGGGCACAGCGACGGAAGTGGCAGAAGGCAGGAGTGTTGGAGGATGCGAGGGAGGAGGTGTGGTGTGCGGCAGGCTACACCTATTCGACGCAGCTGGCAGAGGCTGCCAACAAGGGGAAACCTCAGAAGACGTTCGAGGAGATGGTCCCGGAGGAGTATCGACGCCACGCTAAGGTGTTCTCCGAGGTTGAATCAGAGCGTCTCCCTGAGTCGAAACCTTACGACCACGCGATCGACCTCAAGCCTGATGCGCCTGAGTCGATCCGCTCCAAGGTTTTCCCCATGCCTCTGAACGAGCAGGAGGAGCTTGATCGGTTCCTGGAGGACAACATGCGCAAGGGATACATCACACCCTCTAAGTCCCCCATGGCGTCTCCAGTCTTCTTTGTCAAGAAGAAGGACGGGAAGCTCCGGTTAGTACAGGACTACCGGAAGCTGAACGACGTCACTGTCAAGAACCGCTATCCGCTTCCTCTCGCCTCAGACATTGTGAACCGGCTGCGAGAAGCGAAGTACTTCACCAAGTTCGACGTGCGCTGGGGATACCACAACGTCCGGATCAAGGAGGGTGACGAATGGAAGGCTGCCTTCGTCACTAACCGAGGGTTGTTCGAACCCAAGGTTATGTTCTTCGGGCTCACCAATTCACCAGCCACCTTCCAAGCGCTGATGAATTCGATCTTCGCGGATCTCATTGCGCAGGGCAAGGTAGCGGTGTACCTGGACGACATCCTCATCTTCACGGACACCCTAGAGGAGCACCGTCGACTGGTTCACGAAGTACTTCAGCGGTTGGAGGAGCACGACCTCTACCTGCGCCCTGAGAAGTGCGAGTTTGAGCGGGAGGAGGTGGAGTACCTGGGGCTGGTGATCCGTCAGGGCTCGGTCAGCATGGACCCGGTGAAGGTCAAAGCCGTGCGCGACTGGCCAGATCCTCGTAACCTGCGAGATCTGCGCGGTTTCCTTGGATTTGCCAACTTCTATCGTCGCTTCATCAAGGACTTTGCTAGGCTGGCTCGTCCCTTGAACGACTTGACAAAGAAGGACGTCGCGTGGACATGGGAGTTCGCGCAGCGTCAGGCATTCCGCGCGCTCAAGGACGCCTTCATCAGCGAACCGGTTCTCGCTACATGGGCACCAGATCGACCCACCAGACTCGAGGTGGACGCTTCTGGATTCGCAACCGGTGGTGTTCTGCTCCAGAAGCTCCCCGATGGCCTATGGCACCCGATCGCGTTCCGCTCAGAGTCCATGTCGGATGCAGAGCGCAATTACGAGATCTACGACCGAGAGCTCTTGGGGATCATCCGAGCATTGGAGGACTGGCGCCACTACCTTGAGGGCCTTCCAGATCCCTTTGAGATCATCACGGATCATCGGAACCTCGAGTACTGGCGTACTGCTCAGCATCTCTCACGGCGGCAAGCGCGATGGTCAATCTGGTTGGCACGCTTCGACTTCGTCCTCACCCACAAGCCTGGGAAGACGAACACGCAGGCAGATCCTCTCTCGCGTCTCCCCACTCATCAGGTCACGGACGCGGAGGACAACCAGGAGCAGGTCGTACTCAAGCCAGAACGGTTCGCTCAGCTAGCTGCAACCATCTGCAGCGACACCGATCTGCTCGAGCAACGCATCCGTGAGTGCACCAAGCGCGAAGTGGAGGTTAGAAGCGGGCTTGCAGCGCCGCCTCGCAGGATGGCAAGTGGAGTAGCCGAGTGGGAAGAGCACGGGGGCCTGGTGTATCATGAAGGTCGCCTATACGTGCCGGCCGACCCAGAGCTTAGACGAGAGGTTCTTCGGCGATGCCACGACTCGGTCACAGCTGGACACCCTGGACGCAGCAGCACCCTTGAGCTTGTCAGTCGACACTACTGGTGGCCTGGGATGGCGCTCTTCGTGGCCAAGTACGTCGCAGGCTGCGAGCGCTGTCAGCGCTACAAGCCAGCTCCACATCCACGCTCCACCCTGCATCCGCACGACGTCCCTGAGGCCCCCTGGAAGGTGGTGGGAGTAGACCTGGTCACTGGGCTCCCCGAGTGCGAAGGGTTCAACGCCATCGCGGTGTACGTCGACCACTACAGCAAACAGTGTCACGTCCTCCCCACACGCGACAGCGTCGACGCTGCTGGCATTGCAGACCTGCACTACCGCGAGATCTTCCGCCTACATGGTGTCCCTCGGAAGATCGTGTCGGACCGTGGTCCCCAGTTCGCCGCCCGCGTAATGCACGAACTCTACGGCAAGCTCGGCATTGAACATGCACTCACCACCGCGTACCACCCTCAGTCTAATGGACAGACCGAGCGAACGAACCAGGAAGTAGAGCAGCACTTGCGCCTGTTCGTGCGCAAACGGCAAGACGACTGGGTACGCTATCTGCCAACTGCCGAGTTCGCACTGAACAGCCGAATCCACTCTGCGCACAACCACACGCCCTTCGAGGTCATGTACGGGTACAAGCCAGACTTCACGGTACCAGTGGGAACAGAGACTCGCTTCCCTCATCTCGAGGATCGTCTAGAGGGCATGCGCCAAGCACAGAAGGACATTGAATCAGTGCTGCGCGCAGGCAAGGCGAAGATGAAGGTTCACTTCGCAGAGGAACACCCTCGTGATCGGAAGGCATTCGAAGTCGGAGACAAGGTCTGGCTTAGCGCAAAAGACATCAGTGTGCACCAGGCAACGCGCAAGCTTGGTGTCCGGCAGCTGGGACCCTACAAGGTGGTCGAACGCGTGGGTGACCTAGCCTATCGTCTCAAACTCCCACCCACGCTCAAGATCCACCCGGTCGTACATGTGGATCGGCTGTCCAAGTATGGAGGGAACGAGGTGAACGGGCGACGAGCACCACCGCCAGAGCCAGTGGAAGTGGACGGAGAGGAGGAGTACGAGGTGGAGAGGATTCTGGACAGTCGGTTCTTCAACCGCCGGCTTCAGTTCCAGGTGCGGTGGAAGGGATACGGAGAAGGGGACGACTCGTGGGAACCAGCGGCGAATGTCGCCAATGCCCCAGAGAAGGTCGCAGAGTTCTACGAGCGCAATCCCAACGCGCCTCGCAAGATATCTGCGACTCTATTCGCCGCGCTGCCGTGGAGGAGGGTTGAGCACCCTGAGCACGCAGAAACGGAGAAGGAAGACTGGCAGGAGGGGAGGATCATGTCCATCCGGGACGGATGGGTTTTAGGAGGGGGGTAATGTCGTGGAACGGACTCTGGACTCGCCCTACGTATTATTTTTCGTCTTTTCCTTGCCTTTTCTCTGCCTGCTACTATATTGGAAGGTTGTTCCCGCGCTTAAGCGCCCGTATCGCGGACTCTCTTAGCACTTGCACTTCGTGTCCTAGCCCTCATCTCGACCTCTTGGTCTTTGTGGGCTAGGTGAGTATCTCGATTGCCTGTATGTATGTAGAGCTATGTTAACTTGGTCTTTGTGGGCTAGACATCCCTCGTGTGACTCTAGTTTGCGTCTGCTTTGCGCCTAGTGCCGGCAACGCCTCTGCACCACTACATCGAGGTCATCCAACCTCCATCTACACCCATCCACCCCTCCCTCTCCTCCGATTGGCGTTCGCGGCCTGCTCCCGCGTCAGTTGAGGTGCTGAGTGCTGGGGTCGGTCGAGACACGAGCCAACGAGATGCACGAGGGTCGGCGACTCCCTCACGCACCCCACCGGTCCATGCCTGTGCCGGTCTTGAGGTGCTGGACATTGCGGTGTAGATCGAGGGCGACGTAGGCAAAGTACCGGACCAACCGGCGCTGCAAAACCAAAACCGTCACGCTTTTGCCTCCAAACTGTCCGCCAACCCATCCACCTTCCCGCTCGAACCCACCAACCCCACCGTTCCCCCCCTCCATACTGTACCATCGCCGGGGCGGGCAGGGTCATCAGGCTGATCAGACCCTCCCCCAGTCACACCGACGCCCATAGAGCGGTCGTACGCCGTTCCAGGTCCAAGGTCTTCGCACAGGTGTCGTCGGCCTTCGCGTCTTCCTCCTCTTCAAGGGCCCCCGCTGAAATACTTGGACTGGGAGTAACAGTAATGCGCTCCAATGGAGTAGATATAAAAAACGCACCGGAGGCCTGACGGCCCAAAATATAGGATGCTGGATGTTGAGTTGATGAGGTGTCGAGGTGCCGGGCGTTGGGGACGTTGAGGGCTGAGTGCTGGACGTTGGAGGAGGTCGAGACGACAGCCTAGCGACACCGAAGGAGAGCAGCCTACTCCCCCCAGTGCCACCGGACCGCGCCTATGCTGAGTCTTTAGGTGCTGGGAGTTGATGTGGTGGGATTTGAAGTGCTGAGGGTGATGTCGAGACCGAATGCCGGACCAGCCGGCGCTGCAAAACCAAAACCGAAACGCACCGACGCCCTCAGTGCCCAACCACCTCACCACCCCACATCATCCCTCCGCCAGTCTCCGCGCAACACGCCCGCAACCCGCCAGCCTCCTCGCACACCCAGCACACCCCCGATACATTACCTTCGCCGGCACACCCAGGGTCATCGGGGTGATCAGTCCCTCGCCCGGTCCCGCCGGCATCCCCAGCGCCGTCGTGCGTCGTACCACGTCCCGGTCGTGCCAAGGTCGTCTTCGCCCAGTTGTCGAGGGCCCCCATGCTGTCGTCCTCTTCAAGGACCTCTACGAAAATGCCAAGGCCTGCGCTTTGAGCACCATGCACCAACGGGTATGAGAAAAGGGAAGAGCGGAAACCCCGGGGGACCAGCCCCGGCGCGGCGTTCATCGGGGTCATGAAGCCCTCGCGCACACGACGGGGACAAGCGACCAGGGCATACATGGGCTGTCCGGGTCCGGGTCCGGGTCCGTGGTCGGCCTTGCGGGGTCGAGTGGTCGAGTGGGTGCGCATGGTGGAGGTTGAGTTTGAAAGGTCGACAAGTGTGGAAGGAAAGGAACTTAGGTAAGGGGCGGAGGAGTGCGCGGACGGGAATATATAGGCGGGAGTTGGGATTCGGGCGGAAGGGCGGGAGGCTGACGCCAGCAGCGGGCGACACACTCCAGGCCGGTACGGGTGCTAGCATGTAGAATTTGACAGAGAACGTATACCGCGGACGACTGGCCAACACATTCTAGAAGCATGTCAGAGACGAGCAGTGTTGAGACGCAGGCCACGCACCAGTCAAGAGCATTTACAGCAGCAGGCTAAGCTGATATTCAGGGTACTACTCGACTCATCTAGTACATGTGTGGTCCATTCGGATAAGCATACGGATACATTCGGCCAGACAGCATAGCGATGAATCAAAACGCTCTATCCCGACATCTTACGACAACGACCCGGCCCATTCAAGGCTCCGCGTCCATGATCGCCTCCTCACCCTGCGGTCGCGGAGAACCGTGCCTCAGCGCCGCCTCGTCCACCATCGCGCTCTCCGGATGCGGCGGTTTAAACGAGCGTAACTGGCCTTCAAGCTGCTCCTTGAGCACGGCCTCTCCACTCGCCGCGGCGACGAAGCCCAGGAACGGCGGGCTCGGATTTAGCGGCCGGGTGCAGAACTCGGGGTGCGCCTGGACTCCGACGAAGTACGGGTGATCTTCGAGCTCGAGGACCTGCATACGCTCCCCGCGCTCATCCTTGCCGACGAAACTCAGGCCAGAGGCCGCCAGTTGCTCAATGTATGCCGGGTTGACCTCGTACCGGTGCCGGTGGCGCTCCCAGATTTTCGGTGCGCCCCCATAGAGCTTGCGCACCTTCGACCACGACTCAGACTCGGGATCAAAGACAGTGGGACGGAGGCCGAGACGCATGGTGCCGCCCATGTGCGTCTTCGAAATCTCGGGCATGAAGACGATGACGGGGTGCTCGGCCTTCGAGTCGAACTCGCCGGAGATGGCGTCTGCAGAGAAGACGTAAGCACTAACCCTCCAACCGCACATGGAAAGCGTACTGGTCAGGCCGCAAATATGCCGCGCCCACTCCACAACTGCGAGCTGGAATCCCAGGCAGATGCCAAAGAATGGGATCTTCTGCTCGCGCGCCCACTTGATCGCGAGCATCATGCCTTCAGAGCCACGGATTCCGAACCCCCCCGGAACGAGGATACCACTGTTAGGCAAGGACCGTTAGCCTAGGCGAGTGAGCACAGCGTCGATGGATGTACTTCGCTGAGACAACAGCCTTCCAGGCGTCATGATACTTCGCGGGACTTGTGATCTGCGCTTGAGGCTCGAGGTCGCTTGCGTCCACCCACTAGAAATCTGTGAGCATGCGACGTTCAAGTTACATAGATCTTTCCGCACCTTGAGGATGAGCTTGCGATTACACCTGAAGGCGGAGTGTTCGAGAGATTTGACAACTGACATGTAGGAGTCACCCATATCGGTGTACTTCCCTACAAGTGTGATCGTAACATCGTCGAAGAGGCGTTCTTGGCTGTCAACGATGTGAGCCACTGTACTTCAAGCACCGGAAGTTTCAACGAATGCTCACCGACTGGTGAGCTCTCGCCACCGGTTGCCTAATGACAATCCATGCTGCTGCATTTCGGGGGTGATCTTGACGCTTGCGAGGTTAAGTCGCTTTTGGAGGTATTGGACAATACCCTGGGATTGGAGGAGAAGGGGGACATGGTACACGGAAGAAACGTCGTGGACCCCTACGACCTGTTCAGGTGCTACATGGCAGAACATTGAAATCTTGGACTTGGTCGCAGGTTCTAGTGGCTTTTGTACCACGACGCGGCACGCGATCTAAAGAGAAGGTTGGTGGGAACCTCCTTGACCGCAAAGAGAGGTGCGTACCAGGTCAGGCAGAAGACCAAGACCACGCAAGGCATGCACAGTAGTCTGTGTGGGTTTTGTCTTCTGCTCCCCGTGCATGTCCGGCACAAGAGAGACGTGAATGAGAGCGAAATTGTCGTATCCGACCCGGAATTGGAACTGCCGCATGGCCTCTACAAACGGCGCGGATTCGATGTCACCAACCGTCCCACCAAGCTGAACAGAATCAGGGCATGCTCTGACTTATGTATGGACATGAAACACACCTCGACGATGCACACATCTGGCTCCTCGTTGGTATCATCCACCGGAACTTTGGAAACACGCTCTATCCAATCTTGAATAGCATTGGTGACATGTGGAACGATCTTCGAATGCTCAGAAAGCCTGGTATATGTGCAGGCAATACGAGAGTACTCACCTGGACAGTCTTCCCCAGATAATCGCCTCGGCGCTATAGCCGAAAAGCCTCAGGACGGGATCGTCCAAGTCCAGGACAAGCGACGGACCTCTTTTTCAATGACTTCCCGATAGATCTTGCCAGTAGTAATGTTGTTGTCCCGGCTGAGAGTGACGTCCAGGTAGCGTTCGTAGTTGCCGAGATCGAGATCAACCTCACCGCCATCGTTCAGGACATACACCTCGCCTGACTCGGAACTAAGAGAGGATGCATGGGAGCGTCTGGAGGACAAGGTCCTCACCATGCTCCTGCGGGCGCATGGTCCCGGCATCGATGTTCATGTACGGGTCAATCTTGATCGCTGTAACCTTGAGCCCCGTCGTCTTGAGGAGCAGGCCGGTGGACGAGGCTGGAGAGCGGGCTTGAACATGGCAGATGGCAGGGGAAGAAGGGAGAGGGTCGCGCGCGCACCGATGACGCCCTTGCCGATACCGCTGACGACGCCGCCAGAGACGACAATGTATTTGGTCATAGTCGCGATGGTCGGCGCGGTGGTGGATGCAGAAACAGAGTCTGCGTCCGCCCAAATTTCTCCTGCAGCGCTCTTCCTCAACGCGTGCCACAGTTCACAAACAAGGAAAAATAACGCGACGCGACGCGTGTCGGGCCCGCCGGCGCTCGAGTCTTATCGCGCGTTTCGGCTTTCCTCCTGTCGGGCCGCAGTCTCACGCATGCTCTCATGTGTAAAGTCTAGGATTGTGCACTAGATCTCACCCTTTTATCCCAGCGAATGAGTTCCGGTGCCCAGATTAGTCCACCATGCTTTCCTGCCGAGTCAAAGGACTCGGCAGCCGGGAAAACGTTGTCGGCCCGCAAGACCGATTCGAGTGCCCCTTCCCCCACAACGCCCTTCTCTCCCCAGCTACTTATTGTCGCTCGTCGCACTCCTCATACTTCACGACACAGCCAGGTGAGCTTGTGTGTCCACCTTTTGTGCGGCTTCCGGCTCATCACGCCCTCCGCGCACATACGTCTGTTTACCCATACACAGCTCCGAAACGTTCACCGCCTATATCAAGCTCGATCACAGGACGGCTTAATCTCTAGGAAATATCCATACCTGTCAAGATGTCTTCGATACCAGAGAAGATGCAAGCGGTGTTCTACCACGAAGTGAGTGTTTACTTGGCGCTACCTCCACCTCTCAGCTCAGAGCATTGTCATAGCCACGGAACTTCGAAGTCCGAGAAGTAGCAGTACCGAAGGATATTTCAGACGATGAAGTGCTGCTCAAAGGTCTGTGAGCACGATTTCGGTTTTTGCTTGCAAACCTAGACACTCACACGACCATTCTTAGTGCGGGCATGCGGTATGCTATCCAGCCTTCCACTGATCGTCACGGAAATTGCTGAGGCTTTGGTTCACACTGTAGGTGTTTGCGGGACCGATAACCATGTTCACGAAGGGGAGTTCATTGCGGCCTTCCCGGTAAGAACAGCGGTCGGCTCCTCTTAAGTTCTCAGTCTGATCGCGTGACTGGATAGCTTATCCCGGGACACGAAGTTGTCGGCGAGATTGCTGTTGTAGGCAGCAAAGTATCGGACTTCGCTCCGGGAGATCGTGTCGTCGCAGACCCTAGCATTACGGTAAACGCTTGAAGATATTGAGCTGAAGTGAACTCACGTATGCTCAGCTTGAGATCCACAGTGCGGGACCTGCTTCTACTGTCGCCGCGGGAAGCCACTGCTCTGCGAAAACTACAAAGGCGTAGGCATCAACATCGCGGGTGGATTCAGCGAATACGTGATCTTGTAGGCATCGTCTTTCAACCGTCTTCCATCCCGATCCTGATCGCTCACGACTCTACGCCTCCCGCAGTAAGTCAACGAAAGTATACAAGATCCACAACCTTACCGACGAAGAAGCCACGCTCGTCGAGCCCGCCGCCTGCGCCGTGCACGGCATGGATCAGCTCGACGCTCCGGTCGGCGTCGACGCGCTCATCATCGGCGCGGGGCCCACCGGCCTGATCCTCGCGCAGCTGCTCAAGCTGAACGGCGCCGCGCGCGTCGTCGTCGCCGCGAACCAGGGCGTCAAGATGGACGTCGCGAAGCAGCTCAACGCCGCGCACGAGTACGTCGAGCTCGACCGCGCGGCGCCCGAGGCGCAGTGGGCCGCGCTGAAGGAGGCGAACCCGCATGGTTTCGACGTCGTGGTCAGTGCGGTTGCGAGCGCGGAGAGAGCTTAGAACTAACTAAATGCTGACCTGTCCGCGGCGCGCAGGTCGAGGCGACGGGCCAGGAGAGCGTCGTCGGCGACGCGATCAACTACGTCCGCCGCGGAGGCACGCTCATGGTGTACGGGGTGTACAGCAACGACGCGCGCGTCCACTGGCCGCCGAGCAAGATCTTCCAGGACGAAATCAAGGTGAGTCCCGCGTTCCCCGATGGCGTTCGTACCTTCGTCGCCTCGAGACCTCGTGCGTTCTCGCGAATCTGATCCCTGAGCCCGCGCCGCGTTCGCGACTGCGGACGTTCACCTACGCTCGCGAATCGCGCCGGCAACGCGACCGCGTCTCGAGCATAGCATCGGCATTTTGCGTGCGCGCGACCGCCGTCGCCATTCAACGCGAGCTGCTCCGCGCACGCCACGCGCTGACCGCCTCTGCGTTGCAGATCATCGGCTCCTTCGCGCAGATGTTCTGCTTCCCGCGCGCCGTCGCCTACCTCGACTCGGGCAAGATCAGCGTCAAGGGCATGGTGCGTCCCCATCTCGATTCTCGTCCCTCTCGCCCGCCGCGCGCCCCTCTCGTGTGGACTCCTCGCATTTCTGATGATGCCGCACGTCCTTCGTGGGCTGCTCGATCGGTACCCGAGCGGGCACTCTACGACCCGAGCGCTTCTCCCGTGCCGGGGACGAGGGGCGCGTGATGGCTATCGTCAAGACTTTAAACTCAGGGGAGGATTCTGATCTGGCTCGTTTTCATTTTCTGGATTGGCAGGTCACGGACGTGTTTACGGTGCCCGAATACGCGCAGGCGCTCGAGAAGATGCGGAGCAGGACCGCGGTGAAGATCGCGGTGAAGCCCTCAGCAAGTACTTGATTGGAAAAGGTACAAGAGGAACGATATGTCCTGCGTATATCTTGAAGTGTGGAGTGGATGGAACAAACTACTCAGCAATGTATGCTGTCAGACTTGCACTTTGCAAGCAGTGAATTCGCCGAGCGGGCACTCGCACGTGCGCACGTACTATGTTTGCCTCCCACCAGTCGCAAGCCGCACAGTGCAAATGGCCCACAGGGCGCAATTGATCGTCCGCCAATCGTCGCTCTATCTACCGCGCGCGACGGAAACACAAACCTCCCACGCCGTCGCACCCCGCCGCCACCGTCGACGTTCCTCACTCCGCGGCGCGTCCCACGGGCTGGCAAGGCGTAAGCGCGGAATGATGTGGTGCTCGACGCAATATTGAACCGTACCGTTCCGCGACGCCGCATCTGCCCTCAGATAACGGAGCGCACGCGCACACTTGCTGCGGCGCGCTGCTTGTGCGGCGCCGACGCGCGTGCGCGCGTGCGCGGGTCGTCAGGACCCAAAATCCCGCCAAGGAGTGGAGGGCCGTACGTACTTGAAGTCCGGGTCGTGACGGATCGGGCCCCGGAGAGCTTGTTTAGGGTGCCTGGCCGTCGCAGCCTGAGTCTCGCAGATGAAGAAGCCCGTGCTAAGCGTGGGGACCGGGCTCTCCCGCTCTCCCTCACCGCCGGAACCTTGCGGCAATTCGCCCGGGCATCATGCATTGGGGTTAGCGGACGTGGCGGGCCAAACTAGCGTGGGCCTGGGCCCTGGACAGGGCCGAGCCTGCGCTAGAAGCCAGCGATTTGAATGTGGGAGTGCGAGTCTGAGACTGGTGGACTGCGGCTTGGAACGGTCAGACGAGCCTGTTGGCTGTCAGCGGTGGCTGGTATGAGTCGCGTGGTCAGTGCTTCCAACCTCGGGGGGAGAATGTTCTGCATGCTTGGAAAGGCGGCCGGACGTGCCATCAGACCTTCGACTTGCGAGAGCTTGAATGACGAGTGCTTGATTCGCGCAGTCGGCGTGTTCAGTCGTTCAGATCTTGAGGCGCTGGTTCTCGGACGCTTGAGCCTTCAGCTTCAGCACGCTTTGAGCTTCGACTTGGAGGTTTGAACGCTTGAGGCCTTGAGGAGCACGTCACAGGAAAGGTGGCAACAAGGGATTGTATGTGTGCGTATAGACGTAGGGTGGGGGGAAAAGGTGCAAATCGGTGCAGGCGCACTATGTACTCTATCCAAAGCAACGGCGGGTGGGCCCAAAGCGTATATCACCATTCGCCCTCCGCAGGCCGCGCAGGGTGTGCGCGCGCGTGTGTCGGGGCGCGTAGTCGTACATCATCAAGGTGTGAAGAGGTTTGCTTTTGCTGCCGCCCTTGCGGCCCGCGGCTCAGAGAGCGTGCGGAGCCGGGGCGTGTTGTCGGCGCAACGAACGGGGGGTGCACCGGGAGCCAGCCGACGGCGGCGAGGCGAGGTCGAGGGGGGCTCGCTGCGCCGGAAGGCGGCTCGGCGGCGGCGGAACGACGGGGCTCAGACCGCGTACGCGGCGCCGGACTTGCCCGTCTCGCCCGCCGCGGTGTCGGTGAACGACGGCGTGGTCTTCTGGTCGACGTCCGTCGAGTTGTCCCAGCGCGTGGTCGAGCCCTGGTCGAGCGTGGTGAGCACGATCGGGTTCGAGGAGTGGAAGCGGAGCGTGGTGAGGTTGCTCCCGCCGGTGCCCTTCGCGGCGGACCCGTCGGAGACGCCGGGGGTGCGCATGCCCGTGGTGGGCTCGCTGCCGCCGGAGTAGCCGAGGGAGCGGAGGAGCCAGGTGACGAGCACCGCGAGGTTGGCCACCATCATGCACGTTGAGGCCTGTGCGGAGCGGGCGTGAGGTTCGAGCACACGGTCAGCGCGATGAGAAGAGGCCACAGGAGGGTTTTGGCGGACTCACCAGGACGTGCGCCCAGATGCCCTCGGCGTTGCGGTTGGGGCTGAAGACGTATACGCAGTGCACGATGGAGGCGATGGTGGTGAGGATGCTCGCGGAGAAGATGCCGATGAGGAGCGCGCGGCGGCCGGGGGGGAGGGAGATGCGCCAGAGCAGACGGAGGGGGAGCAAGACGAGCGCGAGGTCCGCGAGGAAGTCCGTCGCGATCTCGACGGACGCGACGGCCTCGCCGAGGACGCACTGGACGCCCTTGCGCGACTTCCATTCGGTGTTGGTCTCACAGACGACGAGCTTGAGAATGACGAGTCCGATCCACATGAAACCGAAGGCGAAAGCGCATATGTTGGCCACAATGCGGAGGCGCATCATGGTAGGGATGAGGCGGATGATGGAGAAGAGAATGGAGAGGCGCGAGACCCTGTGCGCGCGAGGTCAGCGTCGCGCACAGGCGAGCGCGAGGGGCGGTGGGATGGACGCACCACAGGACACATGTGAAAGCGACTTGGAGCATGTAATAGCCCAGGATGCGTACGCGCACCGAGTGATTGAATGGTCCAACACCTGAGCGGGGCGGATGTGGTTAACGCCATGCGCGCGGGGACCCACGCGAACGGGAAGCTCGGACGGAGAAGGTGAGAGGGCGTACCCGGGATGTCGCTTCGCGTCCACGCGCCTGCGGTGAGGAAGAAGGCACAGAAGATTGCGGACGCGGCCCATGCGTCGTCCCATCCCAGATGGCGGCGGGACGCGCGATAGTACAAGCGCAGGGAAGTAAGGATGATCGCGATCGCGGGCAGCGCGGTCGCGAGAACTGGAGCACGGCGCGAGGATCAGCGCGTGAGGAATAGAGGCGGCGAGTGGGAAACGGGGTACGCACTGCGAATCTGTACAGTAAAAGTGAGGCCCATATTGCACCTGGAACTGCGGGTTTCTGCTACAGTATTTACCGGTGAATGCTCAGCACACGCAGACGCCGACGCAGAGGAGAGGACGAGTGAGAGCCAAAGCTAACCAGCCGGAGCCGGGCAAATGGCATGCACTGGTGCGAGGAGCAGGGAGAGAGAGAGGAGGAGGGCAGGTGCTGAGGACCGGGGAGGAGGACCGGCGCGGGGATTTTAACGAGAGCGTGCGTGGGATGGGAGACGGGCCTAGCTGATGGGCTTGGGCGAGGAGCCCGGTAGCGACTCGCTCGCTTACGGCCCATCATATCTCAGATCGGATTCGGGGCGGGGGTGCTGCCCTGCCCCGCCCTGGCGGTCGATGGGCGCGCCTCCGCTTCCACCATCCACGCCCGCCTGAACGGTTTGGTCGAGGACTACGACCACGCAGAGTGCGGCGGCGGGAAGATGGCCGGGCGGTGGAGGCTGAGGATATGTATCAGGGGTTGGTGCGGAATATCTGTGTCTCGGGAAGCTCACGCAGTGCGCACCAGGACGTCTGCCTCTCCCGCGTCGACGGGAGCGCGGGCTCATTGCCGCCGCTGAGGTACTCGAAGGGGACAGGTCCGAGCCGCAGCCGACAGTGATAAGCAGGGCAAGCGAGAGGCCCGGCGGATACGTATACGTTACCAAGGAGCGAGCACCGGCGCCAGCGTGGGCGTTGGTCGGTGAATATTTGATCCGCAACATTTTGGGTGGTGAGCTGGTTAGAGTGCACGGGTGGTGTATGAACCGTTGGTCGCTCACGGCTCGTTGGCGGTGCAATGGGAGGGAAACCGCGGTCGGGGTCTGGACGAGAGAGAAGGGCGCTAGCGAGTGAGACCTGCCATTATGGGCTGACTCCCACGGTCGCAACGGCCTTCCCTGAAGGCAATCTCTCCTCTTCTCTGCTTCTCAGACGCAGCCATGGGAACTCGGACCCCATTTTTTGTCTGAAGCGCGGCGAGTGCCCGAGTGGGCCCAACCACCCCTGCCCTCTGCTCGAATGTCGCCCAACGCATCTCCCTCCTCACCATCACCCGTCCAGGCAACTCGAGCGCCCACGTCGTAGTTTTGATGGCATACTCGCCCACCTCCGGCCGCTCACAGACGCTCGTCCGCTCGTGAGCAGCCTATCCTAATTCCGACAGCTGAAACTTATGCCTCCAGCTCTCCTATCCAACCACCCGCGCCGTCTGCGTCGCCTTGCCGAACGCACTTCAGGTCTGTTCGTCTCACCGAGATCACTATGCAGTATGCACCTCGCACCTGCTCCAGAGCCCAGAACTTGGCGGACCTCCCATGTACGAAGGTAGCCCAACGGCCCCAAAAGTGCCGCACCGTATTCCCGGTCCATCCGAAGCCCCAACGGCCTCATGGTCTCAGATCTCAAGGCCTCACTCTGCTGACGGAGACCTGCGAAGACGTCGGTCGTAAAGGCTCGCCGTCGCGCGAGGATAAACCTCAGCCGAGTGCAAAATGGATTGAGGGATCATGGTGTCACCCCGGGAAGATGCGGGCCCGACGAGTTCTCGGTCGCCTAACGACACGGGGGCCTCGATATCCATATTCCAACTCCTCCGCCGGTTCTGATCCCAGAAGTCGACGCGAGACGGTTGGTGTCAGCCGGACACAAGCGTCGTCGGTCACGAGGCAGCGAGGTTCTGGCAGCCCTCGTCGCTAACCTCGAGCCCCGCGCGTGTCGAGTGACCTCAAGTCCTTGGGCTCCGCAGCGGCCTCCATCCTCTGAACTGACGTCCTTTGTAGAGCCCATGAAGCTCGGGCGGCGTTCGTTGTCATCTCTGCTTACATACAAGTGGGCACACCACGATCTTCGCGGGAACGGGATCGTCCTCAATCGGCAACGAAATCTTCCCAAGCCCGGCCTCGGGCGGTTGCGGCCGACGAGAATCAGGAACGTTCAAGGACGCATCCGATGAGTGCCAGTGAAATACACATGCAGTGAGTACACATACCCAGCGCGTCAGAAGATTCTGAAGGCTTCTGCGCAGGACAAGGCGCTCACATGAGATCTTGCAGACAACCACACGAATCCACAAAGCCCCTCATGCGAGAGTGCTTGGTTTTTCGGCCAACCCGCAAGTCACTTCAGGTTTGCGCTCGTCGAAATGGGCAGCCCAAAACTTGAATCGTCGAACGGTCGCCGTCCAGGGGAAGCCTTGTGCTGCTGTGTTGTGCAGGTAGCAGTACGAACGATCATGAATGCACAGCGAGCGCTATGTGTGGCTATCAGCGGGTTCCAGTGATCTGAACCAGCATTTGCGGCGTCGCCCCGCATCTCCCCGCCGTGCTAACAATGAGGAGGTCTACTCGACAGACAGGTACGCGTCGGGCCCCGCCGCCAGTGCGCGACGCACAAGTTCTGATCCGAGTTCCGAATTGTGCAGGTCATTTATCGGGGGTCCATCATGCATCAGTCTGGTAGGACTAGCACCACCATGCGTTGTGCGACGTCGGCACAGATTTCTGCCCGCTACGTCGCTGCGTGGGTCCCCGGAGTGTCGGGGAAGTTACGAAATATTAATGCGTCTGCACGCGTACGCGGGCCCGTCCCGATTGTCTGTGCGTTTCTCAGCTTCTCGACTTTACAACAGTTCGCCACTTCAGTGAACACGCGTTCTGCTCAAGTCGCTGGTAGTCGTTGTCGTTGGCCGAGGGTCGCACTCTCCAGAACACAGGGGTGATCTCTATCTGGACACAGACAAACGTCGTTTACTCCTCAGGCTGACTTGTGCATGTAGGATCACTATGGCAAGTATGACAACTGACGCTAACGGAAAATTAATGTCGTAGAGGCACACGGGCACGAAGGGGACACGAAAGTAACCATAAATTAAGTGCATTACATGTACATATGCGCTAAGTACTACCCAACGATATATTGACGAGCAGACACCATAACATCACGATTTGAGACGGGACTAGTATGTGTGCGTAGACTTCAAAGCTAAACATGCATGAACGAGCAGGATGTATGTATGTATATATACAGAATGTGGTTGTATGCCCAAGAACCAACTTGCACCCGACCGCGCGGGACAAGCCCCACCCCAAAACCACCACCGAGTACCAGGTGCTCAGGTCCCGGACTCGCTGCGCTATACTTCTTCCTCCGAGTCCCAGTCGAAAGACCCATCAGCAACAGGGGGCTGGAACCACGTCTGGCCCGCATCCCACTGCTCGTCCTCGCTGTCCCAGTCGTCGTCTTCCGCCGCGGCCGCCTGCGCACCCCCACTGCCCGTCACCGGGTCGCGCACATCCGCCGCCACGACCGGGGGCGCGAGTTTCGCCCGAGACTGGGGCTGCTTCTTCGTCTCCTCCGACTCGGCGTCCTCCGCCTCCGCCTCTACCTCCGCCTCCGCCTCCTCGTCCGAGTCACTGAGCTCGCTGAGGCCCTTGCTGGTCTGCCGCTCGATCCGTGCGCACGCCCGCGCGACGCGCCGGCGCGCCCTCGGATGTGCGGGGAACGGCGTCGTCGTCGGCAGCTCGATGCGGAACACGCGCCGCGTCTTCTCCCCGTCCTCTTCGTCGTCGTCATCGTCGTCGAACGCGAGCGGGTTCCCGCCCTCGGAGCTCGGCGTGCCCTCGGACCAGTTCGCGTGGTCCTCCGAGTCCCCGTCGAAGTCCGACGTCGCGTGCGCGCAGGGCAGGGTGCTCGGCGAGGACGGCGCGAGGGACGTCGACGACGACGCTGCGCTGCGCTGTGTGTATATGCTCAGCGGCTGCGCCGAGGCGAACATGGCGGGCTGGGACTTGGAGGAGGACGCCGCGGGAGCGCGAGCCGCAAACGACGTCTGTGATGAGGGGACGGGTCGGACAGGGAAGGTTGGGGAGAAGAGCGGCCGAGTTTGGCTGGAAGACTTCACAGGGGAGCCCGTCGAGGGGGTCTGCGCGTCGGCCCTGCGCATTGCGCGTTCGCGTTCGGCCTCGCGCCGGAGGAAGCGGGCGAAGGAGTCCTCGTCGTTCCACCGCTCGCGCTCCTCCACGTCGGCGTCGGCGGTGTCGGCAAGGTCGTCGACCTCAAAGTACTCGAGGTCGGCGAACGTCGCTGCCTTGCGCTTCTTGCCGTCTTTCCCGCGGCGTATGGGCTCGTCTTCGGCAGAGTGCGGTGGAGCAGGGCCCCGGGCGACGTTCGCGATGCGTACGGCGCCGTTCGTGCCGCCGTGCGCGGCGAAGACGTAGGGGGTGTTGCCCGTGCCTCTCCGCGACTCGACACGAGAGGTGTTCACGGTGATGTGGATGGCAAGGGACGGTGTGTGGTGCTGTCCGTCACGCATACAACTCAGAGACGACGGAAACGAGGAGACGCAGAAAAGACGTACGTAGATAATGCCTTTCGTCAAATCTGGGCCTTCCGGCCAGATATTGCTCAGGCTGTAGTCATCCTCGGCTTCCCAGTCCCAGTCCTCCTCTTCCGAATCGTCTTGATCCTGACCTGGCTTCTTCGGAGATCCAAACACATCCTCCTCATCGTCGTCATCTCCCGCTTTGTATCCATCGGGAAAGAGCTTTCGCTCCCTGGTGCTCGACAGCTTCGTATGGCACTTGCCTGATCCCGGGATGATAACCCCCGGCCGGTAGCTGCTCGAATACACTGCAATGTTCTCGAGCACCTCAAAGACGTGCCCCTCGTCCTGTCTCGGGGACTCCCCGAAGACCATCTCCGTCCTCGCGCCGCGCTTCGGTGGCGAGCGCTGTCGGGGCACGACGCTCGTCGGGCTGAACACGCGCCGTCTGCGGCGGACGCGGAGCCGGGCGTCGCTCGCGAAGAGGAAGAGGACGAGCATGTGCAGGTGCCGGATCGTGTAGTTGAGCGGGACCTGGACCAGGCGGTAGGGCGCATCGGCGGCGAGGCGCCGCGAGCGCGAGGGTGCCTCCGCCGTCGAGGGCACCATCTGCATGCGCAGGACGATGTGCTTCGCGAAGCCGGACGGGCGGGGGAGCGCGAGGGCCTGGAGCTCGCGGGCGAGCCCGAACGGGTTCGAGGGCGAGTCGTGCGGGGTGAGCGAGGACCAGGGAGAGGCGATCGAGCACGCCGAGGGCAGCGAGTACGGGGTGGTTTGGCAGCGGGCGGCGGCCGGGGAGCTGCCGGAGGCCATCATGCTCTGCGAGTTGGGCTGGCGCCGTTTGGCGGAAGGGTGGAGAGGAGAGGAGGGAGCAGGGGTGTCGAAGGCGTCTCTTGGTCTCTTCATGATGAACTGTAGACTTGAACCGTGGGCAGAGATTCTCTCAAGAGGGAGGCCGATTGTGGGAGGGATATGGAAGGAGGAGCCCACGTCGCGCGCCTCTTCTCCAACATGTCGCGCATTTCCCAACACGTGACCGCGTCGCCCTCAGGCTCCGGGAGTCGCTCGTTCGAATCCCTCCTAAATCAATCTTTACACCTTGAACGCGAACTATGTAGTCTCCCCTCGGTAGACCTTCCACGTACGAAGGTCTGAACGCGGTTAAATTTGGTGCTTACCACCTCCTAGAAATCACTCACAACAAGCTAGGCCGCTAGGACTATCACACAGCGAGCAAATATGTGTTCCACAAAGTACATCGTTCATTGATGGCAGACCAGTATATATCGTACATCGGCTAGTATGGGTACCTAGATGAGTGTCCCAAGAGGGCTGCCTGGGCATCATGCGTAGAGATCTCCTGCCGCGTCTGCGAAAATGTCCGTGAGCACTCCCGCAAGACGTACCCCTGCCATAGCAAGCAGCCTCTCCACGACCCACTCCTGATAAATCTTCCCTGCGTATGCCGGCGTGTCCAACTCCACCAGATCTGGGTGCCTTGGAGGTCGAGCGGTCGCCTCTGCGGAGGCAGCCATGTCCTTCCCGTCCTCGTCGATCTCTGGCGCAACGTCCGACGGGTGCGTCCCGGGCAGGTCGAGCTCGTGGGGCCATACCGGGAGATCGCAGTTGAGCTTCTGTATCGGGGCCGCCCACGCGTACGGGCAGAGCACGTCGTCGTCCCACCCGCGCTCCGCGCCCGCGGGCGTCGTCATCCCCAGCGCGCTCGCGAGGTCGAGCCCGAGGAGCGCTTGCACGCGCTGAGGCAGGGTGTAGCCGGACTTGGTGGGCTCAGAGGTCGAGGGGGCCTGCGGACACTCGAGCCAGGTGCGGGACTCCTCATCGAGCCGCCCGCCGACGGTGAGCCCCTCGTGCATGATCCGGCGAATGTATCCGTCGTAGATCGCGCCGCGGAGGTGGGGCTCGACGAATACGCCCTCGGAGCCGGGGAGGGGGCGAGAGTAGTTGCGCGGTACGGAGCGCAGCGACTGGGCGATGAGCAACCCGTCCCAGACGCTGTGCAGGTCTACGCACGCCGGCGCGTTCAGCGCGCAGGCTCACTTCGCAGGCGGGAGCAAGATGACTTACTGGTGACCCGCCCGTTCCAGGTGACTCGTGCCCCGTTCCCGCCCTTCTCGCGCCCGCTCATGTGCAGCGGCTGGTGCATGTCCCCATCCAGTGCACGAAGAACTTGAGGGCTTCCTCCGCGGCGCCGACGCTCTGCTCGCCTGCAGCGAACTCGCGCATGACGTGCGAGACGTTCCCAGCGCAGCGAAGACGTTCGCGGTAGACTTGCCCTGCCAGCCTTGCGGCCCGGGGAAGACGCACTCCTCAGGCGGGTCGTCGTCGACGGCGTTGATGTAGTGCATCGAGGCCGTGTATCTGTACTGGGGCTTGCTCCGAATTTGGTCCGCCCAGGCGGCGATAGGTGCGAGCGAGCAGGGTGGATAGGAGTGCGCGGCACGAGCGGAGGGGGAGGAGAGGTTGAGCGAGGGGTGGAGGATGTCGCATACCAGGTTGAGGACGGGGCGGGGGAGGTGGATTTGTGCGATGGTGGCGACTATTTCGTGACCTGCGGCGCCCCAAGCGTAGGCTGTCGGTGCGCTACTGAGCGCAGAGACCAGAGCGACCGCTGTAAGAGTATACGTGCGCATGGTAGGGCGTGAAGCAGGAGACAAGTGTGAGGGTATCGTTGTATTATATAGAGCAGGAAACAAGGAAGGGGAGTCAGGGCGACCAAGGAAGCCTTATGGGAGCGAACTGCTGGGAGGAACCAGAGCGACGCTGGAGCGCGCTGATAGAAGGGCTGGCGAGGAACGCGCTGCCACCGCGAACGTGCGCAGACAATGAGCAAGAAGTGGGGAAGGCAGCGGCGGACAGCCTGCCTTTGTCGACTTGGGCGCGACAGCCGAACGTCCTTCCCACGTCTGCTTTGGCGCCATCTACTGCAGGGTGAACTTTGAACTCAATCTCCCACTGGAGTACTGCCACCACCGAAACCTTCGTCATTGGAACGGATGGACTCTCCAGCCATGAAGGACAACATTGAGTGGGTATAAGTCAACGAACGAAACGATCGCCGACACCTCAGGCCTCAGCACCCACTGCTCGCCGTGAACCCCGCCCACTTTTCAGTTGTAGTACGTGCCCTCCATGACCGCCTTCATCGCATCCGCCTGCGCCTGGAAGGACTTGTTGAGGTCGTCCCCGATGAGGCCGACCGCACCGCCGAACAGGCCGTCGAACACCTCGCGGACTCGTAGAAGACCTTGGTCGCGCCGTCGTCGTCAACGAACGTGCTCACCGTGCTCCAGCGGACGGAGTGGATGAGCCAGTCGGGCGCGAAGTCCGTCGTCCAGCTGACCTGGTGCTTGGCCGGGATGATGTCCGTCAGGTTCTCGTACGTGATCCGCGTGTTGAGCGCGTTCGACGGCGTCGACGCGTTCACCGGCGCCGCGAGCGGCGGGATCTGGCAGACGATCAGGAACTTGTCGTTCTCCTTCGGCGTCTGGTCCGCCGCGGGGAGCAGCCACTCGTTCAGGATGGTCTGCTGCCTGAGGAGCGGGCGCGCTGAGCACGAAGCCGAGCGGATGCGAGGAGGGTTTAGGCGTACCTGACGAAGGGGTTCCAGTTCGCATAGTCCGAGAAGTTGAGGAGCATGTTCCAGGCCTGGTCGATGTCCGGCGAGTTGATGATCGCGCTCCCGCTCGCGTTGAACGCGCCCAGGGCTACAGTGGGCAGGTTTGAGGGTGGGGTGAGGCCGAGGGCATGGAGCCCGAGGCTGAGCACGACGACGCTGGTGAGGGAGAGCATCTCGGGGATGGGAGCTCGCGGGCGGCGAAATGGCTCCGCATCAGGATCGGTTTATATGTGCATACCTAGGCGAGAGGGTCGGGTGCCCGGACATCAAGTTACACAGAAGCGGAGAAGTTCCGTTCTTGCAACAACCATGTGGGTTGCAACGCCGGGCGGACCAGTGACGTTGAGACAACGACCGATAGGCCACACGGGTCAACTGGGTCAAGGCACGGGAGTCGGGACTAATAATTGTGCCCGAACGCTCCGCTCGTGAAAGTCAACGGCGTTCCGCGGCGCGTTGGAGTCGTACCCCCGTGGAAGGAGAGTCCTCGGCTAGAAGGTCATGGATGCCCAGTGTGATTGAGATCGCTGACTACCGCAGGCCGGCGCCAGGACGAGCCTGACAAAACAAGAGCCTCGTCGCCGCTAACAATACAATGCAATTGACTCTACTTGCGGGGAGCACATACGCGCTGTGGTACTTATTACATCAGACATGCCATGAAGACAGAACTTACAGGTGACTTCTCCACCAGTTTTCGATACTCTCAACCGATCGCCATCGCGGTGTCCACAACGTCCTCTACATTGCTGGCGGTGCCGGAACCTGAACCCAGCCGAGTTGAGAAGATCACATCTTTGAGTACTTGAGCGATGAGCCCGTGTTGCGCTTCACTGGCAATCTTGCCACTGTTATCTGACGTTAGGAGCGGGCAAACTGTCGGCGGTGTTCAAGCTGACCTGTCTTTGACCGCTTTCGACAGTGTGCTCTCTTCCCGCTTGCTGGTATCCTTTTGCTGCAAGGGAACCGCCATCAACGCATGCCCAGATTTCATCGTTTGAGCGACTCTACCTTGATCACCGCCTTCTCGTCAATCAGGATTGGCTGCGGTGGGCGAGTGCTGGAGATGCCACTCTGTGCCTTGGAAAGTTTCTGGTGAAGATCGGCGAGCTGGTTGGCGGAATATGCACGGCTCTGTAGCAATCTCAGTCATTGGACGGACAAAGGCACGATACCGAAAGTCATACCGAGATCAAGGCACTCTGACTAAGCGTGTTGACCCAGTATTTGTTCCACAACAGCCCGAGAACTTCGAAGTCAAGCGTCGACTTGAAAATCTGAACCTCTAGGGGGTAGTACTGATTCGCGTGGACACCGAAGTCCTCGATCTTGTTGAGCGGGATGCTCTGGTACTCATTGCTGCCCGAGTCCGGCGGAGTATAATTCTCAGGGTACGTGCGGAACGCGCCAATGTCAACCTTTCCGGCAGAAATGGTGCGATTGGGATCAATGACGACCGCGACGAACGGGTCCTGAAACTTCTGGTTTTGCATTTGCGTGTTCACGTCAATGCCTGAAAGCCAGCATCCGTATCCCGGATGGGAGTGGTACCAGCCGATGGCGTTCTCCAGACGAGAAACCTTAGGTTGGAGAATATGAGGGGGAGGAAGAGGAACAAGATAGGAGTATAGGAGCGCACCTGCTGACTGCCCTCTGAGTACTGCACCATGTACTCGTATGCCTCGCTCGCAGCATTTACTCGGGTCTCCGTCCCTTGCACAGGAAGAGCAAAGGAGTCGATAATCACGAGTGCGTTCCCCATGACCTTCCCCTGCATCATCCCCATGATCTCGTATGGCACACCCGAACGAGCGTGGATAGCCTAGGAGAGCATGAGCACCCAAGCTGTTGTGGCGCAAAACATGTACACACCATCTTGATCAACGCGACGGCAGAGATCTTGCATACTTTGAAGAATGCGGGGCTGGAAAGGCGAGGAATACAGTCATGAGTGTCTCTGCTTCTCGCTCTCCACCAGCCCCCAACTCACTCTCGTGTCCAAGGCTTCTCGTTGTTTACTCGCTGATTCTCGGCGTGGTCGTAGAGGAAGATCTCATCTTGCGCGGTCAACTCCTTGACATCGTTAAGGAGACTGAAGGTTTTCAAGGCGTTGCCGGACGAGGATGAGGACGCCATGGCGGTCGAGTGCCAGGCCGAGCGTGCGCCACCCTCGCGACCCTCGCGTACACGGCTTGCGTATATCGCCCTCGTGGGAACCACCTGCCTTTCGCATTCGATGACGCCCAGTCCGCGGGCGACGCGGGGACGATCGCCGTCGCCAAGCCTTCGTCATGCTCAAGTCGTGCATGTCTCGTCTCCACCTCTCGCGTTCCGCCGCGCACCCCCGTTTTTGCACCAACATCCCGCGGGCACAGACCCTCCCTCATGACTCCCTCTCTCGACGATTGGTCTCAAGCGCCCTGTCGCAGCCTTCGACCTCTTCGAACCCCGTACCCACTCTCGATCGGGAGCGTTTGTCGCAGCTGAAGCAACCGCGGCGTGGTGGACAAGATCTCTCTCAACGATACCGATGGCTTGAACGCTCTACGCGGGGCAAGGAAGTTTATGGACGGGAAATTCGACATTTCCAGGAAGCAGATGCCGTCTCTCAAACCACCCAGCAAATGGACGAGGAGCTGGTCGGGACGAGTTCTAGTCAAGTTACCCGGAGGATGTTCCGAGGCTTAGTGATCCCAGAATGCCCCAAACCCCCAGCGGATGACGGTGCGTTCCTGCAATCTTCTCACTCCCTTCCGCGGTTGAACTGTGGTGTCGCAGAATGCTGCATGTCGGGCTGCGCCGTCTGTGTGTACGATCTGTACGACGAAGCCCGGACCGACTACCTCAACGCGGTCGACAAAATTCGCGCAAGCTTGAAAGACACGGGCATCCCTGAAGACGAATGGCCCGCCGAGCTCCGCAGCAGGTCTCAAGGAGGTTCAGGCGTGCCGTCCGCCAAACCAAATGTCGCGTTAAGCGCGTTCGAGCAATTGGAGCTAGCTTTAAAGGCCAAACGAGAGAATCCCTCTCATCCCTCAACTGCGTCTCCCACAGATCTGGCACGAGTTGAGGGTTAGTACTTCTAGGGTATCGCTGAAGTGCCCTCGCCTGCTGATGCTAGGAGCGAGGTGCAGTTCAACTGGCTCTACCTCCGGCCAAGAAACGCCCCCCAAAGAAGCCCGTGGGATTGGACGACATGTACGAGGGTCTGCGGTGGGCTTTGTTCAGCAATCGCTGAGGTGCGTCCGTATCGTCCTCCCGTTCTTCGCATTCACTCATCTCCACTCGATCTGTGCACTCGATTGTGTAGGTTTGAGCACTGTATTCTGTAGTTATAATTACAAAGTTTTTCGATCCATTCAAGCGTGCTATTCCCGTCTACCGAAGAGTTGGCCAGCCTGCTTTTAAGGCTATCACCTGGTATGCATCCCACTGCCAGGTGATTCCTGCTCCCTATCGTTCACCGTCAGAAGGGCCGCAGGGTTAACCGAGGTTTCGCCGCGCATGCGAAGAACATATAAGCCCTTGCTTCCTATAGCGAGGCACCTTGCCCATTGCCCACGAACGCCATGGCCCAGAAACTTCCAAGCGACTTCGTCTGGGGTTTTGCGACAGGTGATTCTTATAGTCCTACTGGCCATGCGAATATCTAACGACCACTCCAGCTAGCTATCAGATCGAGGGCTCTCATAATGTCGACGGGCGCGGGCCTTCCATCTGGGACACCTTCTCACATCGCAAGGGCACCATCAAGGACGGTTCCAACGGTGACGTCGCCACGGACTCGTATCGGCTGTGGCGTGAAGACATCGCGCTGTTGAAGGAGCACGGGGTAAACGCCTACAGGTTCTCCATCTCCTGGAGTCGCTTGATCCCCCTGGGAGGACGTGACGACACCGTCAACGAGACAGGAATCGCATTTTACAGGCAGTTCATCGAGGAGCTTGTCAAGAACAGCATTACACCATATGTGGTGAGTTGTATTTCCGTTTGCTATCACGGCGGGTTGCCTGAGTGGACTGCAGACACTTTACCATTGGGATCTCCCGCAAGGACTCGACGATAGTTACGGCGGCTGGCTTAACAAGGAAGAGATCATCAAGGACTACACTCATTATGCAGAGGTATGGGTGCATCGCATGAGACCTCCACTCTGAACTGAACAGGTTTCAAGCTTTGTTTCACTCGCTACGGAGACCTGGTGAAGAACTGGTATGTCTCGACTCGAACCACTTCTCGTGGAGAGACTCACCATCGTCTACAGGATCACTTTCAACGAGCCCTGGTGTGTATCAGTTCTCGGCTACGCCAACGGCGTCTTCGCTCCAGGTCACAAAGGAGACAAGGAGAATTGGATGTGAGTTCCATAGTGGGCTGTCACCACTCGTTGTGTCTAATAACATCATCAGCGTTGCCCATCACGTCATTCTCTCGCACGCATATGCTGTCCGGCTGTATCGCGAGAAGTTCAAGGGTCCACAGGGTGGCCAGATCGGGATCACCCTCGATTCCCAATGGCTAGAGCCCTGGATAATTCTCCGCAGAGTGTGTTGCTGTTGTTCGCACGAAGCCTACGCCTCATGGATTGCATAGGTATTGCGGCGGCTCAACGTGGAATCGACTTCAAATTGGGTGAGTATCATCATCGGCGTTCTCGTTCATGGTCGCTGATAGCCCACCAGGTCGGTTTGCGGTGATGACCATCTCTTTGTCGGGTACCTACAAGGACTAATAACATCTCGCTCAGGATCCGATCTACAAAGGCTACTATCCGTCGGCGGTGAAAGCCATGATCGGTGACCGGCTGCCGGAGTTCACTGACGAAGAAGTGAAAGTAGTGAAAGGTTCTTCGGACTTCTTCGGCCTGAACACATACACGACGCAGCTTGTCAGTGAGTCCATTCAACCCATCCAAACCGCATGCGGGTGGTCACTATGCCGTTCGTAGAGGAGGGTGGCGAGGACGAGATACAAGGCAAGGTCCAGTACACCTTTGTCCGACCAGATGGGTCCCAGCTTGGCACCCAAGGTGAGTCTCCATTAGCGTATTGTACCACTTGAGTTCTATGCTGACGAGTACTAGCCCAGGTTCCATGGCTGCAGACGTGTTAGTGTGCGCGTCCTCTTCCGCGTCAACGGAGCTGACCAAACAATGAATAGATCCTCCGGGATTTCGCTCAGTAAGCCGTCAATGTCAAAGCTGGTGAGACGCGCAGCGCTAACAGCTGTGGTCAGCTTCTCAACTACGTGTGGAAGGTATGTAATTGATCAACTGGGCTGATCCATTTCCGTGCTTAAATGTGACTTCCAGACCTATCAAATGCCGGTCTAGTTCGTAAACTCATACCCCCTTCTTCTCTCCAAGAACTGACCACAGCCGTACTCTTCTCTTCAAACAGTGTGACAGAGAACGGCTTCGCAGTGAAGGACGAGAACACCCTTCCCCTGGATGAAGTCGTTCATGACAAGGATCGCATCGAATATTACGACGGTTACGCAAATGCAGTGTTGCAGGCGGTCACAGAGGACGGCGTCCAGGTGAAGTCCTACTTTGCGTGGAGTAGGTTCTTGTTCCCCACCTCCATCTCGTTCGCCCTTGCTAATGGATTTTTTACAAGGTCTGCTTGACAACTTTGAATGGTATGTTTGCAGAGTGCGGTGGCCCTGTGATTGCTCATGCGGGCGAGTAGGGCGGACGGGTACGAAACGCGTTTCGGTGTCACGTATGTGGATTACTCCACACAGAAGCGGACACCTAAGGATTCTGCACGGTTCCTCAAGAAGGTATGTATACACCCGCCAGATTGGTCACGCAGGGCACTGACGTCAATGCAGTGGTTCTCCGAGCATATCGCGGCTAGATTCTGTACAGAGACCGAGTCTTGACTAGTCAATCCTTCAATCACTCGGCTGCGAGAGTATGACACACTGAATGTTGACGTTGAAGCCTTGACTTGGGCAGCGTATGCGGCGTGACGTTTCTCCCTCACGTAAAATCAGCCGATCTCCGTGACAGCTGCACCACGCCCACGACAGTCGAGCGCTTTGAGTCACGGCTGCGGTTCCGAGAGCTTAATGCGCGAGCCTTATCTGCTGCCCGTCCCTCAAGCCTCAAGCTCAACCACCTTGCCGTCTAGATACCCGATCTTACCCCGGTCTGCAATCTGTCCCTGCATACACCAGCTTTGAAGTGAGTCTCTACCATTCACTGTATGGGAGTTCTGACCTTAGGCGCCTGCACATGTTCAGCTCGCATTGAACATGGTCTCAACGCGCAAAGCCACGCCCAAGTCCCCCGCAGACCCCCAATCCAGGGACTACCACTCCCTCCCGACACTCTCGTCGCAACCTCCCAAGTCTCGCGGTTCCACACCGAGACCCTCGAGACCCTTGCGACCGACATCGATCTCAAAGATGTCCACCTCGCGCTCGGCCCCCGCGTCCTCCTCGCCTCCGCCCACCTCCGCCTCTTCCGCGGCGTGCACTACGGCCTCGTCGGCGCGAACGGCGTCGGCAAGTCCACCCTCCTCCGCGCGCTCGGACACGGCCGCCTCACCGGGCTCCCGCCCAACATCCGCATCCTCTACGTCGAGCAACTCGAGGGCACCGACATGGCGCGCTCCGTCGTCCGCGCCGTCGTCGACGCCGACACCAAGGCGGGCCGGATCCGGCGCGAGCTCCGCGCGCTGCAGACCGCGCTCGAGGCGGACGACCCGACCGAGGTCGCGCGCGCGATGCGCGTGATCCGCCGCGACCGCCGCGAAGCCGAGCGCGCCGCCGCGGACAAGGTCGCGCAGAGCGCAGCGGCGCGCGCGGGGCGGACGCGCGCAAGAGGCTGATCGCGCGCGAGCGGGAGCAGGCGGCGAGGCCGCAGCCACGCGCGAGGGGCCCCGGCGCGGACGAGGTCGCGCGCGCCGCGCGGAGGCGCAGGAGCTGCTCGCGGAGCTCTTCGAGGCGGTCAAGCTCGGGGGGTACGGCGAGGAGGAGGCGGACGCGAAGGCGCGGCGGATCCTCGCCGGGCTGCGCTTCCCCGCGGACTGGCACGACCGGCCGCTGGGCGAGCTCTCGGGGCTGGCGGATCCGCGTGGCGCTCGCGGCGGCGCTGCACGTCGAGCCGGACGTGCTCCTCCTCGACGAGCCGACGAACCACCTGGACTGCCGGCGATCGTTTGGCTGGAGGAGTACATCGGGCAGCTGACGGAGACGACGGTCGTGACGGTCTCGCACGACCGCGCGTTCCTGAACGCCGTCGCGGACGAGATCGTCGTGTTCAGAGCCCAAACGCTGGCGTACCACGTCGGAATTTCGACGATACTGGAGAACACGGAGGAGAAGCAGAAGTACCTCGCGCGTATGGCCGCCGCGATCGAGCGCAAGAAGGCAACGCAGAGCGCGCGGTGCAAGCGGCGATGGCGCAGGCGCGGAAGAGCGGGGACGACAAGAAGATGGCGCAGATGGCGTCCCGGAACCGCAAGCTCGAGCGCATGGGGATGGAGGTGAACGCGAAGGGCCACCGGTTCAAGCTCAACCGCGACCGCGCGGGGTACCACACCTCCACGCGCGACGACGTCGTGGTCGACCAGGCCGAGGCGGTACCGAACTGGACTATCCCGGATCCCATTCCGCTCAGGCAGAGCGGCGCTCTCATCGAGGTCGAGGGGGTCTCGCTCGCGTACAACAAGAAACTCGCACCCATCGTCTCGGACGTGACGCTCAACATCGGGCAGGACGCGCGCATCGCCGTCGTCGGCGCGAATGGCAGCGGGAAGACGACGTTCGTCAAGGCGTGCGTGGGGGAGATTACGCCTGTCAAGGGCCAAATCAACCGACACCCGACGGCGAAGATAGGGTACTTTACCCAGCATCATGTCGACGACCTGCACAAGTACGACGACGACACCTCGGCGCTGACTCTCCTCCTCGACAAGGACGCGGAGAAGCGCGAGCAGGAGTGCCGCGCGCACCTGGGCAAGTACGGGCTCAAGGGCAGCCTCGCGGTGCAGCCTCTGCGGTCCCTCAGCGGCGGACAGATGGTCCGCGTGGCGTTCGCGCTGAATACGTTCGGATCTTCGCCTCATCTTCTGATCCTCGACGAGCCGACGAACCACCTGGACTACATCACCACCGAGGCTCTGATTGAAGCGTTGAAGGAGTATAGCGGCGCGGTCGTGGTCGTCTCGCACGACCAGTTCTTCGTTACGGAGGTCGCGGACGAGGTGTACGCTGTACGGAAGGGTCGCCTGGTTCGGCTGGAGGGTGGGATGGAGGAGTATGTGAAGCTTTGCCGGAAACGCCGCCGTACAGGATAATGGTTGGAGACCAACACGGTTTTCATGTGAGGCCAGCGGGGAGCTACATTGCTTCCCCGACGACAGGTAGAATAGTACACGGATATGTACAATGAACTACAAGTACTTGGGTGACTCAATCCAGGTTTGGGCCAAAGTCTTGTAGTTGAGCCGAGAAGGTGGCAAGGTCGATAGAGGCACGTCCGGAGTATGTGTACCACCAGGGTCCAAGTACTGAAATCTGGTCAATTCGTCCTAGCATCGTGGATTTGACAAGCACGCCCGCGAAGGAGAGCTCGAAACATCCGATTCTCCATTCGAGGGCTAATAAATTCCGTGTACTGCGAGTTTGTGCAGAGGACCTCGTTGGATACAGGTGCTCCAGAGCACAACAATGAAGGTACAGGTGCAGGAAATAGATGCGTCGACGAGAAAGTACTGAGAGACAGATGCTAGGAGCAAGGAACAACGAATGAGCAGATGGCAGCAGCGTGTTGGCTAAGTAGGAGCACCCGGTGGGCACATCTGTCAGCACTTGTGACCCTTTCCATATGCTCGAGCCGGGAGCCTTTATACCTCAGAGCAGAGCGCCATCGGTTTGGTATCTTGGCGGTACACAAATGTTGGGTAATATTGTCTTGGTGCACGGCTCCTAGGATCCAAGGTCCGCTCTGGGAGAGCATGCCATGCTGGTATAATGCACACATGGCGTAACATACATTCATACCGTCATATGCATGTGGGGGAGGACAACGTTGCTACAGCAAAGCGACGAGAGTTTTGAGATCGTACCACGGCAACCCATACAACAACTCCACCGAAGCTCCTTAGAACGTCGACGGCCTGTTCGCAACGAAGGTCGAGCGGACCTTCGAGACACGGTGGGGGAGGGGGAACTTGAGCTTAGGGACAAGGAGCTGCTTGATGTACGGGCGGCGAATGTCTTCGGACTTCTCAACCTCGACGACACGGAGGATCTAGGGTGGATATGAGCCGTGAACCAGTCGTTAAGAAAACGGTAATACGTACGTGGATCGACCGGAAGCGAGCGCGGTGGCGGGCAGCCATGTCCTGGTACAGGGCCTTGACGGCGTCCGTGCGGCTGAGCTCACGGAACTCCTTGTACATGTTGTGGGTACCGGAGCGCGAGTCATAACGAAGCCAGATGCCGAAGACCTTGATCTTCAGTGGCTTCTTCTCATGGATCTAAAAGAGCACGTCCCAATGACGGCGATCAGCCTCCCATTCCGCCTGCCACTTGAACGGCTGCAAGGGACATAATACACACAACGTTGACGCCAATAATCTCGCCACTGGCCTTCTTCACCTTCTTCAGTTGCCTGGGTGGCACGTAAGGGCATGTTCGCGGTACAAGCGCGGGTATCACACAGGAAGAACGTACCTGAGGAAGTACCAGAACCGCGACTTGGCGACGACTTCGTTGGGCGCAAAGATGCGCATGCGGTAGATCTTGGGGGTAGGGTCGTTCTCGGTGGGGAGATGACGCCCAACGACCTGGTATTCGTGGAAAGGCATCTGGGGGATGGGGAAGGGGTATGAGACATGGGTCCTTCATCCGGATATGACCGAAGCCATCCAGCATCGTATTCTGCGAATCTTGCGCAATTTCGGCCTGGCGCGACTGCAGAGGGGTCCCGAGGGGTATAGGAAGACAACAGACACTCACTTTGAGGAAGAAACCAGCTTACCCTTGAAGATTTGACGTTGGCGTTGGCGTTGATGGCGACGAGACTCTCCTACGCTCACCCGCGGCGGCGATAGAGTTTGCTGACTTGGGCGGAGTCTGAACTGAGAGAGCGTCTAACGGACCTGTGTCAGGGTCAAGCGCTGGCCGCCTCTAGTGTTGAACTTCACTGAGAAAGTCGCCGCCTCATGATCAGCTAGATCGAACTCCCCGCTTGGGTTTATACCACCATAAGTTCCTGATGCTTGTGTTTCTGCTCATGCTCTCTGCGGCATCATTTTGAGCAACGCGAGTCTATCCCACGATCGCGCTTGTCAAGCATGCGATGCTAGAACGACTGGAGGGTCCGCCTGAACGAATCCGTGTACCAGATGAGGGTACACTGACTGGTTGGTCTCCCACATACATATATTACCCCCTATGCATCGCCCAGAACATCCGGATGTCCAATGTATCTGTGCATCGCTCACCTGCCTTTCGTGATACAAAGTCCTGCGACCTTGCGAATCGAAGCAGCTCAGCTAGCAGGGCAGCGTGGCTGACTATACATTATAGTCTCCCCGAAACAACCTGCTCCGAAGGCTGACTACAACAGCGGTCCGTCCTCGAATTGCCCCGGGTATGCGGACCGAACTCCATTAATCCTATGGCGGATGGTAGGCACCAACGGAAAAGGAGATGGGGCTGGCTGTGAGACGACAGTTGGGGCAAGTCTTAATTTCTCAGGTTGAGCCCAAACACTCTTTTTCACATATCTAACCAGAACAGATGGGCGGGTTGAAAAAGAAGGAATAAAAATACTTCCATAACGTATGCAACAGAGGCACTGTAGCAGTGTGGTGGTATCAAGTATATGTAGGTGCGGGTGAGTCGTTTGAAGAGCGAGATATGGAGCAGCGATAATAAGAACCGAGCGTGAAGAGAGCAAGTAAGTATAGCTACAACACTGGGGCAATGCCGGAAAATAAAGAAGCAGGTCATATGGCCACCTCCACGAACCACACGCGTGTCAGAGGCTCGTCGCTCGTCGCCGCCTCCGCTCCTCTTGTGCGCGCATGCCGCGCGCGAGCACCGCCGGGTCCACCACGAGCGGGAACGGGCACAGCGGTGTCGTGTCCACGACAGGCGAGCCATGTACGCTCGCGATGGGGACCGGGGGCAAGGGCTTGAAGAGTGTCGTCGGCGTGAGAGGAGGCGTATGTCCGGGGCTGTCAATGAGGACACCGGAGTCGCGCGAGCCATCGACGAGGACGCTGGAGTCGCGCGTGCGAGAGTCATCCGCACGCCAGAACGAGCACGACTGCGAGCGCGGGCGGGCGAACCACACGTCCGACACTCTGCTCCCGCTCCCACTCGCCTCGCCCTCGCCACTCCTGCTACTGCTGGTCCCCGTTCTGGTGCTATCCTCGCTGACGCCGCGACTGTGCGTGGTGCCCACCCCGAACCCAAGCGCGCTGGGCGCGCGCGAGAGCGTCGGGGGCACCCAGAGCGTGAGGCGCTCTGCCAGGTCTCCCTCGTCCTCGAGCGGCGCGAAGAGCCGGGCCTCGTCCTCGTCCGCGCCGACGCCGTCTCCCCAGTCGACGCACTGGCACGTCTTCCACCGCGCGCGGCACCGGTAGCAGAACTGCGCGCCGCACACGCACGTCATGTGCGCGCACCCGCCGTGCCGCTCGACGAGTGCCTCGCATCCAGGGCAGCGCACCCAGCCCATGCGGCTGCCGAGCGCGAGCGCGGCGCGGTGGCTCGCGTCGTGCGCGCACACGTGTGAGGGGGAGGGGGGCGAAGAGACCGCGGCCTTGCAGCGCGCGCAGGTGCGCGCACTGGCGCAGGCGGGGGACGGGCAGGTGTAGAGCCGGATGGGGACGCGTTTGTCGCGCGCGCCGAGGAAGCGACTGCAGCGCGGGTTCGCGCAGTAGACGCGTTTGGGGGTGTCGAATTCGGACTGGCGTTCGGCGAAGCGGGCGCGCTGTGTGGAGGTCATGTGGTGCTCGAAGGTCTCGGTGGGGATCGTCTGGCGACAGCATCGTGGAGGGAATGCCGTGAGAGACTGCAGGGACGTATCGACGAGGGTGAGGAGGCATTCGGCGTGGTACCGGTGTCCACAAGGTGTGAAGAGCGAGTCGAGGTCAACATTCGTTTGGCAGGCAGCGCATTCAAGGGTCGTGCTGCAACGATGTTGTGAGCAGGATCCGAGAGGAAGGTCGGCGCGACGTACATCGAGCTGAAACGTGGGGTGAATTGAGGATGGCGCGTCGCGAGTGAGGTTGAAAGTCCAGCCACGACCGTTTGCAATACGTTCGGAAGTCGTCGACGAATATTCCTTACACTAGGGCAAGTTAAAATAGAGCAGTAGCTCCATAAAGGAAACTCACCTTTGCTTCCATAGCATACCGGCACGACGCAAAGTGGAAACAGGGGAGAAGGTGACATCGTTGGGTCTCCAGCGGTCGATAGAAAGGAGGCCCGAACGGAAGAAGCCGTGCTTGTTTTCTTGCTGAGGAAGTGTGTCCAGAGAGACCATGCCCAATGACAGCACAGTCGTGACTTCCCACTCCTCGGAAGTGACCACGTCCCACTCCGTCTCCATGTCGTCGAATGCCTCGGAGGCATCGTAGTACTGCATGGTCAGAGAGAGAAATGGAGGTGGAATGGCATGAGTGTTTGCGACGAGTGGAGGGAAGGAGGACGGGTATGGTGTGCAGGGAGCGGTATGTATACGAGGGTAACGGCCCGTCGCCGACTACAGCAGCCTCCCTGCAACGTGTTGGAGGCGTGCGAGACGGATACACAGCTGAGGGCAGGGAGGAGTTGGGCTGACATTTCCGCGATTGGGGGCGGGCGTCATGAAAGGGTGTGAAGAAACCGGTGGCTTCGATGAGCTTAGGCCGAGCTGCTTTGCTGCACCCACAGCTGCTTGAGTATGTAGGTGATACCTGCCTGTTTTCAAGAGATGCATGTAAGTAAACAGAGCACGCAGTATATGCAGTGGTCACCAACCTGAGCTTGGGTATCGTGCGCATCGGTGAGCCTGTCACATGGGATCCAGGAGCAAGATATGATATATGAAGGCTTAGCGAAGTCAGTGATACAAGGTGAAGTTGTGCAGGTGCGACCATACGTATATGGAACAGCGGAGCTCTGGTGGTGGCCGACATTCGAACATGCTGTTAGAAGCTGCTGGATTACAGGCCAAATGACACATGAACGTTCCAAGTACTTAGCATGGCCATCCGTGGGGTGGGTTTTGGCTTCGCTGTGTACGCTATGCTTATCCAGGGCAACCTATCCGGAACCAGGCAATAACAGCGCAGAATGGTCCCACCAGCACTAGAGGTGCGTGTCATATAGAAAGTCCAAGTACTGTCAAGTGGTGACGATGGCCGTGGCGGCTGCCTGGCAAGCGGCGGGCTCCGCCCGAGACGGACCAAATGTGGGCATTTTCCCGCACCAGAATGGGCCGGCCGAAGGGGCGGCACGGACCCAGCCGCCGCGGTGGGCAGTCAAGAGCTCGCCGCCGTGCGTTGTTGGGGCCAGCTGGTTGTCTTCTTCCAACGCCTTCGTCTCTGCCCTTCTCCTTGCCCTCCCTTCCCGCCCCTCCCCGCCCTCATCCACCTCTTACGCCAGCTTCCTCAGCCATGAAGTTCTCTACTGCCGCTCTGTCCCTTGCCGCTCTCGCCGCCACTGCTTCTGCGCAGCTTGACATCCTCGTCCCCGGCGGTGACGACCTCTGGTGGCGTAAGTAGCGTTTTCTCTTTTCCCCCCTCTCCGTAGTGAACTCACCTGCCTTCGCCCGCAGTCGTCGGATCCGATAACGTTGTGTCATGGACCTGCACGACGAACACGATCCCGCAGTTTACCGTGCTGTAGGTTTTTCTCTGTCGCCTTCGAGCGTTTCGCCCACCTTGGGCTGACACACCGGTCCAGCGTCCAGAACAGCAACCCGAGCGTCCTCAACTCGCCCCTCGCGATTATTGCCCAGCAGAACAACTTCGACTGCTCCAAGCTCGTCACGAAGGACCTCGTTAACCTCCCTGTCGCCACCGGTTACCAGATCCTCTTCGCCAACACCCTCAACAGCTCGGATGTGAGTATTGTTCTGAAAATAGCCCCCCTCCCCTCCCCTCGTGTCGGTTTACACCTCTATCCCCGACCGTTCCCGTGACCCGTTTCCATTCCTCGTCTTCCGCGTTTCGCCGCGCCCACTTCCCGCGCGCCCTCGTTCGTGCTCACGCGCTCACCCCTTGTACCCAGATCTACGCCACATCCAAGACGTTCGAGATCAAGCCCGTCGCCTCTGGCTACCCCCCGGCCTCCGCGACGCCCACCGGCGTGTCGTCAGCGGTCGCGAGCAGCACCGGCACTGCGTCGGGCTCTGGATCCACCCCCACTAGCTCCGCCAACTCCAAGAGCGGCGCGTTCGCCCTTACCGCCCCCGGCACTCTCGCCGCCGCGGCCTTCGCCGTCCTCGGCCTCTTCACCGCGTGAGCGGGAAGAGTAGGTTCTCACCCCTCCCTCGTAGCTGCATGCGTACCTCTCGTTGTCTTTGGGCAGAGACACTACTCAGCGAAAGAACGTACAAGGCGGCCTCGGCAGCCTTGAGCGACGGCCCTTGGCTTATGCGTCCCTGAACTCTCTTTTCTTACGCTTTGGACAACTGGCTTTCGTTGTAGTGTCTCGATGTATACCTCACACTCCTTTAGTACACGATCCTTCCGGTAATGCGTCTTGTGTGATAGCGTGTGAAACTGGGCAAAAGGTGGTGATCCATGGTTATCATCGTCGGTAATGTCAGATAGACTGAGGGTTTAAACAAAAATCTCATTCCTGTATTATGTCCCTAGCCGGATTCGAGCCGGCGTCTTCACGGAATTGTGTTTCCACAACGTGATGATCTAACCACTAATCGATAGGGACTTAGCATATGAGCTCCTTTTAATTATACATGATGCATCTGAGTTCAGTGCTGAGTATTACACATACGGACTGGACCCTTCAAGAGTCATGGAGTCCCAACAGAGTTAAAGAAACAGCAGCCTCTTCATCCCCAATCCTCCGCTATGCGCTTCCCGGGCGCCGGACGCCGCGCTTCCACCTCGATGTCCGACTCCGACCCGGCGACCTCCTGCACCACGGGCAGCGACCGCATCTCGTACTCGTCCTCCCCCGCACGCTCAAAGTCGTACGTTGCGAAGCTGCCTGCAGCCATCGTTCCGCGCCCGTACGTCGTCGTCGTCGTCCCCGGTCCCGTCCCGGTTCTCGTGCCCAGCCCCATCATCGTCCCAGCCCGGTCCCGGTGTGCGCGAGCGAGAAGAGAGGCGGGTGGAGAAGATGAGCGCGGTGTCGGCGCTGGGCCGGCCGGGCGTGGGCGGACCCCCGGAGCTCGTCGCGGTCATCGCGGACGGATGCGGGGACGCGGAGGCTTGGAGGTTGAGCATGAGGCGGGACATCATCGTGACGGAGATGCTGGATGCGGCGGTGGAGAGGCAGCCGCGGAGGAGGGGCTGAGCGCAGTGTGAGCTAGCGTGTGGCAGAGGAGATCTGTGTGAGGGGCGTTGCGCACCTCGGCGAACTGTGAGGGAGGCGCAGTTAGTGGGCGGAGAGGCCTGCGGAGAGAGGGCCGCTTACATAAAAAGTTAGGGTATTGGCAGGTTGGCGGAGGCCATGACGCTGGATTCGCGGTTAGTAGGAGCATGGTGGAATGGGAGCGCATGTGCTTACGCAAAATACATAGCACCTGGATATACATCAGCCCGGAACACAAAAATATAAGTCGGCATCCACGTACCATCTCGCATGAGAACATATATAAGGTCATGTCGTCCGGACGAGGTGGGATTATGCAGTCTCGTTCGGATAGTCTTGAGTAGCGTAAGTGAGAATACCATTAGGTCGAACAGGAACAGCGATTCCCATGCGACAGCAATTCCTTGGGGATCACGTCAGAACAGCACGTCAGTCACTCAAGATACCCAGACGCGTACGGATAGCTCTGTGGCAGAGGGTCAGCGTGGGCTGTATGCGTGCACGAATCAAGCACTACGTGAGTCGGTCTGCCGCCAAATGGCACCCCCCTTTCAGTTGCACGTCTTCATGTTGGCCCACCACAGACCACTGAAAGTCCGCATCAGAATAGTGTTGCGCGCATGAGGCACGCTGAAAGACTCACACATGACACCCCAAACAGAATTCCTGCAAAGCCGAGGACGGCGCCTCCGACGTGCCAGTTGCGGCCGTAAAGCGCGAAGGTTCTCAGAAAGAGACAAACTAGAAAAGGCGTGGGGCGATCGCAGTTAAGCTACAGACTAGTCAATTGAGTCCGAGATAATGAACGCTCACGGCATACAACGACCTGGTTGGCGATCAGGAGCACTTGGCGGAAGAACGCGTACTGTCGGCAGCTATACCGATGTGCAGCATGGTCGGCGTTCTGTCCGTCTGGCGCGCTGCATAGCGGGAACTACCCCTACGAGAGCTTCGATCAGCGACCGGGAGAACGCGTGAGGTGAGAAGGAGAGCGCACATGCTCGTTCCAGTAGCCATAGAAGTTGCCGAAGTTCACAGCGATGTCCTGCGGACGGGTCGCAGTTCAGCACGGTTTGATGTGTGGGAGGTATAAATGACGTCAACTGCAAACGCACCGCGACCAGGGGAAGGTATCGGTTGAGGTAGAAGAGCCAGGTAGTGCGGAGAGTCTTGCGGGGCCGCCAGATGCGCCAGTATTCTTCGTCGATGGTGAGGAGGTAGTCGAAGTAGAGGATCACTGAGCGAGCGCACGCATCGTCTCAGTACGCGCACACGGGGAGAAAGACCAGTCGACATCGATATCGTAGGAAATGCACGCACCGACGCCGACGAGGTGGAGGTAGTTGTGGACGTGGCTGGGGCGCAGGACGCGCGCAGCGGACTGAGGTCAAGGCATAGACGCTATGGGCGTGGCACGCAACTCACACAGACTGCGGCACGACATCGCTGATCATTAGGGACATCCTGCGGCGTCCGGGGTCGGGCTGGTGAACGGATGGTTGGGACGTGTCGGCGTGTGGGTTCGTGGCGTCGGCGTCGGGGGCGTTCATGAGGACGGAGCGGGCATGGACGGGGCGCGAGGGAGGAAGCAGACGGGGCGCGCGAGAACATGGTGATTGGGAGTATAAAGCACCGGTGTGGGCACTAGGGCGGGCCTCACACGGGCGCAGACTGGCGCAAAGGCAAAGCGTTGGCGAGATTCTATCGCGCAATCAGACTGATGTGCCTCGCGCCATATGTGGCTGGGCTCCGATCGCCCGACGCGAGCTTCATTCATTCGCGCGCGCCACATTCGCTCCCCCGCCCCCGCGCAGCCCCGCGCTCGGCTCTAGCCTCTTGTCGCCGTTGGCACATTCTCGCGCACGCCGTCAATTGTGAAGTCGGTAGTGCACGCGATCGGCGCGTCAGATACGCTAACGAGGGGACCCACTGCGACATACCTTCTCGCTAGAACGGCCAGCGCTCGGTGGTTTTCCATGGCCCTAGCGCCTCTCGCCCCGGCACTGCTGAGCGTATATGCGAGCAGCGCGGCGTTACATAAGCTCTCGCACTTCGCATCACGCGCATCTTTGCCAGCCAATCGTTTCCGGCGGCCTCTGATACTCCCACTGGAGCCACGGTGTCCACTTACCTCTTGCTGACTCCACTGCTGCCTTGCTTACTACTTGCTAGGTCCGCCCGACATCGCGCCCCGTCTACGGACCCGTGTCGGCACGTTAAAACTGTTTAGACAAGGCCGGGAGCTGTGTCATTTTGCGAAACAAGGAACAACTAAGGTCGATCGTTGGCTAGAATACAAGACGAGGCCGTCGCGCTCGAGAGCCGTCTTTTAAATTTGAGGTCCACAAAGTGCTGGGCACATACCCGCGCGCCGCGTGCACAACAGCGTCGCAGAGAACGCATGGCGAGCGTCCACCGGCTGTCGTTAATTACGAGGCTGTGTGGGGTGCGCGGAGTGATTGGTTGAGTGCACAACGAGACCTATGTACCCACACCTAGGGTGGGCCTATGAGCGTAGCGAAGTGAGACAGAGATGGTACCCCTCTACTCACCCCGGGCTATCACCGTTCGACACTCGAGAGGGCATCGTAGGTACACGCCGGCGGACAAGCGGACATACAAATTCGAAGACGCCACGGAGCGTGGGATATCACGCACATGGCCACGCGCATGCATCGCCGGTGAGCGCGGTGAGCACCAGCACAACGAAAGTGGCATGAGAGGAAGCAACCGACTGCAGGGTGTGGCCATCGGCGGGCTTCGATATCTGCCAACTGTCAGGGAAGCTCCGCGCCCAACGTCTGCGAAAATTCCCGCTCGCGGATATACGATTAGTGGTTGCAACCTGCCGGGATGGCAGGACAGCTTACTAGCAAAGACGTCTTCGGCGTGGAAGATCCAGTGGAAAGACCATCTCGACGTGAGGTGTTGCATCTAGGACGGCTTCACGGGGAGGAGATGCGTATGTTATCTCTATTTTTGAGGGAACCCAACCGACTGAGGTTGCATGAGCAAGTTTGCAAACGAAAGCTCAGCTATTCGAACCTTGACTTGCCCGAATCCGAACCTGCTCCCTACTGTCCTGATAAACATGTTTCAAAGCCCGCAAGCGGTCCGAGAGAGGGTTCGGAAGGTATCCACCTTCCCGTACGGTCTTTTTTGAACGTTAAAATCGCCGGCCCATCCGTGCCGAAGAGTTGTGCCAAGGTGTACCGGTACCTTCGCCTGTCCTCCGATCCTTCCCGCGAAGCCCGAGCACAGCGCTCCCATCGTCAGACAGTCTAGAACGATCTGTCCGCGGGAAAGATGCGCTCCGTTGCTAGGAGCGTTTTTGTCCAGGACTCATGGGGGAACGGGATCCGTGGGGGCCGGATGTTCGAGCCCATCGGCGCGTTAGGGCCATTCGAGCAATTGAAAGAAGGCAGCGCGACCGGGTTGTGATAACAGCGTCTGACCGCACTCACATACGCAGACCAGCGAGGTGGGATATGGAAGGTGTTTCAGCGATGAGAAAGATGGGGGTCGGGTGTGTATTGCATCATGAAGGACGAAGCATTGGGCGTGCCTATAACATTCGTTCCGAACCTAATGTCACCTTGCAAGTCGAAAATACAAATACGTATGGACTCACAAGCACTCTATGCTCCCAGGACGTGACGGAAGCCGGCCCGGCCCGGTGAACTCTGACTGAAATAGCAAGTTGGAGTGTTGTGGGGACCATGAGGAGAAGAGACGTGGCATGGTGACAAGAACGTGCTGTCACGCCCAGTGAGAACGCCCCCTATCCGGAGCTATCTGGAGCTATCTCAACGACCCAGATTGCTGGGGATAGGTCGATATTGCTGAATGCCTCATTGCGTAGGTTTTCATAAATGTCCGCCTATCCCCATCTATCCGCAACGATTGACACGCCACTGACAATTATGGGGATAGATGCCACCTATTGCCATGTATCCCCAGCTATCAACGGGCCTTTTCAGTGGAACCACGTGCGACCAGGCCTCATAGATCTGAATATATCTGCACCAATTTCATTGACAGTATGACATCATACACGTGCCCCGCGCACCCGCGCCCGCGCACCCGCGCCCGCTCCACCGCGCACCCGCTCCACCGCGCACCCGCGCCCGCTCCGCCGCCCGCCCGCCCTCGAGCCCTCGCCCGCCCTCGCCCGCCCTCGCCCGCCCTCGTGCAGCCACCGCCTGCACGCGCCCTCGCACCCCTGTGCCGCCGCCGCCTGCACGCGCCCTCGCGCCCTCACGCGCCTGCCGCCCTCCGCACCTTCGTGCCCTCGCCTTCTCTGCCCGTGCGCCCGACCTCCAGCTCCCGCCTTGCGCACTTGCGCTTCTATGCAGGACCAGCACCTGTTGCGCCCGCTTCCTTCTTTGATGTCCTGGCGCCGTCCGTCTTCTTGTAGGTCTATACATGACTGTCACCCACGCTCGCCGTACGGTGAGGCGTAAATGACACATACCTCACGTTGGGGGTGCTTCAGCGTCCTGTACCATGCAGAAAATTCTTCTTGGGTGCCGTGATTTTTCGTGTACCAGATGACCGCACAATGCACCCTGCAGCTGGATGAGATCGGGTGAAGATAAGTAAGATAAAACACACTGGAGCTTAGAGTTTGCTTCGAGCACCGGTGGCCACGTTGCGGCAGTTGCCTTGCTCTTCTCCGCACGAGCTTTGCCCTTGCCCTTGGAGTTCTTGCTCGCTGATGTTGCAGCCATTGATGCCGGTTGCTGGAATGGCTCCTCGTGTTCGTCGAGCGTGCTTGGGGGCCGTATAGGGCTCTCTGGTAGTGGGAGCTTGCCGCCCGGCCCGTACGCAGCTTTCCTGTTAACACGGCCGATTAGAGATTGCAAGTCATGAATGTCAGGATACATACAATGCGCTCGGCATCTGCGACATTCGTGTGAGTACAGAGCAGCATTGTGCGAGTCACAGTTGTACATACCAGAAGAAGTGGCCGCGCTTCTGCACAAGTAGCGCCACCACTGCAGGGAGAGGTGCTGTTGCCTTCCAGCGTACTAGCTAGTTCGTCAAATTCAGTATTTTTAGCAGCTGGTAGTTGTCGCATTTCAGGTGCACCACTAGAAGATACAGCAGTGGCCAGATCTGGCGGTATAGATAGAGACAGAGCGTCGGCGGCCGAGGACAAGTCCGTGTGCAGAGATCAAGGTGACAGTGCGGTGACGAGGGCAGATGCTGCAGCACTGGGTGGCGCCAGAATACCCTGCCACTGGCGTTCATATCAATGACAACATACACCGCTACTGGCGTTCGGATAAGCTCATATGAGTGGGCGCTCTATACCTGCTACTACCGTCTATATGTACCACATAGCCACACATATGAGTGCCCTCACACCCTGCCACCTATACATATTATAAAAGTGGCTGCTTATATGAGTGCATTAGTGTCTTTCCCTCATATGAACTTTGTAGCGCCTTGCCACTCATATGAGCTCGTCCCCTCATATGAGCTCGTCCCCTCATATGAGCTCGGCGCTCGCCCCCCTCATATGAGCTCGCCCCCTCATATGAGCTCGCCCCCTCATATGAGCTCGCCCCCTCATATGAGCTCGCCCCCTCATATGAGCTCGCTCCCTCATATGAGCTCGCTCTCCTCATATGAGCTTGCCCCCTCATATGAGCTCATTGGCGTCTCACCCCTCATATGAGCTTATTAATATCCCACCCTTAATATGAATGCACCAGCATTCCACAGCTCCCATTAGCACATCTGGGAACTGGCATACTCTATTGCATGCCTGTGTTTCTTTGCATGTATAGGTGCACCCATGCCAGAGCAATTCTTCAGCTTATCATATCACTGAGACACAGGAACTGTACTCTGAAAGGACAGGAAACTGCACCAGCTGTGCAACCGAAACAGACAGAATGGGTGCCCATTAGTTCCATTTTTATTCACACAATGCGCAAAGAGAGAGCAAGAAACCCATGATAGAAAGTGCAAGGCTCAAGCCGATCTCCGCAATCGGCAATTGACTCCCCCCGGGGGTCACCTCCGGGCCGGTAATTGACTCCCCCCGGGGGTCGATCTCCGAGTTTTTGATCACCTGTGTATCTCCGAGTTTTTGACCACCTGTGTACCTCCAACTTTTTGATTGCCTGTGTATATTGTCAGCCTTCATTACCAGACTGCCTGTATCTATTACCGAGTTTTTGGACATCTGTGTGTATTACTGCTTTCATTGCCGAGTTTTTGATTGCTGGTGCCTGTTACCGGTCCTCATTACCAACTTTTTGACTGCCTCAATCCATCACTGAGTCTTTGTTCGCCTCCAGCCTTTGACACCGAGTTTTTTATCACTGATATTGGTAATATTAGATGAGTTAGTATGCCTGTACTAAACACCCTCTCCCTAGGAAGTCACCCTTCACAGCTGCATGTGTTGATGGAAATTGACCAAGCTGTTTGCTGGATCAGGTAGTAGCATGCAAGAGCTGTGGGTGTGCAAATCTGGAGGGCAGTAGCTGCAAAAGTGAGGGAGTAATGGGGTATGATATTCTAAAATGACATACCAAACACAGACATGGGATGAGAGTGTATCACATCCCAGACACCTAGATATATTCACAGAGGATGATTTAAATGCAATGCAGAAGAGAGCGCACAGAAATCAGGATTTCTGATGAAGATACAAGATATGTGTGGAAAGTGGAAGTTCTGAGAAAACACAACATGCATAAGTTCATGTGCAGACATTATATCAACAGGCTATTTGCTGCATCACAATTGAGTACTATTGGGGTGCTCAGATCGGAATTTGCAAGCTTATCGGTGATGAGATGCATATGGGGCACCATATGTCATTATTTCATGACATACAGTATCCTGACACAGCATATGCTCCGATTAGAATGCAAAAACATGGAATAGAACGGGGTAGAACATAGCTATCCAACGCAGAAAAGACCTTGAAAAACGGTTGAGAATCAGTGGAGATGTGCAAGGTGAGCCAGAAGTGTGGTTTATGCTGAATGTACTCTGACCTCGCTTTTCACTACAACCACACTTCTGGCTCACCTTGCACATCTCCACTGATTCTCAACCGTTTTTCAAGGTCTTTTCTGCGTTGGATAGCTATGTTCTACCCCGTTCTATTCCATGTTTTTGCATTCTAATCGGAGCATATGCTGTGTCAGGATACTGTATGTCATGAAATAATGACATATGGTGCCCCATATGCATCTCATCACCGATAAGCTTGCAAATTCCGATCTGAGCACCCCAATAGTACTCAATTGTGATGCAGCAAATAGCCTGTTGATATAATGTCTGCACATGAACTTATGCATGTTGTGTTTTCTCAGAACTTCCACTTTCCACACATATCTTGTATCTTCATCAGAAATCCTGATTTCTGTGCGCTCTCTTCTGCATTGCATTTAAATCATCCTCTGTGAATATATCTAGGTGTCTGGGATGTGATACACTCTCATCCCATGTCTGTGTTTGGTATGTCATTTTAGAATATCATACCCCATTACTCCCTCACTTTTGCAGCTACTGCCCTCCAGATTTGCACACCCACAGCTCTTGCATGCTACTACCTGATCCAGCAAACAGCTTGGTCAATTTCCATCAACACATGCAGCTGTGAAGGGTGACTTCCTAGGGAGAGGGTGTTTAGTACAGGCATACTAACTCATCTAATATTACCAATATCAGTGATAAAAAACTCGGTGTCAAAGGCTGGAGGCGAACAAAGACTCAGTGATGGATTGAGGCAGTCAAAAAGTTGTAATGAGGACCGGTAACAGGCACCAGCAATCAAAAACTCGGCAATGAAAGCAGTAATACACACAGATGTCCAAAAACTCGGTAATAGATACAGGCAGTCTGGTAATGAAGGCTGACAATATACACAGGCAATCAAAAAGTTGGAGGTACACAGGTGGTCAAAAACTCGGAGATACACAGGTGATCAAAAACTCGGAGATCGACCCCCGGGGGGAGTCAATTACCGGCCCGGAGGTGACCCCCGGGGGGAGTCAATTGCCGATTGCGGAGATCGGCTTGAGCCTTGCACTTTCTATCATGGTTTCTTGCTCTCTCTTTGCGCATTGTGTGAATAAAAATGGAACTAATGGGCACCCATTCTGTCTGTTTCGGTTGCACAGCTGGTGCAGTTTCCTGTCCTTTCAGAGTACAGTTCCTGTGTCTCAGTGATATGATAAGCTGAAGAATTGCTCTGGCATGGGTGCACCTATACATGCAAAGAAACACAGGCATGCAATAGAGTATGCCAGTTCCCAGATGTGCTAATGGGAGCTGTGGAATGCTGGTGCATTCATATTAAGGGTGGGATATTAATAAGCTCATATGAGGGGTGAGACGCCAATGAGCTCATATGAGGGGGCAAGCTCATATGAGGAGAGCGAGCTCATATGAGGGAGCGAGCTCATATGAGGGGGCGAGCTCATATGAGGGGCGAGCTCATATGAGGGGGCGAGCTCATATGAGGGGGGCGAGCTCATATGAGGGGACGAGCTCATATGAGGGGACGAGCTCATATGAGGGGACGAGCTCATATGAGGGGACGAGCTCATATGAGTGGCAAGGCGCTACAAAGTTCATATGAGGGAAAGACACTAATGCACTCATATAAGCAGCCACTTTTATAATATGTATAGGTGGCAGGGTGTGAGGGCACTCATATGTGTGGCTATGTGGTACATATAGACGGTAGTAGCAGGTATAGAGCGCCCACTCATATGAGCTTATCCGAACGCCAGTAGCGGTGTATGTTGTCATTGATATGAACGCCAGTGGCAGGGTATTCTGTCGGCATGCGCTGGCTGCAGAGTGCGTATCACAGGTGGTGGAGGAGTCGTAAGTGGACACATTGAAAGGAGAAGTGTTGGAGTCTGTAGCCAGTGCACCGGGCGGCATCGTGGGTCCAGCAGAGGGTGTCGTGAGCTTCACGAGTGGCACCGTGGGCTCGATGACTGAGTTGAGCGTGGGCCCAGAGAACGACGTTGTGCTGGCCCTGGCAGGATTCGTCAAAGCAGGCTCGGCGAGGGACACCACGCTTCCGGCGGGCGTCGACATTGTGGGTCCACCAGAAGGCGTCTGCGCAATCTTGGACAGTGCGGTGGATGCCGCCGTGCTCCCCATCAACATTGGCGCAGGCGCGGCAGACGGTGTCGTGCTGGGCGTGAGTCGCGTGACGGGAGTCGTCACAGGCTCGACGGAGGACGTCGCGCTTCTGGTGAGCGTTGACGTTGTGGGTCTAGCAGAAGGCGTCCGAGCGATCTCAGACAGGGCGGCAGATGCCGCTGTGCTCCCCATCAACGTTGGTGCGGGCGCTGCAGATGGTGTCGTGCTGGGTGTGGTGGGAGTCGTCACATGTTCGGCGGAGGACACCACACTTCTGGTGGGTGGTGAGGTGGTGGGGCCCATAGGTGGCGTCGTGTATCCAGTGGATAGAGTCTTGAGCTTGACGAGTGGCGCCGCTTGCGTCGTGGGCTCGACAACCGAGGCAGTGCTAGGCTCAGTGGTCGGCATCGCGAGCCCGGGAGATGGAGTGAACACTGCTCTGGGTGTGGCCGAGGGCGTCGTGCACCCAGGAAGAGGTGGAGTTGCAGTGTTGGTAGACAAGGTCGAGGGCTGGATAGAGGAAGAATACGAGAATGGGATGGGTTGAACTGTTGGCAAGAGAGACGGTGCAGGAGAGAGTGAGGTTGATGGCAGCGAGCTAAGTGCGAGAGAGGAAGATGACTCAGAGGCGGAGGGACGGAGGCGCTTGGATGGTAGGTAATCTTCGGACATTGTAGAGCCGACAGCATGATCATAAGAGCGTTTGGAAGTGCTGGGACTAGGACTTGGTGAGATGCGGTACAGGGCATCACCGAGCTTGATATCCGTGTCCATATATTCGAGGTGCTCACTACCTGGGGTGGTGTCTGTCGGTTATTCCGTCAGAATCTCGCAAAGAGGATAGATGCGAGTGGGCACTACCTGGCTCGTGGCGATTAGCACCAGAGATCGCTTTCAGGGCAAAAGCGACCGCTTCGCCACCGATGTTTTCGTCCGCGATTTGCTGTGGGG